CCCCTCCACCCCTACCAAGCCCCCCATTCGATATCTACCCAGGCTTTACAGGCTCTCCGTCCCCTGTAACTTCAGCACCAAATAGCCCTAAATCGCCTACCTACGCCCAAGTTACCGCCACCCCTCTAGGCTCTAAGCCTTCAGCACCTACAGGCTCCAAGCACCCTACGGCTTCAGGCTCTAAGACCCCTGTACCTTCAGTACCTACAGGCTCTAAGCACCCTACGGCTCCAGGCTCCAAGTACCCCGCACCTTCAGCACCTGCAGGCTCCAAGACCCCTGCACCTTCAGCACCTACAGGCTCTAAGCACCCTACGGCTCCAGGCTCCAAGTACCCCGCACCTTCAGCACCTGCAGGCTCCAAGCACCCTACGGCTCCAGGCTCCAAGTACCCCGCACCTTCAACACCTACAGGCTCTAAGCACCCTACGCCTTCAGGCTCCAAGTACCCCGCACCTTCAGCACCTACAGGCTCTAAGACCCCTGTACCGTCAGTACCTACAGGCTCCAAGTACCCTACGGCTCTAGGCCCCGACCTCCCTACAGGCACCCGAAGGATTCAGACCCCACGGGGTATTTGGTACTCGATTCCAGGGGAAGTAGACGCTATACTCCCAGCGTACGACGGCCCTACAGGCCCTGAACCAGACTCCCTCCCAGGCTCTCGACCCCCCACGCCTACAGGCTCTACGTCACCTACATACGCCCAAATCGTCGCTACAGGCTATATACCCCCGAAGCCGTCCACTAAACGCCCTGCAAGAACACCCTCCCCAGGGGCTCAACGCCCTACGACACGCCAAAAGATAGGCCCTACGCAGCCTATAGAGCCTATAATCAAAGACAGCTCGTCCGACGAAGATCTTTATAGTGCCTCTACAGCGCCATCGTCCCCTACCCCTAGCTTTGAAGACGCTATCTCAACGCCTATACCAACTACACCTACCGATAAGACGCCTACCACACCTAGCCTACCCTCTGATAGCCCCTACTTCCCTCGACTATCACGAGTAGGCTCCCCTATAAGCAACCGAAGCTACTCACCCCTAGAACCACCCCCTAAAGCTCCCCAAGCTTCAGCACCCTCTCACGCTAAAGAGCCTATAATAATAAGCTCTTCTCCCCCAACAACCCCTACAACACACCTACCCTCCAAAACTACCACAACTCACCTACCCTCTAAAAACACCACAACTCACCTACCCTGCGAAACCTCCACACCTAGCCTACCCGTTAACCCAACACTCCAGGGCCGTACTATAGGGCCTACAGCGTCTAAACGCCCTATATCAACACAAGGCACAGCATCTTCAGCGCCTAAACGCCCTAGAACGTCAACACTAAAACGCCCTACCGACCCCCTCACATCTGAGCTACCCTTTGGATTACAACAATCGATCCACTGCCCCCAGCCTCAGGCTACCTCAGCACCTACACCCCTACACCCACAGGCTTCCTCAGCGCCTACACCCCTAGACGAGAGCGCTAAAGACCACTTGAACGCTATAAGCTCAGCGCTAAGAAACCCCTATATGCAATCCCTCATGAGATATAGCACTATTAAGGTCCCTGAAACACGTCTCCACGCCAGGCAAGCAGCGCTATTTACAGAGGCCGCTAATCGAGCGGCTTTAGCGTTCTTACGGCAGCCTAGAGAGAAGCAATTACTGGACTTTTTACTGCTTCCCAGGGTTCTCGGCCTAGGATTACAGAAGGAAGAGCTCGCTAAAACGCTGAAAGCCTACCCTACGACTATACCGGATATCCCTGAAACTCAGGGACCTCCCCCTGAACTCCCTACCCCCTCAAACGACTCCCCCGCCAAAAGAGCGACTAAGCTTCTGGAAAAAGGCTATATAGGGCGTGCCTCTAGAGCCCTAATCGACCCTACGCCTCTAGCTCCTAGCACTCCAGAGACGCTAAATACGCTATACTCGAAGCACCCTATAGGGCATAATAACCCCTTCAGTAACGCTAACCCCTCCCCGGGGCAAAATATCACCCCTGAAACGATACGACAGGCTATTCGATCGATTAATAGAGAGAAAGCCCCTGGCCTCAGCGGCTGGACCCGCCCGCTACTTGATATAGCGCTAAATTCGGAAAACTCCCCTGTAACTATAGCGCTTACACACCTAGCGAATATGATTCGACAGGGTACAGCTCCAGGGGTCGACCTCCTATGTGCTTCCCGACTTATAGGCCTTCAGAAGCCTGACGGAGGTGTGCGACCGATCGCTATAGGGGACCTTATTTATAAGGTAGCCCTAAAAGCGATCCTTATCAGCTCCTTCAAGCCGTCTATGCTTCTACCCTGCCAATTAGGCGTTAGCACCCCAGGGGGTGTAGAGCCTATAATCTTCCTCCTTGACGACGCTATTACCGGCCCAAATACCCTAAAAACTCAGCAAATCGCCTCCTTAGACCTTATCAACGCTTATAACCGAATCGGACGAACCTCAATAGCGGCCGTAGTCGCTAAATACGCCCCTACCCTCTATCGGACCGCTAAATGGGCCTATAACCAGCCTTCAGTGCTAGTAACAAACGAAGGCCACACGCTAGCAAGCGCTGAAGGAGTACGCCAAGGAGACCCTATTGCCCCCCTCTTATTCTCTCTAGCGATCCGCCCCCTGCTAGAGCACCTCCAAAAGACCCTACCGAAGGCTACAATTATAGCTTATTTGGACGATATCTATATCCTTAGCCCTGAAACTACAGCACTACTCCCTGTAGTTATAGAAGCCTTCAGGGACTCTCCAGTAGCTCTTAACCGCCAAAAGAGCACCGAAAGCCCTATTTCCCAGTTACAAACCACTGGACTTAAGGCCTTAGGGACCTTTATAGGCCCTGTAGCACACCGCCGAACGTTTCTCCAGGGGAAAATCGACACTCTCGCTACAGCGCTATATACCCTACGAGACCTCCCTAAACAACACGCTACCCTACTCTTACGGGGTAGTATACACCTACTCCTACGACACTTACAGCGCCAATTGTACTCGGAAGACCTACTAGACCTCTGGAGGTTAGCGGACTTACGAATCAAGTACGCTGTACAAGCCCTAATCGCTAGGGAGCCAGGGGAGAAGACTACCCTAATTCGCCAGGCTTTACTCTCTCTTCCAGTGAGAGAGGGAGGCCTAGGGCTCCCTATACACGCCTTATTAGCCCCAGGGCTCTATAGGGCAGCTAAGGAAGCCTCTCGATCGATTCTAGTGGCTATATGCCCTAATCTCTACCCGGAACCCCCTGGACGCCCTGTACCGACAGCCCAAGAGGTCTTCTCTAGCGTTAACCAAGACCTAGAAGAGAAGATTCTACCTACCCTATCAAAACAAGCGCTAAAATCGAAGCTTGAGAACGCTAGCTACCTCGGACGATACTGGCTTAGAACCCTGCCCACGCAAAAACACCACCTTTTAGCGGATTCTACAGTTACCGAAGCACTACGGACTAGGCTCTTACTCCCTGTAAAGCCCCCTATTTCGCCCTGTACCGCCTGTGGAGCCTACCCTCAAATAGGCCACGAAGACACCTGTAGAGGTGCTGAACGACGCTGGATTATACGCCATAACCAGGTTACCCGTGCATTTATTACTACCCTTTCTAGCCGGGAAGACCCTAAGTGGAATCGGAGCCTACGCCAGCTAGAACGCCTATAGCCCTAGAAAACAGCCAACGACCGGATTTTTCAGTGCTTATAGGTACTTCTAGGCACTATTACGACGTTCAAATAGTAGCAATTAACAAGGATTCAGCACGCGAAGAAGCCTATGCTACGCTATCAGAGGCAGCAAACGCTAAACGGCTTAAATACAGCGACTTAGGCCCTGTATTTCACCCCCTGATCTTCTCAGCAGGAGGCCTAATGGAAGCCGAAACAGCGAAGACCTATAAGGCCCTACAGGGCCTATTAGGGCACTCTAGGGCTAAGTGGTTAGACAGGTATATCGCTAGCACCCTAACTCAGGCTCGAGGAATCGCTGCAACCTCGATTCTAGCACGTAGGTAGCTCATAACACACGCTATACCTACCCTACAGCACACACTACACCTACCCTATAACACACACTACACCTACCCTACGGCACACACGACACCTACCCTACGGCACACACTTCACCTACCCTAAGTAACTCACACTTCACCTACCCTGTGATACACACTCTATCTACCCTATAGTACACACTCTACCGACCCTGCGACTCACACTCTACCTACCCTATGGTACGCACTCTACCTACCCTGCGACTCACACTACACCTACCCTGTGGTACACACTCTACCTACCCTGTGGTACATACTCTGCCTACCCTATGGTACACACTCTACCTACCCTGCGACTCACACTACACCTACCCTTTGGTACACACTCTACCTACCCTGGGGTACACACTCTACCTACCCTATGGTACGCACTCTACCTACCCTGCGACTCACACTACACATACCCTTTGGTACACACTTTACCTACCCTTTGGCACACACTCTACCTACCCTTTGGTACACACTCCACTTACCCTGTATTATCTCCTTCTGTCTTAGTACTCTACCTTCTGTACCCCTGACACCTTCAGGCTCTTACCCTCTGTATTATTAGTATAGTCCTTCTGTATTTCAAGACTATTAGAGAGAGATAAAAACACTCGTCGCAAGCTAGCGTAGTTAGAAACAAATATAACCAAACCTCAAACCCTAAACTTAACCCCGCGTCAATTTATTGTGGATGCTGAATGGTCTGCTATTGAGGGCTGAGCAACAAGGTAGTGGTGATGATTGGTCGTGAATAGAGTTCGTTCTCGAAGAAACCTCAGTGACATACATATATATATTGACTTTTCTCTCAGTAGTTCACAACTCACTAGTTCGCTTTGTCGTAGCTGCCCCTAAAAAGACCCTGATAAGCACCCTTTTAATTCCCTACACCCGAGGGCACAACAAGTAGCATGGGCCGACCCCTCCTCCCCCTGTCCCCCCTCTCCACAACGATTCCTCTTTTTCTGACTATGAAAGGCACGGCTTTTTCTCCATCTTCAATTCGCAACTGTCTCACAACACAGACCTCCACTCTCAGCTCCTCCCTGTCTATAAAAATCCCAGCCCCTTCTTCATCTTCAACTGGCAACTCTCCCATAGCAACACAGACCTCCAGTCTCAGCTCTTTCTGTTTGTACAAATCACATCTCTTTCTCTATCGTCGACTTGCAAATCTCTCAGAATAGCTAAGGTAAATGCTAGGAGAGCACTAAATATGTGTTGTAAAACCATTAAAAGACAGAGACAATAGTCCCACAAGTCATGACGTAGCTTATTAAAGTAAGTCAAACCCAAAATCTCTCGACCCTCTACCTTTTAAACGTATAGAAACTCAAAATGATATCAAATTACTTTGTCTCCACGCTTGAGAGACGCCAACGCCAAACTTCCAAGACAATCCCGTCGCTCCTCAAACATCAAGCCACCCATCACCCAGGTTTCCCTGCTGTAGCGTTTTCCACCGGTAGCAGCTATCAAATATTCAGTAAGTGCTCACCCGCAACTTTGCTCTGACTGTCCAAGCTTTTCAACAGTTATACTCGCTGAGAATCGAAGTTGAGACACGCTGTGTCGGCCTCCTCTGTACCAGCTCCATCGAATTCCTCGTCACCTGGCTAGGTCTCGTCCAAGCTGGTCATTCGGTCCTTTTAATTGCGTAAGTCATCCACCCTTAACAAAAACTCTGACATCAATAGACCTCAATCTCCATCTGCGATAAATTCTCTTTGCAAATCATGCAATGTATCACGACTATATCATGACGTAGCCTATTCCAGTCTCGCCAAGGAATCGGGAATTCAGGCACTTCCGATTCCAAAACCCGGAATATTCAAAGAAAGTGAAGTCTCATCTAATGACATTGCATTCATCCATCATTCCTCTGGAACCTCCGGCAACCCCAAACCAATCCCACAAACCCACCACGGAGCCGTTGGCGTCTTACCATCCTTGAATGGCCAAAATGCTGCAACCTTCACGACCACCCCTCTCTACCATGGAGGTATTGCTGATTGTCTCAGAGCATGGACAAGCAATGCTCTCATTTGGCTTTTCCCCGGCGATATTCCCATAACTTCGACTACAATCCTATCTTGCCTAGAAATTGCCGGGAGGGTTGATCCCCCAGTGCGATATTTTTCCAGCGTTCCATACGTCCTACAAATGCTGTCCGAAACTCCCGAAGGTCTCCAAGCACTGCAAAGCATGGAATTAGTAGGAGTTGGTGGAGCGGCTCTTCCAGAATCCGTGGGAAACCAACTGGTCAGCGAAAATGTCAATCTGGTATCCCGATTCGGCAGTGCAGAATGCGGGTTTCTACTCTCCTCTCACCGGGACTACCCAGTTGATAAAGACTGGCAATACCTACGAGCAAGCTCCCGTCACCTCTTCTTTGAACAACAAGAATCCGGTCTATCAGAACTGATAGTCCTGCCGGACTGGCCCCACATGGTAAAGAGAAACAGGCCCGACGGAAGCTATGCCACCTCTGATTTGTTTGAACCACACCCGACTCTCAAGAACGCCTGGAAGTATCACAGCCGAAGTGACGCCCAGATAACACTTCTCACCGGGAAGAAGTTCGATCCAGCACCAATAGAGGATGAAATCAAATCCACGTCAGCGGTTGTCAAAGACATCTTCATTTTCGGAAACGGCAAGCAAATCCCAGGAGCGATTGTATTTTCAGACGGCATCCAGGCAACCGAGGCTTTGAGAGACGAAATATGGAAAGACTTGCAAACCACAAATTCGAAGCAGGCAGCCCATGCAAGAATAACCCAGAATATGTTTGAAATCATATGCAAACCATATGCTCCCCTTCAACGAAGCAGTAAAGGAACTCTACTGCGAAGTCACGTCGAAAGCAGATATGAGTCGAACATCAGAGAAATGTACGAGCCTAGTGCCACGAAAAACTTGGGTCACTTATTACCAATCGAGAACGTCGATTCTACTGTCAGAAGGATCATCTCAGAAATCGTTGGGGGTGATATTGCAGATGATGCCGACTTCTTCCAATCTGGGATAGATTCGATAAAGGCAGTACAGATTCGGTCAAGACTACAGGAGGTACGTGCTCCAGGTTTCAACGTCTCCTAGCTAACCGGTCTAGGCATTTGGTCATAATTGCCTTCCCTGGAATATCGTTTACGACTGTCAAAACGTGGAACAGTAAGAGAACCCAGAGTCGCAAGGAACGTCTAGTTAACGAGAACTGATAGACTAATCCGGTATTTCGCTGAGGATAAGGCCATTGTCGGCCCTGAAAATCCTGGCCAAGATGTTGTGATGACCCAACTTGCTGAGAAGTATTCGCGATTTGACGTCCCTAAAGCGGCAGATCTTGCACAGACTGGAGACAGCTCTTTCACTGTTGTATGTACTTCGTGGCCGGATCCGAAGGATTACTGACCAGTGGATTAGATCTTGACTGGCGCGACCGGCGGACTCGGAGCTCATATCTTGAATACACTTCAGGACAACCCTTCCGTGAATCGTATTGTGTGTTTAGTCCGCGCTACGGGCAACAATGAAGCTCGGGCAAGAGTCTCGAAGAGCTTGACAGAACGCAAATTCCCATCATTGTATCCAAATTCAGGCGACAAAGTACTCTGTATGCCAGTACAGCTTGACCATCCCAACTTGGGATTATCTGCGGAAGCCATCTGCAATCTGAGAAACACAGTTACGCACATTATTCACGTAAGATCCTTATCTTTTTCCATGCTCACCACTAATATGGCACAGGCGGCATGGGCTGTCAATTTCTCTTTACCCCTCCAATCTTTTGTCAAAGAACACCTCGCAGGCCTACAGAATCTCATAAGTCTAGCAGCCTCTTGTCGGAACTTTCAACATTTCATTTTTTGTTCCAGTACAGCCAGCGTGATTGGCCAAGCCCTTTTGGAAAACGATCTTCTGATTCAAGAGCAAATTTGCACGACGGCACCACCAGACGGTTCTTTGGGCTATTCCAAGAGTAAGTGGGTTGCAGAAGCAATTTGTTCAAAAGCCTCGGCTCTCCCACAAATGGCTTCCAAGATAAGCGTGGTTCGAATTGGCCAACTCACAGGTGACACTCGAAATGGGGTTTGGAACAGATCAGAAGCTTGGCCATTGATGCTTTCCACCACCAAAGAACTCGGCTGTCTCCCTAGACTAGACGAGAAACTCAGTTGGCTTCCAGTTGATTCTGCTGCTCGTGCAGTGGTCGACATATCGTTTCTAGGAGCTGCTTCACGATCCGACAACCCATGCACTGTATACCATGTGATCAATAACGACCGATCAGTTTCATGGACTGATTTAGTAAGGTGGATCAACAAGTTGACGGAGGAAAAGATTTCAGTTGTTGATCCTGGTATTTGGCTCGCCAAACTTGAAAAGGTCGACCATCCTGCACGGAGCCTGCTAGGTCTATGGGAGAAAAGCTTTAAAAAAGAGGCACCAGTGCAAAGTGATGGATCTTCGAACACCAGACAAGTCATTGTATTCGACACGAAGAATGCGACAAACGCCAGTCGATCAATGCAGGATATTCGGCCTGTGGATGAAATATTGGTTGGGAAGATCTGGAATTGGCTGAACGAAAGTGATTAAGAATATCGAGGTGGACTGTACATACGAAACTGGAATCACAAACATGAGATTGGACTATCGTTTCTTTGACCTTGACCGTGCTATTAAGGCTCCACCGGTTCTACTTGTAATTTGTTGCAGGAACAAAACATGTGCATCCGAAGAGCCTTGGCCGGAATAATTCGCGCGACAAACCTTTTTCACTCTGGATCAAACTCACGATGTGCAGATTGGTATTGCTACAACGTAAATGATATATTACTGCGGTTCGCAGCGACAAGAATTTGCAATAGCTCTAGAAACTCACCATCTATAGGATCTGTACTACTAAGAGCTACGAAGAGAATAGTCTATCATGCTTTTGCAGGATCTACAAAGCGAACGTGTCCATTCCCATTTACCTCTGGTCCAGTTCCTAGCACCATGGATAAGATACCAGTGGCATCTCCATTTGTCTTAGAAACATCATGACCTTCTTTACCTCCAACACAATTAGCAGAACCATTGGCACTTTGGATCTTTCCATCTGGTCCATTCAAGCTGCCAGCTTTCTTGGCTGCAGCTTCAACCATTCTCTCTTCCTCTGCTTGAGGATTCTCCGTGTATCCAGTATCGGAGGCGTCAACATACGCCTCAATTCCTTCTCCATTTCTTGGATACTCCCTCATGAGCTCCTTGTGTCTGCGAAGAGCGGCGTTCATTTCCTCTGCTGAGACATCATTGAGGAATGTGCAACTACCAATCGGACTTGGTACAGCAGCACGAAGAAGTCCATCACGAGTCTTGAGAATTGCAGTGGTAGCCTTGGCAAGGACATCTTCATCGAACTGGTGATGATCCATGGACAGACCTGCGCGAGAAAAGAGGTTGAGTAATCGGCGGTGTTCTTCATCCGTGATCAGTTTTCGGTTGTTGGCGAGAGTTGCCGAATAGGCCATATCGATACTGATAGCATGACCGTGGCGGAGGGGAGTTTCCGGGACGAGCTCATGCAGAGGTGACCAAGTGTGGCCATATGCGATAACTCTGTCAAGACCAATCTCGTGGAGGTTCGGTGTCTCGAGCCTCAGCATCTCATGAATTCCTTCGCGGTTGATCTTGTCCGCCGCATCGATCAACTCCTGAGGAGAGCCATTGGCACGACCAAAGGATTGTTCGATGAGCTGCTCGCAGTACTTGTCGAGCAAGTTGAATGTGTCCAAGTGAGAACATGTGGATATTTTGATCAACTCCGCGAAACCATTTCTGATTTGTGCTATTGACAGCGTCCGGAGGAATGTGAAATCGAGAAAGGTGTGCATAGGTGCATGGTAAGCACCAAGTCGATTCTTGTAGTTACCATAGTTAACGGCCACTTTGATCGAGACAGAGGCGTCGATCAGACCAATGACTGTCGTGGGAATACGGATGAAGTTGGTATTCCGTTTGTAGGCAGCGCAAGCGAAACTAAAAACAAATGTTAGCCCAGTCACATATCTCTTTGAAGAAGTGTCAGCTAGATTTGGTGCACCTACCCAGCAACATCTGTGACAAGTCCACCTCCAACAACAAGCACTGGCTCCTAAGCAAACGTTAATTAATCCTCTACAAAGAAGACTTGCCAGTACACTGCTTACCTTTCGGTAAATTCCAAACTCGTTCATAGAATCAACGATGCTCAAAAGGGTCGGCATCGTTTTAACCTTCTCGCCAATCTTTGTCTTGTGGATCTTCAAGCTGAGGCCGTGGTGTTGGAAGTATGCCTCCATCTGCTTCCCATAAACGTTGTATATATTTTGATCCGTGACAGCTAAGCATCGTCCCCATTTTTTATAGCAATCGGCGAGGTTCGTGTTTGAGGGGTCGAAGATTCCATCGATGAATGTAAAGCCGTATTCGATCTTCTCATATCCGGTGACATGGAAGCCGGCGTGGCCGGAGGCTGACTTGGTCTCTGAAACAGTAGCTTTGAGGTCTGACATTGTGAAAGTGCTTGTTAATGAAATGAGAGGTTTTGCTGGGGGCCTGTGATGATATATCCAAGGGGTCCTGTCCACCGAGTGGTATCAAAAGCATGTAGACTCCACAGCCCTGGGCAGAACGACTTTTGGAATCTAGATTTCCAGGCCTTGGACTTCGATGAGTCCATTACGTGTACAATTTCTACCCCGGTATATTCCACGGCGCGAGTGTTCGTTCCGTTTCAAGGAGAGTTTTCTAAACCACTTGCATCTGTTCAAGAAGATGGTGGGGGTTTCCACGGCTGTAATTGGAACCCCGCAGTTAGCGTCTCATATGTTGGAGGAACAAAATACACCAGTTTAGACATTTCTCACAGGCTGGAATATCCCGCATGCATATGTCGTGATTCTAGTGTCGATGAACCCCGGGAAGGCGGGGTCGAGATGGAATTTCAAATTCCCATCCATAGCCGTGCGTGGACCATCCAAATCTTGGACGAACGCGCTGGCATTATGATCCTCGAGTGACCTGAAGTCATGATGGACTGAATTATTGAATCCCAGATATTGACATACACGCTCAAACGTGACAGAATTGTCGACTCGGAGTTGAAAACGAAATCGCGAACATCAGATCGTACCTAACTAACGATACATTGAGATGGAAGGATCTGGCTACCGTTCCGTGAGGCCAAGGTACCTGCATTAGATAACATGACATCAAGACAGGTTCCCGGCCGCTAGCGTGGGATAGTGCATTACACACATTCTCGACCCCTCATCCACATGCTTCTGGGAAACATTCGATCAAGTCATGACGACTTGTATTTCGCTCGATATTTGCACTTTTTCTTCCTTGGAAGCGGGAAACCAACTAATGGATTGCCTTTCACTTACGCAAATTTTGGGAGTATGGACAACTAATTGTCCGAACACGAACACGAATGCGGGAGGACCTGACCAGAAGGCTTCTTGATGGTGATGAAGTTTTTCCTTTTGTTCTGTCGTGTATCTTTTGATGTCAAATTGCCTCAATCCTACGATGCCATCAGACTTCGATAACCGGAAGGCTTATGCTCCCCAAGAGGAAGTATTCGTAAGTTAATCATAGTTCAAAATGGCTACAACTAACAACATCCAGTTTGATGATGGAAGAGAGGAGGAACTGGTCGAATTTGTCCTGGCGAAACCCGGTATTCGAAACTCGCCCTCTAAAATATTAGAAGCAATTGACGAGTTTGCACGGACCAAGAGATACTTGATGAATGTCGGCGAAGACAAGGGAAAGATTGTAACGGATATCATTCAAAGCACAAAGCCAAATGTGATGGTAGAACTGGGAGGATACTGCGGCTATTCAACACTCCTGTTCGCGGATGCAATGCGTACAGCGGGAGGCAAAAAGTACTACTGCTTGGAACGAAGCCCAAAGTTTGCTCACAACATCGAAGTGCTAGTTGAATTGGCCGGTCTTGGTGAAATCATTACTGTGGTTGTCGGACCAAGTAACGACAGCATTAAGTATCTACACGAGTCCAGGAAAGTCAAGAAAATCGACATGATATTTCTCGATCATTACAAGCCGGCTTACACAACGGATCTGAAGCTTTGTGAGTCCTTGGGTCTCATTGGCAAAGGCACAACGCTTGCTGCCGACAACGTTATCAAGCCAGGCAATCCACCGTACCTGAAGTACGTTCGCAGTAGTGTTCATGACAAAATAATGGCATTGACCCAAGCCGCTGAGCAAGATACAATGAAATTTCCCGGGCAGACTGCCAAACAATATGGGGATATCGAAATCCTAAGCACTGAGTTCAATGGAAACCCGCACCTCGTTTACGAGAGTCGACTGGTTCGAAGTTGGGAGCCGTCGGGGGTAGCTGTAAGTTCTTACGTCTGAGCTCTGCGAGCACTCTAACATACTTCTAGGATGCGATTGAAGTGACAGTGTGCGTCGGGGAGGAAAGTTCATGAGACATGAACGTCAAGGAGCCGCATAATGCTCCAAGGAACTGGTGAGAAGAGTGTGATGTATTGGGGCAGGAGCACCTCTAGAGGACAGGGGATTTGGATGAACTTCAAGAAGTAGTTACTTGGCTCTGAGGATATTATTTTTAATCGATCTTATTTAGAGGTGGGTTTCTGGTCCCTCGAATTCTTATGGTTATCATTGAGAAGTTTGGCCATGTGAGCAGATTAATATCAATTCTGCATTGAATATGTTGCAATTCTTCTAGTAAATTTCGCCCAAACCTCACCTCGTTCTAGTACAATCACATAGGCAAGTCTTTCCTACTATTTGGACAATTAGCTTCATAAAGCGCACATTTGTGGGTCACCTGTATGATGACGCGATTACATTTGTGAACCCCTCGCCAACAAGCTTGCTTTCTTCACATCAGTCAACCTTTTCTTACTCTCACTTGATGTTTTTATCTTGTTTATTGCTACGTACGCTAGGAGATTCGAGGCAAACACAAATTCCAATGCCTCTGACAGCCAATTCGCCCGCCTGGCTACACGTCCTTCAGAATGTGGCGTTGATCTCACTCGCAGTTCTCTTGGCCCCTCTTTGTACATCCATTGCTATCTTGAGTTCAGTCATATCACCTTTTACCCAAGCTACACGACAGATTCAACAGCAACGACAAGGGCGAAACAAATTCTCTGATGGTCAACCGCGGACTGTTTTGGTCACTGGAGTGGGGATGAGTAAAGGGCTCTTCATTGCACGCGCATTCTATAAGGCAGGATATACCGTCATTGGTGCCGACTTTGAGCCCTTCTATATTCCTGTTTGTGGCCGATTCTCCAGAGCTCTGCAGAAATTCTTCAGCTTGTCCAAGCCCTCAGACATATCTGGCCCAAGGGCATACATCAACAGACTCGTCGATGTCATCAGGAAGGAAGATGTAGATTTATGGATCAGCTGCTCGGGAGTGGCTTCGGCACTCGAAGATGGGGAGGCCGCTGAGGCTGTACAAAGTACCACAAGCTGTCGAGTTGTGCAGTTTGGAATGGACATGACAGCTCTTCTCCACGAAAAACACTCTTTCATCAAAAACACAGAACGACTGCAACTAAACGTCCCTGAAACACACCCAATTACTTCTGTAGATCAGGCAATACATCTCCTTCACCCTGCCAAGGGAGACCTGGAGAAGAGCTTCATCATGAAAAGCGTGGGCTTAGATGATTCCATTCGAGCAGACATGACACTTCTTCCGTTCTCACAGATAGAGAAGACTCGAGAACATCTCGCTACTTTGCGGCCTTCTCCCTCCAGGCCATTCGTTCTTCAACAGTGGATTGATGGGCCCGAGTTCTGTACACACTCCATCATCATCCGTGGAAGAGTCCTTGCATTCACATGTTGTCCGTCGTCGGAGCTTCTAATGCACTACAAAGCTCTACCCACCTCATCTTCTATCTTCCGTACACTTCTGAAGTACACTGAGATATATGCCGAAAGAATTGGAAGCGACATGACGGGTCATTTCTCAATTGATTTTCTCATTGATCAGGAAAGTCCTGAGAAAGATCTCATGAAGAAAGTCTATCCTATCGAGTGTAATCCACGGGCTCATACTGCCGTTGTACTCTTCGCTAAACAGAGCGTTCAAATGGCACAAGCATATATGGAAATTTTCAACGTCGAGAGTGACTTAAAACGCGACTCTGGTATCGTTTTCACAACCTCAGACATTGGATACTACTGGATCGGACACGATCTTGTTACCCGGATTCTTCTGCCTTTGGCTGCGTTTTTGACTTTCGAGATGCAGTTTTCGGAGTTGAAGAGTAACTGGATAGAGTTCTTTCGGCGTATTTTGTATTGGCGTGACGGTATTTTTGAGATCTGGGACCCATGGCCTTTTTGGGCCTTGTATTGTATTTACTGGCCGTGCATTTTCATTTCAAGAATTTTTTCGGGAAAGAAATGGAGTCGGTGCAATGTCAGTACAACGAAGATTTTTGACTGTTAATTCCTAGACGTAACAGAGAAGGCACATTTTTCTTTCGGATTTTCTTGCAATAGGTGCTAAGTGGCATGAAAGGGAGCTGATGAATCGAAATCAAGCGCAATTGACCATTGCCTTAGTCAAAAGGAAATCTTAATCAATTACAGAAACACGATATCATGACTGCAGCTGCTTGCCTAATATATCCATGTGGTCTGTGCCTGGAGTTTGTAGGCACTTGGATGCAAGGAGTTCAAGGTGCTTCGTCAAAATGAAAGGTATACCAATTGATTATATGATACTCTATGCCACACCGCTGACTCACTCTCTTCTACCTCCTATTAAGGTGCTCGGGTTAAAAACACAAACTCTTACAACATATAATCGACTCGATAATCGCATCCCCACATCAGAATCTTAAATAACTCGGAGTTGACGTAGTACCAGTTCTCTCATACCAAGACTGGCATAACATAGAGTCAACATATTTTACTCCAACAGAATCTTCGAAATCGCAGGGTTAACTCTGAGCTGATTTTCCCAAGCCAGACTCGCATCGAGATCATACCCCTGTATGTCGATTTGTAAACGAGAGCCTTCTTCGTTGAGGTACAGCCATTTGGGTTGAGCGATACGAAAGTGTATAACTCGGAGGGATTGTAAGGTGACAGATATGACTCGACCCTGTCAAGAAAGATTAAGGATAAGTAAGCGATTTGGGAAAGTCGAGGAGGGGAACTAGCTGTAGGGATATAACGTACCTCCAAAGGACTGTTCTTGAGCTCAGGAGAAGCTTTGAATATAATCATGTTTGCTGTGTGTATACAAGCGACTAGCTCTGAGCGTAGGATCTCATTGGCACCTGGCTCTCCGATATTGCACGTTACCATGGCTAAGCAATCCTCATTACCCTTTGCAAATGTAATCCCACGACCTGCCCAGTTTGGATATTCCCGGGGACATCCTCTATTAAGCAGGGTTAGTCAACAACCATCAAGAAGAAAAAATCAATCAAATTGTGGGTGAATCGTACCTGAGGTGACGAGGAGGATCCAGGAATGATGCAATCTGCTGACTGACATACGTCACTCTGATGAATCTACTGTCAAGACTCAGAGTGGCAGGGCTGTCATCGCTCTCGTCACAGTCTGAGAAGACAGTGCTAGAAGAATCGTCTTCAAGTAAGATGGGTAAGCTTGGATTATTCTGGGGCGCTTCTATAAAGCTGATGTCCAGCTTGAACAGATTGATTTCATCAGCTGTCATGGAGTTGCTGATCCAACTGGGATTCTTGCGATCTCGCACACACACTTTTCTGATGAAGTTCCGCCGCTGCTTGCGGAGGAGCTCGAGATCTGGCTTGAGTTCGAGATCTTGCTTTCGCTGGGTGGGATTGGAATGTGTAGCAGGTGTTTCTTGATGTGATGGCTGGAATTGTTGTGATGAGTTCGCAGATGGTTCTGCTCGGGCCTTGGGATGATTTCTGGCAGATTGCTCGACGAAAGCACTCATACTACGGCCCTGTTCTTCCTCTTGCGATACCTGCTCTTGGCCCTCTGTTTGTATGGTTGGTTTCTGCTTGAGGTTGTGCTGGGTTTGGCCGTTTGCACTTCTTGCTGTTGTCATGGGTGACGCTGTCGCTGTCACTGTGGTAGCTGGTCTAACACCGTGTGAAGTCGAGCATGGAGACAGATCTTCCGTCATTGCTGCTGTTGTTGTTTGACTCAGGGCGAATAGTGGAGAGGAGCTTGAGATAATGTGGTACTTGAAAGTGAAGGCCTAGCCTTGTATCAATTCGAGGTTGTTACCGGAGTTTGGGTCGGGCGACTGATTTCGACTGATGACCTATTCGCTATGGTCCGCTGAGACTCTTAGGTGCAGGTATGGAAGGAGTAGTGGTAGTAGTGATATTAATAAATCTTTGCATTGAGGATGTCGTATTTGTCCTTGAAATACTCTGCTTGGGGTTTTGATTCCGTTGTCCCTAGTAACCGCGCGACATACTACCTACGGCACCCATCGGGGTTGTGGCCTGTTGTAGCTGGAACTGCACCTCTGGCTCTCTCACATGACAAAGACGGCTCTATTCACCACATCTTGCCCGCCTTCTCGATTCACAATTACCACTGTTATCACCATGACTAGCACTAGTGCAACCCAGCACAGACACAAGAATGGCTTACGTATATATTTTCATCACCGTCTGTAGTCACATTGTAAGCTGACAGAGTTTTACAATACAATAAATACTATGAAGTTCTGATTAATCGAAGCTAGTGACAAGAAAGCCGGGAAATACTACCCTTGCGACAGAAACGACAGGTCTTCATCAAGCACCTAGCAGGTCAAATATTACATTCATTAATTTTCACAAAGAACCCCTCATTCAATAGTTCTTCTGCATCTCCTTCTTCACTTCTGGAAAGTCAGGCACGATTGCATGACTATTTCCATCTTGCCCCGCCACTGGCGGTGCGACATACTCTTTCCTACCAGCCTTATGTACCCGCCCATTGATAACAATCACATTGAGCTTATCATGATCCTGCAAAACCGTGATATCCTCAAGTGGATTCCCATCAACCAGAATACAGTCCGCATAGAACCCTTCCTGGATCTTACCTAATTCATGCTCCCTCATAAACAACTTTGCAACACCAGCCGTAGCAGCGATGATAGACTCCATTGGTGTGAAACCCAACAGCCTGACAAAGTGGTCGAGATCCCTGGCATATGTTCCATGAGGTGTCCAAGCAAAGCCGTAGTCGCCACCAGGGAGAACAGTGATACCCCGCCTATGCATCTCTCGGAGCCCTCGAATCGCAGCATCTAACTCCTTCTTATATCCAACCTGTTCTGCCTTCTCTTTTGGATAACCAAAGGCTTCGGCATCGTTCACTTATTTGTAAGTATGAAACATGACACGGGTCGGCTAACTCACGAGTAGCTATGAGCCAATTTATTCCTGGTGCAACAACATGTTTCGTTTTCTTGGCTTCCAACATATCCATTCCCTCGTCATCGATGTATGAAGCGTGGTAAATGACATCCACACCATGTCTAACACACATCTTGACCGAATCCCTGGCTCTTGCATGTGCACAAAGCCTCTTGCCAAGTCCGTGTGCTTCATCCACGCAAGCTGCCGTCTCTTCGTCTGTGAAGTAGCAATCCTGAGCAGATCTGATTTCGGTAATCTTGAAAGTTTAGCGACGTTAAATATCACGATCATCGTCTTACCTGTTCTCCACTCATACTGAGCTTAATCTGGTCCACTCCAAGGTTCACATGATGTCGAATCACCTCTCGCATCTCGTCTGGTCCATCAGCATACGCGGTGATTCCAGCCACGAGGTCTCCATCTCTTCGAGCCATCTCCTTCCCATTCGCGAGGTATCGAGGACCTGGGATATCGCCTGCATTAATGGCATCACGGATTACTATATCCAACCTTTCCTTTGCAGATGCAGCCCCGAAGCACCTACTAACGTCAGTTCAATCCTCGGGAAAGTCCGACACGACTTACATGGTGTAGCCTGAGTCAATGTAGCATTGTGCACTTCTTGCCGTCAACAAAACATGCTCCTCGACTCCTAGCTCTCCAAGACGATTCAAATCACCTCCATTCCAAGTGAAATGGGTATGTGCATCACCAAGACCACTCATGAGTGTTCTTCCACGGCCATGAAACACCCTGACCTTCGGGTTCTTCTTTAAACTCTCGACATTCGGCACTGTGCCAACCTTGGTAATCCTCTCTCCTTCAATAAGAACATCACCTTGGTATGGCTCTTTCCCGGTAGAGTCGAGGATCTTCACATCGGTGAAGAGAATCTTTGATTCGGGATGCGTCCCTAGAATGTTGTAGTCTTTGGGCTGTAGTGCTTTATCGAAATTGATGGCATTGATGTTTTCAATATTTCGCGGAGGGCCCTTGTACGTTTCGCTAGTAATACTGGCTTGACTGAAACTGGGGAGAGGGTCGTCTGTCCGTGACGGTGCCATTGTGTTGGTATCAAGAGTTTGCGCGTATCAAAAACAGCCGAACGATTTCAGATCTGACAGGCTCACATACATGAACATATATCCTCGAGTGGCGTCAACTTACCTTTGTGATTGATATTACCGAGCCTTGATCCTCTCCATCTTTCCTTCCCCGCATTATTATGAATTACCACGCCTTGGACGTTCGGGGTTCGCGGAAGAAGCCCCAAGAGCTGTATTGCCGAGCACATCTATCACCGTCCGCCATCGCGCACCATCTCCGCCGATATCTCACGCGGCGCACTAGATGGAAGGGGAGGGGGGGGGGGGGGGGGGGGGGGAAGAGGTGCGGGGTACATATCGTGGGGAAATCCTTTCTGGTTAGTTCACCCCAGATTTCTTAGCTCACTCCGCCATCTCCGCCATCTCCGCCATCTCCATCCTCTTGTCGTATTCAAACGTGTGTTTTGCGGCAAAGATAAGTATTCCCTTACGGAGAGATCCTGGTAGAAATGAGACCAACGTATCAATAAAGCCTACAGCGGAATCTTGTGGGACCGAAATATACTACCAATAGCCCGGTTTCGTCTCTCTCACTTCCACGAACTAGGCCCGTCGTCAGGCTCGTACAATGGGTTGGCTGAAGCTCAGGAGTACAGACGCCGATACCAAATGCCAACCGCCACTCGGCGTATTCCAAGACAACTTGAAAGTGGCCACCCAGTACATCGAAACAATATCACCTGGTTCGAGCAAATCACAATTTCCTTTCATCGATGTTTCTGTTCCAGATGATCAATTGCCTTTCATCTCTCCGGAGAATGTTGTCAAGCAAGTCTCGGTAGACGCAGGTGGGCTATGTAAGATATCAAGATCACAATTTCTCGTTCATGTATAGTACATATAGTGCTGACGATTTGAAGTCATTGTTATTGATAACGTTGTGTATAACTGCACGGACTTTATAACAGAGCACCCTGGTGGAGAGCAAATCATCAAATCCTTCAGTGGAGCAGAATGTAGCTGGCAATTTTGGAGATTTCATGGCACGAAGGAGTTGGAAGACTATGGCAGGCCGTTAAGGGTTGGCCGGACCAAGGGGATTGCAAATAGATTTCAAGAACCCTCCAAGTATGTGGGTTTGCGTAAATTTGGAGCAGATGAATGGGATTAAAGCCACAAAAACCTCAGACAGATCTTGAAGCAGCGACTACAAGTTTTATGTTCACCTATTCCCATCATCTTGAAGTTCGAACACCCAACCAACAATACACTCCAGGGGCACAATTCTTTCAACGAGACCTTCTGACTTCTCCATCCGCCTCATCCAGATCCCGTATCACGCTCTACTAAGAAGGCTCCGTATACATAGGAAATACTGGAATGTTGATAGGAGTAATACCTCCAGCCCAGAGACCAGCCGTCCCAGCCCAATCTGAATCATTGTCAACAACGTCGCAACACACGAGAGTGTTTATACTCACAGCTAAGAACTGCAACCACGAACCCAAGAGCGCTCCCGGCTTTTTCCAAAGTGGAATTGTTGAGCATATATCCGCAAGCCAGAAGCAATAGGACTAGATCCAAGACAAAGAGATCCAAGAACAAAACCCAGGATGATCTGATTGCCGCCACGGTGAAAATAACCGTTAGGATAAACCAGGCCCAAAGGTACATGGCAAGAGCATTTGGGAATTGAGAATTCAACTCTCCAGTTGTGGGATCCGTGTAAGCTGCCAGTATTCCAGTACCCGGGATATATATCATAGCGTAAGATAGATTGAAAGCTCCGTACGAAGGAAACACCGTGGCGCCGAACTGAGAAGCTTAGTATCTGTGAGAGTAACGTTCAAGGTGAAGACTTAGAACTTACCGTGTTGCCGCTGACGAATTCCATTATCCCAGATATAAACTGGCACACACCACCGAAGAACATCAGAACACCGATGAGCAGATTCGGTGTAGCAACACCTCGAACTTGTACGCCATAAATGGAGATTAGGAAGATTCCTGCATTGTTTCGTCAGCTGGATGACCTCAAAACAGTAAATGAAGGCCAACCTGTGGCGAAAGACAGCAGCCCAAGGGGAGCTGGATTGGCTAGCCTTCGATGAACAACTGGTAGGGCAGGCTGAGACCTATCATCCGTATGACCTCCTGCTGTTTGAAGTCTTTCAAGTTGTGCTATGTTTGCTCCATTCGCATTTTCAATTTTTGATGCATGGTCGTAGGTCTGGCTGTGCTGTGACATTGTGTACTGCTGAGTTTGCGTGATGTTAAAAGCGGAATTTTTTTTCTCGAGAACAGTCCTAGAGGGAGGTTGTATAATAACGAGAAGGAATTCACTTCTTTAAGGAAGTCATGATGCTTGAAATGGCCGAGTGGCACTAACTCTTCAGTCGAATACAATGGTCTTCACAATAACCGAAAAAGAGGGCTACTGAGGCGCCAATAGATTCAAACTAGGAGTAATTGTCAAAGCCACAGAATCTGATACAGAAACCTGCAAATGAGGCCTATCCGCTCTACCCACATCCAAGTCTGTGCGGAGAAGTGATATTCGGCATCTCCCCCGTTCGCATTCCCAGGAACTCTACAAGCTTTCAAAGTCAACATTGTCGAGAGCCAGCAGGATTGGCTGCAGAAGAATTCGTGCACAAGGCGGGCTTTCGGCGAAAAAACATAGATTTTCTAGGCAGGGGCGAGGATGGAGAAGACGGAGATGGCGCGGAGATGGCGGACATCGCGGAGAACAACATCAATAGTGGGGGTTTAGGTTTCGCAGGGCTTGTTAGACTTGCAACAGCCAACGATGGAACACTGCGGGGCACATTTGTGAGCTCTTTGGTGGGGTTGAGCTCCAAAGTTCCAAAAATGTTTTCTCTAGGTTTGATTCTTGTCTTCCACTGTTGAACACATTTGTTCAGAAGAATTCTCTCATTTATCTCATATCCCCCGATTCTGAATTATAACATTCAATTTCCAATTTCAAACGGGTCGAGTCAATCATGTCGAGGAACGGCCATAACAACGGCTCCCAAGCACCGTATACAAACTATGTGGCATATAGATGCTCAAACCATCTTGGCCAATCTCGGATTGGACATCTTGAACTGGAAAATTCTACAATTCAGCCTCTGAGCTTTGCTTCTGGGGCACCTTTGACTACCCTTTACCAGGTATGCTTGTTCTTCTTCTCTCGCATACTCTAGATCTGCAGCTACATTTACATAAATCTTTTGGGCTGTCTTAGCCATTTGTCTCCATATGCCTTTATCGACTAAACACTTCAGGTTATCGAAATTGGTGATGCCAATATCAAACCAGCCGGCGACGTCATCCAGCTCTCTACTGTTCAACTCCTTCCCCCAATCAGCGGTCGAGACATTTTAGCTGTTGGCAAAAATTATTTTGAGCATGCCATTGAGTTCAACACATCTGGTTATGACTCTAGCGACAAGGTTGATCAGCCTACTCACCCAGTGATCTTCACCAAGAGATCCACAAGCATAATTGCTCATGGAGAATCAATATTCCCACATCCTGGATTTACCGAAACCCCTGACTATGAGGGAGAGATTGGTGTTATCATTGGCAAGGGTGGCTTCAAAATCCAGGAAGCTGATGCAATGAAGCATGTTTGGGGTTTCACTATCATCAATGACATGACAGCACGCGAGAGGCAAAGAGATCATAAACAGTTCTACATTGGAAAATCTCCCGACACGTTCTGTCCAATGGTATAGTGCACTCACTCTATTTCAAGTCAATCTCCTAACACAAAATCAGGGCCCCATAGCTGTTCCTGCGAGCAGTCTTCCCAAAACACTACGCGTCCAGACACATGTCAATGGACAGAAACGACAAGATTCCACAACAGATGATCTCATATTTTCAATTCCTTTCCTCATACAGACACTCTCTGCAGGCCAGACCCTGCAACCAGGAGATGTTCTTGCTACCGGAACACCAGCTGGCGTCGGGTTTGGACAAAAGCCTCCTGTTTGGTTAAAGCCAGGAGATGTTGTCGAAGTATCGGTGACTGGGCTAGGGGTTCTGAGAAATACGATTTCTGAACCTACCGCTGTCAACCAAATTATTGCTCGAGTTGCCAACGCCTCTCATATTCCAACCAGCAATTTGAACAAAACTTGCAACGGTGTAGGGTTAACAGAAGTCAACTCGAAGCAATTATACTATCGGAAATCTGGTGATGCATCGAAGCCTCCAATCATCTTCATTCATGGACTCGGAGGGTCTTCTGAGTTCTTCAACCCTTTAATCTCCTCTCTGGACCTCGATAATACAAATTCCCTTCATTTGCTTGATCTGGAAGGTCATGGCCTCTCGCCTACTTCAGCAAAGTCAACATTATCCGTTTCAAGTTACGCAGAAGACTTCCACGCGCTCGCGAAGCTGGCCAAAATTTCTCAAGCAACTATAATTGCGCACAGCATGGGATGTCTTGTCGCATTCACACTTGCCACAAAGTACCCAGAGCTGGTTTCGAAGCTGGTATTGCTGGGACCACCACCTTCCCCTCTACCTGAAGCTGGTCGAGCCGCATCGACTGCTCGAGCAGCCACTGTGAGGGACTCTGGAATGGCTGCAGTTGTTGATGCAGTTGTTACAGCTGGCACTTCGGCGAAGTCCAGGTCTGATAATCCAATCGGTGTTTCGGCTGTGCGTTTGTCTCTTTTGGGACAAGATCTGGAAGGCTATGCTAAAGGATGTACTGCTCTCGCAGGAGCTTCCGAAGCTATAGCTGTCGGTCAAATCAAGGCATCAACCTTGATTGTTACTGGCGAGGAGGATAAAGTATCACCCCCACCACTATGTGAGAAGTACGAAAAGGAGATCAAGAATGCGGTTGTTAAGGTTCTTCCTCAAGTTGGGCACTGGCATGTATTTGAAGACTTGAAAGGGGTATCGGATGGAGTTAGATCATTCCTCTAGCTTTCCACAATGGCCAGAAGGGGTGCGTCAATCTCCATGTGTGAGCTATCACTATGTTGATGTTTAATGTGAGACGAATTGCTCATAACAAGTGCTTGAGAGCTGTGTGATGCTTTTCTGGTGCAGTCATACATGTGATTTCGATGAACTACAACAACAATGCTTAACCAGGACAGCCAGACTCAGAATCCCCGAACGAGCGTGCGCCTTTGCAGCGCCACAGTAACTCACACCATAATCCCGACTAGTAATTCCATCATGTAATTGAACTTCCATTTGCCCGAAAAGACAGTAGAAAATAGGGTACAATTGCACTGTCTGTCCCCCACGTGACCCTGTCTTAGTCCTCCCAGATAAAGCGGACCATCCCCGCCCCCGACTTTTCACTTTCTGCTTAATTTAGAAGTATTCCAGCGAATATGGAGCAGTCTCACCCACAGACCACGACGTCCTCTCAACACATGAATCTTCACACGGCGAATATACGGCAGCCAATTAGTTGTGAGCCCTGTCGACATCGCAAAATCAAATGCTCCAGAACGAAGCCAATTTGTGAGACGTGTCGTCGTCGCGGCTGTTCCCATAAGTGTGTCTACAAGGGATCACGAGATGAAGAGGAAACTTCTTTCGAATCACCTTCTAATGCCGAGTTGTTGAAGAGAATCAGCAACTTAGAGCAACTCTTGCGGCAGCATACCAATGCCTCGGCCCCAAACGCGCCATCAGAAATACAGTTCGTCAACAGGATACAATCTCCTCCAGATGCTGGCCAAATATTTCAGCTCTCACCTGAGTCTCTCGTCTCCGAACCATCTACACAGCCTTCAGTCACATCCACTCAGTCATCAGCTCGGTTTGGAGTCTTGACATCGACTCCAGAAGGAGATGTTCGATACGAGCCGCGAACATCACAGTGGACTTCTGTCTTGGCGAATACAGCTTTGTCAATCGCGACTCCGAGCCTTGACGATGGGGAACAGGACGTGGTGCCCTTCGGATTCCCATTCAGCTCGACTCCGTTTACTTCTCTAGATGAGATCCTCTTACTATTGCCTCCTATGCAGCAATGCGATTACCTTAAGGATCAATACTTTACTGTCTTTTCTCCTGTAGGTGACGACCCTGATCCTTCCGAACAGTAGTAACGTTCTCCAGCTTTTTCATATTCTGCATGATCCCACTTTCAGCGATCAATATGCCAAGTTTGTCGAGGACCCCGCTTGTGCTCCAGTATCGTGGCTGGCTATCCTATTCGTCTTACTCTCTCTTGCAGTGACTGGACTTGAGGAAGATGATCCGATACTCCGAGATCTTGCTAGGGGCCAGAATTCTTGTGAAAACATTCGCACGTTGAGTCGGCGGTATCGAGAAGCAGCTATGAAGTGTCTTGCTAAGCAAGGAGTCTTTTGGGGCAAACACAACATTCAGTCCTTGCAAGCACTGATCATGCTTATATACGCAATGGGTCATAGCCAAGATCATACCTGGGTCTTACTTGGTAAGCTAGTTCAACTGCTTACACTCACCTGTTAACATTCCCAGGTATGACATACAACATCGCAGTTGCGCTTGCTTGTCACATCGACCCCTCATCTTTTGACTTAAACCCGATACAGTGTGAAGAGCGAAGGCGATGTTGGGCTGGTCTCATGATGCTTTACACCATTCAGAATACCGCTTTTGGGAACCAGGATCCCGCTTGGAAGATATCCAGTGAGGTCAAACTCCCGTCAGACGTGAATGATGATGCAATCACGTTGGATGGCATTCGAGAATCTTTCGCTGGACCGACACAAATGTCCTACTTACTGTTCAAATTTCAACTTTACACCATCACGGTCCAGATTTGCAATGAGACTTTCGCCTCCTCTCAACCCAGTCGAGCTAGAATCCAAGTCTTGGATCAGCAAATATGTCTTGCTCAAGAAAGTTGGGAGAATCGTTACCTTGTGGATACAACTTTCGAGGAGCTACCGCCGCATCATACAGTACATCTGCACATATTGCATGCCTACTCGCATCAACTGTTCCTCTTACTCCACAGACCTTTTTTTGCCCAATCGATTCTTGGTCTCGAAGTACCCAACGAATCTCAAATCCGATGCATTGCATCAGCCGAGGCTTTACTAGATATCCACAAGATTCTCTCCGAGACCCCACGATTTCGTCCCTACATGTGGTATACCAATGGTCTCGGTAGTTTTCACGCCTTTCACGCAGCTACTGTCTTAGCTGTGGCATTGTTGATGCCAATATATAAACCACAGTATCAGAAGTTTAAAAGAGTCCTGGAACAAACGATGAGCAGATTTGAAAAGCTGGCTGGGAGAAGTAAGATTTGCGAAAAGGCGGCGAAGATACTGCGATTCTTGCTGTGAGTGGAACGCGATTTCTACATCGTTTCAATACGGGCTAACATTTACACAGAGCTGTACCATCACCGAATCAAACCAGTACCTTTGATCTTCTGGATACTCATGGGTCCGGCCAGTGGACAAATTCCATCCAAATGAGATGTTTCACCGAACGTCTGCAACCAGAGCAGTGGCTTGCCCCCTCGACAATAGCCTGGGTAAGTCCCCACTGCTGATTCTCTGGTTGATCTTAAACTCATCTTTCTTGCAGTCTGAGTGGGATAACCTTATTCATATGAATCAAATGGATGGGATCAGTACATGAAATCAAATTATGGTAGACTTCTCAGAAAATCGTAGATCTTGGCTAGCAAAACAGGAGATGCTCCCAGGGCTTAATATCCACTTTCCATCTCCAAAAGCAAAATCTTGCTCGATGACGACGGATCCAAACACTCAACCTAGTTGCAGTCGGAATCTTTCTCGTCTTTTGCATGCCAACCACATTCTGGCAAGTGACCACTACCAGCTGCAAAGAGATTATCAGCGCCAACCTCGAAGACTCATCGCTGCATGACTCACTGGAACGGCAATTGTCGTCGGTATAATAGCCACTGTTACCCTTGTCATCAGTACTTGACTTGAATTCCCCGTCTCTACATTCCAAACGGGTGGATGGAGACTCACGGAACATAACATCCACCATGCCCGCTATTGGAATATTTTCTGGTGAAGTACCAAGCACTGTTCGTGTCAGAAAGCTATACAGTGACACAGCAGTATCCACATAGCTTGAAACTCACGAAATTCCTTCGATGGCAGTTGACTTGCACCTGACATAGCACTCGAAAGGAATGTTATTGGTATCGCCATCGATCTTCTTCACCAAGTCTGTGCCAGGTGCAGTCTTGCTAGGAAGCCACCAGCAGCCAACCCATGTAACGACATGGACGATGTCGCAGGACTTGTCACGCTTGAAAAGACCAACAGACTCTGCTTTGGAGTCTCGAGTGAGGATGTTGCGTGTCAGTGCAGGGAGATCGCGCTCAGTGTGAATATCGGTTGATGGACTACGGCCAGCGATGAGCCCGTAGCTGAGAGCCGAGAGGGGAACAACACATGCAATAATGGAGAGCTTCATGTTGTATTTTGAGGTCGATCTTTGAGACTCAATCGAGCAGTGATGATATGGAATGAGTGGAGAACAACACAATGTCATGGCGGCCTCCTGCCTTAAATGCTCTGTCTTGACAGCACGATGTTGCAGATCTGTGGCACAGATCAACCAGATATAGGCTCTTATGATGCATTGTTTTATATGCAAGCTTTCGGAGATCAGAGACGTTGAAGAGAACCTTGAAAAGTGTAACGTATCCTCGGCCTTGGGCAGTATTCGCTGGGAATGCTGTCGGGAGTGCGGGGGATTTTGTTACTAACTCTTCCTTGTTGACCAGATCAGTACTTGGTATGCCACAGCCATCATCCTTGCTATTTTACTTCGACCCCTGTGGCTCTCTTTTGGACCATTCCGATAGTTCATTGGCTGCGAAATGATGACCCAGATGAAAGGTCTTTCAGCTTGAGGCTCAACCATGAGCTAGCAACGACACAAGTGCGGACCTACGAATTCAACTCGCAGAGCTGAAGTCCAGGCCTTGATCGACCGTCTTTGGCGAGAGTGTTGCTGTATTGTGGCTGCTGCACTCCTCCGGCTAATGTTGGAGCTGAACATCTTGCTTACGAAAAACGTAGATCGAGCAGTGCCAAGTCATGCTGTGCTTTGAAATCACCAAATGATTTCTGCACCAATGAGGTGAAGAGTCTCCAATCTTGAACCAGGATCAGTTGTTTCATCCACGCAAGGGCGGCTCAGAGCAAGTTTGTTTACATTTTCCGTACAGGAGGCTAGTTTACCGAGACTACTGGCAGCGAACGTGATAGGGTAGCGGGGTGTGGCGAGATACCCCTGGACAACTATTCCATGATTACCTGTCCTTGGAGCATGAATGACAGTGACATGCCATGCAACCGTTCGTGTTCTACATTTGCATCTCTTTCACTTCTCAGTTCATTCTGTCGTGATCAGGGATCGTGATTTGAAACGCGAGCCCCAGTAGTATCAAGAAAAAGAACGAGTCAGAAACAGTAAACCAGTATGCCTACTATTGCCGAATTATTTTCTTACCAGGTACCATTCTCCAAGTGACTGTGTACGATGATTCGATCGAGAACTCGAAGGACTTATGCCACCATTCAGCCTCACTCATGGAGACCTTCAACACCATCCGGAACGTCTATCACAACCGAACGATATCCCCAACCTCCGGCACAGCATGCACCAAAACCCCCGTGATCTCCTTCCAAGCCTGTGCCTGCATCCTCTTCCCCTCCGGACTAGTAAGCACAGGCTTCGACCTCCTGTACACTTATCAGCACAGTCCACCTCAAAGCTTCATCCGCGCTCAAAGTCAAGCTCAGAAATCACTTACACGTCATACTCCTCCCTCGTCAACATCGGATTCCTAAACGTGCCATGCTCCTCCTCCTTCGTGATACCCATCAACACCAGCGATCTGGCACCCACGTCCGCAGGATTACAGCGGATATACATGAAGAGCATCGCAACTAGTTTGTTGAAGAAGCCTTTATTGGCGAAGTCTCGGGCGATGTTGGTGCGGATCATGCCTGGGCAGACGATGTTGATTATTGGAGATGGTCTGCGAATACAGGTGAGTTAGCATAAATAAAGAGGCTTCCAGGTTCGAAGAGCTTCCAGGCTCGGGAAGTAACTAGGAAGTGCATTCATACCTCCCATCCTCACCCACCGCCAACCTCGCAACCTCCAACGCACCGTACTGAAACAGCAATTTCGAAACCGCATAATTACTCATCCCAGACACGAAATTCTCCTCCCTATTCCGACTCTGTAAAACGTCCTGTTTAGAAAATTTACTTATGTCAGGAAAATAATGGGAGCTCGACCCCACGAAACCGAGATGTTGAGGTTTCTGGCCGGGCTTCCTAATTTCGCGGAGCCAAGGGATCATGAGGATGGCGAGGAGGAGGGTGGAGAGCACGTTGACTTGGAGGGCTTGTTCCCAGCCGTTGGGGGAGAGGGTGAAAGAGAAGGGGTGGACGCCTGCGTTCTGGTTCCTGTCAGTTCTGTAATCTGAGATCGAAAATCCGGGCTCAAGGAGGAGCAGGAGCAGGAGCAACGTGATCTTACAAGCAAAACAACATCCGCCCTCCTCACACCCCCCCTCCCCCTCAAATCTCTCATAAACCCCACAACCCCCTCAAAGGTATCCATATCCAGAACCCTCACACTCACAACATCCTTCTTTCCAGTCCGCTTCTCAATCTCATATTTCGCTTCATTGCCCTTAACTAGTGTCCTAGCTGTGATGAGGACAGATTCCGCGCCGAGATTGACATAGTGGATTGCGGCTTCGAGACCAAGACCGGAAGTTGCGCCGGTGATGAGGATATGTTGGCCTGTGAAGGAGAGGGTGGTGGGGAGGGTATCCGTTGCGGTTTTGTTGCTGGTGGAGCTGAACAGGCCGGTTAGGATGGCGTGAAATAGAGTCAGCAGGCTGCTCATGCTTGGGGTTGGGATTGGAGATAGAGACTGATTATGTTGTGACTATCTATGTCTCGTGAATTTTTTTGGAAGAAATTCTATTTCTTCTGGTTGGGAAATGATGGAATAAAGATTTCTGGAGAAACAAAATTTAGGTGTATGAGTCGATGAATATATTTCCAAGAAATGGTGAGAAAGAAAATCCAGCCCTATCAGCCGATTTGCCACCCATGGTCCAACATCACCCCGCCTCCAGGCTTCCTTGTTTATGTTCGTTTGTTTTGTTGTTACCTGTTTTGGCTTGGATAGCCTGATTGGTGATTCCGGGATTCGGAGAGTTTGGTTCGCGTCTGTCATCCATACACTCCATCCTCTCAGGCTGTGATGTGGGGTTGGACTGGGGTGCTTCTCAATCTCAAGACAAGATTAGGTGGCTCTTCATTATTTTTTGCATTTACCTCGGCCTTTTTATCAGGTCAGGGGGATAGTAATAATTTGCAAGACGTATCAATTTATACTTCCAAACTATATGCTAGTGAGATCAACCGACACTTTTGCCTCATCCCCCTAGAAGAAAATCCCAGAGAACGTTAATCCAAGATCCTGAATCCGAATACAGTCCATATCTCAGGCACTCAATCTGCGCGGATCGAGCAAAGGTAAGAGAAGGGTCCTTCGGAGCGGAAGTACTTTTATCCTTGGAGCGCTAGACTCTTCTGGTATCTAGCCTGAGTGCCTGAGGTAGCGATCCTACCTGTGTATCAACAAGAACAGCTCACTATTGACAAATTCAACAGAGCAACAGATTCGACAGTCTCTAGCATATGCATCCCGAATGCACTAATAGCCGATGCATTAGTGCCCCTCTGGTCATGAGGTGAGGTGAATCACGCCTGATTGTTTATTGCTTTCTAACATAGGGAGCCTAGGTACCACCGCGGAAACTCCAAATGGACAACTCCATTCAATATCCGCTAGGAATCAAGCGTCAAGATGTGGTGGGACTAGGCATCACAGCATTAGTCGCCCGTCTTGATGCTGTTATCAAGTTCGGCCGGCGTACTGAGCTACCATTGCTCGAGAGAGAAAAGTGCATCTATGAGCGCCTCGGAAACGATCACGATGGGGTTCTCCGATATTATGGAAACCTAGGGGACGCTCTTATCTTACAATATGCCTGCCATGGCTCTGTAAGACAATACTATGCCAGCCAAGCCAAGCCGGTGTCGCTCTCACTAAAACTTGCCTGGGTTGAACAGATCACAGCTTCGGTCGCTTTTATCCATTCCAGAAATGTGTTACACGGGGATATCTCCTGTAACAACGTCATGCTCGATGAAGACCTCAATGCGAAGCTTGGCGACTTTGCTGGGTCTTCGGTGGATGGACAAGATCCTCTCATATGCTATGAGACCAGTCACGAACATCCTGGAATCATAGGTATCTCGACAAGAAGTGAGCTCTTTGCTGTTGGTTCTACTTTCTATGAGATCATGACAGGATCCAAACCATACAAAGAGTTGTCAGATACGGAGATAATCCGTGCATATAAAGAAGGGAAGTATCCAAGTCTGGTCTCTTTGGCCGCGTTTAACGAGACTATTTATAAGTGCTGGACTCAAGGTTATGCAAGTGTGGATGAATTATTAGAGGATGTGAAGGCCGAAGGTATGATTCCTCAGTTATTGAGCTGCCCAACACTGGCTGATAGGTCCTAGTTACTACCAAGTCCAAAACTATGGCACCATTTCAACCCTTTGCATTCCGTCACAGCACCGCATTCCCAGTCGTCCTTACTCTCATGTCCCTGCTTCCTATATTATTCTGGGCTAGACACCGTCGTTAAGTGGTCTATGTCTTAAGGTTGCTTTTAGCAAATATTCAGGATGACTTAATCGGCAAGATCATACCTCTGGAAGCTCAGGCGGACATTGAGGACACTCTCCTGGCCTTTTCGATGACCCCATCACAAGCACCTTACCACCTTTCCCTTTAGCTGTCGACGCATCGGCGCAGTAATGACCATTTGCTTTGGCTTTGTCGCATTCATCCCAATCGCGATTAAGCTGAATGTGCTTGGGGTCGGCTCTGCATTTACTGAAATAGTACGACTGGTCAAAGTAGTGACACATCTATTGGATATGAGATTGAAAGGGTATGAGGAAGTAATTTTGGTTTGTTGTACATTAACCACTCCGAGGTGTTTCTAGAATGTAGTTTTCAATACACACGGCAGACTTCTCCAGCTATATACCGTGAGTGAATTGCCCTTTACGGTCCCAATTTAGGCACCGGGAGCTTTAGTGTACTTGATTGGTTCATAGTGTTATTACTGGAGATATTGAGTAGCTTGGGGCAAGGTAGACATCATGCATTAGAATAATATGCAGGTAGTTACAGCGCATACATACGCCATGCTGATATAAAGTGATCTGCGAGGTTCCTACTTCTGCCTTGTTGGTGCCTGCCTCACTTGCGGCAAGCAGCTCGACTTATCAGGCCCTGACAATTTAGGCGTGCTACATTATCAACCAGCGCCCAAGAGTCCTAATCCGTGCAAGGATCTCTTATCTTTACTCCTCTTGTTCTGCAGAACCAACAACTTATAAGCCACCGACTGGTATGTGCAGCGCTTTACCATCTCCTTCAGAAAACCTCTGGCAAATAGCTGTCCTGGGCTCTCGCCTTACTACAAAGCGGGCCGATACGCCCTCGCTGTGTGATGACCAGTTGGGAGCTTGTGAGGGGTCAAACTTGCATATCCTGACCTTTTGCGCATGTCATCGAAACGGTGTCCAACCTAAAGGCTGCCCTTCATCTCTCCCCACGTTCTGGGGGAGTCTCAGGCACATAACAGCTCCACTTACCGTACTCGGTGACAGTGTTGATTGAAGGCCGGGCGAGGAACAAGCGAGAACATGCACTTCACTCTTTTAAAAAGAAAACACACCAAACCGAACGACGAGTCTTATTTTTCTCGTGCAGCAATATACCGTATGTAATTCTGTACACATTTATCCAAGCTCGATGTGTTTTCAGTTCATAGCTCTTGTAACTGTCACTGTTCTTAAATAGCATTGGTGTGTTTTTCAGCCCGGCGATCGAAAAGAAACCACACCGAGTACCTATCCTCGGCACTCAGCACCCAGCACCTATCAGCAAGGGCACTCTATCCAAGCCCCATATTCGCGCATCATGATGGCTCAGTCGAACTGTACACCAACAAAAGAAAAGAGAGTCACCTCTCTGGCAAAGATTGATGGATAACCTCCTAACCCTGTCAAATTGCAAGCAAGAGATCAGAAGCCATCCAAGGAAAGACATTTCCGAGTATCAACGATGACTTAGTGATTCTGCCCAACCAGCTCTGCCAATAAATAGACTTTATTCCTCTCCCCCCCCCCTTCATGTCGAGAGGCAGCTGTTTCGCAGTACAGCGATTAGCATCCCCCCCCCCCCCCCCCCCCCCCCCCCACCCCGAGATATTCATCAGATTCGTGCTCTTAATTGGTTTCCGAGACAAGTGCCGGAGTTTTTTTGGAATACCTTTCTTTGGTTTGTGAGATTGTGCGGTAGACAAGGATTTGTGATAGGAGGAAGAAGATGTCTGAGAATACTTCTGCTTTTGCGTTTACCAAGGCCGTTCACTCATCTTGGTGTAGCTATCTTATGTGTGGGGAGAGCACCAAGGCCAAGTATTGGCAATGACCGGGTCGTGTTGGTTTTTCACCTCGGGTGCCTGAATATCCTTGGAAAAATGTTGGTTCATGAGATTCGGGTGTGGGCTGCAGCTTGCAGGAACGGTACCTTGCTTTCTGTATATGCCCTCCCAATTGGTGCACGGAGGATGGCAAGTAAAGCAATAAACTATCCACGGAAAGAGATGACTCATAACGACTATCATTTATACCTCATGTTAATAAAATAAAGTAAACATAAACAAATTCTGTAAACTTTTGCCTCCACCCCCAGAAGGAAAAACCCGACAAACGCCAATCCGAGATACCGAATCCCAATGCATGCAGTCTATACACTTCTTTCTCTTTCACTAACTCTTTCTCTTCCCTATCTACTCACCAGCTCTAGCACCAGTCTCATCTCCCATTCGCTCTCTACTCTACGGCGCCATAACCAAAGCCAACAAAGCCATGCGAGTGTACAGCCCATATCTCATCTGCATCTCATTAGTCAAACCGCGTCTACACCATGGTAGTGGAAGGGGAACAAACCTGTCTAAAATACGCCGCCCTCTGATCGAAATCAACCTCCTCGCCAATCTCCTTATTCCTCGGCAACGGATGCATAACAATCATCGTACTCTTCGCACTCCTCAGCATCTTATTATCGACAATAAAGCTATCCTTCAACCTCTCATACTCCTCCAGATCCTCGAAGCGCTCCTTCTGCACGCGGGTACAATATAGTACATCGCTGCGGGCGACAATCTCAGGTGTGAGTTCCGTGCTCTCGACGACGAGCTGGCCTGGCTTGGATTTGATGAGGTCGCGGATCTCGGCGGGGATGGCGAGGGCCTTGGGGGAGACGAGCTGGATGTTGACGTCGTAGTGTTGGAGGAGCTTGACGAGGGAGTGGACGGTGCGGCCGTAGCGGAGGTCGCCGGTGAAGGTGATTGTGAGGCCGGTGACGGTTCCGAGTTCTTCGCGGATGGTGAAGAGGTCGAGGAATGCCTGGGTGGGGTGTTCCTTGGCGCCATTGCCTCCGTTGATGATGGGCACTGGGGAGAACTTGGCTGCGGTGGCGGCGCTGCTCTCTTCTGGGTGGCGGAGAACGATGGCATCGCCGTAACATCCCAGAGTGCGGATGGAGTCGGCGAGGGACTCGCCCTTGACGGTGCTGGAGTGCGATGTGGTGATTGCGACAGTTCGTCCACCAAGTCTCTGCATCGCAGCATCAAAGGAAGCAGATGTGCGAGTAGATGGCTCGTAGAACATGGTCATGAGAACACGACCCTTGAGAATGGACAGGACTCCCTCTCTCTGAACACCAAGACGCATCTCTTGTGCTACAGTGAAGAGGAGATGAAGATCTTGACGAGTGAACTGGTTGACGGACAGGACGTGTTGGTTTTTGAATGGCGATTGACCAAGCAGAGACTGGAGAGATGGCGAGATCGTAGGTTGAGGGTAGAGTGGTGGTCCAAAGTCCTCTGCAATGGCCGAAGTATTCTTCGGTGATTGAGCAGGAGCAGATGCCCCATCAAGGAGCCGAGCTCTGTTAGCTGCACGCATAGCAGGAGCACCAAGCATTGAAAGTCTTCTTCCATGAGCGCTGTCGGGTCTTGGCACCATCGAAGGAGATCCAACGGCTTTGACCAGTGGAGATGCAGGAACTGCCAGGTGAGCATCGATCAAATGCGACGACATGTCCTTGCCGTCAGCACCATCATAGCATGGCTCGCCATCTAAGCAAGCTGTCTTTTCCTGGAAGATGACTCTTTGCACGGATCCGCGAACAGTCTTTCCAACCAATGGAGACCAGACAGATCCCTCGGAGACGGTGTAGGGACGATCAATTTCGATCTCGACGGAAGCTCCGATTTGCTCGTGGAGCTCGAAAATCTCCTTGGGGTTATCATGAAGACGTGCCTTGATATCATCCACAGTGAGTCTGCCGTCAGCCACAGCTGTGAACAGAAGTGGGACAGTATCAGCAATACCAGTAGCAGCATTGGATGGTTGCTGAGCAGCAGTGGCGAGTTGGTATGGCAGACTGCCAATAGAGAAGACATCAATGATGCTGATATGTTCCCAGAGGGCCTTTTGGTCAACGGCAGTTGGGAGGAACTTGGCTTCTGGGAAGTCGGATTGAGAGAAGAACAGCGAGTAGACTGACACATCACAGGTGACCTTCAAACCCTTCTCCTTTGACAATGCGATAAGCTTGATATCATCCTTGGTTGTGACGCTGGTGACGTGAATCTTTCGGCTGTGAAGACTGGCAAGGAGAAGAATCGAAGCCAAATCAGTCATTTTCGCATCAGTGATAATTGGCTTGAAGCTTGGCCATGCCTCGAAATGTGCAGTCATTGCTGCAACCTTACTAATATTGTCCGAGAGATGATTGAATGGGATGAACAATGATCCCACCTCTCCAGTGACTTGGCTGATCTGATCGGCATTGGAAGATGTTGCTGCCACTGAGAAGTTGTAGTCGCAACTAGCTCCACGCTTGCTGTTCAGCTGAGCAGTCTTCAAAGCACGAGCGTCGGTGACCGATCCCTCAAGACCAAGAGGCATGATGCGGACCATTGTGAAACCAGCTGCAATGGAAGCCCGGGTAACAGTTTGGAAGTCATGGCTACCACGTGTGGCAATCCCAGGAACAAAAGCAGCAATGTTGATGAGACCTGGAAGAACGATGGTTCGGTGACTTGTCTGGGCATCAATGGAGCTGATATCCATGTCAAAGTGGCGAGCGATGGCCTCGATGAGGATCTTGGCATTCTTGACATTGGTAACCAGAGGAGTCTGGTAATCAACAGCCATTCGTCTTGTTCGGTATCCCTTACTCATGTAGTTGGCAGGACGTCTGTAGCGATTGCTGGAAGGGAGATTGATGTACAAGTCAATCATGTTGTTTGCAAGATGCTGTGTCAAGGAGTATTCCGACTTCTGGTCATCCTCATCCTCTCCAAGAATCTCAAGATATTGAACTGGGACATCATGCTCTTGCAAGAAATCGGCCGTACCAGCAGTTGCGAAAAGCTTGTAGCCCATCTTCTGCAAGTTGATTACAGATGGAAGCATTTCCTTCTTGTCCTTGTACGAACCGATAGACAGGAGGATATTTCGGTTTGGCAACTTGAATCCAGTAGAGATGAGTGCCTTGATATATGCTTCATACTTGTCAACACCGAAACATGCAACTTCACCAGTGGATGCCATCTCAACACCAAGAACAGGATCCGCGCCAGACAGACGAGAGAAACTGAACTGTGGGACCTTGACACCGACGCAGTTGGGTGGTAGCTGAGTTGGTGGATACTCGAGGAATGGAACTCCCATAATCGCTTTGGTGGCCATCTCGATCAAGTCGACTCCCATGACCTTGGAAACGAATGGGAAAGATCTGGATGCTCGAACGTTACATTCGATGACCTTGATGTCGTTGTCCTTGGCGATAAATTGGATGTTGAAAGGTCCAGTGACATTCAGAGCATCACCAATCTTGCGAGTGGCTTCTTCGATACGTCGAATAGTGGTAAGTTCCAAGTCCTGAGGAGGCAGAATGAGAGTAGCGTCACCAGAGTGAACTCCGGCATTTTCGACGTGCTCGGAGATGAAGTGGCCAACCATCTTTCCATCCTTTGCGACGGCATCCATTTCAATCTCCTTTGCGTTCTCAATGTACTTGGTGATGACAACTGGATGCTCTCGAGAAACCTCAGCAGCCTGCTGAAGATACGCCTCCAAATCTGCCTCAGAGTAGACAGTGTTCATAGCTGCACCAGAAAGAACGTACGACGGACGAACAAGAACCGGGTACGAAACCTTGGTGCAGAATTCCTTAGCTTCCTCGAAGCTGGTCAACTCCTTCCAGGTAGGCTGATCGACACCAATTCTGTCAAGCATACGAGAGAACTTGTAGCGGTTCTCGGCGGTATCGATCATTTCTGGCGAGGTACCCAGAACCTTGACGTTGAGGCGGTGAAGAGGCAGAGCGATGTTGTTTGGAGTCTGGCCACCCATTGCGATGAGGACACCGCTGGAGGTCTCGAGTTGGTAGATGTCAAGGATTGTCTCGAGGTTGATATTCTCGAAGTAAAGACGGTCTGCCTCGTCGTAATCGGTACTCACGGTCTCGGGGTTGTAGTTGACCATGACGGTCTTGAACCCAGACTCGCGGAGAGTGCGGATTGCTCGGACTGAACACCAATCGCTGTTCCATGTTAGCATTGTATATTATGAGCTCGGGAGAACACTTACAACTCCACACTGCTACCAATTCTGTATACACCTGATCCAAGAACCATAACACCGTGGTCATTGAAGGTGATATCACTCTCTGAACCATTGTAGGTCATATAAAGATAATTCGTGAATGCGGGGAACTCAGCAGCCACAGTATCGATCTGCTTGACAACTGGAACGATTCCAGCCTCAATTCTCAAGCGTCTCACAGCCAGCTCGTTGGAAGACCAAAACTTAGCCAATTGACGATCACAGAAACCCAACTGCTTAGCCTGACGCAGCAAATTGGGCGTGATAGTGCTAGCATTGAAGGTTCTCATCTTGGCACCAAAGTCGTTCAGACCCTTCAGTCTGCTCAAGAACCACTTGTCAATCTTGGTCATCTCCCAGATCTTGTCCACAGTGTATCCAGAGTGCATGGCATTTGCAATGGCGAACAGACGCTGGTCAGATGGGGTTTGGAGCTCGTCATCGATAGACATGAGAGCCTTGGTGTCGTTGAATCCAAGGTTGTGGAAGTCGATGGCTCGGATGGCCTTCTGGATGGCTTCCTCGAATGTTCGACCGATACTCATGACTTCACCAACACTCTTCATGGAAGATCCGAGCTGCGTGGAGACACGAGTGAACTTCTTCAGATCCCATCTGGGCATCTTGACAACGACGTAATCCAGAGAAGGCTCGAAACAAGCGCATGTGACTTTGGTGACCGAGTTGGAGATCTCGTTGAGTGGGATACCCAAACCAAGCTTGGCGGCGATGAAAGCCAAAGGATAACCAGTAGCCTTGGAGGCGAGTGCCGATGAACGAGACAAACGGGCATTGACCTCAATGATACAGTACTCCTTGGAGAATGGGTTGAGAGCATACTGAATGTTGCACTCTCCGACAACACCGAGATGGCGAATGACATTGACTGCTGTAGTTCGCAGCATGTTGTAGTCTTCATCGGACAGAGTCTGAGATGGTGCGACAACGATGGAGTCTCCGGTGTGGATTCCGAGAGGATCGAAGTTCTCCATGTTACAGACAGTGATACAGTTGTCTCTGCAATCACGAACAACCTCGTATTCGATCTCCTTCCAGCCCTTCATACTGCGCTCGATTAATACCTGGGGACTGGCAGCGAAAGCCTTGTTGCAGAGAGCGACTAGTTCCTTCTCGTTGTCGGCGAAACCACTGCCGAGACCTCCCAAGGCATATGCGGCTCTGACGATGACTGGAAATCCAATATCCTTAACAACACGAAGGGCTTCTTCAGTTGTGTTGGCCGAGGCGGACTTGGCGCACTTCTCGCCGATGGATTCCATGCTCCGTGCAAACAGCTCTCGATCCTCAGTTGTGATGATGGTTTCAATTGGGGTTCCCAGGACTTTGACTCCCAGTTCTTCGAACTCATCTCTAAGTTGAATACCAACTTGAAGAGCAGTCTGACCTCCAAAAGTAACGTAAATCGCGTCTGGTCTCTCGTGAACAATGACCTTGCGGACAAACTCGGCGGTAACAGGTAAGAAGTACACCTTGTCCGCCAATCCCTTCGAGGTCTGAATAGTGGCGATATTGGGGTTGATCAAGACAGTGTAGATGCCTTCCTCCTTCAAAGCCTTGATAGCTTGACTTCCAGAGTAATCAAACTCTCCTGCTTGCCCAATACTGAGTCCACCGGATCCCAAAACCAAGACCTTCTTGACGTCAACCTTGGGGTTTAGTCTAGCGTTCTCCTCGGCGTCTCCTCCTGGGAAGTGAACTGCCTTCAAGAGTAGCTGCGTGTCTTTCAACGTGCTGACCACAGTCTGGATGAAGACATCGAAGAGAAACTCCGTGTCGCATGGTCCAGGAGTGCTTTCGGGATGGAATTGCACACTGAAATATGGTCTGCTAATATGACGAATGCCCTCATTGCTGCCATCGTTGGCATTGACAAACAACTCAGACCAGTCATTTGGCAGAGTGTCTGCGTCAACAGCGAAACCGTGATTCTGGGATGTAATGTGACATTTTCCAGTCACCATGTTGGTACAAGGGATATTGTGTCCACGGTTTCCAAACTTCATCTTGAGTGTACTTGCACCAGCAGCTCTTGCAAGCAGTTGATGCCCCAAGCAGATACCGAAGATTGGTGTTCTGTTCTCGGTAATTGCTTGGGAGATGTGCTTGACCGTCTTGGACATCATGGCTGGATCACCGGGACCGTTAGAGATAAACAGACCATCATAATCCTTTCCTGCGAGAGTTGGGAAGTCATAGTCCCACGGGCAGACCAAGACTTCCACACCTCTGCGGAGTAGGCATCTCAGCTGATTGTATTTCAGACCGACATCCAGACACAATATCCGTATAGGGCGTCCGGAGGGGTGCTTCAATACTGTGGATGGAGCGGGGGTATATAGCTTTGGTGCGCGGATCGAAACTATGTAGTAACGACGTTAGCCCCGAGAACTTCCAATGCCACCCAGTGTCGTTTCAGGAACCTGTGCAACTGAAAGGTAAGCTTACCATCCGCAACCAAGTTTTGGGCATTTGGGTTGACCCAGTCAATTGTCTCGAATGATGCCCTCCAGTTCTCGCCAATTTCGGCGGCATATGTGCCATTGATCAACCCATTAGACTGGCCGTTGGAGGAACCCTTCTTCTCTGCCAGAAGGCGACCGAGCATGCTTCCCTCCTCTCGGATGCGCTTGGTCAATGCTCGAGTATCGACACCGTAGATCGCTGGTACTCCTTGTTCTTTCAACCATGTGCCCAAGGAACATGTTGCGAGGTAGTGGGAGTAATCCTCTCCGGCGTACGAAGCAACAACCATTCCAGCAATGTGTATTTGGGAGGCTTCGAAATGCGCCGGCAGATCCTTGAGAAGTTCGTCCATGGTTTCCCTTGATGGAACACCATAGTTGCCGACAAGAGGGAAGGTAATGACCAGTATTTGGCCGCGGTAGGAGGGGTCTGTGATGGACTCGGGGTAGCCCACCATGCCGGTCTGGAAGACCAATTCGCCAGCAATGCTCTTGCCTTCTGCTCCGAAGCTGTAACCTTGATAGACGGATCCATCCTGGAGCTCCAGAGCCATGAGGCTGTCCCCATCCAGCTGGGCCGTCACCGGGCGGAATTGTGCAGGCATTGTGACGGGATACGGGATGTCGCGTAAAAGTTTGAGGACTTCGGACTTGTCGCGGTGGAGGGCCTGCAACGCGATCCTTTTTTGTGCTTTGTGCTCTCTGTATATTCTGAAATTCGAAAGTCGCGTACAGGAATCAGAACAAGGGAGAGGCGGGTAGAGAGGAGAGAGGAGGAGAGGAGAGGAGGAGAGAGAGGAGGAAGAAAAGAAGATGGAGTTTGCCTCGAGACACGTCCGGGTTGGGTTGGTTAGTAGAAAAAATCAGAGCGGGAAAAAGGTTGATCCTGTGCCGGCGGGGTCGTAGAGCTGTGATTGGTCAGATCATGCAGTAGCGCCGATTCAATTGACTTGTGCCTGCAGATTTCCTCATGGCCAATCGCTACCTCGATAGCACGTCACTGAGGCTGTATGAAAGCATAACGGTCGAGACGGTGCAAAAAAAGCTGTTTTACACTTTTATAATGCCTGCAAAGGGAGGGAAAAAAGAGAGATGTTTACTAATGGTTGCGAGTCTAACCTGGACATGATACCTTTCATACAGTCCGATATAAGCGCATAAATTTTCAAAGAAGCTTGAAAGGATGATATTATTAGCTGTCTGCAACAAGGCTGACGGGATAACAACAACAACAGCCTTGCATCTTTCACCAACAGTGGGGGAAACTTCCCAAAACCCGAGTGGATAGCTCGACGTTTGAGATGTTCAATATAAAAGGGTTGTCACTGTGGATTGGCGCATATTTCTGCCCACACTGCCTTACCTCGGGGTCATGCTTATCTTTTCTAGTAAACATCTTCAAGTTGTCATATGTGGTACGCGATGCAGATGCAGGGTCCTCCCGCGCAATCCAAAGTCGCATTCCCTCGAGTACCACAACCCCCTCTCTCCAAGCAGTGTCACCTTCACATGCCATATCGGTAAATCAAGGCACACAGTATATCTTCACATCCCATCTCATTGCATTGCATTGCATTGCATTCCATTCAGGTTCCATTCCACTGCATCGAGTCAGCTGAGACTCTTTATCTCTGCAGCGCAGTTAGCGGTGAGCGATTGCAAGTTGCACGCCATCCAATGATTGGCTGCGACGCACTCAGATCTCCAAGTCCTTGCTGCACTCCGCATGCCTCGATTCATAATGGCTGCATCCTTTTCCTACAACGTGCATAATCAGCATCATCATGTGCCCGTCGCTTGCGATAAGCAGTCGATGTCATCCAGTTTCGAGGCATTTGTGAGGCTATTCCCACATTCTGTCCCCAGCGGTGAGTGAGAAGGAAGAGGAAACAGGCCTGCAATTACGAATAATTTCCCTTGGTGATCGGCGAGAAGGCCGAGGTTGAGCCAGCCATCGCACCCATATTTATTTCCCGGAGTTTTATTTACTTTGCTAGGGGTCCACGCACATGTTTACGCCGCTTGGTCCAGTTTGCTCTTCCATTGCGATGCCATTTTCTCTCCCCCACTACACCAGCATCAATTCTCGTTGATTGTCCGTAGGCAAGAAGGCCTGGGAGGTATTGGAGGAAGGTCCTATTCGGTCGTTACACAAATATGTTGTCCTCGCTTCTTCGACCCAAGAAAGCACGTCGACGCGTTGAAGAGTCGCCGCTCTTCTCTTCTCCGTACGCTGGACATGCCGCTGCAGATTTTACCGAAGACGATGAGGAGGACGAACATACAGAGGAGGAGGATAATGATGAGGATGATCATGGAGACGAGGAAGAGGAGGGAATGAGTGAGGGAGAAGAAGGCGAGGATGGAGATTCGCATTCGCCTCTTCTGCCAATCTTCTCCGCTGCGCATCTAGGTTGGCAATTTTTATTACTCCATACCGCGAACATCTTTGCCTGCGGTGATGTTACTTTGCTAACCTTTGTATCCTGCAGATGCTCTGCCAGTGTACAATCTCACGCATGCCATTCGAATCATCATCGTCCCCAGAACCGAAACCACATTGACATGGGACCAGCTTCGATCCCCCCAAGTCTCCCAATTCCTCGTCAAGCCGATGCAGCAACAGATACGAACATCCCACTTCTCTCGAGCGACCCTATATGCGTTGATGGCGAACTGTCTACAGTTCCAGAAGGAGAGTCAGGCAAATCCAGGAAATGCGGGCACCAGTCGAACAAGAGCGATGGTGTGCGAGCTGATCGCAATCAAGTTGCTCAAGGAATACAATACTCGAGAGTTGATCGATGCGCTATCATACGACTTCTTCCCGCTACAAGGACTGGCTACACCTGTTTCAATCACATCAGGACCAAATGGAGGGCCAAAGCCGAGACCTGCTGCGGCTAGGATCTCGACTTTGGAGGTAGCTATCAGAGCATCTGCAAAACGGTTTCTGGCACATCCTCTTGTGGTCCAGCAGTTGGAGGCTATATGGGCAGGGACTATTGTTTTCCATTCAGCCGCAGACAATCTTCATCGAACACAGCCTGCAACACCAGTGCCGGATCTGAGACGGGGGGCAGATGGGAATACACCGCTGATCAAGGTATCAGACCAGCAGGGTGGATATGGATCAATGCATTCGCCGAAATCTCCAAACAAGGCAATGCTGCAGCATCAAGAGCAGGCTGTACAATCTAGGAGGACCGTTACTCTCTACGACCCAAGAGATGCTTCACTGTTCAAGCTATCGAGACTAAGAGTTCCTCGATACCGCCAATTCTTCTCCACCTGCTCCTTATTCATCCTACTCTGTCTCTTCGTAGCGGTCCTAGCCCAACGATCCATGGAAATTACCACCCTAGAAGTCGTCTTCTGGTTCTGGAGTGCAGGATTCATGCTCGACGAGGTCGTAGGATTCAACGAACAAGGATTCGGTCTCTACATCATGAGTTTCTGGAATGCCTTTGATCTGGGCATTCTTTTCCTGCTCTCAGTATACTACTGCATGCGTCTGTATGGAGTGCTTCTAGTCGGCGTTGGACGACATCAGTGGAATAGCATGGCGTACGATGTCCTGGCTACGAATGCTATCCTGCTCTTCCCTCGGCTGTTCAGCGTCCTGGATCATTACAGATACTTCTCACAGCTGTTGATTGCATTCCGGCTTATGGCGGTCGATCTCGTTGCAGTGTTCGTCCTGATTCTCATCGCTTGCAGTGGCTTCTTCGTTGCTTTCACGCTGTCCTTTGGTGAAGATGAGTATGATGCTGCTGGTGTAGCGTACAAGATATTCCAGATCTTGATGGGCTTTACTCCTGCTGCTTGGGAAGCCTGGCCGACATACAACCCGCTGGGAAAGGCACTTTTGGTTCTCTTCCTCTTCATCTGTCACTTCTTGGTTGTTACAATTCTGATCACAGTTCTTACCAACTCGTTCATGGCAATTGTTTCGAATGCTGACCAGGAGCATCAATTTGTCTTTGCTGTCAACACGATTAGCATGGTCAAGAACGATGCCCTGTTCTCTTACGTCGGTAAGTCATTCCTCGCGTTGCGTGCTGGCACGATGATTGTCTTCTTGGTGTGGCACGTTTGCTAATCGTCTTTGAAAATAGCTCCAAGTAATATCTTTGCATGGCTTCTAACACCTCTGCGATTCATCATTCCGTTCCGATCATTCATCAAAGCCAACAGAACTGTCATCAAAGCCACCCATTTCCCACTTCTCTTCGCCATCTATGCCTACGAAAGAGTGTTTCTGGCTCGCTCTGTCTTCGAACCCATGGATCTCGTCGAAAACACAAGCCACGGTGGAAAGAGACTTGTTTCCTTCCAAGATGCCAAAATGGCGTTGTTCAGTCCCAGTGTCCGACTTCGGCAGGCTTCCGTGGCTGGTGGGTATCAGAATGACAATGCTCTCGATGAGGTCTTCAGACTTGCTCCTCGACCAGAGACCTTACGAGCTGAGCGTAAGCACTTCGAAGAGCGACAGACGCATAGTGTTGTCAACAACTGGATGGCGGAAGGCGTTGATGCAAGTCCGCCTCAAGAGCAGGATCGCTCGATTGTGGACAGACTTGAGATGAGACGGAAAGCAAGAAAGGCAACTCCTCTAAGACAGCGTGGTATTTCCGGAACCAGATCAGTCGCTAGCGACCCGGCAGAATTCATGTCCAGAGCCGGATTTCATGATTATGGTACTGACACCAGAAATGATGATGCTCAAGAAACTGAAGACGATGGGGATGATGAGTTGAATACTCATGATGGTGAAGAGCTAGAGAAACAGACAACACGATCCAGGAGCCATGGTGCGACGTCATACAAGCCAAACGAGAATGAAGATTATTTCACTTCGGATATTCCAAATCGCATGACCGCACCGGCATTCTCCTCATCCGCTGCTTCCTCTCGGAAACACCTGGCCCCACCCAGAACATCTCCACCTCAACAACGCCGTTCTCACGATCGAACAATGTCAACAGGGACAATTCTCTTCAATCCCATCGAAGGCAGTCAATCCTCCGCCTCACCACCCAAATCTCGACCCCTGACAGCAAAGTACCGCTCCACAACCAACACAGGCACACATACTCCCACTGCTCTCAGCGGCCATCAAACCCCCAAGCCATTCCACAGCGGCCTCCCCAAGACTAAACCCCGCCCCATCCTACCCGGCCGACAAAACTTCCAATCCGTCCCCAACTTCAACTTCAACCTCGACTCTCAACTCACCGGCCCCGGTCCTACAACGCAAACCCGAACCCGACAAATCCGCCACCGTCGCTCCAGTCTCGACATGGGCATGTCAGACATGGGTCTCGACCACAACGCTCCCGGGAATCTCGGCGCAGTTCCCAGCTCTTTCGCTACACAAATGGCGATGGCGACTGGGGGGTTGAAAGCCTTTCAGGGGAGTAGGAGTAAGGAGGCCGAGACGGAGAGGATGATGGGGAGGTTGATGCTGGCGAGGATGAAGACTCTGGAGGAGGGGTTTGCGGAGGTGGTTAGGGAGTTTAGGGGGATGAGGACCGCGGGGAATAGTTCTGTTGAGGGGGAGGGGGGGAGTGTGGGTTTGGGTGGGGGTATGGCTGATTATGGTGGGAGGAGGGAGAAGGGGAAGGGGAAGGGGAGGGAGAGAGAAAAAGAGACTCTCAGGCAGACACAGCCGGAAAAACAGAGGAAGCGAAAGGGTCTCCTGCCCAGATCGACTAGCGAGACGGATTTTGCTACTATGGATAAAGATCGGGGGAGGGGTAGGAGTGGAGAGAGGGGGGAATTACCGCCGCATGGTATTAGTGGAGGTGGAGTTGGAGGTGTTGGAGGGGAGAATCAGCATAGACAGACGCATACACCGGAGAATGAGATTCTGAGGAGGTATGTCTCGAAGGGGAGTTCGTTGTAGAATGGTTTGTTTGGTTGGGAGGGTGGTTGAGTGATTGGGTGTGGTGTGGTGTGTTGTACATGTTCTGCTGCGTTGTGTTATGTTGTGTTGTGCTGTGTTGTGTTGTGTTGCATTGCATTTCCTGGCGTTTTGGTGAGTGAGCGGGCTGGTGCATAGGCTGGAAGTATTTGTTTTTCACCGCATGGCACTTGGGTCTGGATATTTGATTTTGATATTTGTTGTTTGGAAATTTGAGGAATTGGATTTTGGAATTTGGTATTTCGGATTTGATTTTCGGGTATTTGGAATTTGGAATTTGTATGTATGTAGATAATGTTCGGTGGTGTGTCATCTGGTGAGATGAATTTGAGGTTGATTTTGAGTTTGAGCAGACAAGTAAGCAAGCGAATATACCACTCTGCGCCTTGAGGTTTTGATACCTTCACTTCATCTCTACACTACCTGATTGCGAGTAGTATTACTGTCACTTGCTAGAATGAAAGCAGCTGCTTCAACGGAAGCTTCAGTAGACTGTATTTTCTCAATTACGAGTACCAGCATGTGACTCGAGCTGGGTGGTATGATACGACTTGATATCGTAAAAATCTCACGATCGAACAATGTCAACAGGGACAATTCTCTTCAATCCCATCGAAGGCAGTCAATCCCTCTGTATATACCTGCTAGCACTTTACCTCAATTCTATCCCCTGCTCCTTGGACTCGCTCCTCAGACTCACTATCATCGTCAACATCAACGTCGGCACTGGCGGACAAAGAAACTTTGGGGGGCCAAAAGGAGTGTCTCACAAGATATTATTTATTACGACGGAGCAGAGCAGAGCAGGTTAGGGAAAAGCAGAGTATAGCGGAGTAGAGAAAAGTAGAACTGGGCTTAGCGGAGTAGACCGGAGTAAAGCAGAGAAGATCAGAGCGGGAGAAGATTAGAGCAGGGCAAGGAAAAGCAGATTATAGCAGAGTAGACCGGAGTAGAACTGGGCTAAGCGGAGTAGACCGGAGTAAAGCAGAGAGTGGACTAGATGTCTGATGTCGAGGCGGAAGAATGGCAATGGATTACAATGCAAATACAGGTATATTGCCCTGGTCGTGATATTGTGACATTCGTCTGTTTGGGTGGTAAGATGGAAAAGACGATTTTGATAGGTTGTGTGAAGTGTGGGGTGGGACATGTGAAGTGTATTGTTTACTTGAGATTAGTAGGGGATTGTGCGGGAAGAGGGGGAGAGAGGGGGAATGGGAAAGAGAGGGGGAAGGAAGGACTAGGGGTCAAGGGGAGAAAGGGAGAGGGTTGATTGCTTGGTACGATGTATTCGTGTAAATACAGTCCCTTTCAATGTACTTTCGAGGTATTCAGCTCTAGATGTGGTATGCGAGGACTGTTCGCGACTTCCTTTTCATTTGATTCTTGTGGTCTAAAGTATTCCCCGGAGCTTCTCTACATACAACTAATCATTTTGCTTAGGCCTCGAAGGAAAAAAAAAAAAAAAGGCAGCGTCTGTTGCCTTTTGCAAACAACTCCCAACTATTCCGAGACTAACGTTGAAAAGGATTGCATGTTGCAAAGAAACTAATAAAGGGGTGTCTGAAGCATTGAAATTAGAACCGGTATGATTTTACATTTCTTCCGTTGATCTTCTTCTTTTCCCTTTACTCTGCTTTTCGGTCGACCTTATCAGTGGGGGCTATGGTATCATGATATCATGATAGTGATGATCACGATATGTGAATTGCTGTAGTATCTCCTGAGGATACGTTGAATCGAGTTTGAAATTTATCAGGGTCATGATATGGTGGAAATTACAATTGGTAAGATGACTGACGTACCTTCCTCATAGTTAGGCAGTAGAAGGACCGAATGGGAGGCATGTGCTGATTATTGTATAAAAGTTTGAAACGAAGACTAGTGCTTAAGAAGAGAAGTAGAGAGTGAGGAAATAGATACATAATCAAGAGAGAGAAGGGTATGACTTGGAGAGGTAAGTGATTACAGGGACTGTAATCTAGCACCAAATCACCAACTCAAATCCTTAAGTTCAATCAAGCTACCTCAAACACTCCGAAGTTCAACAGAGATGCTGGAAGAAGGACAAGGCCAAGGTAGTGGCCAATTCAAGTGTTTGCGGTAAGTTTAAGTATCAAGGATGCTCGGGAGGTTATCGAGCTTACTTTGGATTTAAAGCTCTACGGCCGAAAGATGGATATCAATGAGGTCAAGATGTTTGCCAAGGCTGTGTAGAGGTTAGGTAGTACACTACCAGAGAGGACTCTACACTTGCTTCTTGCTTCTTGCTTCTTCCAAAGGTTGAGACTATGGATATGATTGGTAGCTCACTACTAGCTGGCTCTTTAGATCGCTGGATCGGGGAATTACACCTGAGACAGACATTGTTTTTCAGACTAGTAGATCGGTGGAGGGATCGGCCGAAGAATAAGCATAAGACACGTGGAAGGCCTGTCCGATTGCTTGGGGATGGAGATCTTGCCTCTGGGGGCATTAGGACTGCGGAGTTTAATGGATATCGGAATGGTAGTCAAACCGGTGTGGCGATGAAGATAAGGATTTTGAAGGTTGACGGACGGCCAACTTTGTTCCATCAACTAGCTTGGCTGTAGTACAGTACGACCAAAAGGTCGTCATTGATGTGGACGGTGAATGATGAAAGCACAGTATTTTTTGGCTTGAAAGATGGCCTTACTAATCCGGCCACAGCAGAAGAGGAATGTTCCGCTTGAAGTTTTCTGTCACATCATTGGATTGAATCTCGATCCGAGGAGATAACGTGATGCCCCTGCGAGCTAGCTATGACACAAATCTACCGGTACCGTACGAGTTTGTCCAGCCAGATTCCCATCTGACCATTGCTTTTGGCACACCACTCACAAGCTGGCAGCTTGCCGTCTCCAAGACTAAAACTGCAGTACCCCTCACTACTCACGCAAGCTTCGAGCTTTCAGGAACTAAAGATTCCGTAAGCTCGCCGCGCTGCACGTGGCCCAGTGAAATGGCATTGTTGGGATTTGACCGGCTGTAAGTTTTCGGTCAGGCACCCGAGCTGGCTTTGGGAAGCGAGCGGACCTGCTGCAGGTTAAGATTCGATAGTTTGGATGGGACGCATGATATCAGATGCTCTTGGTTGAGGCTGAGATGCAGATTTGAGGCTAGGAATGGCTTTAACAAGCATTGCGTTTCTTTTTCTGGCTGGGCCGATCTTATTGGTTGCTTTTTTCGATACTCTTGAATTCTGCCGCCGGGCAGTATTTGTGATGCTCATCGCTACATTGCTTTATTTGATATGGTTCATATATAATGTTTGGCCAACACCAATGTGTTTCATCTCTTTTTCAAAGCGGTGTCCAGGCCCTGAAAAAGCACCTCTCAAGCCATCTTCAATCTATGAATCATCACAACGCCTCGACATTCTGCTTTCTGATATGGCTGTCTCTAGCTCAACAACTACGTCTTCTAACCGCCTGAATTTGGAAATCAGTCAAAGCCATCCAAGCCCTACTGTCCCAAACAATCATGCACCAGGAATACAAACATGCCGGCCGGTCAAAAGCCAGCTCGTGATTGACTTCTGCAACGCGCAGATAGAAACTGCCAGTGGTCTGAGAGCTCTCTGGTACCATGCTCCGCACCCGCCTAGCATGCGGAGAAAAATGTCCAAGTGGTTCCTCGGATCTTAAACCGAGCCTTAGCCAGGCAACGGGAGATATTTCAGGCTACATATGCAGGTCTAAAGTCTTTAACTCTCCGACTAGATCAACCATGATGCACTTGCTGGGAACTCGGTTCTTCTTGACGATACAGAGTTCGAGAAATCAGCCTAGTCGTCCCGTATCTGCAGTTGGAGGCGGGGTGAGGACTCCTAGCGTAGATCTATTCTCCTTGCCAAGGCCCGACCCGCTTTAGTGCTAAGCGATAGTCAACAAACAACTTTGGGTCGAGGGGATGCCAACCACGCTCTGGTTTGGCAAAATAGCCTCGAAGATTGGAGTGTTCGTACTGGCACTTTTGATATACACAGACTATCATTATTAATTGCGGGAGTTGGTCGGGCAATGCTCAAGTGATGTCAATGGAGGGGTTTCGGAGAGCAGAAAGAAGCCATCTCACTCTTACGCGATCGTTTTTCCTTATTGAGCTTGGCATTTCAGCCGCGTTTATCACAAGCTTCGAATCTGAAGCCACTGAGTGTTGTTTTGTTCCGATATGGCCTAGTGGAGTACGCTTCGAGTAACACTGGAGGCTCAGAGAAGGGGAGAGTTTGCCTTATTTTTAACCTTATTCCAATTATCGAGCTGAGTAATCTGATAATGGGGTTCGGTACATTCGAAGCCATCTCAACAACGGAAAAAGCTAGGATACGCCTGTTTCCTCTGTTTTGGAATTTCCTGTTGTAGGCATAGTGATAGCGTTGTCTACATGGAAGGAATTCTCCAATTTTCTCCAATTTTGTCCATTAGTATGCTTTGACTTGGTGAGATGTAATCTGAGATGGCACAGGTGGTCGGACTGCTTAGTTTGCTGCAAGTCTATCAGCTAATGCGTTTCTACGTCGACAACACATACATTTCCACTGTTGGCTCGTTGACATCCTATCCTATCATGTAAAGACCAAAGATAGCTTCGACCTGACAACTTGTTGGTCAAATCATATTGCATATTTGATATGGCTTAATGCATGTTGCGATAAAAAGCAGCCCAAGTACAGCCAAAGCAATGGCCCCTGGAACTAATGCACCACTGAATTGATGCGAGCAAGTTTAGCGTTGAGCTTGCCCATCTCTAAAGATGATATTCGAAAGTCTTAGTCAAAACTACCGGTATGAAAGTTGCTTTTGCATTGGACTGGTCAAAACAAGATTAATTTACTCTCCTTCAAGTATATAAGGGCCTCTTCCTCTCCCACAAGAAGACTTCTTTATCTCCAACAACAGCTTCTGATAATCACATCTCCACACACACAAAGCCCCATCCAACATCATGCAACTCACACACCTCCTCACTGTCGCTCTCTTGGCCATTGGCGCCACTGCTCTGCCCGCTCCGGAGCCCGAGGCCGCCCTCGAAAGCCGCACTCTCGGTCTCCTCAAGTGCATCAAGGGCGGCGGCAAATACGACTGGCACAAGCATACTTGTACCTACCCACAACCGCAGTGCCCATACGGCCAGCAATGGTACGACTACAAGAACAAGTGCGACTATCCTCCATACGACCCACCCAAGTGCTACCAACCCGAGCATGGCTGGTGCTCCAAGAGCAAGTACGAGTACACCTCATACCGTAAGTTGAACCTCTCCGAGTGAGCATATGAGTTTCTGTGGCCATCTACTGACCTGTTGCAGACAAGGACCATGATTGGTGCAAGAATGATGGACACAACAAGGTCTGGTGCTCTAATGACCATGATGCTCCGGAGAAATGCAAGACGCAATACTACTGAGTGGAGTGTTGATGCAAGGAGAAACGGTGGCTGGGCGTGAGTTGGGGGGTTGACACATTGAAGATGGTTGAAGGTCAGGAGATTGTTGTCACGGGTTGCCAGGCAGTAAAATATAATTAATGTTTTTTCTTTTTTTCCATATTCGTACACGATGACCTTCATTCGCCAAAATTTTCAATATCGACCTTGACCTTTTTCCTCAGAACCCGTCTGTTCCGTAGACAATGAGTAACGTTCTAACCTGTTGAATATCGTCACCCTCGCCGTACATTACACCAATCCTTTTTCATCGAGCACTGCATTCTTGACACATCACACGGATAGGTCTATTGTGAGATTCATAAGTCTCCCCCACCCCCCCGATTCTTGAACCTTTATTGTCTTGCGAATAATTTGTGTCTAATAATCATTCCAGATTCGAGGGCAGACTGACAGCCTCGCAAGTGGGATCCCTACATTCCCCCGTGCTTAGTACCTCCTCGTTCCTCTTTCCCAAGCCCACTCTCCACTCAACTTTTCACCACCTTTTAACGTACCTTATATCCAATATGTTTTCCGCACCTCTTGTCTGCAAATGCTGACCTATTCACCGGCTTCTACGTGCGAGTCTGGAGGCATGGCAGGGCAGGTCCAGCTTGCAAGGAGTATTTGTCGTTATCGATATTTTTTCCTGTGTGTCTTGACGAAATCAGCTATATAGAGCGGACGAGAGCCACTATGATTCCTCTACATTTTGACTGCACTTGCTTGCGCAGTTAAATCCCCAGACGGGTGATCCGTCTTTTCAATGTTGTATCCCCGTTTATTATCCTTGGATCTCAGCTGAAGTTGAAGATCACGAAATCCGGTGGTGGATACTGCTGCGACGCCCTAATTGTGGAGAAACTGGTTGGCTTTATTCTTGGACAGAGGGTCTCCCCTTGCGCCGATCACAGCCATTCAATCCTAAGAATACGTTTATCACATCATGTCAAGTTTCGGCGTGTGTTGGTCCTCAACCTTTGATCGTTGACAGTGGCCACAGGTTATTGACAGGCTTGTAGATATCGTTCGCGATGGTTAGTCTTTCATAGAACCCATCTACATCTAGTCCAGATGACATACCGCAATTTTCCCGTCTCTGCAGACTGTTGACACAGTGTCCTGTCGCTGTCGGCGGAGTTTACATTACAAGTGTGCGAGTGGCTTGTGCATTGCTATCTTAGGATCTGCAGGAGTTTTGTGAATTTTGATCAGCTCTCGCTGCCGCTTCCCTACGAATCCGAAATATGGTGATATTGCTACGGTTCTGATCTTCTCGGTGTTCGGATTAAATGGACCAGCAACAGGAGAAAGAGCTGATGGGACGATGATTCGATTGTAGTTGATCCTCCTGGGAAGAACGGGCTTTGCATCGATATCATCTACCATTGCTTCGAAGGACCACTCCTACCATTATCAACAAAGCAAGACATAGTAAGTTCGATAATCTTTCCTCCAAGTTAAGTCTAGTCTCAATTCTCGTGTCAGCGAGCTCAATGCCAGCATCAACTTCGACTATTCAACATTCTCTGACGTTTTCTAACAAATTATGCTCCTCTTTAGCAAGTCTTCGCACTCCCACGCGAGAATGGGCTGTCTAGTCCACGAACAAAGACATCATTATTCCAGATAATAATCTCAATCAAAGCACAACTTATCAAACATTCTGTCAACACGGCATGCTCTCCGAGCATAAACGGTGACTACAGCAGGCAGAGTATCAGGATACAGAGTTGCACTCTGAGAAGCCGCCAGAGACTGTGACCAAGACTGCGACCATTGTCAATGCCACGGCCGGTCCTTTATCTTCTGCTTCTACCGCATATTTTACCGTATCTGGTGGGTCTGTTCGTACCTCACCCCCACCCCCCTCCAAAACTTCCGATGATAAATGGTGGGTGAAGTGGGCCACCTTCGTAATCGACCAACGACTCGTCAAGCTAACCCCGGCTCGTCGTGACCTTTACGGGACGGGCCACATCTCATCCGATTACTACTGTATCTACTCACTACCTGTGTACAACCAGGGTGTATGCGAGATTGATCTGGATACACTAGGTGTACCGCCGTACTTCGGCTGCGTCATGCAAAAATTCTGGAAATTTCTCGACAGGTTCGGCGCATTTTAACTTTTGTGTACCCGCCCGAAGCCACCACGCGTGGTCACAATCACTTCTACTATCTTCCACTAATGGCTGGCGAAACTCGCACGTAATGTTCCTCAATTTACGCGCAACATGGTGGAATACTTGAGATGTTGTCACGTCAACGACAAATTAATGGCCAAGACAGAAACAAGCAAACGGAAGGTGGATCATTAATTGCGAGAAATGACAGACACATGTTCGCTCAAACAAAGTTTCCTTTCTGTCCCTCGGTTATATTGACTTTCAATATGAGTCTGATTACCGAGACTTGAACCAGAGTGTCGTCACGTCCCTTCTAACTTATCCTTATTCTAGCAGTCTGAAACTCATGGTGTTTCACACGACCGAATCTCTAGAGGACAGTAACTACACTCGCCTTCAGCTTTAACTTTCTTCAGAATGAACCTTTCAATGCCCAATTCCAAGATGGGGCCGCTCGTTCTTTTATCCGTCGGAACCTGTATCGATCAACCCTGCACATGCACGTCAACACCGAGACTACGAACTCGCTTGCTCAGCCGATGCCAATGGTGCTCTTCGCTTAGCAGCACCCTTGGCGCAACTCTAACAGATGAAACGTCCTGAACTTGATACCATCTAGAAAAGTCTATGCTGCGACAGCCGCAAAATAAACTTTCCCCAGAGATGAAATCAGACGAATGCGCCAAGCCCCACTGGATCGTCGCTATGCTGAAGCCTCCGAGTCCCGGCAGTGGGCGGCGCCCGCGCGATCCATCCATAATCGACCTCCTAAGGTATTTATCTTCTCCCATCCCCGCGAACCTTTAATCCGATCTTCTTCTTTTCCTCTCCAGAGTTTCAGTTTCAAGTGCATTTGTATTCATCCGTCCCATATCACATTCTTTGTTGTATACATTCTTTTCTTCCCACATATATACATTCATTCATTCATTTGTACAATTTTCCCCTAGGCGGAAACTATTCTTTTCAAAATGGGTTTGACATCCACTTACGCTTCTATCCTGGCGATGGCCTCTATTGCTGCTGCCCAGAACTGCCCTCTTGCGTTCGACGGGCGAGTCCCTGCTGGTAGTGATGCGGCTTTCTTCGATACCGATGCCAGTCCTTTTGGCACCGACTTCGTCAAGGGCGCCAACCTGACATTCGGCCAACTGATCAAGATCCCAGACGTCGGGACCTCGCTTGTGAGTCCTTATTCCCCCATATATATATCTACCCTCACGAAAGGGAACTTTATTCTAACCTGTAAACAGTTCGACGCAGCAGGCAACACAATCGCCTACGAAGTCACCCTCTCCGACCAATCCATCTTCGCCCCCTCCGCCGACAACGTGCAAACCGGTTTCCGCCGCGCCGAACTCCAAATCGACACCAACAACGGTTCCGACGACTCCACCCTCGGCGTCAAGACCCTCCACTTCACCGTCCGAAAAGATAACGCCCGCCCTCTCAACACCTCCCACGAGTACCAGCTCGTGTTCCTCGAGGATGCTAAATTCAGCACTAACCAGTTTGTGTTGAAGACCGGCACGATCGCCGGGCAGCCAGCTGGTCAGGATCCGGATTTGTTGGTCTTGGTGGGGAATGTGAATGCGAACCCAGTGGTGAACTTGTTCAACGCCAGTTTCACGCCCGATACATTCCACAACTTTGGACTTACCTTGGATTTTGACAAGAAGTATGTTTGGCTCTATAACCTGTGTACAACTATTGGGGATTTAGGATACAATACTAACAAGATAAACAGCACAACCACAGTCCTTTACTCCACTGACGACTCCCCCCTCGCAGTCGTCAACGGCCCAGTTACCAACGATATCAGCGGACAAGGCCAATACCATTTTGGTGCTCTCAAGAAGCCCTCTGGTGAAGGCATCAAGGATGTCACCAAGGAGGGATTCCAGCCTGCTGGTATTGACGAGGGCGTTATCTACGCCGGACTCTTTATGGAGGATAGCACTGGAGGCTGTGTGAGCTTGGATGCTGCTGGTGCTGCTGCTGGTGCTGCTGGTGGAAATGCTACTGGTAGCAATGCTGCCGGTGGTGCAACTGGTGGTGATAAAGCGGCTAAGAAGCCTGCTGCTGGGGAGGGCTGCACTTAAACTGGTTGCAGTATCAAGAGGGGGGGGGGTTGTTGGGCTAATGGGAGGGAGGGGTGAGCTTGTAGAAAGAGAAACAGAATGCATAGACTCCTTGTAGCATTAGTTTGGACTCGCCGGCCTGGTAGGAACGTGTGTAAATATTTACAGCATGAAACCTCATTTGCATTATTCTTCTGTCTTAAGAATTTCGAGATGTGAAATTCGATGTGGAAAGATGAAACATGCTCCTTCACACTTGGACAGGTAGGGTCCTAAGGTTTTAACGTGGAAGAAGAAGAAAGTGAAAAAATCAAATCATCGACCGAGAGAGGACCTGGAGCACATCCAAGGACCGCATATGAACCCCTCATGCCGCTAGCCTTTAGTTCATTTCTGGTGCCAGGTCCCTGGAGAGTATTGTAAACAATATGATGGCATCTGACTTTATGTACCCTGTGAAGTTTATCGAGTAACTGAATATCATAACCTTGACAGACTAGCCAGTTTTGACGTGTCTTCTCCTGGGCTTTTACGCGACCCGGAGGTAAGCAGTGAGCATTGTGAGGTTGCAAACGGCGATGGAAGACAAGACTCCTGGTTTTACGTTGATCTATCGTGTGATGTAGTCGGCGTGGTGAATAATATTTATCTTGTTGACAGTACCGGTCACTATTCTGTGTGAGGTTTAAGATGTGTTTGCTCTCTTGTAGTGTGTAGTATTACTCGGGTGGCAGGGTATCGATCGAATCCGAATCCGAAAGAGTGTCGGTACAGCTCCCCCTTTTCACTGCCGAAGACGGACCCAAAGATTTTCCACTTACTCTTAAACCCCACCAAGATTCTCGAAACAAGGCACTCAAGGTACCTTTGGACGCTATCCCAGTCCCCAAGAAAAATCCTTTCCGGCGATCTTCTACGCTAGAAGCTGTCTCGCTTAGTGTCCCCCCATAGCGTCTCCAGCGTGTCAGCTTCCCCTCAACCCATTCGTCCCACGCCTCTCCTCTCCCCCGCACTCCCACTCCTCCCCGCATCTCCAAGGCCCCAGTTCCTGAATTCAAGCTTCCCACTCTTCGGGATGGCCAGTCAGATCTCTGCTTGGCCATGGCGGACTCGACTTCATTCGGACCTTCTGGTCTCCAGCGGGTCAGCCAATGTTCGACCATGACGTCGCCGGGCGGGACAGAATAGTTACGAAAGACGTTGTCATCCGATGTTTTGGCGTTATATGAAGGAGTTGCAGGGACCTGCCTGTCCATGTTCTGTGTTGCGTCTGTTGATAATATTATATCAATAAACAAATTGTCAATCGGAAAACATGCTCGCTAAAGGGGTCATTCTCGTGCTCAGTGGTCTTGCTGGCCTGACTCTGGGCCAGGCGGCGGAGGAACTAGAGCCTTGTGGTGATGCCTTCTATCTGAAATCCAAGGTACATCAACTCTGCCTCCAATGGCGTAGAACACTGCCTCACTCATGATTTACAGTACACTTGTTATGATACCGACTTCCTCTGTCCGGTTATCAATGGCGAGCCAACTTTGCGATGCGGACCAGATTGTTACCTCCCAGAAATGTACTCGTAAGTAGCAAGAATTATTCACTAAAGACCAAGTCACCTTAATAATCTGATTCAGATGTACCGACAATCATCTCGTCTATTCCCCATCATCAACAAGTCCAGGCACACCAACATCTTCTGGCTCGGTTCCAGGAGCAACCTGCTCTACCGAAGCAACGACACTGGAGCTCGACTCCTTGCCTTACAGGAACTACTTCTACTCAGACTGTCATTCAGCTTCCCAGGTAGTCGTAACATCTCCAGAGCCCAACAGCAATTTGACAGTCATCGGACCCCGCATCATCGTCGCCTGGCCAGGTGGAAATAGTGGTATCATCGTGTATTTTGAGCCCGAGAGTGGGGTCAATGGAACTTTGGGGATCAACTTGGTGAACACTACCGGCACTTCTCCACTCTCACCAATTTATGACGATTCGAACGGAGGAAATGCAACTGTCGGAATCAGCACTCAAGTAGAGTTCAATGCCTCCGCTGTCCTTTCGGTCACAATCCTAGGTAGTATCCGGACAATTCGAGACTTTGTCGAAGGTCCAAGTCTGCTTCGAGATGAAATCCAAAGCGCATTAAATTATTCCAGCACCGACAATGGAGTTGAAATTAGCAGACTTTGGCTGGACAACATCACCACCACGACGATTTCGCTGAGCAGCGGAGACCAATCTATCAAGCTGGACAATACAACCGTGACAATCCCAGCTGGCACGTACACCTTCAACGCCTCCTTTGATTACCCTCAATTGACTGGATTGAGCGCGGAGGAAGTTCTCAGCCCAACATCGGCAGATTTGATTACTCAGTCACCTGATCAGACGACCTCACTTTCCTTCCTTTCGTACACGACGAAGCTTATAGCTGGAGCTTGGAGGTTCTTGACGTATTTTGGACGAGATTCTATGATAGCTGCGTTGTTGCTTGAGCCTGTTCTTAGTACAGGGGAAGGCGGAGCATTGGAGGCTGTCATTGCTGGTGTTTTGGAGAGAGTCAACATGACGGATGGATCTGTCTGCCACGAAGAGACTATTGGGTGAGAATAATCTCACCAGTGATTTGTGCGGAAACTGACTAGAGCAGTGATTATGCGACATGGTTGAATCTACAAAACAACATCACCAGCACGGCTCCACTTTGTGATTACAAAATGGTAAGCGAGATCCGAAGGCTTGAAGAACGCCATCCTGACTTGACAGATTGACACTGATTATTTCCTACCTGTTTTGATGGAGCATTATTTCCTTCGCAATGCTGAAGGCTCATCACGAGCAACGGAGTTTCTCAAGTTAGTATACCCAATGATGCTCGAACATCCTCGCTTACCATTCCAGGACAATGTCAACCATCTTCCCCGAGAACGCGAACCTGACATACGGAGAACTCGCTCAAATAAGCGCGAACAAAGTCGTCACATCATCCGCTCCATTTGCTGCATCCGGTAATCAGACAAAGGATAATCTCATTCATCTCAAACCCAACGAAATCGTCGGCGAGTGGCGAGATAGCACCTACGGAATCGGCGGCGGCAAAGTCCCATTCGACGTCAACGCCGCTCTCGTCCCAGCAGCTCTACGCTCAATCGCCAAGCTCGCCACAGCCGGTATACTCGACTTCAACGCCACACTCGTCGACTCGTACGCTCAAGTCTGGGAAGATTCCACCTTAGAATTCTTCGAGGTCTCAATCCCAGCCGAGACAGCAAGACAACGAGTCGACGCTTACGCCTCATCGTCCGAAACGTCAGGGCTCCCATCCCAATCTTCAAGCATCGACTCCGACGTGACATTCTATGGTCTCGCACTCGATGGAAATAACAACCTTTCCAACGTTGCAGTCATGAACACGGATACCTGCTTCCACCTCTTCATGCTCAACAGCACGAACCAGTCACAACTTACCAAGTTCATAAACGCCACAGCTAACAGTATCCGTCTCCGTTTCCCAGCTGGTCTATTGACCGACGTGGGCATGCTAGTCGCCAATCCCGCATACGGCGATAACCCCATCTACGCCGCGAACTGGACCACCAACGCCTACCACGGCACGGTGGTCTGGTCCTGGCAACTCGCCATGATGGCGAAAGGACTCGAGCTTCAACTCGCTCGCTGCAGCTCGACTTCCATCCCAGAATTCTGTACCGACACCTCAGTCCATGATAATGTCAAAGCAGCGTACAACGCGCTCTGGGATGCGATTGATGAGAATAGCGAGCATTTGAGTACGGAGGTGTGGAGCTGGACGTATGATGCGGGGAGTGAGAGGTTTGAGTATATTGATTTGGGGCAGTTGCCGCCACCGGCGGGGGTGAGTCCCACGGAGAGTAATATCGTGCAGTTGTGGAGTTTGACGTTTTTGGCTGTGAAGAGGGATGAGGGGTTGCGTTGATTGGGTGGGTGGGGATTCGGTGAGATTAAAGGAGGGAGGAAGAATGAATGATGATGCATAGGTTGTAAAGGAAAGTTCATCTTATGTCTAATCATAATCCCATTGTCTTATTTTCTGTTCAAGTATCTCTGTGTATATACATTCCATCTGCTCTTCTACCTCATATGTACAAGCTATCTCTACCGCCATCTCAGCCAAGCCCAGTCCAACTCATCACCCAACTTCAATACGCATGTCCACCCTTCGCCCACGTCGGCTTCAACGGCGGCTCCGCATTCTTCACCAACTCCACCGCATAATCATTCCACCACAACCCCGCCCTCGGGGCCCCCTTCCCCTCAATCATCGGCCCACACGCCCCATCCGACTCCCCCCCAGGCTTCGCCCAAACAATACTATCCACCAACTCACTGCCCGTGTCCGTCGTCGGGCGGATACCAAACCCAGCCCTCACATTACACCACTCGCCCCACTCCGTCCTGGTATTCTGCAGGCCGCTGCGGCCCTGGTCGATGATGAAGTGTGCGGGGAGGGAGGGGGAGGCGGCGGCGAGGTGCGGCGCCAGGGATTGTGCGTAGTTGAGCTCGTCGAAGGAGTGGCTCCATTCGGTGTAGTTTGCGCGCGGGTTGGCGATGTAGGGGTTGAAGTTTGAGACGTCGGTGGCGAAGCCGCGGATTTTGGCGCCGGCTGTGAGGTTCTGAGCGAGGGAGACGACTTTGGCGAATTCGGCGGCGGCTGGGGTGGATGTTAGGAGGACGGCATGACTTGTGTTAAGGGAGTGAAGAAGTGGGATTGTATCATACCTTTTGGGAGGTTATCGTCCCATCCTAACCATCCACCATGTGCGGCATCGATGTAGAGATGCACGTTCTTGGCTTGTAACTTGGAGATGGCGTATGCAATGCCCTCCTCATAGACAGGCGTAGCTCCTGCACAGAAAGGAATATTCTGGTTCGTGACAGCGTTGCCCAAACTATCCGGCTCAAGGATGATAGCAAAAGTCAAGTCAGATGCAGCTTTCACAGCGGCAGCATAAGGATCAACAAAGGTTCGCTTGTACAGCTCAAGACCATTGTCCGCCGATCTGAACTCTCCACCTGATTCACCACCGGAGCAGTCACGATCAGGGAGATCGTACAACACTAATTGTACGATCTGCTTCTTCTTTGTGCGCTTCTGCTCTGCTCGGGCTTCCTTGACTGTACTCTCGATGTTGGAGAGGCCAGCGACGGAGGCGACCCAGACAAAAGTACCAGTGTTCTGGACGGTCCGTGTTCGTGCCGCGTTCAGAGTATCGTTCTTAGCGAGGAAGGTAGCGATGGTCTCCTTCAGCTCGCTGGCGTAGAATGAATTTGCGAAATAGTTCTTGCCGAGGAAAGGGTTGACATCTGTGGTGTTGGGTTTGATAGGCCATTTTGGAGCGGCTGAGACAAAGGTAGCGCCTGTCAAGGCTGTAAGGATAGTAGAGTAAAGCATACTGAAAGGATTGTAGTGAAGAAATGAAATGGCGATAGACGAAAGGAAATAGTTTCAGAGCAGCACATCGATTTTATATTTATATTTGCGATCCAGTACTCTGGAGCAGTACTTCAAGCACCTCATCTTGAGGACAGTTTGCGTGGCATGCGAAGTTCGGTAGCATTTGCCTCCCAATAATATACAAAGCAGGACATATGACATTAAAATTTGGGTCGTGGCATGCTCGTCGAGGATAAATGAAGTCGATCCTGGACGATCAGTAAACGGGAACATTAATTATCACGGCGCCGACACTCCGATGAGCCTCGTCGGGAGATGGCATTGTGCGAGTAATTGGCATGCCGGACTTGGAAGCGGGGCAACGTATCTCCACGGATAAACAAAAGACATGGTGATGCGGGGGAGGGGACGTGAAGTATATTGAGGTCAGATTAAGGTCTGGCAATCATGCCGAGACGGAGTGCTGGCCCGTTGCGTTCAGCCGCGAGTAAGGCGTTTGAGATCGACGCAGGTCCCAGGGACGATCGGAAGGAGCCCAGATAAAATAGATAGTGAGTAGATGAGGGTGATTAAGTATACGATTGATAGGCGAGGAAGTGTGCTGGAGGTGATGCTTGGGGGTGGAAGCAAGAACAAGTGGCATGAATCGGCAAGGGTCGACTCACCTGACAATATCTTGGAGGCGATATTCCAGTCTTGGATGTTACGACAATCTTATCAAGAAGATGAAACAAGTTTCAATATGCTCGATATATCCAAGATCCACGGGAAATTGGTGCAGGTGACTCGAATGGCATGTCTATCGCACGTGACTCGGAACATCTCCTCTGGACTGTCATTATCAAGCAACAGTTTGTTGCAAACAGTTATCATGATTTCCGTGCAGCTGTTATTAAATTGGCATGATATGATGACTTTCCGAAACGTGCTCTTGGCTGACGGTACATGATATATCAGGTTGAAGTAAACAAAGACCAGTTGGTGAAAGTAGAAGTCGATCATGGTTCTAACATATAATACATTTTCGGTATGAAAGGATAAAAGTCATCACATCTCTGTACATTTCCATTTCCTTTCGTTCCCAAACTTCTCGATCAGGGATAATCATCTACTTCATGAATCCAGCCTTTCCATCCCCATCAGCATCCTTCTTCGGGTTCAACTTATCCAACAAACTTGGCTTATGACCCGTCGCATTGGCAGTCGAGTGAGAGTTGGTAGAGCCAACACCTGAGCCAGTTGCAACACCAGAACCATTACCGTGAGTACCGTGGCTGTTGTGATGACCATCCTTCTCAGTCAAGGAGGTAGTGCCGCGGGCACCTGCGCCTCCGAGAGTTCCGCCAACAGCACGAGGCTCGCCAGCGAATGCATCTGTGCGCTCGTCTCGGCCGGAGAGGTGTCCGCCTTGCTTTTTGAACTCGTCCATGGTTACGGGTGGGAGGGTTGTAGCTGTGTGGTGTTTGGCTTCGTTCTTGGGATGGCTTAGTACGTGATTGATTTATAAAGTATAAAGTGGGAAGGGGGTACGTACCTGGTGAACCTCGTGAACGGGCACAGTTGTGTGAACAACAGATGGCTGGATGGTCTCCTTTTGGATTACGGGTTGGATATTCTCGTGAACCTGAGAAGCGTCAGTATGTGTCACACATGAGCAGAACAATATACCTACGTGGTGGTGGATGTGCTCGCCAGCAATGACTGGGTTGGCAGATGAAGTGTGTTGAGTATCCCCAACTGTGCGAGTATTCTTGAACTGTGCTTGCTCTGCAGCGAGACGCTCTTTGACGTGATCATCGCTGCCGTGCTTCAGGTTGCGAGTCTCGACACCGGCCATCTGGTGAGTGTGTTGCTCTGGGAGGACTTCGCGGTCCTTGATGGGCTGGACGGATGTGTGGTAATGATCCTGGTGGACCTCTAATATTTAGGTTAGATCCTGTTACATATGTGCTGGGGTGTGGATAGTACGAACCTCTGTCAACTGCGGTTGTTACTTTCTCATGTTGAGTACGGGTAACGTTCTCGTTGGTGATGGCTGGGTTGACGGTCTTTGAAGTATGAGAAGTCGTTCCTGAATGCTGGATTGGCGAGTTTCTTACCTCGTGGACAGTGGTGTCGTGCTTTCCATCCTTGTGGAGGAAGCTTCCAACTGCTGCCTTTGCCTTGTCCATTTTGATTGATGTGCAAGAAGTGTTTCTAACTGTTGATGGGTTGGATTTTGGTGAGATGAGGATTAATGGAGTTGAAGATCTATAATGAATAGAATGTCCTTGGGAATCTCTGATGGTAATATAGCTGCAATAGCTTTAAACTCAACTTACGTAGCTTCTCCAGCTCCTCATGGCGGGGTAGCTACATCATCATGCTAGTTGCAACATTCCAGGAAGTGGTAGTCTGGAAGAAGCAAGATGTTGACATGTGGGTGGAACTAGAGACAAACTGCCAAATCAATATTAGAGTCGTGGCGGTACAGTTGGAACGTAAAACGTGGAGGCAGTGAGGCGGCTGCAAAGGTTAGGAAGTAAGGTTCGGCGATCATGACGGGTACATTTGAGCACGATTGAAATTGTCGACCGAGCTGGAGGACATGGCTTCAGCCACCTTCCTTGTTTTCAGTTTGACTCCGTCCAGTAGTCCAATGCAAGACCAAATACAGGAATTGAAAACCTGGTAGGAATTCCAAATAAGGTCTGAGATATGGACAAAGTCCGAATCGAGCGCCAAAGATATGGCTCTGGCGTCTGGATGACGGATGACTCGCATAAAGAGGAAACGATACTCAGATTCAGCTCTTGGTACCCAATCAAGTAAAGCCACTATTGACAACAAGCCGGGATAGCAAGGAGATCGCCGCGAGGATTGTAACGAGCAGAAGATCTCCTTGCGGCTGGTGCGCAAGGACCCTTGAAGCCGCATTGCTTGTTGCTCAGCTCGGCATGGTATCTCATGGATATGCACCCTGTGTTTTATTGAAAGCCCGAGTTCAAGCATAAGATCTGAGAAATATCGGAGGGGCCGGGAATAATGCGAAAGTTTCGGGCTAGATGCGTAAGTGAGAATCGGCCATCGAGATCTGGATGGGATTTTCCCCTCTTTGCCACCGTATACAATTGCATCATAGGACGTCTGTCGCGTCCCCCACATACTTGACGCGGGCACTGGAGGACTGCATGTGTTTGATATGTCCTCGAGCAGCATAGGACATGGGCATTATGCAATTGTTGATTCGCCGAACATTTTGATTCGATCTAGGATTGTTTGGAGGAACTCGTCTCCATGCGTCTTTGTCTCTGCCAACAGACTGTCCGGGATTTGGGAGTGCTTGGTAGTCTGGCAAAATGAAAGTTGTAAGCTCCCCCTTCGCGAGTTGCTACGCTTCATAGCCATCAATTACCGGTTTAAAGCCCCATTGACAATCAATGTAAACACCCACCTCCTACACAATTAAACCAGACAAGAGGGATCCGGCAATCCCATTCTGATCGACGCCACAACCGCATTCCCGTGGATCGTGAGACAATCTCTTCTTAGCTGGTAATGAATCTGGTGATTCTGGTGTAGTTTGGAACCATGACGCTTTCTCGAAAGCGCCGGTGCTGCTGCGTTGTCCATCGGAGTGGTCTCTCCGAAGTTGATATACGTCAGGGCCATTTCTCGGTACGTGATTGATGATCCTCAGCAGTCTAGACTGACATCAGAAAAGCCTCTTTGCAGCTGGCAAATCTAGCCCAATCCAGAAGAAAACAACTCGTGGGGAAGAGTCGCAAAAGAAACTGATTGCCACTAAGCCTAGGATGGAACGGCATTGTGCCACATCACATGCAATGCCATGCAAAAATGAATAGAAGCTTTCAAAATGCATAGCAGTGGTAAAATAATGATAAGAGCAGAACAAACGTGTTGAAGAATGAAGAAATCAGCTCGTCCGGAAGAAACAGCTATTATTTTTTAACTCTGCTTGTTAAACTTTCCGTTAACAGTGGGGATAATCCGATGAGGTCAACCAGAAGACAATGCTAAAGCCACACCTGCAAGCCGTCAAAATATTAACACCAAGCCAAAGTGGGAGAGGTTCATGGATGAGGGTCTCACTGGAATCTTACACAGCCAGTCGTAGCACGAGGAGAGCATGCCGCACCAAACTAAGTCAACGCCGCCTCGCTTACCAGCCAGAAAGGGGAATCTATCTCCCCTCTAGGAGCAATTCTTGCGAGGTCAATGGCTGCACAACAAGCCAAACAGAGCCGGCCGTACGCAGGTCCGTGGCCTAGAGTTCACTAAAGAAACTTCGGGGTAGCATGGTCGAGATCAAGGCTTGAGTCTCGTCCAGTCCCCAACTACTCCACCACTCCAAACTCTTTCATCGCTTTTTGATCTGAGAGTCGATGTCATCAAGAAACAAATCTCCGGGCTGACGCATATTGGCCATGAGGAGTGAGTGAGGTTGGAGAATAGGAGAGAGAGAGAGCAGACCCGCTGCGTCCCTTACGCGAATCAACTCCCTGCGTGGATCCCCCACTCCACTCCTGCGTACTGGGCGCTGGGTGGCCGAACCCACCTACCCCTGAAATTGGCGATGGCCTCAATTCTCAGGGGCCTTTTCAAGTCCAAAGCATCAGGCACTCCAAATCATCGTGTCAAAGGTCATTCGTACGACTCTGCCATTGCCTTAGACCCACCGGTCAAAGGTTCATATCCGGTTGCAGGCAATGGACCCAATGTCCTCGAGGAAATCCAGCGCTCCAGGGCACAGAGGGATACCTCGAGTGCCCGGCGACAGACAAGTGTAGCTGCGGCCCCCAATGTCCCTAGATATCGAGAAGACATTATCGAAAGACCACAAACTGCACCCAACGATGGAACCGCGGATGGAGGACGCAATAAACGAAATAGCAAGATAGGAAGTGCCACTTGGTCAGGCAGGACACGATCTGGATTTTCTACGAAATCACCTCCCAGTATCTTCAGAAGCAGTAGTCGAAATGGCAGGAGTAATTCGATCAATTCAACCACCGAAGCTCCCCATGCTTCTGTGCCAACGCCTTCCACCACGCCCAAGCCGCAGACGTACCAGCCGAAGAAAGGGCCCGGGTCAGTATCAGGCTCTTCAGCTGCATTCACGCCTCCATTCGGTCAACACATTCGGAACGAATCAAATGCCTCTCATAGATCCTATGTCGATTTACTAGAGGCACATTCGAGTATACGACCAGAAAGTTCAAAGCATAGGGCTAAGGCTTCGGGCATACGAAACTTTGGCGAGGACGTTGCAGACCGAAATATTGATCGGTTCGGAGCGGGCAGCCATACACAATTGGACCTGAACTCTCCACAGTTCAGCTACATGAAGACCGTCTATGCCCCGAAGAAGAGACCAATTGCAGATGTGGCGGGTGCGGGAACACATTCCAGAGTCTCATCTGCATTGGGCCATGTAATGGGTGATGACGGGCCAAGTGACGACATACCACCACGCAGCCATAGGGAAACCCCCTCCATTCGGACCACAACATCGGCGTCTAGGTCACATCCTCTTCGAAACGAGACTACGCCTGTAGTGGCGTCCAGTAGAAGTCGGGATCATGATGGAGCTTCATCATCTGGGGCTCATCCCTCCAATGATCGACGAGCCAGAGCTTTGTCTCCGCTGTCACAAACGAACACTGCTCAATCTTTTGACGAGGACGAGCCCATCATGCATAATAGTCATCCAGGAATTATACGTCCTAATGAACCTTCATATGATCCTCGAGGACAAGAAAATGTTGTCCAAGAACCTCCGCCAGTTGCAACACCAGTCTATAAACCAAAGTCACCGCCGCCTCAGGGGATCAATCAACACACTCCCACTCCTACGGCCAACCACACGGTGAAACGAATGCCCGCGATGCCACCTACCAATGAGAGTGCTATCCATCCACCTGTGAGTGTCAAAACGAATGGACACAAGAAATCAAAGAGTGGATCAGTAAGCTACTCGACCTTTCCCAACGTCAGCAATCGACCTGGCAACAACAACAACAACCAGACAAACCAAACAGAATATGCTGCACGGTCCTCGTCCCTAAGTAAAAACAGCAAAAGACAAGGCATGATTCTCGAGAACTCGAGCGTTCCTCAAAATCTGGACGCAGTGGTTGACCAGAGTAATACGGTGGATACAGATGTTACCACCAAAACACTTCCCGGTACATCCCCACCTCCTCTTCCCTCCATCTCTGAGAAGCGACCCCGTCCCGCTTCAGTCATGTCGCGTGCCTCGACACGCTCCTTCTCTGCTACGCCGGGCCTCTCTCCTTTACACACATCTCCTCATGACATTGAGCTCCCGCCGTCCTTCCCCCCGGCAAATTGGCCCCTCACTCCAACTTCCACTTCCATGAAATCCTCCTCAGATAGCATTGGCAAAGCGGATGCTAATGCGCTGTACTAGCCGTTACCCACGAGCACGTCACGCCGGTGCGACACGAAGTCAGAGAAGAGCGGGTCGTCCGCGAGATTCACACGCACGAGGTTAGGCATCATGTCCTTCCTGTGCTCGATACTGAGATTTTGCCTACGAGACACTATGTCCCGAGCTCAGATGGCAAAGGTCTCGTGGAGATCCCGGAGCCGCAAGTCTCGAAGCATAAAATCACTGGGAGTATGAATGGCACCTGGTCGTTATCAAAGAGACCGTACTCTTCACGATCACGCACCAGCTCTCTCACCCATGCCTCTATACAGCAGCCTCAACCTCCACCTCCTCTCAACCCCGAGGAATACGAAAGCGCCGAAGCTCCAGTCGTTGGACTCGCTCGTGGCGACCCTAAACCCCGCTCCCGAGCTAACTCTCGAGCTTCAAACCACACCGTCAAAACATCCCGAAGCCTGAAGAATATCTTCACGGAACCGATACTCACTAGCAAGAAGGAGTACGTGACCGACGAAGGGTATCCTCGGACTGAATACGTCTGGCGACATCAACCAGTCTTTGAGGACGCGACGGGACGAACCCAGCCTGTGACGATGAATGCTGGGATTCTTGGCGATTCGAACGCTCCTCCTCAGCAGTTCCTTGAAGATGGGATTCCCAAAGAGGGCAAACCTCGCCGCTCGGAGGATGAAGAGTCCTTGCTGTTTCGTGACTCGGGGTATGGGTCGATGGGTATGCTTCCTGGTCTGTCAGCGCTGGCTCCTATGGCTGGGCAGGGATACAAGACTGACGGAGGTACCGTGAACGAACTTGGAAGAAAGACCGATTCTGGAAGGGCTGCAGATGGTGGGAATGTGGGGAACGTCAAGATTGCAAGTAACGCGGAGGGCGAGGCTACCAAAGCCTTGAGCCGAATGCGAGAGAGGAGTAAGAGCAATGTGGCGAACAAGTCGGCGGCCTCGAGTGTGAGGAGAGCGAGTATGCCGCACGTGGGGGATTTGGTGAGAGGAGTGGATGGATTGCAGATGTAAAAGTTGTAAAAGTTGGATATCTGGAGTAGCCTGACTCAACAGGAGCGTTTCTTTTGTTTTGTATATGTACAGCTCTTCAGAGCACTGTTGTCATTATCCAGATTGTAAGTGTAATAGGATACTATTCTTCAGGATGTACTTGTTAGCCTCGCTCGAATATAGTGGACTTGAGTGTGGCGTTTCATATCATTCATTTCAAAGTTCGGTCAAGTTTTTCTCTGGATGAGAACCGGCTAGTCACAGGCTATCGTGACTTTGGTCACTCTTTGATCTGGTTTCATACTTGTATATGTATATATATTTCCGTGGAGTGATCATGAAGGTAGACCTAAACAGATACCTACATCCCTCGCCCCTCCATCAAGTCCAGCTCCTTCCACCCACCTTCCCCTTTTCACTAGCCGAGCCCCCCCTAACCTCTGCTTCACACTAACCTAACTTTATTCTTCCTCAAACAACCTCTCTCACCCTCTGACTCTCTTTCCGATCAAATACTCAATCCCCGATTCGTCCTCCCACAAACCAAATTTCCCCACCAAATTGGAAAACAGAGGCGGTGAACACCCAAACTCACCAATCACGTGCCGCAACGTATTATTCTTCAGCGGCGAGGAGCCAATGGGGTGGTGCGAAGGCGGCGTTTATTGAGGTCGAATCAGAGGGGAAAAGTGCGATGTGCAACAAAAGTTTGTGGGGGTGTATTTGAGTGTGGTGATAGGTAGGTAGGGTTGGAGAGGAGAGGTGAGATGTGTGTGTGGTTGGTGCAGGGGCTTGAGAGGATGGATTGATGGTGGTGGTGGTGGTGGGGAAGCTGGGAGGGAGGAGGGTCAGATGATTGATTGGGGATGGGTGAGTTTGGGTTTGGGTTTGGGTGTGAGTTTGGGTTTAGTGGTACAGTAGAGAGTTTTAGTGGTGGATTTAGAGAAGGGGAGGTCTGTGAGTGAGTACTAAGTGATTCATGGGGATACAGGTTGCATCGGTACGAAAAGAAAGAAACTCGAATGTGCTTCACGTGATACTCAACCAGCATCGTGCAAGGATGCTCACGGAGAGCCTGCTCGTTTTTACGACAGAAAAAGTGAGTCGATATCAGATAATGGAAAGATGGTACTATCTCTGTTGCGTAGTTTTCAATAATCACTAGTGACGAGATCAGAAAGGGCCTGGGCCTGGAGAGTTGTACCATGTGCTCTTCTTTACCGTACATGAGCTTTCCGTACCTAGCCACTTCCTCCGTGTGAACATCTCTTGCCAATTATGTGTACAGGGGTGGTTAAGGATAGACAGACCGTGTTCTGTCTGACCATGCGAGACACAGATGTTGGTAGGGTGTGGACTGCTGTTTGAGCTGTTCTACGTTGGGGAGCAGGAAAATCGTGGTGTAGGTAGAGGAAAGGGAGGAATGGATGATGGTGGTCATGAAAGTGCTTAGATATTGAGGCTGAGCTGAACTGGATTGAATGACTGCTAACTGATAATAGGGTCAGTAAATAGGTATGGAGGGACGGCGGAAGTGGTGGCTCGCTTAGAATGTTGTGTACTTCAGCAGTTTCTCGGCAATCAAACTTGCGGCCTTCCACGGATAGATTTAAAAGTCCAGTCTAATGATCTACACCGAGCTTTTACTGTAAATAAAGCAGAATGGCGGAAGTAAGTGAGGCAGGAATCCGCCCCCAGTGCTTCTTCCCTTGCGAACCTCCAGCTCTTCTTCACTCAAGCACAACCTCAACCTTCAACGCACTGACACCCTCCTTTTGTCTATCCAACCCAGCCTGCACACTCTCTAAGCCCTTTCCAACCACCAGTGCCTCCGGTCTAGCAACCAACTTTCCAGATTCCAGCGCCCACGGGACATATTCCCCCCAGATCCTCTCCGCAACAAGTGGCTCCTGCGTGACAATATTCCCCGACGAAACTCGGTAAACCTCCACATCAGAAAACAGGTCTGGAGCAAGACCCACACTGACAATTTTGCCACCTCCGAGCGCGTGGAGGATGGCTGCGGATTGGTGGACTGTGGTTTCGGAACCGATTGCGTCGTAGGCTCCTACGACGTTCTTGTCTTTCAGGAGTGAGATTATCTGCTCCACGATATTGTCGTTGTGGTAGTCTAGGACGTGGTCGGCGCCCAGGGATTCGCAGTATGCGAAGTTGGAACGCGAGGCTGTCGTGATGAGGGAGTAGCCTGCTGCGTGGGCGAGTTGTACGACTGAACTGCCTACTGAGGAGGAGCATCCCCAGACTAGTAATGTTGAGTTCTTTGCTCGCTGGAAAGAAGAAGAAGAAGAAGATGAACGCTTTCTGGAATTGGAATCGGAATCAATAGAGGGGAATTCCAGACCCAGGGTAGATTTCATGAACAAACCAGCTGCAGCAGTCGAGATACTCAGCGGCAAGACAGCCGCCTCCTGAAAACTGAGCCAGTTTGGGATCTTCGAAACCGTGGCAGCTTTCAGCACGGGATAGAGCTGGAAACCGCCGTATGCAGGGCCATTTCCTAGACCGAGAGGTTGAGCCATTACGCGGTCACCTACTGAGAATTTGGATTTGGATTTAATTTTGGAGCCGACTTGGACGACGATGCCGGCTACGTCTTCGCCGAGGATCGCAGGGTAGGTGAGGTTGAAGTTGCGGCCCATTGGGGATTGGATCTTCCAGTCGACGGGGTTGATTGCTAGGACGTGGGTTTTGATGATTATTTCTTCGGGGCCGCATGTTGGGTAGGGGACTGAGGTGACTTGTAGTTGGGCCAGGGGGGAGGGGAGGATGGCGGCGAAGTTCTTGGGGTTGGTGTCGGGTGTTGACTTGTGAGGGGAAATTCCTTGACTTGGATTGCTGCTGAGATGTTTTTGTGCTTCTTGTGCGTTGAGTTGAGAGATGCAGATGCTCAAAGTCAAGGAAAGCCATTGTATGAAATGCATTTCTGAAGTTTTGCTGTCTTAAGTGATAAAGAATGTCTCACGCGGAGGTCGTTGGAGGGATTGCTGACAAATTCCCGTCGTCATGGACCTTGACTCAAGGTACCTTGCGAACAATACTGATATCGCTGTCAGTACAAAAGGTCTCGTTAATAAACTAGAGAAAGGTACTCTGAACAAGTTTTGAATGGACCAATTGTCCTGTTATCAAGTTGTAGATACCTAACAAAGTCGAAGCAGGAGGCAGGTAAGTTCGCGGCGGGGTTATTCATATCACGTGTCTTCTCCGAAATCCGAGAAACGTCTTATTTGTCAAGAATGGCGACATGTTAAACTTAATTGGTTTTATTCTAGTGAGCTTGGAGGACGATTGCAGGGACATTTGAGCAGCACGAGGAATGTTACGCCATTCGTTGGACTTGTATAAGAGAGAGAGGTGATGACTATCGCTTAGATTTCGCGACACAAAAAATGCTACTCTGAGGCTTCTCTTCATATGTATGCAATATTGATTAATTTCTCTATGAAGCCTGTCATTCTCTACCAACGCCATTAAAGGTAAACCCAGCAGAACAGACCGTTTAGCCATCCAATTCCTTTCCGTCCATATGTAAACCCGTAAATTCGTCAATTTTCATCACAATGCATCGATCCATCAGTCATGTTCTCTCGAGTCCAGCGGCCAGAATTCCCAAACGCGGAGATCACTCCGTGAAATAGACTTAAAAATGCCATCCAATCAACCAATATGCTCAAAATCATCCTCGGTTTCCGTCTCCTCCCCCTCGTCATCGCTTTCAAATTCAAATTCCTCGTCTCCATCAGGAGTGTTGAAGAAATTCTCGTCGTCGTCTATGCTGACAGCTCTCACAGCCTGTTTCTGAGCTTGAGACGAGCTCTGCACATCTGCCATATCTGTATCACCGACCTTCTCCTTGCCCTTACCTTTCCCTTCTGAAGTATCACCGCTCTGCCTTCCCAGATCAGAGTACGACGAAAGAAGAGCAGCTTGTTCTTGCTCATTCGTGATAAAAGCGGGTCTATACTCGTCATTGTCGTCCAAAACAATCCCCTTGCCTTTCTCACGGATCGGTAGATTCATCGTCATTTCGGCATCTCCTTCCTCATCCTCATCTCGTCCAACCCAAACCACACTATCCCCATCCTCACTTGTCCCCGGCGTTGGGAAGTCACTCTCAGAGAAGACCCTCCTCCGATCAATATGATCAACACTCCACCCATCCTCAACGCCCACACTGGTGTTCACACCACTGCCTCCCATCCCACTCATCTCACTATCCCCCATGCCACTTCCACCAAATACCGAACTCCTCCCATCGAAATCAATCTCCGTCGACGCCCGGGAGGAATTAACCGTTGAGCCAGTATGATACGCTGGTCCAGGACCAACCGCACCGCCTCGTTCCGCTGGCGGGATAACTTCTTCGAAGACACCGCCTGTTCCGTCGTTCAGGCCGTTTGCCCAGAGGGGGAGGTATTTGTATTCTTCGTCTGTCAGACAGAGTAACGTGTCGGCGATGTCGCAGTTTGGGGGTCGGAGGTTCTGGATCTCGCCGCGAGAGAGCATGTTGTTGCAGAGGGATTGGATTTTCCATCCGATTTGGTCGAAGAGCGCGTGGAGGTTGAAGAAGGGGGAGGTGGGGCCGATGTAGGCGTTGATGGGGACTTGTGGGGTGGAGCTGGTGTCGTGCTCGTATCTGTATTTCCAGGTTGAGGTTGGAGGTTCGCTGGGAGTGGCTTCTGGTCGGGGGAAGGTCCTGGAGAGGTTTGGGTTGGGGATTGGGTCTGGAAAGGTGGCTGCCGGGGGCATGACTGCTGGGGCGATGTTGCTGGAGTGAGTGTCTCTCCAGATCTCTTCTAGGCGGTCCCAGTTGGCGGAGCGCGCTCTATAGAAATCTCGTGGGGATTTGCTTGATGTATCTCCCTCCATTTCGTCGACTTCATCCAGCCATGAAACTCGATGCTCGCATTTGGCTTGTGGGGAGGTTGCGGTAGTGCTTGAACTGGGCTCGGTTTTGATGGCTTCATCTCGAGCCTTGAGAGCTTCTATCCAGAAAGCGGGCCTTTCTAATGTCGTGTCCATGGGGTTGAAAGGTGACGGCTCTGCACCCAACACCTCAGGGCCGAATTTCAATTTCCAGAAATAATTCTTCTGTGCTTCTTGATGCTCATTCTTGACCACTGAAGCTGTGCCCTGCTCATTGTAGACGCGCTCGATCTTGTACGCTTGCTCTGGGATCTCCCCTTTGTTGAAATTCTCGTGTTGAATCGATTTCAGGATGTGCTTGTTCATCGCCTCGACAGAATACCGAAGTTCACTCATGTAGACCTTTGGGATCCCATGCACTTCTGCAGCAGCAGCAGTCCTTTCTTCAGCCGCATTAATTTCAGGAGTCTTGGGATACACGGAGTCATGAATGAGGTTGGTGGCGCAGCGGGAATGGTCTGGGTGCCATTTCAAGAGTCTCACACAACCCCAGAAGAATCTTGTCACCAGCTTCTCGTGCTCGGATAGGGTGTTATAGATACCATCCGTTGGATCGCCACTGGTTTCGTGCCGTTCTTGGCCGCGGTGATCGTTCCAGCTCTTTCGTTCGGATTCGTCGAGTGGTTGGTAGAAACACCAAATAAGTCGGCCGCGAATGTAGTTTGTGAGATCATCGATGACCTTCTTCACGTTCTTCGCTCTGGCATCATTTGGGGTGGCTTCTAGAAAATGTTTGAATTTCATGATCTTGCCGAATTCTTGCAGACCGAAAAGCCAATTCATATTTGAGCTCAGAAGAAGCTCCATCTCCTGCTCAATACGGGCGTGGAAATTGCGGCCAGCATGTTGGATCAAGTTGAGAGTATCCTCGTCCAATGACTCGCGAGCTCGCCCGAATTTTGTGACCTGCTTACCAGCGGGATAGTTTGTGTTTGGCTGATTCGCGGCCGCAGTTCTACCCGTGCCAATTCGGAACGCCTCCTCGGAAACCAAGATGGTAAAAGCGTATCGAGTAGCAACCTCATTCTGGAGAAGTAGACCGATACGAAGACAATCTTCAGGGAGAATCTCGAAGATCTTGCAGTTGGGCTCAGCAATCATCCAAGTGACGATGTAATCAACCACGGCACTATGGCACTCGAAGTGCTTCGCCAGAACAGCAAGAGTCCAGACCTTGGGCGCCGAATCGAGTCTTGGATCTTTGCCTTCAATAATCTGGAGCAGACGTTCGATGCCAGTGCGATGTCGGATCGGGCAGTAATCAAGACAGACGACCTCCTTCTTCTCACTGTAGTCCCGCGTATACTCGCTTTTCTGCTTAGCCCTCTCTTTCGCAAATCTCTTACTCTCCTTCATCGCCATCTTGAAGGCAAGGTCAGAGTGGCCTACGCCGTTGATTTCAGCTACTGTGGCTGCAGTTGCAGCTGCGCCAGCTATGTCGATGATCTCCTGCACGTCCTCCGGAGATGCTGGATCGGAAGTCTTGTTCTTCTCCTCATATGATGGATGGACTGTAGTTTCGTCCTTGCCTCCGACTAGTCTATGTGCTGCTGCGACACCACTGTGTTCTGCCTTGTACCATCTGCGCATGCCAAGGGAGCAGGAGAGTTCGGCGGTAAGTGCAAGGGCATCGTCGCCTTCTTCTGGAGGTGTAAGGTCGAGAATGTATTGAATTCCATCTGGTAGGCCACTCAGTAGCTTGTTGCGACGTCTCCAGCGGTGTTGTTGCCAATCATCCTCGAGATTCTTCTTGAATATCGGTGAGGCGGCCTTGAGCTTATCGCTATGGACTCTATGTACATCGCTTAATCGGAAGCCAGTGGCATCATAAACGGGCTTGCCATTGGGGAATCGGATGAAGACTAGAGTGTCTCCTTCATCGAGTTGCGACTTGGTGTATTGGATGGCGTTGACATCTCTGGCTGTCAAAGCTTTGTTTTTGGGAGATGATATGGGGGGAAATTGATTTGATGAGGATTCTGGGGTGTTGAATGAACTTTCAGAGGTATTTTCCATGCTGTTACCGGCATGAGACTCAGTTAGAGGCTCGACGTTGGGCGGGGGTATCACTGGAGGTGGTTGTGGTCCATTGGCAACGCGAGCAATGTCCAAGAGGTCTCGAAGGACCTGGACTCGCTCTTGTGCCATTTTTTGGTCCTGTGATTGATCCGGGGGAGACATTCAAGTATTTTGCAGCTTGATACTGCCGGAGTAACTTGGAATGTTGACAATTCAGACAATACTATGTCATCAAAATTAGGCTGACCAGTGTGACCAGACAATGGTAGAAAACAGGTCGAATGATCTCGTCCCAGAGTTCTATGGAGATTGAATGTCGATTTCAATACCGCAGAAGACTATTAAAGCAGGTGAAGCCGCGACCTGGTACGTTGTATTTCCAAGGGCTGGGTCAGTCTGTTGACTTCTGGCGCGGGGGTCGGGGGAGGCGAATGTTTCCTTGAAAGAACAAAGACGGCAACAATGGCTTCTTGGCTTTTCAAAGGTTAGAGCTGCAGATTGGGACGACGACACCAGATGATGGATATATCTCTTTCTTCGATGTTGTCGTGAAAAGATGAAAATATGTCAAGATATCAACGAGGCTGACAGCTTTAGGCACCAACCAGGCTAAGCCGCAGCCAGCCAGGCGATGAGTCGGTGACCAGCTAGGCCTAGCTTGGAGCACGTATGAGTTGTATCTGAATCAGTGTGTTACCATACCCAGACCGAGAATTTGTGAAGAGAGGATCGAATTTGAAGATCAAGGGAGGGAGGCTTTTGCTGCGTTTGAATTGCCGTACTGTACTGTAGCGTGGCGGGTTGATCTGGCTGCCCCGCGATGCGCTGGACGTTGAGGTTGGCGTTGATGTTGGCCTGGGGTACAAGCAAGCAGAGCACGGGTAGTCAGCATCCTCTTCCCTTCCTTGGATTTGGCTGTCTCTCTGTCCACTTTCGTGCAGCTGGGCCACAAGACTGCAGATCAGACCAGCCCCGTGAGTGTGTGATGAGGAGTGGTTGGCCCATGATCACGTGAATCGCGGGGTTACCTTGTTAGAAATATAGGGATTGTAGGCGTAGACTCAGTACTGTAGGCCGTACTACTAAGTACGCTACCCCTTTATATAAGAGATTCTCTCTCTCTGTAGTAGCTCCTTATATAACTGTAATTATAATATAGTAGCAATTCTAATCGATTGAAAAAGACTTTAAAACTTCATTTTTATTAAGATCTCCACTTTATTAACTCTTAGTGTATCTACTACTACGTCATGATATCATCCTAATCAAAAGCACTAATTCTCTATGTCACTAGAGCCTTAAAAGGCAAAACTCTACTAGAGTTCGATAACTTCTTTAAATAGGAGCTTAAGACTAAATAAGAGCTAGCTAGGGCTAGTATTCTTTATTATGTTCTTACTAAAGTTAGCGTGCCGAATAGTATTAGTTAGCAGAATACTCACGCTAAGGAAAAGAAGGAAGCTTTTAAAATAGTTATTAACTTAATCTCTAAGCTTCTCTTTCCTAAGTATAGAGATATTATTAAACTAAACGACGCTAAGCCTCTCTAGGAAGCTATTCACGTAGATAAAGGCAAAGTAGTTCAAGGGAGTCTTATTTTTACTAATATAAGAGATGATTTCTTTAAGATAAAGTTTATCCCGGGGGAGGAAACACTTTAGAACTACGTTATAAGGCTCTTACTCTTTAAAGTAAAGCTCAGCGGCGATAGTAAACCTCTTACTAATAAAGATATATATCTCAAGCTATTACAGTTGTTACTAGCGTCCGGAGCTTGGATTACTATAGCGCTTACCCTAGAATCGCAAGACCTAGATCTTAGAGATACTATATAAAAGCTTAATAAATATTAAATTTAATAGAGGGAATAGCTTCAACTTATAGCTACTAGTAACGCTGCGAACTACGCGAATAGAGGCTATAATAGAGGGAGAGGTAGCAGAGATAGTAGAGGCTAGAGGGGTAGAGGCTACTTATATAGGAGAGGTAATATACGTGAGAACAGGAGAGGATAGGAAAGACGGAATAATAACAGTAGGGGTAGTAGCTAATAGAGACGTGGAGAGCGCGTGGAAAAGAGAGGAAATCGCCCTAAATTAGGCTGAAATCAGTGTACCCGGTGTAAAAGCTATAGCTACTAGTACGTAGACTGCACGGAAGCTAAGAATACCTACGCGAGAGATAGCGCTAATAAAGTAGAGGAAATTAAAGACGATAATACTTATCCCGTGTTCCCTTCGGAAGAGATTTACTACGCTAAAGATATAGAATATACTTTATTAATAATCTCTATTATAGAATCTATCTAGAAAATTAACTCTAGCGCTACTCGCTACTTTAGTAGAGTTCTAGCTAAGTTCAAGTAACTTAAGCGCTAGCGTAATACTAAATATATTAAAACAGCGACTAATTTATACTTAATAGCTGAAGGTTATGAAGATATTACTGTTAATAGGTTAACCCTTAAAGACGTATAGTACGTACCTAACTTCGGAGCTATAAAGCTAGTATTGATATATTAACTTTCAGACGAAGGAATTAATACGGAACTAACTAAGATATCAGTAAATAGATACCGGAATAGTGAACTAGCCTTTATAAGCACAAGAAACAGAGGTTTATACATTCTAGATACGAATCCTTAATATTAAGTTATGTATAACGCAATTCCGTTAGACTTAAAGCTACTAAAGGAATAAATAGAGAGTTAGCTTAGTACAGAGGAAACAAAGGCAGATCTGCTTTATAAGTATTTAGGCTATATAAATTACGCCTATTTAAAGAAACTAGTTACTTATAGCAGTTATAGAATAAGACCGATTTCTATTCCGAAGCTAAAGGGAGAGAGGTATTACGAGGCTTACCTTGTAAGCTATATGAAAAAGCACTTTAATAAGAAGTCAGATAGTAGAATTAATATACCTATTTATCGACTACACGCTAATATCTCTAGTATCTTACTACGCTTAATTCGCGGCTATAAATACTTCCTTTTAGTAGTAGATAATACCACGAGGATATGTTAGGTAGATCTCTTAGTTAATAAGTCTACGTTAACTATTTAACTAGTTATTCGGAAATTAAAGCTACAGCTTGAAACTTAAGGGTAAAGCAAATTCCGTATAATTATCTACTAGAGGACTGATAATAGTAAGGGAGAGTTCGGTCCTGAGTTTATTAACTAGCTATAAGAGAGTAGAATCGTTTTTAAACCCTCTCCTCTATATAAACACTCTCTGAATAGAGTCGTAGAGCGATAGATATATAAACTAGCTAAGATTATATACTTAATCCTCTATAACACGAAGATACCCGAGAATATATAGTACTACGCTATTAAGTAAGCGGCAAAGCTAAAGAATAAACGCCTAACTACTGCTTTACTATATAAAACAGCCACTAGACTCACTCTAATCGAAGCGTACAGAGGATAGCTTACAAACCTCTCTAAAATAAGAGTATTTAGCTCTATAGCGTACCCTTTGCATCCACTAGGGCTACATCAGGGCAAAATAAAGCAAAAGATAATTCCGGGGTATTTTATATTAGTAGGTATAGCTAACACCTCAACTTATAGGCTCCTGAACGTAGAAACCTTCAAGGAACTGGAAATAGCTAACTACGGCTTCAACGAGTATATAATATACTCTATATACACTAGTAGTAAGGAAACTATACTAAAAGGTAGTAATAAGGCAGTAGAAAGACCTCTGCTACCGGCTACCGGTTTAGCACTTACTAAGAGGCTAGCTAAGGGTACTAAAGGCTTAGAAAGACCTCTAATAGAGAGGCTAGCTATAGAAGCTGAAAGACCTCTAGGAGAGAGGCTAGCTATAGAAGCTGAAAATCCTTCAAGGGGAAGGTCAGCTGTAGAAAACACAGTAGGAGATACTAAGGGAGCGTCTAATCAACGCCTCCCTAAATAGACTCAACTAGTAAACGCGTCTAATAATACTCTACTATTAAGATATAGTAGGAAACAGTATAGAAAATAACACTTCGAGTAAGCCGCTTAGGTAATAACTACGAAGCTATACTCTTAGTAAATCCTTAATAAGGCACTAACCTATCAAATAGCGCTAATTACGCTAGAGGGTAAACCTATACGACCTCTTAAGGTTATAACTATTATAGAGGCTCTGAGGGAGAATCTAGTAGAATAGAAGGCCGCTATTCTTAAGGAATTATAAGCTATATAAAGCGCTAGAACTTATAGAGTATACTTTAGTAAGCCTCCCTCCGGCTTGAAACTAATATCTTTAAGACTAGTTCTATGTAACAAAATTAACTCCGATAGCTCTATAGTATAGTGAAAAGCTAAGCTTGTAGTAAGAGGCTTTAAGTAAAAACACGGCCTTAACTACTTTGACACCTTCGCGAGTATTATACGCTATTCCACCTTACGAGCACTACTTGCTATTACGGCTAAAAGAGACCTGGAGATTAAGTATATTAATATCGATATTACCTTCTTAAACGCGTACCTAAAAGAAGATATATATATAACAATTCCGAACGATAAGACGCCGGAGATATAGAATAAGCTTCACCTAGAGCTAAATAGAAGGAAAGACGTATATCTAAAGCTCCTACGCTCTCTCTATAGCTTAAAACAAGCACCTAGGGAATAGTGGCTCCTTATTAAAGATAAGATGAAAAAGCTAAGTCTAGAAGCGTTAGAGGCTAACCCTAATCTCTTTATCTTTAAGAATAGAGCGTACGTATTAGTCTTCGTTAATAATATACTAATTATAGGTAACCCTGCCGACTATGAATATCTCAAGAAATAGCTCTTAAAGACCTGGAAAGGTAAAGACCTTAGAGCTATTAATACGTTTATAAGCCTACAAGTTAAGAGAGATAGGAAGAATAAGACTTTACGGATTTATTAAATAACCTATATATAAAAGCTACTAAAAAGGTTTAGAATAGCCGCAGCTAGAGGCAATACCTTACCTATAGCCGCTAGAATAGTACTAAGGGAGTCAGCTAAAGATAAAGGTATTATACTAGCCTCCCCTGAAGAGATCTTACTATTTCAGCAGATTATTAGCTCTCTAATATACCTCTCGAACTTCACACGACCTGATATTACCTATATAATAGGCTAGCTAGCGCGGTATATATTAAATCCCCTTAAATCTCACCTCTAAAACACGAAACCTCTCCTCTGATATCTATAATATATAGAAGGTAATAGAATAATATTTAGAATCGGAATAGAATATAAGGGAAAGCTAGACGATGATATATTCGATATTTAGACTAATATTATGTAAGAGACGGAATACAATAGGAAATCGTTCTAAGGATAGATAGTAAGGTTCTACAGGGGTCTAATCTCTTAAGCTACTAATAGGCAAAGGTCTATAGCTCTCTCCAGCTTAGATTCTGAGATAATAGCTATTAGTAATAGCTCTAGAGAAGCAGCCTAGTTACTTAAGCTATAGAAAGACCTTAATATAAAGCTATCCCGAATTCCTACGCTATATCTTAATAACGCTAGAGCTGAATCTCTCTTAAAAGAACGGAAATTCTATCTAAAAGCAAAGTATATTAATATCCGCTAGTTCTATATTCGAGACGATATAGTTTTATATAATAAGTTAGTAGTAAAATACGTTCTAGGTAATAATAATATAGTAGATACTCTTACGAAAGCTTTACCTTCAGAATCGTTTGAATGATATAAGACGTATATAGGGTTACCTAGTAACAACTGATTCTCTAATAATAACTCTAAGATTAATAATAGTTAGCTAATTAATAGTAGACCTATATAAATCAAGGCTGTTTCTAGTAGTGGAACCTATAAAAAATAGAATATTCTTCGCGGAAAATCAGTCCTTTAATAAATATCTTCCTTAATAACAATATATAACTGCGAATCAAGTAAAATATAATATATAACTACTATACCTAATAGTTAAGATAAATCTTATTCCGCAGTTGAAGGAAGAAGGAAAGGAAATAGAACTAGAAGAGGACGACTTTTATATACCCTAGAGGCTAGAGAGAAGGCTAGTAAGGAATATCTTAGTAGTTATAAAAGGAAGGTGCGAGGTGACTATAAAGAAAAGTAAATAAGAGCGGCAGGAGTAAGAGATTATTAATAAAGGAGCGATTTAAGTGTACTCTTATACCGTTTTATATGCCTTAATACTATAAAGTTACTAAACTCCTAGGAAAACAGGAGACGTAGGCACTATATATATACTAGTATATTATAAGAGTTAATAAGGCATAATTAAGGCTCTTTATATAATACAAGTTATTAGTAATACTTTAGCGATACTCTAGCGTCGCTTCGGGAATATTCAGCGCTATACTACTTTAGAAGGCTCTATTTACTACAGATATAGAGAATAGGGGGGCTATTAGAAATATGGGGATTATAGGCGTAGACTCAGTACTGTAGGCCGTACTACTAAGTACGCTACCCCTTTATATAGGAGATTCTCTCTCTCTGTAGTAGCTCCTTATACAACTGTAATTATGACATACCTACCTATGAATATGTATTCGTGAATTATGAGTTATTGTTATGAAAGGAGGAAAGGAACTTAAGGCACTGATACCTGACCATAGAGAGGGGAGGAAGCCACAACATTTCTGAAAATGGAATCGCGGTATGAGATGGGTATATTCTTGAGAAGAATAAAACGTGGGAGAAGTTAGACTAGCCGAATGGTTATGGAGCAGTGAAAACACATGTTGCCTCTCACCTTCTTCTTCCTATATCTGGTTTGATTTCGTATTTTCATTCTTGACCAGTACATTGGCAAGCAGGATGCGACGAGGAGTCGGGCCCACCCACTTGTTGATTCCAGAGCAGGTCGTGTACCTTTCAAAAACTCGTTCTCTGACTGCTGGTAACCAAAATCTAGCTCAGCGAACCAGACGACAACCCAGACTGGGCATCATACTTCTTCGCATCAAGCTACGAAGTGTTCTGTATTGAGCAAAGGAGCCTTGACCGTCAAGACTCTGGTCCCTCAAGCGAAAATAAACAAGCCACTAGTTTTCACGGCCGAGTACTCTCAATGATGCTTCGAACAAATTGAGCAATGACTCGCAATTGGAACTAGCAAAAATTGATCAGACAAAACATTGAAAGCCTACAAGGAGTCCCGCAATGGTAAGAAAATATACAATTCTCTGATTTTGGTTCTTTCAGATGTTTTCTCGTGAGCTATGCCATATCTAAAAGGGGGTTTCCTTGGCGCGCTAAAACCAACCCACATCAACAACATCAAGTCAAGCTCACACGAGCTCCCCCATCCTCCCACCCACACCATCACAACCGCAACAATGCCTCTATTTCACCCTCGCCGTATAGCAATCCTGCTGTGCGTCGCAATTGTCTGCGTCTATGCCGAGAAACATGCCGCCTCCATTGCATCCATGAGCACCTCTGAAATAGAGGAGAAGCTACAGGTAAGCAAGCTACTATGGGAGAGCTGTCCTCCCACTCTTCCTCTTCTCCCCCGGCCACAACCCCTTCTCTAGCAGACTTTCTGGAGGAGCGATTGGGCTAATGAGTGATATCTAGGAATGTCCTCTCGTCCAAGATCTCAACACTTACAAACTCGCGACCTCTCCTCCAACATCCTCCCTAACCTCCCGCATCTTCTCCATCCTCTTCCCCTCCACACCTGCCGTCAACGCCCTCCTCGCTACGCTCTACATCTCCGGGCCTCCTAACTTCCTCCTCGCGCTCTGCCCGCCTAATATCGACCCGTCCTCTCTATCTGTGATGGTTGCATTTGCAGTGGGCGGACTCCTGGGCGATACCCTGTTCCACTTGTTGCCGGAGATTTTCCTCGGTGAGGATGCGGCGGAGGGAGTGAGGTTTGTCCTGGTGGATGGGAATAGGAATTTGTTGTTGGGGGTGGCGATCATGGTGGGGTTTGTGACGTTCGTGGCGATGGATAAGGGGTTGAGGATTGCGACTGGGGGAGCTGGCGGGCATGATCACTCGCATGGACATGAAGAGGTGGAGGTTGTGAGACCGGTGGATAGTGGGAAGGGGAGTGCGCTTGAGATTGAGGGGGATTCGCCTGCTAAGGGGACGAGAGCGAGGAAGGGGAAGGGGACTGGGAATGGGATTGCAGGGAAGGAGTTGCAGGTTGTGAAGGAGAAGAAGGAGACTGAGAAGGAGATCAATGCTAGTGTGAAGCTGGCGGGGTATTTGAACTTGATGTACATCTTCTCCCACTGTCTGAATTGGATTTACAGATGTGCTAATGCTTTTACAGCGCCGATTTCACACACAACATCACCGACGGCCTCGCCATGTCCTCCTCCTTCTACGCGTCGCCCACAATCGGAGCAACCACCACCGTCGCAGTCTTCTTCCACGAGATCCCTCACGAAGTTGGCGATTTCGCCCTGCTCATCCAATCCGGGTTCTCGAAACGTCAAGCAATGGGCGCCCAGTTTCTGACTGCTCTCGGCGCATTGCTAGGCACAGTGATTGGAATTGCTGTGCAGGAATATGGTGGGAGTGGAGCAGAGGGTGCGGGTGGCAGGTTTGATGGGTTGATGGGGACGAGTTTGACATGGGGCGATATGCTGTTGCCGTTTACGGCGGGGACGTTCCTTTATGTGGGGACTGTGGCGGTTATTCCTGAGTTGTTGGAGACGGGGAAGGATAGGGGGGTGGAGGTGAGGAAGACTTTGCAGCAGTTTGCGGCTATGGCTGCGGGGGCGGGAATTATGCTTTAGTGAGTGGTTTTTTACTCTTCATGTTTGGGGGAGGTTTAAAGGGCAGTGCTAATATTTGAATAGTATTTCGTGGTCTTAGATGGTGGATATATATGTTTGGTCATGGTATAGATCATAAAAGTGGCAGAGGTATAGAGACGGGAATCTGAGAAGAGTGGGTATAGAGAAGCAATGGTATGTATAACAGTAATCTTCCTTGTTCCATATTTCCAGAAACAATCTTGGTCGAGACGGCATGTGAGGAGCATAGGTACTGTAGGTAGGTTGGATGAGGCTCTTGGAATGGAAAGTGGAGCCCAATGTCGATGACCTAGGTAGGCATCAACTTTTCGTATCGTTTCTCCAGTGCTCTGATCTCGTTCCTTCTCTTCTCGGTACATCTTCGCGCGATATCCAGAGCGGGACACGTGGAAAAGGTAGTGGTTACTTACGGCATCCTCCGACTCATCTCCATTACCACCATTACCGACAGCGTCGCCAGATCGATCCAGACACCTCACTACACATCGAAATCTCTACCACGGTTTCTCAAACCCAGGAATAGCCTCCCACTTATTTCGTTCTTGAACGTGTCAGTGGATCCCAGATCGAATAGGCGCATCTAGGTGCATCTAGGCTAGGCTAGCCTTCGAGATTTGAGTGTTTGAAAGAATTCTGGGTTCGAGAAAGTATGGTTCGCGCGGCGCGGGTGACGTCTTTCCTCACTAGTGTTGTGCTAGTGTGGTTATATATCGTCATTTTTCAATCGTCATTTCGAAGGATCTTTGTTCTGTATTATTCGATTCATAAGGCTTTAATTTTCTGTTTTGGGTGATTGGGGTGGATGGACTGGATAGGATTGATGGGTGGGAATTGGGTTTTGGGATGGGGGAGGAGGGGGACGTTGATTTGAGGTGAGTTTGCTGAAGTGTGGTTTGGATGTGGGAGGATTTCCTGGGGTTTTGAGATGGAATTAGGCTAATTGTTTAGCAGGTTGAAGTTTTTCGGGTTGGTTTGAAGTAGAAACCGAAGGGGGATCAACATGCCCTGTGTCGCGGGGAGGGGATTGAGAAGATGGACTGGGGGTTGAGGGTTGAGAGGGGGAATGGTGGTGCTAGTTTGATGGTAAGTCTGCTTATATTGTCCTCCGCAAGTGGGAGGATGATGGGTAGCGAGAACTCTGTTTTAGTTTGGGATATTGGCTAACTGGTTCGAAGATAGATATACAATGAAGAGAAAATAATTTTCTTCCTTGCAGAGTCAGTGCCAGGTGTGATAAGACCTTGCCATTATGCTAGCTTAAACATTGAAGCTGAAAAGCATGTCCATTTTATCTACCAGCCTGAGCAAACAAAAGAGAGAAGAAAAATTTCGACCCGAGACGTTGTCGTGGGCTACTGTTGGGCTGGCAAGGCCTTGAGGAAACGAGCTACAATGAATTTGGCCCTCTCCCCTCTAGCCTTGACCTCTCTGGTGAGCTTTTGATGCGAGGACGTTCCCATGTGCTGCCTTCCTCGCCGGAATCCTGCTGCAACGAATGCAGAGAGCAAGCCCAGACCTTTGGTCGTTCTACCCTCCTTTCCTGCCCAGCCCAGCCCGGCCCTGCCCTCTGTTTCTACTGAGAACGAAAGGTCTCTTACTAAACGTCATCGGCTCAACATTTCGGTTTTCACCGACCGGATACACGTTATCTGTCCTGCTGCACTCCCATATGGCCAGTGCATTGAAGGCAGCCCAGGGCGGCAGCTATTCTCTACCTACACATTCGAATGAGTCAGATCAGCCTATATCTTTTCCCCGCCTGGTCTGTAGCATTTGCTTCAAGACTCCTGTTCTTACCCTGCATGATGCAATGATACAATGATGCAATGATCTGTCCTTGGGCCCATTATTGGTGGTAAGTTTCATGATAGTACATTTTTAGGTCTAAGAACGAACTAACGTTGCTTCTAGCTTCATGTCTAAGTCTAGGCCGGCGAGGGATATTTATTTCAACAAAACATTTTTTTTCACTCCTGCTATGGGACGAGAAGGTGCGTTTCGGCTGGATTTTTGTTTTCTTCTAATACGGATATTGACAGGAATCTCAGGGAAATTCAGGGGAATATTAGCACAAATTCTGGCACAAAGTGAATTCTCTCTATTGAATCTCATCTCGAGATATCCCATAAATTCCCACCTCTCCTCATCTCCTGTGAGTGGGAATTCCCACTTTCATATCTTGGAAGCGAAGATATATTGCTGGTGCCGCCGTCGACACGCCGGCGCCATTATGAGGGTTTGGTTCGCTCTTTCCAACCGCCAGCCATGACGGACCCACACTTGTATACTTTCAGCAAACATGAACCCTTACAATGACTTCAGTGTAGTGTACTTCACCAGCATCTTCTAGCCCTCCTTGGACAAGCGTACGTCCGCAGCAATCTTTCAAGTATCTCTCTGTCGCACATTCTTTTTATCTTTATTCACATTCTCTCGCAGAGCGCAGCGGGAATCATGTTTCTCTGGAAGTGAAAGAGACCTCGACACCAGCGTTCGCTCCTGTTTTTGCTCACAAAACGCTCATTTCCTCGTTTTCCGGCACATTTCAGTACTTATCTACACCTGATATCAACAGACACCAGTACTACGATCCTGAATCGAGTCTGAAGGAACGGAATACAAGGACTGCGTGGGGTATCGGTCGAGGATGGCGGGAGTAGGAGTCAAGCCGCATGCTCGCGGCTCGAGCTCCTCGAATCCTATCACACTCACCGATTCTTCCGCTTCAGCACCTTCACCTCCAGACGCAAACAAGATTCAGCCGCCCTCCATTGCCAACTCTCACAACAAAATCGCAATCCCATGCAATGGGCAATACCTAGTCAACAATGACGCACCATGGCAAACCCGTCGTGAACACACATCGGAAATCATACAGTTTGTGGAGAGTCTCTTTAAGGCCAATCCCATTATGCGAATGGTCGCCAAAAAACACGGAGACTTCGCACGTAAGACTGCACGCACAATCCAGAGAATGATCCATTCGGAGATGAATCAAGATCCCCCAATTGACTGGTATGTCCGAAATATATCTCGGCAGCATTCGCTAATGTATTAAGGCATTTCCGAGCCGAGACCTTGTTCCATGAAATTGCAGTAATGACCAATATCCACCCGCTGGTTACATGCGCTTTCAAGCTTCCGCTTCTAGTGCCAGCTCAGGACGTTTACCTAGACATATATGAACTTCGGCGAGAACTACACGCGATCTTTCAGAATTGGATTGACGAACAATCTTTCCATTTCAGATTGCTTCGGAGAATGCTGATCTGGATCCACTTTGCCAGGAGAGAACTGTGTGCCAGAGAAATGCAGCATGCGGTGATACTCTCATTCTCTGGATATCCACACCAAGAATATCCTCAACTTACATTTCAAGAACTAAACTGGATCGGTGGCGGCTTTATTCACTTCTCCGATGACCGATGCAAAATCTTGATACCAGAAAATCTCAGAGTCTCCCTCCGGGACTACTTCCGTCAGTATGGGGAAGCCTTCGACACCTACCGCGACATGGGGATGGCTTGCTTGACTTATATCAATCGGACACTTGCAATGAGTGATCTTTGTCCTGACAACGAGTCCTTGGATAACCGCGTCCGGAATTTCCCTCTCTTGCCGTATGCAGTTGAGAACTGGCATTACAATGTTCCTTCAGCGTACATGGAGAACGCTGCTGATTACCTTTACACCGATAGGATCATTGCGTGCATGATGCAGATTGAAAGCAAGATTCGGCTTCAACACCTTCCTGACCAAAACATCAACCAAGATTTGAGCCAGCACTTCCATTGGAACACCACTAGACTGTCTTACGCGGCATCTATTGGCAACTGCGCTCTTGCCGCCGTCTTCCTCTATCGCAATTGCCCTCCGAATGACAATATGAGTCTCCAGCCACCTCTTGTTGCAGCCGCCATGAGAGGGAACTTGGATGTTGTGCAGGTGCTTCTAACTTGGGGTGCAGATGTCCACTTCGCTGATTTTGCTGGTCGGACTGCTCTTCACGCTGCGGTGTTCAATGGCCATATCAGAATTGTCGATTATCTCCTATCTGTACGCGCAGATGTCAATTGTCATACGAAAGATGGAATGACGCCTTTGATGGCAGCTGTCTGCAATGGAAACATCCCACTCGCCAGGACACTTTTCTATTGTGGGGCAAAAGTCTATCTCGTGGCAGCGGATGGACAAACTGCTCTGTCGTACGCTCTGATGAAACCAGAATTGTTGGACCTCGCAATCGAGATGATTTTGGTGGAAGATACACGGCAAGTTTGGCCTTCAAACCAGAATGCCGACATCACTTTGTATGAGGCTTTTGGCGAACTCAGAGATCCTGTTGCTCGTACGCGACTCGTTGCTTGCATTCAGCAGCTCGAGACAACAATGCGTCGTCGTGGTTCACCAGAGGAGCAGAGAGCATGGGATGGGAGCTTTGTGCGGAAGATCCTTGACGAGATCACTGACGAAAACGATCTGAAAGCCACGGCGGCGAGTATCACTCGGCGACGCAAGTCAGGGGGCATGATAGTACCTTTGAGCAACAATTTCCGCCGGAGATATATGCTCAATGGTCGTGTTGGCAAAGGTGCATTCTCAAGCGCATGGAAAGCCATTGATTTGGGGACGGGGAGACTCGTCGCTATAAAATTCTTGCATTGCCCCAAGGATGCCGTCACCAGAGAAGATGCATTCAAAGAGAGCAAATTCATGTCTGAAGCACAACATCCGAATATCTTGAAATGCCTTGGCTCGATGACAATTCATGGTGACCCCGTAATTGTTACGGAGTTTGCGCAAGGAGGCGATCTTTGGCATTATTTGGATAAGGGGTTTTCTCGTGGTCTTCTCAATGAGGTTGCCAGGAGAATGTTCCGAGAGGTTATGGAAGGATTGGCCTATCTGGTAAGCCATTCGTGTGTTGCTCTTCATAGATGTTGCGCTAATCATTCGCAGCATTCTGCAAACGTGGTTCATAGGGATCTCAAAACCATGAATATTCTGGTCTTTGCGAACAATCATGTCAAGATAGCAGATTTTGGCAATAGTATACAGATACCAGCGCACCATAACGGATATGTCCGCCATATTCCATGCACGCCAACACGTACGTAATTTTCTGTATCCTCCTCTCCAGGCAACATCGTCTAACGTAATTGCAGACATCGCCCCAGAAGCCATTAGAGACGATCCAACTCGCGAGAAATGGATTCTTGCCAAGCCTTGCGATATTTGGTCCGCCGGCGTCTGCCTCTATGAGATGCTCGCAGGCAAGGAACCATTCAACTTACAGGCAGGGGAAAGGGACCACAGCGGTCTCCATCGCAGGATCCGAAGCGGGGACCTCAAGTTCGACGATGATGAAGTGTGGGCATGGCGAGAAGATCTGGCAATGCACCTCATTACTCGGATGATGAACTTCGATCCCAACAAACGACCCACGGCAGAGCAAGTCCTGGCTCATCCTTGGCTTACTCCGAATCCTGCTCGACAAAGAATGTTGGACATGGATGGCTTAAGAGCGCCGCATGCGCAAAAATCGAAGAGCTTCACTTCGCGGCGGCCGGAATGGCTTACGCCAAAGCCGAGGACGAGACGGGGTGACCATTCTGTTAGTGGACAGGCTGAGGAGGAATTCAACAGGGCGTTTTCTCCAGATACCCCTCAACAGCCCGGTGGCTCGTTCAGTAAACAATTGGAGGACTTTCGGAAGAATGAGGTGGATTTCTCGGGTTCTACGCCTTCGGAGTATCTGCCTTGACGCGGAAGAGAAGATCGATGGATTCGTTTTTTGAGCAAGCATTTGATTTCTGGCTGTGGATATTTATGGTGTTGACAATTCGATTTCGAGATCCAGAGGTCCTGTTCAAACGTGGAATTATTGGATTAATTATCTGGGTTCTCGTGTTTGGACATTGAACTTTGGACTTGGGGCATCATTTTCGGTTTTGGTTTCGGTTATCGTTGATTTGTTTGTGTAAGGGTACGAGATTGAGGGGGACTTAATGGGCGGATGAGGTGTATGAAGCGGACGAGGTGTACGGGTCCATGAGAATATGTGTTTACTTTGAGTTTCTTTTGCGAGGGTTTGAGATACGGCGGTGTCGCTACGGCGTGTTGCACTGTTGAGCGTACTTATTGTACTTTAAAGAGCATCATATCATTGAAGCGATATGCATAGCTTAGCTTAGCGATAGTTACCATATCCTTTTTTTCCCCCAATTTTACCTTTTACAGTGAGGGAACAGCGAGGAGGTTCCAAAGTCATGGGCACGTGATTGGTATGTAGCATGTCTTCTTGTAACAAAGATGTCCTCTTATCCACCTCAACAAAATCTGCATATAACAATATTAATTCATAGTTGGGTATCAAGGCAATGCTATATTGATTCTCCTCCAAAAATCCGAACTTGTCTCCTGACTCAGCCTTGCGTGACGTGCCCCTGCTGCCTTGCCCCGCACCGTCAGCCTTGTCGGCGAGGCTTAACATCTCTCCTCTTTCCTCTTTCCTCTTCCTCTTCTCTTCTTCTCTCGACAGTGTCAACAAAACCACACACCATACTATTCTCTAAAAAGGGCAGGACTACGACACCCAGACGTGCCTCTCGGTACCGGACAAATAGCCCAATATGCCGATTCCTATCGAAGTCATTAACGGCAAGAAGACTGTCACTGTCCTCGGTTTGTCAACTCTATCCTTTCTCCTCTTGTGATATCTAACAGATCTTTAGAAAACAACCCCGAAGTAATGAACGCCCTCTCCCTCAAACTCGGCCTCCCCATCTCCCCCGCCCTCCAATTCCACGACATCTACTCCCTCTCTGACCCCGACATCCTCTCCCTCATCCCCCAACCCATCCACGCCCTCCTCGTCATCCTTCCCTTCACCCCCTCCTGGCACGCCGACCGCGAAGCCGAAGACTCCCTTACAGAACCATACACCGCATCTGGCCCCTCCGAGCCCGTCATCTGGTTCAAGCAAACCATCGGCCACGCCTGCGGTTCCATCGGCCTCCTACACTGTCTGCTTAACTCGCCTGCTCGACACCACCTCCGTCCTGATTCTATAGCTCTACAGATCGGGGAAGCAGCGATCCCGTTGAAGATGGAGGAGCGTGCGAGGATGTTGTATGATAATGAGGCGTTCTTGGAGGCGCATCAGAGTGTTGCGGAGATGGGGGATACGAGTGCGCCGGGGGCGGAGGAGGGGGAGAGGTTGGGGCAGCATTTTGTGGCGTTTGTGAAGGGGGAGGGGGAGGGGGAGGAACATCTATGGGAATTGGAGGGGAGTAGGAAAGGGCCGATTAATAGGGGGTTTCTTGGGGGGGAGGGGTTGTTGAGTACCCGGGGGGTGGAGTTGGGGATTGGGAGGGTGATGGAGTTGGAGAGGAGGGGTGGGGGTGCGGATTTGAGGTTTAGTTGTGTGGCTCTTGCTGGGCCGGGGCCGGGGCCGGGACCTGGTGAGACGTAGAGATGGACGGTCTTATGGTGCATATTGGCGTTTGTGGTGGGAAGTTTGGGAAAGGCTATTGATATGGGATAGGAGAATTTGACTCGAATCTTCGGATTTCCACGCGGCGTTGTATCTATACATTCATTTTTGAGGGACCTAATCTGCGTACCGGCCACAAACCTCTTCGTTTAACAGAGGTACTAACGAAAAACATATTTTTCTGATTCGCAAAGATAATCCCCTGGACGAACTGTGTCTGATTGATTCAGCTGCTATCCCCTCAACTGCCGAAAAGACACTTCTCCATGTGCAAACGCTGATGCAGGTTCCAAAGTTGTCTGCCTCAAGTGCCTATCCCACAGATTACACGCGTATTTCAGGCTAGCCTAGTGCATGGCATCCCTTCAAGCTACCCACCACCTCTCGCTTCCTGTAGAACGTCTGTTTTGTTTTGGATCCGAGGGAATAGTTTCTCAAGAAAGTCTATACCATGTCATTTAACATAATTTCTCACTTCATACTTTTCAAATGAGTGGTCATGAATAATATAATGCTATGAATGTTTATTTACTTACTTGAGACCTAAGCGAGGAGAATAAATATTTTCCCCGCTTCACGAGATCACATTACAGAAGACGAGGCTGTTCGACTGTCGATGACAGGGGCTTAGCGTGGCATTTTCGCTTTGTTGCAGTGGATGAAAGGTCTATGTTTGGTTTAGTGAGACAGAGCTATCATCTAAACAACAAAATATGACCAAACCAGAGTTTCCATTCATAATAAATCCTGACAAAGACAGCCTTGTGGTCAATACCAGGTCAGGGAGCGTATTGTTCGCTGGCCACAGTCCTTTTTACAAATGATAGCGGTTCTGATTCCGTAAAAGCACCCGAATTTGATTTCTCGTACGTAAATACTACAGTTTGTCTTCCAAATCACTACAGTCCAACCGAGGTTATGCTAAGTGTATCTGGGACACTTGGTTGCAAGGCCAGGAAAGTTCGCTATTCTGGTTTCACGTTATTAAAGTCAACAAATCGGGAACGGCACGTCCCAGAACGTACGTTGGACTCATTGTTAGGCGATCAGTTGTATTTGAATTTTGTGCAATGCAATGCCTGACATCACCCACTGAAATTCTCCACTAGGCAATATGCTATTCCAACCTTCGTTTCCAACATCAAAGTCTTTTACCAGCCAGCTGTGTCTCCATCCTCCAGCAAACCTCCCTCTCAATATGCTTCAAATCCCACAATATCCCGCGCGCTAATCCACACCCTCTCTTTGACGCGCCATATGTCTTCTATGAGCTTCCATCACCGGACTTTCAATCCGCCGTAGAACCCTCGCGACATCCTGCTGGAAGTTCGATTTCCCGCAATCTGTATGCGTGTGGAAATGATAGATGTGGATGCTTTCAATAGCTGATACGACCTCATCAACACTGAGGTATATCTGCTCGGACGGCTTTATTGGCCATAGACCAGCTAGCTGCATGCCACGAGTAAGGCTTCCCCAGGAAATTGCATCGCAGGCATTGTCTTCGCCGCTGATATCTCCGAGTTGGCAGATATTGTCGTTGGTCCTTTCATATTTGGAGACCATGGCATAGGGAATGGCGAGAAGGTTGGTAATTGTTTGCTGACGGATTCGGAAGATGTGCTCTGCGTACGTGTCAGATGAAGCTCAATGTACTTCGGACTAGAAATTCATCCTTGTGAAGGGGACGGTGGGGTCAGGATCGAAATTACCGACGATATCAGGAGGGTAGGGCTCAGCCCACAACCATTTATACTTGTTCAAACGCTCTCCTTTCTCACTTGTCTTGACGTCCAGCACCATTGCCTTGGCAATCTTTTCGAATTCTTCCTCTTGTCCAAATACCCAGTGTGTGTACAGAACCTGCTCGGCCAATGGGTATTTACTCCTCAATTCCAAATTGTCATTCCATGTTTTCAGCCATGGCTGGACTAGCTGGACACACATGTACTTTTCGCGAAGGACGGCAATTTGGAGCAAGGCACTGAACTGGAGTTTCCTGGGTACCAGTCGGTGCTTCAGGTGTATGATATTCATCAGCACCAGTAGTGCCTCCCCATCATCCTCGATAAAATTTATCTCCTCGAAGGAACCCGTCGAGGAGCACGATTTGACAGCTGACTTGGATGATTCTGGTAAGGAGTGGTCTATCCGTGACACGTTCCATGGCGGGAAGACGAACTTTTTCCAAACCGCACTGCCGTGGATGAGGGCTTGCGAGCATACCTTGCCTACACGAACTTCGCCCTTATACGAAACACGAATCGGGACATCGCCTGCGTCGAAAACGAATGGATTTCGGGAGTTTCGGTGGGTCATGCTCGATCCTGGAGCCGGAGAGGAGCTCGGACTGGTGATATTGCTCATGTTGAGCGGTGGGAAATAGAGAACGGTATTCCGAAGGCGGAGGAGGATTTGATTCCTGTAGGCTTGGTCGCGGTTCTATTGCGGTCAAAGTAGGCGTGGAAATAGAACTGGATGCCGTAAGTCTACTTAAATAAAAGAGAAAGTCGAGCATCAAAGGCCGAAATATGTCAAGGTCATGTCGCGCGTCTTTTTGTTTCTCACCAGTATTTTAAGCGATATTGGAAGGTAGGTTCGAGTAAAGTTGTCGTTTTCGTGACGACCATTCAATTGAATTGTGCGCTGCATTGTCTTGAAACCCAGAAGTTCTTTGTTAATACTTTGCTTTGTTGCTGATAAAGCGTCAAAGGGTCAGCCTGACAATAAGGAAGACTTGGAGCAATAAAGCATTCTCATACATATATAGATAGTTCACGTCAGATACCAGTCTTGGCATTGAAAAAGTCCTTCAGGTGAAATAAGTCAAGTGATAGTTGATATCGAAATATTCTGAGCTTGAAGCTTCAACTATCTCAAGGGAGATATGGGAATACGATGCAAGCGAAGTTTTCTTTAACACTCCAGGCAAACTGATCCTTACCTCACTACCCCTAACGTGCTTTGCGGTTTTCACACTTTGACAGCTGACTCAGCGTGCATTGTGCGTTAAAGACACCAGGCAGATCTGTTGACAAGAGATGGAGTAGTTTGGGAGACTCCCTATGACTGAGTCATTGTGGAATAGGACCTTCAAGTTTCAAACACGGCATATCATGTTATTCATCAATTGCTACTGAGAACAAGAGTAAAATCAAGTCTATCTTCATCACAGCAAGGGTTTTCCGTCACGAACGTATCGAGTCAATCATCTCACAGAGCTTCAGTACCATTAGAATATCACGTGGCTATCTGAGATGGAGGACTTACAAAGAAGAGATGATACAATCAGGCTGAGGGGTGGTATAGCAATATTTTCCCTTCTGGCGCGGCGACGCATTGCCTTGACATCGACGATTGCAGTACGTGATGACAGCGTAAGGCCCGTCATTAAAGTCATGATCAATCTCAAGCGCAATCCAGGGATCTTGAGGTGGAAGACTGTAGCAGAGACCGAATGATCCAGTGTTTCTTTAGGGGTTTGAATCAGTCCTATGGTGAAGTTTAATTGGTGTGGGGATCTTTACGGCCTCACGCTGTTGCTTGGCCAAACATCGCCTGGGTTTGCGTTGTGGTTGCATACTGTGGTTTTATCTGTTCTGATTGTCAGCTGGTCTGTAGGGGGGTGCAAACAGCAATGGTCAAACTTACAGGCGCGCCAGGAGAAATCTTGGGCTGAAGCCAGAGTTGGAATGGAGAGTGCTGTGAAGGTAAGACCGAAACCCCCAAGAAGCATACTGAACGACTGATAAATTTCGATGGGGTTTGAATTCGATCAGATTGCAAATCGCAATACTGTATGTAAATAATGAAGAGGGTACCGAGTTATCTTTTTCTGGTGAGAAGAGCGTGTTTTATAGGACTCTCCAAAGCTGCGTCATATATCATTCCAATGTTTCTAATCTGGTGACATGTCCGCAGGCGAACGCAGTACAAGATACAAGGTTATACACCAACGCATATGTGAGATTCTATATGCAAGTTACCGATGATCTTCCACAGACCAGAGTCTCATCAGATTGGGAGCACACCGAATCCAAAAAGGGGATTTGCCTTTCTGATGATATAGGATATGCACATCCACGGCAAGCCGCATCGCCGAGAACACCCCCGCACATATCAAAAATGTCCCCACACCTGATATATCACAAGCCTCACTAAAACAATAATTTTACCAGTGTGGTGAAACTCTAAGCTACCAGGTTCATGTTTCGTTTTTTCCTTGCTAACGCTGGCTGTGTGAGTATCCGTCCAGCACAGCTTTGCTCTACGCACGCGGCGAGATGCTGACAGAGCAAGAAGATCGATTATCCAAGCCAAACATGCATTTGTATACACCAAACCGAACAATTAGAGAGAATCAAAAACCAGTTTGGAATGATACGTACAACTCAGTGAAGATGACTCATCCGGCATGTGTAGTACGCCAACCAGCTCCCATCGTCTCAGCCCCCTCGCTTAATGTGAGCCGGCAAGGCAGACTCGCTGGCAGACTCATCAATTGACACTGCTAGGAATTGCCAGCATCCTACAAATTACAGCCTCTCTCTTTCGTAGCAAAATGATTGAAATATTATTCCGAACCTACAAATATCATTTACAGCTTGGATGGAATTTTCAACAAGAGACACAAATCTATCTCCAGTGATGGATCCCAGGACTCCATTCAAATTTCCCGGCGGCGACATCCGACTTAAGGTCACGTACGGCGGCGAGGTAATTATTGGAAGCGTCTGCTCTGAGGCGATGGCCTCGGCATGTAAAGTGTGGAAGAACTTTGTGTATCCTCCATGGGCGGAGCAAGCCCCTGTGAATGCTGGCACTGCAACATGCGAGGCTGCAAGTAAGACGAGCACAAAGAATGGCTGTCAGTCGGCTGCTTCCCCTGCTTCAGTGGATTGCAGGTCTCGAAAGATCCATGTTCAGGAGCTGGATTTCAGAGAAGACGACGGCGAATCACTATTGATCCTTCTCAACATTGCACACGGCAAGTTCGAGGATGTACCTTCCGAGCTACCCTACTCTATGTTAGTCAGTATCGCAGTCTTGTGTGACCAGTACGACTGCGTGAAGATTACCAAGCCCTGGATTGAGGACTGGCTCAAGGGAGAAGATGTCCTATCACTCAAGCCTGGAAACGAGAACTGGCTGTTCATCACCTGGGTCTTTGGCAGGGTAGAGGTTTTTGAAGAGCTGGCTATTTATCTGATTCGAACAATTCGTATCGATGATGATGGATACTGTCGAAATACTCAGGATACACCTTTGGCAGAACCTCTCCCTGCTGGGATCATTGGTTAGTACTCCTATGTTCGCCAGATCCACAGCTTACTTTGAGTGAGGCTGACCTTGCTGTCAGAACCCATCGCCAGCATCCGAAAAGAAGTTTTACGTCAACTGCTATCACCAGCATACAAAGATTATGAATTATACGATCGCATGAGATACCCGATCTGTCGGCGCGGGAAGACAAAAGAAAGTCAACTTGCCTGCGACGCTTCGATTCACCAATCTCTCAAGACATCGCTGGAAAGAATTGGTCTCTTGCCGATGAAGCATCACAAGGAGATTCAGTACAATGTCAATGAACTTTGTGGCAGACTTCGAAGTATCACGATTGAACGAGCTGACCCGACTCATATGTGCGCTCCGCCATATAAGTATAGTGCTCATTTTCGCCAGACGATGATTAATATCCCGAGTCCTATGAAGAGGTTTCATATGGAGCATATGAGGATGCAGAGGGAGGCTTTGGATTTGGATTCGGGATGAGGCAGTGAGTGTGTAATTTGGGTTTGATACATCCCTATGCCGATTTGATGGCACTGTAGGGACTCTAGGCCGTACGAGAAGAATGCGGATTCTATGGTGTGGCGAACGGCAAAGGGCGACTGGAGTGACCATTTTAATGGGGGCTGTTAGAAAAGTCAGGGGGTTGTGCTGGAGTACGGCGGTCAAATTTGGTGGCTAGATGAACTGCATAGAGGAACAGAATAATGACGATAACCGGTTCTTTAAAAAAGTCTTTCTGTGCTATTCCATCAGGTTTTCCCACAAAATCTGCATTGGCCTTGTTGAGTTCACATTTAGAAGTTGATGGAGTAATTTGTACTCCAAGCACGTGACTCATGGTAAACAGCAAGCTTGCTTTGTTAGAAAATTAAAGAAGCCAAGAAGCTGCAGCAAACTTACGCTCCGCTGGCTCAAAGCAAAAGATGCATACTTTATCCAGGCCAATGCTGCACAGAGGAACAGATTCATAGTTTCATCCTATCGTTATTTACATCACATCCAGATTCTACCAAGGGTTGGTTTGGATTTCGCTTCGCAGCGGGTTGTCTAAAAGGCTGCCCCACATGGACACTGTAAGAAAAGGAGAAAAAGAAGAAAAGTGAATATCGTCAAAAGAATTTCCATCCTTGCAGTTGACAAAATGCAAAATGCAAAATGCAAAAATACAAAAGAAAAATTTTATATCTTGATCGACGCAGGGATCGAACCTGCAATCTCTTGATTCGTAGTCAAGCGCCTTGCCATTGGGCCAGCCGACCAGTTATATGCTACGAAGCTGCTTATTTGGTGATATAGTACCAGTAAGAATTGTCGTGAAAAACTTTTCAACCGGCCGCACTCGTTTGGCTTTAGCGTGAGAAGCCCCACCTTCGGCTGTCGCTCTGCTTTGTTTACCTACTCAGCTCCCCCTCGCCGGCATGACTGGTAGAATATTTATATCCAGCCAGATAAATTCCAGTGTATCGCCAAAGATAATACGATGAAACGTCTTCTGGAATGGAGTGATGTTTTTGAGTGTAGGCAGAATAACACCAAGCGCGTTGCTGCTCGATGCAAAGCTGAAGAGCTCCTGGGCTTGGCTCTGCATGTTCATCTGTCGAGAGCAAAACTTCATTGTTAAATCTAGTGTGATCCCGAGGATGGAAAACTAATTTAAATCTAACGGAGAAGTGAATTGTACTTCCCTTGCCGTCTTTAGGCCAGGCCATCTTCCACCAAATGTATCTACTCCCGAGAACAAAACCACAACGTCACTTCTTGTGAGCCTTCTTCGTGGCCCCGATCTTCTCACGAAGGCGAGCGATACAAACACTGAAAGTACACCAGGAAATGCGTCAATTGCGGTCGACGCACCCGAGCTATCTTTCGACCAGCTCTTCAGCTTCGATGGAGGAGATGTTGATGTTACCGTGATGGTCCAGGGAGAGATTATTAAAGGCAAAGTCGCGTCTCAAGCTATGGTTCTAGCTAGCCCTGTGGCTACTTTCCCCTCAACTCCACTGCTTGCAAAATTCGTGCGAGGGCCTACGACCGTTGAAACAGAGGGGGTCTAAGCGTAGAGAGGATAACTTTGCACCTCTCTCCTTTACTCTCTTCCTTCCTATATGCGTTCGCTCTCCTCAGCAAAGTTTTGATTTCCCCACCCACCGTCCCTCTGGGTTTTTGTATATAAAAGTAATCAAAGAATCTACTCTAGTGTCTTTAGTTCTCTTTAGTGCAGGGATAAGGTGGTTTTGTAGCCCTCGAGCACGCCCCCTCACTGTCGAGAGCTGAAGGCACTAGTTTCTGCCAAACACATCTTGCTTGCCTTTTTGAAGTGAGACGAACGCACGATTAGATAGCGTCGGGCTTTCTTTTATGATAGTTGACATGGGAAACTTTATTTGGACAACTGGAGTTGCATCACTTGCTTGGCTATATAGACAAGCCGGAAGCTTGGTTTGGACAATTGGAATTGTAGCGCTTGCTTTCGCGAAGTAGACAAGCAATTCTGATGATCCGTAGACGGTCAAACTATATTCCTTATCATTTCTAAGCCATCGTCAATAATGGTGAAGTCAAAGATGCAATAAATCAGACTCTCCAATTGGAACTCACATCGCCCTTCCCGTTTTGCTCTTCCACGTTGTACCGACAGTTTAAGATACTTGCTGGCTGAAACTACGCATATAGCTTACCACTCTATCTTTTATTGACCTCTATAATGGAAGTGGAGCTTGGGAAGCTTCTTAGTACTTCATCAGATTGGATGATTGAAGTAGCATTGCATTGTTTAGGGTAACTACCATATGGTTTTACACAGCCTGTCCAAAGTTTTTCTTCTTTAATTCTTCCTTTTCCTCTACATCTTTCAAATACGGCGCAAAGAACAAATCTCCAGTGATAGCCTTCCGGATCGTTGTAGTTGCTACCATTATCCACAATAACGTCACAATAACGGAGAGAATCTGGAATTGGAAGTCAGCGACTGCTTAAACGACGCTAAGACTGTAAGGAATACGAACGGTGCCAAGAACTCTGAAAAAGGCCGAAGGTAATTCCATACCCATCTGAACTGTCGAGGTAGTGAAGACTCCCAGTGGGAAAGTGAAACCCCACCATCCCATATTGAAGGGGAATTTGCTCCGACTGATACTCGCCAATGCGAAGAAGAGCCAGACTAATCCAAATCCCCACATAATAAGAGCCATCAAATAACCCATCACGTAGAGGATATCCCCAGACTTGGTTGTAGCCTCGCTAAGCGTTCTAGTCTGAGGAAATATCTTCATGGCAACCATCCCTAGTTTCTGAATGCCGAAGCCGCCTTGGCCTAGAGGGCCGAGGGGGAGAAAGACCGAGACAATAACCTCGCGAGGTGGGAGTTTGTGGATCGTCAAACGTTGAAAATATACTACCAGAACTGCCATGGCGAGTGGAACGCCCGTTCCCCATAAAATATACGATACTATGACCGTGATCAAGGCGTGCTGGGGGTTTGGGAGAACATCGGCGACGATGGCGCCGGTAGCAGCGGCGACAATAGGAGCAACAATAGGGAGAAGCCAAGCGGCAGTCATGGATTTGAGTTCGGCTGTGTGAAGAGACATACTGTGGGAATGTGTTCAGCGTTCGACCTACCTGAGTTTTGAGGAAGAGTCTTACATTACAAAGGGCAGATAGAGACAGACTGCCAAGGAAACTGACGCGTCAATCCACCAGAGAGCCCAAGCCTGCTATGCTTAGTTTGGAATGCCTTTCTTCGACTTAACTGTTACTTACCAGTTGGGCGGCTCTGTAGCCCCATGCAGGCACACAGACGAAGACCACCATGTTGACGATAGTTGCAAATCCCATAGGAAAGGTGCCTAGAAACAGAGATTGTGCTGGGTGCCGGATCATAGCTCTCCAAATGGCAGGGTACAGAGTGTAGCCTACGATCGAGATACAGAGGAAAGTTGTAAAGAGTGCCACGTTGAGACAGAAGATCACGACAGAGATCCAGTAAAGCCATCTTCCATTGTAAGGGAGGTTGTGAAGCAGGATTGACACAATTCCCGTGCCCATGTTTACCGAGAACCATCTAAGTAGATGTCAGAATACCAAGATTGGCGAGATGCTTTGAGCGAAACCTACGAAGGTGTGAAATTTCGGACAATCTTTCTCCATCCACGGCGGTTCTGGTCGTCTTTGGGGGATAGGTCATCCCTCTTAGTAAGGTTTTCTGTAGAAGACAGCAGTTCGCTTTCTGGTGCAGCGCCCTTGAGCTTTCCAGTGTCACCCATCTGCGCACAGGCGTTTTCTGACTGATTCTGCTGCGCCAAACCATCCTGAAAGCGGGTTGGGATCCCAGTAGGATCCATCAGGTTGAAATTGAGATTGAGGCTTTCTGAGAACGAGAAAGAGAGGTCGATGGGTCGGTGCGAAAGTTCCTACTAATCTCGTAGTGAAAGTAGTAGTAGTAATAGTAGTACTAGATCGTCCTCGCGTGGTTGCTATGAGTGTAGAATTAGAAGTAAAGTTTTGTCGCCACACAGTGGAATCATGTCTGTATTTAGAGGCCTCTATTCAAGGGCTGCTGTTTCCAGACAGGAAATGTTTCCGGCGTCATGTCATGATGATACAGAGTGTAACGTACACTGGAGGTACCGGGGCAAGTTGTAAAGAGTGCCACATTGAGGAAACTTAATTAAATGGTAATGACGACAGTCGCAGCGTTTGTGTTACTATCCCCTCCCCTGAAATAATGTTTAAAGTGTGGAGGATAAGGGGCGGAGGCTTGAAGACTTAGTTCTCAGTGGTTAGATAGCCTTATCAGTCTTACGAAGTTAAGGCATGAGTTAGAATTAGGTTTGTTGTAAATATCAGGGTAACTGCAGAAGGTTCTGTTCTAGAGGACTACAAGGGCCTGAAGCAGCTACTTCTGTTAGATAGATACCCTAGAAAGCTGCGTATACTGACTCCAGTTTTCTAGAGATTTAACATTATTTCAAGGGGGGGATGATAGTAGTAGAGAAATGGAAGCGCGCCAGGCGGTAAGATTTCGAGTACGTTCACAGTGCCCTTTGCCTCGTGAAATAGGCAGGTGACGCGCGGCGCACGCCAATGGACCAAAAGCCATGACCAAAAAGTAAAAAAAGCACCTAGGTGACTTCCGAAGGGGCCTTTAGGAAGTGTTCATAGCCCTCCATAAGTAACATCTCGCTTACGATCATCCGTAGGCAATAATTCGGCTTCAGTACTTCATCCAGTGCTAGTATCGCACAATAGACCAGTTGGGTATTGAATTGGAGTAATGAAGGGATGGTATTCCATTCTGAATTTCTTCCTACTCACAAGGATTCGGTCCACGATTCGTCCATTTTTGCAAGCCCAATCCTGCGCTTTGGCTGCTGGGAAGACAAGGACAAAGGGGAGCGGTGAGTGCCCAGCTCCGGGGCACTACCTAGGGGATTGAAGCCTAAATTCCCGGCAAATATCTGCCGCCCTAGAATCTCTCTGCAAAATCCTGGAATCTTTGTGTTAAAACAGATTCGAAACAGATTCGATGGCATCTCATAATATTAGAGTTACGATTCCTTGCTGGAGTCACGTCGTTTCTACTATTCAAAGGGATGTGAACCCTCAACTGCCGAAAACACACTATTCTAGGGCACGTCGCTGAAGCGAAGCGCTAAGGCTGCCTGGAAGATAACGATTTTCAGCGTGTTTCGCTTAATTACAGGGTCTCGCTACAGGTGTGTTTGATACGGCAGTTGAGGGGATGCCTTCAATTTCTCATCCAGCCCCATCATGCTGCACCGGACCCAGATACGAAGTATTACTCTGTCCTATGTTCAAACCCGTCCCCAGGCTCAATTTAATGAGCCTCTCGCGCTTCAAGATTGTGCCTCCAACTCGATTGTTTCATTGATTGCCGACATAAGAGTAGCGCGAAGTTTGTTTTACTAGAATCGATCGGCCGCTTGACTCGTGCTTTCTCATCCCGCCGTCGTTCACAGTTATCCTACGATCCCGGATCCAGACCACCATGAAGTCGGCTAACAATTCGCATCCAACGTCTTGATCTTTCTCGTCCTGATACGTAGGACGTCCCTTATTCAAATGCCATCCGTCCCTCGTCATCTCAGATTTAGAAATCCGAGGCGAATTCTGCTGACTTATCTCTATCCAGTTCGTTGAAGGAGGCGAGGTGGTGTCTTATCGTTGGCAAGCTGCAGCGTTCTTTCTATATCGATCAATCCTTGGTTCATCTTTCGGGGTGCAATTGCTGTATGCGACAATGGGTTTTTCGTACAAGTTTGCGTGCCCAACAAGTCGGAAGAGGTTATGGTCTTTGAAGAAGTTTTGCTCGTACTAGCTTGGCGGTGTGGTAGATCTCCAATTGAGACATATTTGAAAATGGAATCTGAACATCGAGATAAAGACTTCGTTGAAAAGATATAAGTAATATAGAAAAGCGGACCTGACTTATGCCAAGGCTGGGGTGAGGAATTTTGGAATTATAGACTTCGACAAGATGTCGTTCCCGTTGGTTTTCACACTGCACTCATTAAAACGCAATCCATTGACGGAATAAAGGGAACGTTCGGGAGACTGTAGTAGACTCATTTCTACTTGACTACGTTACTACATTTACAATAACAAGTTCAGGACAGTCAGAATGCAATGTTTTGGATCTTCGTCCGAATGATGACCTCAACCCTCGATCCCTAATGGAACCCCTAACTCGCGGTAGATGCGAGCTATGTAGCGTCGTCCCCGCGAACTCTGTGCCTGGCTGGACGCACCATGCACTACAAATGAGGACTTCTAGCTGTGCTAGCGTTGTCAGTCGCATGCTCAGGTTCAAGGCTACATCAAGTACAGAAGAGGTCATTCAAGGAGGTTGCGCTCAAGATGACGAACTCACTAAAGGTTTTGGGTGGTGTATGCTTGACCTCGACTGGTGAAGAACTCGCTGGACCGCTGCCTGATAAGATCATTGGAGAGTACTGGTAGTATTGCTCCCCCCGATGCCAAGGGCAAGCTGACTTTCGCAGAGAATATAATGGCCATGAGAGCATCTATAGTGCAGGAAATTCTTGACTTTATCTACGCAGAAGTGAGGAAGTATAGCAATATCGCACGCGTGGATGAGTCTCTCTGTAGGAGCGGCAGAATGAGCTGCGACGCCATGGTCTACGGTGACCTTCTCATCGGCTTACAGCAGAGCGGTCTCTGGTCTCCAGTTGAAGCTTGTAAAATTCTGGGCTCAGTCGGCCAGTTGGCGAGCACAATTCGAGAACTAAAGACTCATTCTCATCCACAGACAGGTGGCAGAAGTGGGCCAACGCATCGCGATTTCTCGGCGTTTCGAGGATTTTCCAGTCATGGAGCAGATGCTTAAGGATATGCCGACACTGGTACTTGACTGTTATGTCATACACCTGCGGAATCGAAGCACTCGTCCCTGAAGAAGTTCTTATGTTTGACTCTGCCTATTGTGAGAGGTGCTCGCAAACTCATTCCTCTATGATGGCCTGCGCTGTTAATGAGAAGAAGAGATCAGCTCCCGACGAGTGAGTGTAGGAGAGGTATGGATGCTGGAGATGAGGCAGTGTTGTAGCGAGCTAAAATTGCCCGTCAGGCTGTAGTAGTTCTTTAATGTAATAATCTATCCTTCCATGCGCCTTGATGTATCGTCTGGTTGATTTGGAGCAAGCAACGAGCTTTCATTCCTGAGCCCATCTTGTGCAATGAGCTTGTTTAGCTTTGTTCATTATCCAGTGATTCCCTATCAGCTTGCATCTGAATCTGTTAGCTAAAAGTGGGAACGATCGAACCTCTTAGACTTTCCCCAGATTGATTTCAAGGATGGCTTTTACACTGATTGTGAACACTAGTGAATGAGATGTCTGGGTGTCGTAACTATGGTAACGGAAAGTGGACGCCTACTAGGCAGGTTGTATGAGGGTAGTTTAAAAGCACGTGAGAGCAAAATTGGACGCTGCCAAGGTAGGTAGAGATAGTTTGTCCCCTCAACTGCCGTAGCTAACACACCTGTAGCAGACCCTGTAATTAAGCGAAGAACGCCGAAGTCTGAATGCTTTGTTGTTATCCAGGCAGCTTTAGCGCCTCGCTTCGGCGCTGTGCCCTGGACAGGTGTGTTTTCGGCAGTTGAGGGGATAACTCGGTCGTCGATGTCCCGCCTATTTTTGTAACCTGTAAATTCTCGAGTTTCCAACCAGATCCCGACAAGTAACGTCGCAGGTTACAACACATCCAACTCTCCCCAGTCATGGCGCTATCTAGTGATGGCTCGTTCAACCACCTCTTTATATTTGATTGGGGAGATCTTGATATCCAGGTAACTTGCAAAGGAAAGTTGGTTGAAGGCAGGGTCGTTAGCCACGCCATCTCACTGGCTAGTCCAGTAAGTTTCCCCTGTTCCCAATCATTGGAAAGATTTTGAAAAACCGGTTAATGGAAACCTAGATCTGGCACAAGCTTCACACCCCACCTTGGACCACCTCCAACTCAATCACATCCCCACCATCATCGATCTCCTGACTATGTACAACATCGTTGCTCTTTGCGAGCAGTACGATTGTTTGTGCGTTGTCAGTCCTTGGGTCAATAATTAGCGGAAGGACTTAAAGCGTGCCCAGTGTAGTCGATAGTTTTGCCGTTTCGTCAAGAACTAGCACTGACTGCCGTTCGTTACCGCCTACTATAAACGAACTGACGTTGAGTCTAAAGCTTTAAAACGGCCGTTGGTTGGTCCGGAGGCTCGGTAAACGGGTTCGTTTTAACCCGTTTTAGCTAGTATTCCAAAAGGCGAATCGTGATTATTCTACTGTACAGAGGTACAAGGCTTATCTCAGCTCTTAGACTTTACTTAGGGGCTAAGGGGTAGCAGAGTAGGTGAGACACACTAGAAAGCTGATTAGCTCAGTGGGTCTTAGCAAGTCTTACTAGGTTCAGGATTACTAAGCTAGGAGGCCTCTTCGCGAAAGCGATCTAGAACACACGATTTCTACAGTAAAAATCACTCTTCGGGATCACTGGAATTAGATATCTAGAGTATTTAAATTCGTAGACTAGTATTTATAGGTTAAATGATAATACTGTTTTAAAAGGGCTAGGGATTAATAAAGCAATTGGAGACTCTGTAAAGGCAAATTTATAAGTTAGTTTATCTCTTCGTTCTTCAGAACGACCCTGTTCCATTTGTTTTAGCTGTACTAGAACTAACTACAGTTCGTAATTAGGTGGTAAAACTACAGTTGGTTTAAAAGCCTTAAAACGGGGTCGTTTGAACGGCCGTAAACTATCGACTACACTGAGCGTGCCAGCACTGATATCGATGGCCTAGATGCTATCCCGGAACGCCAAGCTTATATCTTCTGGGCTTTTGGGGACGTTGCTGCGTTTCGAAAGATTGCAATATCTATGGTACTAATTCGGAAATCGGCACTCTTGAGGATGATACTGATCTTGATCTTCATCTCTTACAAAAAGTCTTCCCAGAGGGTCTCTATGGTACATTTTCTCTTCCAGAGGTAGATTCTCAGTACGATTATCTAACAGATAACAAAGAGAGCATTCAAGATGCTAGATTGAATGTAATTGAGAACTTAGTTCAGATAACCTATCACGCTATATATGGTTATATCTTGGTATATGAGAAAGTGATCGAGGCGTCATGTTTACACTCATCCTTCGACTGCGACATGTATCATTACGGCGTTTTGCAACTCAAACTCGAGGAGTTGGGGCTATGACCGCAAGAAAGACTAGTAAGAGATTCAGTCAAAGCTCTAGTCAAAGTATTGGACGAACTCTCCGTTCGCCACTTTGGAGATGGAGACAATCATGGTAAATGCGCTCCGGGGACTAGTCATGGGAGGTCAAGTCCTCTTTGGACAGCATCCAGGACCCAACTCTTGAAAGTCATATCGCACATATGGCGCTCAGGATAATAATCATGGAAATGCCAGGCGGTGACGAAAACAACGACTATCCCAAATGCGTCCGCTGCACAATCCGCCATCCGACCCTTTAGGAGTGTCCACCCAACCTACGAAAGCGTTCAGAAGAATAAGACATTTTTGAAAAGAAAGAGGGATGGATTTGTAACTTCAAACTAGATGATTGCTTCAGCTTGAATAGCGCACTTTGAGCAACGGATTCTTTCGTCACCCATCCCTGGAGGAGTGATGTGAGCAGTCTGTTTATTATGGCGATATGATGGTTTCTGAATTGAAGACATGTTGTCTCCTTGGACCTCTAGCATAGCGTACTGAAAATAAATTACAATTGATCATAAGTTTGTCGTATCCAAAAAGTGAATCCTGAAAGTGAAGCGTGGTATGAATGTTACATTCGACTTGGCACCTCGCTTATTTGAAGGACGGCGGTCCGCTCCTTCCTTTTGTCAACTCCTTTCCCAAACCCTATTTCAACTCAACTTTTCTTCCAAAACCAACTTCTTACCAACAACACCATAATATACCCTTTGAAGACACCCTCCGACCATCTAACTCCCATCAGATCAACGCCGCGATGTCGTCTGCCGATTCCGTCAGCAATCCCTTCAACTTCAAGGGTGGCGACGTCAAGATCAAGGTCAAATACAAAGGAGAGGAGATGGTGGGTATGGTCGCTACTCAAGCCATGGTATTGGCAAGTCCTGTAGGTATCTTGATACATTTGAAACACCGTCACAGTTGCAAATTCCTTCGCATGAAACGAATTAGCTCATGAGCTCATGCTACAGTTCAATGCTAATGCATCTCGTAGGTCTGGGAGAAATTCATCTTTCCACCATGGTCCAACGAATCCTCAAAGGTGAAGGAGATTGATTTCAGCGGAGACGACGGAGAGGCAATGTTGATCCTACTCAATATCGCTCACCTGCAATTCTGCTATGTCCCGAACGAGTTACATTACCTGCTGCTGTATCAAATCGCCATCCTCTGCGAGCAATACGATTGTCATGCTATCCTCAAGCCCTGGCTGGAAAGTTGGCTTAAGAATGAACCCAATGATCTGTATGCAATTGGCAAGGAGGAGTGGATCTATATCGCTTGGGCATTTGGCAGGGAGAATTACTTTCGTTCAAAAGCGACGCTTTTGTTGCTACATATCGAATTACACCAGGATGGATCTCCTTTCGTTTTCTATGGCACAAAAGTTTCAGAGGTGATGCCAGACAAGTTCTTAGGTAACAGATATCCCCCTCTATGGTATGAGAGACGATATTTGCTCATCTGAAGGTGCTTGATATAGAAAATATTATGGTAATTCGCGAGGCAAAGATAAATGAGTATCTCAACCTGGTTTACAAAGAAGTTGACCGATATATGCATGGCAAGAATACCGTTTGCGGTTGCGTACTAGAACGGAAGAGCTGTGATGCAGCTCTGAATGGCGCACTCGTCCTGGAGCTTGGACGCGCTGGACTTTGGCCCCGTATCTCAGCAAAAGACTACAAGGGCACGCTCTACAGTCTGAGATTTACCATTCAATTCCTGGACATCCATCCATATCAATCAACTACGAGTTGTGAGCAGCGTCAGGATCACAGCGATTGTGGAGTAGCTTCTGCACAGAAAAAGTGGGTTGATATCTTGTGTGAAACCTTACCCAATGCAGTTCTAGACTGCCACACCCGCCATATGAAGATGAGAAACGGAACTGCTACCAGGACCGAAGATGGACAAGATCCTCGATGTGTCCGCTGCAATACTTACCACGTACCCACCAACAATTGCCCTCCCAATCCACGTAAACGACCAGCGGAATAGGATCTGTCCACATCATAAGACAGTCCTTTATCCTGACACAAGAGCAGTCCAATGGCAGGAAGGCTTTATTTTCTTAGATGGAAAGAAAATTGTCGAGGAATCTCGCTTGGCTAACATATGAAAATGATGGAAGTTGGTGGATGGTGCTTACTTCATCACATTAATATCAATGATCGAGTTTCAGCATTCGAAAAATATTGCACGAATATTCTTACTCCCATTTTAGCATCACAAACTGATGGCATATGTGGCAAAGACGATTTCACACATACGAGGGGAGCAAGATTAAAGGCAAGTAGAATTTGAGAACAATACATATCGATGAATAAAAACACGCGAGAAAGTGATCAGTTCCCACGAAGCGTGTAGAGATCAGAATGATGACTTGTCGTTGTTCTAGGACGAGGTTTGTTTCGAGCCAGTACTGGAGTGCCTAAATTAGACGAGTACGCCACCAGATTTTGATCTTTAGAATAGGTAAATGTAGCTTCTCACCTGTCTTTGAGCAGCACCGTCAACCTCTTCACTGGAAGCCCACCATTATAATCCCAAGATGGTAGATCCAGATGATCGAATATATTTGGAGGGACACTCAGCACCCCGAATTCGCGAAGCCTATCCCTTCGACAAGCGCCTTGTCTCGCTGAATGGGGACGCGAAAGTCTTGGCGCCTTCGAATTGTTGAGGCTGTCTTGGCGTTGCTCTCTTTATTGATCATCCAAGGATGTACAAAGCTGACGCATACTCTCTGTCAAGGCTGAAGGTTAATCTCATTATTTCTGAGATTGAAAAACAGTTGTCGTTCCTCCACATTACCTACCATCTGAATAGCGATTAGTCTTCAATTTCGTCCATTCGCAGTCCGAAAACAATCCAATTCAAGTAAGATTAACTCATATATGCATACATCTAATCTGTGAGTTCAATATCTGCTCTGATTTATCAGTTACCAGCAGTGGCAAGTTCTCTCTGACAGCTTTATCGAAAGCGTTTTGGCTTGACCAGTGAATGTTTGCCAAGCCAATGTCTTACTTGGCTTAAGCGAAGCCTCTACTTTCTAGTGACAAAATCATTCATGTATATTCCTACCCTTCTTGCAATCAATCAAGAACAGTCTCTGTACAAACAGCAACTGCAACATCAAGAAATCTTGACGCTAGCACAAACTTCTCCCAACAATCAACATGGCAGAACACACTCCTCATCCTGCCACAGACACGAGCAGCTCGCGTACCTCAGACATCTCAATGCTCCGGCCAAGTTCAACCGGGCCAGAGAATCCCTTCACCTTTGAAGGAGGTGATATCTGCATCACCGTCAACTTTCATGGCGAGGAGATGAAAGGCAAAGTTATCAGTGGCTCCATGGCGTCTGCCAGTCAGGTAAGGCATATTATACAAAGTGCACGTCTGACCGCAGAAACTTGGTTACTGATCTTGTTCAACATAGGTCTGGAAGAGATTTCTATTCCCACCATGGTGCAAAGAAGAAGATGGCCCTGTTAAGGAGCTGGATTTCAAGGAAGATGATGGTGAAGCTCTCTTGACACTCCTACGTATCGTTCATTTCCAATTCGCCAAAATCCCCACGTCTTTCGAGGCATCGATCAAGCCTCTCTATGACATTGCTGTGCTCTGCGAACAATACGATTGCGTTTCTATTGTCAAGCCATGGACCGAAAGATGGTGTGTTAGCCTACATGATAAGAGCTTGCCATTGTTTGCAAGTGATACCAGACGGAAGGTGTACATTGCTTGGGCTTTTGGAATGGCAGACAATTTTAGGCACACGGCGAAGACAATTCTGGAGAAATGTACGGCACAGGAGAAAGGAACCTTGCAGGACGATGAGGCTATACTCCCTGAGAAGTTACTTGGTATGAGCAGCATTTGGAACCGCAGGCTTGGATACATGCTAATAACGAGACTTGCAGAAAGCATCCAGAGTATTCGTGAGAATACCCTGACTCAACTTCTCGATATTCCCTACCAACATCTTCAAAGATGCACGAAGACATCTCCCTGTGGCGATAAACGATGCAATCCTCTCATATACGGTAGTCTCTTACTGGAACTTGGTCGACGCGGATTGTGGCCTAAAAAGACGCCAGAGGAGATCAAAGACTCCGTCACAACTATTGCAGACCTCATACGAGATATAGAAGTGCTCTATCCTCGAGAACACCCCGCAGATTTGGAATTGATGAGCTCGGAAGAGAAAACGCACTCACCGTGTCGAGTAAACTACAGCAACAAGGTATGCAGGGTCATGGCCGCTATGCCAAACCCGACTCTTGATTGCCATCTCCGACACATGCAGCTTAGGAGCGGGATCGCCACTGTTAAGGAGCTTACTGCTGCTCCATGCAGTCCGGGTTCTTCAAGTTCGTTCTCAGAGCCCGAGAAAAAGCGACCAATGGTTGTTATATCACCAACATCCAGCCCAGCGAATGCTAGGGGCTCTTCGGCTAGACAGAATGGCTCTCGCTGGTCATCCCTGAGTTCCGCAGGATCCAGGGCTCCACCCTCAACTAGCACATCACTAGGGTTCTCTTTAAACAGACGAGCATGCCGTTTGTGCGGAAAACAGCATCTTTCCTCCTTTGGTTGTGATGGAACTCCAGTTCGTGGCACGAAACGACCACTACCCTACTAGCAAAGTCTCTCATCGCCGCCCCTCCACCATCTCACCAACCGCATAGACCCGAGTATATCACACAATTTCAATCTCCAGCTGCTCGGTTCTCATCTTCCCAGCTTCCAACACCATCCTAACCTTGGCGGATTCAACTTTCGACTTGCAGCTGTCATCATTATTGGTCATGGTAGGCTAGGATGGAGGGATGGTACTCTGATTTGGAAACTGATCTGCGGACGGGTGTGAGGGATCATGAATTTATACACTCAGAAATTCAGACTGTGACTGAGTCGTTCCATTTCAAACCGAGCATTTCCTTCCTAGTGAGTACGAAGCAGAGACAGTGAAGGGTGGACACAGGTTCGTGGGACAGTGGGGGAAGATCCTAGAGCTGCAATGAATGGTTTGACAAATTTCAAATTGGACTCGACTTTTTCGTTAATTGATCCTTGCTGCGTCCTCGATGAGAATGGCGACCAGGACATCAATGGTGCCTGGTGGTGAATTGCTCATGGAGAGAATATAGACCCACGTAGTAGCTACCGTGACTTCAAAGTGTTCACGGCTCCAGACGTTGATGATTATTTATGTTTATTGAAGTCCCGTGGGGTGAGGTACTGCCAATCACTGTCATGCCCACGAAATAGGACTATCTATCATTGTGGATAACTGAGGTCTATGGTAAAGCTTGCAGACTAGAAAAAAACACCTTTGCTGAATGCGCGTACTGATTTTGATTCATATCCCGTGTATACCTCTAATACTGGCTGCAATGCAAGTGTAAATGCTCAGAAGAATGCAAAGATCTAAGAAAGCCGTCCCAGGAGGAAAAAGTAGGCCGCTAGCTAAACAGCAGTACCGTGGCCCTCCCCATCCTCATTCTCCTCCACATCCTCCGGCTTACAATCACACATATAAGTCTCTCTAAACTCCGTAAGCGGCAGCCCACTCAAAAGATTCATCGCCTTCTTCGCCGCGGCGACCTTCGCATATCTCGAGCTCTCCGCCTGCGCATCCGCCACGACCTTCCCATGCACAATAACCATCGCGACAATCGTCGGCTTGGCTCCATCAATATTCTTCAACTCCTTGGTCAAAACGCTCCAATCCGCACAACCCATGTTGATCTGCAGGAAGTTGGTCAGGAACGTGGTGGGGTGTTTGTTGGCGAAGGAGTCGTAGATGCTCATGTCGAGGAAATACCATTTGATGTGGCGGTCGAAGAAATCCTCGGCGACGGAGTAGTCGTAGCAAGAGTCGACGAATATGGCGCCGATGTAGGCTTCGACTATGTCGGGGAGGCACTTGGGAGGTTGCCGGACAGAGACCCAGTAATCGGGAGTGCAGTCTTGGGGGGACTTTCCGGCTCGGATGGCGTCTTCTTCGGCTTGCTTGCGGGCTTCGGTGATGTCGGATACGTAGTCGGAGATTTGCTTTTGGAAGCCGGTGTTGAAGAGGAGGAGATGGGTGTGGAAGCCGAGAGCAACGCAAAGGGCACCGAGAAACTGGTTGGATACCATCGCCATTTTATGCTCGGTGAGCCATTGAGGGTCTTTGTCAGGGAAATTGTGGAAGAGAAAGTTGACGCAAGCCATGTCAAGAAGGGAATCGCCAAGGAACTCTAGACGTTGATAGCTGGGGACGTGTTCATACGAGTAGGGGTATGAGGGATGGGTGAAGGCTGAGCGAGCAAGGCGGGGATAGTTGAAGTGATACGGGTGTTTCTGCTCAAGTTGCCAGGTGAGGTTGCGCTGCATCTCGGTAGCAGGAGCAGTCTGATACTTTGGCTTCGTGTAAAGCTTGTAATAGTCGGCGAAGCAAGTGACTTGATGATTTTCGCTGGAGACGAGTTCAGTGACAGCACGCACAGCAGTATCCATATCCTTGCTCTCGTGGTATGTCAATAATGCCGCGCCTATCAAAGCCTCGCAAACATCGGCAATGCTCTTGTCTCCAAGTTTGTGTGTGTTTGGTGCAGTGGCTGTCTTGCCCTTCTTCAAAACCAGGCCCTCGGGATACCAAGCTCGACGATTGAAACTCTGGGAACGGATGTATTCATAGAGCTTGAGCTTCATTGCGTTGTTCTTGAGATTCTTGTTGCAAATCAACAACATTCGATCGACGTGGTAGCTGTATTCGTCATTTTCTGGATCAACAAGTCAGTATGCGAGTGTCAATATGACCGGGCAAGACGTCTCAAGGTAGATGGGAATCTTTTGAGTTCAGGAGTATGAAAGTACTGACCTGGATGGATACCAAACAGAGAAATCGAGGTTGCCATCTTCAAGAAACAGTCGCCTAGAAACTCGAGTCGTTCATAGTTCTTGCCCATCCCACGCTGAAAGTTAATTTGCTCAGAACCATGTTCTTCCGAATTGTCGGAGTCCTTGGTGCAAGCTTCGAGAGCTAGGTTGGGGCTGATCTTGAGGTGCAGCAAATCGCAGGCTTCCAGAGCAATCAGGTATGACTCTAGACGATGAATGATAGCCGGGAAAACATATGCCATAGCAACGACAGTAGTTGGGAGTGGAGATATCTTAAGCGGCTCGAGAATGACGAAACACTTTTTGTGTGATTCCTCTTCTGGTGTGTCGAACTCGTCCAGCAAGTTACGACGAAGTGAGATGAATTCAGCCTCAATGACACGTTGATTTTCATCGAAGGTCCGACGTGATCTGGCCTTTGCCCAGAGACTACAACTGTACTCCATGATATTGTCGTTGTTCTTCCGAGTACCCTTACGAGGAGCACTGTTGGGCGGAACTGGACCCAGTGGGACGTGATCGCGAGTGACGCCGACCGTCCACAGCTTCCGTGATCCATCATACGGATCGACGATATATTTGTCCTTGAAGAACTCGTCGGGCTCAGTCTTCCAGGCCATGTTGTCCCATGGATTGTCTCCCCACTTAGCTTGGTGGTCTACAACAGACTGCAACGCGTCCCATGCAACCACAGATGCAGGATCGACATCTGCATCGCTAGCAAGCGACAATCCGGGGGCTAGGAAGTAGGACATCCTGGACGCATCTGATTCATACTCTTTACTGAATACATCGTGGAAGATGCAAAGAGTAAAGGTGTTGACCTTGGCGACAAGTTCTGGGGTAGCTGTGAGAGATCGTGACAGAGAAACCCAAGCTACCTCGGAATGTCGACCACCACCAAAGTGGAGGAAGAACGATGGGAGCTGGGACAGTCTGGAGCGAGTCAAAAGAACAAGAGGCTGTGAAGGTCGATCCAAGACCTCCGGGTTTACCAGCTTCAATACAGTGACGTAAAGCTCTTCCGGGATACCACCTACAGACCATAAAGCTGGCTTGGTTTTCATATCATATGCTTCTCGCTTCTTAGAGTCGACAGCAAGGAGAGCATTACGCATCGCGGGTAGTTGCTTGGTGAAGGTCTAAGAACAAGCAGAATCAGTATTTGTCACATTAGGAAGGTTTGTGGAAAATACTGAGAGATAAATGAATTCCCCCAATACTTACTGGCAGTAGATGCTCATCTAGATGCTTGGCCTTGATCAGCTCAAGACAGGTCTCAAAAGCTGCGGAGCACTTCGCCACTTGCTTCGTGGAGCATGGACGACCGAGGGAACCCGTGATCGGTGACTTCACAGGTAAGATGACCTCGCAAATAAATTGTTTGTTTTGGACGGTAATGACATATTCTGGTTGCAGATTGGTCTCGTTTCCACTCTCCAGCGAGTCGACGAAATTGGCGAGAACCATGAGGCTCATCTTGTAAGTCAACTTCGCACCGGCTGGGGTCTTGTAGACTCGATGGCTCTTTTCCTTGGCCAGGAAATGATCCATATCAATGTCGTTCCCAGTAAGAAGGCGGTCCTCAGGCAGGCTTTCACAGAATGTCTTCAGAATCTTCTCATTCCTCCGTACCTCCATGATGATCTGCATTTGTTCCTGATTTCCATCCTCGTACATGTGAATATACCGAGAATTGACATGTCGCGCACGACCCCGGGACTGGATATACTGAATCAGCGTGGTGTAGAGATCAAATCTGATGATAAGATTGCAATCTGGTACGTCTAGACCTTCTTCGGCGACGGATGTGGCGAAGAGACAATTGATGGCACCTTTGCGGAAATTCGTCATGGCTAGAACTTGATCGCGGAAAGACTGGTTCAAATCACCAGCTTCTCCACTTCTGGTGCCTACCAATGTGCCAACTCTCAGATGGGGTGTGCCAATATTAGGTTGCATGAAGAGCCTAGCAAGCAAGCGGGCAGTGTACCTCTGATTGACGAACACGATACACTTGTCGTCTGTGGGACGTTCGAATCTCTCTCTCAAGTATCGAATCAACACGACAACTTTTGATGAAATGTTGGTAGTGCCCGCTGTTGTTGTAGCAGGGTCGAAGTCGGGAGGATCGAAGACATGAGATTTGACGATGTCCCTGGAAGGATGGGAGGGTTAGCAATGTTCAAAACTGAAAAGGGTTCGTAAGGTATGAGAGGAACGAATGAATGTTCCTAATACTTACTGAGCTTGTTGAATCTGAGCCTTTTGCTTTTCGAGAATAGCGAGCGGGTCATTGATCTTCTTAGCATGGTATTTACGTTCAGTCTTGGCCATCAACTTCTTGGTTTCTTCTTCTGCAAGGCAAAATGGCCAGACTTGGTCAGCGCACCACGATCCCAGCTCCTTCGTAGCCCCAAACGCAAAAGTGAGAGGTTTCCTCAATACATAATTAGTCTTGAACCTATCATGCATTTGGGTATAGAGTGGAGTCTGGAATGGTGGGGGTAGCTGATTGTAAGCGGCCAATTTCTCTGTCTTCGAGCTTGCAGCAAATTGCAGCAAGCTCGTATCAATCGCTGTACAGACTTCGGAATGTAGAATAGCCTCAAGCTCAAACGCGGCTTTCTTTACATCGACACGGGCATCGACTGGAGAAGCCGTCATGCCAAAGATTTTTGGACGATGGTTCTTGTCGTGAGAGACGTAGAAGTCTTTGATAATTCGAGCATAGGCATGGTCTTTCTTGGCATGATGAGCTTCATCGAAGATCAGGAGGTTGATCTGGGACATGGAGATGAATGAACGATGCAGGCAATGGCGAAGAACCTCTGCTGTGCAAACGATGACCATGTTCTTGTCGATGTGCTTCTCCCAGAGACCCTTACTCCAAAGATCAATGCCCATGTCACCGCAAAACATATCCATGGGTTGGTCAAGATTGGCCTTCAAGACGGCATGCTGTTGGAAAACGAGTTGAACAGAGTCAACCAAGAAGAATGAGATACGCTTTCCAAACCCCTTGGCTCTATCCTCAAGTTCTTGGGCAAAAATATGACGAAGAAGTAGTAATGCAATCAGTGTCTTACCGGATCCTATTTGGGAATGTTAGAAATGTAAGGCCAGCGAGGGGCAATACTGACCTGTGTCGAGGACTGCAATGATATTCTTCTCAACAGCTTTATTGAAAAGTTCTACCTGATACTCACGGGGGCTCGAGATGATGACTCTGTTCTCTGCCTGGTCAACAAGCCATCTAGTAGACTGCTGTTCTTGAGGTCGAGACTTGATAGCCTCCTTAGTTGAACTCTCGAGGAGCTTCTGCAAATGCTCGTCAGCCACGGCGTTGAGCTTACGCTTGCGTTCGGTGATCTTGCGTGGTCTACCCGCAGGCTGAGCATCATCACTGTCGCTTTCATCGTCAATAATATCCTGTTCCTCGTCTGGGGTATTGATCGACAATGCAGCGAGTTCCGAAGGAGCTTGTTCTGAGATTTCTTGCTCAGAGGTAACGGACGACTGTATACTGGCATAGGAGCCTAAACGGCGCTTGGGCTCGGAGGATGCGACACTGTATTGTTGAGGGCGTTTGAGGTCTGCGATGACATCTTCAGTGGTTCTCGTAGCCAGAGCTGTTGACGTTGGGTGGAGGTTCAGGGCTGAGATGGGAGCACAACCGGCCTCTTGAGCCGCCTTGATAATCGCAGATGTCTGGACATTTGTCTCGACTGTTGGAGCTGATACTGAATAAAGAGGAACTGATGACACAGATGACTGCGTAGTTGACCTTAGGGAGTGATTTAGTGCTCCATTGACTTTGGAAGTCGGTTGGGTGGACAGTGAAGGCGTTGGGGACTTCTCCGGTTGGAAATCCATGGTAGACAAATCTTGTAGCTGGTACGGCGATTCTTCAGAACAGCCCTTCAGTTGGTTGAAATCCATGGCAGGAGGTCCTTGTGGCGATGACGAAGAACTGGCTTCTTGCACAGATACCATGAGAAGCCCATGCAGTTGCTGCTGGCTCTCATTCAAGCTCTTATCGAGGTAAGAGGAGGGAAGAGGCTGGAAAAGAGTTGCCTCGGGAAGATCCCAGATATTTTTTGCTTCCTGTAAGCCGCCCTCGGTGAATGAAGTCTCAAGAACCTGAGATTCAGCTTCAATCACGGGCTCAGGTTCAGCTGCGAGGGTCGCTGTCTCCGTCAATAGGAGGAGATCGTTCCATATGCTGGAGCTCAAGTCAGTCGGAGAAGAGTCTTTTATAGCAATCGCAGAAGATTCAAAATTTGAAGCTGAAGCTGAAGGCAAGTGAGAGAGTTTGCTTTTAGTTGGACTTGACGAGAGAGGAATCAAGCAATCCTTCTCCTCGATCAATTGGCTAAGATCTTGCAAGTAGCCGGTGAATGGCATGGCATAGAAGTAGTGAGCCAATCGAATCGAGATACGATGAGAAGAGATGAATAAAAGTGATAAATCGACTGCACAACAGGTGAGAAGCGGAGGAAGCAAACAAACAAAGCGTGCAGAGAATATCAAAAGAAGTGAAACTGGAGGTGATGTACGTTGTCTGGGAAGAGAGGATTTAACTCCCGGGGCTCATCATTGATTATTTACGGCATTTTGCCGAGATCCTTGGAGTGAAGAAACAAGGTTGAGTGTTGTGGTGTTGTTGACCTCGTTGATGTTGGGAGACGGTTGGCTTTGAGGGATGAAGTCTGCTTTGGGCATCTCGGCTGGGGAGACGCGAAATCTCATCGCGTCGGCTCGTGCCTTTTCTTGGCATTGCTGCCCCTCCATGCGTCTTCGTCTGATCTTCTCTCCACGAGTCCAGAACAACAACCACCCTACCACAACCTCAACTCCCGACCTTACAGTCTACGAAACCATGGCAGAACAGAGTATCAGATCACTCTACAGCTCCGCAGAGAAGCAGCGGAAGGATATTGAAGCCTCATGGGACAGCAATACTGCCACCTACCAGCAGAATGTTGCCGCCGCAATCGCAACCTACGACGACTGCCTCAAGCTCGCAGATCGTCTTTCGCTATTCAGTCCGAACGAAACACTAGAAGACTTGACTTCTGGAGATCTACAGTGAGTATCGACTGCCTTGAAAAGTAGTTATGGTGCTGACAAAAGAGATATCTTGTCATCAACTACCACCTCGCCGAACTCATTCTCCGGATATCCAGCAAAGACCGCAAAACAGTGCTCGACAGAGCTCGAGAAGCATTCGAGAGATATCTGAGCCTACTAGATCACTATGAAATCCTCGATTCTGCGCAGAAGAAGCTCTATGCCGACTACACCGAGTACCCAAAGACTTTCTCTACAATAAATAATGCAGATCCTGCGTTACGCAGAGGGGCGAAAATAGCAAATTTCAAGCTGGAAAAAGAGTTAAAGAGCAAGCTGGAGGTAAAACATTGGAATTTCATACTAAGCGCTCTGTTGACATGGTGAAGTTCCTAGCACAAAACCCAGCCTATCTCCAGAATGACGACGATGCCGTCCGCGAGCTCCAAATCACAAATATCCGTCTCTGCACACACAAGGCTTTCCAATCCCTCGAATCCCTCAACCTCGAGGAACAAATCCTCGCCATGGCCCCCCCTCCACGACCAGATGGTCCAGAATCCCTCGAGCGCGACTATAGAGAACGGATGGGCTTACGGGATAAAGACGATGGCTCTGAGGAACGGCTGGATAGGAGGGACATGCTGTCAGCCGCCAACAAAGGACCAATACTAAGTGCTGGAGGAAAACCGTTGAGACCATTTACATTATTGGATAGTAGGCAAACTTTAAAGGCTGGAGTTTTTAGGTCCGGACATAATCTGCCGACGATGACTATTGATGAGTATCTAGAAGAGGAGAGGGCGAGAGGTGGGATCATTGAGGGAGGTGGAGCGGCGAGTGGGTTGTCGCCTGAGCCGGATGAGGATAATTATGAGAAGGGTGATGAGGAGACTATGAAGGCTAGGGAGTGGGATGAGTTTACGGAGGCGAATCCAAAGTAAGTTAGCCACCCAGGTAGAAGAGAAATATGTGCTAATTGATACAGGGGTGCTGGAAATACCATGAATAGAGGATAATGAATATGTTATTTGAAGTATCCTTTTTCCCCATTTACTCTCCCAGTGATGAGCGACTCCTTACACCTCTTATTCTATTGAATTCATCTTCATGGGAACCCCTAAGGTATCAGACCTGCTTCTGAGCCTTTCAAGGCTATTGTCTATCCAGGCTTAGGCCCTGGATATTGCTCTCCCAGGTAATATTTGCTTCTTCGACTCACTCCTCCGCGCCCCAAAGAAACAAGCAGACAAGCAATCAGCCCATTCCGACAAACTGTGAGGTGATCCAACCAAGGTACAGACATCGGAAGCTTCGGTAATTTGGGTTTATTGCTATGGTAACTTAATTTATGTTTACTGTTCTCTGCTGTTCTCTGCTGTTCTCTGCAGTTCTCTGCAGTTCTCTGCTGTTCTCTGCTGGTCTTTGCTGTTCACTGCTATTCTAACCTATGCTTTCAGCACCCTCAATCATCTTGTTCCCAATCATCTTGAAATAAGACGAAGGTAGATAGGATCCAAGTCCAGGTCAGACACCATGTATGTACCATTGCTCAACATGTACGTACGAGCAAGCCCTCCCTTGCCCTCCAAGAGTGCATCTTCCGCTAGCGTGGTAGGTGACGATAGAGGTAAAACCCCAACCATGAATAAGTTCATGCTTCACTATTCAGGCTTATCACCTTCCATTGTCTTAGCAGAAAAACCATCATTTCCGTACCAATCAAGTTTTGTCTACCTCCTAGCTCTCTTCCTCCTCGATCTCCCCCTCCTCCTTCCCTTAAAATACTCATACTCATTTTCATCCTCCTCCTCGCTATCATCCCCGTAAAACTCCTCATCCTCACTCTCATCATCATCTTCACTCTCGCTTTTCACAACCCCACCACCACCACCACCACCATATCCATCCACGCTCCCAAGCGTCTGGACCCACTCCTCTCCTTTGAGGGCCATCATCTTTAGCATGGAGCTTACATTTCCATTCTTTGCTTGTGTTTCTAGTCCTTGGATGGTGGTGATGCTGTTTTGAGCTTGAGACTGAGCTTGAGAATGAGCAGTGTATGCTACATCGTATTCTTTCTCCAGTATCTGCCTCCACATCTCCCTGATATCAACTTCCTCCACTCTCCAATAGTGTCTGAATTTGTCATCCCAGGGCTTTTTATTCTTTCCTCTCTCTTCCTCCTCTCCCGCATCCTGATCTCCAGAAGAAGAGTGCTGAACATTGAGATTGAGATCAGACTTGACCTTCTCAACAGCGAGAGAAAGTGACGGGATGCCGGTAAATGTACGTTCCCAGTTTCGGTAGTCCATTGATGTCGGGGGGTAGAGGGTCAGTGGTGACAGGGAGGCGACGAGTGATGCTGTGAAGAGTTTGAGTTTATTGGCCGTAGTGTGAGTTTGACTCTCTCGATCAAGCGGCGACGACGACCATCTCCCCGTCCCAGTCCCACTTCCAAAAACCTCCTCCCCCTCCTCCTCCTCCTCCTCCATCTCAAGCCCCATCCCCCACACCTCCCTCACAGTCTTCGGCTTCAGCCACCCCCCATCCTGCACGCTCTTCATAGCCCTCAGGCTCTCCATACAGTAATTCATGAATCCCGGTGCGCGCAGTTTGGAGCCGAGTGCCCAGAGGGCTTCCCAGGTGCAGGTTTGTGCTGCGTCGGTTAGGGTCAGGAGGGTGGGTGTTAGGGTGCCGTGGTGGATGTAGCATGTGAAGAGGGTGAAGGGGAGGGGGTGGATGGTGGGGAGGGAGTAGAATTTTGGGGCTGGGAAGGGGGATGTGGAGGGGGAGGGAGTGGGTGTCGATGTGGAGGATGGAAGTGTTGTTGATGTGGGAGTCGGAGTGGTAGGGAGGTATTTTGGTGTGGGCGTGGGTGTAGGAGAGGGTGTGGTGTTGTTGTTAATCTGTTTGGAGGTGGTTGAGCGGGCGAGGAGGTTGGTGATGAACGGTGATGGAGAAGGTGTTGACATCGTCGTGGTTGTGCCCCGGGATTTCGGTGTGAACTTGCTTGGCGTAGTGATCGGTGTTAGAAGGCGTTTCTTCGACAGATTGAAGTAATACTGGTCTGATGAAATCATAATGAAATCATCGTCGTCGTCGTCCTCTTGTTCGGGAGTCTCCATTTTGACACTTTCCCCCTCATTCTTAGCCAGGCTAAGATCGATTTTTCTGCTGGCTTTTCCATTGATATTGACATCAAGGCTAGCTCCTCGCATAGCCCTTGTGAGAGCTTCTTCCAGAGCGGTGTTCGCTTTTGAATCTGGTGATGATGTTGTTGGAGTGGTGGAAAGGGACGTTGGAGGTGAAGAGAAGAGAGAAGCAAAGTATCCCGAGTGGATGGCGAGGAGTTCTTTGTGGATGGTGAAGGACTGTTGGTTGGGAGGAGCGCCGACGAGGATATTTGCTGTTCCGGTGGAGCTGAGGATTATACTGTGGATCGGAGAATTAGTCAAAGGGTTATGAGAGGAGGAGTTCAATCTAAAGATTTCAACAAAAGGGTTATCTGACAATGAGATAGAAAACTGAACCGCAAAATTTGGATAGAGAAAACAAAATACTAACCTCATCCCCACATCCCTAACCATAACCTCCTTCTGCGCATTCTCACAATCACTAATCGTCTCACATCCAAAACCACATGGACACTCGAAGAAATCTTCATCGTCGTCCTCCCCCTCCCACTCCACAGCTTTAGCGTTCTTAGCTTTAGCTCTGGCTTTAGGTGCTGCTTTGCATTTGTCCTTGGACTTGGAATCGATCTTGCGGCCTCTTCTGCTCTCATTGTGATATCGGGATTCAGATTTGAGTTGAGCTCTGCTTGTTGTAGCAGCTTTTCTGCGAGGACGAGAAGTTGCTATGGAGATGGAGTTGTTGTCGGACATGGTGGAGTGGGTGATTGAAGGGCGACGGCGCTTGGGACGTCGTGTTGGTGTACTGGTATATGGGAAGGTGTCCATGTTGTGGTTGATTGTGCTTGTATTAGGTGTCGTTGAGAGAATTGAAGCCGGGTACAGGCTGGAGGAGATTTATTGGAGGGGGTTGTTGGCTGAGACGGCTGTGTCGATCTGGAGGAATTGAGTTGAGAGGCGCAGATGGAAGCTGAAATCGAAGATGAGATTTGATGAGTTGGGATACAAAGCAGCTGTTGATTTCGTGATCAACAGTTCAGCAGAACCGGACGCAGAAGATGAAGGATGCAAGAGCTCCAAGTTGGCAAAATTTGGAGAGGGAAATGTTGATTCTTCTTGAGTTTGTGAGGAAGAAGGAGTTAAAATTGCGAGATTAAATTCTCAAGATGGTTGGAGTGAGCAGTGAATTTGTACTGCAGTGTTTGTTTGGGTTTATTGTGGTTGGACAGACAATTGAGCGTAGCGAGGACACTGACGTTCTGCTTCATATCGACACTTTGTATGGATTAGGAAATGTGACATCCGCGCACCTGAGAATCAGCCAACTTGTTGAGCATTGAAGACCTATTAAACTCAGGACTCGTACTGCTCAAGAGAGTCCTTCTGGGTGCTTTAGCACTGGGTTGAGAAATTTCTATGTCTCATTGAATGAGCGTTTCCAAAGCTGAAGCTGAAGGTTTGAGCCTGGAAATCGGGCGCTGGAGTGGGCAAATGAACTCGAGGCAGACAAAACATGGGATTATTCTTCTCTGATAAAAGCAAAATTACAAAATTATGTCAAAGTACGCAGTTTAGCTTCCTCTGGCCGTTGTCGCTGACCTTCCAATACATAGGATGTGTTTGTGCTGAGAACATTGTTGACAATATAAGCGAGGAGCCATGAATAAGAGACCAGAGCGCGAATGCGACTGAAATACTTAGATAAACTGAGACCTCTGTACTGCATGGCCATTCAACTTCTTATAGATCTTGGAGCATACCATAGGCACTTTCTGTCTTTTTCCAACCATCCTTCGATATGTGTCGGTCGTGCTGCCAGCCTATGTGGAAGACTTTAGACTTGCTCCAGGACGTCACTTACGAATGTATTTTTTTTTGTAAGAATCCATTGGTGATCTCACGCTAGCATATGCAGTAGCCAAAATGCAGAGAAAGACGGCATTCTGGTATTTCTACGATGTCGGCATGCGGGAAGGGATCTCGACGACCAATTCAAGAGGGAGAGTCCTACGTGACCTAGGTTCGGCCAGCCTCCATTCTCCAGAATACCTACAGGTATAAGGTGAGACTGTAAGGGCAGCAGACTTGCATTTTAAAATCTAGTATCTTTTGATGCTGTCGTCTTCAACTCATAGTATTTGAAGTCAGTTCGATCCCTTTTCCTAGGTATCCAAGAACCATCCTCACGTTCTGTTGAGGCTAATCCCTCCCGTCTCCCGCGCGGCGTAAGGTCCTGAAATAGACTCAAACCTTGTTCCCCCCTTGGCTGTGCGCATGCGTGTGCGTGCCGGAGCACCACAAAAAAAGTGGCTGGCCAAGACGTGAGGACTCAGGACTCAGGAGAGAGCAGAACCCGACTCGACTTCGTCCGAAGAACATCCATCCCCAACCTTCATTCCCACACCTACCACCAGTCATCTCTTCTATTTTCTTCATCTTTCACTGCGCAGAAGAATTATCATCTTTTACGAACACACCACACTGCGCCCATTGTCGCATCTGCATCCCCAACCAGCTCCGGCGATCATCCGCAGCTAGGTGCTTACGCAACACGGTACTCGGTACCAATTACGCTCGTTCAAGAAGCTTCCCTATCTCCATCCGCGCATTCGACTCTTCAATCACGAATCTTCACCTCCTCTAGTCCGTACTCGAGCTATTCCTGGATCTGCGATAGACTGGAACTACCACATTTGGATATCTGGGTCGAGAAAGAACGAAACTGTTGCGCGCAGCAGAAGGGCCGATGCCAGTTGCATGATTTGACGAATTTCCCCTCACAATGGCTGCAGATTTCCGGTTACCGCTTGGGAGATGCCTCCTTTTCTTCATGACCTTTTCTTTCTCCCAAGCATTCTACATTCCAGGTATGTATTGCTGGTTGAGCTCGAGGCGGATGTGTAGCATGCTAACTTTCCCAGGCTGGTCCATCAAGAGTTACAAAGATAATGAAGCTATCCCCCTAATGGTCAATAAAGTTTACTCGGACAATACACAGCTACAATATGCATACTACGATCTCCCCTTCGTGTGCCCTCCCACTGGTGTTAACCATGCCGGATCCTCTCTTCTCAGCGGCCAGACCATCTCCCTTAATCTGGGCGAAGTTCTTCGAGGTGATCGAATTGCACAATCCGATATCGAATTGGTGATGGGACAGGATAAGGAATGTAACTTCCTCTGCTCGAAAACAGTCACCCGAAAGGACCTGAAGCGTGCAAGAGAGATGGTCAAGGATGGGTACGTGGCGGAATGGATCGTGGATAACCTCCCAGGTGCAACAAGCTTCGTCACAGTGGACAAATCCAAGAAATACTATGCTGCAGGGTTCAAGATGGGATACAAGGACATCTCGACTGTTGGAAAGTCCAGATACTATATCAACAACCACCTCACAATTGTCATGCGATACCGAAAGGCCCCTGGCAAGGACGGAGAAAGGGGTGGAAAGGTTGTGGTTGGATTCGAGGTCTACACTAAGAGTATTGGAGGACAGAGAAATTCTTGCCCGGCAGATATAAACGATGTCGAGGAACCATTCGAGCTGTACCTCCGACCAAACAGCACAGACTTCTCCGTCCAATATCCCGAATCCTCCTACCACCCTCCGGAGAGCGAGTCAGATATGGAAGATGGGGCTACGCTTGACATCCCATACTCATACTCGGTATACTGGCGTGAGGATGATAAAATTGAATGGGCGCATCGTTGGGACCTATACTTTGTCAACCAGGAGGAGGGGTCCAGAATCCATTGGCTGGCAATTGTCAACTCATTGATTATCTCCGGAGCTCTGAGTGTTATTGTGGCTATGATCCTAGCTCGAACCATTAGGACAGATATCAAGTCGTACAAAGACGCAGCTGCAGAAGATGGGAAGATGAGGGCAAAGCGACGATCAAGACCAGCAAGTGGTACTCGAACCCCAAAGTCAAGCGAAAAGACTGGAGGATTACTCGAGCAAGTTGGAGACACCGAGAATGATGCAGATGTGTCATCTGATGAGGAACCGCTCGAGGACGTTACTGGGTGGAAATTGCTTCATGGCGATGTTTTCCGCGCACCAGCTTATGGTTACCTCTTGGCCCCTCTCGTAGGATCTGGGATGCAACTGGTGTTCATGGCTGTTGGTCTTCTCGTTCTGAGCAGTCTCGGTATCTTGAACCCTAGTTTCCGTGGTGGTTTCGTTTCCGTTGGAGTTGGACTCTTCGTCTTCGCTGGAGTCTTTTCAGGCTACTTCTCAGGTCGCGTCTACAAGACATTCGGCGGGCTCAATTGGCGCAAAAACACCTTCATCACCGCCACCCTCTTCCCAGGTCTTCTCTTCGCCCTGATCTTCATACTCAACCTCTTCGTCTGGGCACAAGCTTCATCGACAGCCATTCCTTTCGGCACCCTTGTCGGCATCGTCATGCTCTGGCTCTGTATCCAACTCCCCCTCGTCTACGCCGGCTCATGGTACGGCTACGTCCGGACAGGCGCCTGGGAACACCCCACCAAAACCACGACTCTCCCCCGTCAACTCCCAGCCCAAGCATGGTACATCCGGTCGCCACACTCGATCCTCCTCGCCGGCCTGATCCCCTTCGCCGTGATCTTCATCGAGCTCCTCTTCGTCTTCCAGTCTCTCTGGCAAGACAAGTCCGGCTACTACTACGTCTTCGGCTTCCTGTCCGTCGTGTCCATCATCCTGATCCTTACTATTGCCGAGGTCACCATCGTGACGATTTACATCAAGCTGTGCAGCGAGGACTACAATTGGTGGTGGCATAGCTTTATGGTTGGTGGTGGGAGCGCGGTCTGGGTGTTTGCGTATTGTGTGTGGTATTACTTTACGAAGTTGCATATCCAGGGGTTTGTGAGTGGGTTGTTGTTTTTTAGTTATAGTTTTATGGCGTGTGTGGTTTATGGGTTGCTTTGTGGGACGGTGGGCTTCTTGACGGCGTATGCGTTTGTGAGGAGGATTTATGGGTATGTTTTTCCGTCTCCCTTCCGAACTCTTTTCCTTCCAAAATCGGATCAGTTTGCTAACCCAGATAACAGCGCTATAAAAGCCGATTGATGTCGTCAATCGATCCATCGAGTAATAATACACACGGGTGGTATTTGGATTTGGGTTCTTTGGAGCAGGCCATGTCATGAAAGATCGTATGATACATGTACACGTAGAGTCAATCCGATGGCAGTAATAACATAATCAATGATCTACAAACATGGGTAGGCTGGGGTACGAGACGAGATGTGAATGCCATGCTACACTGCCTACAGACAACGAGGAAGAGGGGAGGGGAGGGGAGATCAGGAGAGACATGTGATGGATTAATCAGATTTATATGCGTGTTACAACCAACTCTCTGGTACGGATTCTTTTGGTTTGTTGACTCAACGCTCCTGTTAAGCCACAGCCCAAAAAACACTCCATTTTAAGCGAGGTGCCCCCTTACCACAACAACGCAACCCAATTGGAACGCATCCCTTGGAAGCACATCAATCAGTCGTTTGATCTTCACCTACCTATCTATTCCTCACTCCCCCCACCCTTTCTGATCCTCTTTTCTTAATCTCCAAGTAATCCACTATCATTCTAGCTAGGTATCATCCTACCTCAGAAAACGTCACAGGACCGACCACAAGCTCGGTTCGTTTCGTTCATTATTGGAGTGCGAGGAGTGTGAGGAGGGTGAAGAGGGAGGGATATGCGATGCGATGCGATGGGACGCCAGGCTAGCTAGCTGATCTACCTTGGTACCTAGGTAAATTACCTACCCCGCGCTAAATCTCGTAAATGGTTAATTGGAGTTAATTTGAGTTAAGTTGGATTAAATTAAGTTAAGCGATGATGGGGGGTAGGTACCTAGGCGAGCTAGGGTAGGGTAGGTTGTGGGAAAAAGTGAGTGGGAGAAAGTGAGTGGTTGAGGGGATGAGGGGGTGAGAGGGATGAGTGGGGATGAGAGGGATATCCTGGGTTGAGGGATAGTTGGGTAGCTATTGTTTGCGAGGTGGTGGTGGTTGTACTTCATAATGGATGATGGATGATGGATGATCAATGATCGACTTTCGGAGTGAGAGATATGGCGAGATCATAAATCGAGGTGTGCGAAGGAGGAGGTTTGGAGTAGTCGGGTGGATGGACGGAGTGATGTGTACTGTATGAAAGCGGTTGTATGGCGCGCGCTTTTACACACAGTAGTCTTTAGACTTAAAGTTTAGATTGACTGCTTTCTCGGTCAAGTTAGTAATCACTACTCCCCCCCCCTAAACAAACGTTAAGCGTGGACTTTTGTGGGCTGAAGTCCTAGTAGGCCTTTTCTGACTGGTTACCTCCCCTGGACAGGCTCAAAGCATAAGCTACTTCGTAGATTCTGGTCAACTGTAAAGGCGAGGGTATCTTTAGAAGGTTCGAGATACACTTAAAGCCCTGCTTAAGGCTAGGAATCAGCAGAATCATTGGATTAACACCCTAGCTGACTGCCCACACGAGGCCCAATTTTCATGAGGTTTAACGTTTGTTTAGGGTGGGGGGAGAGTATTCTCCTCTCCTCTGCTCTGATGTCTTGTGGATCCGTTCATACTCCCCCTCCCCCTAACAAACGTTAAAGGCGTACTTTTGTGAATTAAGGGCCTGGCAAGACTATTCTTACTACTGTAGTTCAATGCCCTGGAGATACTCAAAGCACGAGCCAGATTCTGGTCAATTGTAAAAACAAGGGTAGCTACAAAGGTTCGACATACACTTGAAACCCTGCTTAAGGCTAAGAATCAGCAAAATCATTGGATGAACACCTTAGCTGACTACCCACATGAGGTCCAGTTTTCATGATGTTTAACGATTGTTTGGGGGGGGAGAGTATGGCGCAAAGATTGACAGTTGCAGTTACATCTCGTTGTTACCTTTTGATCAGATCTGATCTACATGATGGGGCTTTGGGATCGGATCAGCGGATGATCGTTGGGGATGTGGGGTTAAGTACTACTGTAAGGAGGTAGGCGACAGAGATAGGAGGGAGGTGTATATATGGGGCTTGAGGATTGGAATTAGGATTGGGATTTGAATAAGCAGTTGAGCACGAGAAGATTGGGAGATGTTGGGAGTGAATCGCTTCCATCGGTTCGGATTCCGGATGTTTTGAAGTGCGATGGGAAATCGCTACTGTAGGATGGAATTTGAGTTTGTGTTGGAGAGTTCGTGTTGTACCAGTCTTAATAATGTGGTGAAGAATACGGTGTGTAAGACCTACCGGCGGCGCAAGTGGGATAGAGTTATGTCGGAGTTTAGGGATGAAAATCGGAGTGCTGTGAGGTTGATAGACGTCACGAACCGGAACCGCGTACGTCACGTCGCATTTGAACCGCTTATCGGATTCGATCTCACCATACGTTAAGATGTCACTATTTTCTTCTAGAAGATCAAACCCGTCAGCGTCGCTTTCCATTCTCACGCTTCGTTGTGAAAATCCGAGCTTGAGTAGGTATGTAAGACCTAGCACGTGTCGAGAACATCTCGCACTGGAATCCAAAAGATGAAGTCCGCAATCTTGAGAGTCTGCTTCGGCAGGCATGAAGACGCTTTCCGAACTCAAGGCTTTTCAAGCTGAGAATAACGTAATTAGTGCATTGACTGATAAGATATTGAGAAGTCATCGTAGGAATTGGTTCCGCGGTTTCATGCCCAAAGTTGGCACTACTTGATGATGCAGGTACGAAATGACGACGCTCGTAGCCACACTTGCGGCTCGCATCTTGTGGCGACTAAACGAATAAAGCTTGAAGATTTCTGAGGCAGGTACTTTTGACGAAGTCATCACGAACTGTGTGTCAATCTCGTGAATAGTAATCATTCGTCGTTTGAGAACTGTTCACAGAACCAGTATTCAGATGTCCGTTTGGGAAAGCCCAACGGGATACTCATCTCCAAGGTAGTTTCCGATACGTACTGCCGCCCCGAATGCCGGGACCAAAATCTGATATATGGATCTCTGCAAATCTCTTCACATGGGGGCCCATATCCAATGGCACGTCACCTCTGGTCTGGCGGAACTTGCCTGACAGGCTTCTAGACGGAGAATTTAACTTTGGGGGTGGAAACCCACATGGCAAAATCACCGGAAAAGGGTTTACCGAGAATTTGAAGAGCCTTTGGCAGCGAATCACCTGTCGGTCCGAGGATCTGTACCTGGTTCGGCAGCTCCGAGTAATATCACGGTCCGATTGAAGTGTTTAATGGCCTATTCGGGACGAATGATTGATGGAATGGTGGAAGGGAAGGTTAGGAAAGGGGTCCAGGAGGTGGCAAGTTTATATAAGAATGAGACTCGAGGTGCAAAAGTGCACTTTTGGCCTCCACTTTGACTTAGTGATGGAACTTCAGGGACGGGATATAATGACCGGTTTCAGTAATCGGTCATATCTGTTTCGCCCTGGGTGCTGCTTTCAGCCTAGACCCCGAGGATTCACATGATTGCTTCTAATCTGTCATGTCAAGACCCTGATTACGTAGAGAGGGTACTTTTGCCAAGCTAAGTCGCAGGGTTGTAAGCCTCCTGTTTATCGTTGCTTACTATCACGTGAGTTCGGTTAAACCCAGGGGCTCTCGGCTAAGGTCTTGGCTTTCGTGTTCAGATCTCGACGTCTTTTGTGTGCTCCTCAACTGCAACTACTCCGTAGATATCTATCATCAGCCTCACGCAACCCATCGGATAATGGTGTCACAAGAACTCTCCCGTCGTCCCTACCATCAAGTGATCCGAGCTCGAGATCCAGTGAAGTAGGCTGCCTCGGCGACAGAGCTGGCACTGGATCCTGAGAGGGGCGCTGATATACGAGAAGTTAGCGCTGATTGGACCAGAGAACGAAATCTCAGGTGTAAGCGCTTACGGTGATCCGGGGATCGACGCATTAGGGAACGCTGCATGGTGAGAAAGCGTGCAGCGAGCAAGCCTGCTCAAGGAGTCAGGGCACTGACGCGCTGTCTTTCTTTAGACATTTTGTGCGAGGACGGGGCGAGGCGAGGCGAAGATGCAGCCAGGGCCATGGCTACACAACTACAGGAGGAAAGCGGCTTGGGATACGCTTCAGAAGCCCGCTGAGGTGAGGTGGAGGACAGTGGACGGAGCGGAGAGTAACTCTATCAGCTAAATCAAATCAGCACATATCACATACACGGCCGATGCGACGCATGAGAGCTGATTCGTGCCCATGGCGAGCTGCACTCCCTATTCCGCTGCCCTGGGCTTGCACCGAAAGTGCCTGCACTTGCGCCAACATCTCATCCGATCCCATTCCATCCTCAGTCATCAGCCATCAGCCATCGTGCGTCTCTCCACCTCCTCGCTTGTCGCTCCTCGCTCCTGGGCCTGGCTTCTCACTCGATGTCACAACCCCACCACCTTGTCTGCCACACCCCCATCTCATCTCATTACTTATTTATTTATGGGTCTTCCGACGGCCGAAAATAAGATTCATGCATGTTGGTGACACTGGGACTTTATAAGTCTGGAGATGCCCTCCCTTGCGAGCTCCTGGTAGCCCCCCTTTGGACGTGATATGAGTTTGTTTCCTGGCGAGACGGATTGGATCATATCAAAGAGAGGCACTCACCTAGGATGTCCATGTCGAGCAGCCTGATGCCCGAGCAGGTTGGAGATTCTTCCAGCCCGGACGCTGCAACAGAAGTCAAGATCAAGAAGACAAGAGCGAGCAAACCCAAGGTCAAAACTGGATGCCAGACATGCAAGTTCGTAAAATTGATTTCCTTTGTGTTCAAGTTGTTTCTGTTCCATCCGTCCCGCACCGTACCGCACCTTGCTGCATCTCAGATCTCGTTTCCGAGCCGAGCTTCCCCCAACCTCACATGTTCCCGTTCCGCTTTCAGCTCATTTAAATGGATGTACCACCGTAACTAAACATCTTTTCCGCGACTAGGATACGTCGCGTCAAATGCGATGAGACAAAACCAAGTTGTCTTCGCTGTGTGAGATTTGGTCACCAATGCGATGGCTACTCCAACAAATCGCCTTCCAAGCCGGCTTCGAGTAAGAGTTCCCGAACGCTAGTTCCTAAGTCGCCGAGCCAAAGTCCGATAGCTATCTCAAGACCTGGCCTCCCATCGGACTATTTCGAGATCTCCCCAACGGCTTCATCACCATTAGCCACTTCACCATTGGCGTCATCTCCAACTAAGATATACCCTTCACCGACACGCCAATTATTTCAGACCCCGCAAGAGTATCAAGCATTCCAGACATTTTGTACTAGGACGTCACATGAGCTGTCATCAGCTTTCTCAACCGATCTATGGACTAGGCTTATGCTGCAAGCCTGCGAGACGTCTCCCTCGATTCGACATGCAGTTATTGCGATAGGTGCTCTGAATCTCTCGAGTCCATCGCCATGGCCGGAGAACTCAGTAGGGACTTTAAGGCACCAATTCGCGTTCAGAGAGTATAGCAAAGCTTTGTGCTTGCTCCGGCGAGATGTGGCGGGAGGGTTTTGTGATTTGAGGACGACCCTAATAGCTTGCCTACTGTTTTACTGCTTCGAGTCCTACCATGGATATCACGAGATGGCCATCAATCAAGTGTACAGTGGCTTGAAACTCATCCGAGAATGGGCTTCTTCTTTTTATCGACCCGACGAGACTGGAAGGCTGAGAACGAAAATAGGGAGTGAGAATCCACATATTGTGGAAGACGATATTCTGAGGGCATTTGGGAATCTGGAGATCCAGGTCATGACGTACGCGGATGGACGAACAAGAGAAGCCCATGAGCATTATCGCCATTGTGGGCAAGCGTCGATTGATGAGATGCCAGATATTTTCACGTGTTTGGAAGAAGCGAGGACGATGTTAGAGTTGGTCATTAGGAGGAGTATGCACTGGTTACGCAGCACGATGCACTTGCAGAATTTCTCGACGCGGTCAAGTCCTAGTTCGTCGCCAACTAGTGATGCCGAGGATACTGGACCTTGCTCACTGTTCTTTGATGTGGACCCGACGTTTGAGGAGAGGCTGGAAACTTTGAAAGAATACGAGAGATGGGACGACGCATTTCGGCCCTTGCTGAATCACTCGCGGAAAGGATCAGCTCCGCACGAGGAGTTTCTTCTTGCTTCCACTTTACGTTTACACTGGCTAGCGGGGTACATGTCTATCGCGTCAAACAATAGTCATTCAAGTCTCGTCAACAATGGTCGATTTACCACAGAGCTGGAGGAATTGGTTGACATTGCACGAATCCTGCTTGAGAACTCAAAACGAGACGAACTAGAAACAGGAAACACAGTTTACGTCTTCGACATGCAAATCATCGTTCCTCTTATGACAGTCGGATGGGTCTACCGACACCGCGCTCTCAGACGCGAAGCCATCCAACTTCTCCTCCGCAGTCCACGGAAAGAGGGAGTCTGGGATGGCATAGTAGTGGGGAAAATTATGGCATGGCTCGCAGAGATCGAAGAAGAGGGGTTAGAGGCCAGAGACCAGGATGATGACTATATACCGGAATACGCAGCCGCAAGGTGCATCAAAATGGATTTCGATACGGTGAAGAGGGAAGCGAGCGTTTCGTGCTTGCAGCCAGTTAGTGGCTCGCTTATTGGTGAGGAGCGGAGGAGGGAGGTGTTTATACCCTTTGTGTGAACGGCGTATTTGACAGTCGTAGGTAGGCAGTGGAGGGACAAAAGCCATGGTATTCACACAAATTCTAATGATTCAAACGTCATAAAACTAATTTGATATTGGCTTCATGTCCATCCCTGTAAATTTGCCAATCGCTCGGAGACTCGGACCCAGGCACGCAACTGCCGCATCAAACTCTCAAGCCACCTGCTCTCTGCAAATCAAGCATAAGTCCTACGGTCCTCCAAGCCCGTCTTTACCACCGTTGACATCACCTCCATCTCGGGAGACATTTCCAGCCAGCCATGTGGCAAGCCGGCTAAGTCACCCATATGAGCAAACCTCTCCACCAGTCACCCATCTTACCACAGAAAGTAAACAATGAGCCATACCAGCATAGCATTATGCAAAGTTTCGGGTACATGCACCTACCGGGTCGGGATGTTTCACGGCAAAATACCACTTATTGCTTGTTTGCCTGCTGCAGCTGCGTATTGTCGTGCATGGTGGGGTGATTAAGTTCTATCGGATATCGTAATGTTTAGCAAATGGGAAGATATCCCATCCGAAGCACTGATTTGTTGCTTTCTCAAGCGAAGGGTTCCAAGAATAGATACTGAGGTCACACAATCTCAAGGCTGGATGAATGGCTGGCTGGTGAGTCGGTGACACAATATGCTCGAGGCTCAATCTGACAGATAAATACACCAAAAAGCAAAATTCTCGATGCGTTCACATTGATATGCATGAAATGTACTAGGATGTTGATTTGAAAGCAGTAACTTTGTTCACTACTGTCACAAAAAGGAAAGAGTATGCGAAAGCAAATCTCACTGTGTATTCTTCCAGCCTCTTGCAGCCGGAAATAAAAACAATGGCCGTAACAACAATACCAGCAGAGCGGCTCGCACACGATACAGCCAACCAACATGTCCATGCAATAGCCTAAGTGTCGGCATGTGCCTCAATCTATATTAATCTCCTCCGTGTGCGCGTGCATTCGGAGGTATGGGACGGTGCTTGCTGCAAGGGCGGGGCATTCTCCTGACTCGGTGAACTGCATGATCGGGACCAAACTGTCGGGTCTGGAATGTGTGCTGGGTTAGGTTGAGATGATGTGAGAGCGGGAGGAAGAGGCACGGATGGGATGGGATAGATGGATGGAAAAGACAGACAGGCGGGTGGAACTGGGTATGCATCGCGATGCGATGTGATGTGTGAGTGCGGGGTGCATGGCGGGTTGCGCGACGGCGCTTAAGGGAGTGGCTTGAGAGGTGTTGAAGGTCCGAGGTTTGGTGATGGGGTTGTTTCGGTGCATATATCTGTTTCTTTGCTGGGATGAAACGGTGAGATCTTTATCATCCTGTATTTATAGATGCTTAGATGGTGATCTGGATGCGAAAGATGCTTGTTTACAGTCGTCCAGAAGATGCAAGTGGGATGAAGTTGTGACGAGCTGTTCGCTTGAGAACTATTCACAGATGCAGCAGTCAAAATTATTCAGATGATAGCGCTGTGTGAGCACATGTTGAGAGGATTAACAATTAAAAATTATGTTAGGTTTTTGTTGTCCAGGTAGACATTCCATGTATATGCCTGCAGTTTTGCAATACGTGTTCGTCTAATAGATACGCCCCATCCAGCAACATCCTCAAGTCGCAGATGTCGATCTTGGCTCATTATCTATTATTGCCCTTCCATTGTGGGTTTCTTCTGCGGCTCCTCCAGTTGAAACTATCGCATTGCCATTACCTACTGCAACATCGTATCCTGGTGGGTTTTGTGGACGTTGAGACGGCCTGGTCATATCAACAAGCTCAATTACCGATTCAGGGTGTCCTCCACTTCCCTGACTCCTCCGCGGCTCATAGTCGGGTAAAACCTCACCACCACCTGCGCTCCTGGCTGCCATCTCAGCCTCATAATCCGGTGGTTTTATCTTAGCAACTTCTTCGGCCTTCTTTTTCTGCTTCCTGCTGTGCCACAGTGCAAACATGAAAAACAGCCAGACTGGGATGCCGATACCCACGGCCAGGCCGACTGCCACTTTCGGGAATGGGTTTTCTTTCTTCCTCGACTTGGCATTGCAGTCAAAATATGGGTCGTAGTAGTATCTAGCATCGTACCAGTCTTTCATGTCGTATCCAGGATGCATTCTGAGCCAAGCTTCGACAGCAGGATCGCAGTCGATTTTTTCCAATGGATATATTTTGAGTCCATCAACTGTTCTGAGAGAATCCAGATTGTAGCTGTAGACGATATCAGCTCTTTACCATCTCATAAAGTGGGACAGCTAATCTTACTCAGTCACGTTTCCACCAACTTCAATTCTCCCTACATACTGTAGTGGCCAGGTTTGAAAAAAGGCATTAATGGTTGGTTTAAACTCAAAGGTCCCGTCCATACTTTCAAGGTCTGGAAAGTAGAAGCTAGAAACGTTCATCAGTAGCATTTCATAGATTCGTACACAAGATATTCACCTGTTCACGGTTCCCCACAAAGAAATGTCAGAGACATTCCGCAGGAATGGGAAGTTGACATTTAGCGGATTTCCAGTGGTCCAAATTTTCAGCGACCACTTGTCTATCAAGTCATACTGATTATAACCCCCACCTGAGCTCATCAACCAGGGCATTTTGATACTATGGAGGATCAGCAAGTTTCTTTAGTGCCTTGGCTTGAATTGTTTGTAGAACGGACCTGGATATGTTTCCTATCAAGTGTACCAACCCTGCATGCACTAGCAACGGGAAATCTACCGCCATGCCTGGGAATGGGCCGCTACCTTCGTAGTAGGAGTAACGTGCGAGCAGGCTACGATTGCTGGCAATGAAAATTGAATCAGCCTCAGTCAAGTTGGGGAAGCTGACCCTAGGATATTTATCAGCTCGTCAACACGTCCATTCAGAATTGCTGACACTCACTTCGGTACATTGCCCAGTATCTGAAGTTTATCAGTGACAATTTTCAGCGATGTAACGTCTAGAACTAGTTCTTTCTGCTCGCTCTGGTCGACGAATAAACTCCCAATCTTCTCAAGGTTTGGAAGAGCTACGGTCTCAATATTGGATGCATTCATAAAAGACAACACGCCGAGAAATCTCAGCTGCGGAGCCTCGATTGACGTGAGGAGAGGGCTAGGCCAGAGTGAGTCAGTGTACTCCTCAGTGTAATCCTCATGGTACTGGTCTGTCGTAAATCGACCTGTGAAATTGACAATGTTGTTCAGAACCAATGTACCATTCCACTCGTTGGCAATACTGATGTCACCAAGCCATACGGTGCAATTGGCAACCAGGCTGTCGAGGTCTTCTTGCCTGTTGACTGTAGTGACTGTGTATAAGCCGCTACCTGCACATTCAACGGCTGCAGTGGCTGTGGAAGTCAGCACACGCTCTGCCCCTCAGACCCCAGTTTTTCCAGAGTGCAGAAGTAGACTTACAATGCAGTAATGTGGACAAGAGGACCACGGCATTTGCCAGGCCATGCTTAAACCACAGCATCCCAACAAGCTGGCTTGCTTTATGGAAAAGTTGTTAAAGACGCGCGGCGCAAAACATGCAAAAAGTGGGCAAGTTGCCGAAATAAAGATCACAGCTCCAGGCCAGGGTGGAAGTCAGGAGATTGGATCAGGACTTGGCTGCATCGTTGCCTGGGACTTATTGGGTGGGATTATTGCCGTAGCCGAGCTTGGTATTTACTGCGCCGCCCTGAGAAATGAAAAAGGGGGATACTTCCTGCTGGTCTTGCCATCAAACGATAAGCATAAAACAAATCGAGTTTGCCACCTAAGATGTTCGAGCATTTTTGTAAATATTCGCGATTGGATGAACATCAATTGCAGGTTTATTTGCCCTGAGCCACACTCGTAGGACGTGTTCTTGACGATGTGTGCCGGATGGAGCTTACGACCTTCCATATTAGGCCATTTACGGGCAGCCAAGCATTGGCAGGGAGTAACGAGAGCAAACGTTTCGGTATCGATTCTTCGTTGCATCACTTGGAAATCGTTTTGTTGCAAGTTACTCTCGGCAATTGACTGTATCACAGACATTAACATAAATGAGAGGCGACATGCTTTCAAGGGTGGTGTCCGCCGACATCCGTTTTTCTCGCTGTAAATCATCTAAGCCCCGACCATCCACCATACTCACATTTCTTTAAGGACAACTGGAAAAAGAATTTCTGGGACTACATTACATGAAAACTCAGTCTCGAAAATGAACAAGGTGCTATCTTTTATTTCACCGTCATGCGATGAACAGAACAGAACCGAAAGTCAACAATTGAAGCGAAGACGCTAAATCCCGCCGGACAACGACTAACATGCAAGCCTATACCACTGGCTCATTTTCATATCTCGTCTTACAACAAAATAATATATCAGAAGTACATAGGTCCTAGTAGGGTTCAGGTAAGGTAGCCAAAAGGTGTCAGAAAGTCACGTGGGTGAGATATTCCTCTTTCGGTGCCCCGCTCTCAACAAAATACATTTTCACAACTCCAAGTACTTTCTTACAATCGTGCACGGTGAGTAGATGGCTTGTGTAGCTACAATCAACCTGTTTATCTCACCACTATAAGCTCTGTTCCCAGTCATAATTAATACTACTTGTGCCTGAACAGAACCGTCACGATGGCGGCGCCGCCTAACCTGAAGCCTGCCGTGGGGTGGGTATACGATATCATTCTCCGGGTCTTTGCCACGATGGTAGACTGCTTCTTCAGAGATATCCAAGTTCGTGGAGCATGGCATGTACCTGCCGAGGGCTCTGTCATTCTAGTTGCAGCACCGCATGCCAACCAGGTGAGTGCCCTAATCACATGACCACTCCAGAAGGAAAATCTGACAATTCTACGGTTCGTGGACTCTGTGATTCTTATGAAGATCCTGAGGTCTCTGAATCGACAGATCTCGTGGCTCATGGCGGAGAAGTCGTTCCAAAGACCCTTTGTGGGCACCATGGCTTCGATTATGGGAGCTGTTCCAGTATCCCGGGCCATAGATGTTGCCAAACCAGCGAAGGGAACGATTCTGCTCCTTGACCCTGTAAACAATCCAAGGACCTTGACAGGTATCGCAACAAATTTTGGAGATCCGATATTCAAAGCAGGGGGCTCAATCTACTTGCCGACTGTGCATGGAGAGACCCATAAGCTTGACATTGCAGAGATTCGCGAAGGTCAGACAATAATTCTCAGAACTGCACCGGTTCACCGTGATGCTCTATTCCAGCTCACTGGAAGACGAGAAGTGGATGATGAGTCGCCTCCAGGATTCTTGGGCTCCAAGTTCAAGGTCGCTCCACATGTTGATCAGACCCAAGTATACAAAGCCGTTTTTGACAGACTTGCGCGTGGCGGAAGTCTTGGTATATTCCCAGAAGGCGGAAGCCATGACAGGACGGAACTACTTCCTCTTAAAGGTAAGTTCTTACTACATACATATTTGGAGACCCTATGTGGCTGACGCTTTTCAGCTGGAATTGCGATCATGGCTCTTGGTGCACTCGCTCAAGGGACGCCTTTGACAATCGTTCCTGTTGGAATGAACTATTTCTCAGCTCACAAATTCCGCTCGCGTGCCGTTATTGAATTCGGAGATGCCGTTACAGTCTCTGCTGCGACGATTCACGACTTTCGAAATGGGAACAAACGTGAAGCCGTCAGGTTGGTTATGGCTGACATTTCGGTGGCCTTGGCAGCAGTCACTGTCTCTGCTCCTGACTTTGAAACACTGAATGTCAGTCTCGCCTATACATTTGCGATATACTGCTCACATATACAACAGATCATTCATGCTGCCCGTCGTCTCTACCTCACCAAAACCCCATTCGGTGAGAAAACGCAACGACTTTCGCTAGCCCATTCAACGGAACTTAATAGGCGCCTCTCCAAAGGATATACTACCTACTCTAAATCACCCGACATGATATCTTTGAGGAAAAATCTGCAGAGATATATTGACTGTCTACGAATCCTCGGCCTGAAAGATCACCAACTTCTTTCAATCGCTACCCGCTCCACACATGTCCCGATCTTCTCAATTATTTCGACACTTCTGTTTCGTCTCGGAAAACTCGTTGCTCTATTCCTCCTGACCCTCCCCGGACTGATCCTATTTGCTCCAGTCTTCATCCTCACATCCCACATGTCACGAAAGAAGACAGCGGAAGCATTGGCCGCGTCCAGCGTGAAAATTCGAGGCAATGATGTGATGGCCACTTGGAAAATCCTCATCGCCGCAGCACTGGCTCCTGTGTTCTATTTGTTCTACACAATAGTACTGGTGTGCTTGAAAAACTGCAATCTCACCTATGGCATAATCCCTGCGGGCATGCCCATCTCGCTGCTTATGGCCCTGTCCTTAATCATCCTTCCTTCAATTACGTACGCAGCCCTTCTATTTGGAGAGCAAGGGATGGATATTCTGAAGTCTTTGTATCCTCTCATGCTTTCCCTAAACCCACGCTCGTCTCACGCTGTTGCTGCTCTGGTAGAGGAAAGGAGCAATCTGGTGACCAAGGTCAGAAATATGGTTGATCGCTTTGGGCCTGAGCTATTTCAAGACTGTGATGATATCAGTAAATGGAAGGAGAGGGGGCCAAAGCAACTGTTTGCTGATATCAGTCCGATGGCTGAGATTAATGACCTTTGGAAGTTAGATACTTTTGTCTAGTGCTGGACACTTACTTGGGAGTCTAAAGTACGATGGTTACTTTTCGTCGGCACTATTTGCGTTCCAACGTTGCACAACACTTGGCTTTCTTCATGGTCCATTTCGTTGAATCCACAGTAATTTCAAAACCATTGACGACGAATTCGGAATCTATGAGACTTATCGGGCTCGACAAATGTATCCACAATTGAGTGGGCCTTTTGGTCCCATCCTTTGACCACCTCTGATCAGCCGCCGCTAAATCTCGGCTCCTGATTCTCGGATCTCGAACCAGAGGTGCACTGCATGTAAACATACCAACGAGCTAGCGGGCCAGCTTTCAAATTGATGTGCTCGATATTGCAAGTAACTCACGAAATGCAAGAAAAAGTTCAAGATAATCCAAGCCCAAAATACAGGTTCTGTTTCTTGACTGCAGACTTGGATGAGTATGAACGTCATTGTGTCTTTGCGCCGAGCCTTCGGAATGGCGCTATTACGTCTGGCGGGTTCCAAGAGTCGCCTTCTGTTCCGACACCCGAAACATAAATATACTGAATTTCTCGAGAACATTCAGGAATTTTCTTCAAAGATATCCAAAACTATACAAATTATTCTCGGCAATAATTTATTTCATCTCAAGTTTAAACAGAGCACTCCACATCCTCATCATGCCAACGGCCTCATTTACGACCACTGTCAAAGGATCCTCTCATCCTGAGAGGGTCCGAATGCTCGTTCTGGAGACTGATCAGACATTTAAAGCAACAAGCCAGCGGAAAGGAACCTTTGGCGATATTTTCCACTCGCAATTCTCAAAGGTTGGGCAAGATCACAAACCACCGCTTGAAATTGAGACGATTATGAAGTTCGTTGTTGAGCCAGAAGGAGGAAAGATCCCAGACGTGACCGATGTTGGAGAAATTGATGCTGTGTTGATCACTGGGAGCAAGTACGATGCACATGGCGACGATGAGTGGATTTTGAAGCTGGTGCAGTGGATTCGAGGTATGTTGTTCTTCATACATTGCTTGGCGTTTACAAATGATTCCTTTGTGATCGTTTTGATTCATTATCTTATATAATGAGGCTTCCACTATACTTTGACTGTGTTCTAATCGCATGACTAGCTGCCTGGAAGAAGTATCCCGACATGCGCTTCAGTGGCGTCTGTTTCGGCCACCAGATACTGTGTCGTGCTCTCGGATCTAAAGTAGAGCCATCTCCAGGAGAGAAATGGGAGCTTTCACACACCAAAATCAATCTTACGCCTACCGGTGAAGCACTATTCCAGACGAAAGACAAGATTTTCCTCCACCAGATGCACGTAGATCACGTGGTTGATGCGCCAACTGCCTCATCATCAGAGGGGTTGATCGAGGACGATTCGACTGTCTCGGTATGGGGCAGCTCCGATATGATACCAATTCAGGGAGTGTATATCAGGGAAAGGTTGTTCACGAGCCAAGGACATTTGAGTTATGATGAGCAGATGGTGAAGAAGCATGTTGACGTGAGAGTTGAGAAGGGGTTGATTAAGGATGAGAAGCAAGCTGAAGAGGCAAAGCAGAAGGCGGGGTTGAATCATGATGGGATTCTAGTGGCTGGAGCTATTTTGAGGTTCTTTCATGGCGAAGACAAAGACATCAAGTGATTAGGAGTATGATCGATTGGTGACTTAACAATCAGGCTGCTTTGTTTCCAGTGGAGCATGTACATATTTTCACTCGGGCTTGATAGACGTGATTCTCTTTGCCATCTATCATAAAAACTGTAGGATTGTCTTGGAGCATTGTTTGCACACTTATGAATACTGCTTTGACAGTGCATGATCCGCGCCGTCCTGTGAGGGTATCATGCACGATGTCGCAAACGTCCTACGCAAGATTGGCCGTATAATTTCCACTTCTGATGAGGTATAATTTAAAATAGCCAGCTCAATATCGACACGCTCAAAATATCATGCTTCCTACAATCCGTGAAGTTTTTCTGTTGTCGTGATGTTTCCCCTGAAACTTGCATGCTTCCCACTGGCTCTAGAGCAATAGTAGAAGCGAATCCCAGATCGGTTTTGAGCGGGAGCGTGGGCACGAGATACAGTTCTATCAATGCGACAAGAAGATTCTATTGATTTCAATTTGTATATAGTATCATCAAAGTAGTATCAGCCTCATTATTGTTGAGTACTTAAAGAGTGAGAGCTCAAGGTAGCAGAACAGGGGTCTTAGAGCCTTAGAATCAAGATTAGGTTCAAAAGTCAGTTGCCCTTTGTTACTTCCTCTTGATTAAAGTACTATATAATATCTTTAACGAGGAGAACTAAAAGGGAGGAACTAAAGAAGGGACTGTAATTACGAGAGAGTAAAAGTAGAATAATGAAAGAAGAAGAAAGACAAAGGGCAAAGTAGTATATTTCTCGTAGCCTAAGAAATTCGCTTACTTTCTCCTTTTGTCTTTCCCTTGTCTTTCCCCTTGTCTTTTCCCCTGTCTTTTCTTTTGTCAGACCTTGAGTCTCTACACCCCTTTGACTTTGCGTTATTTCCCTTGTTCAATCTTGAATTAAGGGATTTTTCTAACGTGCAAGTCAATTGAAATGCCTTGCAAAACATTTATGATTACTACAGGGCTAACAGACCTCATGGCCACTGGCTCTCAGGTAATTCTAGAGAGATATGTACACTATTAGAGGTTTGATAGTCTTGTACTAGTTATGCACACAGGTAAAATTTACGTTTTAGCCCTGTGAGATAGTATTTCGGCATACAGCAGTGAATCTCTCAGATGAATTAAACAGGATGTATCTGCCTGACGGGGCGTCCTTCAGAGACGCATGGTGAATTTAGTAAGTGATAGATAGTACTATTGATAGCCTGGTTAATCTGAAACAATGGAAGCGAACAAGTTGCCCCAGGGATTCAACAAGTTCCTTTCAGTCTCTTGTTTATGGCTGCAAATTATTGATCTCCTTTTGTCTCGCAAGCCAAAAGGGAAACCTCGAGACCAATTCAACAAGACCGGACTAGTGAATATAAAGGTTCCAGTGGCTCATCCACTTTGAAAATTTGTTTTCAATAATCAAGAAATTCTTAATCCGAATCAACCTCAGCATGGACGACGACTTCGACGTTACAGGAGCATCCAAATCTAGCAGAGACCTCTTGGTCAACGACCCCACTCCTGCAAACATCTTTACCTTCGTGGAGGCGATACAAAACTCCTCGTAACTTTCAACGGCACCAGTCTAGAGGGTCTGGTGTGTTCTCAATCCATTTGCCGCGCCAGTCCAGTTCTCAAGAAGTTTATCTTTCCTCCTTGGGTTCCACAAGCGGGAGATAGCCAAGCCCCTACCTCACAGCAGAAGCTTCTCGATTGCCGCGAGGACGATACAGAAGCTCTGTTAATCTTGCTAAACATTATGCACCTCAAGTTCTTGGATGTGCTTAAGAAGGCGAGTGTTCAGTTACTTCGTCAAATCGCACAACTCTGCGAGCAATATCAGTGTGTCAGTATTGTTGCTCCTTGGGTTCAGGGCTGGATTTCTCCCGACGACCATCCAGGATATGATCAGTCAGCACTGCTGGTTATTGCTTGGGCCTTTGGAGACCAAGAACTTTTCGAGGGGGTCGCCAGAAACCTGGTGCGCTTCTTGTCGTACGACAAGGATGGTCACCCTCAGGATTTAGCAGATGAGAGAGTGGAACAGCCCCTTCCACCAGGAATACTAGGTATGTAACAAACAATTGTTCCTCTTTTAATGCCTTTGGCTGATCAGATTACCTAATTAAAAAGCATTCTCAGTGTCCGTAACGAAGCCATAAACGCAGCAGTATCGGTTCCGTTTTCTCAGCTAGCGCGCTACGAGGCAGCTGTCCCCCCTAGAGGTCCTGTTCAACTCGTATGTCAAGTTCAAGTCGAGAGGGACCACAGACTTGCGTGCGACGCCCTTTCCCATGGAAGATTGATACGTTCACTGATGAGCAATGGCATCTACCAGAAGTCCACGGATGAACTTGTCACGATGCCAGACACCGATCTTGAAAACGTCGCCGCAATACTTGACGACCTTAAGCTTCAATTGAATCCAGGACATAACTTAGTTGGTCCTGGTGGAGACCATTCAGCGTGCTCAACAATCGATTACCGGCAGGAGAGAATCAAAATCATGTATAATCTCAGATCTCCTGTCCTGGATTCCCACATCGAGCATATGCGAACTCAACGGACAAAGTTAGGATTCATGAAGGTAGAAAATATGCCTGAGGAGTAAGAGAAATCTCTACTTGAAAATTGGGCAGAAGGAACTTAAAACTGTTCCTTGACATGCGTCCCACTCAAGTGTGCGTCATATCTGATGCTGTTGGGCAGGCTGTCGAAGGAAATAAGCTTTACGCTGGCCATTTATCAGTAGCTCCTACAGAACAAATGAATTATGGTAGAAAATATCTCAATTTTGTGAGTATGTAGCATGAGAAGGATAACCACGACTTGGCTAAGTGGGCTGGCAAATATCTCGAGGATTGCTTGGCTTGGTGGCATTTAGTAACTAACTTTACATAAACAATAGTGCTGTATCTCAGATGGTTTCGATCTCCTCTCATTCCTTTCCCCCATGTAGATACCTGAGAGAGAATAACGCGGAACAACCGGCATGATTTTTGTTTACAATAAGCGAGGCGAGAGAGGGTGGCGTTCGGCTTGAGGATTAGCGTGGCGCATTGACCACTGTCTAAATCAAGAACGTCATTCGGGTTTTCAATCCACCTTCTCCATATATTTGTCAACATAACACAACTGCCTTGAATATGCACCCTGACTGCCGGCACTGGGATCGTACTGTGCGCCCTTGATTTGATCTTATAATCAGGTGTATATTTCAGAGGACCAAAGACTGGGAGAGACACAACACTCGGAAGGAATGGTTGAACATCCATTTCTTGATCAGATATCTCTGAGAAGAACACACCGACCAGGACCTATCAGGTAACAATTATTATCAAACCAGCGGGATCAAATATCAAGCCATTTGGAATCAGGGGACTCCCAATTGACCTGTCTGCCTACCCGAACCTCAACCATGTCATCCAGCCACGTGGGTCCGATCACATCTGAGCCCCGATTCGATTGATGGGGATTAGCAGAAATTACGCTCGATTCAGTCAAAATGGAGAAGAGAAAATATCATCGTTTTTCGGATTGGAAATGTCCTGGAGGCAAGTAGCCGAGCCGGGAGGCGACCTTGGAAGTCTCCGGGCTTGTGTCCTTAATAGACTCTCAGACCTCGCAAGGGCATACAACTAGAGATGATTCAGCAGTACTGCGCCAATTGCAGTCAAATCAATGATCTCCGAAATATCTGATTGGTGAGACGCCTGCAAGGATGCGAGAAGTATGACCTGGGACTCTGGAAGATTTACTCCGACCGGAAGCGAGGCTCAACAGGTGCATTAGTGCATGCTGCCCTGACTATGACGTTTCCGGTCATATAAAGTCTTGAAGTCATTGCATATTCGTTTTGGGCAATATCTCCACACTCCAGAAGGATGTAGATTTTGTTTTTCCAAGGTCTCAACTGGTTTTCCTCCAACCTGTCGCTGAATTCTCTCAGAAATATTGCCTGTAAGATCATGCTGTCAGATCCAACTGGTAGGTAAAAGCTCTAGACTGATATCTACCTTGCTAGTGCAAACACATTTGTCGACTCACACACAGCTTCATTGCGTTCCCCGAGTAAATAGACAATATGCTAGACATGAGTCGAATTCAGCTAATGGAAGGATGGTGGTCCCCTGCACGCCAACGGCACTTCGAGCACTTTCCAGCAGCAAGTCTATCAGCGTCATACGAGAACAGAATGACTGTGGCAATGACACATTTGCATCAGTAGCTCCCCTTCGAAAAGTACTTGAGGTGGTCCGTCTTTCAAAATCTCACTCTTCATTCTTCCTCATCGATAAACAGTCTTCATCATGTTTTTCAAGGCAGGACTAGCTGCTGGCTTCATTGCCGCAGTCGCTGCTCTCCCACAGGTCAGCCAAATCTCAAATGGACAGCTGCAAGTCCCTACTGCTGTCCCTGTGAGTCAGCTTTCTGACGGACAGCTTCAGGGACCTGTCCCATCCTCGACAACCGCAGTCCCCTCGACAGCCTCGCCGTTCGGAACATACTCATACCCACAAGAGCCATCTGTTAACAGCGCCGCGGTGTCCTCTGTTGCATCTTATGCCGGAATACCAGCGTCTGAGATTCCAGGTGCGACCAACGCTGTTCCTCCGAGGGTGAGCAGTCAGGTCACGGGTGTAACGTCTCATGGCCCATTCTCTGGTACCCCAACGACAACCGGTGCTCTCAGCAATTCACCAGCTGGAACCGCCATCCCGGTATTGCCACCGAACCCAACAGCAACTTACAGCCCAGATGGGACCCTCCACGAGCAGCAACCAATTCCCTACCAGCCAGCTGGTGGTCTCGGTACCAATGGTACTGAGCCAGTCTACCGCGTTCAGTCCGACTTTGATTACCAGTCTATCCTTTTGGGTCTGTACCAAGAGTGGATTGAGTTAGATCTCTTCCACAACATCCTCGCCACTTTCTCCGAGGAGGAGTTCACTGCTGCTGGACTCACTCCCAGTGATCGCTTTCTCATTGAGTTCATGGCCAACCAAGAATCTGGTCACGCCACACTCCTCTCAAACTTGCTTGGCGGACCTGGCGGAGCAACCCCTCAATGCACATACAACTATCCCTTCACCACCGTCCACGAGGCATTCGACTTCACGCAAAAGTTGACACGCTTCGGTGAGTCTGGTGTATGGGGATTCCAAGCCCATCTCGACTCGCGCGAGGTTGCTCAGCTGCTCGACCAGTCAATCGCAACCGAAGCTCGTCAACAGATGATATTCCGCCAGTTTGCAGGTCTCTTCCCAATGCCAGTTTGGTTCGAGACAGGAATCCCACAATCATGGGCTTGGACTCTTCTCGCTCCATATATCTCATCCTGTCCAGCAAACAGCAAGAGATTGGTGTGGCAAAACTTCCCGGCATTGATTGCGCTCAATCAGCCAAACAGCGCCCGCCGCAATGCCACCCAAACCGGCTTCAATGAGACGACAGGTTTTGGTCCAGCTGCTCCTAGCACTGATCCTCCCTCTGCTGAGGGTTGTGTTGGCACCAACGTCACCGGCTTCGATTGTACTGCGGCTATCAGCCAGAACCGCTCTATCCCTCTGTCGTATCCTGGTCGTAAGGTCTTCCTTGCGTGGGAGAACCCAGGACAGGCTGTTGGACCGAATAACAGCTACATCACTTCTACAAGTGCTGCTGCCCCGGAGTGGGTACTTTGGGTCAGCCAGCTGAACATTACCTACTCGCCGCTAACGAATATTACCGTTCGCGACGGGAAGAATTATGGACAAACCATTCAGCCGGATGTTTCGACTTATGAGGGTGACCCAGCTATCAATGGTATGTTCCGACTATTCCTTTGACCTTGTGTATTATTTCTGACGTAAAACAGGCACCATGTTCATCGCACTTACTGATGCAAACTTACCGTATACGGCATTTAACTTGTCCAATGTTAACCCTCACGTTGCTGCTGGTCCATTTTTGTACCAAGCTGGTTAAAGGTTCCATCGACCTGTATTTTGCCCTATGATCTATGACTGAAATGGACGAGGGATATTGAGTAGGAAAGGAAACCTAATTCTTAATGTTGTATATATAGCAACGCTCCAATGATATGACATTGTCTCACGATATCACAATACTTTTCCAGCTGCTCAATTTTCGCAGTGAGACGGTTCGTTTTTGCCGATTCTGAATCATCCCTCAATGTGCCGGTATGAAGTTTCGGTCAGCTTGATTTCAGTATCTATCCATTCTTTCCTGGCAATTCATCTCGCAGGTCAGTTATCAATTCAAATATGTGCCCCACGAAATTTGACATTTTCAGAAGCCTGCAGGCGCCAGTTGAATCCTGGATATTCACCCACTCACGTGAGTATCCGACATGTTTACGTGTCAACGCCAGTCTTGGGAAGGACCAGGGCACTTGGCTAGACGCATATTTCGATTGTGGCATTACACAAATCATCGAAAACTTTCCCAGTCTCGCTAAACATTCACGCTCCACCCAACCACAATCAAATCGAAACCCATCACCCTGGCAGGCAGTGTATAGCGTACTTCGTAGTTTACGTATCGAACATGCATCCTACTGAGATTGGTCTATTCTTGTCTTCCTTGACTACCAGAGCGAAACTTAACGAGGCTTGACGAGTGGACCAATGGCCAAGCCACATCGTCGCTGCCAAGGCTCACGATGTCAGCATAAGCCACAGCCGTGCCTCTTCGCTAGCACCGCATTCGCTCCTCCGTCATTGTCGTTTAAGTATGCGATATGGTATGGCGGCTGAGGCTGATTATTCGATCGTTCAGCCTTACAGTACCTAGGATCAAAGTATATACGAAAAGAACTTTCCTCCGAACATGAAATACTTTAGCAAATCAAGAATATCGTCAAACACACCATTTATCTCTCTCTAGCTATTTATCGCACAAAGAAACATCATGGCTTTCCTTCTCGCTTTCCCACTCCTAGCATCTAGCATAGTCCATGCAGCAGACGTTGGAACATACAATTACACATCATCCCCAAAACTCTCCTCAGCAGCCATATCCCAATTCAACGCCTCAGCAAACACATCCTGGTCTCAAAAAATTGACAGCATAATCTACGACTCCCCATTCAACCTCACAACCGTCCACCCAGAATACAAAGTCACCCTCGCCATCTCTGAGCATGCTTCACCAGAAAACACTTCAGACTCCTCTGTCACGCAATCCCTGATCTTCATCACCCCGCCTGCAAATAGTGGGGTAGGCGTCGGCAACGATTCAACTGTACGGGATTGGTATAGTTGTGCGGTGGTATTCAAGCGGATTACGGACGCAGCGACGAGGAGAGGAGAGAATGAAGATGGAGGGTGTCACCCTACCTTGGGAGGACTCTGTATTGATGCGTTGTATGCGCGAGTTCGAGAGACTACGGATGTGGATGGAAGGGTTGGATGTGGGACTTTGATTCGGGAGATCCCAAGTGAATGCAGTGAGGCGATTGCAGGAGGGGGAAGTGATTTTCTGTCGTTTGGTGAGTTTTGGACTTCGATGCCAGGAAATTACAGTAAGAAAGTGCTGACCAGAGATGTCAGATCTCAACGCAAGCTCTAAGTCCTCGGATTTGGTCCCGTTAATTCTCACCACGAGTGAACCTCACAGTCCTGCGAATAAGAGCTACTATGAGGAGGCTAGCCATCGTATTTGGCCTGTTCTGATGTACCAGAAAGTTACTTCTGGTGGCGGTGATGATTGGACTCAGGCGGCTGCGAGTACGCAGATGACTTGCTTGAGAGATCACAACGCTCTAAAGAGCGTGAGTGGGACTCAAACGACTTCGTCTACACCCTCGTCGACTGCAACGGATAAGCCTGGTGCGGGGGTGAAGTTTGGGATGGAAGGGAAGATGTGGGGTGTGGTGCTGGTTGCTTTGGCAGGATTGATGATGGGTGTTTAACATATGATAATTTGCATTTTTTAAGGCGGAAGAATAGAAGTTATAGATCGTCTACTGGGGCAAATAAAGATTTGAGTCAGAAAGATGACGGTGGGCTCTGATCCAGATACCCCTAGTGAAAAGGGTTCGATGATCGGTGTCACTGCATCACTGCCCAAGATGGTTATACATCTTCCAGATTGAGCAGGGTAGTCATATACTGTATCATGTAATGCAACGATTCCATTGACGTAGAGTCATATCAATCAACTCGTCGATAGAGAAATGAAACTCCACATCCACCGCGACATATTCCACGGAAACACAAACATAGCTTTCTTCCTCCTGTCTCTCTTTCTACCACTATGGGTGCATAGTAGAAGTCATAAGCCCAGTTGCACTATTCACCGGCGCACCTGGCGCAAACGTCGCGCTCCTAGTAACGTCAGCGTTTGCAGCCTGCCTTTTGGCCATCACAGCCACAGCCCTCTTACCACCAAGCGTGAGAACAGGAAGCGTTCCACTATTCACAATCAAAGTACCAGTAGGCGTCGGTGCCGGGGTCGGCTTTGGCGTCACGTATTTGGTAACAGTCACAGTCTTGGGTGGGTTGTACCACCATGGCTTCTTGGTTGACGTGGACTTGGGTGGGGTAGGGGAGACGTAGACGGTGCGTGTTGGTGTACCGAGAGAGTAGTCGTCAGTTGGAGACGGTGGTGGGGGTGGCGGTGGATAGCCGTGAGTTGGAGCTGGAGGTGTGGGTTTCTTGGTTGAGGTTTTGGTTGGCTCTGGCTCGACTGGTGTTGGTGAGACGTAGACGGTGCGAGTTGGAGTGCCGAGGACGAATGTGGGTTCCTGTCTCTCAACAATGTCCGCATCGTGAGGCACAGCGATTGCGTGGCATAAAGCCACCAAAGTCGGCAAGAGAATAAGAGTGGCCTTCATTATGAGATCTATTCTGTCAGCACGTCCACCAGAATTGTATGGAAAGCCCATCTGTTACCTTGAATTGAGTTGCGAATCTAAAAGAGCTGTTATTCTTGACTACGACCACAATTGTAGAGGCAACGCATCCTTCTTGTACAATTCCTAGAAAGCGAAAAGACGGAACGAGGTATTCTTTCAGACGTCATTACGGAATAGACGACCTGGGTCCGAAGTTCAGATGCTGCGATTGTGAACAAAACAATGTGGTCGCAATTAAGAAAATGGCGTTTTGCAATATACAAACACCGCATCACAATTAAGAACACCGCATGGGATTGGATAAGTCTGCACATATGAAAGGTTAAAGGATTAAAATAGATTCGCGAGGACGTGGAGTTTGGGCTATTGTCTTTTCATTTATTTGTTTAGCCGAATTTCCAATTGGAAGGCCGTTATACAAACCTAATCATGGCGTGATGAAATCCGTGCCCCGAGTTTCAAATCCCGTCAAATCTAAATGTGCGAAAAGAAAACAATAACTTGAATGCTATGGATTGTAAGCGAAGGAAGTATGAAAGCCATAGTGGTGGAATCAGTCAACGACTTTCGTTTGACACCTCACTTCCACCCCACCTCAAATGCAACTCGGGGAATTGTTAGCACACCATATCATCACCAATAATTCCACTGGAACTCACACCACTCGGTAAATTATGCATAAGCTCCCACCTCCCAATGGACCTTGTCCTTCCGCGCCCCCGGAGACGTAAATATGCATGTCACCCACCAACCCCGCAATCAGCCCTCCAACAGCCGTTCGTGCATGTTTAGTATCTCAATATCACTATCAGGGATTATTGTGTGTGCCTGTTACCCCTGATTTTACCCCTCGGATCCGCTTCCGCTTTCGCGAATATTTGAACCAAACGGCTATGCTCGTTCCTGATCTCGTTCAGAATCTTGATTAAGGTCCCTGCATCGATAACATCTTCCATGAAAGCCGATGCAGCACGAAGATTGCCGGCCGAGGTGTGTGATGCTAAATTAAGAATGTGGCGGCCCTCTTGTTCGGCTTCAGAGCTGCAGCTGGCTTTGCTGCTCCAATGATCTAAGTTCCGCATAGACTCATCCAGACAACCTTCTTTGATCTCTGGGAGCGCTACTGCAATCCCAACAGCAGATGATAAAGAGATTCGCCATCGACTCGTAAGTCTCCGTCGTGGCGTGAGCTTGAGATGCGGCCAAGATAGCTTCTAGTTTCGTAGAACTGATGAGAGGACATTTGATAAATACGAGAAGTACTTGATACTCCGAAAAGCCGCCATGACTCAATATCGACTTGACACAGGCCGCATCCTCCTCGGCTTGTTCTGTTGACCCGATCTGATGAGGCTCGAATTTTTGTTCTGCTGACCACTGCTAACCAGGCCAGTGGGCTTAATTCCTGAACGATAAAGTGACGTGTTCTGTCAAGGAAATTCGTGACAGTTGAATCAGGAATCACTGATTCCCACACGTGGTTGCTTCACGTATGTCAGAAGCCGTGGATGTAGCAGTGCCCTGGCTCATCAACCATCAATATGGATGAATATAGGATGCAACCGTCCTTCGGACTTCCCCATTACTGCCAAGATATGGCTCGATCGATACCCAATTTCCTCTATTTCTCGTAGCGGTGAAGTATCTGTGGGAGCAGAAACGCCATATTTGAGAATTGACGAGAATCTGGCAGGATATAGCCATTATATAATTCTCAGTCTGAGATAAGTGTGACAAGATGCAAGCAACTGCAAAGCAATATGATGCAGCGAATATCTCGGTCCAGCCTAACAATAGACGTAGTGAGAAGTCATGAAGAGTATCAGTCGTCACAAGATATCACTCGACATCATAGAAGGACAAGGAGAAAGTGTCGTAACCCAGCGAAGGTCGGGAAGGCATATCTTGAACCCTGTCATGGAATTCACTGGGCCACAGTACAATGGATGAATGATGGCTATTTCCCCGGGCGCTGGTGAAGGTGCGGATATAATTCTTACTTTGGGTGTGAAGATGTGGACGGGATATTTGCTCACGTGAAAAGTGGAAGACCGCCTTGATCAATCTCAAACAGGGTTAGCGCGTCGCGTCTCAGGTAAACAACCTCGGAACAACTTCTCGCCCCAGAACCAGGGAAACATGACGACCACGAAACATCATCTCCATATTTGAAGCTTCAGTCATCTCAATTTCTCCACCAAGGATCGGATGATGGATTCGATGATCGCCTGTTTCGTTCTAGCTCTGCATTGACAGATCATTATCTGGGTTATCCCATTTCAATACTTTATCTGGGGATGTGGGCTTTCATGCCTTTAGAAGTGGAGAACCTCAAGAAGGGGTACCAGCAGGTATATATCCTGATCTCGCCGGTCAAGAGTATTGCTTTACACAATTTCACATTGTTTTCCCATCGCTGGTCGCTGTATTTCTTGTATTTTCTGTACCCACTCTTTTCAAGATGCGCTCTACCGTCGTTCTTCCTTTCTTGCTCCCAGCAGCATATGCCCAGCTCAATGATATGGCTGTAGCTGCAGTAAGTACTCCTTGCAATGTTCTATTTCTCTCTTCTGATATATCTAGGGACTCAAATACTTTGGATCAGCCACAGACAACTCTGAACTCACGGACAGTGCATATGTTTCCCTTCTTTCGAATACAAGCGATTTCGCCCAAATCACTCCTGGAAATGGACAAAAGGTTGGCATGCTTGATCTGCGAAGCTGGATAGAGGCTTACAGATATTAGTGGGACTCAACTGAGAAGTCCCAAGGAGTCTTCACATTTACCAAAGGCGACGAGATTACGGCGTTGGCTACAAAGAACTCGCAATTGGTGAGATGGTGAGTTACACGACAGTGAGGCCTAATACACCAGGCTAACTGTCTGCGAGTCACACTCTTGTCTGGTATTCCCAACTACCATCGTGGGGTAAGATTCTTCCCCGGTTGTCTGTAAATCAAATACTGATCCATCTAGTTTCTGGCGGAACATGGACAAACGAGACGCTCCAAGCAGTCATGAAGAACCACATTACGGAGGAGATGACACATTACAAGGGACAATGCTATGCATGGGATGTTGTGAACGAGGCATTCGACGACACTTCTGCAGCCGCTTTCCGGAGCAGTGTGTTCTACAAAGCTATGGGCGAGGACTACATCCGAATAGCCTTCGACACCGCAAGAGCCGCAGATCCAGATGTCAAGCTCTACTACAACGATTACAATATCGAGTATACAGGTGCGAAAGCTACCAATGCGCTGGCTATGGTCACAAAGCTGGTGAACGGTGGTACACCAATTGATGGAGTTGGAGTTCAGGGCCATTACATTGTTGGAAAGATGCCATCTGGGTCTGATATCAGCAAGCACCTCGAGGCGTACACTGCGTTGGGACTCGAAGTTGCCATTACTGAGCTGGATATTCGAATGAACCTGCCCAGCACTGCTTCCGACCTTGCCCAGCAGAGCACAGATTATGCTACTGCCGTTACTGCATGCTTGGATGTTGCCAAATGCGTTGGTATCACCATCTGGGATTTCACGGACAAGGTATGGAGACCGCCGCCTATGGTCATTAACTTACTAATGGTGAACAGTACTCCTGGATTCCATCCGTTTTCTCTGGCCAAGGAGCAGCATGTCTCTTCGACGAGAACCTCGTCAAGAAGCCAGCTTACGACGGTGTTGTAGCCGCTCTATCAGCGGGTAGAAAGTCAGGCTCAACTTCTTCCGTTGTCATCGCCACCACTATCTCCAGTACTCAGGCAGCTTCCCCAACCCCCCTTTCAACTTCAATCGTCCAATTGTCATCCGCGGTCGTCTCATCCACCATCGCAATTCCAACGGCAAGCGGCTTCACCACCTCCTTCGTCCCAGGTCAGACATCCAGCCAAGCTTCGGACGAGCCACCACCATCGTCCGATATTCCTTCCGTAACTTCAGTGAGCGCTCCGATTGCTACGTCGGAGCCGGTTGGTGAGGAAGAGGGTTGCGAGTAAATCCTCATACTCATCTCTCGCATGCTTTGAACAATTGCATTCTCCATCTTTAGAGAAATTCTTTGTAAATACATTACTTCTTCAAATTATATACCAGACATAAATTTCCTTCTTGACAGCTCGGCTATGAAAATCCTACCCAATTGCGACAACCAGTTCCATCCAGCCATGCAAACACACTCCGAAAATCTCACTCACGTCTCGCTTCGCTTTCCCAATCCAGAACACCAGCACAGTAAGATACCACCCTCCAAACTCTAATTGGTGTTTACGCCGCAATGTGACGCGTCTCAGGATGAGAATGCCTGTATTTATTTCTTTGGCCGGTATGGTTAGGCCATTTCGCACAATGACAGCCTATTGGGAATTTGCGGCTATTGAGATCAAGATCGTCGCCGATGCTTGGGTCTCAAGGATTGAGTACTCCGATTTTACGTACCATAAGAAAGGGAGGTGGCACAACAAATCCTATTTCCCCAATGTGTTGTCGAGGTCCTCCTCCTTGAAATAAATATCCTTCTGCTGATTTCATGCCCAAACCAATTCTCAGCTCTTCGAGCCCTCGCCACATTTTTTTCGCCAAAAGCCGAAAAGTCAATACAGCCAGATCATACTGAACATACACGATCAAAATGGAAAAATCACAAGAACAACAAAGTGCGCCATCACAGCGGAGTTCGAGCACAGATACCAAAGTTGAGAGAACGGCGCAGGAGTTCAAGGCACCTGAGCGACGAGTCAAGCCTCCACCGCCTCCGCAGACTGGTGTGAGAGCTTTTTTGGATAGAAATGTGGGTTTGGTGATGAAGATCTTGGGAGTTATCTGAGAGGGTGGAGAAAGAGAGAAGACGCGAGTAGGAAGCTTGAGGTGGATGGGGGGCGATGTTTGTCAAGCTGCGAGAGAAATGTTCGACACTGAGTGCGAAATGCGAGACTCAGGATATGTGGGATTGTGGTGTTGACATGGAAAGAAGGGGGAGATCCAGAGATAAAGCTCGGATATGTGTATAGTGGCAGGGATATACGGGGTGGCTAGTTGAGGAGAAACTTAAGGCAAAAAGGGTTGAGTTTTTGTTCCAAATTGTTACATCGGTGAGCTTGAGGCCGAGGCTCAATCGTGCTTCATGGTTGAGCTTCGCGTGCGATGTGAGTCAATCCATACAACCGAGAAGACAAAATACTGATGGGTTGATAGAGACTAGGAGTGATATCTATACAATTTTGTGAAATTATGATAGCAGATGCTTAGAGAAATCATAACTTCAGCCTGTCCCAGTTTGGATTATTTCTCGGCGGATTGTTCGCCAAATGCCATCTCCGCCACGGCGCACACCCGGTCTCATTCAACCTCTCCGTAATTCGAACGCCTTTATCCTTCAACAAATCAAACATAGAACCCAGAAAAAGCTCCTCCACCATCTCCATAGCGTTCCCTCCAATCCACGGCTCCCCCTCCAGAGGCACATCGAACGAAGCACCACGAGATTCCAGAAGTTCGATCATAGCTGCGTTCTCCGTGGCAACTGCATACCATAGCGCAGGCAATCTGATTATGGCGTTTACCTTCTCGTTAGGATAGGCGCCATGATCGAGAAGCTTGCGGACCATGGATAAGCTGCCTGATGACGCTGCGAGAGGGAGAGCTGTGAACTGTGAGTATTTCTCGGCCTTGAAGTTCGGATCTGCACCACGGGCGAGGAGAAGATCCACGACGGGTTCTTGGCAGCTTTGAGCTGCGATGCAGAGGGCTGTCGCGCGATCGCGAAGGTAAGGAGAGTTTGGGTCTACGCCGTTGTCGAGGAAGTATTCTACCATGGATATGTTTCCCCATTCGCAGTGGTTGCAGAAATCTCGTGATAACCAGTCGGGATACAGGTCAGTAAGTGATTCCTTGAGGAAGCCTTGGAGACACTTGTGGATCTCGACAGATTTTGTGCTTCTCTGTGCTGCGTAAATAGTAGAACCAAGTCTGGACTCTCGAGGGATCTGTCCGACTGGCTCTCCGGCGAGTGTTGTCTCGCTTGGTGAGCCTAGAGGTGGAGGGTGCATTGTCCATTTGAGGAATGCGAGATGGCCTCGGATTGCGGCACCGATCATGACACGATTTCCAGTAAGTTTCATCCATTTCGAAATGAGATCGAGTCCAGCAAATCCTGGCTGGTTGGCGATGTGACTCTGAAGCGTCTGGGCCATCGCATGGTTACCAGCCCATGCGGCAGCCTCGAGAGCGCTTGGGAACATGTAATTGTGTAGCTCAGGAGAGTGACCCTCCTTAAGCACTTTTGAAACCAATGGAAACAAATCCAAGTGAGCTGCAGCAGCCAGGATGCTGAGTCCTTGTATTGGCTGTGCCAAGTCAATGTTTCGTTTACGGGTTCCATCCTCTGCCTTTACAAATCCGCGTGTCTCCCAGTAATCCTTGCGACAGTCGATAAACGAGAAAGCGTATTTGAATGCTAACCAAGACAGTCTATCGATGATAAATGACAGGTTTAGGGTTGAATGTTCTTCGATGAGTGTCGCAATTTCGCGCATCTCCAAGAGTCGATTCCCTTCTCCGCTGCGCTGGTTATTTACGCGATAGACAAGATACGAGTGGAACATTTGAAAAAGAAATGTACGGTTTTGGCTCTGCCATTGACCATGAACTTCGAAGGGTCCAGGTGAATATATGTCGAAGAGACGAGTCTCGAAAAGTGCAGTGATGACCGCGGTTGAGAAAGTTTCTGTGGTGGAATGAGCGGCTATATGCCGTTGCACATTATGCTTGAGTATAAAACTTACTGCAAACAAGTCGAAGTCTCAGACCTCGCTTTAGACGCCGTGCATAGATTGCATGGACTAGGATTTTGTTGAGAATTTCAGAAGGGAACTTCAAGACATTCATTTTGACGGATTCGGAGAGAACTGCGTTTGTAATCAGAACGAGCGGAGGACTTTGTTTTCCAGACGTGGGGGATAGACGAGAAGACGACTGTATGAGGGATCTGTTGCAGAATCAGCGATTGGAAGGGCAATGTCAATAATTGAAATAATAAGGAGGAGTAAAGCAATTGACAGGTGGCAAATACCAGCAGGTGGGAATTTCAACATTGGCTTGATAATTGTGCCAATGGCAAGGATATGCACATCGTAGCTTTTGTGGTTACTCGAAAGAGAGCATTTACCAAAGTCTCTAGAATAGGACCGTTGAGAGCTTCAATTCTGTCGATTCCCAGGAAGAAACTGACAGTTCAAGCGTGACATGAGAAGAACTGAAAACTTGAAAACTTGAAAACCCGCCAAGAGAAAGCCTTTGAAATCACATCTGCACTGAGCTCACGCTTAAACCAGTACATGCTTCACTTCTGATTCGTACTGAGTTGCCTGTCACAGTACCGACTTGCTGGGAGCTGCAGTTGAGTTTGTGTGTGTATGCACGTTGGTTATCTGCTCCCAAGAATAATTCCCATCTCAGTCTGTGCATCCAACAAAAAAAACAACACACCATACGAAACTATCAGATCAAACCAGTCACCGACATCTTATTCAATCAAGCCATTCCTGCACGTATTTGGACTTCTCCTGTACCGCTCCACGTCCAGTTCGGACCTCCACCTCGGGCCCCCGCCCCCTCCCCCACCCCGCATCCACCAACGGAAACGTGACTCGCACTCGCACCTCGCTCGACGGGACATGACATAGAGGTAAGGGAGGCTCACGAAGAGCAGACCCCTTCTATCCGCCGCAGAACTCCAACCTAATATTAACGTGCCGAGCGTGCAGGTCGGTGTAAGTCGGGTCTTGAATTAGACGATCTGATTGGGTTCCACGATCCGTTGGGATTAGGGTAGTATTACTTCTATTATTGAAGGACAGAGTCGCACAAGAATACCGGGACGGTAACCGTCACGGTCACGGAAAACACATATCAGCCACCAACCAACATCTACTCTCGCTCGGATACCCATCTCATATCAAAACAAAGCTCACTCGTTCAGTCGGATCAGGGGACATGATACCCGTGACCTCGAAAAGTTTTCATTCCAAGTTTAAACTTTCAGCAGCATCTGACTTCAAGGTTCATTCGCAGCCAGCCAGACAAGAATCAATCCCAAGCAAAGACAAAAAAGCCAAGATCCAAAGGATAATCTATTTTCCCTTCGCTTGATGATACGTTCGTGTTTTTCCATTTGCACCATTTTCATGTCCAATTGAATTCCGTCGTGATCCGAATATTAGACTTCGATTCAAGTCAATTTGATTCGATACGGAGACACGTAAATATTCCAGCCTATGATTCAGTCGTTCGCAACCTTAAATACCGGAAATCCTCAAATCCCCTTTCCCCGTCCGTCTGGGCTCCAGAACTCCAGAACTCCAGAACTCCAGAGTCTCCACCATATCCGGTCCCACTTTGAAAGTCCACTCCAATTCCAATTCGCATTCGCATTGATTCCCATTCAGTCATTCCCATCATCCCACGCTGCATCTCCACGTTTCGTTTCGTTGTCTCCACATCCACATCCACATCCACATCTCATCCGGATCCGGCTCCATACCTATCCTTCCCCAACTCATTCACGTTCCCGCGCCCTCCACATTCCATACCATTATTTCATTATTTGCCGACCAACATTACCAGCACCAAGCGCGATATCATCATAGTTTCCGTAGTAAACAGAATTTTCTCAATCGAAATACCGTACACAGCACCCGAACAAAAAAAATAGTGCCCGCAAAAGCGCGAACGCCCTTTCCAAACAAACAACCTTTGTCCTTCCCGCCAAGTGTAGCCGCACTCTCACTCCCCAAGCACCAAGCACCAAGCACCAGCCGTAAGCCGCAACTCACATATTCCAGCCTCTCTGTACGCTGCGTACATATTTCCAGAAAAATCCGTCTGGGCATCAAGAGGCGCAATAATAAAGTCAGGTCATTATTGGCAACACAAAGCTAAGGTACCTCCGTAAGCGCCACCCATTCATTCCCCTTGGCTCACTGTATCTGACGGCTTGGCAACCATCTCATTGGGAGATAGGCCGAGCACGGGACAACTCTTCTATTGGCTAGGGTATTGGGGTGTCTGGGGTGTGGTCGCGCTCGGGGAGTGGTGAGAGGGGTGCTGATTCGTGGAGAAATTGTTGAGCGGGAAAATCTTTTTGGATCGTGAGTGACACTGGTGCTGTGCTGTGCTGGGCTCTGAGAGGCGAGGCGCTTTGGGTTTGTGAGACTCTGGGGAGTGAGGGAGTTGGATTAGTTATTCTTTTGTGGATGTTTTTGTGACTGGACCGGTGTCCATGATGCGTGTAGTCTATGTTTACCTCGACTTCGAGATGGCAGTATATGATTATTATGTTTTATAAAATGGAAAAATGAAGTAAAAGAACGACACTCTATCTGAGAGAGACTATTTCGATCCTGGTTCCAAATCTAACAATCGTACCATGCACACATCATCCTAGCATATCCACAAACTACACTCTGCGTGGTAACCGATTGGCCATCCAACAGTGAACACGGGTCCTCCCCCTTCGCTCTAGCCGACTCCTCCTCAGCGATGATTTGAGGGATAACTCGTGGGGAAAAGGCCGTCGCCTGGGGGTTTGCTGGGGAGGAGCGGAGAGCAGCAACAGAAGCGTCTTGGCATCTTGGCGGGGGAGCGGGGGAGCCAACAGGAGAGAGGTGGCCCTCCAGCGGCGGACAGCTTTGGCTCTGAATGCAGATTTCTCCGATTGTCTCGGTGGCGCGGAAGCACCAAGACAAGATTTGAGCTTGCGAGAAACTCTGGTACCTACCTACCTACCTACCTACCCACCTACCCTTACCTGCCTACCCTACCTTGAATCTTGTTGATATATGAAGGGACCCCTTCCTCCCTCCACAGTCTGGATATTCCTCTTCATCCTCTCCAGCAAAGCAGTATCCATTCCCTTCCTCGTGTGAAGAGTCGACAAGGACAATAGACGATAGACGACTGTACTCAGGGTACTTGTACGTACATCTCGACAGGAACCCTTCGATAACTTGAACTTGGACGACACGACATCGCAATCATGGGTCTCCTCGATAAGATCGTTAAGAATGACTCTATGAAGAGGTAGGTCGATATAAGGTTCTCGTGGATCAAGTCTCCCGAGCTGACTCCATTGTTTTAGTGACCCCAAAGAGATCTACGGATGGAGGGTCTGGGTTCTAGCAGTATCAGCTTGTTTCGGTGGTATGTTGTTCGGTTGGGATATTGGTGCTATCGGTGGAATTATGGTATGTTCTCGCCTTTGTCCCCTTCTTCAAGGTGGACATGTTACGACCTGCCGCAAGGACATCCATCTTTTGATCTAGAAGAATTAGCACTGACCTTTCTGAAGGTTATGCCTCAATTTAAGAAGACCTTTGGCCTTCCAGCAGACGAGAAGAAGACTGCCGACATTGTCAGCAACGTTGTCTCGACCCTTCAAGCTGGATGTTTCCTCGGTGCTCTGATTGCTTTCTACATCGCCGATAAGTGGGGCCGAAGAGTAAGTTTCCCTCAAGCCTTTTCCTCTCATGGATACTAATCAAGGTTTAGCCATCTCTTCTCAGTGCTGCCGCAATGGCCATCTTCGGTATCGTTATCCAGACCGCCTCCTCTGGTGAGATCGCTGCTCTTTACGTTGGACGATTCTTCGCTGGTATCGGTGTCGGAGCCGCATCCATGTTGACCCCTCTCTACGTTTCCGAGAACGCTCCTCGATCCATCCGTGGTGGTTTGACCGGTATTTACCAGCTCAACGTCACCATCGGTATCATGATGTCTTTCTGGGTCAACTACGGTTCCCTCCAGCACAGCAAGGGAGACTCCATCTGGCAGGTGCCTTTGGCTCTCCAGATGCTTCCCGCTGTTTTCATGCTTGTCGGTGTCTCGCTTTGCAACGAGTCTCCTCGCTTCCTCGCCAAGCAAGACAACTGGGAGAAGGCAACACATGTCTTGACAACGCTTCGCAACCTTCCCGCCGATCACCCATATGTTCGCATGGAACTTGAGGATATGCAAGAACAACTCGAGAACGAGAGACGCATGGTCGGTGGTGCTTCCTTCATGGATCTCCAGCGCGAGATGTGGCTCATTCCAGGTAACCGGAAGCGTGCTCTCATCTCCATCGGCCTCATGGTCTGCCAACAGATGACCGGAACAAACGCAATCAACTACTACGCCCCTCAAATCTTCAAGAACTTGGGTATTGTCGGTCCATCCACTGGTTTGTTCGCTACCGGTATCTACGGTGTTGTCAAGGTCGTCGCCTGTGCCGTCTTCTTGCTCTTCGTTGCTGATTCCCTCGGACGAAGATGGTCTCTTCTATGGACCTCGATTGCTCAGGGAACTTGCATGTTCATCATCGGCAGCTACGTCCTGACCAACCCACCCAAGGCCGGCGCTCCAATCTCTCCTTTCGGATACGTCGCTCTCGTCTGTAAGTCATAGTCCCACTTAACCCACCTCTGATCACCTACTGACATTATATCCCCAGGCATCTTCCTCTTCGCCGCCATCTTCCAATTCGGCTGGGGCCCCGTCTGCTGGATCCTCGTCTCCGAGATCCCCACCGCCCGCCTCCGCGCCATGAACGTCGCCATCGCCGCCGCCACGCAATGGCTCTTCAACTTCGTCGTCGCGCAAGCCGTTCCCCGCATGCTGGTCAACGTCGGCAAGGCCGGGTACGGAACCTACTTCATCTTCGGCTCCTTCTGCTTCTCCATGTTCGTCTTCGTGTGGTTCCTCATCCCAGAGACCAAGGGTGTCTCCCTCGAGAAGATGGATGCTCTGTTTGGTGTTGTTGAGGACCCGAAGTTTGCGGATGAGGAGGCCCGTTCGTCGACTACTAAGGAGCCTATTCATATCCATGAGTCGACTGCGGATGCTATTGCTCATGATAAGAATACGAGTGCGCATGTTGAGCGCAAGTAGAGGGTTGCTTTGCTTGCATGATGGCTGAGTTTGGGATTTGTTTTGGCTTTGGCGCTGTACAATCTTCGAGTTGCCAGTAGAGGAGTTGTCGCCTCGCCCACCAGGCGTGGAATTGTTAATCGGTATAATCATATTGTCGTAGCTGGTTGTAGATTCATTCAAATCTCATGAGAATATGCTCCAGACTTACCCTTTTCATTTCGTGCCATCCCGTTCCATCCCGTCTGCAGTAGCTCCCACCGCCACTCCCATCTGGAGCTCGCTCTGCCTACATGCTCAACTGAGCAAACTCTCAACCTGAGAACTTCCCATCCTTACTTATATGTCCCTGAAAAGATTCCTGCTTTGAAATCCAACCCTCGAACCCTTCTCCCTGTGGATCCTCGCAGTGGAGTTCATGACAGCAGTAAACACTCCCCTCACGACAGCACTGGCTCGGCTAAAAAAAGGAGGTCGGGCGGGGTCCCCACCTCAACCAAGAACCCAAACCTGGAAAACATCCATCTCCACACTTTGACTAAGGCGCACCCACTACCAGAGCATCTGTTGTGTCATGAAATTTGCAAATTTGAAATCGAAATCGAAGTTCGAGGGAGGGGCAGAAACCAGCTGAGTCTGCATGTTGCTAACGTCAGGAAGCGTTTTAGGGCTGCCAAGACGTTAGTAAAATTTAGTAATATACAGACTGTCTAGTGATTAGCGTTGTACTAAAACTTACTAAAGACTTTTAGTTCTTAACTAATGTATTTGATTTTTAATCGATTACTATTTTTAAAGATTTATCTAAGTATTTTCTATCTAAGTATTTAGGATTAGTTCTAAGTTAATTCTTAATCGATTAAGAAAGAGTTAGTTAGGGTTAGTTAGGGTTAATTAGGGTTAGTTGTCACCTGAGCTTACGAAGGTAACGGTTAGGATTAGGGTTAGTCCGGGGGGTTAGGGGGCGGTGAGAGCCCCCCGCACTAGGAATATATCCTTATTTTCCCCCTTGAAGTCCTTCTCAAAGTTGTGTTTGTTTACATTTAGAGTTAGGTTTGTTTACAGACTATTCGGGCATTAAAAGTAGCTGAGTCTGCATGTTGAAATGCAGCTTGTACAGCGCTAATTTAGTAACATGCAGACTCAGCTATGTTCTCGGGAGGGGAACTGCACACCTTCCATTATTCCAAAGGGAGCCAGTTTAAAATACAGCAAGACTTGGGATATATGTGGCGTCAAGCGCCGGCGCCTGCCTCCCTTCTTCAACTCCACACTGAACGAGCTTGTGGCGGCGCCTTCCTCTCCATTAGTTAAGCGACTCGTGACTGCACACCGAAAATTGAAAATTGAAGCCATCACCAAAAGCAGCTCGCCGAAATCTTCGCCCCAAGAAAAAAACTCTCCACTCCATGCACGCAAATAAGCACTTTCGCTGCATCGATCAATCGGGGCACTTTGGCGGAGGTGAGAAATATACATGTTCCCACGACGAGCGATGGCTAACGTGTTGGAGTAGTGGTTAACGCGACGTGAGTTTACTCTTTGAGTTTGAAAATGGGGTGTGGGTACTGATATTGAGCAGAGCCTGCTAAGCTGTTTCCTTCGGGAGCGAGTGTTCGAATCACTCAGGTGTCGGAATTTTTATTTTTTTATTTTTTGTTTTTGTCATTTTAGACTTTTTGTTTTTTGATATTTTACTTTTTTGGTTTGTTAGTAAGTTCCCTTTCCTATTTTGAAATGTAAAGATAGTATTGTATACTATTGTGGTTTTTCTATCTTATAGGACAATTTGACATTATTCTCCTAAGGTAGATATCCCCCTCCATTTCGTATTGGGCGTGGCGTTTCTGCTGCCATAATCGCCCCTTGCACGGATGAGTTTACTTGCCTGCCGTTGCAATCAGATAGCTACTTACATTATGTGCAGGTATTAGATCATTGAATTAGTGGAGGAGAATATGCGAGGTATCAGTTCTGCAATCCGAAGTACATAAGCCTGGCACAGTGATTTCATCAGCAAGCATTGGTACTCAATACAGAAACTATAACTGCAATCAGAAAAAATTAGATTCTGATAGCCCAGCTGGTCGATGTCAGAAAACTTGCTGCCTTCGTTAAGAACGTGCTTGTGATAAGCACCTGCATTGCTCTCCCAACAATGATATGAGTATGGAAGCCAATGATAGCCTTAGTCAATATTACATAATCCATTGTTCAAACAGCATGGAACAAAGTCTTCCGATCACCGTTGAATCCGCAATTCTTAAGCTGGAAACAAACAATAGCTATCAGTTACGATTGGAGATTTGTGTTCTTAGGGGCACTTTGATACCGTCTTTGTTCTTTTACTGATCATTTTGGCGATTGGATTTAACAACGTGCTCTAACACAAGTCTCATATGTGTGCGCCCAAGGTCACGCCACCGCTTTCATTCTCAGCAAGCATGTCACCAGAGAAAGGAGTGTTTTGCTATGCCAAGTTCAATCTACCTGCCCTCCTTCACCTCGCAAGTCAGCTTCGCGATGTGAAGTGCAGTTGCGATGAATCGAAGCGGCCAGAGAGCGGGGCCTTAAACTGGGCAATTGTCCTTTCGTTTGAGGATGGCGTGGAATGGATCTTTCGATCTCCTCGAAGATGCCACGATATTTCTCCGGAGACTATACCAAAGTTGATTAAAAGTGAGGTTGCAACGATGAAATATGTCAAGATGAATAGCTCAATTCCTGTTCCAGAGGTGTTCGATTATAGGTACGGTCATTGAAGTGCATTGCTACACTGTTGATACTGACATTTCCAAAGCTGTACCGGATCTAATACGATTGGGGTTCCTTTTATTCTTATGAGCAAAGCTCCCGGTTACGCACTGAGTCGTTTCTCCTGGAATTCTATTCCGGACGGGATGGTCGCGTCTCGCAAACCACTTCCCTGCCTTAAGAGAGCGAACAAGGAGAAGGTAATGAAGCAACTTGGTGAAATAATCTCACCGTTGTTGAATCTACGGTTCGATGAGATCGGTTCTCTGGTCGAAGAAGATGGTGAATATCTTATCAAACAGTGTGTCTCGCCTGCACTAGTTTGGCACGGGCGCGATTCGTTACAGGATGAAGTCCGACGAGGTCCATTTCGGCATACTCATGATTACTACGAATCGCAGCTTTCGGCATTTATTCTTCATGTCAAAAAGCTCCCGCTAGAGCAGCACGCCTTCTTCGCGCCGATCCCAGAACTTGGAGAATATGAAACACTTTCGAGCTACCGATCTGCAGTCAGTCGATGGAATCATTTTGTAACTGTGGGTGCAAAAATCGACGGGAGTAAGAATTCACTGGATTACTGCGTCGCTGGGCACTTTCTACGCCAGATGATACCTTTGATTACGCAGCAATCGTTCGCGACCGCAGGCAATTTTGGGAATGCATACCCTCTCTCCCATCCAGATATCAGCACAAGCAACGTTTTTCTTGATAGTGATTTCAATATCACTTGTGTCATTGACTGGGCGTTCTCTTCCACTGTTCCTATATCGACACTTCTTATCACTCCAAGCCTCCCTCACCCAAGAGACGAAGTTGACTCGACACTAGTTCCTGCTTTCAGGTCCAGTTTCACACATCACTTTCTGCAGGGAAAGGATGTCAAGTTCAACCAAGAATTCCGGGACTCTACCAGGAGGGCATGGTTGTTTTCGCGACTAGTGACTCTCGACAGTCTGCAAGACTACCGGTATTTTAAAGAGCTGTACATGTCGGTTTATGAACTAGAAGATGGTGTAGAGATACCTAGGCTTTTTAAAGACGTACAAAGGCAAGAGGAGTTTGTACAGTTGGCCGCGACGCTTGCGGAGGATGATCGTTCAGTAGATGAGATCCGAAGAGATGAAGGGGAATACTTCCGCTATTCGCATTCGGATAGGGAAGCTATAGCAAGGAAACTTACAATGGTGGCAGGTTTGAGCGAGGGGTTTGTAGCGGATGAGAGGTTGTGGGAATGGATTGAAGAAGCCACAGGATAGAGCACTGTGCATCGTTAGAAGCTGATGGCTAGTATCATATCTACGCATTGATTCAGCACCTATCTGTCACCTTCTTTTAGTGTTATCTTCTGAAGTTGACACTGATCGATGATCCCTATTCAACGGGTGGTGGCGTTTACCCGGGATCGCAAAAAATTGAGCCTTTAAATGGGTCGGGAAGGGATGAGCCAATTTTCGAATAGACAGGGTCTTGTGGAAACCCAGATGCGTGAGCAATTCGGAAGGAAGCCTCACTCCTATCGCAAACTACATCTGGCGCAGTACCCTCCTCACCACACTAACGACGTCGCTGCAACCAACCACCCGCCTATGCCCAACGCGGGAATTCTGCCACCATCACCAACATGTATCCAAATAAGCAGAATTCCTACCAACATCAATTGCTGTGTGCAGCGAAGCGTAGAACCGCGCGGGTCAGAAGTTTCGCGCTTCTGCGAGTAAATTCCCACTGTCCCTAGCTTGGGTAGCTACTGCGAATAACGATGAGAAGGGTCTGACACGTCTATGTTTTCCGTGCTGGTAGAGGTCACTCTAATCGGAATAAATGGTATTCTCCGCTCTGGCTGTGAAGAGATGCCATCAAATTGGAGTGTCTGTGACTCGATTGGGTCCTATCTGGTTCTTGGAGTCTTGGCAGGTGATGGGGTTTGTTCTTGGCTCATATAAGTTGATGTTTTGGTGGTTTTGTTTTTGTTGATTTTGAGTTGGCGCGTTCGGTTGGGTTTTAAGCGAGAGGTGAGGTGAGGTGAGGTGGGGCGAGGTGACTGGTGCGGCAGAGCGAGACAACGAGACGAGATGCGATGGGATGCGATGGTGTGTGATGGGATGCGGAAACTCGTTGAGTTGATGTGTCTCGTAGACTGATGATGTGATATTCATGATATCTTGTATCCGTTTCTGCCCTTCAATCATCGCCCTTCCCACCAAAGCTCTCCCAGTGCTCTTGCGGCAGAGGAACCTCTTTCACTCCGACTGGCTTCTTCATCTTATCCCACTTATTCATATCAACAGCATTCTTATCCCTCCAATCAGCCAGTACATTGAAGTCTCTGCACTGATGATTTATACTGAAGTCAGGAAACGGATTGTCCTGTTTCTCCATCCACTGGAGAGTAATCAAATCTGTGTTGGCGTTGCACATGATATTCTGCATCAGGATATCAACACAGTGTCCAATATGGATCTGCCAGAGCTTCGAGTATCGAGATCGAGCGTGGTGGCCGTGCGCGTGGTCATGGCCGCTTTGCGATGTGGAGTTTGGGAAGGAGTGGTAGTAGTCGGGATAGGTAAGCTTGCGCAACTCATTCAGGCAGTGGAGCTGGTGGAAGACATCTATTGCTGTTAGGTTACTCAATTCTTAAACTTAGGCTCGGGGGTCAATTACCAATCTGTGCCATATATGCATCATCTCCCAATCCCCAGTACTCATTGTCGAATCTCGCTGCTGTTGCGGGGTCTTTGCCCAGCTTCTTCACCTCATCTCCAGTAATGACAATCGTGCGGATCAATTCTAAATCTTCCCAAATCGCGTCTGCTTCTGGATTCGGATCCTGTCGGGCTATTGAAGGTTCCTTTGGCAAGAGCAGCGTGCCATTAATTTGCTGTACGAATGTTGGTAGGTTGAATTTGTCCAGGATTGGAGCTGAACAGTCAGCACCGTCATAAAAAATTGTGGGCAGATGAACCTACAGTAGAATGATGACTTCTTGAGAATGAAATTTCTGCCTGTGTCTCGACTCGAGAAGAACAGTAGAAGCGATAGTGAGAAAATGATGATGTTGAAAGTTGTCCCAAGAATCATCAGAGTTCTGGTGCTTCTCAATCTCCGATGAGGTCTGGAATCTGAGCTTTCTCTTACAAAGCCAACATGATCCTCTTTGTCGGAATCTTCTGACACATCAAAGTTCGAAATCGCGGCGTATTTGAAAAGCCATGGCAGATGCATCATGTTTTGCTCTGGTTATGCGGTTTCTATTTTGATGTTTTAGGACCGCAATGAGCGATTTGAACGAATATGGCTGTGCGTCAGTGTCCCAAGAGGTTGGGACAAAAGACATGGCTAGAATCCATTGGGTAATTACTCGGTCCTGTGAGACTGCATGCTATCTACCTGCCTGCCTCTCCAGGACCCATAATCAACCATGTTACAGTTGTAAGATTGAGCCAGGGTGCCCCGAGTCGTGTTGTGTGGATACAGTTGTGACCCCACCTTCCTCAAGAAGCTTGTGAGTATGCACCGCTGAGGCGCAGACTTGGCCACGATGATTGCTGGCTGACCACCATTGGTTTACCGGCTGCGGTGAAGAGGGCATCTAATGATTCTCGCGGAGATTTATTCATTGTTTGTTTCAACCTCGTATTTGACTGTGTTTGCAAAGGCGTCTGTTGGGTGTATGTAAATAAACATACGGAAAATGAGTGGAGGTGTTGACGGCAAAGGGGAGCTTAAGCGAATCAGTAAGCAACTTCCCTGCCCTCTAAATCTCCAGCCAAATACCGAGCGGGTGCTGCCGCTCCCGGTATTCAGTTTCATTTCATGTTTTAAAATATTAGACTGCTGCTTGCAAGTATTGAGTCCGGCATGTGCAGCGAAAATGACCAGCGAAAAGGATTCATAATTCAGCGTATCCATGAGATCGGCTAGATTAACAGAGCTCCCTGATGGTAGAGTGCTGGCAGTGGGAGTTTGCGCTGTCGTACAACTTCCTAGAATGGAAGGTTTATTATCCGCTCAGATTGATTGCATGCTTGTGCCACAATACGCTCGAATTGGGAGGTGACAAGAAATATGATGGAGGCAAGGAAGACTTGGCGAAGTGGCACAGCTCGCGATCGTTGAAAAGAGCGGACTGTACCGCCGTATTCTCACCACTAACCATTGAAAAGCGCGATATTGATGAGTAACGTGGGTATGGTGGCCCAATGTTGTGGAACAATAACCGACAAACTTGCTGATGTTCAGGGTTCGGCCGTATATGGAAGGTGACTTGCCTCATGGGGATCGGCCTATGACTGTGAGTGCAGTTGTAGCCTTCCACAGTGGCGATGTTTGGGATAGTATGAAGATCGTGGATTGTGATTCGGTCGCTCGGTACCTGTGCTAGATCATCCAGACGCACCTTTCAGATAGCATGAAGTACACGGAGGCAACTGTACAACAGCTGCGTATGCTTACCGCTACACTAGCTCAAGAATATATAGAACACTGATACACATCTGACTGAGAGAAGTCGATTGCTCCTAACCACAAATCGCATAACTTCCAGTCATCAAGATGCAGCTCACACAACTCACCCTCCTCGCAGCATTGCTGCCACTCCTCAACGCTGGTCCAGTCCCAGCTGAGACAGGTAAGCCATTCAACCTGAAACTTCAGACTCAAATCATTTACACAAACATAGTCGAGAGATCACCAGCGCCTGAAGCTGTCGCCGAGGCGGAGAACCTATACTTCAGAGGGTACAAGATCAACAAGGAGCGAGAGGCAGAGGCCAGTCCTGAAGCAGCCGCCGAAGCTGAAGCTGAGAATCTGTACTTCCGTGGATACAAAATCAACAAGGAGCGTGAGGCAGAGGCTGAAGCAGACAATCCTTATTTCAGAGGATACAAGATCAACAAGGAGCGTGAAGCTGAAGCAAGTCCAGAGGCAGAGGCTGAAGCCGAGAACTTGTACTTCAGAGGATACAAGATAAACAAAGAGCGGGAAGCTGAGCCCGAGGCCGAGGCCGATAACCTCTACTTCCGCGGATACAAGATCAACAAGGAACGTGAAGCTGAAGCAAGTCCAGAGGCAGAGGCTGAAGCGGAGAACTTGTACTTTAGAGGGTACAAGATCAACAAGGAGTGAGCGAGGGATGGTGAAGGATTGCGCATCATCATGAGTTTAGGTCAGACAATAGTTGAAGCAGGTGAATAAATGCAATTGAAGTCAGAAAAACTTCCAAACCATGAATGATGCTCTGGAGTTTCCAAGTTCGTCAACATATCCCCTGTAAAGATTAAAAGATCTTCGTCTCTTTGAAGTTGGCAGGGAGGCTCAACACCATAGAGACACAGCTGCAGATTGCGAGTAATTTCTCTACACAGGTCTTTTGGCCATCGAATGGTGGATCGATTATGTCATGCTGCTCGATACATCCCTCTTCTGCCCTGAAGGTCTCCAACGTCTGGTGTCCAGCCGTGGTTTGGGGGACCAAGAAGCTTGATCTAGCTTCTTGAACGGCTTGGGTGTTCGTTACATCGGATTGGAAGTTTCAACTACGCATAGTCGTGTATTTCGGGAATCGTGTCACTGTACTGCGTTGATGAGGAGGAGATGATGAAATAGGAGTCAGAAGCTCCGGGAGGTTTGGTGTTGTCGATTCACAGTCACATGATCGCGTGGGACGTGCCTCTCCACGTCGCGTCTCCTCAACATCCGAGGTCGAAATCTGACCTTTGCACAACTTCCAGCTTTCGCAACATCAATAGCATAACTTGCAAGAAGGTCCTGATTGAACAAGAGCAGGATGTCTTTCTCGTTCGGAGGCTCACCGCTCCCATCCCAATCCCCCTTCCTCTATTCACACCTCCGTCACATCCTGCTAAATTCGTCGCGTACCCAGCCGCAGCACCAACCACATCTCCCGGCTCATCGCCATCGCCCTTTGGTACACCAACACCTGGGACGGCCTCTTCCACAGCCAAACCATTCTTATTTGGTCGTTCTCCAGCCCTTTCGGTACCCTCCCCATCAGATAATAACGGAACCGGCCCGTCAACAGTCTTTGGCAGAACTACGACAACTCCTTCCCCGTCTCCATTCTCGGATTCCCGAGCCCAGCTATCAGCGGCGTGTGCAACACCTGGGCCCTCACCTACAACCGAACCAAGCTCTCCAGACTCGTCCGCTTCCTTCTCCGATCCTACGAAGAGCATGACCTCCAAGCCGGCCCAGTCTCGAAGTCCACAATCGGCCAATCCTTTTACCTTTCAAACTGGCACGGCCAAGCTCCTCGTAACCCACAAAAAAGAAAAGCTGGTGGGCTCGGTCTCTGCAGATGCTCTTGTGCTCGCCAGTCCGGTATGGAAAAGATTTCTGTTTCCGCTGTGGGACAGCCAACCTGCAACCAAAGGCGAGATTAAGGAGAAGCAGATTGACTGCAGTGAGGATGACGGTGAAGCTTTACTGGTGCTACTCGACATCGTACATCTCAACTTCGATGCCGTACCCTCAAGCATGGAATACTCTACACTCCTTCAGGTTGCTTTACTGGTTCATCAGTACCAATGTATCAAGATCGTGCGTCCGTGGCTGGAGTCGTGGATGAAGAATGAACGAACCCAAAGTTTGGAGCCGAACCAGGAAGGCTGGTTGTTTATTGCGTGGGTCTTTGGACGTGAAAAGACATTCGAACTGCTTGCCAAGCATATGGTTCTCAATTCGAATGTTACCCCTACGTCTCTGACCGGAATCCCACCTCCACAGAATCTACTTCCGCCCAACGGAAAGCCCGTTGCTAGCCACATGCCTCCAGCTATCGTTGGTAAGTTTTGAACCATACTTAAAAGATATTCTGCTGATCAGGGGCAGAGCGCATTCTCTGGTATAGGAATAAGCTTCTCAATGACTTGCTCGAAATCCCATATTTTTGGCTTTCCAGTCTGGAGCAGGCCATGCGATCATCTTCTCATATATGTACCGTGACCTCTCAGAGCAACGTGTGCGATGCTGCAGTCTATGGCTCACTTCTCCGTGGTCTTTTGGATGCCTCGCTGTATCCGCAAAGGACCCCGGCTAGTATCACCGATAGTGTGAAGTCTGTTGCCGAGTCGATAAGTCGAATCAAACTTCTTCACATCAAGCCCGAGATTCCTTCAGCAACCCTTGCAGTCCAAAGAAGAGGAGAGTCCACATCACAACAAGTCCCAGTGATGGCGACCCCGCCAGGGACTCTTTTTGGATCACAATCAAACCGCGCATCTAGCATTCTGCCCATGCACAGCGCGAATTCTCCAGGAGTGTTACCGGCAGCTGCAGTTCAGAATACAGCAGCGGCGATTCAAGATCATGCTGTCTGTGCTAATCGTCTCTCTGGACCTGTTGCAATGGTTCTGGCTGCAGCCCCGAACCCGGTCCTTGACTCGCATCGTTTCCATATGCGACTGCAAAGAGGGGAAACTCTGGAATAGGGAAAATAGCCACTTTCTCTTTTATACTCAACAGAAAGATACCCCACCAGATTGAATTAGTTGTGGCATCCCCTGATGAAGCGGGTTCCAGCACTACGTATACATTCGCATAACATGGCAAAATCCGAGCTCTGGTAAATACGTCCCCGGATGATATTCTAAAAAATTTCATCCGGTATGCAGGTCAAAAGAAATAGGCACCGCTCTATTTCTCGGCTGCTCCTTGCTAGAGATGAACAATTAGCAGCGACTGATTGTAACATTACTCAATCTACAACCAATCCCTCACTATTCTAGGTTTCATACCTCCACAGTCAGAACAGTGAGAATGTATCGCCTGATTATGGATGATTTGGTATGGATTCAATACCTCCCTTTGATTGCTGTGCTATGCATCCTTCAATCGTTCTTCTCGTTTGCCTTCGATCCTGCTCAACCATCTGCCCAGGGTGCTTGCCAGTTAATTGTCGTTCTAAAATTTCACGTTTTTAGGTACTTCATAGTCCATCTTATCTATTCTCAGCATACATTCGCCGCTTCTCGCATAGCAATGTCATTTCCTAAGGGGAGTCCACAGTCTTCGGAGATAACATTACCAGCTAAGTCTTCGCGGCCCTCCCATCTCCCATCACAGGATACGCAAATTGTTAACAACAGCTGTTTATCACATTTCCCGGATCCTCATCTCAGTCCTCCTCCTTATCCCAGCGACCGAATGCCGACCACATCCACATTCCATCTCGAACTCTGCAAACAATTTTCCCAATCTGATCCATCGAATTCAAGAATACGACCGAGTCTGCAAAGGCTAACACGGCACCGTCGTCATAGGCGGCATCAGCCCCTGAAAATGGTCGCAGCTTCAGTGGGTTCGTGCATGGGTAGGGCTTCGGGAGCGGGATTTCTAGCGTGTGCGTGGCTGAAAATTCAGGGATCTTCAGGGAACCGCCCGATCTCTACCGGCCGCAAGCGGATCTATTTTTTGCAGGAGAGGGTCCTGGAATAGACCCGATATGAAGTTGTGAATGGATATTTTGGTGATGATTTATGGGTCTATGGATGCCAATTTTGCTCAAGAGGTGAGTGGTGGCGATCTTTACTAGGATGAACGGATGAGGCTCAAAATTGTGCTTTTGAGGCTTCGTTGGGAGAGACGGCGAGCTGGATCGGGAAGGTTTGGCGAGACGTGGGTGAATACCGTGTCTGCACCACGGAATTGAAGCAACATCTTATCTTCGATTGGACGACTATTATCATGAGTCCTGGAGAGGTTCGCTATCGTAAGCAGCGAGGAAAGTATGGGGTGTTGCTGCGAATGGCATGTTTTTGTATGCGAACACACAACGTCTCCTGATGTTTTTGTTCCGCACGGCTGTCAGCAGGATCTATTTTCCTATGTGGATCAACAAAACTCGCTTCGGTCGTACCACGGTCATCAATAGTGGGACCTGGTTGGACTCTGAGGCTCCGCTATCGCGACTTCCTCTGGATCCTGGCATGTTCTTTCCCTTTCACGACCAAACAGAACACTCAACTTCTTTGAAAGTGGAAGTTTCTGACTAGAGATTTCCAGATGGAGTCAAGTCGTTCTTTCCTACCACATGAGGCCTTCTCAACGGGGCCGAAGGCCGGACTTCGCCTTGGGCCAGACTAGTCGGTGACGAGCTCTGCGCTTCTCTTTCTCTTCCTTTGCTCTTCTTCTCCAATAAGTACTTCCACATCCCTTCCCACTCCATCCTTTTTCTTTTCTCTATACCCACCACACCAAACTCATATCGATACTATCATATATCGACACCCAACCACAACAGTCATGGGTTTCTTCAGCAGAAAGAAACTCGATGTCGATCCTCCCATCCAGGAGAAACTCAGCACGAACACCACACCCGCCGAAACTCCTGCCGCTCATACACCAGAGAATCGTTCTATCAACAACGTTCCTCACACAGACGCCATCGGCAATGTCATTCCTACCGAAGAAGCTTTCAAAGAACTACCCGTGACATGGCTTGCTATCCTACTCGGTTCCATCGCGTCCATCGGCGGCTTCATGTTCGGCTACGAGTCAGGCCAAATCTCAGGCTTTCTCGCGATGACCGATTTCCTAGACCGTTTCGGTGAAAATGGAGAGTTCTCATCTGCCAGACAAGGAACGATCGTTGGTCTTCTCTGTATCGGTACACTTATGGGCTGCCTCGTCAGTGGCTGGCTCTGCGATAGGATTGGTAGACGATACACCATCTCTTCCTCGGCTTTCTTCTATATCATTGGCGTTGTCATCGAGATCACGAGTGACACACAATGGGTTCAATTCGCTATGGGACGTTTCACCGCAGGTTTGGGTATTGGTGCTCTGAGCACTAGTGTTCCGATGTATCAGTCTGAGAGTGTGCCGAAGAACATTAGAGGTGCTACTGTCAGCTCCTACCAATTGCTCATCACTATGGGAATCTGGACAGCGTATATGGTGGGTTCCGTTCGTTCCATCATCTCGACATTGCTGATTTTTCCAGGTCAACTTTGGCACCGAAGGCGCCTTCGATAACTCCGCTCAATGGAGAATTCCCAACGGTCTTTCTGCTCTCTGGGCTATCATCCTCGGTACTGCTATCCTCGCCATGCCCGAATCTCCTCGCTTCGCATACCGCATGGGACGTGAGGAGGAAGCTCGCAAGACTATGGGTCGTCTCAGTGGCATTGATCCTTACTCACCACTTATTGATCACGAGATTGCTGAGATTGAAGAGAAGCTCCAAGCTGAGCGGGCTGGTGGTGATCATCCGCTTTCTGAGATCTTTACTGGTCCTCGTATGCTGTACCGCACACTTCTTGGCATGATTCTTCAAGCTGGTCAACAACTTACAGGTGGGTACCTAAGCGTGATGATTTATTTGACTGTTGATGCTAACGTGCAACCTTCTAGGTGCCAATTTCTTTTTCTACTATGGAACCACCATCTTCAGATCTACAGGAATCAGCAACTCTTATGTCACCTCAATCATCCTTGGCTCAGTCAATGTTGGTGCTACTATTGGTGGATTATGGATTGTTAAGAACTGTGGCCGTCGTAAGAGCTTGATGGCTGGTGCCGCTGCCATGTTCGCCTGTTTCATGATCTACGCTTTCGTCGGCCACTTTGCTCTCGATGCCGAAAATCCAATGTCCACCCCAACCGAAGGCAAGGTCCTCATTGTATTCACCTGTCTCTTCATTGTTGCATTTGCCACAACCTGGGGGCCGCTCGTCTGGGCCGTCGTCGGAGAACTCTACCCAGCCCGTTATCGCGCACCATGCATGGCTCTCGCAACCGCTTCCAACTGGCTCTTCAACTTCCTGATCTCATTCTTCACACCTTTCATCACCGCGAAGATCGACTACTTCTACGGACTCGTCTTCGGCGTCTGCTGTTTCTGTCTCTTCTGGATCGTCTACTTCTTCATGATCGAGACCAAAGATCGCAGTCTCGAGGAGATCGATACAATGTATGTTCTTCACGTCAACCCCATCACGTCCGCGTCTTGGGATCCTAGAGAACTTGGTCATGATGGATTGAATGGTGTGGGCACTGATGGCATGCATCTGAAGGCTGGTGGGAAGGATTTCAAGAAGACGGAGACGGGTGGTGATGGGCTTATGGTTCATGATGAGACGCGTTTCCCGACAAATGCTGCGGTGCCTGTTAGCACTACTGTTTGATTGACTAGGTCTACTTGTTAATGGTGGGAGGAGATGGGATGTGTATGAGTATTGGTTGGAGGTTATGAGTGGAGTTCGCTGTACATATTTATTCGTGTTGCACAGACGGAGTTCTGGGAGATGGACAGGCATTTGCTTTCCTTGTGCATAGCGTAGCTGCGTTGAGGGATGGCGTGATGGCGTTCTGTTGCTCGTTCTATTAAATGGCGGAAAAGAAAGCTGGGAGTGAAGAAGCTGCGAAGTAGTCTGACTCTTTGAGGCGACATGGAGAGGGTTTTGCTAATGAATTAATTAAATTACATTATAAAAATCAATACCCTCGAGTGATCTTCTTCTGTGCATTTCTCTCTTTTTTGTTTATCTTTCTTCTTCCTTTCTATTTTGCTCGGTTCTCGGTGCTCGCGTCGGAATGGAAGGGAAAGGAATGGAATGGGATGGAATGGGATGGGAAAGAAGGAACAGAACGTATCACAGTCTTTGAGATGATTACCTTGTCCTTGTGTTGGATGAATTCAAAAGCGGCGAGAAGTGGGCGAAGGGGGGGTGGGGGGGGCTGATACCACATCACGTTTTTTTTTTTTTCATGGTTTGAATATGTGGGCTGGGCCTACCTATATTCTGGGAATTTTTGGAGTTCTGTAGTTCTGGAGGTAATGGAGGTATGGAATTATGATTTCTGGTATTGGTATAGGTATGAATATGAGTATGAGTATAAGTATGGCGTGTGGTGGTGGGATTGAGAATGGGGTTTTATTTTAGCGGGATGAGGTGGGGGATGGATGGGTGGGGGTTGGGTGGGGAGAGGAGGGAGAGGAGGGAGAGGAGGGAGAGGAGGGAGAGGAGGGAGAGGAGGGAGAGGAGGGAGAGGAGGGAGAGGAGGGAGAGGAGGGAGAGGAGGGAGAGGAGGGAGAGGAGGGAGAGGAGGGAGAGGAGGGAGAGGAGGGAGAGGAGGGAGAGGAGGGAGAGGAGGGAGAGGAGGGAGAGGAGGGAGAGGAGGGAGGAGGGAAGAGTCAGGCGTCTAGGTTATAACTGTTAGAAATAGTATAGTAAGACTTTGGCTTGTTCGCAAAGCTATGGGGACAGAGTAGGAGAGAGAGCGAAGGGAAGTTCTATTTTTCGGGGGTTTTAAAGTCGGCTCAGATGGATCGATATGTTGGGTTAGTATTTGTCACGGTGGGGTGTTCAAGCTTGAGTTTTGAGATTTAAGGTTCATAGATTGCCCTGTGTCTGTGTTTTCTTCCCCATGCTATGCTATGCTATGCTGATTGTGCGATTGCGGGATAGGAAATGGAAGTGTGTATTGAAGTGTGGCCTATGAACCTTTGTCCTAACTCCTATCGAAAGGAACTGCTGCATCTGAATCAGCTCAACTTCCCTATACATCTCGAAATTTATGCGAGGCCAGAGGATGTAGATGTCCTCGAAGGTGGTTTGAATGAATGTAGAGCAAGATGGGGTTGTTGAAAACCAATTCTCTAGGTGCTTTTCTTTTTTTGTGGACTTGATGCCCCTGTCTTGGTCGAGGGGTGAGGATTGAGGATGGTGAATGGAAATTGGTAACCAAGCCGAGAGAAGAAGAAGATAGTGGGCGAGAGAAAGTTGTTAGGTTTCGGACTTGATTGCTTTCTCAACCCTTGGGAAAATAAGGTGCTTGACCGTTTAATCGAGGTCTGGAGATGGGGAGATCGAGGTAAGTAAGCCGTTGAAGCCTGCAGGTGATCGAAGGAGTTCAGTAGGAGTGGAAGTCGTATACGTGATGTGGGGGAGAAAGTCTCATCTGGAGAAAACTCTTCTGCTAAAGAAGCTATGTGACACGCCATGGTGACTGTACAACGACTCCGGTCACAGAGACCTGTGACGTAGGTTCTTAGATTGAAGCTCTTTCTATCGGAAGTAGAAGATCCTCTGCGACTCTTAAGCAAAAATGCCCGATCGCTTACGCTTCTTTGGAGCTGGAGAGCTCTTAGTGTCTGTAAGGCCTAGCTTCTCTCGTTGAGTACGCATATGCTGGAGATGACAGTCTAGAGCAATATTTGAAAAGATCGTCTCCTTCCATTGGCCAAGAACCATGAGGCTTACTTGACAGTCGGAATGATCACCTACTACCGTGGTATTGAGACCGGCGAGTTCGGCTGGCTTCTCGGCTGTCAACGTCATAATATCGAATCTATCAAATGTTGCCTGTAGGGTTTTGACTGACAGGCGGACTTCGCTTGATGGAACTTTTGGCAAAAGTTTTTCTTTTTTGAGGCAACGAATTAAGCTTGCACGTGCTAGTGCATCGCATGCTTCACGGTGGTGTAAAAATGTACCTTCACAGCAGATAACATCATCTCGTTCAAGGATGTCCAGGATAGTGTACATGCAAGTAAGAGAAGTGGTCAATTCTCGCTCTCGGAGCTGTAGTATTCTGGCTGTCGTATCCCTCAGCTGTCACATAATATAAGAATACAGAGGAGTGGAAATTGGTTTAGGAAATGAGGCGGATGCAACATACCCAGGATATCTGGAGGAAGAACATCTTCTGTCAACTCGTAGCAGCCCACTTTCATTTGACCTTCCTCCGAAACAGTCAAATTGTTGACCAAGAGAATGGCCGATGATTGAAACTCATCCTCATAACCAAATGCCCAGTAGACGTACAGCATACCAAGCTGAAATTGAGCAACTTTTGGGATATTTTTGACCCATCCTTGAACCCAAGGAGCGACGATTCGAACGCACTGATACTGCTCACATAGCATCGCAACTTGATGCAAGATTCCCAAGGCGAGCGATTTAGGAATCTTCTGAAACTCCAAGTGAACGATATTCATCAAAACCAGCAGAGCCTCTCCATCATCCTCACTGCAATCGATACTCTTCGGTCCAGCAGCAATACCATCTTCAACACCTGCGTCTTGAGTGCCCCAGGGTGGATAGATGAAGTTCTTCCAGACAGGACTAGCCTGGCACAAAGACTGCGATGCCACCAGGCCCTGAATCTTGCTGCCTTGGTACGTGACAAGTATCTTTGTATCGCCTGTTGGGAAGGTGAACGGATTGGCGGGAACGGGCCCTGAGGTGAGGAGATCGCGGTTTGAGGTCGAGGGATCTGAGGTGGACATGGTTGAAGATGCCATGTTGTTGATAGCGAAGCTTGCTTTATGAGGATGGGGAGCTAGACCAGTGGTTGTAGATTCGGTATAGACAGCTGTTTTTTGAGGAGATGTTGGGGTGGTGATGTTGTTTGCGGTCTGGGATTCGTCAAAAGTGAGAGCTTGGTGGTGTTGTTGATGGGAGGAGAGCAGGAAGAAAGTAGTTGAATAGATAGCCGAGAGGCTCTATGTGAAAGAAGAAGTAGGAAAAGTGAATGGCAAGTCACATTCGTCACGTTGAAATTCACGTTTTACTCATGGCAGCGCATAAATCCACTTAAGGTGAGTGTTAATGACAGCTTTTATTTTGATATCAGTCAGCTACCGATTCCAGCCGATGCACTGCTAAATGCATAAGAACACTCACATAAGTCTGGAACTATAGACTCATTCTTTGCTGCTAATACCCGCCTTTTTTACCACTCTCTCCCAGGCTGGGGCGAGATTCCCTTTCCGAACTTGCCATGCGTTTATTCGCAGGTAGAATGGTCCCGCAGAATGCTACACCATGAAGTTTGATGCGACCGATACGTACAATAGAGCGATTTAGTGATAGAGTTCGCGACTGCGTACTTCAGAAAAGTTGCCTATTCAAGGAATCTTGCCAAGGGAGTGTCGTGTCTTTAGAAAACCTTGATATTCCTACTTGTGAAATACGCAGTTAATACCCTTGCAAGTTAACAATTCAAAATCAAATTACGAAGTTCGAATCATGTACTTCTGTGTATTTTATAAAACTGAATCAAGAGAAAAGTATATTATTTAGGTGAGGTAACTAATAGTATAAGAGATTTAAGAGAGGGTCTTAAGAGCTGAAACAAGACCTTTAAACTTAAAGCTTTAAAACCGAAATATTTACAACTAAATGTCCAAATACAAAGAATATATAGGTTCTGCGCATTTGTTAAAAAAGGGTATAGCGGCAAACTCAGTTCGTGTGAAATGCGCAGTTACTAAATCACTCTAATATTAGTCTTTGGGTGCATCGCCCTACAGACTCACGCTTCGCATTCGATGCGCTCTTGTTTGCTTTGTTGTTGTTCAAACGAAGTATCACATCAAGTTTAGCGAGCTCGCTTGGCAGACTGCCCCAAGAATGTAACAGCGACTTAAAGTTAAGAATCTTTGTCTATGCACAGACACAACGCATCCCGGGCTCGAATCTATTCTCGAGCGACAAGACGAAGAACACTAGACGTGAATATGCAAGTTAATTCATTGCAGCGACCTCGTACGGTCTGAATCTTCAGATTATGAGAGTTCTTTCCAAGACGCGCCCGTTTATGCATGTCCTGAATCGGTCGGAGAATTTATTGATGTATAGAATTACGAGAAAATCCTAATTGCAAGGTTAGGGGAATAACTCGCATCTATCAATTCTCAAATTTAGGCAAAATACAAATTCTGATCGGTTTTGCCGAGATTACCTGGTCTTGGGTTACCGTGCCGCACAGCTAAGTGAGGCTAGACGGAAAATAGAAGCTCGAAACCCCTGAATCTCATACACTTGATTTTAAGCGAGGCGATCTAGTCAGGGACACAGCCACTTGAAAAGATTGCAGGTCATATGGGATGGTGGAGCAGTCATCTTTCTGGAAATATATCTTCTTTAATTCTTGCTTTGGATAGTCGGTTCGGTGTACATCGTCGCTCGTTTACTTTTGTCGGAAGGTTCTGTCGTTGGTATTTTAGAGCATTGTGAAGACATTATCGGACCAAACCAACGTGCAATTCTGCCACAGTCTTTCAAGATCAACACGATGGTGCACTCCCGATCTCTTCTCCTTGGAGCTCTCCTGGCTACCGTTAGGTTCACCTACGGTATATGATCTATCAATATAATAATCGCGATCTACTGACACAAAGCAGCCCAAGACACTTCCGACACAGGCTTGTCATGTGACGACCTACTCGTGACAATCGACAACAGCACCCAGCTATCCTTCTACTCCAGCTGCCCCTCACTAGAATACATGGTTGGACCCTCTCACGCTTTCTCAGGCCCATTCAATCTCCCCGGTGTAGAAAACATCGGGAAGTTCAGCGCAGGGTATCTTGGTCCGAAATTTACAGGGTCGCAGCGCGTCGATGATAGAGTTACGACGGTGTCGATGCCAGATTTGGTGAATACGACTTCTGGGGGTGTATTGTTTGGGTATTTGGATAATTTGACGAGTGTGGACTTTCCGTGAGTTTTGTGCTTTCCTGAGGAGGATTCTGCGATTTGAAGGTGCCTTTGTGTAGTCATGCGTGATGTGGTGCAAAGCAAAGACTGATGAGCTCTAGAAAACTTAACACGATAACGGGAGATATTGTGTTAATTGGTAACTATGAGACCAAAACTCTGACCCTCCCAGCTCTGGCAAACGTCACTGGAGGCGGTCTCCTCGATGGCCACTTCGACTCGTACGTTCACTCCTCTCCCTCTCCATTTCTCTTGCTCTCTTCTCCTCTTTCCTCTTTTCCAGTCTATGTTCTCCACCACCTCATCCCTCAACCTCAACCTCACCATCTCTCTACACCCTACTCACTAATCCCAGAATCTCCCTCCCCTCCCTCAAAACAATCGGCTACTTAATCGTAAAATCAACCGGCTCTCTCGACTGCGTCGCTCTCGGCAAGAACCTCTCATCTCTCACATTCACACCCAAACAGTATGATGTGGGAGTTGGCTTCACGTGTTGGACACCGGATGAGAAGAATACGTGGAATTCTTCGGAGGTGAATGGTGGATCTGGTGGGAGTCCGACGACGACAGGGAGCGGCGGCCCTGCGGCGGGGACGAGTTCAGCTGCGTGAGTATCAAGTGGCTTGGTGAGAAGTTATGGAGTTGTGACTGACGAGTTGGTAGGTCTGGAGCGGAGAATTTGATGCGTGGGAGGGGTGTTGGGATGATGGTTGGGTTGGTGGCTGGTGCTGTGATTGCTGCGGTGTTGCTTTAAGGTGGGTGTTTATAACTCCGTTACGTATGTTACTGTAATGTTTAACCTTAATCTATTTGTCTGCAGATTTTAGAACCGAGACTCAAAAATAGATTAACAACACCGAGGTCTTTCCAACCGTGCAACCAAAAACCACTCGCAAATTGAAACCAAATATTGCTTGCCTGAATCCCAACGAGAACACGCGTGTCATGATCAATGGGTTGCATTAGTACAAGAAATTACTTATGCGTGTTCCCCGTTCTCCCTTTATACAACTATTCTAACCGCACAACTCACCCGCTTCCAAATTCCTTTACCATTCGTTCATCCTCTCAAACCCCTTAGAGCGCGAAGCTAGCCAAAGTAAATGCCAACAGGCCACCAACTACACCAAGCTTCGTACTCTGCAACACACCAGCACTCGAAGGAACAAAAGTCGAACTCGGCTCAGCAGTCGTCACAGGAGCCGTAACATTCGCAGAAGCACTAGCGAGTGGTGAAGAAGTTACTGCCGGCCCGTCGCAATGCCAATGGTCTCTGGATCGCAAATCTACCATCAGCTACTACCCAAAGCAAAACAAAACAAACAAAGCAGAGAATACTTGATGACAAGGTACGTACCCATGGGGTTCACATCCCACTGACTCAGTTGGGCTCGGTGCAAGCGTGACGCTTCCGCTTGCTGTAGCATTGGCACTACCGGTCGTGAGAGCAGCTACGGGGGCATCGCAGTGCCAGTGGTCTCTGTTGTGATGTTGAGATTAGTCACTGTATATTATTGGAGATGAAATCAATGCATCTGGGGGTCAGAAGAGGAGGCGTACCCATGAGGTTCACAGCCAATTGATTCAGTTGGGGATGGTGCCAATGAGCCTGTCCCAGATGAGTGGTCGTCATGCTCGTCCTCATGGTCATGGTCATGTTCATGGTCATGTTCATGGTCATGATCATTATCGTGATCCTCCACTGCAGAAGATGTTGTGGCATAGCTGTAATAGCTGGGGCTGCGGTTACGGAGGTGCTTGGAAGTGTTGCTGAAGGGGTGATCGGGCCGTCACAGTGCCTGAGGATATGAGCTTTTGTTAAATTTCAAGATTTATAATTGAGGTTTAAGATTCGTGTACGTACCAATGGTCTCTGTTAGAAAATAATGTTAGCAGTTTTCCAGGTATTGGAAGTGAGGGGCAGGTGAGAAACTTACCCATAAGGTTCACAGCCAAATGAGTTTCTTGGTGAGGGTCCTGGGTCTTGGGCCAAGGACACAGTAGCTAATGCTGCGACGAGAACAAGGGCATTTGTAGTCTTCCTTTTGATAGGCTAAACGAGTGACGTCCGGGGATCAAGCAGTAAAGGCAGTGACTGAATGAATAAGAGAAGTGGTTGGCGTGTAGAGGTGAGGGAGATACGCAGGTCCGCGACGGGAACAGGAGCTGATATACCTCCTGGCCTTGAACAAGATTATCTCACTCAGATGCCGATATCTAAAAGACTCCACATCTCTTGGTATATGGTCTGACTATCTTGGCATCTGATGTTGAAAGGGCAAGTAAATCCATCATGGTAGTGTAAATGGCTGGGGAGGTAACTGACGAAATCCACCTTTACACCATGCAAGTCGCGAAAAGTAAAAACCTGCTCGATTTAACAACTTGGCAATAGAGCTTCTACTTGTGTTTCTGCGAATAAGAAAACAGCATTTCTCGGTGAAGGAGAAATGATTTCTTGGAAGTAGCCATCAAGGTGTTGGGTTTATTCTGGCCAAGACTTTCCCGCTCACCCACGTTTGTGACGTCCATGGAAAGTCGGGATATTGACCACCGCTCTTCCTTGTAGATGGCTCCAATTTATTGTTCGGAAAAGAAGTCAATGTCAAATATAAGAAATGCATCAGCTTGGCATTGAAGCTTGCACCAAGTACGAGTGTAATCGGATATATACTGGTCTTGTTGGAACATACATGCATCCCCATACCTTTTACACAAAGTGTGTATTGAACTGCGAGCTAACACTCAAGGGGCATGAGCAGGCTAATAGCTCTAGGTAGCTAAGTGGGAGCTGATCGTTGAATGTTTACATTACCAAACATTACGCGAAACCAGGTAACCATAACCAAACAATCGCATCCCTAAACCGAAAAGTCTCCCAACACGTTTCTGACTAAGTTGAAGTGTAGAACGAAATAGACGCGAAATTGAAATTGAAAGAACACAATATGCTTTATTTCCACTCGCATCGACGATTAGAGCTCTCTTCTAGTACAAAATGAGGGTTGATTGCCCAATCGGGACGCGTATAGAGGAAAGTAGGTGACAGCGCTGTCAAAAGAAAGTAACGAAAGCTAATGTGAGAACAACAGCCAGCCAGAAAGATATTCATCAGACAAGATCAGACTTTTGAAAGTTCCATACACGACAGGTCTCTGCTTTGCTTTGCTTGCCAGGGCTGGAAGAAACGACTAAGATCCGTCTTGCCAGCCCCCTGCACAGAACCGTGTCGTTTAATGGTCCCTGAAGTTCACGAAGTCAGTTTTTGTTTCTTTTTCATAAGGCTCAGGGGACTAGAGAAATACTTGTGGATAGCCATATAAGCAGCAAGAAAAGAGAAAACTAACTTACTCAACAGTCGGTAACTGATTAACACCGGCTCAAATCGCAGGGGAGGTCCTTATTGAGGCTCCCAGCGCTACCGATCGTCTCTTGCACCTTGATACCGATGAACTCCTCTTGTCGGCCGCAAGACTGCTTGTTGAGACGGATCTTGGTCCACATGTTGTTGGTGCCGAAGGTGGCGCAATCTACACGCCCAGAAAAAAAGATAAACATGTCAGCCAACATTTTCTATCAACAGAAGAGGAAATGACTGAACATAGACCGTGAGGAGGAAAAATCAAGGCAAAACCCACCAATAGTATACCCATCCTTAACACTAATAGCCTGAATAGCATAATCGCTAGCCTGCTGTCTAACCTTCTTGTCCAGAGCGTCACAGATGCTCGACATCGACTGAGACGGGACGTTCTCCCAGTAGATGGTGAACTCGTTGCCGCCGTTGCCGCTGAAGTGCTGCACGTTGCAGCCGTTGCTGTTCATGGCTGTGACGGCTGGGATGGCGAAGGAGAATGCTGCGAGGGCGGCGAGGAGGTTGGTTTTGGTGGTGGAGAGTTGGAACTGCATTTTAGCGGTTGGGTTGGCTTGGCTTGTTTAGTGTTGTGTTGTGTTATTGGGTGATGAGATGAGATCAGAGGGATAGGATAGAGAGTGTTGATGAGTGTGATGAGAGGAAGACAGAGGGTGGAAGGGTAGGTATTTATATAATTCGAGAAAAGAATTCATGACAGTAGGATTGAATACCTACGTTTGTTTATGCTGTCATACATTGATTGTGCCTTGAATCTAAAGTGAAAGCTGAAAGTCCCCCGGGTACTGATGGTTGATCACTCTCATAGCCTTTCTGCAGTCAGCGTTTCTCCTGGCATCACTTTCCACAAGCTCGAGCATGTTGATCTTGAGAAAGCTGAGTGTCCAACCAAATTATACTACCATCGCTCAAAGATTTGATGCTGATTAAGGCTGCTCCGAAAGTCCCAAGTAAATATACATCACCGTGATGAAAACACCTGAACGCCGTATCCCAGAAACACTTTTTCCACACCCGAAAATGCAACCTACCCTACCCGCGCCTGTAATGCCACCAAAATATACAAACTGTACAAATCCAAGAATTTACTCCTTCCTCCTTTGTCCCTTTTGAACCAATCAAATATTCCCAAATCCTCTGATACCCCTCATGCCAACACCAAGCTTCTTGTCTTTCTTCGACGGTGCTTCAGGTGTAGAAGGACCTTCACCTTTCGCCTGATCTTTTGCTTCTTTCTCCTTCGCTTTGTCCTTCTTGTCTTTTTCTTTTTTGCCAATGTTTTGAACTCCACCTGTTTATCACTCATCAGCAAGACATGCATGATCAATCATCATCACTAAACTTACCACGACCAAACACCCTAACATCACTCTGCGGCTTGATTTTCGGCGGCGCGGATCCACCATTCCCTTGACTTTCACCGCTCTCAGCGCTCTTCCTTGTACCCGCCATGCTAGGTGGTCCATACGGCTGCGGCGCTTGGAAGTGTTGAGCGGGGTATCCACCCGCTGAGACGGGACTTCGACCATCAGCTGGTGAGCCGTGACGGTACGAGGTATCTAGCCTGGCCGGTCGGACAGGGAAGGGAGCATTAGGACCGCCTTCAAATATCGTAGGCTGTTCTGGATCAGAACGAGCATGACCCCGGCTCTTGAACCGATTGGTAGGCGAATTATTCGAAAATGTGTAGGAGCCGCCAAGCAGTGGCTCATCACCACCTTGGAGATCTTCGACATGTTCCCGAAGCTCAGTGTATGATGCTTGGAGACGGGTATATCGTTTAAGCAGATGGCCGTGAGACATGGTGAGTTCGTTGATCCGATGTCGTGAAGCTGCCATTGTTGTGTCGAGGAAGACATGTGAGAGGTGAGCTCGCTCCGACTCGTTGCTTCTGAACGAACGTGCATCATCTCGGTCTCGATTCCGGATACTCTCTAACTCCGCCTCAAATGCAGCTTTCGCCTTCGCGAGCTCCTCATCTCTTGCAGCAAGCTCCATTTCCAGGAGATGGACACGGCTGAGGGCAGCTTCTTTAAGCTCCTTGGCAACTTCAGCTCCTCGTGCGTCTGCTTCAAACTGCATGATCCTCTTGGACATCTCGTCAGATTGCTTTCGCAAGCGCTCGAACTCCTCGAGATTACTTTTCACACTATCAGCGGTCTGATCTGCTTCCAGCGCTCGGCTCTCAGCTTCCACCGTGATATTTTTCAACTTCGTGTTGCTATCTCGCTGTGTGGCGAGGTCAGATAGGAGCTGATCTCGCTCTATATTCCATTTCCTCTGCTCTTCTCGGAGAACACGCAATTTGGCAGTCAGGTCGGCTTCCCACTTTCTCGAATGAGTCTTCGATTTTTCAGTCTCTTTCTTCATCTGGACGTTCTGTCTCTTCGCCTCTACAAGCTTGGATTTCAGACCACGATTGTAGTTGAACAGATGCTGTGTCTCTGCTTCCACTCTAGCTTCTCTGATCTGCTGCCTGCGTATTTTGCCAATATGAGACAGGTGCTGCTGTTTGAGATAGCGCTCAAAGTTCAAATCGTTCTTCAGTAGTTGGATTTCACGCTGGAGATACGCAACTTTGGCACCGGCAGGGCCAGTCGTTGGTCTCAAAGAGGGGGAGCGGGGAATCGTCTCTCTTGTCAGAGTATCCCACAGACCGCTCATGTGAAGTGCATCAGTACCCTGTGACAAGGGAAGAGAAGCTTCAGAATCGTTAGTAAAGACTCTGTAGAGGCTTCCCCGAGTTGAGATCTGCGAGCCAAGCATATCAGAGAGCTGATTGTGATGTGAACCAAGGATTTGTGGTGGGATAGTTGGGCTATCATGACGGTCGGAGGGTTGCAGCGGTGGGGAGTCTGCAACAGATGGCAAGGATTGGGATGTTTGTGAAAGCTTTCTGTGGAGGCCAGAAGAGGAACGGAAACCTTCAGGTGATACCACTACAGTTGATCGAGTATCTCGCAAGCTATTTTGTCTCGACTGAAACGGCGTTGCATCCGAGTCAAGAAGTGGATGCTCTGGGACGTCCGTGTTCAGCTCCACCTTCTTTATTGCTCCCTTCGCTCGCGGAATATGGTGCTGAACTTCACCAGGCACATAGAGGGCCATGCATTCCGCGACAACATCCGGAGCTGAGCTCTTCTGCCATCGTTGTGTGTCTGTGAGTTCAGTCTCCAGTGTAAGCATGAAGAAATTCGGGTGCATCAAGTGAACTTGTCTAAATCCTTCAGAGCGTTGTCTGATCTCCGTAGGCTCAATATCGAGGTCATCGGCGCCTGGGAAATTCGCATGTCGAAGGTATCTCTGGGGTTTCCGAATATAGCTCATGAAGTTGATGGGATACAAGCCATACAGAAACGTAAAATAGTGCAGGAGCTCGGGTACAGTATCATCTTCTGATTCCAACAAGTAGGAGAGCTTTTCCCATTGTTTTCCGTCGTCCGTTGCAGATGGCTCCTCATCATCATCAGTTGGCTGGGGCACAACTTCAGCAGCTTTCCGCTCCTTGTCCCAGAATAGCATGCGACTGTAAATGTTGAACAATGCAGGTAGATGCTTGGAGGATGATATTGGAATATGTGGCAGGAACATGATCAAAGCTGTCATAGCCAATGATATAACCCTGGTCGATGTATCGATTTGGAGGCATCGTAGCAAATTGTCGAATAATGGAGTTTGTAAAAGTTGGTGCAGATGCGGAGGTTGATGCCGGAAAAATTCGCAGAGCAGAGACAGAGAAAGTATGCGGCTATCCTTCTGCACAAAGAATTTATTGATGGTTGTTAAGAAGTCCTAATGTAGTCAGTACACGATTCCGAGAACTTTGAAGTAAGCTTACTGTTGGCCTCTTCTTTCCGAATGCCAACAAGATCAATTGAATCTGGCTCTCGACAAACCTTGCATGCTCGTTGAGTTCGTCCAATGCCAATTTCGATTTTGCCAGCCAGGTAGACATTAGGTTATCTGCAACTGCTGCACTGCTGGCTTTGGCATCTTTCAGATGCTCCTCCTCTTCCTCATCATATATCAGAATTCCAAGCAATGTGTCTCTAGCTTCAAATGCCAGTCCTTTTTCAACTCCCAAGTTTATAATGATAGGCCCCGAAAGTCTGTCCCACCATTGTAGCTCCCTGCCAGATCCTTTGAGATTTGGCTTTAAGGATCGAAGAATTGAAAGGAAAGGCGCAAGACGTGTGGGATGATCGAGGATGGAGGATTGGTAGAATGTCAACAGTTCTTCTTGCAGACGCTGGGAGTCTGTATCGTCGTAGACTGCATGTTTCTCGAGGTATGCGTCTATGACCTGCCTGAGCTCGGCGGGAAGTGGGAGAGTGAGATTTGATGCGGAGGCTGCAATCGACTTGGATAGATCCTTGAGAGATCTGTAAATAGCACGATCAGTATTGTCGTCAGTTTGGAAATTTCGCAGATAGCACTGACCCAGAAGACATCGTTGCGAAGTGTTGCAGTCCAGGATGCTGGTTCGAGAGCAGGCTTTGACCTGCTTAAGCTTCGATGCAATGCGGGACTGCGGGGTTGAAAGGTTTGACAGGTACTCGCAATACGAGACAGATCTACCTTGCTGGAGGCAGCAGAGCGAGCAAGGACAAATTGGGAATGCCCTCAATGGAGCGGCATATACGTGGTAGCGACACTGCCTGGTGGATGCGAATTGGAATAGTGCTGAGTGATGATGGTCGAGATGCGGCTTGGTAGCACAAAGCCGGGTGGAAGCTTCAATGTCTTCCGGATGGCTGCAGAAGGAAAAGTGTGCTTCCTTATCTTATCACCGATCGCCGAAGAGATCAGTTAGTGACGATTTCGGGCATTGGGGCTAAAGAACAGCTTTGTTCCAACAAGATCATATCACATCAGCGTACCAGGTATGAATGCACTGCATTGATCTATAAGAGATAGTAGGTTCTCTTCAAAAAAGCTAAATCTCTTTCTATTACTCTGGCAAGATATCAATCCGCAATATCCTCCTGTTATCTGTGTTGCGTCTTTCTTGTCACCAATTTCTGCCAAGCTCCTCAAACATCATGGCAAGTCAATCCGCCCTGCCATTGCAGGGCAAGACTGCTATCGTTACAGGTGGATCTCGGGGGCTTGGTGAAGGGATGAGCCTCGAGCTTGCAAGTAGAGGAGCCGATGTAAGTAGGTCCACCCCTATGATAGTGTGTACTTACACCCCTAGGTAATTATCATACACTCCTCTCCAAGCTCCAATCCAGCTACCACTGGTCTCCAAGGCCGTATTACATCTCTTCCTAACAAACCTCGAGTTTTCAGCATTCAAGCCGGTCTTCGAAGCCCAGAAGCAATCGAAGATATTGCGCCGTCAATCAAGAAATGGTTCGAAGCTGAAGGCCGTGAAACAAAAATCCACATACTAGTCAACAACGCAGGATGCGAAGTAGTCAAGCCATTGGGCTCTATCACAACTTCTGACTTCGCTTATGTCTACGACCTCAACGTCCGCGGTGCCCTATTGATCACCCAAGCTATTCTCCCATACCTCTCCGCCAACGGCCGGATCATCAATATCAGTTCCGTTGGCAGCCGAGCCGGATTCAAGGAATTGGGTTTATACTGCTCTAGTAAGGCTGCTTTGGAAGGTCTGACACGATGCTGGGCTGCGGAATTGGGTAAGAATGGGACGACGGTCAATGCGGTGAACCCTGGTCCGGTACAGTCCGAGATGCTGGATAATATACCAAAGGATATAGTGGATATGCAGAAGGCACAAACCCCATTGCAAAATAGAGTTGGGACTGTGGAGGAAGTGGCGGCGGTTGTTTGTTGGCTGGCAGGTGAGGACAGTCGGTGGGTGACAGGTCAGACGATCAATGCGAGCGGTGGGTGGACAATGTATTGACATAAGGCGAATGTCGTCTTCGTTATATTTCCACTGAGGGAAGCCGTATATTTGTACAGGGGTTTTCCGACCTTGGGGATTTCTCGTATCCTCAAATGAGAAGTCTCTCGCTCAAACAAACTCTTCCAGCATGATGACGTTTCTATTTCTTCCCTCAGCGCTCCGCCTTCATTGCAAAGCTTCCCTGAGTGGCAGACCCAGTCCACAATTGGAACAAATCGCTGGAAGCCAACAAACAGCAGATTGGTAATCCGAAGGCCGACTTCAGCTGTCTGGCATTTAATGATTTATGTATGGCGAGGCTGCATATTCCAGGATGAATATCCTTCACTGCAGTTAGTGGCCTCCAGTAACGCCTGCAGCTTAAGCACAGCGGGTCTGCACGCATTTCTATATGCGGTGGGGAAAGGTATTGATTGGCGGCCTTCAACCTTTGCGTGTGGAGTAGACTCGTTATCCAAGGGTTGATTTATCGTTTTGATCTGGCATGGTGTCAAGCACGAGGCTTGGAGTTTGGTTGAAAACTCTCATTGGTGGCCTCTGCAGGCAGCCTTCATTTCACCACAACTGAGCATCACTGTGGACTGCGCTTCGGTCATATTCGTGAAAAGTAACGCCTACTGAGTTCTACCGTCCATATTGGTAACCTTCAGATCTTGGCTTCTGCTCACGGCATATATACCGACCCCCAATCCACATCGGAACTGCCTTTGATACCCAAGCTTTCAGTTTTGTACACATAATCACGATCCCAATTCAACCATGCGCAAACGCAAACTCGATCTTGGTCTCAAGCTCAACCAAGCATTTAGTGGCACATAGAACCCCATCTCCATTCCTTCTATCAGAGGCTGAAAAGGTCACCCAATCCTCCACTTCTGCATAGAGTGCCTCCTGGACGCAACCAGTAACCCACAGAGATATCTTGCCGAGTGTGGACCATGAACACTGTTCATCCATGGCAAATCCTCAAAATGTGAGTGAATATTGCAAATATAAAATTGTGAATATAAACTAAGTCTCGCTAGCTCATCACAAGCACAAACAATCAAACAAATGAAGCCGACGAGCACAACCGTCAACTGAACTTTCCTTCTCCCCACTCAAATTCACAAGACAATGCATCTACAGCGATATTAAGCTCTGAAATTGGAACACAAGGATGTACTGCGAGACGTCAATTCGCTACGCCATCGAACAGCTTTCCAAACTCGTCAACTCCATCGAGCATCCAATCGTCGCCTTCTCCTCCTCCGGACCAGCTTTCACCGACATCGACTCAAGCCAGGGCCCCAACTTTAGCTTCTCTCGCTCCTCTGGCTCCTCGCCCTCTAACTTTGTCTCCACCATTATTATCACCGCCAAATTCATCAACTACAGCAGCAGTACTTTCTCCTATATCTCTCCCCAACAACAAGTTCGGATGTCCACTCTGTCCCCGTGACAAATTCTCCTCTTATACCCGCGCCCTGTAAATCTCCCCTTTTCTTCTCCCCTTCACTGACGTCCACCACATTCCACCTCTCCATTTCCCTCCTCATTCCCCTTTACCCCTCACTCTTCCTCCCTCAACCAAACAAGCACACTAAGAACCACCCCTTTCCCCTATCAGTACCCACATCCTCACCTACTCCCACACCCACCCGTGCCCACACCCCTCCTGCAACTGGGCATACGACACAGCCAAAGATCTCAACCGACACATCGAGAGCCACTCGGGAAACAGGTCAAGGGTTTATTGTCCGTATGTAGGTTGTAAAGCACAGAAGAAGAGTAGGGTTAAGGGGTTTAGTAGGCGGGATGGGTTGGAGGAGCATTTGAGGATTTTTCATGGTGGAGGTGGGGGATGGAGAGGGAGAAGTGAGGATCTTGAGATGAGATGAGATGAGGGTTCTGTTGGTGGTGAGGAGAGGTTGATGGATGTGAATACGGACAGGTAGGGTGGGATGGAGATTGGGGAGTGAGCTTCAGAGGAGGAGGAGGAAGAAGTTTCGGCCCGTGGTGGGAATTATCTTTATTTTCTTGTTCATTTTCCCTTTTTGTTTTGTCTCTTTATTTTTTGGATTGGTTTCATATCTTTTCCATTCTTGAGAAGGTTTCTTCCTCTCATCCCCATTCCTCATCACTTCTTTCACGATATGTGATAACATTCTCATTTCAGCCTCCAGTTGCTGCGTATTTCCATTGTAGTACCTCTTGACTCTCAGTATTCATTCTATCATCGTTACACTCTTCTTCTTAGTTCCAATTTGTCCCGAGTCTCCTAGTTGAGCAATTGCATTGACTCCTCAAATACAACTAATCTTTCCATGAAAAGTGAAAAGCACAGAACGAGAAATATGGAAACTAAATCCCATGCCTTGCTAACACAACTTTGCTCTACCGGGTCGTCAAAATCTCGTCATCCAGGTTGCCTCTTGCGAATCTATGTTTGGTTTCTTTGGGATTTTGAGAATCTTTGTAATGATCTTGTCTTCATTCAGGGGAAGAACAAACATGCGGGTGGGTCATATGTTTAAGCGAGAGAAGTGGGCCTGCAAAAGGGGCGTGTTGACCTTGAGGAAGGTAATTTGACTAATGCCGCCAGACTGGAATTAAGGAAGCAATGACTGCCTCAATGGACAATACTCACGATGTAATGAGTGGTAAGAAGTTCGGAGGTGATTGATGGACGACAGCTGTCTCGGCTTGGTCAAGATCCAAATGGAAATGAGCAAAGAGAGAGAATAAACGGGCAGTCTCCAGACCTGTGAAAATGAACAAAATCTTTGATTGGCTCCAAAAGTAGCAAGATATAGCTACCAACATAGCTGATTCAAACTCAACATGGACTTCTAGACTAATCATCAGTTGCATCGATGAAAGCCTCCCAATACTTATCATCCAGCTCAACACTCTTCTCCCCCTCACTCTTCGCATAAATATCCTCATTAATCCTCACCATCGCCACCCCATCCTTCAACTTCAACAAACTCTTCACCCCCTCCTTCCACTTCTCCGTCCCTCCAATCTGAAACTCAATCTTCTGCCACTGCGCAGCCCATCCCCTCGTACCAGGATACTTCCCAGTCTCATGTATGACCGCACCAGAAATATGTTTAGCCTTCTCCTCGTCGCCAGCGCGGAATCCAAATGTCGGCTTGATGTTCTCGCTGATTGAGAGGCGCCGGATGTTGGAGACGCCAGTGGGGTCGAAGGGGGCTTTCTCGCCTGCAATGAAACCTTGGTCTTTGCTGGAGAGACTGGTCCATGTGGCGTGTTGCATGAGCACGAGGCCGGTGAGCATCCAAATGTCTGGGCGTGCGGACTTGTCGCCTTTTGCGAGGGTTTCGGCGGCGGAGAGGTGGGAGGAGAGCCATTTCTTGGCTTCGGGGGAGGAGAGGGTGATTGATTCGAAGAACTCTTCGGGGCTGGAAGGGGAGAAGTTAGTGATTCGTTCCGGGATAGGACAAGATTGGCCACTTACTCCTTGATCTCGACTTTTGTGGCCTTTTCTGCGGCTGCTACTCGGTATCTTGGACCTTCAGAGTCGTCTACAGATCCTGTGGATGGATTGCTGGCATCGTGACCTTGTTCGGAACCAGCTCCAAGTGTCAATGCATAGTTTCCCAACTGTGTGAGCTCTGCCCAATCTGGAGGAGTGTCTTGAATGCTGAGAACTATTAGCTCTACGATCAAGACAGTCAGCTTGACTACTTACTCGGTATAAGCCTTCTCAACGTGAGGTTCATAGAAACTTGGATTCTTGAAGTCGTGAACTAGGTTCCCCAGGTGGAGATGCTTTCCGTCGATGCCCGCATTGTAGGTGATGTAGGTCACGTTTCCCTTCGACATATTCGTAGTATGATTGTAAGATTGGGCACTGCGTCCCTCCGCTGGATTGGGATTTAATGAAGTGACTTCGAGGATATACTTCTGGAGTGTTATGAAGTGCAATTGAGAGGTCGTCAGAGGAATGTGGGGTGAGGTGGAGAGAAAAGCTACCCCGCACTTTAGCCAGGGCAGGGGAAGCACTACCCCGCAATTGGTAGGGAAAGCGGTCCAATCAGATATGTACACCATAATTTTCCAAGCCTGGACAACCTTTGTTTACTCCTTTATCCGAGATGATTTAGGGGAGCTCTTGTTGTCTTTGTCTTTGTAGGATTTCAATAGCGAGTGCTAAGCGAGAGAAACTTGGGCCGCTAATTATCATACCAACCACCTCATGATGGCTTTTGCGCATTCCGATGGCAACATAGTTCAGGGGCTGAATGAAAAAGTAGATTCCCATTACTTTATGATTACTTGCATTACGTACGTCCTCATCTATTCTCTCCTCGCATTCAAGCATATTCGTCTGCTCCCAGATCTACGCGTGATATATCCATTACCTGGCCGATATTGATAGTGGGGCTAAGAGGACCATATGACAGAGTGGTATTGAGAGTGATGTTTTGATACGGAATGTCGCCAAAGTAGTTCCATGGATATGCCCACATAGTGTCAGGGCCCGCAATTTCATCTTTGCGAACAGTCCAGTCTGTAAATGTGGTCAGCATGATCCTGGGATTAATTCGCAATGGGTCTTACTCAGTCTCTGCCAGTCATTCCACATCTTATGAAGCATACAATGGTGCATCTAGAAGATCGGCTCTCCAGTAGATGAGTAAAAGTCGGAAAACTGACGATCAATTAGTCAAGCTCAATTTATCCAGGTGGAGAATAGATATACCTCACCAACAGCACCACCGACACCAGAGTGCCCGCCCCCATGGGTTGCAAAGGCGGCAATATCAGGTGTCATTGACTGAACCCGTCTGTCATACTGTGCGTAGGTATCCGCCTGCTGTACCCATGCTAGAACGCTAGAGTTGAGTTTCGAAATGGCCAAGGATGGAGCGAAGTCTCGTCGCAGGTAGTGAGGATTGCAGCTGAGGTTGTTGCCAGGCCCCATGGGGACCATAAGATTTGCCCAGGGACCAGTAGTGACGCATCCTGTTGATCATCAGCTAAGAGCAGGGTCGCTGGAATTGGGTTACTTCACCCCCGCCTGTTCGGCCGGGAATCGTGATGCCTGCGGTGTCGATCAAGCCGGTGATGTTCTCGATGTATGCGCCATTTCCTGTTGATTGATCAGCCAAAAAGGACATTTCCAATAAGGAAGTAGGGAAACTGGCCTCCGAAGCCATAGACGGGATCGAAAAGGGGGTCACTTGGTCCAGGCATCTATGCTTCCCGAATCCTTAGACCAATCTAGCTCGAGTCAGCTTCGCTCCAATAATACTGTACTGAAACTACTTACCCCAGTATGGCTGAGCGCCTTTGTACAGTACTCCCCCTTGTCCCAACGTTAAATCGCCACTGGCGCCTAGGCAGCTGCTTTTACGCTGCTCTTGAGAGTTCTCCTCCTCACGGTTGCTCTGTTAACATACTAAAATCGCGTCACGTTATCCCCTTGTCAATCTTTAAAACAGCATGAAATCCTTCTATTTTAAGTATAAATGATAGACAGAGCCGCCCCACAGTTTAACGTTGGGACAGGGGGGAGTACTGTAGCCACAAGTGTTTCTTAAGTCCTGTTCACACAAAGACACAAGCTGTCTATGCCACGAGAGGAAACGTCCCTATACTTGACTTAAATGAATTCAAGCTCGAGTTTTGGTGTATTTCATACAGTCATATGAGTTTGCTCAGTCATTGAGATGTGCAAACCTTGATAATCATCATAGCGGTTCCGTGAGCCGGGATACAAGCTCTGAAATCGAGGCGGCTTGGACTGTAGACATTTGAAGGCGTTGATGTATGAGAGCCGATCTGTCTTGGTGAGGTCTCTCCTGAAATAACGAATTAGCGACCACTGGAGTCCTACATGAAGTAGCTGCGATTACCATTCTTTTCTCACAAGAGTGACCGAACGTGTCTCCAAGTCACTGGTAGCGAGAACTTCACTCAACTTTGCGGCCGTTGGAGCAGCAATAACGACTTTGGCGAGCACCAAAAGTGTCGCTGGAACGCATCGAGTAAATCTTGTCAATAAGGAGTACTAGTAGTGGGGAGGGTTATTGAGATCCAAGACCCTGGATGTCCAGATCTACTGCCACGTGGATTTGAGGGAATTTGGCTGGTGGAGGGTAAGGTCTTCATATAAAAAGTAGGGACGACAGCGATTATTCCAGGGCCATGATCTTTTGGGTGACTGTAGCTCAAAATAGCGACTGTATCTCAATATAGCCGTACAATGAACATGGAAACTTCCAACAAACAATTGACAAACTCTAACAGTGGTGTACCCTCGCATGCAAGTGTTATCAAAGTTTGACAGACATGTACAGCTGTTAAGATCCCAGTTCACCTATCCAGGTCCTTTCACATGGGTCAGCTCCCTTCCAGTCCGGACTGCCGACTAAACTTCACCGACCCCATTTTCTTTGCGGTAAAAATGCTACACTGGCAGTTTGCGGGAAAGGAGAATAGCCTGGTCACTGGAAGAAATCAGGCCATGGAGGCAGGTTTGTCGAAGTGCCGTGTTAACTGCTAAGAGGTTCAATTTCCACTGGATAGACAAAGAGCCGTATTGGGCGAGGTCGTTGATGTATGAACGGGTCGTTTGCCAAGATTGGTTGACATCCGGGAGGATGCTGCCGCTTCGCGAGGGTAGTAAATTTACAGTCCCCCCCGGTCCCAACGTTAAATCGCCACTGGCGTCTAGGCAGCTGCTTTTACGCTACTAAAAGAGTTCCCTTCACAGTTGCTCTGTTAACTTACTAAGAGTATATTATATCATCCCGTGTCACCTTTTAAAACAGCATGAAATCCTTTCTTTTTAAGTCTAAATATTAAACTGAGCCGCTCTGTAATTAACGCTAGGACCGAGGGGAGGACTGTAAACAAACTCTACAACCAAGATAGACCCAAAGGTCTATCGTAAACGAGATCAAAAACCCCACGGTGAACATGCATGCAGCACGGCGGGGTCTGTATAAGTAGGCGGTCATCCCCCACCGACGAGCATATCTGAAAACCTTCTACAGTCCGGCCTTGTGAAGTACTCGTAGCGAGTATCGACTAAACTCTATTATGACTTCACCAGTAACCTTCTGATATTTTTGGGAACCTTTGTGTTGTCATCTGCCATATGTTCGTCCCTAAAGTCGATGCCGTGCATGGGATCCAAAAACGCTACGGAGGCCCGCCGTTTCTGGAGTCAGAATCTGACCTTTCCAACTTTTCATCCTTAGCGACAGCTGAAAGCCTCGAGGGGCGGAATGGAGGTCCAGCGACTAGACTCGATGCCATGAGAAGACCCTTATGGCCAGATCCCCGGATCATCAAGCCTGACCAGAATGTTTCCGCGGAATAGTGCATTACGGACCAACCTGTTATGTCGCCGTACCTGATCGCGCAAAGCTGCGGAGACACCCGCCAACAGAGCACGGAGGGACCCTTAATGCCTTCAATTCTATTGGTCACGTCCAGCTCGGGAGATCGCACAGAAACGACAGGTTTTCGATCGTTTCTGGTTCATGTCCCCGTCTTTGGTCTTCCCCCGCATTCAATTGTCCCACCAGTCTCGCCAGTAGTGTGAACAAGAAAGTTATTTACAAGTTGGTGAACCCCGGTAGATGCAGCGGTGCTGACCGGATGTTCCGCAAGCGAGTTTGAGAGTCGAGATCCGGGGAAGTGGTATTGATCCCAGGCTCTCAATATTATTGCATGGAATTCGTTGCGAGATTGGATGAACTGTTCCATTAGTCATGTATTACCCATTGGAAACAAGAGGACTCCCCTCCGAAATATCTCCACTTGACAACGAAAGCCAGTCTCTTGTTCAAAGCCTGAATGTGGCGTTCTCGGCAGTCAGTGCGGGAATTCCATCGGGTAATTGCCACTTTCGGGCCTCTCCTCCTATGTTCAACTGTCCAACAGGATCAGCCGAAAGCCTTGAGATCTCTTTGAATTAAATTGATCCCGGGTGTCAGTTGTCCCGTGTCTTCTAGTGATCTTCTGAAGGTGCCTCGGGTCGGTCAGCTTAACTTGGAGCGGGATGGAAAGCGTCGGATAATACCCTTCTGCCATATCAGTTTGTCTTCAACTTTGAGCCCCACTTGGTAGCCAGTAGTAGCCTAGGAATTGATCTAGCAGACGCCTCGAAGAAGGACGCGGGAAGCGTTAGCGAAGGCGACTCGCAGACGCAGAAAAGCTATCGAACGGGAATGAAGCCACAGCTGAGACTATGCATGTCGATGACACGACAATAATCTTCAAGCATGGCAAGAGCCTGCAAGTCCAAGGCGGGCCAAGAGCTATGATTCGATCCTTCAAGTCTTAGTATGCATTGATTTGGCGAAAGCTGGAGTATCGTCCCACCTCGATTTGAAATAATCCTGGCCATGGTGGTTTGCATTGACCATGTTGAAGGCACAGTCAGTGACAATTCCTATGGCTGCCATTTGTCGGCAAGGTCCTTGGTAGCATCGGGAAGCCACTGAGGATGGCAAACAAAACAAAAAGAGTTACAGAGAGAAACATACTGTAAATCCTATTCTTTTTCATCGCCTGAATCGAGGAGATGGCCATATATGCTATTTTCATCCTCCTTCTAGAAGGTTTTGTTACTAAAAGCGTTTGTTTTTAAGGTTACTGAAAAGTATGGTGTCACCGGGGCAGATTAGGTTTGTTATGCGTATGGTGAAGATCGATAGAGGGTGGCCACTTGAAAGATGCTGCGGAACCCACAGATAGCCACCGGGGTCGTAGTCGATTCCATGTCTGTTGCGAAGTAAAACTAAATATCACGAGCCCGCGTATCTCATTCGCTGTTCCCCAGCATGGCTTCTTTTAAAGTTTGGCTAGCAAAGATCTGTTTCCAGCCCCTTTCACAAGCGAGAAGGACTTGCCTCATTTCAGGTGAAATTGAGACCCAACTCCTGGGATCCCTTTATCGGGAGTAACTGGCCGAACCCGTGGCTCCTTGATTCTTTCGGGCTTCAAGTCTCTCATAAGTGCAACAGATGGTCTCAACATTGACCACCTTGTGAACAATACACATCTGGGTCTTTGAAGATCCTCTATTTATGCAGAGGTTCATCCCCATAATTCTGGCTTCTGCAGCAATGTGATGTCCCCAGATTCTGAACTCAAAACTCGAGATTGAATTTATCGCGAATCGCCATGTCAACTCACGTGTATCCACCGGGGACAGACTTCAGGTCGACTCCAGACTATAAGGGCGGTGTTCTTCGGGCTCTCAATGCCACTCTCATCCCTGTCACGACGTTGTTCTTTGGTATGAGGATATACGTCAGGTTGTTCATGACGAAGAATGCTGGGTTGGACGATGCGCTTGGTCTTGTAGCCTATGTCAGTTTTGCTCTTCAAATTACCACTCGCTAGATCTGACGACATTCTGCAGCTGTTCGCGGTTGTATTGTCGAGTTTTGACCTTGTCAGTAAGTAACTTTGAGGCGTTCATCAAGGGTACTCATGGCTAACTCTATCATCAAGCTGTCCAATATGGAAGTGGCGCACACATTGCCCTCGTCCCGCCGGAGACACTTCGCAAGTTCTTCAATGTAGGCGCCATTTTTCAATCAACGATCTGCCCAGCTGACGATAAAATAGATACTACCTACGCAAACCATGTGGTATTTCTGGGCAACATGTTTCGTGCGTCTGACAGTCGCAGCATTTCTGCCTCGCTTGAGCAAAGAGAGTTCGTTCCACCCTCCAACACTGTCACGCGACCACTCTAATCGAACCTTACAGGACTTTATTTGTACCTTATATATGGGATTGCTGCCTTTACCGTTGTACAGACGACTGTTTGCTTCCTGTACAAACTGTTGGAGTGTAGGCCAGTCAAGTATGTATCGTCAACTCGCCAGATTTTCGGAACTGACTGGATGCGACAGAGACTTATGGCTACCACCTGATACGCCTGGAACGAATTGTGTTTCTCAAGCTGCGAATGGTATGTTTTCCGGGCAATAAACGTTTCCCCAAAGCCCATATTTCTGTACTACCTCGTTCCCAAAGTGCTCCTGAGACATCTGAATAAGTGAATGCTGACTTCTCATCATCACAGAAACGATGATGACTATCAACGCCGTATTTGGCATTGCCATAGAATGCGCCTTGCTGGCTCTTCCCATCTGGATTGTCTCTAGGAAAATGATGGTCTCTCGCAAGATGTTTCAGGTAATTCTCATCTTCTGCGTCGGTATCTTCGTCATCATGGCTGGTGTCGTCCGTCTGTACTACATGAAGACACTTCTGTTCGCCAGCGAACCGTACGTATCTCCAATCCGAGAATCATCAAAACTGCAGCTAACCCTCAGCCTTGTAGAACATTCCATATGTCAACCACCGGAGTCTGGTCTGATCTTGAAGTTCACCTGGGTCTCTGGTGCGCGTGTTTTCCTGCACTACAACCAATCATACGAATCGTATCCTTCAAGCTCGGATTCCGCTCCAAACTTCTCAGCTATGACAATACGCCTGGTAAGAGAAGTGGTGGTCCTTCCGGTCATATGCGTGGTACCACGGGTGCCCAGCGCTCGACTCACGGATATTTGAGAAGTGGAGTGGGGGTTGATAAGCAGTGGACGGAAGCGGACTCTGATAGCCAGAAGGGGATTGTTTCGGAGGTAAAGAGCTTTGAGATGGAAAACTTGGGACAAATACATAAGCAGACAGATGTTCAGGTCATCATAGAAGACAATGGTGATGGACAGAAGAAAGTTGGGAGACAGGAGAACTGGATTGACGTTTGAGGCTGTCGAGAGATACCCAAGCGAGTTGGCTCGAGGAGGAGAGTTAGGTCTACCTACGAACAACATATACCTAATAAATCTCGAAATCCTCCGCTTCCATTCCAGCCTGTACAGCAGTCATGAGAATACCCCCTTCCATCATTCCTGCCACATAGCACTCTCCAACGAGCAGCCACCCGCCCTCCGCCCTCCTCCTCATTATCACTGGTAGATCTACACCCCACAGCACCACCACCACGTCGCCAGCAATTGCTGTCTCCGGCACGACTGCATATATCAGCTCTTGTGTTAGCGCAAACCTCCTTCCTGGTAGCATCGTTGCAATCATCTGAATGAACTCGTTCGAAAGAGTGACCGAGTCTTTGAGAAGCTTCTTGGAAGAAGCAGTCTTGTGAAGAATGGAAGGCGTGAGGTTGAACCATTGCGGCGGTGCTTCAGTCGACCACCTGTTGAGATATGAATCGAAAGTGAGAGTCTGCCAGAATCGCTGCGGACTCCACAGCCCAGATTTCTTGGTCATTTTCTTGGTCACTTCATACCATTCCGAAACCGTTTGAACTAGGTCAATGGTTGATGGCTTGTGTGACTGCAGCGGTGAGCTTACATGAGCCAGCTGTGTGAGAGCGCATCCGAAAATTGTGATGACTCTGTTGTCGTCTGAGTAGGAACAGAAGCTTGGTGTGTTACCGCCTACTTTAAAGCGGTTGCATGACAAGTCATCAATGGATTGAGAAGGACATGGATGGGACCAGTCTGGTAGCCAAGATGGGAATTGATCTCTACCCTTTGCTTCACTGGGGGAGATGACAACGGCTTCTTTCCCCTTGAAGTTGGTCTCCAGCACACCATCTCTAGGAGGTGCATAAAGCCCAGCTGCGCAGATTATATTGAAAGCTCCGTGTGCCCTGCTCATGAAGTCTTCACTCTCGGACTTGGTTTGAATCTCCGATCCCGAGAGATGCCGCCCTGTAGCTTCTGCTTCCTGGGCTGCTACTGCGTCGTAGCTCAACGACATGCTCAGCACCATAGCAGTTTTGCTGCCGATTCGTGCCTGCTCTTTCGTCCTCTGTTCTCGCTGCACCCCCGTACAATACTTAAACACTTCAAGATAGAGTTCGAAAACCGGCTTCTTGTAGTCAATTGTCAGAAATTCGTCATACTCAATCCCACTCTCCTCCAAGAATCCTAGCAACGCGATAACTTTATCTTTCGGTTCTTTTGCTCCAGAGTTCCGGTATCGACACAAAGTGTAACCTAACCAACTCGGGTCTTTCTTTACCCCGATATCCGTCCTCTCAATACAGATCGTACTGGGCATGTTACTTGCCATGAGAGCCGTCCAAATCGGATTCGCCCAGTCCCCCGGGTCCTTGAGCTCCATTTCTGCAGCCAGAGAACTCAAAACTCTAATCAGCGCATCCCAGAACGAGCAACTCTTGCTGCCCACACAGACTTGTGGCGAAGTGCCGAATGCCACTTCTTGAACGATCCACATCCGTTTCCAGTACGGCAATTCTGTCAACTGCTTCAGGGCGACCCAGATGTGCTGGAAGCTCGTGTCTGCCATACACCGCTCGTATCTCTCGGAGGCTTCTTTGTCGGTCAAGCCATCCAACGTGGGGTCCAACAAGCGTCGATCTTCCCAAGCCATGAACTCCAAAAGTATATCGCTATTTTCGAATGCTGGACCGAGCCAAATCAACGTGTGCGCACATCTCTTGTATATCGTGCGCATCCGACGGACTTCGACGTTCCGTTCTGGGATGGAGAATTGGTTGATGCATACTGCGTCGATCCAAAGGGTGCGTGGAGCACTCGGGAGGCGGAAACTGGTGAGAGCTAAGTGGAGGCCTTGGGTAACGTTGAAAGTCTGATCGTTTAATGTGATGGCGATGGGATCGACAGGTGATCCCCATGTATATGAGAGAGCGTCATATTGAGGATTGTCATCGAATGATGCATGGTGAAGCGATGCTACAATGGGTGCCTCAGATGATTGAGCTGGCTCGATGGTAACGAGACGGATCTCGTTCTTGGATGCGATGAGGTCGGTGTATATAAACGATTCGTTGATTTTGTTTGGCTCGTCAATCGCTTCTGGTTTTGGAGCTGGTTTTGGTTCCGTCTTTATCTCTGGCGCGGGAGCGGCTTGGCTCTCACTCTTCTTAGAGCTTTTGAAAACATTGCGAAGCTTGCTTGAGAAACGTGACCTGCTTGATTCCCCTTGCGAAGACATCACGAAGAACGGTAAATTTTAGTGCTGGACGTAAGACCGCCGATGCACCGAAACTTCGGCCCTCTTGCCGACTGGTCGTTGCTGTGCTGCTTCATAAATCTGGATTTCTGTAAAAGAGGGAGGTTCAAGGTATTGGTTGATTCAGCCGCAGCCTCAGCCTCAAAAGAAAAAAGGGTCTGGCCCAAAGTAGTCGGCTTTTCGATATTGCCAAGCAAGTGGCGTATCCAGAGTCACCTGGGATGCAGCTGACATAATAGCTACATCAACACTGGATTGACTTTCCCATTCTTAAGATTCAAAGCTGGCAAAACTCATCACGTAACAGCATTGTTGCAAGGGTACCTCAGAAAACGTCAACTGATTCGCTAGTGGCATGTCAAAACAACCTATCAAATACCAAGCGCTGAATACTGGTGCGATTGTGCACATTGAGATTCTATGTTTTTGTTTTCTTTTGATAAGAAGTGTCAGCAGAGACAGTGTCATGGGGTTTCACGGAGCCTGATGTGGTACGAATAAATGAGTGTATTGAATACTTTTGATTCGCGGATTCCATAACCTTGCTTTTTCTTTACCGAGCCATTGAGTATGAAAATGCGCTTCTGTTACTTGCCCAACTGAAGATCTCTCTTATCAAGAGAGTCCTCGCTCTAGAAGCCAAGGCATGACACTCAACTATGTTTGACTTTCCAGTTGACCTTCGAACCTGTGAGCTCCCCTGTATTTTCACAGCCCATACTTCCCTGAGCTCCAACCTGCCCATTGTTCTACACAAGTCAGCCAAAATACCAAGAAAAGAAAAGAGAGAAGTGAAGATCAGGATGAAGGTACATACCCCGAGGTTTTTGATCGCATTGAAAGTGACGTCGGCGATGTCTTTTGTTCCGAGGTATGTCTTGTAAATGTTTTTGGTGCCCGCTTCGAAGACACAGGATCCAGCGGTCAAGACGGGATGAGTTGAAGAAGTGTGGTCCCATACGCCGTAGTACGTGTCATGATCTCTACCATCTGGAGTGCACAGGGAGGTTAGCACTTAGATTTCTGAACTGACTTCGTCTCAGATGGCACCAGGAATATACGTCAAGAATACAAGAGGGGGAGAAGGGTCTTCAAAGTGAGATATCCATAACTCACAATCATGAATGACCCAGCAATCATTCACAACCGCCCACGGCGCTGGAATACCGCTGAAACCATTGCTGGCTCCACACCTCTCTCCGCCTCCATCTCGTGGTGTGAGAGTTCGCTTGACTTTCTCGGCAGAGTTGACTGTGGTGTCGATCAGAGCTGCACTGTTGACATATAGCGTGTGGCCTTTCCACTCAATGGGAATCCAGTCGACTGCTTCATTGGAGCTTGGCACCGCTTCGATGGCAGGACTTGGAGCTGGTGCAGCGAAGGAGAAGGGGAGAAGGGCCAAGAGGGCGAGATGAAGGACTTTTGAGGAAGCCATGGTTATGAAGAGGAGTTGGGGGAATGATGGGATTGGTGAAATGGTTTGAATTGGAAGATGAAGTGGGCTATAGAGTAGATGTTATATATGCTGAAGGTGTTCTCCCAACTTTGAGGAGCTGCTGCGTTGACATGTTAAGCGAGATCAATCTCCTTCAGGCTCTTCGCCCGCATATGTCGCCTAATGGGCCATCATCACAACCGATGCAGCGAAGGATTAGAGTACCATGGTACCCTTAAAGACAATAAATTGAGATGTGGGTCACAGTATTCTCCGCTATTGGATCAACTCAATCACCCTTTCAACCGTATAGTCCGCTAAGCAGCAATCTCCAGTTCACGTACGAGCCGCATGGAAGAGAGGCGAAATTTCTGTTGGCTGAAAAATACTTGTCCAAGTTTGCAAGCATATGATTTGATCCTTTTCCAACAATTTCATAGCCTGAGACGCGCAAAGTGAAAACTTTACTTTGCGGTCCGACACTGGGGACACAAACAGGATTCGATTATTCAACCTCCAACTGAGTTAATAACTTTCCAACATTTTGAACGGCTGATGTCGCTGATCATTTGAGGGATGCATTTTTTCATATTTTATGGTCATACTTCAAAGCGTTTAGGTTCTTGAAACGTCGGATCTCCTTCCCGCAACGCTCCGATATCTGTTTGGCGATGTTGGTATTGGGTCGTACAAATGCATGGTCTCATGTTCTAATCATTGCCTATTTGCAATGTAATCTGGAGCGGAGAACAAAAGTACGCTAAAGAAGTGATGTAGTGAGCATCTACATGGACAAGTCGCTTCATGAACGAGGCGCAAGTGCACAGCTACGATAGGAGATTATTGGCATTGCAATGTGTGGGGTCAGCTCCGGGTCAACTCCCGAGACTCAAACAGACGTAGAGAAATCAGAATGGTTTTGAGTAAGTTTCTGTTCGTAATAGTCGTTATTTATATGCCATCCACTTGTAATTGAAACTCCTTCTCAAACAAGAACGTAATCGCCAAATAAAACAAATCTACCATTCCCATAATCTACTCGCACAACAACTCAACAGCCCCATACCCCCTGACAGGCACATTGCCACATCCAACCTTATTCCCCGTCGCCAACCCATCAAAGGCGAATCCATGCAACTCATTTCCAGGCTTCCACAGGCAATTGCCATCCGTATGCGCAATAACTGCGCATCCAGCCGCGCCTGTTTTAGGAGGAGCGGTCAAAACAGCGGTCAGTGCTCCGCCGAAGGGAACGTTAAGCACTGCGCATGTTGCTTCGGCGATGGTCACGCTGGAGGATACACCGGCTGTACCATCGGTTGGAGGGGTGGCGGTAGGTGATGGGCAAGTGTAGGATTGGTAGACGGTGATTTTTGCAGAGGCTGGTCCACCGGCTGCCTTTGCTCGGGCGGAGAGAGGAGTTGCCAGAGCTGGAGCGATGAGAAGGAGAGGAGAGAGAAGATTCTACAGGATGAGCGTTAGCAATTAAGCTATCTGAGAGATTTGTAATTGTGGTACATACGATGAGTTGCATCTTGATGGTTTGGAATGGGATTTCTTTGGGATGAAAATGTGGATGCTCTAAAGTCAATTTCGTACTCTTGGTAGTTGATGGGAAGATAGTTAGATGTTGTGCTGCTTCAAAATCGAAGAGTTGAGTTGAATGTGTTCGATTGATTCATTTGTAGAGCGACAATACAATCCTTTATACTTGCTTGACCCGCCATCTCGATATCACGACTTCTGATTCCTCCAAGGAGCCTGGCCTCAATGTCTCAGGTACCGTCCACTTCCCAAAAAGCATGCCCACAGTCTCGACATCTCGACAAGATGACGCTGATGCGGGCGAATGCCATCTAGATATGTATTTTCTTTCCATCTTCATACTAGAGCGCCTCGATGTCGGGAACTCACCAATCAGCTGACAATCAGTTTCCATCATGAGAAAGAGCGTTCTTGTGAGACAATCAAATAGACTACTCCAGCCATACGCGGGCCAATCCTTAGTTGTTGTAGCTGAAGGCTGGACCGGATGAGGCTTAAGTTTGCGGGCTGAAGCCCGGGAATGTGGTTGTGGCGCGATGTCATGCCCTTAAGCGAGGGGTTGGCCAGACTTGGTGGTGCAGTACAGGCTTGCGGCAGCTCAAAATTTGGCCACGTTCCGGTCGCTACATGATAATGGTCCGATCCATATACCGAAGGACCTCGTGGCACTGCGGTTATCCCCGTGCTCAATGTCACAGCTAAGATGTCCCCTTGTGAGGAGGTACAGAATATTCTTGATATATCACGTGACGGCGAATCCGAAGAGGCATTCTACGCTGCAGAGAATTGCGACGAGAGCAGAGCTAGTTTATAGAGTGATAAAGCGACTGGAATCATTGGCCTCTCGGCTCATAGTCCAAATTGAAAGGCTGAATGATGCCCTTTGTTGATCTATGTCATTCAATCCAAGCGTGTTTGCGACCACGCGAGAGGAAGCAAGATCTCAATTTACAAGCCACGATCCATATTTAAATGTAGATGTAGATGAGATGCAAACAAGCTTTGAACAAGACTTTAGTTTTGAAACATCAAAATTACGATATGCAACAGAATACAGCAACGCAGGCGTGTTGGGCGCTTAGAAACTGATCTTGACGGGAGGATGACCTGATTGATTCACCACTGTGGATCAACCGCGGCAGGGACGGTAATACTCCGTACAGCCAGAAGAAGTGGATAAGACTAACAGGGTTGATAAGAACCCACACTCTTGCGTATGGGAATCTAGCGTACACCGTGTGTCTTTGCTTTAAAGAAGAATATCGGCGCCTTTGTGTTTATCAACACTCTGCTGAAAACATAACGCCAAGCCCAGCCGACGATCCATCTCGGCTAAGCATCAACAACAACACCACTCAAGGAAAACCCCAGAAATATTCGCAAGCCTGGGAGGCCGACCCAAAAAAACACTTGCAATCAAAAATAAACAGAATGTTGCGAGGAAAGACAAAAAGAAATAGCTGACTGAATAGTCAACTTTTTCTCCGTGAGCAGGGTAAGGTCGCATAGGCATTGCTGTCTACCCGGTGGGTAGTGTTAGGTAACCTGCACGATTTAACCACATTACTGCACCGACTGAGTTACCATGGATAGCTCAGAAGGTTCGTTGCAAGGGAACATGTTATTTCGATAGATGAAGGAGGTAGAACTGGTGAATGTTACCGTGCAGGCAGAGGTGAACGGGAGGGAACAGTGGCTGAGGTATGATTCTGTTTTGGTTAACAAAAATCGGTTCGAAGGATATGACTCTGAAATAAAAATATAGCAGGGGTTGGGAAGAAATTTATTTCACAGGTGAAGGAAATCCGCTGTTTATTTTTAGATGTCGAGTTCAATGTATTCCCATACCTGACCCAATTGCAATACCAACCGCAAACCAAACACCAAAATCAATCCCGACCACCATACAAAAAGCTCAACCACAAGTGATCTCAATCGCACCATAAGCCTGTACCGGCGGACTCACACAACCGACCTTGCTCCCGATGATCGTGCCGTCGAATGGGAAGCCATGGTATTCATTATTCAGCGTCAGACCGCAGCCGGACTGAGTATGGATTTGCACAAAACACCCTGGGGCTCCTGTCTTAGGTGGAGCTGTGAGAGCTGCGGTGATGGCTCCGCCGAAGGGGATGTTCATGATGGAGCAGGTGGCTTCGGCGATTGAGATGGTGTTGGAGACGCCGGCGGAGCCATCGGTTGGTGGGACGGTGGTGGGGGAGACGCATTTGTAGGAGTTGTAGACTGGGGGGAGTTAGTTTTTGGTTAAAGATCGTGGTTATCTGGTGGGGATGGAAGGAAGTTGGGAGTGCAGGACGTCGGAATTTGGATTGGGGATTGAAGTGTTAGGCAGGGGGAGGAATCTAATATTGAACTTCATCACGTACCAGTAATCTTCGCAACGGCAGGACCTCCAGTTGGCTTCCCACGAGCAATAAGTGGATTCGCGAGCGAGAGAGTAGCGAGGATAAGGGGGGTAATAATTGTCTGAGGCTCTGTTAGCTACATGCAGATGCATACCTTCGAAGCTGTCCATGGCGAAGGAGATGTGACGATTTTTGTCCTTACCGAGAAATGCATCGTGACGTGTATTATTTGATCGTATAGTAAATTTGAAAAGTTGTTTGTGATTTTTGGTTTCTGTTATTTGCCTTATTGAAGTGGTTTGGAGAGCTGGGAATGCTTTGATGCTGAAGATGAGGTGTTGCTGGGAGGTGATGAGGGTTTATATCCTCGTTCGCAACTCTAACGTCTCCCGCTCCTCAGCTCAAAGATTGATCAGATAGCAGTCCAGACCCTCCGTTCTATAACAAAATTTGTTATCAGATCTCCATATCATGACCTCGCTGTATCCCATTTGCATCCACAAAGTCAATCGTGCAGCTCTCTCTACCTCCTCTTCCTCTTCCCATGAGCCAAATCCAAGGTTTCCCTGCTTTTATCCCGCATTTCGCGATCCCTCAGCATCAGTAAGCAAAAGATTCATATCACGCCGACCCAAAAACACTAATTTACTCGCTTCTCAGCTCCAATTGCGCTCACATCTCCCCGCTGACTCTCCCCATTCTCGCATACTAACGTGCATTTCTACAGCCACAGGAACAAGCGACTGCGTTCAAAGCATTCGTATTCATTCTAGATCCACCAGTGCAGCAAATCGTCAAAAGCTTCCCTCAGCCAGAGAGAATCTAGCCCTATTCCCCCGTCCACCGCCAAGGTCTTCACCAAAGCTTGAGAAGGCTTATGTTGCTGGGCGAAAGCTTGTGAGAAGCCCATTCTATTGCTTGGATTTCCCGAGAATACGGTACGGTAGTCGCAGTGGCCATGCAAATTGGTGTTTTCCGAGCATGCATGTGCTTGGGAGTGGACGTGGTGGTACATTGTCAGGAACTGCGGCTACAGTAATTAAGCGAGGGGGCTTGATGAGGCGTATCGGGTCGGGGGTGGGATACCTCCGCGGGTTCGGAGAAGGGAGCTCGGATTCTTGAGGTTCAAATGCGAAACAGGCCCCTCGAAGGTTATCATAAATGAGGTTGAGGGGGTTTGCAAATGTGGTCGTGTTGGGTTTTGACTTTGGTCTGGACCTTGTTTGGCTGGTTCACCACGTGATGTTGGAATTTTCGTGGAGTCAATAATGGAGTGCATGGGCCCCACATTCACGGGCAGATAGAAGTCAGGCTTCGTGAAATTACAGAAATACGATTGATTCCGTGCTCTCTGTTACATGTAGAGCATTTCCATTACATACTTCCCGTTTTAAATGAGGTGCTGATTCAGAAATTCTATTCCACCAAGTCAACGACTGCACCGCTTATCCTCCTTCAAACAATCTTTAAAGTGCACATCCTCAACCCAGAATACCACTCCCACTCCCTAACCCCCACATCTTCATTTCCCCTCATCCTCCAATCCGTCTTTCCAAATCCCTCCCTGCCCAACTGGAAGAACCCCACTCTTTCAAACACTTCCGTGCCATCCCTACCAGCTTCTTTCCTAACGAGTACCAACCCCCTCGGCGTCTCCGTCCACGTAACCTCAAGGAAATACAAATCCCTGAAGCTCTTATTCCGACCATCAGACATCCTCTCAACATTCGGAGGAAACCTCCCCTCCTTCGGATGAGGCCTAGTATTCTTCTCATCAGGCCTGGGAAGAATTTCTCCATCCCCAAGCATCCTCCTCGTAACCCTTTCCTTGACACCCAATTGCGGATTAATCGCCTTTACAACCTCATCTTTACCCTGTTTCTCCATATACATGCCCAGCACCTCCCTCCCAACCTTCGATTCATCCATTACGATATAATCCCAGAACAGGTGCGGCCATTCCTTGTTATCCGTGACAACAAAGAAAGCCAGGACTTCATCTGCAGAGAATTGCTGGATTGGGCCGGTGAGTGTGATGGATCCATTGAGGACTTGGCCGTAGGGCACGTTTGCGTATTTGGGCGTTGTGGACGCGGAGTGGATTTTTATGAGGCTATGGTGCGGCCCGTCCCATTCGTGTGAAGCGAAGGATATGACTGAATCGACGGAGATGAAAGACCATGTTGGCGCAATATACGGATCTTCGGTCTTTAAATTTCCACTTGACTTCGCCTGCGGCTGAACCTGTTTCGGTGGCCGTTTCTGGAACTGTTCCATGGTAGTGAACCTCGTGTATTTAGTTCCTAGATCATAGATCTGCGGCATGGAGAGGTGGTCGAGATGGCGTTGGTTGTTCTTGCGACTCTGTTCAGCTTCTCCAGCTGTAGTGTTTCTCATCACGTTGATGGGACCAGATGTTGGTTTATCGGGCGTGCAGTACCATAGTAATGCCCAAGGAAGGCTTTTCCTCCATAGACCAGCGAGGTATTGGTCGAAATGCAGGCGATAGAATTCTGATGCGATGGCTGAGAGAGCGGGTAATCTGTCTGTTTTGAACGAGACTTGTCGGTGACTGTAGTGCGAGGCAATGATGAACCAATTTTCGAGCCAGAGTGGATAATTGGCGTTTTCTGGGATGTTCAGGTTGGTTTGGTGGAGCGAGGATGTGAGGGCTTGAACTGGGTCCAGGAAGAATTGCTGGCGGTCTTGGTATTGTGGCATGACTGAGCGGCCTTGGAGATCGTAAGTTCTCCTTTCCGAAGCATCTTCTTTGAAGCCGTGGGTATGGGCGCAGCTCAAACAGCGCCAGGTAACTTGGCCGGATCCGTAGATGAGAAGTCGAGGTGCCAGCCAAGCTTCTTGGAATGTCCAACCCCTCCCCTCAATGACTTCCTCATCGAATTCTTTGATCTTGAATGCCCGATCCTCATCCGGACACAGCCAAATCTCACTCGCTAACTCACCATCCGGCTCTTTGATGTCCCAGACCAGTGGCATGCAAAAGCTCTGCTTGATTATCTTCTCAACTTGTTCTCTATCCTGCAAGAACCCCTTCTCACAATCCTCAGCAATAGCCGCAGAGATGGTCAGCATCGCGTTCTTGTAGATAAAAGGCATCTGTGTGAGTTCGTGCGCCTTATCAGAGTCCGAATCTTGGATTATGCAAAGGGCATCGATCCAGAGATATCTGATCCCCAATTTGCGCGTGACGATGATAGCGTCTTGCAATGTTCGTGGCAAATTCCTAACCACAATGCCAATCTTGAACTCTCGAAGTGTTGATTCCTTGAGCATGATAGATTGGCCTTTAGGGCCCCAGCAGTAGCTTAGCGCGATGTATTGCCCTTTCTCTGCTTGGTTTGTCTCCTTGAGCCGGATTATGTCGATCAGGTCGCTGAGGTTGGTGAGATCTAGGACCCGGGTGGGAAGGACACTTGTCGTAGCGCTGGGGCATGATGAGTGCTTTTGTTGACATTCTCTGAGCCAGGTTCGTGCTGAGATGAAGGCTTCTTGGGTGGCTACCTGTGGGCTAGCCATCCGTTGCTGGACATAGTGCTCCGTCGGTCCACCTAGAATATATAAGACGTGACAGCTTTGCACAGAAATGAACAGACCTACCATTAGTATAGAAAGCCATATGATAAGTATAGCTCCTCGCCTGTTTCCAACTCGTCACACCCTTGCACTGCTCTGGATTCTCCCTAAGATGCTTCTCCCGAAACGCTGGGTCTTTCCACATGTCTCTTTCCGGGTTCGAGACTTTAAAAGACAGGTGCGTCAGATATCTGCTCCCTTTCTTGACCTTTCCTTCGTCGAAAAGCATCGAAATAGTCGCCTCGTTTAGATAAATCTACAGCACGTGCCGGATCAGTCAGTCGTTCGGCTACGCAAATACATCCCGCAACAAAGTGCATCATGAGATTCAGGGCAGTGGTGATAACGACATCAAGCGCATCTTTCCACTCAGAGACATAGAAAATTAAATAAGAGATAACCACCTACCCCATCCCCCTCCACAAAAGCAATTTGCCCCACAATCCTCCAACAAAGCGCACAAGCGCCTTGCACCTGGCCATCCTCATCCGTGCTCGCGACCGCAAAGGCAAGGAATTGCTGCAAAGTGCCGAGCACGATTTCCTCGCCGGTGCGCATGCGCTGGATGTTGGTTTCCGTAATGGAGTAGCATACGGGACAGTCGTTGAAGCAGTTTGGGGAGCCGCTGAAGGAGGGAGGGGCGCCCACGGTTGGGGGTGAGAGGGGCATGGTGATGGGGTGGAGTGGGTTGGATGGGATTGGGGTTGATGAGAAAGGGGGGGGATTGTGAGGGTGATAGTTGTGGTGAGGATGACAAGGAACGGGAATGGAATTAACTCTTGCTCTCCAATGTAGATATAAATTAATCCAGGGTTTTTTGCTACTTGCAATGCATGCTGAGAATAATTCAAAGTACAGATCACAAACAGACAAGAAATGAGAGACGAGGCTGGAGAGATAAGACGACGCAAAGATACTGTGTGACCCTGAAATGTTCAGCTTCATGCAGAGTAGGTATCTAGACTCGGCTATTCGCGCCACTATTTCTCAGCCAGCTTGGCGTTGAGAAGCTGAGGTATTGGCCAGCTGAAGAATTATAAAACTGAAAAGAAAGTTGATCTGAAGATTTTGATGAGCTCTTGAAACGAGACGAGCAAAAAACAAACGCATGGATGCACTTGCATGACAGAGTAGCTATGCCATAGAGAACAAGGCTGCCGATGAATAGATAGGACGAAAATCCAAACTCCGCTCAATTCGTTTTTCTTGAACGACTGAAGTACTGAACCTGCCATGTAATCATGGTACCAACTCAATTGACAAACATCCTCTTGTCCCTTGCCTTTTCCAAGACCTTACTTTCTCAAATCCATCTCATGTCCTCGATTCCAACCTGTCTAAATCTAAATACCCAACCAGGTCTTGCCTCTCTCATAAACATAAAAGCTCACTGCGACCATGGGCACAACCTTCACATACCCAATACTCAAGCCTATCCAAAAGCCCATAACGCCCCGCTCCCTCACGATCAGTCTCGCTGTCTCCCCAATATTCAATCTATGGCCATCACCCACCGCACCACCAACCTGCATTCTCCTCCTAATGACTTCAAGCGGATATGCTGAAGTCTGCGAAACTAGACCTGCGATACCGCCCGCAAAGAGCTCTGCCCAAGAACGCAAGGGAGGGGGCTTATTCTCGGGAGAATTGGCGGGTTTGGGGAGAGTGGTGTATTTTGCAAATACAGGATACCGGAGGACATCGCCGGCGGTGTCATGCGTGAGGAAGGACATTCCTGCATATGGCAGCATGCCTAAAATTGTGGCACTGAATCCACGGTAGAAGTTCGCTAGGCCCGCACGAGGCGCAACTGCTTGCACGGCATCTGAGACCACAGTCGGGAGCGCAGTTATCGGTCTCGTACTCGGAGGAGGCGCTTCGTTGTATATGCGTTTACAGATATCGGATAGGGAGGACCGTGAATCGCGCTTGGTTTCGAAGGCCAACCGTACCCGGATGACTTCTAATGGGTATGTGAAGAAGACGCTTGTGACGCCGGCCATTGAGCCGGATAGCAGTCTTCGTAGAGGCGTTTCTTGCGATGGGGAGTGGATCATGACGGACCGGATTTGCTCGTAGGCTAGGAATTTTATGGCTGCGTAGGGGAAAATACGGAGGATTGTTGCGGAATGCCCGCGAAAGAGACCGCGTGCGCCTTCGTCTTTGTAAATGTCTTTCATGGCGGTCACTACGCCAAACCAGCTGCCAGTGTACTTTGCGAATTGGGGATTCGAGGCTTGGAAGAGGATTTTGACTCGGTCGAGTGGGGCGACTAGAGTTTTGGCCTGTACTTGTGTAAGTATATCTTCAGTCTACAGTACCTCCACTTCTCACTTCCTTGACTAGCCAAAGGGTCAGAATATCTCAGTACATACCGCACTCCCCGCCAATCCTCCTGCAACGCCCGTCCGCCATATGTAATCAAAACTTTGTTTATGGTGTCTCTTCTTCGGTGCAATGGCATCGTCGTCTGTCGGGCAGACCGCCGGCTCCTTCCTGCGGGCTTCCACTACTGCGTCCATCTCTCGTGATTTGTCCTTGAGCATCGCGGGTGGAGAGGCATTGTTGATGAGGGCCGAGGGCATTCCTTGCCGCCTCGAGGCTCGTAGGTATTATCTTCTGTCGAGGTATTGGAGGGTCATTTGGTATTCATTCCGATGGGCAATTGTTCTTCCTTGGTCTGGTCTTGTCTTGTTTCAACCTTGATTTTGCAACCAAAATATCAGAGGATGTGAATGTCGAGGAAGAGGAATCTGGAGAGGTGGGGTATTTCGTGGGGACGTTTGTCGTTGTTTGATAAGGCGCCGAAGTTTTGATAATGGAGAGGAGAGACAAAAGCAACCGAATTGTTGATTTGCCGCGGGACGTCATTTAGCGTATCCCGCTTTCGGCTGTCAGATCAACTGGGGTGTGCTCTTAAGCCGTGACTTGAACATTTTGGCCTGCTTCTTCCGAGTCGCCGACGCAAGCCGAGCTGGCCATGGCATTTTGTTTACCCGAAAGTGAAGTACGAAACGTCCGACTACGACTTCAATATTACTCTTTTTGGAGTGCTTTGGTTTGGAGAGAAGACAGTCTCGCAAAATGATAAGGGGGCATTGGGTTATCTGGTAATTGGTGAAGTCTCACGTGATTGTTCGCACCTATTGCTAGGTATTCGTTCCGACGCCGTTGCTTCTTCTCAAGTTTCCCAAAGTTGCTTCCTCTTTGCATTGCAGCATTCTGTATTTTTGTTCCCACTTTTGCTTCGCTATAGTCGCTCATCTTTATATACATATTTCTATTCTCTTCCGTTTTATATATCATTCTGATTCCGCTGTCAAATGGACCCCTCCATCCTCTATCAAAACGATTCATCTACAGTCATCCTGATCGACATCTCCCGCTCCCTCGAAACAGCCCAACATCTTTCACACCTATCCTCACCACCATCTCCTACCATAAATAGAAGAATCCTCTCAACGACACCCCTCACTCACCCTTTTCCGTCCCTCGAGCCCAAAACCCCCAAAGGAATCGCAAATTTCAATGCCCGACTCGGCCCTCCATCTATCAAAGAGCTATTACTGAGGAAACATGTTGAATTTGCTTTGGAAGAGATCCGGGACGGGCTTGACGGCGAGGAGTGGTGTTTGAAGAGAGTCGTTGAAAAGCCTATTCCGGCCAGGAAGAGAGAGAGTCCAGATAGAAAGACTTCCCCCAGGAGGAAGAAAGCTAAGCGACTTGCGGATGGCGATGCGTTGGATTGCGGAACCCTACCTCCCAACGTCTTGACATCGCCTCACTATCTAGAGAGCCAGATACCGGATCTTGACCAGGACCAGATCCAAAAAGTAGATTTTCTCAACACCGACGGATTATTCTTCACCAACTCCTCCCTCCCCCCAATATCACTTACCATCCAAGCCCCAGACTCAAGTCCAGGTCACCAGAACCACTACCACATCCCACCACTCAGCACTATCCTCTCCGGCTCCCTCCTCACCACCCTCCCAACATTCGTCTCCTCGGCCCCGTCCCCTTCCCACTCCTCAAAAGGCTTCTCCCTCATAACCCTCGACCCCCCCTGGCCCAATCGCTCCGCCCTCCGCAGCTCGACATATACTCGTCTCTCGCGGAACAACACCTCAATCTACTCTCTGCTCTCAAGTCTCCCGCTTCAAAATCACTTAGCTGAGAATGGAGTGATTGCGGTGTGGATTACGAACCGGGAGGCGTTTAGAGAGATGGTGCTTGGTTCTGAAGGGGGATTTGATAATGGGGAATCAGGAGAAGGAGGGTTATTCAGTCAGTGGGGTGTGGAATTAGTAGAGGAATGGGTATGGGTGAAAACGACTGTGAAAGGCGAGCCGATTTTTGGTCTTGAGGGTGGGTGGAGGAAGCCGTGGGAGGTGTTGCTTATTGGGAGAAGAAAACCTGTAAATTCTGCTTGTAGTACGGGATTTAGTGAAGTTAAAAGACGAATTATAGCTGGAGTTCCAGACCTGCATTCTAGGAAACCGAATTTAAGGGGATTGTTTGAGAGATTGCTGTTGAAAGATGGATTGGGGGATGGAAGTGGAGAGAAGAAGTATGAGGCGCTAGAGATCTTTGCGAGAAATTTGACGGCTGGGTGGTGGGGTTGGGGGGATGAGGTGTTGAAGTTTCAGGGCGAGGAGTGTTGGGTTGATGGTGATGTCATGGAGGGTTGTGATAGTGATAATAATCAAAAAGAGGAAGAGTGATAGATACCCTTACAGCCTCATCTTATGGTCATACATATAATACATTTTTCCGATGCAATCCTCTATACATACAGCGCTATGCAAACATTCCTTCCCATTCCATCCATAATAAGAGAAGCTTTCTTGACTCCTTACTCTCCCCGACTCTCCTCTCCTCCCCTTACATCCTTTCTACACCCGATCCCAAATCCTCACTTCCTCAATCACTTATTCTCTATCCTTGGCACCTCAACATCCTTCTCAACCTCCACGGCGTTACCATCATCCTCCCACACCTGCAGAAGTTGACCTTGATCCGCGTCATCGGTATCTTTCCATCTCGTCTCCCCTTTCAGAAGAGCCCTCGCTTGTTCCGCAATACTCTCTCGTTCGCGGGAAGGTTTGGCTCGGAATGAGGGCTGAGTGGCTTCGCCTTCCTTTTGGCGGTATTCTTGGACGGCGTCAAATGACGTTTTGTCCCATCTGGAGAGAAAGAGATGTGGTTAGCATAGCCAAACAGCAATCGCCAATTGACCCATCTCCTTCAAATTCCACGCTTCCTGAGTCCCTTCATGATTCTCATTTCCAAGTCCAAGATCCAGTTCCCGATATTGAAGCAACCACTCTGAGGATAAAGAAGAACACCTGGGCAACATACAGATCAAAATTCTCCGGCTTCTCAGGCCACACGAATGGACTCTCCATCTCTACCAACATCTTCTTAATACTCCTGGGACGATACCATCGCCGCGGTTTAATCCTTATCGCACCAGGCTTGTCCTGCCGCACCTTCTGCTGCTGGATGTAGCTGCGCACGCCGCGGACTTGCACGCCATAGGCATTCCAGAGGTAGTCTCGTAGGTCGAGCTTGTTGAGGTTGAGGGGGACGATGAAGGATGCGAAGGTTGGGGGTTGTTCGGGTGTGCGGACGAGGGTGAGTGTGAAATTTGGTCTGGAGGGGAGAAGGGGTGTTAGCTAGGCAGTCGCGAGGTAGGTAGTATGGTGGTAAGGGCGAGGAGGCTAAGGCGGTAGTAAGATGGGATGGGATGAAACCTACAAGAAGATTTGCTTATTTCCTAATCTGTATCTTCCTACACGGGCAGGTACTTTTGAAGCCATAGCGAATGGATTGCCGTTGTGAGCGTGGAACAGGTTGGTGTTCTTTGCTAATTTGTTGATAGCTTACACCTCGTCCCCAAATTTCTCGATATTGATCGGCTCGGCACGCGGCTAATAGACGCGCGTTTGGCAGTCAGATTCTCGGACCCTTGTCGTAAGCACAAAAGCTTATGCTGCGTAAGAGTTCTTTAGTGCACAGAAATATCCATGTAAATCCGAGGTTATAAATAATTGGTTCGGAGAATCGGTGTTGACTGCATGTTGTGGCCAAAAATTATAGTCTTGATGAGGTTACAAGCTGGCAGAAGCACGTCAAAGCTGACAAATATCTACGTAGATGTGCCCCGCAAGAATCCCGCCCATTTATGTACAAAAAGCTTGATATTTCTCCGTCACTTGCAAATTGATATTTTATACCTTCATTCTTCGGAAATAGTCACAAAGGACTTCTGAGCTTTCAATTGACTCAGTATGGCATCCAATCCCCCATCCACCTGCTGCACTGTCGGCGTCAAACATGAGTACGTTTGCCTTGTTCGAATCAACCCCGCATTATCCAGCATGTGATTTACCTAACCTACAATCTCTCCAACTCAATCTCATAGCAGCTCTCCATCTCTGTTTAAATTCTCTTCAGCTGAACATCAAACTAATGAATCAAAATCTACAGTGGCACACCAACGGGTAAATCTTTCAAAATCGGCAACATCGACGCCTACGTCGCCGAACCCAGCGGAAAGAATGTCCACAAAGACACTGCTATCCTCTTCCTCCCTGACGTTATTGGTATCTGGCAAAATTCGCAATTGATAGCCGATCAATATGCTGCGAATGGATACTACACGCTTATCCCGGACACGTTCAATGGTGATCCGTTGAGTATAAACCGTCCAGCTGGTTTTGACCTCCATGCCTGGTAGGTCCTTGCTCTTGATAACATTGCATTGAACCCAAATCACAAAGTTGTCCAAGAATTGAGATATTCAAATTTTATAGATAAATGAACATCTGTGGGGAATAAATGCTAATAACTCTCGATCTAGGTTAACCAAAGGAAGTGACGGCAAGAACCCTCACACTTATGAGGCCGTTGATCCCATCGTCGAGAGATCAATTAAGTATCTCCAGGAGCAGGGATTTAAGAAGATCGGCGCTGTGGGATACTGCTTTGTATGTTTGTATTCTCATGCTTTCAAGTATTTTATATTTGTTGGAATTCCGCTGATGTCTTTCATTGTCAGGGCGCCAAGTACGTCGCCAGATTTATGGCAGCTGGCAAAGGTATCTCCGTCGGATACGTCGCTCATCCATCGTAAGTTATTCCCATGTTCCCACCACTCCCCCTTCATTTTTCTCCCTCATCTCCCCCCAAAACAATCCCAAAGCCCCCAACTGTCCAACATAGCCATCTAACACGTCCCAAGATTCGTCGAAGAGAAAGAACTCCTCGCCATCACAGGCCCCTTCTCTATCGCCGCCGCCCAAACCGATGAGATCTTCCCCACCGAGAAGCGTCACCGCTCTGAAGAACTTCTCATCCAGACCGGCCTACCCTGGCAGATCAATCTGTATAGCGGTGTTTCACATGGCTTCTCGATTCGTGGTGATGTGAATAAGAAAGTTGAGAAGTTTGCTAAGGAACAGGCTTTCATCCAGGCTGTGACTTGGTTTGATGAGCATTTGCTTTGACTGGCCGGGGTGGATATCAGCTATAGCGGAAAGCTGTGATGGCTGGTTTTGATGAGGAACGATGGAATATTTGGTGATTGGGTCTTGGGGTTGTTTAATTCGACACAGAACAACTGATACAGCGCCAATCATTCATGAACCATCACTCATTATACGTCACTGCATCATTACAAGCTTTGAGATCGTTTCTTTTGCGCGATGCTATTTCGGCCCCCAAACTCGTTCCCCAGGACACAACTTTTCGATCGTAGCCGGATATACTTTCTACATCTTTTGTTCCGTTTCTCATGCCGGGGACTTGAATTTCTTCCCCGCCTTCCAAACATGTGTGATATTCTTCGCATCAGCAAACAGCTTGATATCATCTAGTGGATTCCCTGCAATTGCAATCACATCCGCATCAAATCCTTCCTTCAACAGTCCACTCGTCTTCGCAAAATTATCCCCCAAAGTCTCCGGTCCCATCGCCGTAGCAGCCTCTATTGCCTGCAGTGGACTCATCCCCGCCTCAACAGCATAAAACAACTCCTTCCCATTCCTTCCGTGAGTATTATACGTATCTCCCAAACTCGTCCCCTGATCCGTTCCCAACGAAATCCTCACCCCACTCTTCACAGCCAATTTATACGCCTTTCTATGAACCGCCGCTGTAGCAATCATCTTCGCACGATTGATTGGCGGCAAGTCATCCAGATTCTCCATCCCTCCCTCAACAACCAAACTCGTCGCCACAAGAATCGCATTCTTCTCCTTCATCAACTTCACACACTCCTCATCCAAAAAGCTCCCATGCTCAATAGTCCTGACACCCGCATTCAACGCATTAATAATCCCATCCTTCCCGTGACAATGAGCCGCAACGACCCTCTTCGCCCTCGCCGCCTCCTCAACAATAGCTTTCAGCTCATCAGGCGAGAACTCCGCCGCCTCAGGATCATCGATGAGACTATACACGCCGCCCGTAGCACAGACCTTAATCACTTTCGCGCCCCTTCGAATCATCTTCCTCACCGTGCGAATACAATCCGGCACGCCATCACAAACCGCAAATGGAATCCCTCGCTTCGCACAAGCATCTAGCACCGTCTCGATGGGCAAATCATGGATATCGCCATGTCCGGCCGTCATGCTCAGAATCCCAATACTTGAGTAAACATTTGGCCCCACAATACTGTCTTCTTCGATTGCGGGGGACATTTCCCCGGCGTACCCCGCGAGTTCACGAACAGAAGTAAAGCCCGCCATGAGTGTCCGCTCAAGATCCTTCACGATTCGAGCGGCGGATAGGACGGCGGACTGGCTGATTAGTGAGGTGAATGAGGAGAGGCTGGAGACGCCGAGGAAGTGGACGTGGCAATCCCAGAGGCCGGGGAGGAGAGTGTCGACGTGTGTGAAAGGCACGGCGCTGTATTTTGCGGGGAGAGAAGTGTGAGGGCCGACCCAGACGATGGATTTTTCATGGATAATGAGGGTGCCATTCTTGATTGGGGAGCCGCGGCCCGGAATGAGGAGGTTGGATTTTATGCCGTGGAGTTTGGGAGTTTGAGAGGAGGCATCTTGGGAGATGCTGCGGTCGATGGTGGCTTGAGGGATGATGATCATTTTGGTAATGTTATATTGTTGCTTATTTGGTGTTGAGTTGAGAGGAAAGGTCAAGAGTGGGGATTGACGTATAGATATAACATCTGTTCTAGATCGACAAGCCTGCCCCAGCTTACGTAAGAAAACAACTACCTTCCTGATTGAGAACGATGTAACTGAAGGAATGCGAATCTTTATTGCAAAGAATTCTACGTGGTTAAATTAAATTCGGTTCTGAGATTATCAGTGGCGTGTTCATAGCATAACGCGTGATTGCCCTCTTTGAAAGAATTTCACAGCTTCAGGTTATCAACAAGGCGGAATTAAGCGAGCTTCCCCCTTTTTCACCGCTGTGAATGAGCAACATCCGAACCTCTTTGGCGCACTCCTCGTCTAATGTGTTTACGGAAAAAGAACGTGAGACTCAAGAAAAGTGGTGGCGGGTTCGTGTCCATGTCCGTTAGATCCCATCCAGTACAGAAGCTCGCACGACATCTGGGGTCCGGCTTCAGTGCAGCGTAAACTCTATCACTTCCAAAGTCGGCGCGTCTACGGCATCAGTCATCTCTCCATTCATCACCCCCCTCAGAGTAGCACGCCCCATATCAGGATGAACTGTCATCCCCCTACCGCAGAAATTACGCAGTAAAGGTTACCGCCCAGCCTTTCGGTCGTCTGGTCTTGCTTGAAGTGGGGCCATATCGACTGGAAAGAGGGAGGGGTAAATGGATTTATGTTGACGCTTGTTGAGATGAAGGTGGACAATTATGCAGGACTGGGCGAAGGGGTGGCGTGCATTGAGTGCGCTAAACATTGAAGTGGCGACCATACCTGCTTTCACCCTCTACGACTCATCGGAGAATTGCTGTAGAAGTCGAAATGTTCACTTGATGAATTCCAAAAAAGTTGGGGATGATAAATGGGCGACATGTTCTGGTGCCTGTCCCCCGTCAAATTGGCACTGGCAAAAAAAGGCGGTGACGAATGACCGGTCTTCGAACAGCCTTGGGAAATAGTCAAGTAATCATAACTATGTCTGTATCTGCATCATATAAGCCGCATTTTGGCGCCTAAAGGCCATTGAAAGTAGCATAGGTACATGTCATCAAAATTGACCAACCAGAAAAAAAAGGGGTACTAAACGTGATGGCATCTTCCGTCTGGCGGGGTGTAGGGGTGGGACAAGTTCATTGGCGGACCGGTGAGACCCCAGCTTCAATCAGCTTCAAAATTGTACATCTGCTTCCAAAGGCCACCTGGTGGGCCACCCACGGCAAAGGTATCCACGACTATCATCTGTGATGGACGATCTAACAATCAGAGTGGAATCCTGTGCGTTGTGTCGCCGGCCATTCCCGACACATATCTTCGATAGCTCCAGTGCCTGGCAGTCCTTTGCACGTGCAGGTAACTCATCACCCACTCGATGTATTATGTGTCTAACATTCCTGGAAGTACTTTCCCTAGACTTAGATCGTGAAGATAGCATCGAGCTCACTAGTTGTTTTCAGCTTCCACGCGTGAACGATGATATTGATGTTCCCCTCTCCGGGCGGCGAACTGTTACCATCTCGCGCGACGTAGGATCCGGCCAACCTGGAGATGATCGAACACCCTTTTGTTTCCATGAGTGGTGCTACTTATATCTGAAACGAAAACTGGCAGCATGTAGCAAATCTGTCATCTTCAAACTTGCTCGGACCATTACACCCGATCCTACGCTATGGGAGGAAGTCTGCGAACGACGTGGGGATCTTGACTCGTTGAGTATGGTCCAAATGCTGGCATGGTCCAACTCATCCGTTTTATCCAGCTTGCCTCTTGAGCTGAGAATCAATATCTGGCAGTACACTGGGCTTCAGAGCAACTACGGTACCTTTCTCGTGGCTAATGAAACATTTCGTCTCGCTCATCACTTACGCGCCCCCTTCTCTTGTCACTTTGCCTTAAAACGAGGGTCACAGATGTCTGCCGAGATAATTTCAGTTCTCGGGACCGAATACATTCAAAATTTGAAGGTGGACAATGAACATGCGGGCAATATCAAGGGTGATACCACCGAGGTGACATACATTTCAAGCCTTGGTGGGATCTGCGCAATACAGCTATCTGGGCCTGGAGGGGATTCGGGTTTGATTGGGAGGATACCTGCTACGAACTGTATTTGGTACGGAAGAATAAGAGGCAAAATCCCTAGTCTCACATGCGGCAACAACGTAAGTTGGTATTTCTTCAACATCATCAACACTAACTTCGGAAAGGACTTAAATTGCACAACCATATCAGTTTCTGATCCTTCTTCGCAACAATTGCAATGGGATAAGCCTGAATTTCCATCTGCTCTAGAAGATCCGGATGCTACACTGTTTGATTTCGATCGAGACATTGTACATTCTACCACCAGAGATCCCAGACGGCGGTTCTTCAGATACCTGTCTGTATTCGACCAGGGCGAATGTATAAAGGGCCTTTCTGTGTATATGTCTAGAAATAGTATAGTTGGATTAGGGGCCCATTTCACACGGCGCTCACAGTTTTCTGGACATCAATGTGGTTGCGAGCTTTACTTTCCGCTACATGACGGAGAGCAGATCGCTTATGCTTGGCTCCGTTTCCCTAATGCATTCGCCGAGCCGGCGTTAATGGTTAGTTGCTCTTCAATGTCTATTGCTACTCCTAATATTGCTTCCTAGATTCAGACAACGAGTGAGAGAACCCACACCTTTGGGCCGTGTATTGCCCCACATCTGGCCGCTGGTAACTCTTTCAAATGGCTTCTTTTGGGGCAAGAAGGATGTATCAAGGGGCTCTACTATGAGAATGTCAACTCCGGCCAGACAATCAGGAGACTAGGGGTCATTGGTGACGGTACAGCTACGAGAGCTGCTCCTCTCCCGCCTCAATATCACATTTGTGAATTTCCCTCTCCGCTGGTAGGGAGTCTAAATGGCGATCTCTTCTTATCCTCAGCTGTGCTGAATGATTTGAAAGTCGTCGATGTATGCCATGTCAATGAGCGATGTACTGGCATGTTAATATGTTACCACAACGATCGTACTGTTGTCCTTGGGCAGTGGTACACATCGGGTTACTCCCGACGCACCCGCATATATCGCGATGGCGGGCCAACTGTTACTAATATCTATTTCAGGATATCAAAGTCAAGTCAGATTGTCACTGCTATTGACTTTTCCTCTTTAGTGGTCGAGACATCAGATGCTGAATTGCATACGTTTAGTATAGGAGAGGTAAGAGTGCAAATTAATCTGAATGTGAATTATTCGTTAACTTGACCTTGCAGCACATTGCTTGGTGGTTCTCAGGGCGCCACGACAAAATCTTGCCGTGGACAGGACATACCTCACAAATTCCAGAGAAGAGCATGCTGAAACAGCATTTATAAGCAAAAGTCATCTCCTTCCGCTATTGATTAGCTACCGTGTCAGATAACGAAAGTCGAATGGGTTACTGTTCTGTGTCTCTTGCATCAGGTCGACCTTGGCAGAGAGGTCACTAAAGCCCACTAGCTAATTTTCGCCACATCCTGTGCAACGGTCTTTGTTGCATCATGTATCGGAGGACTCCCGACAGATTTAAAATCACACATCACATTTAATATCAAGCCCTCGAGGTCTACGTAGCAGTTCTCGGAATTCCGTGATACATTACAGGTCCTAGAGCAGCAGAGCACAATGAGACAGCCTCGATCGCTCGGATAAATGATTAAAAGAAAGCGAACATAGCAATCCACCCACCCAAAGTCCCAGCTCAATGATCAATCACTCTATCAAAAGAAATGTAGGTATGGTGTCTCCCTTTGTGTTCCCATGCGGTTTTGCCATTGTACTTTATCTTGTTCCATTCGCTTCGCACTGTTGATATCTCAGTTCCTCTCGAGTTTGTAAAGATGATCTCATCCTTCGAAGTTCTGTGTGGTACCACACGAACTGTGACGATATGAATTTTCGGCTCTTGCTGTGTCTCCTGTCCACTCGGGTCCAGGAAAGTTTGTCGAGAACAGTGAAAATAATGGGCACGAACAAATTGCTGGCGGTATCTGGTGGCCCCAAGTCTCCCCTTGCGATCCACGCCGATGCGAAAAATCTATTCTTTTGATCAGTCAGTAGCCCAACGTGGTTGGAGGCACACTTAGTAACAATAGAAAGCGGAAAAATTGTTTCTGCCGAACATAGCGAATCAATCAGGTGGCAAACTGGATGGTTCCAGACAGCAAGCAGGTTGAGTTGATGTATATAAAAACCATGCGGTAGGTCAGCATCTCTCCAAAGCTCCTCTCACATAAGCGTTGCCACGAAGCTTCTCTCAGATCAAGGTTCTGCGAGCAATATCCGAGCTTCTTTGGCGTAACTACCAGTCCAACGTACTGAAACGTGTCAGGAAAGCGTAATTAAAAGATGCCGTAAAAGTTTAGACTACACGTCCGTGAATATCTAGCCAGGACGAAAGATCTTGGTCAGTAGATTATTTTGCACGGGCATCGTGAGAAATGAGTGAAGTTGAATTGAGGTCGCCTGACTCCAACTTCAAATACTCAACTCGAAGTACTTCAACTTAGAGGCACTCAAAATCAAAACCTAACTCATTCCTTGTTTTTCCATAAAAGCACCCGGCATCTCGCTTCAGTGCAGCAGAAACTCCACCATTTCCAAAGTGCCCGCGTTGACAGCATCAATCATTTCTCCATGCATCATCCCCTCGACGTAGCACTCCCCAATCAGAATGAAGTGGTCACCCTCTTGCCGCAGGATCATGGGTACATCACAGCCCAGTAGAACACAAACAAGATCCCCTGGCGAAGCTTCACCAGGACCAGTAATGATGTAGTCCTTCTTTCCAGTCATTGTCAGTCTCGAAACTGTTGTGACATCGATGTCTGAAAGTGTGTTCTCGAGCTTATTCGCATTTAGAATCCAATTTCCAAACCTGGTTATCCTTGCAGTCCAAATCTCACGCTCCTTCTCAATCTTTGGCCTATCATCCATGGGTGTCAAACTGTTAAAGAGAGCACTAATCCTATCATATACTGTATGATAAATGGAGGTTGGTTGCTGCTGCATCCAGCTGAGGGCTGTTTCTCGATATTCCGCCTGCAATTGCTTCTCGTCGTCTACCGTCATTTGATAACGGTGAAGAGGCGGCCATACCTCGTCGACAATATCCGCTATCAAACCACTGACGAGCACGGTCTTGAGATCATCAGCGAATACAACATTCGCCGCTGTATCCTTTGCAGCTTTGATATCATGTCCTGGCTCTCCAAGATTCAGCGTAGAGATGACCTTCATGCGCAGGAATGGGCGTTCCACCTGCCAGTAAGTTGACCACTACTCAGACTCAGCACTCGAAACTAAGAAGATTTTGGGCGTGAATGTAATTAACTCACGTCAGGAACCCAAGACGGTAGTTCCATCATATTTGTTGTCTGGCACGCAAACAGAATGTCTAAGCTCATCGTTGCTTTCACTATCGACCTCACCACACTTGCATACACAAGCTCGACCGAAACTGCATAGTCGACTATCAACAGACTCGGATCATACCTTGTACCAATATCCTCTGCGTATCGTCCCATTCAGGTGAATTGGATAGTAGACCGAGGATACCATATACTTTGTCTCGCGGGTCTGTCGCTCCCGAATCTCGAAATTCATACAGTAGATGAAGCAATTTCCGTTTGAGATATCGGTGTCTAGCATACCTCTCTCGCTCGATTTTCGTGATAGCTCTAAGACCCATATCTGCGGGAGATTGTAATTCGTCACGACCTTGTCTGGAGAGATGATCAAGGAGAACAGTTAGTATAATTGTATTTCTGTAAATCATCCTTCCTAGTGCCACAAAGTCGGTCAATTCGAGCTGTCGATTGCCGAGTCGAGCCTCCACGACAGGTGATATTATATACTCCTGCTTGACCCATATCCGATGGAACCACGGGAGAGACACAAGATAACTATAGGAGTCATAGCATTCCTGCATATCGTTAATTATCAAGCATTTATGATAGATTTCGAAACCCATACCATGGCAAAATCCTTATTTTCATTGTCGCTTGACCAATCCAATATCTTTTTCTCAGCCTCGGTTGTTTCATGCAAGCCAGCAGCTTTCGAGATCCTATCATGAAGATCAAATACCCGCTCGTGCTCAGCTCTCTCCTTACCAAGCCAAATAATGGTTCTTTCTGCTCTTTGATAAATATGAACCATCAACAAGACCTGAGAGTTCCTTTCCGGGACATCATTTTGATTGATACAGATGGCATCGATCCATAGAGTTACGGAACTGGAGGAATCTTGCAATTTCTTCCTTTGGCACCAGAGGAAATCTGTAAGGTTGGACGTTACTTCAACTAAAGAACCATTGATTCTTACGCTGCGTGTGGAGTCAGGATCCCCCCATACGTAGGATACCGCAGCGTATTTTGGCATGTTTTCCAGGAGCACATTGGGGAGAATCTGCAGCTCGATAGGCACATTATCAGGTCCGGGGAGGAGTTGAACGAGGCGGATTTCGTTCGGGCCTAGGGGTGTGTAGCTGGGGAGCCTGAGCTCTCTATCAGAGCTGTACGAGCTGCATTTACTTGCAGTGTTCGATCCAGCCAAGTCCACGAGATCTGTTGTAGTATTTTGGGTCGCTCGGGTGCTTGGCTCGACGACTTGGCGGTCGAGCGAAGGCGGAGATTGCTTAAAACTTTTGGGGGTAGCGACTCCTAGCATCTCTATTGGGGAAGTCGGCTTGATACAGACACATGAACATGAATCAATACACGTTGAGGTTTGAAGGTACTCAAATATCGTATTCAGGCTGAGGACTTGGAGTTGGAAGGGTCATCATGTGCAGTTGCCAAGCGCAGTGCTTACCGTTGGGTACTGTAACCCTTATTGGTCAGCAATTCCAGCCTCGTCTCAATATCTGGCAGAGCCTGGATGGCTAAAGTGACGTGACATCCATCAAAAATTTCTAAGGAAACTTGCTTAGTAAAGATATATGCGATATTGAATTGCTAGTGCTCAATTGGAAATTGTAGACAAAGCTTTGAGTATATCTTTGGAAAGTGATCCATTTGGAATTTATGGGGAACATATTTTGGGCTCCTCCCTCATAGTTCTCAAAACCTGATTAATACAGTATAGGACTAGAAGATAGTCAGACTAGATCATGTAGGTTAAACGAGAAAACAAAAACAAAAATGTACTTAACTTCTGTCATTTCTCAGGAGCGCAGTGCTCAGATGCTTCAAATTGATGTGACGCGTAGTGCAAGGTGGACGGCTTACTATATTTCACACCCCATCGTATTAGAAAGTGACAGGCTTGTGCAACAGCACCGGTTATTAGTTTTGAAAGCTAACAAAAGCGGTATGTGAGTTGAGTCCGGGGAAATGAAACACCCCAGTTTCCCCGCATCAACAAGGAAAGAAGACGCCAACAACATCAAAGTCGAGAAACTTATCAGAAAGAACGAATCGGTGCTTAAAAGATAATTGGAATGGTACTTAGGTATCCCGCGAGTTCGGTACGAGTCACTCGATCTCATTTGCGGTTTGTAGCCAAGCCCTTGACAAAATAAGCAATTTCAGATCCATTCAAGATGTGAGGAAGAATCCATGATTCATCATCTATCATGTGGCAGGCCAGGATCTCTCCAAAGCTTCTCTAACATAAGCGTTGCCACGAAGCTTCTCCTAGATTAAGGTTTTGGAAAGTCAATATTGGCATGTCATTCGTCAATGAAACCGTTGCGCTTACATGCATGTGACGGGCTTGACCCTGTATATTATGCTCACATGCGAGAAGCCTTTCCTATTTAACACATCTGCCCCGAAGGGTCGACGTCACACTGATTAGTCGCGTACTGCCATAAGAACTTACGTACTTGCAGCAGAGGTGACTGATGTTCGATTCTGGCAAGTGCAAGAAGTTTTCATCTTGTCAAGTTGAAACCAAATCTCTAACTTAAAAGTATTTGCAGCAACTATAGTCTCTTAGCAATGTATCTTTTTTGAATCATCGTTCTACTGTAGACTGAATCCAATCATAGATACAACGGCATTCAGTGCTCTGGTGTATTGCTGGAAGCATACTTCCATGATCACCACAGATATGAGCGGTGCCAAGCCACGATTCGAAAACCATTGTATGGAAGACCCCAATTTTCCTTGGTCGGACAGTCTAAAAATCCTTGCATACCAATCCATGCGTTTTTATTTTGGCGGGTCTTTAGTAGAGGGATGGAAAGGAGTGGTCACCTCAAATCGTCCTAATTTTCAACTGGATAGGTCCGACTTCGATGATTAAGAATAGGGTAGGATCGTTCCTTAATAGTGACAAAAGATCAGCTCTTTTTATGAATGTAGTTCTTGAAATCCCTGCTGGCTGTCAACCGTAAGATCGAAGCTGCTCATATGTCCGGCAGTGGCTTTTCCTCTTTTACCGATGGGCAGGGTTCTCCAGATCCTCAATGGCCAAGATGCTGGCAGATGCTTGTTTATGTAGGGTCGCATGGACTTCGTGGCATGGCTGGTCAGTTATCTGACAACGATGCAGTGGCCTACTAAAGCACAGGTACAGTACTTCTGGAATTCTCTAATCTTCCTGGGCGAGACCCGCTGTCAAATAGTCTCTGTAACCACCACTCTCAGCGACAACATCCGCGTAACAGACAAAATGGACGCCTTCACACCCGCCCAAACAACCGAACTGATTTCTCGAATCGGAGCCAAATAAGCACGAATGCGCCTCGACAAGATGTTCATCAACTCCTTTCTCGGCGGCGCACTACTTTCTTTCGGAGCAGCCCTCTCACTCTCCACAAACTCCTCACCATGGTTCCAAACCAACGCTCCAGGACTCATCCGAACACTTTCAGCAATGGTGTTTCCTGTCGGTTTGATCATGGTCATGCTCACTGGAGCTGATCTCTTCACAAGCTATTGCATGTACTCTGTCGTTGCGCTGCTGCATCGAAGATGTAGCTTTGTGGATTTGCTGAAAACATGGGTTGTGAGCTTTTTTGGGAATTTGGCGGGGGCGTTGTTTTTCATGGCTGTTCTGACGGGATGTAAGTATATCTAGAAGTTCTACTGAAAGCATTCTTGGAAATTAAACATGTGAACTGAGGTAACTTAGACGGAGGCACTTTCGAGGCGAATCCATACAAAGCAGAAGCACTCAGTTTCGCTAAAGCAAAAGCTGTTACCCCTCATTGGCATCAGATCTTCTTGAAGGGTATTCTCTGTAAGTTCTTTCCACATGGCTTCAGTCAGTCGTAAAACATGGAGCTCACACACTTCAGGTAACTGGCTCGTCTGTATGGCTTGCTTCCTCGCAATCGCATCCCGCGAGGTCATCTCAAAAATTGTGGCAATATGGTTCCCGGTAATGTGTTTCGTAGGGCTCGGGACTGACCACGTAATCGCAAACATGTACTTCATCCCTCTTGCCCTCTTCCTCGGAGCACCGAAGCCACTCACTATAGGATACTATATTTGGAAGAGTATGCTTCCGGCGCTGTTAGGGAATATCATTGGCGGCGGACTATTTTGTGGTGCTGTGTATTGGTATTTGTTCTTGGAGGGCGAAGAAGTGGAGATTCATTTTGATCAGATAGGTGAGGGGAGGAAGGAATCAGCTTCTGGTAAGAATAGATCTACATGAGATTGCTGAGTTGCTGTTGGGAAAGTAGCATGCTAACTTCTTACTCGTCTAGTGTCCACTGAACACATTCACGACAAAGCAAATTCTCACATGACAAATGGTCACAACCAAACACACAACCACCACCATGCTATTGATCCCTCAAACTACCCTCTGCCAACTTCAGGCAACATGGCGGTGACAGGCTTTGCAAAAGACTACAAATTTCGCGACTTCCGTCGAAAGGGAAGCGACCAGATGAGCGGGACAACCGCTTAGGGATGACATAACAGCCTGAATTCCGTGTTTGAGATTTGAGCATGGCTTTGTGACGAGGTGTTTGGATAGACGACGTCATTATAGTCCGGTTACTAGCGCGGTATGATGTGACCGTAGAGGTTTGGGCGACGTTTCTTGTGAGGGGGTGGAATATCAGAGCTGTTATGACTTTTGATGAGGGGGAGCGGGATACCAATGCAAAGAGCTTTTAGGAGGATAAAGAGCAAAGAGGAAAAATCCCACTTGCATCTTTTAAGCTTAAGCGAAGAAAAGAGTAAGTAGAGATTTGTCCATCTTAAGTTGAGAAAAGTCAGCACATTATCTTTAAGCAGCTCTAACCAAGCTGAAAAAATTTAACATATAAATTCTGCCCAATTTCATCTTACAAGTATTGCTAGACGTAAACACCAACATGGAATTGTTGAATGCTCCTCGCGACATATGAAGCATAAATAAAGACAAGATGCAATCGAGCAAGAACATTTCAGACTAAGTCCAAATCCATACACAAGGAACGCCATATTCATTACGAAAGGGTCGGGTTCATCCTACCGCGGCCCATTTAACTCCACAGTTTTCAAAATACATAAAAGGGTTTCCATGATCTATCTCCCTGTGTCATAAATATCAATTCGAATCAATCAATCATCCTCTGCTCATCCCCACCCCGTATGATCACATAAATGCGTGACAAGATAAGGTTATTTAGACACCGAGAGCAGCGTTGAATGCATCAGCGGAGGCTTGGCCGGTTGCGCCAGCTGAGAGAAGTCAGTTTGTGTTATCGAAAGTGCTCAGGGGGAAAACATACCGGCAGCTGTTTGAGCAGATGCACAGGCATCAAGGGCAGCCTGGTCAGCCTTGCACTTGGATGCAAGCTGTTGGCAGATGAAGTCAGAGATAACCTTGATGTTCAAGGCAGATCCGTGGTTGAAATCAGCGTTGTTGACAGCTTGGAAAGAAGCCTCCTTGCGTCCATCAAGGCCAACGGCGAACTTGACAGCGGGGTTGGAGCATGAGCCGAAGTCAAGTGCTTGACGCTTGCTCTTTGCAGCAGCTTTGGCGGCTGCGTTGCATGCCTTCTCTTGATCACCGCATTGTCCGACACCACCATCGAGAGCTCCAGAGTTGGCGGCGTTTGAGCATGCGTTGTTCTGAATGGCGCCTAAGGATTTATTAGTGGGTGAATAGCTGGAGAACGCATCAGGAAAGACTTACAAGATCTTTGGAGAGCAGCACCAATGTTGACGAAGGTGTTACCGTTGACTGAGAATGGGCGGTCGCCAGCAGATTCAATGACAGCTGGGGCAGCACCTCCGAGAGCGCCAGTGAAAGTTTGGACGTTGGCTGGATAGTGTCAGCACTTGTCAAATTGAATTATGGGAACGGGCTTCCTTACATCCGGCAGCGCCACCAGCGTTATTATCAGCGGCATCATCAGCATTATCACCAGCGTTGTTTCCAGCGTTGTTACCGGCGTTGTTACCAGCATTATCACCAGCATTATCATCGGCGTTGTTTCCGGCGTTGTTTCCAGCGGCATCATCAGCAGCGGGGTCCTGTATTCTAGTCAGTCTCCATAAGAGCATATAAGCGAGTCCAAAAGAGCTCCGGAACATCGCTCAATCTGGATCAAATGAACTTACAACGGTGGCAGTGGCGGTAACGACTGCCTGGCAAGCGCTTGCGGCTGGGGCAGCGACTTCAGTTGCGTTATCAGCTGCGGCATTTCCGTTGTCTCGATGGAATTAGTTGATTGCCTCGTGGAGCATTGGAACGAAAAGACTTACCAGCCGCATCACCACCAGCTGCATTACCACCAGCTGCATTACCACCAGCTGCAACTCCTGCGACAGCGGCTTGAATCTCGGCCTCTGTGGCGTCGTTAACGAGAAGGTTTTGGGTGAAAATGCATCCCTCAGCATCATCGGCATCGTCGCAAGTGTTTCCAGCACCGGTTGGGTCACCGATCTACATGAGTCAGTGAGGATGATAAAAAGAGTGAGCGGAGGTCTTACCTCTCCTGGAGCAAAGGTTCCGGAGAGAAGGGCATCAAGTGGGTCACCACCGATGGCAGCAATCTCCTTGGCGAGAGTCAAGACAAGGGCCTTGTTGTCTGCTGCGGCATTCTCAGAGGCGGGATCTTGGTGCTGAGTGAGAGCCTGAATCTCAGGGTTGACGGCGGCGTCAGTGCAAAGAACACTCTTCAGTCCAACGGAACCAGTATTTCTCTCCAAAGCAGCAAAGATCAAGGCATCGACTTGAGACTGAACATCTCCAGCGGCCTTTGCGTTGGTGAAAGCACGATCGGCGGTAGCCTGGTGAAGACAGTCCAAGTTGGTGATCTTTCCGGCACCTGCTGCGGCAGCTGCGTTACCCAAAAGACCGAAAACTGGATCCACGATTCCGTCAGGGTTGTCGAGGTTCAAGCTGGCGCGGACGCTGGTGAGGAACTTGGCGTGGGACTGTTCCTGGGGAACCTCTCTGCGCATCTTGGTGGGAGCAGCAGAGGTAAGGCCAAAGAAGGCGAGGAGAATGGTGGCGGTTTCGTACTTCATGATTGCGGCGGTATTGAAAATTCGATTGAAGAATTGATAAATATAGACAGTTAAATAAGGACCGGCCTGAGTGAGAGTTGAAAATTGCAATAAAGAATGTCAGAAGGGGAAGTTCACAGAACTAGGGAGAAAGAATGTATAGTGAACTGGAAGAGAATGAATGATGTGATGAGGAAAGAAACAGTACTGCAAAGCGGACGAACGTCTCTTATAGCTTGAATCATCGAGGCCGGAAGTATGGATCAAACTCATGCCAAGCATAGAATCCTGCTCCTGTCACCCTGGACACTAACCTCATTACTGCAATGCAGATCATACCTGGAGAACATGGCGTTTCTCCCTCGTTCATCCTCTCAATTCCGAGCCGCTTGGCCCTATCACCGCGGGCTCTTGGTGGCATGGCCTTGCCTGGGCGCGTCTACAACTTCCTCATTCCCCTCAGCCAGCCTGCCCATTGGCCAAGAACCGGGCATATGGGCCAAGAAAGCAGGCGAGATCCTGCCGATGACACCTGGAAGATGGGTCCCCGGGTATCAGGTAGTCTCGAGCATCAGATGAGAGGGCAAGCCGGATCATCACGACCGAATGGTCCAGGATGAGAGACGCCACAGGATTGATGAGCGCGGAGGAGGACTTGCGGCGTCAAGGCTATAGCTTGCCTTGATTGGCCCATCTGTATGTATTTCAGCCTCGGATAGGGCGTTGCGAGGAATAGATCAGATGGACTGGGATTCATGGGCCGGGTGTCGTCTCGAAGCGGATGTTGAGTTTGAGTTCTCTAGGCGAGATCGTTTGAGAGCTTGTTGTGAGACAGCCACGTGATCTTCAGGGGTAACGGTCAGACCTCTAGAAGGCGCTACGAGATGAAGGAAAACCATCCAAACTCGGTCATCAAACCTAAACCCCACAGTAAGTGAGCCCTCACCGCTGTCGTCAGTCATCTGAAGTCTTTCATGCTCCATTCGTTCTTGAACGTTGGAAGAAGAGGCGACGCGGTCCGCAAATCATGGGAATTCTCCACCCGAAACGACTTTCATCTTGGGAGTATGCCGCTGATGCTTGCGGCCCATTCTTACTCTTTTGTTGACCCTGAATGTCTGCAGAGCCAAATAATACCGACTGAGATAAGCTCTCGCTCGGACCAGTTGCTATAGTGATCTTGGGTATGGTACCCGCTGTCAGTCTGAACTTTCACAAGATTAACTTTGACGCGCCTAATCTTCGCACGATTAACTTTTTGTAAGGTGGCTTGTAAAGTCTAAGGCAGCAAAGTAGATCTTTGCCGAGCCAGCCGTTTCTCTGCATGAAGTAGATCTCCAAATTATATCAGATGAGTTATGAGTCGGGACGAACTTAATTTCATGGCATGAATCGGAACATCGAGTCAAGGTAATTAGTTCCATTGCCCCCACCTAAAGCTGCATGGTTTTCGGCAGTGAGGCAAGATGATCACAGGGGATACGTCGTCGATGCAACCTACGCATGAAAGAAGCTTAAGTCTGGTGCATAAACCATATACGACGACACTCACCTCGAGCTGGAAGCGTCTAGAACTCCTGCGTCACTTTAATGGCGTGGCCTACAGTTCTCAACTGATAGATGTCATCGTAGGCACTTCGTCTCAGAAAGCTTATAAAATGGTTCAGAAGTGTCACAACATTAAGGCCAACTGTGGTACCGAGAAATTCAATGCTATTTGGTTCACCACCATTGTTAAACTCGTCTGACAATCTCAACTGAACTGGGCATCATACTTGCTCAGGCTGGCCACCTTAGCTTTGATGTTCCTTAAACATGCAGAGTACGTGAAATTGGTGAAAATCACAAGATCTGGTATTCCTGTGTTTCTTTACTTGTTGATATTAGTTTTCCTTCCCATCTCGCGAAAAGCTTGTCCCATCCAATTATAAGTTTTGTTTCTGAAACCAAATTCCGTCTTCGAATGTTGTGTGGGAGTGGGGGCGTACAGAAGGCATTTATGGCTTGGGAACCTTGGTATATGACTTTACGCACCTACATTATCCTTTTGCGTTGTACATTCCTCGATCTTGGACGGCTTGAGGCAAAACTGTCTGTTCGATCTTGTCCCTAAGATGCACAGCTACGAGCTGTTCTGTCATGGAGGTGAATTTACTAGATTGGCACCAATTGTCTCTGGCGCTTGGAGATGCGCTCTGCGAACCTACTCGAGTCTGCCGCTGTATCCGCGCTGTATGGATGTATCGGGAGTCCCTAATAAACGCGAGCAACATCGTTCGACGTTTGAAATGGGCAATATTGTGTAAATGAGGGGTGACTGTATTTATTTTCACCCCCCAAGCCCTTCCTCTCAGCCATATTCACGCATGAAACCCAATCTTTCCTCCGAGACGTACCTTTACCCTTATAGACATCCTTTTGCTTTGAAACATACACAACTATGAGATTTATATATAGTAATGCAATTCAGGATCGGATTATGATAATGAACTCTTGTGAGGTCGTTGCGTTAGACGACTCCAATTGGTGGCTCTTTCCTTCCTCCTAATCACAGTTGAGGTACATGCCTCTCACCGACAGAGCAGAGAGATCGAGAAAGCAGCAGTCCATCCCTATACTGAGTGCTCCTTCCTCGGCCAGTCATGGAATGATCGATTAGTAGGAGGTCTCGAGATATACCGGCCCCAAGTTCGGTTTTCCATCTTCATCACGTTTTCTGGTTGCCGGTCTCACTTTCAAAGTCCGACAGCAGAGCAGACGCACCATGGCCTTGAACGATTGGTCAAGCAAAGACAGCCTTGACATCATGAACACACAACATGCTCAATATTTCCCAAAGGTAATGATACCCAACTGATGAAAGGCATGTATTAACAGAGAAGTTTTCCCATTTCTACCAAATCCAGCAGTATTCTCGTTGCGCTACTTTGATCCGCCAGGTACAAGAAAAATCTACAAAGGACCACTCTCCCATTCCAACTTACTATAACGCCCAGTACATGCTACTCTTGGGAGTGTGCGAACCCGAGGACAAAGCCGCTCTTTCGACCAATGTTCACGCCGTGAATGCTTTTCAAGCTGCATTCAAAGACAGTCCCGGTTTGACTAGGGACGTGCACATGCTCATTGAAAGACTGGCATTCATATCAGAATTGGTCCAGGTACACCTTGGAGGTATCGATGATGGTGGGGAACATAGAAGATATATGGACAAGAATATGGAGGAGTGGCTGAGAGGGAAGACTTTGAAAGAGCTGGGCTTGGAGGCTTTTATGGTGCACTACGCCCTGCTGGAGTACACCAGGAAGAAAATTGCGACGGCAGCCGAACGATCGAATCACTGGTTGGCAAATTGTCGTGAAGTAGGAGAGCATCTGAAGGTCAAGCCTTTAGTGCAGCAAGGAGAGTCAGGAGGCCACATAGCTAAGGGCACCGACCAGCTCTCACCTGCGGGAACTCATGCTGAACTACCTGCATCGCCCATAACAACTGGAATTTCCACTTCAGGGGATCTCTCCAAAGGAGGCATATCCATGGATACCGCCGGATTGGAGGATGTCAACCCTAATGATAATGACGTAGAGATGACAGAAGGCAAGGATTTCAGTGTGAAGAGATTGGAACCTGCTTCTAAGAATTCCATGAAGATTTGGCCAGTTCCTCCTGCGAAATACCGAAGAGATTATACGGAAGCTCTGTCATGGACAGAACTTGAAGAAGTCCGGCTTCGCCGCAAAAATCTGATCGCTGATACTTCTGATTCAGAAGAATGCATGACGCCGAGTGACAGTCTATCGCCGGATGAGCAGCCAATGGAAGCACCTCAAGAGCCACCAGGTGATGTTGATCCTATCTTGGGAGAAATACAATCAATCTTGGAGCATATGGAATTGGAGAAAGCGTGATGCATATCTCCTGATGGGCTGACGAGATGGCTTCCTCCCCATCATGATCAAAAGCTGTCACTGCTGTTCGATACAATAATGAATCCATGTCGACTCTCACCTGTGGCGCGCCTTTACTGTCATTCGAACCACTTGGTCAGGGAACCTCCTGCAGTAGTAGCTAGAGATAGCTTGCAACATAATTGAAAAGTCAGACCAAAAAAAATGCAATCACTGACCAGAACATCACCGCTGGCATCAATTAGCCTTTACGTGACGAAAAAGAAAAACCACTTTCAGGCATATTCTGTTCAAGAGGTGTGAAAAGAACAAACCAGCTCTGCGTCAACCAACCAAGATCCGAAGATCAGGTATCCGTTGAGTATATGAGTAAGTTTGAGACGCTGGCTGTTCGGGCAGTCGGGGCAAGGAGGAAAAGGAAGAACCAATGTCCGAAGCCGAGCGACCACTCTAACCAACATCTTCAACATCTACAGCACAGCAGCACCACCAGGACCCGGAGACCACGATCCCCACCGCGAAAGATGTCGGTTCAGCTTGTATAGATCTTTCGTCTCGACGACTCCGAGCACGAGCGATCGAGCGATGGGTGGTTGGAATGGCGGGGTGGATACATGACCCAGGAGTATTGGTAGACAGGTATATTTGTTCAGCCCGAGAGGCTTGCAGGATACGATCCATTGTGTCGCAGAATTCGAACGATGGAGGATGATATTACATGCTGGCCAGGGTGGCAATGAGGACGTTGCGCGTCCGCCATGAACCCTGGGGGCTGCAGAATGAACTCGAGTCGATATGTCAGAAGTCGTGGACATCCACCGAAGTGAAGCACTGGACGAAGTGATGGTTCTGTCCAGCTGACTCGTGGAATCGAAGAATGGGCAAATACTGGCATATACTGCAAAAAACAGTCGATCCTCGCGTTCAAGACGCGTTCAGGAATTGGCACGCCTCGGCGACGCGGGATACCACATGGCCCTGGTGTCGTGTGTCACTGTAGGATACATGGTGGTACACGCCGTGGCAATTCTCAGGACATATCCGGGTGGATGTTGGTGTACGATTTATGAGAAAGCCTGCCAGGTCCGGACACCATTGTTTTGGGACAACACACTGGCTCAGTCTGCAAGTGCAATTGACAAATATGCTGGAATTCTACGATGGAGATCTTTTGCAAGTGTAGATTTGGCTACTGATTATCCATTCCCACGAGAGGTTCACGAACACAGCTTGCCTCAGCCAAACCAGCGAGGAATGAAAATCCAAAATTCTCCACAAACTTTGCACCATCTTCCATCCTTAACCTCGTATCTACAGGCAACACTCCCTTCGCAGAACCCCCAATCTTCACCGTACCCGAACTGACAACATTTCCCTTATGAGTCCGAACCCAACTGTGGATGGATTGGTACAACAATGAAGGACTGGTACGACGAAGTCTTGAAATAAGAGTATTTATTGTCTAAATGTGTCAATACATGTGAGCGATACATACATTTATATTCGGAAATTATAATCCTCGCACTCTCACGCGACCTTATTGCCCCTTTACACTACCCTTCTCTTGACTCTGACAGGCATATCATCGGAGGGCTTCGCAGTAGCCTTCATCTCCTGATACGCTCTCATTCCTAAACTTTAAATCAGCATCTGTCACAACACCACGAAAAAACATCCACTTACCAAACATGCCTCTCTTCCCATCCAACATCTCACCAGGCTTCTCCCTCCCCATCATCCGATCCCACTCCTCATACTCAGAACTGATATCAAACTCTCTCAACGTCATCACCATAATGATCTTCATCTCAAGAACGGCTAATTCCTGACCAATACAGTTCCGCGGACCTTTCTCGAACGGGCGCCAGGAATCCTTGACGATTTCCCTCTGGGCAGGGTAGGTGTCAGGGGCGGGGAGGAAACGCTCGGGGATGAACTCATCAGGGCAGGGGAATAGATCTTCCCGGCGGTGCATGGTGTGATTGTTGATCCAGACCATGGTCTTGGCTGTGTTGTAGGAGGTGCCATTGGTGGTCAAGCTGGTAGATGCGCTGCCCTCGCGTGCTGTACTTGCTGGTGGGAAGAGGCGGAGGACCTCTGTTGTGGGGTCAGCGATGGTGTTGTTGTTGTGAAGCAGAGACTTTACCTTTGATAATAGCCAATGTGAATGGAAGTTCGTTCAGCAGAGCAGGCTTTTTCTTGATAGCTTCGGCTGCATTTGCCGAGGGGCCAAATACAGTATCATGTTCTCGACGGACTCTGGCGAGAGACTCGGGGTGGGTGTGAAGCATGTGGTAGATGAAACACAGCGTAGAGGAGGTAGTGTCATGACCTGCAAACAGAAAGGTTTTCATCTGGTCAGTCACAGTTTGCAAGAATCTGGCATCCATCAGACCAGCTTTCCCATCATCGTTGCCAGTGGCGAGGAATTCCTCAACCGCCAAGTCGATAGCAGGCTTTCGGCTAGACTTCGTCCCCGAGGTGCCGTTCTCTGAAGGTCTCGTAGCGAGTCGCTGTGTGATCACTTTCCTGATGTAGTTGTCGGTGATACGAGTATAATACCATTGCGCAATGGGCATGATCGGATTCAAATTCTGGAAGGGGTTGGTCGTCACCGTCTTTGGAGACCACCTGACAGAGCCTTTGAACCCATTAACCATTTCGTTCTCGCTTGTCTGAGAGTTCACATCATGATCCAGAACAACATGCCCCATGATATCGATAGTCAGACGTGCGAGTGCTTCATCTAGCGGCTTGATTTCCCCCGAATCCGCCCGTCTGTTCAGGACTTTGATAAAGATGCTGGTGTCGTCTACTATGCTTGGAGTGAGAGTCAGGAGATGTCTGGCTGCGAATCCGGGATTGAAGAGTGCGCGGGTCTTTTTCCATTCCTTTCCTTCCGTGATCAACATGCTGGTTTTGCCGACGACATGACTGACGTATTTCGGATACAGGTGGTACTTCTCTAGGTTCATGGCTTGGGTTGCAACAGCCTAGATGAAAGTTTAGCAGAAATTGACCGAATTATAAGATACAGCTCTTACTGGATCATTGACGACAATTTGTCGCCAGTCTGATGCAGGCCAGTTGTCGAGGAAGTACAGGTTCCCTAACTTGTATTTGCGCCAGAGAACCGTCATCGTGGTCATTGGATGGGTGTCTGTGGGGCTGTTTTTATACAGCCCTGCGATTCCGGGAATGGTCCCAAACCACATGCTGAAGGGAGGAGAAGGCAACGTGCCATGCTGATATGGTCGTGTTAGGAGTGATGATTTTTATCATCAATTGATTGTGGAACTTACAAGATATTTGAATTCTCGTCTATATTGAACAACTCTCCCAATATAGATTGCAAAAAGCGTTAAAATCACAACGAGAATCGTATTGAGGGATCGGCCGTATTGATTTGATGTCCCTTCTGCCGGAGGTGTAGTATTTGTGCTCATCGTGTTCATGACTTGTTGAAAATAGGCCATGAAGGCGGCTGAGACAAAATATTTCGCAAAATGGCCCCAAAGAAGGTTCTTGAGCAATTCTGGAGGTAGTTTTGATATTCAGAAATGAAAGTCAATTTGCATCATATTTGAAGTAAATTGCGAGATTGCCAAATGTTGAGACCGCCAGAAAGGCAATCCTGTCTGCCTTGGAGTATTACGGAACGGGTTCTGGTTAGTCCACATCCAACGCCGGCCTTCTTATGAGAAAGCTACCTCATCAGATCGTGGCCCCTTGGAACGGAATACTTCAGGATTGTGAATCAAAAGTTGAACATTGTACGAGTATATGTATCTGGGCAGAAAACCTTCCGCTCCACATGTTTCAGACCAGGTTAGCTTTGGAATGCCGATTTACAAGCGGATCTGGGCGGGCCTATTAATCACCAAGCAAAAGCTACAACCGTACCATCGGAAATCCTCAAGACCAGGCCAATCAGTGGCGGTCATTGGGTTTCTGTCGGCATTCTGTCAGCACTAATCGCCAGCTCGCCTATGCGAGGCTTCCCATAACCTTTCAATATTTTTTAAAGTTTATGAGTGTGGATCGTGACCGAATACGGATTCTCGTCCGAGCTTTGTGAGGGTACAGAGCTGACGATTGAAGCGCATGTTGCAGTGGTGGCTGCGGCACAGTGCCAAACTTCAGCCCTGCTTCTCTCAACCTCGCTATTTCTACCATTGGCCATCCAGCGGCGGAGAGAAAGATCTTCTCGAAGCTTTCGTTTTTTGTGACTTCTGAGCGAGATGCCAGCTGCAGACGGAGAGAAGAAATGTCGGCAAGGAGGGCCAAAGGTTGGTTGTCCTCCAAGCAGAAAATCCCTAGAACAGCTGCTTGCTTGTAATCTTACAAGCCCATGGAAATCGATGATGCTGACATTTCCTGGGTCGTTTTTGTAGACAAAAACAGGATGTGCCACGTGTAAGCTAAATCGACTTGATTCCACAGGCCAGAATGCTGATAGCTTCTAGGCAAGTGAGCATCTTGATCAATTTCCCACATCGGAAACTTACCTCGCCAGAACTCGACGGGTCAAATGCGACGAAGGTAAACCGCGTTGTCAACGGTGCGAGAAGGCAAATGTAAGTGAGACGAATTCGTCACTGAGCGCTACTGAGAGCCTCTATCACTCTGTACTGTTTACCAAATTTGGAGCGCATAACACCAACTGTCACATCTTCTAGTGGCCATGCAAGTATATTCCAGTGAGGAAAGGACCATTACAGAGGACGACAAGAACTATATTGCCATCTCGGCAAATCTGCACAGTCCGTGGCGCGGGAACAAACCATGGCCTCCAGCGGTTACTTCCACATTTGTCGAGCTTCGGATCCCAAGATGAATACCGATATTTTCAGGTCTTCCAGACAAATACTGCGCCAGAGCTAACGGGTTACTTTGATTCCAACATATGGAATCGGCTGATACTCCAAGCATGTCATCACGAACCTTATGCATGGCACGCTGTTGTGGCGATTGGAGCACTACGTAAGTCCCTAAAGATATCGCAGCTTACGAAACCACGGCGCCCGACTCTGGCAAGACCTGATGATGATGGCAGTACCCATCATGTCTTTGCTTTGCAGCAATATGGGAAATCACTTCGACTAATGAAGGAAATCTTGACGCAAGGAGATGAATCCAAATTTCACAACTCTCTCATATCTTCTCTACTGATGATCTGTTTCGAGACCTACCTGGGTAATCAGGAACTGGCCTTGACACAAATTCGGACAGGTGTCGACATACTCTTCAGCTGGCCCTTCAAATGCAGACTGCAAGACGATGACTTTTCCTCCATGAAGCTTTTGGCCAAGAACTACTCATTTGTTGATCAGGATATTGTCAGCACGTTCCTTCTTCTGGATTTTCAGGCTATGACATCTGATAACAGAGATACCAGAGGGATGTTGAGCAAAAAGTACCCCGATATCCCGCCAAGGTTCGAAACAGTCAAAGAAGCTCGAATGGTTCTTGAGGTAATCGTCCGACGGCTGCGGCAGTGGCGCACAACTGTTCATACCCAACATAATCCCTACGTCGCAACATTCGGTGTTGAAAATTGTGCCGACCTGGGCTGCAACAATCAGGTCACTTCACAACTTGAAGATTATTTCGAAACGATAAAATTGTGGTATCATGCGTTCAAACCCGTGTTCGATGTGGCACGGAAAAAGCGAGGATGCAAGGAATACTTCGGAGCCAATCTCCTAATGGCAAGATATATCCCCATCCGATTCCTGTTTCTGGTCGCGGATGGAAACGAGACAGGTTCCGATGTGTATTTGCCCGAGTGCACCGTAGCTGTGGATCTCCTGGAGGAAGTCTTGGAGCAAGATCCTAACATGAAACCTGGACAAGCTACCTTTGTATTCAATAACCATTATGTGCTCGGAGTCTTCGTTATAGCGCTTCGATGTAGAGACCCTACTCTACGTAGACGCGCAATAGCTATAATGTTCAAGTATCCAAGACGGGAGGGCTTGTGGGACAGCGTAATGGCGGCGAAGGTGGCTTCCTGGGTTATGCTCGAAGAAGAGAAGGGTATGGTTGATGGATTTGTACCAGAGTCTGCAAGACTGAGGATTGTGAAGAATGACTTCTCGTTATCTGAGAGAAAGACAGTGGTTCGCTGCTCCAGGTTAGCAGCTGAAGGGTCCAAGGAGAGAATATTACTTCCGGAGGTTACACTTACCTGGTGATACTTCCTTGTTGGAGACATTCATAGGCGGATGAATATACAAGACAAAGAGAATGAAATGGACGTGAAGAAAAATGCTTGCCTCAATCTGATACAATGCGCTACACATAGCAGCAGATGAGATGTTTGCGAGATGCTTGCCCATGCTTTGTTGGCTTGTAGGAGGAGACGCGATCAAGAGTTGGGAGACGCGACGTTTCTGCCAGGCGGTGAGAAAGCTCGCCTGCTCTCCTGTTGCTACACTTCACTTTAACTCGATACACCAGGCTTCCAGGATATCAGATCATCTCGATGTCGAGTTCACAGACGTCCAGAGCCATTACTATAGGTGATATAGAAGTTATTTCCGATCAGGAGCCTCTACTCGGCTCCAATACCGAATTCAATCCCACACCACCGAATGATGAAGAAACCATTCCCCAAGCCGCAAGGCCATTGTCAACACTCATCCTCTATTTCATGGCCATTCATTTCCTGCTAGCATTTGCCGAGATAATATTAGTTGCACCTTTGATCCGCCTCTTTGAGAATTCACTGTGTCTTACACACTATGGCTTTCCGAATGGCCGGGTAGCTGAGGGACTGTGTAAGATCCCAGAAATTCAGAGACCGCTGGCTACGATTAGAGGATGGAAATCTATGTTTGATACTATTCCAGGTTTGATTTTGTGTAAAATGTATATTGATGACTTGCTGACGATGTTAAGTACTTCTTGTAGCTATCCCGATTGGCAAGTTGGGAGATCAGTATGGAAGGAGAAAAATCATGGCGATGGCTCTCATTGGAGTCGCTGGATCGCTTACTGAAATATTTATTGTTTGTAGGCACATGATAATTTCTGAATCTTGCCTTATGTCTCCAGCTGATATATTGACTAGGTGCTTTTCCTCAAAAATTTCCTCTGCAGCTTGTGTGGTTCTCATCTGCCATGCTGCTGTTGGGTGGAGGTCTGAACTCGGCATCTGCTTTCATGTGGGCGATGGCATCAGAATCTATTCCTTCTGAAAAGAGGTATAGTAACCTGGTGCTTCCCGATGGCTCTGCTGACGCCGAAGTCAGGAGTCATGCTTTCTACTATATTTTCTCCGCATTCTACGTTGCGGAACTGATCTCTTCATTCGTTGCATCAATCACATTAGATATTTCACCATGGATACCTTGTGGTCTGGCAATGGGCGCTGTCGTACTATGTCTTATTCTCCTCGTGGTTATGCCAGACCCTGGGAAATCAGCAAATTCTGATCAGATACGCCCCAAGCCGGGAGACGATCTTGGAGAATCGATATGCTCACCCACAGCTTCATCATCCAGCACCTCCGCTCGAGGCCTTATATCTGCACTATCGCATCGAAATATACGCCTCACGATTCCAGTATTCCTCGTCGGCATATTTCGATATGCGATGCTGAATATCTTGATCCAATATGCATCCATGCGATTCGGTCTGAAGATTTCCACAGGAGCTACATTCTACACCGAGACTGCTGTAGTCAACATAGTCTTGTTTCTGTTTCTAGTTCCCCAGCTCACAGGTCATGTCCGGAGGAAATATAGCATTCAACCTAGTGTCATAGATCTATTCCTAGTCCGAACGAGCGTCACTTTGATGTGTATTGGATGCCTTGCCATTGGACTTGCTCAATCGAGCTCTCTCCTACCTATCGGTACGCTCTGCCCCCTATCGGACTCCAATGTCGCCCAATTGACTGATATCGTGAAGGCGTTTTCATTTTCGCTGCAGGATTCGGAAGCAGGGTTTCGGCCCTCTCTCTCGTCTCATATTGGATATCTGACGATGCAAAGGCCACATTTTATGCAGCGATCGTGGTTCTCGAGAGCCTGGGCCATGCCGTGGGCGATCCGTCAATTCAGCAGATCTTCGCTGCGTCGTTACGGCTGTCCCCATTTTGGATGGCTATGCCATTTTTCGTTGGATCTGTGAGCTCCTATCTTTGGATTTTGGTAGCCTCAGCTGACTTTAAAGGTGTTGTACTCTCTTGCCGCTGCTTCTACCGTATTCATTCGTCTCGATCAGCCATCAACTGATAGCTCCAACATTGGTCAGAATCCTAGGGACCTTGATCCTACTTGAAGCTCTGGAATTATCTGGGCGCTTGAGCAAATCTGTTGCCAAATGTTTTTACTACGCACGTATGGGCGGTGGTTTAAATCCACTGCCTTTGAGCCCCCTAATTCGACGTGACATTGATCGAGAAGATGTGCAGCAACGCATCCTCTACCGAGAGCTGGACCAACACCATGTTTTCCAGAGCGAACAGGTGAGATTTGTTATCCGTACCTACATGGCCTTTCCATCTATGATCAATGTCCCAGATTCAAGCTTTCCGTCCATCTACGAAGCCTACGGTGTACTCCAGAAAGTCAGGCCAGAAGCAATTAAAGTATCAATGTTTGGAAATTTCGGAAGTGCTGTTGCAGATATTTAGGAGTTGCGAGCAAAACATTGTTAGGAGATGGAACGGCTGTAGAGGTCCTGAGGGGCAGGTATCTGTGGCTGGAACTTACATATACCTTTGAGCAAGGAAGCCTTGAACAGTGGAATTCGGAAAAGTCGCAGATGAAATATGGCTAGCTGTGTTCACCCTCGGATTCTTTTCCGAGATGGTCATATAATTAGTAGCCAAGACTGATAACAGGGGGTTGAAGAAGCGATGGTAATTTTTGCCAAAATTCGGAGATTGAGCAGGATGGAATCTGTAACGAAAGTGGTAGAGGTGCTATAGAATAGTAGCACAAGAAATTATTCCGCCGGTTTTGCTGCTCCGTTTGTTAATCCAAACAATAACATCGCTTCCCCTTTCTGGCTTGGTAGGAGCTTGGGTGCACGCCGATGACGCGATGCCGTCCTCGACAGGAGTGGAGTGGGGGTTTCGGGGCATCTCTAACTTCCACTCAGCTTGTGCAACAACTATTCGACCGTGACTCAATCAATCTCACCGCATACATCCTCCGGTCCAATTCCCTCTACAAATAAATACCAACCCGTATGCCCCTCTCTCGCACAACGTCTCAGTTCTTCCGCACACTCTCCAAACTTCGAACCGGTCCCCAACCAAGCTCCATCTTCAATCTACCCCACCTCCGCAGAACCATGGCCTCCGCAGCAATGAGCAAGCGCCTCGAGGGGAAGACGATTGTTATCACCGGTGCATCGTCTGGTATCGGTCGGGCTACAGCTGTGGAGTTTGCGCGGACGGCACCCAAGAATCTGCGGTTGATCTTGACGGCGAGGAGGATCGATACATTGAAGGAGGTTAAGGCGGAGATTGAGAAGGATGTTGGTGAGGGCGTAAAGGTCTTACCCTTCAAGTTGGATGTTAGCAATCCAGAGGAGGTCAAGTCATTCGTTGGGAACTTGCCGGAAGAGTGGAGGGAGATTGATGTCTTGGTGAACAATGCGTGAGTTTGGTCGACGATACAGAAGAATGGGGATGTATGCTGATGCCAGGCAGTGGGTTAGTTAAAGGCGTAGCTAAAGCGCCCGAAATTTTGGAAGAGGATATCAACATCATGTTCGCGACAAACGTTACGGGTCTAATCAATATGACACAAGCCATCCTCCCGATTTTCAAGAAGAGAGCAGACGGTGGTGCGGGGGATATTATCAATATTGGCAGTATTGCAGGTCGGGAACCATACCAGGGAGGCAGCATTTACTGCGCTACCAAGGCAGCTGTTCGCAGTTTTACAGATAGTTTGAGGAGAGAACTGATTGCCACGAGAATAAGGATCATTGAGATTGACCCCGGGCAGGTTGAGACTGTGAGTTTTGGTGTCGTGTGGAGGGGTAAGTGGGGTAGATGCTAATGAGGGGTAGGAATTCTCGGTCGTCAGATTTTATGGTGATAAGTCGAAGGCTGATGCTGTTTACGCGTAAGGAAACAATCCTCTCGTCGCGTTCTACACATTGCTAATGGACATAGTGGGTGCGAACCCCTGACACCAGAGGATATCGCCGAGGTGGTCGTGTTCGCTGCTGGACGGAGGGAGAATGTCGTCCTTGCAGACTCTTTGATCTTCCCCAACCACCAGGTATGACCAAATCTCTTCTTTTGTTTGCAATAGCTGACTGGGAAGGCTGCTGCTACTGTCATGCACAAGAAGTCGTAGTCTAATGGCACTGACGTGAATTAGGCTGGAGCGGGAGGTGCCCTGTATAAGAAGGGTTAGGTACAAGTGTCAACCACTTTTAGAAGAAAATGTGCACAAATAGACTTGCTTCTCACTCGACAAGACTCTTTCCCTCTTATGTTCCTGTACGGGTGTATGTGGCTGTATTTGTGCCGTGGGCAGCTTCGATTCCATCTAACCTGGGCCTCTCGGGTACTCATCTGCTTAGTTAGCTCTCTGCGTCGGGCGAGCTTTCTCTTCATAGAACGGTCATTGAAGTGGACCATCTTTGCTATTTTGTCGTTTTTAGTTACAGCCTTTATTGCTTGACCTTTGGCTGGCATGTGCCTTCAGTAAGACCTCTCCTTTCAAAGCTAGTTCCATTGCCAAATCATCAATTATCATTACCATATATCTATCTATCTGCAAACATTTACGCGTGTCATTGTTTTAAAACGCGAGCAAATCTATCTTCATATATCTATTTATCCATATTCAAGGACCGCTCTTACGTGCCTGCGATCTCGTACGTCAATTTTCCAGACAGCAGGTCATGGCAATGACTCCTCCACCACAGCGAAAATCCCAAAATATTCTCAGAACTCATACTCAGTCTAAGATACAGAGCGTACAGCAGTTTTGCTGCAAATCGCACCGCAATGCCGACAAAAGCCGCGCTCATCACATCAGTCATATATCTGCATCTCAGTTGTTCGGACCATGACTTTCCGCTGCCATTACCTCACAGCCTCTCCTGTCACTTGCTATAGGTCCAGCGTAAGAAAGAATATTTGTTGCATATCGCATCTAACTGCCAAGACAAGCGGCGCATGAGTTAGCCTAGATATTTCAAATTATTGATAGTGGTTTTGGTCGGTGTTCTTACATCGCCAGGTTAGTGTGAGGCTCCGAGTTTAGCCTCCCATGGTTTTGGGTCTGGGAGGCTCTAGCTAGAGCCCAGCCTCGTCACTAGTATCAGCAATTGCCAGTCTTGGAGCTGAAAGAAGTTCTGTTGCACGTCTGACAGCCCGGATTGTCCCGATGTCGGGGTCTGCTTATGACGAAAAGCCGTGGTTTTTGAATTTCTCTGGAGGTAGACAGACCTTTTATGCTAGTATATCGGCAATCTGAACAATAAACAAAATCACGAGGACATTTGTTCGCCAACTGATCCTATCATTTCCTGCATTTCAATCGCTGGATATGTTTGGGATTGGAGTTTTGAAACAAATGTCGGAGTGATGTATGAGCGTCTTGATGCAAAGCCGAGATCTTCCCCTTCGCTACATCGGAGACATCCATCCCCTACAATGAAATGACCAATTCTGGTTGCATATTGGCTAGGCAGATATCTTCAAGACCTGCTTCTCCTCGTTCGTCTGAAAAACAATTCTGTAGACCGAACCTAGTGAACGTCAAAATCATTATCACATCTCACGGTCGGTCGCTGGCCGGAGAAACCTTCTGTTTACACGTTTCAAATGCCGAAATTGGCTATCCTCCACTACTACTAACAAGAGAAAGATGGTATCTATTGCACATCAATTAAACTCATTCATTAATTAAATTGCTTACTGCCGCGCCGGAGAAAATAACAGTACCGGCCCAAGGTACAGATGGAAGGTTCGTGAAAAAACCGCTCGCGGGACGGATGAGCTCATCAGCTTAACCACTAAGAAAACACCGGTTCACGCCCTCACTCGTTGAAAGGCTGGACGAACAGCTTTGTTGCATATCGTATTTGCTGTAATAGCTGTTATTGGTTAATGGTATTCGGGTGCACTAGCAATTATGGCTCTTTGTTCTGTTTTGGGGGGGTGGATGGCGCTTTGTTTAGGTTGGGGTTTGGATGCTTGGGGAGGAACTTAGCCCAGTCTGGCGGCAGGCGTGAGGAGAGGACACGGTCTGAGAAAATGGAATCTTTGATACATGTAAATGCTGCGTGAGTATCGTGAGAGTATCTATAGGGACAGGAAGTTGGATCGTGGAGATTAAAGGTCGTGGTGAAGAGGATCACGTGACCGTGAACGAAGGAAACACCTCCGTCGGTCTTACCTCCCCGGAAGTCCTTTCTAATCACAGCAGTGACTATATTATCTGATATCTAATTTTGAATACTTGTCGATAGCGACATAATCCTCTTCGCGTTTTAGATTAGATATGAAGGTAACTCAATTAAAACTCCAGATCAAACGTTATCTATCTTACCTAGATAAAAGCTTATTCTTCATTGACCTTTAAACCTGTTGCTTAGATATTTGACCCTAGTTATTGATTTTTGCATCCATAAAAGGTCGGTCTACTTGACGTGATGTCCAAATTCAGCCATTGGCGTTCTGCGTTCCAACGAGCGCTCCTTGCGTGCACTTCACTCCAAAAGAAGCACCTCCATCACTTATAAATGCTGCACTAATCTAAACTTATAGCTAGAGAAAAGAGTCAGTCTGTTGCAGATCGCACTCCGATGCCGACAGTAGCCTCGCCTTGATTTCTCTTCTCATCATCAGAGGCTCCGTTCAGCGGCGACTTTGCTACGTTCGCTAGTCCCGCATTAGGTCATGCTTTCAGGGAACACACCACTAAATTGTCTGTACCATAGGTTGTCATTTGTTGCTAGACCTTATTGAATATCTTAATGCATGTAACAGTCGATTCTGCTTACTTTCAACTGTGTACTAGCAGGTACTTATATAGTACACCCAAGTGCTTGGGACGCGATTCTGAGCCGGTGGATTCAGGGTTCCAGGTCCAGCCAATGGTGATGCAGTTTTTACGGAGACTTGTTTGCTTAACCCCCTTCTCATCATATTACCATGTATGAATCCACTCTAAGTTTAACCGTAGCAAATTTCATAGTCATGAGAAGTGGCGAGAGCCTTGTCGTGAGACTGATGATCACGCGGATAATGCGAGGCTTTTGTATTCAGACATTGCATGCTGCCGTTGCGTAGAAGCTAATAGTAGCAAAGTGTACCTATATAATGAAAGCTCCGATCCAAATAGAACCTGCTATAAATATCCTCTGTGATAAATTTCAAAAATAATTCCTTGGCATAACGCCGATGTAACCTTGAGGTAATTATCTCAACCCCGCGAAGTAAAATTTGTACTCTCATTTCTTCTGTGGCACTCAGGTTGATAGTCCCTATTTGCCTTAGTTGTTAGATTCTGGCTGTTTGCTACGACATTCCCCATTTCCCTAGCTGAAAAAGTGGTTTACAATGACACCGAACCAAAGTTGCAGATTCGCTTAAATTACATTTTGTCAACAAATCCTCTCCCGCCAGAAGCTTCAATTCACGAGAGTGATTTCAATAACAATGGTTCGCATTATCGAAGATTAAAAGAAGCTGCGATCCTGAAGCTGGACATAGGTTGGTGAAAATATTTATACTTTCGCTCGCTACGGCAACGCGGCTCACCCCGAGCCTGCTTCACAATCGACTCACATTTGCTTTTAGCAGGGTTTCCAGGTTAATACCAGATAGAAACTAGTTTCGCGCTAGTAAAACAATTTCTAAATATCTACCACAACTTTATATCATCATCCTCACTTACCAACCCAAGTCATATTCCTAATTTCATCACAACGCAGCCAGCACCATGGCAGAATCAACAAGCTTCGCCAATCTCCCTGTGGAAATCCTCCTTCTCATCAATTCCAACCTGAATGGTACAGGTGACATCAATGCCATCTGCCAACTGACACGTCGCCTCTATCATCTCTTTCTTCCAGAAGTCTTTGACCGCCATCTTGCCTGGGCGAGAACTGTTGATCGCCCTAAGAAGGAGCGCGATTGTCTCATTGCGATATTTTTGCACGCCGTTAAGTTCAATTCCTCGAACTTGATCCAGCAGCTATTTTGCTATAGGGAGGTTGTGGATTTCAAAGGGTGAGTTCACCTTAACATCTATATTCATGTTCGTTAAGATGATGCTAAGAATTATCCCAGATGTCTCCCAGGCACACCCTTCTCACATTACTCAATCACCTATCTTCACTTTGCTGTCTCCATGGATGCTCCAGTCATTGCTTCACACCTGATGAAGCACGGTTCGTCCTCTGAATTCAGCATCGACAGTCTCAGCACCACATATCCAGATCTCACACCGCTCTACATGGCTCTTGCTCGGCCACACCTAATCACTCAGCATGAACTCAATGCTGCTCTGCGTATCGCCTGCTCCTACGCACTTCCACGCACCGCAGCATTCCTCCTTGCTCGTGGTGCAGATGCACGAGCAGTCTCGAATTATGGTATTTCCGTTCTGCATGCCACTCTCACTCGTCGAGCTCGATGGAGGTACTTCGACGAGTTCTATGCTTACATGGAGCCTTCCGTTCCACCAGCTACTCTGTGGGAGGAGTTCATCTGGGCCACCACAAAGAATCTAGTTACTTACGGTGCGAACCCTAGACTGAAAACCGACAATTCAAGAATGCATTCCTGCGACACCAAGTGCTGGCAATCAGTCAATTGTGAGCACAGCCAGCAGACTCCAACCCATCTTGCCGCCGCCAGCGGATTTCGCAGCGTTGTACGATACCTTATCAAGACAGTCGGCCTGGGTATTCTGAGTGAGAAGAATGGTGGAGGGTATACACCACTGTATGAAGCATTGGTGCAAGGTCATGATGTTACTGCGACGTACATCCTACGGAAGCAGCCGCTTACTCCCAATCCAATTGTCAGAGCAGAAGATAATTCGACGGCCTTGCATATTGCGTCGAGGTTTGCGCTTGAGCATGTCATCACGTATATTCTCGAGCACGGCGCGAAGAATGATATCAATTGCGAGGATGCGAAGGGCCGAACACCTTTGCACGAGGTCCTCTCGCAGGATAATATGGAACGCGAATATGAGATCGTGGGTACATTGCATATCCTGGCCAATGCTGGCGCTGACCCAGATCATGGCTTCATTACTGATTGTCATTCTTCTGCAAAGTCGTCGATGGGAATGAGGAAGATCGAGACACCTCGGCAAATGGCTAGGAAGCACGCCTTTGTATCAGTCCGAGATATGTTCCGTTTTGAAGAGGAAAATATCTACAGAGATTGGTGCGAAGAAGCGAAAGAAGAGAGTGATAAACGCGTGGCGAACGCGACTGCAAGCTGGGGCAACGATGAGAACACAACATTGGAGCCTACGATTACCGCCGAAATACCGGTGAAGACGAAGAAGAAATCCAAAAAGCAAAAGGAAAGAGCGGCTGTCAAAGAGCATGAGCAGAATTTCCCTGCTTTGAATGGAACTGGTGGTGCGGCAAAGCCAAACGAGAATCTCCCGCCACAGCTCCACAGAGGTGGTCATGTCTCGAGAAAATCAGCGGAGTGGGAGAAAATTCAGTCGCCGAAGGTTCTGAGAACGGAAGTTGTGGACAGTCTTGCAGTGAAACCAGTCGCGATAGATGTGGGAGTAGATCAGAGCAGTAATGATAGAATGTCGAAAAGCAAGGCCAAGGGTGGGAAGAATAAGTGGAAGAAAATGATATTCTAAAAGACAAAGCAAACGGTGTTAGAAATGTTGAAAGAAGGCAAAAAGAAGTTCGGCTGAGATAGACGGCTTTGATACAACTAAACAACGGTTGATAGAATCGAGAAAAATGACAGAAACGACCTTGATTGATTCCCGACTATGTTCCAGGGAATTTTGCTTACTTAAACTATAAACATCTCCTTCGAACAGCATAAAACTATGCACTATCAAACCTCAAGTCACGAGGCCTCAGAGGATTTGTCGGTCTTGTCACCTTATCATGTGCTCATGTCAAACTCCAGTATAGCCATCTTCCCTTCATAACCCTCATTACTCGTCATCCAAACATCGTCTTCCGGGGCTCCAAACACGAAAGTTTATACCAACATCCGTAAATCCTTCCAGATCGATTCGCGGAAGTCCATTGAGTGGGCCACCGTGTCCTGGCTCCTCCATAGAGAGGATCTTGGCCATGTAAATCACTAATCGCGTCCACGGATCCGAGGTTAACTCTCAGTTCTGGAATTTGGAACTCTGCGTGGAGGCTGTATTTCGTGTCAGGCCAGTGTTATTATTCTTTGGCATATGTCGGCTCAATTCCATCCTTCTGTGACAGTACAAATCTTGAGGGTGATTCTATTCATTGGCATGGGAGGTGTGGAGATGCCGAATTTGATGTCGTTTGTGGCTGGTCTGAAGCTCCCGCAACTCTGCATGGGTGCTGCGATATAGCTTTTAGTATTGGTCGGGTTTGAGAACTGATGATTAAAAGCCTAATGCTTGGACAGAAATCGGTGCTGCAAGAATTGCGCGGTAGTAATTGTCTACGGCATAGATTGGAGTGAGACAAAGCAGACATGGGCTGGCCTCCTCGGGACACGGTCATCCCTTGGAGGATGGGATTCCATCTTCCCAGCTACATTCTCAAGCCCCAGTGACAACATAGAAAAAGTCCATACCAACAAAGAGCAGTATTTTGATACACAAAAGAAAGAAGGATAGGACGGGAGCAGACAACCTACGCCAACATTTGCAAGGCGTAGAAATGACTACAACTGATCTGACCTCATTTATATCACAGTGTACCACAATATCAATACCCAGCAACAAAGCAATATATGAAAATAAGAAATGTGCATCATACAGTTCAAAGATACAACGGTCGTGCGGGAGTTAGAGCTGCCAGCTGAGGAGTTGGGTTACCATGGCAAATATTGGGTTTCCCGAGTGCTGACTGGGCGATCTAGTACCCTGGCTGCATGGCTTCTTCAAGTTCTGACGACATTATGATACTTTGCAGCACCTCAGTGCTTGGAGGTGCAGAATGTAGCCGGTGGATGTACAGCGCGCTAGGATTGTGCAAGTGTCGATCGCGGTGCTCCAGAGGCCGGTGATTGGCTTCTGCCCATTGAGATATTCCACTTGGTAGTTTTTGAAAGTGGATTCAGTATGGACCGTTATCCAACTTAGATTACTTTTGCTAACGCGTTAATAGGCTGGCGGATCTAAATTGTTGTCACAAAATCTTCTTCTCTATGGTGCTGAAGCTTTATTAGCTCTGGAGGTGGTGGTAAGACTGACATCCAAGTGCTAATAAGTACTGATTTGTTTAGCATATTGGAAGGTGGCTCAGAATTGAAAATATGCTCATCCCACAAGAATGTCATGGAAATAGAAGATCAGTTCTTAAAGGGTGTTATAAGTACACTCTGATATATTTCCCCCGAAAAGCTAGAAGTTCAATTATCCTAACCGGCTTTAAAGATGCATAATATGTATGTATGTACCTAATCCAAGCTCAAACCAAACTCAACCTCACATTTCTGACAAGCGCATCCAAAATTCCCACCTGCGCTCCATCAAGCAACACCTACTGCATATGGTGTTTCTAAGCAAGAACAACAACAACAACAACAACAACATCCAGCAATATGTCCACACCCCAAGAAACAGCCACCTCCCATCCCACAACAATCTCCAGAACAACTAACTCCTCTCGCTCCCCAACACACCCACCTCTCAAAACAATAGCCCTTTCAAACAGTACAGAGAACCCAATCTCAATCTCAATCTCACAAAGCCCCTCTTTATCCCCCCGAACAGTCGACCCCATGTATCCGGCGCGAACAAACAGACAATGAAGCAAACAAAGCCTCGACCTCGACATGATAAAGAAGACGGGATCGGGACGATAAAGTCGGAAAATGCTGCAGAAGGTCGACAATTTTCCGAGCTTGATCGAGAGATCTATCTTCGCGCGTTCGTAAAGATTTCTTCACGGCACGCACGATCCGAGTCGAGTCGATCTCGCAAAGTTACCTAGACATTTCTAGCGCGAAGGTGGTCATCAATTGGCTCGTTGACGGTGTGCCGAGAATTGGGTTGATCAGGCGGGACAGGCTCGCTTGGGGCTGGCTGGCTGGATCGCTCGCTCGCTCGCTCGCTTAGAGTGTGTGTGGGTGAGGAGAAAGTCAATAAACTGAACTGGACAAGGGCCAAATAAGCTTGAGGTAACAGAAGCCGAATTAGAATCATAGGCACGCACAAGCAGCTGTTTTGCTTGATACTGAGGCAAAGACAAAGACCAAATTCACAAGAGAAAAGCCGTATCGGTGCATTTCCAGAAATGAGACCTCGCAGACGTAGACCTGGACCTGGAAGAGGTCGTCCTGGCCTGCAGTGGCCGGGGCAGACCCAGTTTCGATTGGAACCATCTGGTGGAAAGCCATATGGCCAATCTGAAGAGAATGGTGAGGGAGAAAAGGAGGAGGATGGTGGTGATGGGAATGTAGAGATGTCTGATGTGTCGGATATGGGCCCTGTGCTGGATTACTTGAATGATGCAACGCAGCAACAGGAAGTTCCAACTTCTTTTGCACCGCCATATGCACCACCGCAACCACAAGTAGATTTCTCACAGTATCCGTATCAGTATCAGCAATCACAAGCCCAGGCAGGTCCCTCACAACCACAGAACCAACCTCGACCTCAACCTCTATCCCCAGACCCCTCACAACCCCTATTCATGGCCTACCGCCTCCCCTCACCCCCAATCCCCACCCCCCTTCCCCCCACCGGAACCCTCTCCCTCTCCCTCCCCCTCCCCAACATCGCCTCCCAAATTATGAGCTACCCCCGGCCACCACACCGCGACCCCACGGACGGGCGCGAATCCCGGCACGACCGCCGCCTCCTCAACACCTCGCCCAATACATGGTGGAACTCGTCGCCCTCTCAGCACCGCACCAACCCCACCAGCGACAAGTGCTGGCGGTGCTGGAAGCAGCGCGAGGCTCCCAAGTGCGACTTGCAGGCTACGGGGTATCCGTGTACGCCGTGCAAGGAGAATGGCAGGGGCGGGGAATGTAGGAATGGACTGCCGACTCGGGAGTGGGAGATGGAGATGTTGAGGAGGAAGGATATGGGGGAGGAGTTGGTGGGGAGGTCGCCGATTTTGAGGGGGAGGGGGGGTGGGAGATGGAGGAGAGGAGGGGGGAGTGGAAGTCTGAGGGGTGGAGGGAGAGGGAGAGGGGGAGGGAGAGGGAGAGGGAGAGGAAGGGGAAACGGGAGGGGAAAGGGGAGAGAGGTGGTGGCTTTCGATGATGATGAGGAGGAGAAGGAGGAGGATGAGGATTGCGATGGTGATGGTGATGATGATGATGATGTCCCATATCAGGGACCTCCGAACCGTGCTGGGTCAACTCGAAGACCAGGACTAAGACCAAGACGTGCACCGCCTCAAACCAACGATACTGAAGATTTCGAAATCAAGATCCTAGCGAATGGTTAGAGGATCAGAGTAGAGTCCGCTGCCTCCGTCCAACGGAGAATGAAAAGACTGCGATCTGACGACGGAGATGAAGATGACGATGACGATGATGGCCATGCTGCATCAGTACAACACAGAGAAAAAGTCCGCCGAAGCAGTTCCCTAAACAACAGGAACAACGCTCGTCCGTGCGATCGATGCATGAGGATGGACTTGAACTGTCCTGGAGAAAGGCCTTGCTTTCTCTGCCTAATGAGCGGTAGTACTTGTACAGAATCTTGCACGAATCTGCCTTACATTGCAGCTGCGACGCCGCCTTTTGTGAACAGTACCATTGAATCGCCTCCAGCACCGCGAGCACGACGGAGGTTCTTCACTCCACCTGGGAATGAAGATCTCTATGGTGCATCGCCAGTACCACCAGCACAGGGGATGAACTTTGATGATCCATTCGGGAATGAGGATACTTACCAGGGATTGCCGCCACATTCTACACCAGCTCAGCCAGAAGATGAGATGCTCTTCCCTCAAGCAGAAAGTGGCGACGAAGATCTCTATTCCGTTTCACCACCACGCCGCCAATCCCAAGCAGAATCAGCACCACAACACGATCCCTGGGCCGCCATTGAAGACGACGTATTGAACCTCAGCTTCCCATCTCCAGGAACCAACGCAGGCGAAGCCGAATACCTCGCACAAATCAACAAAGCTTTACCCATGGATATGGATATTTTCGATCCTGAAGTCGACCCCAACGTCGCCATTGCCATGAACATGAATACCCACCCACCGTACACGGTGAATCAAAGAACTGCGTCGTATGAGGAGCAAATGGATAGGAGATTGCGGGAGTTGACTGTTGCGTCGCAGAGTTGGGCGACTGTTGAGCCCGAGATGCCTGCTGAGGATGGGAATAGTAATACAGTACAACAGCACGGGCAGCAAGGATCGCGAGAATTGTCGGCCGATTGGTTTGGGAGGGTGGATCAGCAGGGAGATACTGATTCAGAGATGGTGAGTTCTGATCCGTTAGATCAGGAGGATGACTTTAGTTTTGAAGAGTATCTGAATGACCTCACGACGCCAGATTTGGGACGAGATTCGCTTTCAAATCCAGGTCCGGCTACAAACTCGGAGACAAGTCCGAATCTAAATGTAGACCCGGAGTTCCAGGAGGCTTTGAATCGAGAGGCGCAGAGGAGGAGGCCGGAAGCGTATCAGGAATATCGTCGGAATAGCCCACGTCAACCACAACCTTCTGCTGAAGCGACAGAGTCTTCGGTATTCCAGTTTCAAGCAGGATCATCGAGACCAGGTTCAAGTCGAGCAGAGAGTTCTTTCTCACCAGGTCAAGCTCCACCACCAGCTCCAGTTCCCGGTCGTCGAACCCTCCAGGCACGATCCAACTCGCAACCACCCACCAGCTTCACACCCTTCCAGCCCCGCCGTCCTCAACCACCATCCACACAGCGCCCAGCACAACCCATCTCCTCAATCGCCACCTGGTCCTGGGACGGCAGCCGCGCCATCGACGGGCCCGACATCTGGCCCTTCAAAAACCTAACCGCCAAGCGCCTCACCCCGGGTGATTACACCGAAGCCATCTTCGCCAACATGCAAAACACAGGGAACTGCGACGAGATGCCCCGGTACCAAGCCATCCCCGACCTCGAACCCTTCTCAATCCACATCTCTAGCCGGATCCTCTGCGGCGAAACCCCCGTGAAAGATTGTGGGGTTGCAGAGCACGCGCAGGGAGAGCATACGGTGCTGCCGTTCCTGACTTGTTTGAAGTGCCATGTTGCGAGGAGGGACCGCGTGCCGCGACTGCAGGAGAATCTGGAGAGGAGGAAGGTGTTTTTGTGTGGGGGGTGTGTGGAAGTTGTGAGGGGGGAGGAGGAGGCGGGGAGGGTGGAGGTTAGAAAAGAGTGTTTGTGTAGGGAGTCGATTGATAATACGTGGTTGTGTCATATGCATGGTCGGGAGGTGGAGGAGGAGTTTGCCTCTGCAGTGCTGAATGCGGAGGCGGCGTTGATGAGGCTAGGGGTTAGAGGGAGGTGTATTGCTTGTGCTGCTGAGCCTGAGGATGATGAATCCGGGGTTTGGTCATGTATGATTTGTAGGGATTGGGTTTGGAGTAATCCGGGTAATGCGGGAGGTCCTAGGCGGTAGAGGAGTTCGTCAGGCAAGATGGCTGGTTATTTAGCGCCCTCGAGTTGTACATAGAAATATTATGATTCGTATAAAGTCGTTGTTGCTGCCCTACCTATGAATGTTAGTAAAGTCAACAGAAACAAGTGATTCCACGTGAGACCCCTTTTCTCATCCTAAGCGAAAACAAACAATCCCTTTGCTCTACTGTACTGGTGGATTAACGAGCCCATCCATTGCGCGACCAACAAAGCCGGTTCCCCCGCAATCAGCCAGATTGTCAAGCAGAATCCGCAAACATCAATTGAACAACAAAGATGAAAGAAGTCTTACGTGAAATAACAAGGAGCTATCAATTGCGACTTCGAATTCCATGCTCGATTTCGAGATTGCGCGCGTCGGACACTGCTTCCTGTAAAAGAAAAAGAAGACGTGACAAGAAAACTATTCTATCTGTACTCACTCATCTCGCCGAAACACCACATCAAATCATCACCATGTCAACCCCAGGTCCAAGTCCTGGATCTGGGTCAGGACCACCTGATGGCGATGACACCCCGAAAAAGCATTCCAAGAAGAACATGCGAGGCCGGGCGTACGTCGATGAGGACGCCGATAATGCGGAAGTGACACAACTTTACACGCAAGAAGATGAACGCCAAAAGCGTTCTACGCCGAGAAGTCGGATGAAGGGATGGGCGTATATTGATGAGGAGAGTGATGGTCCCGATTTGACGCATCTACATAGCGGTGAACCGATTGCTAGGAGAAGGAGGGAGGAGGAGAGAGCAAGTAGGGAAAGGGATAGTGGGGAGGGGCAGGGGAGAAGTAGAAATAGTACGGGTAGAGGGAGGAATGATTATTATAATGGTGAGGAGGAGGAGGAGCAGAAAGATGGGAATGAGAATATGCAGATGGGTGGAATGGATCATGGGAATGAACCTTACCCTATAGGCAGCATGAACGACCCGCCTGCCTCATCCGACTCCCCTTTCCCTACACCACCTGATCTCGAAGGTTTACCACCTCCAAATCAACCCAACACATTGATCCCCGTTCCTAGACACCCAAACGGTAGAGCCGAAAGACGACTCTTGAACGTCGACAAGAGCATGTGGTGGAACCAGGAGGGGCAGGGCCACACGAATCCACCGAGTGATTGCTGCTACGAGTGTGTGGTAGTGCACAAAGTATGCGATGTTCTCAGAATAGGTTACCCATGTACGAGGTGCGAGCAGAGAGGCCTGAACTGTAGGAACGGCTTGCCGAGTCAGAAGTGGGAGAAGAAGCAGATTCTGGCACAGACGGGTGTCGCTGTACAATCCAGGCTTCAGTCTCATGGGACGTCAATGGGTGCTGGGAGCCAGGGGAGGGCAAGGACTGACACGGGGGCTTTTGCGCCGGGTAGTAGTGTTAGTAGTGGGCGAGGCAGAAGAAGCGCTAATGCCGGTTCTTCGACCCCACAGAGTGGTGATAGCACACCTAGGACCATTGTCGTTGACACGTCCGTTGCTTCGTCTTCGAGAGGGGGCAGGAGAGGAAGACCAAAGAGAGCAAGAAGCGCCAGCCCAGAAAGAGACAACGGCGAAGACAGCATTGGAGAGAAAATTGAAGATGAAAATAATGATGATAACAATGGCGGGAGAGATGGCGGAGGAAAGCGCCTGTATAAACGCCGCAAGGCAACTCCCCTAACCGACGACCAGTACGAAAAGAAATTCGGCATAAAACGTAAGTGTAAAGAATGTTCCAGGCTGAGGGTAACATGTCCGGGAGACAGACCATGTGACAGATGCCTTAGGACGGGGAAGCCGTGTGAGCCAGCACACGGTGATGGTCTGCCGTATTCTGCAGCTGAACCTCCGCGTAACGAAGATAATGAAGACGATGATGCGATTCCCGTCGCGTCGTCAAGTAGTAGACCTGGGTCAGGACGTCCACGCGGACGACCGAGAGGGCGAAAAAATGCTGCTCCGCCCGTAGATCCTCTTGAACGGATATGGGCAAAGTTCAATGGGCTCTTCAACCCATTCAACTACAGCAGACCGGAAATGGAAGGAGTTCCAACAGCTGATGTTCCTACAGCCGATAGGATGGGTCCTCTACCAGCTCCTACACCGCCAATCTGGCACGCGGCGCGCAATCAACGTTTAAGGGATGTTCAAGATGATGCTCAGCGCGACCTCGACCGGGATATCCAGCGTCGTCTCCAGGAAGCTCAAAGATTGGAAGAACATGTCATGGGAAACCTTGGTCCAGGCATGGGATTTGGAGGGACAGCCGAACTGGTCCATCGGCCGCGCTGGGATGCGCAAGCTGCTCGGGAGACTTGGTTCTCCAACGCCAGCTCTGCGGCTGTCCCTGTTGTTTTCCGGCAGGAGCCAGAACCATACAATGTCAATCGACCATCGAAACCGGTGCCAGACTTCGGGAGAAATATGGTGAACATAGGCGTGTCTATCAACTCCCAGGTACCGCCACCGCCCCATGGAGACCAGATTCCGTGGATTGCGACGTGGAATTTTGAGGGTCGGAATACCACAGAGACGAGGGGTCCGTTGGGTTGGCCGTACCCTACTATTGGTCCTCTTGATCATGGCCACAAGCATAACACGTCTGGGATTTTTGATCCAGTGAACTGCTGTGAGAATGTGAATCAATTTTCTGAAATGTTTGCGCCTGATGAGGTATGTAATGCGGGTCCAGCAATGATGTGTGAAGTGTGGCCAGAGTATGACAGAGGCCAGTAAGTCATTTCTCTACATCTCCAAATCAGAAGAGTGTAAATGAACGTGAGATGAATATAAACTAACCCCTTAATAAGTCAACATAATCCCTGGTACACATGCAACGTTTGCCGTCACAAACAATGGGACTTCTACGCCGAGAAGCAACAAGAGATATTACTCCGACAGAAACTCTACGCCTGCTCAGACTGCGGAAATCAGATCCGGAAAGAAGGTCGAAGCTGGCCTAAAGAGTGTCTCTGCTATGCCACGAAGACATGTCGCGATCTGTGCCATCTGCATAGAGAGCAGGTTGAGAATGCTGCTGAGGGGCCGATCCTCATTGCTGAGGATTACCTGATCCGGAGTGGCATTTTGAGGAATGAGTGGGATACTTGTATTAACTGTGGCAAGGAGGATGCGAATCCGTATTCGGAGGTTTGGTCTTGTAAGCTTTGTAGAGAGTGGGTGCAAGATTCGGGACGGACGTGGATTGATAGGAGGCGAAGAGTTGGGGAGAAGCGATGAGGTTGGTGAGGAGGAGTCAAGTTTGGACTTGTAGCAAATAGAGAAGAAAGTCATGTTCGGTGATGTCGAAGATTGCTGTTGCCATATCGCAGGAACTTCAGTCTGAACGTGGTAGGTTAGTCCTTGATGTGGTCTCGTTCAACCTGAGTGTAGATGCAGGCTGGACGTTGATGTCCAACGGTCACGAGCCTTGGCATTCGCTTCAACCTGCCTTCTAGTCACGCGCCTCAGAGTCAACGTAAACACCTTCCACTACTACCCAGCTAAATCTTCAAGTAGTATACTGAGTGCATCTCCAGATTCACCGATTCTTGAGTGAGATAAATTACTTTGTCTTGAGAATTATCTAGCGTGACGAGCTGTTTAAAGCCGAATGATTAATTTGCCACCTAGCTCATACAACTCGTGAGGAAAGGAAGCCAGCCGAAAGGTAAATAAATCTATCCAGACCTCCAAAGTGCACAAGTAAAGCCAAGTCTAAAATCTCCATACGAAATTGAATTCGAGATTGTTCAGATTGGCATGGGGCGATCTTATCTTGATGAGTATTTAGCAGAGATGGGATGGGATGGCGGGCGGAGATTATTTAGATACGAGATGATTTTGACGGTGGAGTGGTGGAGTAATGTCTGTCACTTGTCAGATGTGTCTGTCACTTGTCAGATGTGTCTGTCACTTGTCAGATGTTGCCCGAAGAGCTTATAGTTTCTTTTTGACGGTATCCTACTTAATGCAAAGAATGCAAAGAAGGCAATCTGTAAAGTTTGATGTTAAGGATCTGCATCTTGAGATATCAGAATTCCAGATACCGAGATGTCAGAGAGTTGTTAGTGTCCAAGATCCAGGACGCCGCGTGCTCGCTTGGAAAGATGAAACGTTCCCCGCGGGACCGACCCGATGATCTTAGCTTGAATTGCGAGTAGTGGCATCAACTCACCACCCACCCTCCCACCGAGACCGAGCCCCCCATCGGCTTGTTCCCGTTGCTTGCATGCATGCACGCATGTGGTCGTTGAAACGTGGAGATTGGCTTGTCCTCGTTTCGGATCTGTGGCATCGAAGCTTTCTTTGCTTCTTTGCTTCTTCTATCTCTCCGTTTCCTGCCTAGATAAGCGGCGGGAGAGGAGTCTGAACTACGATGGTGGAAAATGGCATTGTATGGTGATTGTGGTGGTGGGTATCTGATGTATGGCGATGGCCCGGCTGTTTGACGTGAAGATATACCCGTATTAAGATCGGCGTTTGTACTGCTGCCTCGAGGATGGTAGATAGTGACATAGTCAGAAGTTTGCTAGAGTGCCGTGTTGATCTTGGGGCGTTTCCTTGCCCTCGGTCTCGGGGTGTGAGCTTGAGGGACCTCGAAGTTGAGAATGTGACCGTGCTTGGTTAAACTCCGTACGAATACGGATTATGGAATCGGCCGGTTGATGATTCTTACTCCTGCAAATGCTAAGTTCTGTTCGTTGGAGGCACAATTATCCGTTGAGCAGAATGCGGGACTGCGGCTTGGATCCTCCTGGATGAAGATAGTTAGTCCGTCAGTCAGTCGTCTTCGTACCTGTGCCCCTATTATTCCACCACCACCAACACAATCCTCCAGGCTGAAAGCTCATGCAAAGGTGTACTGAGCTCCATCCAAATAAACCAATGATTCTCTGACATTGATGTTTCTTACCGCCAACAGCTCGCGCGCTTCCCTTCCTCACAGTGTTGTGTTCCTCTCTCCCATTACTCGTATCTGACTGGACCTCCTCGATCCCATACAGAGCTGTCACTACGCACCCGCGCACCAGAAGCGCAAAAGAACATGCACCGAATGTCCTCCCCTGGCACATCCGAATCACACAGGGGTGGATAGAGTGTCTGCGTGATTGGACAGGGCTGACGAAGTGGGAGACGTCCAGGCACTCAGGGGATACTGGTTGGCTGGATCTCCATACCCATGAGAGGCTGCTGGAGCTTCCCAGTGGCTGGCGGGCCAGGCGGGTCGCCCATCATATTGGGTGGTGGATGTGGGTTGGGTATGGGTGGGTGGGTAATGGTACTAATGGAGGGTGTGGTTTTTGCACTCCATCGCTCTGCATGTTGCTGCAGGATGATATTGGGGAGTTGAACCTGGGGATAAAGGGAAGAGATGATGTTTATATTTATATATATACCTATATTATAAAAGATGTCAAAGGAGGGAAGGTTATTTAGGTCCGTACCTAAGGTAGGGTATTGCCGTATTGGTAAGGCACAGAAGTGGAATACCAGAGAAAGGATATAAACGAACTAAGCCTAACACAGCAATTCTGCTCCTGATAACCTCCGCGCACGGGTCGCCCTCCTGCCCTGTGCGCTCGTTCAGACCCATCCTGCACCTGCACCGTTCTCCCAGCCAGTCAAGTCCCCTTCCCACATTTCTCTCACCTTTGACCTCTCCTCTCCTCTCCTCTCCTCTACTGTCCTGCCCTGCCCTATCCTGCCCTGTTCCTTTTCATCAACAGAGTTCCTATCCTGCTCCTCATCCTCGTCTGCTGTATGTCAAGTCAGTAGTCGAGTCGTCTCACCAGTCATTGTCAGAAACAAAGACTCCAATCCAGTCCAATCCAATCCAATCCAATCCGTGCTGCTGCGCTAGCCACCACCCATCAACACCAGTCCAATCGCGGCCCCGTGTCTTGTCTTCCGTACCCGAAGAAACAATCCTCGACCTCCCTACCTTACCTTGCCTTGCCTTGCCTTGCCTTGCCTCAAGGACAACCCTTCTTCCAACAACCTTCCCTTACCACCAACACTACTACTGCACCACCACTACTGTATCACGACTTTGACTTCTGCCCGATACAACCATCCATTCCTACCCCTCCGTCCCGATACCATCGGCCGTTGCCCCGTCTGCAACCCGCTGCATCTGTCAATCCGTCCTTCTTCACGATCCAGGACAACGCCATAATAATATCCTCCGCAAAAACAAATCAATCGATCAATCGCATCCCTTACGATCGCAGATCATTCCGAGTCCGACGCTTCCCTTCACAGGCCAAGCTAGATTCCCTGCCGGGAAAAAAGTATCGCACGCACTGCTTTGCTTGCATTCAGTTTCAGACCACCACTCTAACCGACGCGAACGACCGTCCTACCTGCATCCTGTCCACATACCGCACTGCAACGCCCATCAATCAATCAAGCAATCGATCGATGACCAGTGGAGGATAAGTTAATCAAGTTCAATCCTTCTGTCGCCTGCCAGAAATAGATAAACGCGAAATAAAGGGAACCGAAAAGCAAGATAAGATGGCTTCAAAGGTAAGCAGAGAACTGCCTCCACATCACAGCTAGCTCAGCCCCTTGCTTCCATTTCATTGGTTTGATGGTGGGATTGATCCCACGATCTGCTATCTTCTATCTATAATCTATCTTCGAGATGTGTTTTCATGGCAAAGAGGTAATTGCTGATTCGATACCTGTGCTACAGTTCTTAAGAGAGTATAAGCTCGTTGTTGTAGGAGGAGGTGGCGTTGGAAAGTCTTGCTTGACTATCCAGTTGATACAGAGTCATTTCGTTGATGAATATGATCCAACAATCGAAGGTACTTCCCCTCTCGTCCATCTACTACCATAACCTATCAATCCATCACATGCATATCAGAATGCCCTCCACAAGAATCATCCAGCTAACATCCACCCCACCCAGATTCCTACCGCAAGCAATGCGTAATCGATGAAGAAGTAGCCCTCTTAGACGTCCTCGACACAGCTGGCCAAGAAGAATACTCTGCCATGAGAGAGCAATACATGAGAACAGGCGAAGGTTTCCTCCTGGTATACAGCATCACATCCCGGCAATCATTCGATGAAATTCTGGTTTTCCAACAACAGATCCTCCGGGTTAAGGATAAGGATTATTTCCCTATCATCGTGGTTGGTAATAAGTGCGATTTGGAAGGCGAGAGACAGGTTTCTAAGCAAGGTATGTTGATTTTTTCTCTTATTACGAAGTGCTGCAGGTCCTCCAGCCGATCCTGCCTCAAATTTCCAAGATTGTAGTGGAAACCAGCGGATCGTGGCTTGGAGATACAGACATATCACATGCGTCCTCTCCAAACCTAAACCCCAACCCCTTAACATACAACACAGAAGATTCAGCAAGCTAACCACCTCTTTTCACCTTCCAACAGAAGGCGAAGCACTAGCCCGCTCCTTCGGCTGCAAATTCATCGAAACATCCGCCAAATCGCGCATCAACGTTGACAACGCCTTCTACGACATCGTCCGCGAGATTAGACGCTACAACAAGGAGATGGCGGGATACACAGCCGGTGGCGGAAGCGGATCGGGAAGCGGTGGCCCCTCGGGCAAGTTGGAGGTTGGTGAGGGCGAGAAGCAGAGGGGCTGCTGTGGGGGATGTGTAATTATGTAATTTGGTGTTGGTGTGTGGTTGTGTGGATTTGATTGTGTGGATTTTCGAGTGTGGTTCTTTTCTTGCTGGTGCTGGTTGGGTTTGATTTTTGTTTGTGGGTGAGGGGGAGAGAGTAGAGGGGGTTGTGGAATGTGGAATGTGGAATGTGGAGGGATATTCGCAGTGAGGTGGAGGAGATGTGAGACGGTTGTTTTGTGAGGATGATGATGATATAATCTGGCTGGGGGGAGCTTCTTCTTTTTCTTTTTTCTTGATGGAGTGCTATATGTTTGTGGATGGGAGATGGGGGATGGACCGATCGATCGAGCGAGCGAGCGATAGATGAAAGACGCGCTGCTTAGTGGGAGGAGAAAGTGTGCGAGTACGGAGTACATTGCGTTGATACTGCGCTGCTGCTGAAATGGGCATATTTTGCTGGATGGATGGAGGGGGGAGGGAGGGAGCATTCGCATTCGCATTCGCATTTTCTGACAGACAGCCAGTGCTGGCTGGGCAACGTGTGTGGTTAGATGTGTGGAAGCTCGCTAGCTAGCTACTTTGTCTAGCTAGTAAGTAAGTAAACAAGCAAGTGGCTGTGGCTGTGGATTGCATGACAGACAGTGAGAGAGAATTTGAGAATTCAAAGAAATACAGAAGAGAGTACGAATTGAAAGAAATATGGCTGGTTTTTTTTTTTTTTTTTTGCAGTAATACCTACCTACCTACCTACATGCTTGCTTCTCATTCGGGGTAGGGCGGGGGACGGGGGGTAAATCTGTTTTTCTTCTGAACCCCCCCCCCCAATCCCACCGAGCTTGAATTTGTCGGTTTCTTTCTTGGCTTGTTAGGTTAGGTTAGGTTAGGTTAGGTTAGTTTGTGGTAGTGTATTATATGGCGTGGTTGGTGGTGCATGTCAGTAAGGTAGGTAGGTATCAGTATCGGTCGGGCGCTTTTGGAGCTTTTCTGGAGCTTTTCTGGAGCTTTTCTGGAGCTTTTCTGGAGCTTTGTAGAGCTATCTATCTTCATTTGCTCCCTTGTTTTTTTTTGGATTTTTTTTTTTTTTCGGATTTTTCGGCGGATAGATGGATGGATAGATGAATGGATGGATGGATGGATGGATGGATGGAACTTTCCGAGGTGTTTGTTGATTGATTTGATGGGTTGTGATGTGATGAGGATGGAGATTGGGAGGGGAGGTAGATTGGTATGGTAGATTGGTATATTGGTATGGTATGTTGGTAGGCTGGTTAGTAGGTTTGTAGGTTAGTAGGGTTAGTAAATTGGTAGATTGGTAGTTAGGGAAGTGATGAAGTGAGTTGTTTGGTTTGATTTGAGTTATAGATTTATATGTGGCGTGGCGTGGCGTGGCGGCGTTGCGTGAAGTACCTACCTACCTACCTACCTACCTACCTACCTAGGTACCTATCACGTTGATATGATGTGATATGATATAATATAAGTTATCTCTCTCTATATATAATATGTATATACATAATACATATATGTAAATATTAACTAATATTATTTAACATTACTACCTGAGGTCACTACCTACCTTAGGTTTAGTATTATATTTCCTAAGGTAGGTAGGTATTCAGTTCTTTACAGATCCCTAGGTACTACTTACCTACTCAAGTAAGGTAATCTATTAAGTTGTAGCAGATCATGAAATATGGTATAATATTATGTTCTATCTACACTACACTCCTTTCCCTTCTCCTTCTCTCTTCTCTCTTCTCTCTTCTCTCTTCTCTCTTCTCTCTTCTCTCTTCTCTCTTCTCTCTTCTTCCTCATGTTTATTTATCCATCCATTCATCCATCTATCTCTCCATTTAGATATTATCCTTCCCTCAACGTACCCCTACGAACGAACCCACACCAGTAAAAAAAGCACAAACCAATTTATATATATCCCTTTTATGCCTGCCTCCTCTCCTCGGAAATGAAATCCTGCTCTTCTGTTCTCTTCTGATCTGTTCTGATCTGTGCATCTATCTGATCTGCATACCTCCTGTACTACCTACCTACTCTCCCCCTCTCTCTCACACACGAGCAGTGATTTAGTAAGGTAGGTAGTGGTAATATAGTTATTCTTATTCTTGTTACTCTTATTGCTGTGTTCCTGTCCCTATGTCCCTATATCCATATACCCACGCCACGCCATGCCATGCCACGCCATGCAATGAGAAATGCATGTAAACAAGCAAGTAAGTAAGCAAGCAAGTGCTTAGGTAGGTAGGTATCAAGTGCGCACACCCACCCACCCCGCCATTATATCCCTCCTCCATCTAGCCACTGCATCCATCCCACTCCACCCCATCCCTTACATCCCATCCACCCCATCCTCCCACAGCCCCTCGAGCTCATTCTCGTTCACAGAAAATATATCTTAACTTATCTTATAGCAGCGCTGCACCGATACATAAGGTACGATGAAAAAGGCCAAAGGCCAAAGCCAAAGCCATGCCGTACACATACACATAGAGAGAGGCAGAGGCACACAGACAGGCAGGCAGGCTCGGGTGAAGCAGGCAGGCCTACCAAGGAATGAGTATGCCATGTATGCATACCAATGAATACCCAAGAAGTTCCTCTCCTCTCCTCTGCTCTGCTCTGCTCTCCTCGCAGGCATCAATGGAAAGGACCTCGTCACATCAACAGAGCAGTAAGCGAAGCCAGTCCCTCATCCTTTCTCTCCCCAATTTCCCCAGCACACACAAAATCCCAAAACCTCCACAATCCCCTCCCCCATCCCCACCCTACGCAGCCCCATTAACCTTCCCATTCGTCGCCGGCACCACCAAATTCCCATTCCCATTCCCAATCCCATTCCCCAAATTCCCACTCTTCTCACTCAACTCCACGCCCTCCTCCATCTTCTTCGCCAGCTCCCCCACCCCCTCATCTGCAGTAACGAACCGCACCGGCTCCGGTCTCGTAGCAGGAACCAACTCTCCTTCTTGGAGTTCGTGCGCGGGCGTAGTGGGTTGAGTTGGAGCTTCGAGCTGGGATTTCGTGGGGACGAGGAGGTTGGTTGGTCTGGTTTCTTGCACTGCTTCTGATGTTGTAGATGGCTCAGTTTCGTTTTCAGTAGCTGTCTTTGCGTTCTCGAGGAGTGCGGTGGAGGTTCCAGCTGTGGCGTCGCCGTTTGTGAGGCCGTCGATATCCTGGGTGATTCCCAGTGTCCTCGTAACCGTACAGATCTCCTCATCTCTCTGTTTCCCTGCTACACTGCCCACAGCTAAGGCAGTCATCTCCCTAGTCTCCTCTCCCAACTTGCCTTCTACCTTCTCGCCATCGGTATTCTGCCAGTACATTGGTCCGTGCGGGAAATCTTTATTCTCGCCTTCCCACTGTACGATTTTCGAGATGGCGGGGTCGAAGACTGGGAGGTCGCCGAATGTGAATTCTAGCTGGCCGCCGTATTTTTTGGGGATGTTCATGGGGTCGATGAAGGATTCGAGGGTCTTTTGCATGTCGCTGTGGGAGAGGATGAAGATCTTGGAGGTGGTTATTGGGTCGAACCATTTCTTGATCCAGCCCCATACCGTTGGGAAGAAGGCTGGGGCGCCGATGATCTGGAGTTGTTAGCCGTACGTCCTACTTGCACCTATTCCTCCCAATCCCTCTCCGTGCCTTCAATTGCAGAGGATCAAGTGTTTAGAAAAAAGCAAACTCACAAATATCCTATCTAGCGTCTCGGGATAATGCGCCGTAGCCAATGTACTGGCATCCTGCATATGTCCTCTCAAATTCCAAAACTGCTTCAACCCAACGCCAGAAATGTCCACAATATTATTACTCTGCGTGATCGGCGTCCGCGGGTGCTCTCTATCCGTCAGGGCCGTACATAGAGGCATCACGAACCGAATCAGATTCTCGTACAGCGCAAACAGACGCAGGAGTTTAGCAGGCGTCTTCCCGTCCGTCGTGGCTTTGCTGGAGGTTTCTTTGGCGGATTTCTCGTACGCGGACATGGTTTTTGCGTTCAGATGCTTGACTTCGTAGACGTAGACGGGGATTCCGCGACGGTCGCGTCGTCCTGTCCATTGAGGGTACTGTTGGTTATGTTAGTTGTGATGTTGGTTTGGTGAGGGGATTCGAGACGTACTAATCTGCGAGTCTCTTCATATTGTTCTAGGTCTATGGTTTCGTAGAGGGTATCTAGTTGATTTGCCTTGCGCCAATCTTCCGTATCTTGGAATTGCTTGAATGCATCTGCGACGGCGAAACGACGGGCTCGAAGGAATCGTCTGAAGGTAGGTATCTATATTAGTCTAGATGCTCTCGCGGATGCGCTAGGAAACCAAAACAAACTTACAATAATGTGGCGTCGTCGTGTGTACCGCCTTCCCCGGGTTTGTAGTACCCTTTCTCTTCGCACAAGATCTTGAAGTTCTTGAATGCGGTCTCTTCCTCGTCTGACAGATGTCCTAGATGGCCTTGAGGATATCCGTACTCCACCACGGCGGATTGGACTCTATGGGCGGGACCAGCTGTTGACATGGTTGCTGGTTGAGTTTAGGATTATTGACAGGGAGAAAACAGAAACACAAGATTGCGGATCGAGGGGGGTTTTGTTATCGAGGTCGCGCCTCTCGGCTCGGGACAGAAACGGATGTGTTGTTGTTGTGGTGGTGAATAAGGTAAGGATGGACTTCATGCTAGGTCCCACGGTCCCACGTCATCTGAAGACACGGCGGGAGCGGAGCGGAGCGGAGCGGTAAAAGAGGAAGTCCACGCCAGTGGATCCTTTTTCAATCTTTCTCTGCAAAGTCCGACGAAAAGAAGCAGGAAAATAAGAGGAAGAGTCTTTAAAGATTAGTCATATCATTATTCCTTTCGATAGAGTTGACGGTGAGAAATGGATCCAGAACGAGGCAAGCATGATCCTCTTTTTCAGCGCGCGCGCTGACGAGAAAAGAAGATGCTGGAGAGTGGATTCTTCCAGGTGAGGCTTTGATAAGCAGTAACCCGGATAGCGGGCGGATTTGGTCTTCTTTCAAGCCGCACCCGGGAACTTCGGCACGCTTGAGTCTTGAGTCTTGACTCTGGTCTGCTGGACAGTAGAGTGGGCATGGATTGATGGATGGAGGAGAGTCATGGACTCATGGTTGTGCGGGCACCGGCGCACAAGACGACTCCGGAGTGGGAGGGAGGCTTGCTTCGGAGGCCGAGAGGGCGGGCATTATTGTGAACAATGACGATGCAGACGAAGATTCAGAGAAGGAAACAAAGAAGAGGTCGAGGACAGAGGAGGGAAAGTTGATTTCTTAACCTGCACAAGGCTTGAACTTGAACCTTTTTAGGGGGCCTTGTTCAGACGAGGCATGAGAGGTCCAGGGCAGGGAGTGGTGCAGGGGAGCTCCAGGCCAGCTCGCTTTGCTGGTACTTATAAGACAGGAAGGGCAAGGGCACTGGCGAGAGTTGATTCAGCAAGTAAACACAGAACAATCACGACTGCAACGGAGGATGCTCCTTTATATACCCTGAGCTATCTGTATTATTCATCCCTCTGGGTACGAGTAACTGGGTCACGTACAGTATTGACGCGTACGCAAGTGTTGTGTTGTTTCCGTATTTCCGTCCCCCTCCCAATAATATTTATCGTTCCATCCCATCCCATCCCATCCCTCCATGCTCATCCCCTCCTACTAAGGTTATCGCTTGCTGGCTCGCTCGCTGCACCACATCTGATCCCGCTGCAAGGGCCCAACACCTGGTGGCCGTGACCAGACGAGGGAGATGCTGCGGTCATCGGTCAGTAGAAAATCTACCCCACCATCCACGTCTCCATTCTCCAGCCTCACCACAAACTCTCTACCCACAACACGATCTGTATTGAACAACTCCCCTCCCAGCCTATGTTTTCACGACTCTCACAGCTAGCACGACACTTCTCCCGGCCTCTCCCAAATTACGCACATACATCTGCTGCCGCGCTGTCGTCGAAATCAAGTCGCATCATGACATCATCAGCTGGAGCTGCTGCCACGGCGGATGAGAGGAATGCGAGGATGATACATACGGCGGCTTGTTTGATTATTGGGGATGAGGTTTTGGGTGGGAAGGTATGTCTTCTGTCTTGTTGCTTGCATATCATCTACAGGGGAAGGGAAGCATGGGGAGGGGTTGGAGCTGAGGACAAGAATAAATGTTTACAATCAAAGAATCAGGCTGACTTTCTTTCTTGTAGACGGTAGATGTACGCCAACAGCTCGAACGAGTAATCTGCATGAGCTGATAAGTGGTAGACAAACAGCGCATATATGGCGAAGTTCTGCTTCCAATTGGGAATGGTACGCTGCCCAGAGAGGGGTTGAATGTGCAAGGCTGATGCGGACAGGCACTTAAACGAATTGAAGTCATTGCCGACGACGAAGACGAGATCATAGAAGCAGTCAAACGAATGAGCACAAACTACGATTTCGTCGTTACAAGTGGAGGAATTGGTCCAACGTACACCTCTCCACTCCTCCCCTCCACCAACATTCATCCACTTCCTACTTCAGCAACCACAAGCTAATACCACCCTCCCAGACACGACGACATAACCTACCAATCCATCGCCAAAGCCTTCTCCCTCCCCCTAATCCTCCACGACGAAGCCTACACCAAAATGAAGAAATTCTCCAAACCGCACCCCTCCCAACCCAACTTCTCCTGGGACGTCCCCTCCGCAGCCCTAACCGCCAAACTCCGCATGATCGAGCTCCCGACCGACACGTCCCGCCCGCTCTCCAAACAAGTTCTCTTCCCCGTATCAGACCTCTGGGTCCCCGTCGCATGCATCAACGGCAACGTGCACGTCTTACCTGGCGTCCCGAGACTGTTTGAGAGGTTGCTGGATGGGATGAAGCCGTTGTTGGTGGATAGGTTGGAGGATCCCGGGAAGGGGATTCATAGGGTATTGATTAGTACGCCGATGAGTGAGAGTGCTGTGGCGGGGTATTTGACCGAGTTGGCGGGGCGGGTGGAGAGTAAGGGGGTTAAGGTTGGGAGTTATCCGCGGTGGGGGAAGAAGCATAATACGGTTACGTTGGTTGGGAAGTGAGTTGCCCCTTTTCTCTTCGTACTTGGAGGTTCCCATACTTGGAATGTTTTTGGTTGAGGGACTCGGGGTTTGATAGTTCGGGAAAGAGATGCATGCTAACCTACCAAATCAGGGACCGCGAATTCCTGGAAAGCCTCGTAGCAGAAGTCGAGAAGAACGTCGAGGGAAAACGCGTGCAAGTCGAAGGCGAAGATGACGCAGAGGGCGAGAAGCAATCATAGTAGTAAGCATCCAGAGCTCGGAGCGCAAGTATCTGGGAGGTGCAGTATGGGACGGGGGAGAGAGAAAATAAGCCTGCAAACGGGGGAGCAAAGAGTGTTCGCTCGAGATGATATCCTTTCATGGACAGAGCTTTGTGCATATTGCAAATTTTCAGTGGGCGAGGAGAGAGAGAGAGATGCAGCGAACAAGACAACGCGAGAAAGCTAGAAGGTAGGGAGTTGTTGCAATTTTCAGCTGCAGATACAAACTCAAAACTGTAGAATGTAGAACCATACTTCTTGTTGTGACACTTGACCAACTGACTCTCTTTCTGTGTATCTGTTGATTTCTCCGCTTGCCGCTTGTTGGAGTCTGGGAGTCTGGGAGTCTGGGTGTCTGCGTGTCTGGGAGCGATGAAAGACAAAATGAAGTTGGTAGTAAATTGGAAGCTTGGTACCTAGGCCAGAACGGAAATGTATACAAACCATGAAACAGGAAAAGAAAAAAAAGAAAAAAAACATTTTCCTTGCACTTTAGTCACACAAACCGAGGAAAGAGGTATAAATCACAGTCAGATAGATTATCCGATACGATATTTGCCTGCCTGCCTGCCTGGCTGGCTGTAGAAGGGGATGGATATTAAGTTACCCGTTTTTCGCTTGGTTGGTTGGTTGGTTGGTTCATTTACGATTGAGAGGTGAGGATTGGAGGGTTCGGGGTTCGTTTTTTTTTTTTTTTTTTTTTTTACGTATTGATGTAGATGTACTTGTGTGATGTGGTGTGGTACCATGGTCTGGAGGGGGTGGATGGGAGGAGGAAATCCTCCTGCCGGCTTATTCGGATGGCGTGGCGCATGTTGATGGTTTGTTTGTGCCCGTTGTTTGGGTTTGTGTAACCGGTACTGTAAGCGGTAAGCGAGGCGGGAAAGGGGCGTGGGCGTGGGCGTGGGCGTGGAACAAGGGGAAGCGAGGCCGGGGTGAGTGGGTAAGGTACAGTAAAGGGGCGCGGGGGGCTTAGGTACTGTGGGATGAGGCGCGCGGGGGGGGGGGGGGGGGGGGGGGGGGGTGTGAGTGAGTGAGTGAGTGACTGTTCTAGAAGTATGGATGCATGCACGAAGAAGCAGTTTGAGATTTTCTTTTCTCTCTCTCTTTTGACTGAGGTGTTGGTGGGTGTGGTTTGTTAGGGAGATGGGTGTTGATATTGACCTTGTTGGCTCTCCACCGCCGATGGTGCGAGTGGAGGTAGGATGGAATAGAATGAAGAAATGATCAATCTCTATGGACCAGCCCCTGGAAAAGTTTTTGCTGAAGATGCACACTTTGGATGCGAACTGTGGCACATTTGTTATTGGATTTGAGGCATTGATAGCAGGAAAGAGATAATTTTTGGAAAGGCGATTGCCCCAGAGACACCATTGATTCTATGTATGCTGTTGTTTCAAGCTGTCCAGCAGCTGGGTATCTTAAGGTTGGTCAGATAGCTCCGCACATTTCTCCCTCACTGAATGAGTAATTGCTTGAAGACAAGCTAAGACATTCCCCAAAATTATATCGCTCATGTTATCCCCAACTTGAACTTGTCGCTGTGACCATCCAGTCACAACATCTAGACCGTAAGAACTCTCGTAAAATACCGCAAAATTTTCCCTCCTAACTCTTCGTCTCCAAATAATCCGGTTTCAAAAACCTCATCCTACACAGCAGTTCCCATAGAGTCGGTATATTATACGATCACAAACTAAACCAGTTGCTCGTATATCCTCTTTCGGAAGGTTACACCCAAAGGAACCTAGGATATTTGACACTCCTGCCAGACTGCGTAAGCTAAGCGTCTGCGCCGCAGGTTCGTTACCATAGAATGGACGATGAAAGTAAGATGCTTTGCGAAGATGGATTATGCTGATGTTTGGAATATAGTGTCGTTCTCAATAGCGAACTTTTCTGGTGCTTGACTGGGGCGAACTGAAGATGTTTTAGAGTTGTCAATGGCGGTGTGAGGTGCGAACTTGTCTTGCTGGGATTGATGTATATAAACGCTTGGATTTCCCTCCGTAATATATTGTCCTTTCATCAGCCAACAAGTAAATTACATTCCATACTATCTCACAGAACTTCACATCTTCTCAATTCGGACATTTTCAGCCAAAGAAGCTTCAGCAAAATCCCAAAATGCAGTACACAACAGCCCTCACCACTATCCTGGTCGCTGCGACTGCCACACTCTCAAGCGCACAAGGTGGAATCGGGAATCCATTCTTCTCCTGTCCAGCTGGAACCACGGGTGGATGCTGCTTGTCGTATAATAGTGGAGGGACTGGAGTGAACTGTATGTGACAACTCTCTCTTGGTTTCTCAAAGAAATTATCCTACTGCGGGGCAACATTTCTATTTACTTCTGGAAAGTGTGCTACGAGTTAGATCGACTATCTTGGTACCATTCTCATTGCGGAAGACCTTATACTTTTCAATATCAGCCTGCACATAATTCTTTCAGGAAGTTTTTGGTTACGAGATGAGAATTGACTAACATACAATCCAACCAAACAGGCGGACCTGTCGTCCCAGGCCCCATCCCGGGCCATGAGAAGGAATTCGCATGTGCTTTCCGTCCGGGAGAGTTGAAGAGTTGTTGTACAACTGGTGGTGATGCTGTAAGTTCTTTTCACTGCTAGCTCCTCGCCCCCTATACCACACCTCTCAGTACTTTCTCTACTGCATCCAGATTCCCTATTTGGGGAAGATTTAAAAATACTCGTTCTTTACAGAAGAAGCGGGAAGGATGCTTGAATTTTTTTCTAATTGCTCTATGTGTGCTAGCCATCCGGATGCGTTGCTGCTCCTCCGTCTTCGACTACGCCTATCACTACAATTACCTTTGGGAAGAAATTGTAGGGTGGCTTGACATTACTGGAATTGCTTGGATGGGGTTGATGGTTTCGGATAGAGTGGGGAGTGAAACTGGAGAACACGAGGGTGAGGAATGGGGGATGGGATCGTTATGGCTAGAGAAACTTATATGTAGAGAAGAAAGCTAGGAATTCAACATTCTTGGCACTTCCAAACTGAGCGACTGAGCGACCCGTCCACGTCATTGAACAGGTAAATGTATGTTTTTCTTTGTCGTTGGATACTATCATCTCGTTTATATGAGAGATGAGTAGACCGATTGTGAAATGCTCTCCAGTCAGTGGGGTAGGCGCGAGATGAAGGTGCAGATAAAATCTCGGCTAAATGAAATAAACAACACTAGACTAGTGGCTAGAGCACCCACTCACTGTTGAGATGAACAACCACCTGAACTTGGATCGGACCTGAGGTATATACACAATTCTTTTCTTGCAATGTTTTTACATTCTTCGAATGTTCTAAAAAATGCTCGTATATTCAATTTCCAAACCTGGGCCTGGCCAAAGAGCCACCGGACCCAAGCCAGATATCCTGCCAAGTTTGAGGGATGAATCCAAGACTGGTTGAGTGTTTCAGTATGCCAATTACCACATCTGTCAGGTATAGTGGCTATCTCCGTAGGTAAATTGTAGGTAATCGTGACTGTAGTTCTGGTTCAGGCAATGGCTTAACAGCTGAGGAGTCATTATCTATTGTTGTACTCTATCACGGAAATTCCTTGTTAAAATTCCATTCTTCGTAGAAATTACGAGATAATGGTCGGCGGAGAGCGAATATTGTCATCGCTTCCGACATCACGTCGAATCGGGTGAGGAAATGCTAGTGAATAAATTAAGCGAGATAAACAGAACAGTGGGAATCTAAGTACCTAGCGCAGGCCTTGTGAACAGTAGTCTACCTACTTAGCCTTTCACGGCTAAACGAGAATCAGCTCTACCACGAATGGTGATGTTCAATGGCTGTTAGCGAGGTGTAGTTCTGGCTTGTGGAATGGACTGGTCAGCGGCTGACAAGATTTTCTTCATCCACAACAATTTCGCAGCATCCCAGCAAATTAAAACTTGCTCTCTCTATTGATCGATCAGCAATTTACAGACTTGGACAAATGTCGACATTTTGGTCATTCTTAGGTGTGACAATGAGTATATGCTCCCTTCTGAACCTTCCATTTTTCTGTCACTGACGCTGCTTGAGATTGGACAATTTTCAGTAGCGTTAACGCCATGTCGCGGGCCTGGATCACGACACTTACAAATTTCAAACAAGACTACATAGACACTCCAATACTCGAAATGATTGACAATCCCAGCCCCACGTGGCAAGCCATTGGTGCAGCACACGACAAATACATCCGTCCAAACATCACAGTACTTTTCATCCTCGCCATGATCCTCAACTTCGCCATCGCGTGGAACTTTCTCTACACGAAGGATCGAGAACTAGCTCTGCAATGTCACACCATTCAGCGCATCATGGATGAGCCATCTGGTCCGGAAAGAGATGAACTGATCATGGATATTTGTGTCGAGTTGAATGATCTGTATATGAAAAGGGTGGGGCTTCAGAGATGGAGGGGAGAGTTGCTTATGGAGATTCCGGGGGTAGAGAAGCATTGGGAGAAGAAACATCCCGGGTGGCGGAGGCGTAAATACGATTTCCCGGGGGAAAGATTCGATAAGTTTGATCTGACGATTCTTCCTGTTTCGAGACGTGTCGAGAGACGCCTGCCTAGGCTTGTTCAGTCAGATGGTTTGAAAGGGGAGAAGGCCCAGCTTCCTGAAAAAAAATATGATGTGAGAAAAGAAAGACAAAGCTGCTACGACGCCGGTACACACACAGTCTGTTAGTAGGATATAAATTGATATTATAATTAACTATTCTTCTTTCCACTTCCTAGTTCAGCACCTAATATACTTGAATCATATATCACAATAAATCAAACGGCAGTAGTGCTCGCCACTGGACTTGTTGGCAAGTCGAGATTACCCGCTTAGTTGCCAGAAGCACGCTTTTACAAAGCACAGTGCTAAAGCGAGGCGCTAAGAGTCTGCTAATAGTCTGTGCTGCAGGGCTAGTGCACTGATTTTCCTAATAGGAGTATTGCGAATGGCAGTCAAGAGAATAGACTAAAAAGAGCAGTGATATCTGGCTTATCGCCCTTATTTTATTGGAATTTGTTGACGGTTAGGAGTTTGTCATATCAAAAAAGTGTCCCTCCCATCCCACAGAAGGGGCCAATGTGTATTGTTCTTTAAGGTGCCTAGATAGGCAATGCTTGAAACACATATTGGTCACTACACCTGGTGGACGTTCTTGACTAATCAACGCAATTTTTCAGCCCGCTTGACAGAAGGTACCAAGAGCCTTGCTTTCCCCTTCTCTGATGAATCTTACGTCAAAACAAGTACTTGACAGCCCACGGCATTGTCAATACACCGACGATCTTTTCTCAATGTCACATATTGAAATCATCGATGTACACCAATACTATCCTAATGGCGTCAAGCGAGTGATAGGTCGTAGCGGGGAAAACTACATTGATATTGTCGATGAATCAACCCTTTTGAAGCACCCATGTACTCCTGGTACAATCAGCAATCTTCAAGTAGAGAGCCAACTCCTCGATATATTAGGTAGTTATCCTCGAATCCTCAGGTCGAAAGGCTTGACGAACGATGGCCTACGACTCGAACATGCGGTAAACTGAGACTTGCATCGCTATATAACAGCGAACCCCGCCACTTCCCTAGACCAAAGGCTACGATGGTGTAGACAAGCTGCCGAAGCCGTGGAGTACTCGCACAAGAAGCGAGCCATCCACTGCGATATCAACCTTCGAAATCTACTGCTGAACGAGAATCTCGATTTCAAGCTAGCAGCCTTCCAGGGTATGCACAGATCGTGCGATGGCAATGTTCTCCTTGGACGGCTTCTCTCACGAGTGTACCAAGTCGTTCTTACCACGAGCCCATGGCGACCACGCGGATGTGAAGACGGATCTTTTTGCGCTCGGATCCGCTATCTACTTCGTCATGATGGTCCATGAGGTTTTCCGGAGTTGGGCAACAATAGGGACGAGGGGGAAATAGAGGATAGGTTCCGCAGGGGCCTGTTTCCGGCTGATTGTCAAATGTGTAGTTTGATTATGCGGAACTGCTGGACACAGAAGTATGTCTCTGCTCAGGAGGTCGTTGAAGATATCGCGGCTGTTCAAGAGTGGGAGCGCCGGGGGAAGGAGGAAGAGTGAGACCGTAGCCTCTCTGTTATTCATTGATAAGTTATGATCAGGGCAGTGATAGGTATTGTGGAAAACCCGCCGCACTGATTCACGCACGAGACAAACATACCAATGAGAGGTCTTCAAGAAATATTGTGCGTGATCCAAAATCAATATGTTTCAATGATACATTTGCATGAGATGAGAAAACCAATTCATTTCCCCCAAGTCTCAAGTGAGCCTGCAACCCTGAGAAAGCACCCGCAGCCCTTTTCGTCCTCTTAGCTCAACTATTCATCGGCTTCTTCAAGATAGCTCAATTCTTATGATATCGAATATCCCCACTGAAAGGGTGTTATGGGTCTGGAAAGCTTGTTGATTGAAGATCTATGGGGAGAAATGTCCTGGGAGGGGTGCTGGGGATGAAAGGAAGGGTTGGTTTGAGCTGGTAGGAACTACAGGATGAAGCTGTCCTATTTCGCTGTGTGTAAATGTTCTATGAATCACGCCTACAGAATGAGGTGCAGATACTTGCGTTTACTCAGTGCGGATGACTGTCTAGTTTGGTTTATCTCCAAAGCAAAATATGTTCTAGATTGCAAAAGAATGGACGCCGCGAAAATTGTGAACTTCCTTGGAATATCTGATATTTTGTGGTAGTAATTGCTATTATGATTATCTACTGCAGTATCTCCTTGATGTCATCCCTCAACCTCAGAGTTGCATCTTCGCTTAAGCTCAAGCAGTTGGGGTACTAGCAGCCGGACTCGTGCAAGTCGAGATTGTAGCCCAAGGAAGAGGGGTCGTAGCCGGCTCACCAGCAGCGATTGTCTCAGCCTTGACGAGAACGGGAATGATTTGGCCTGTGCCGAGAGAGAAGGCACGGTGCTTGAGAACTATGGGATTGTCAACACACGGTCTTGGGAGAAGAAGGAGAATCCAAAAAAGGGAAGGGAAAGACATACCTCTCAACAAACTCGAAATCTCCCCGGAATGACTCGTCACACTAACATATGTCGCGTCATCACTCGCAAACACATCATCAAGTACCTTCTTACTCCTAATATCCTGATTCTCTCTCACCTCGGCAAGCAGGGGCTTCCACAACTCATCGGTCTCAGTGAATCCCTTCTCAGTCACGTAGTTAGGGAAGGTGGATTGAATGTAGGATTTTGTGCCGCGACGGTCGCATGTGTGCCCGCTGATGCCTTCGCGGAAGAACTCCTTGACGGTTGGGATGAAGCGTTTGCCGGAGGGGAGGTTGAGGGTGGAGAATGTGATGTTGGCGGTTTGGAGGCAGCGCGTTAGGGGGGAGCTGTAGTAGGATTCTGGGAGGGGGGTTTTGGTTGTGTGGATGGCGTTGGCCCAGACTGGTGATGTGTCAGTTTTCGTTGTTTCGTACATGGAATTTCGGAATACTGGAGATTGTGATCAGGTGGAGATTGTGGAAACTTACAAGCATTTGCCTTGACGGCTTGAGCAACGCCGTTGGGGGTTACCTTCGCATCGGCCCAGACAGATGTGCCGTTTCCGTCTTGTAGGGACCAGTAGCACTATTTCACAAAGACATGTCAGCCAATACTTCAAAATCGTCTTCTTCATACTAAATTGTCTCGCTGATTAAAGTCTTCGTAAGACCTCCTTGTATTGGAGAACTTGGAAATATAGCGATGGAAGTGTAAAAGGGAAGCGAACAGGAGCAAACTCACGTTCCAAAGTGGCGTTCCATAATAGCTCTCAGCAACATTATGATACCCCTCACCATGGCGTCCAAGGTACAACACTTTGTACTGGACATTTCTCCCGCTTCCGCGGTTGAGGCGCCAGACGTAGTGCTCGAACTTTTGCCTGGGAGGTGGATTAGTAGGAGCTCAATACACATTTTCTGAATCTCGTGATGGACATTATGTGGTGGATGGGGAGTGAAATGTGGGATAAAGGTAAGTTAAAGGAGGAAATCTCACCATTGCGTCCATCCAGGTCTGTTCTCATCATCAGTGGGGTATGTACGGTTTATGAGACCAAAATTGGTCGTTGACTAGAAAGGGGGTTATTAGTACATTTTTCAACGATCTCCTTGGACACTTCACAAAAAAAACCGCTACAAAAGCCCATCTCCTCTTGGGACTCCAGTGTCCTTTTCTCCCTCATGTCTTCTCATGCCATCGTCATGCCACAAATTCTGTATGCGTAGTAAATCTTAACCCTTCCCTTTTCATCTCCAAGCTTGCATGGCCTATGCTGCCGAGGAAGTATTCCTCGACTCAAACCCCCAAATTCTCATTTCTCCTGCTCTTTCCCCTCCCCTTCCCCAACCTCATAAACCGCCACCAAACTGAAACCGCAGCTCTTCAATCCACTCAACCGCCTAAAACCTCCCATCCTCTCAAAAACCACTCCACCTCTCAATCCCCTGTCCTCCCCTCCTCCCCTCCTCCCCTCCTCCCCTCCAAATCACATTGAAAACCAAAACCAAAAAATCAAACTCACATAATCAAACCCCCCGGGCACAGTATCCACCTCATCCTGCAAAAAGAACCCCGTCAACGTCGTATAATTAATCCATTCCGTTCCCCTGATACGTGGGAGGATAGCTACTGGTGCTGCTGTTGGCTCGGGGGCTGGTGCTGGTGCTGAGATGACAGTGTTGCTCAGACTGAGGAGGGTGGTGAGGAGGGGAAGGGAGATAGGAAGGGAGAGGGGGAGATGCATGGTGAGTGAGTGGTTGGGAGAGGGAGGAGAGGGTGAAGAGGCGGGAGGTAGGTCGTGAGGATTCGGAGGGTGAGAGTGAGGGTGAGGAGGGGAGATCGGATGAACGACAGGGCAGGCAGGCTTTATATATATATATATATATATATATAAGAGTAAACTAAACTAAACTAAATAACATCGGCTTTAGAGATACCCCCTCAGATCCCAAGGCCGCCTTGGTTCTTTTTTTTGACTTGCATTGGTTCGGGTTGAGGCTCCATCACTTTCATTTGTATGCCCTGTGGAGTGGAGAAAATATTCGATGTGTAGGTAGGTACCTGCGTAATAAGTCAAGTTAAGCGTGAAGGAGGCTCAGGAGCGAATTGCTTGATGCACGTGGTTGTGGCGGGATGGGGAAGGGGGGATGGAGGGTGGAGGGGGTGGAAATTGTGAGATTGGAGGATCCACCTTCCTGATTGATTGGGTGGAGTGGGGTGGGTTGGGTGATGATTGATTGAGGTGATTGATTGATTGAGTGATTGATTGAGTGATTGGTCGAGTGATTGAGGTGAGTATGGGATTGTCATGTGATGTTTATGTGTTTCCAAGCTCTACCTTACCTAGGTATTGTATTGTTTTTTTAAGGGAGTTGAGTCCTTTACCATGAGGAGAATAAGGTATTCGTTGGAAGTTTTGACTTGGGCATCGGCGTTGGGGATCGGAGTTCGGGTATCCCGAGAAGTGGGACGGAGTGTAGGTACCTATGTTGACAGAACTTGGAAGAGCCGAATCCGAGGAAAAGAAAATGGAAGTGCAATTCTGGGATTCATGTTGGAACGAAAAATCAGATACCAATACCAATAAATTACCTAGGCGCCTCAACACCACCCAAACTTCTCATTTGCAACCCAATTGATATCTTCCGTAGACCCTTCACCATACCACATCAAACTGGCAATACTTTCCGCATCTCTAATAACATATTTATTTTCCAGGCCCGTCCTCTTGACGAGTTTCTTCAGCGTATCGCTGGGATTCCATACATCCACTTCATTGAGCTGCCACTCCTTAGCTTCCGCTTGAGCGAACTGAAGAATACTTTTCAATTTCTGAGCGTTCTCTTCAGAATCAGTCTCGTCCTCCACGATCAGGCGGAGGATGTGGAGAGTGTTTCCGGATTTTGGAGTAACTGGTTTGTAGAATGCTCGTGTCCAGATAGCCCAGACGCGGGATCCGGGTTCGCCGGTAATGGCACCTTTGATGGTGGGGGATTTGCCGAAGATTTTATTGGTTACGAAGTCCTCGCGTTTGTGGTGCCATTGCATGCAATCGTGGTTGGGGATGAGGGCAACATGGGTTTTGCCATCTTTGGCAGCGATCGCTAATTCTTTCCGTAATCTATCCTCGTCTAGGGCACAAAGAGCTGGGATGTCGGGGTATGTGAGAGGTTGAATGTTTGTTGTAGATGAATAGTCGGAAGGAGGAAAAGCAAAATGTGTACTTGGGAAGGTGGCCCATCCGAATTTGGAGTAATATTTTGTTCCGATATCTGAGTAAAGAATACTGAATGGACAGGTTTCGTGTCCGGGTGTGTTTGGATCAAGCTGCCATGTCTTTAGAACTGGGGCCAATTCTGTCAACATGCGGCTTGCATATCCCATTCCTCTGAACTTCGGCTGACTGAACACGCTGCCAACTCCATGTGTGATTCCTTCCGTTATAACTCCGCCTTTTGAAACGAGTACCGGCTTTCTCAAGGACTCGCAGGCGGCGAGAATAGGTCGCTCGTTGGGAGGAAGGTCTCTATCAACGAGAACCCAATGTGTGATTCCTCCATCTTTTGCTAATGGTACTGTTGTGAGATAGCGTTCACGCTCAATATAGTCCGGTAGAGGCAGGGCGGTTCCCCAATTGACGGAGTTCAAGTTCCAGGTTTCCAATCTTTCTTCGGGTGTAGGATTCGTAAGGATAAGCGAAGGAGACTTGGAGTCGGGGAGGTCGATGGAACCGTTTGTTGGGGCGTATTCTCCCATATTATTTACTCGGTCCTTTGTATTGACGACTGTTTGTTGATTGCTCTGCAGTCTTCGTATCTATTTAATCGAGTCTAGAAGATAGGGTAGAACTGTAGATAAGCTGGAACAAAGAGAGTTTCAAGATCCACAATCAAATGCGCCGCCTCCAGTTAATGACTGACCGAGTGACTTTGTGAAAGACAAGAGACAATGGAATGTTTCCGAGCGACAAGAGCTCAGCAGACAGAAGATGAGGGAAAGATATACTTCCTTGCTTGAACCGTGTGATGGGATTGCCTTCCCGCTCAGAGTTTTGCTCTCGTAAGGGCGTGCACACTTGACACCTAGTTCTGACGGCGACGACCCCTAACGGCAGGAGAATGCGATACAGTGATGTTGACTGGGAAGGTATAAGAATGTATGTGGATTTAGAGGCGGAAAGGGAAGGTCGTTGGGCCGTGGAGAGCCGAGCGATAGAGGATGTGCCGTATCGGGTTTGGGCCTACACCGCCTGATGGCGGGGTGGCAGAATCGTGGATGGGGTTAGAGCGACTCGACGGAACAGTGGAGTCAGTGACCTCAGCAGGGATGCAGGTCCAGCATGACACATGACAAAGGATTGTCAGGGTCCTCGGGATGGGACGCCAGTGTCATTGGGCGACTGAGCGTGGGCTACAGAAGTAGTCTCGAGGAGTGGATCTGCTAGAATATTTCTAGAACATTGAATATCCATATGGATGAAGCAGTTTGGAGCTATTCTTACCATGATATCAAAAGTAATCGGTCGCTGCTGGTTCTTATATGCTGCCTCTTAACAGTGAAGCCACTCAGGATGTCGGCTGCAGCTAGCCCGGACGAGGAAAAACCTCTGGCTCCGGTCTCAGTCCCGTGATTCCGGTGATAAGATAGCTCCAAATTTAGCACGGTCCAGCTCACGAGCCGTGATGCTCTCGAGCTTCACCTTTGGGACCGACAGCCTTGCCTGGACACGTCCCACCAGCCGCATTGTCGTCTATTTCGCACGCAATCAGACTCACAGAGGGGAATACCGGCATGTCTGGCACATAATGAAGGTGAGTAGTTCGTTTTGCAATCCTAATTCATCTATTTAACAACCAACATCTATCCCCTCCCTCCAACTCTGAGAATGTAGCCTTGCTTGTCGAATCAATTCCAACACTCCCCTTCCTCTAATTTCTGGCTGCTTTATGTACCATGTACCTCGAAACTGCCTCGAATCGACACTCGGTGAATTCACTAACAAAATGGGAAGTCCACTTCGATCGTCACGCTACGCACACTCGCGACTTATAAGGTCGAAGCCCGCCAGCGATTCTTCGAAGCAATCACAGAGAGCTGCGTTGAAGGCTGCGAAGAACCTCGACCTCGAGCCTGCAGTAGAAAAGGAGCCTAACCATCCGAAGCCGTCTCGCAGAGCTTCAGTCCAACAAGTTTTGCGGCGAAGCCTTGGTCGGCTCCTTCCGTTACGGCCAACTTCACCACAACGACGAAGTAAACAACCGCACGAAGACTCTCCGTTTCTGTTACCACAAGACATTATGAATATGGTCGAACAATCAGTTGCGGGAAATAATGGTGGTCCTGCCCGACGAGAATATGCCGTGATCGATCTCACCAGTGAAGACGACGACGATGGCTTCTTCGAGGATGCACAGGAGCTCGCCGACGAACAAAATGGCCATCGAATCAAACGAGAGAGACTTGAGGTAAGAGATGATCTCAGACGAGAGCCTGTAGAGCGTATGGGAGACCGGCCTGCCTTTGGACAAGCAGCACAACCTCACAATGCACCTGCAATTCCTGATGTACCATACGCTCGCGTTCGAGATGTTTGGGGCGACTACGATCTTGACGAGGACTTCGATGATGAGTTCATAGCCGGGGCTTTCGACTTTGATGAGGAATACCCTCCAATTGGAGGCCCAGTAATACAACCTGCTGCACCTGCACCTCCACCTCCCGCAAGACCTGCCATGGAAGTACCTATACCCGAAGCAGTCATAGAAGCGAGAATCGATTGCGTCGACACAGTTGTCAATGTGTTCCCTGGAATCTGCCGCGACTATGTCTCGGAGCTATATGACACCATTTCAAAATCATCAGAGCGATTGATTGAACATATATTGGACAAGATGGACAAGGGACATTCATACCCAAATGCGAAGGAAAAGGAGAAAGAGAAGCAGAAGATATTGAAAAGAAAGAGATCGTACGATGAAGATGCGGAAGCTGCTCGCAAATATGGTGCTCCTGATCGCATCATGCCAACAAATATCGGGGGCATTCGAAGCTACATGTAAGTGATTGGTGTTTTCTTTGCAGGCTTCTACCTTGACACCTTCACTTGACAAGAGCTCGCATTTCGTTCCCTCGGCCGACTCTTGACCACTAGTTACTCTTCTGTACTAACAGTATGCAGCGCCAGAATCCTTTCCTATGAGTTCCCCCTGACAGCAATGAACTTCATCAACGCGACTCTGAGCAGGTCGGGATATCGACTTTTTTCCGCATATGAAGTTCTAGAAGAAGCCGAAAGAACATGGAGCGACAATAAGCTGTACCCAAGACTGAAGCATGCGAGGAAAAGTAGTGATTTTACCGAAAAGAAGGTTTCCGATTATCTAGCATTCCCTGGTGTCATTGTCGATCGTGAAAAGGTCGAAGTTTTCGAAGAGTTACAGGCTGCGAGACGAATCCGGCAAAAGGCCGATGCCCGAAGGGCCGCTGAACGTGCTGCTGAAGTCGAAGAAGAAGAAAATATCGCCAGAGCAGAAGCAGAAGGAACCATGTCGGAATGTCAGTGCTGTTGCTGCGACTATCCCTTGAACAGGATGGTTCACTGTAATGGCGAGACACTACATTGGTTCTGCAGGGGTTGCGCAAAACGCACCGCGGAAGTTGAGATAGGGAAGTCCAAATATGAGCTACATTGTATGTCGACAGACAAGTGCCCTGGTGGATTTTCTCTTGATCAAAGGTACGCCACTCTCTCCATGCAAAAAACCTCTCAACTGACTTTCATAGGGCGCAATTTCTCGATGAAAACACCAGAGTCGCGCTGGAGCGAAATGAACAGGAAGCCAATCTGCGCTTGGCAGGTATTGAAAATCTGGAGAGCTGTCCGTTCTGCCCCTTTGCAGCCGAGTACCCACCCGTTGAAGTGGATCGGGAATTTCGATGTCAAGCACCAGATTGCGAAAAGGTCAGTTGTCGCCTCTGCAGACTTGAATCGCACATCCCAAAGAGCTGTGAGGAAAATGCCAAGGATAATGGTCTCTCGATTCGACGTCAAATCGAGGAAGCAATGTCTGCTGCCATGATCCGCAAATGCAATAAATGCGGAACTCCCTTCGTCAAGGAGGAAGGTTGCAACAAAATGACTTGCACTAGGAATGGTTGTTTCAATATCCAATGTTACGTCTGCTCGAAATCTTGCGACTACAATCACTTCAACGACCCGACTCGAGGTGGTAAAGCTGGTAACTGTCCATTGTTTGAGAGTGTGGAGCAGAGACACGACAACGAGGTCAAGAAAGCCGAGAAAGAGGCTCTCCAGAAGGTGCTTTCCGATCACCCAGAGTATAGCGAAGAAGATCTTAAGATCAAGATGTCCGAAAACGTCAAGGAAGACGACGAGAAGCGAAAATCAATGGACCCTCGTGCACGCCTCGAAGCAAGGAGAGCGGCCGGTGCACGTCCTGGTCAGTAAATAATTTTCGATACTCGTCTGTTACGACTGTATTGTATAGGATTAGTTGAACAATGGGATACCATCAAGTGATCTACCCTTTGCGTTTCTTTTTCTTCCTCAAATTCCCATCCATGCAGAAGTCAGTCACTTCACTGCTAACAAATGAAAGGCCCTCGAGCCGTGAATTTCATGCAACTCCGGCCAATGATGCCTCGCCCCGCAGCAATGATACGCAGAGTACATGATCTTCCTGAGTTCCCACAGCTTCTCAATCACCCTAATCAGCTGGACCCCATTTATGATGGTATGTGTGTCGAGGCTTAGCGCCGGGTCCATACATTTTCTAAACCTCGATATCCCTCCAGTCGCAAACAACCTTTGATATATTACAAACTTGGTATGCATTCATACACTGACTATCTACAGACATGGACTTCAATTACTTCGACGACGAGGTGGAGGTTGCATGGCGATGGCGGCGGCCTCGGCGTCCAGCAAGGGACCCGGTGCGATACTTACCCCCTCCTGCGCTTCCTCGAGTTGATCCGCCACAAGCAGCTATGCAAGCTCATGTAGCGCAACCAATGCCTGCTCCAGTGGCCGATGGCCCGGCCGATATTGGGAACAACGATGCATTGGATGACTTTTATCAGCCGCGGCGTGCAGATGATTTGCACCGACAGGCGCCTCACCCACGAACCCCTGATAGTGACTCGCCCGAAGATGAGGATGCCGAGCCAGTTAATGACAATGAGCGTCATTTGGGACGACCAAACGCTGCCAATATCATCGTCCTATCTAGGAGGCAAGCCCCAGTGCCCGTGCCGGTGCCCAACCAGCCAGGTGTTAGACCGAATGCTCCGCACCCGCCTGTACCACCCAAGGCCGTCCATGCGGATCCTTTACAGAGAGTGAGACTTCAACTCCGCCGATCAGATGGACAAGAAAACGCCGAGCGAGTTCGTGAGCAAAAAGAGGCAGATGCCTTGGCGAAGGGCAGCAACGAGATTCGAGGGACCCCTGCGAGAGAAGCTAGACAAGCCGAGCAAATCGTAAATGCCGAAAATGCAAGATTTGAATTGGAGCTGCTGCGTATGCAGCATCGTCAGCATTTAGCTCGGGCTCAGTCAGCTATACAGTTAGATCCAATGGAGGGTGTAGTGCAAGATGGTCCAGCTCTCGTGGCAGATGCTCAACGAGCTCGGCTAGATCCACTTCTTCCAGCAGCTGTCCGCCACGAAGAACTTTACAACAGACTTCGAGCCCTCGAGGCTACTCAGCCACAGGCACGTCTTCCCGCACGAAAAGACCCTGCCGAAAATATCGATAGACGAAATCGACTTCCAGGGGATCCCCATAAATTCCGTCCAGTACCACCTCACCGAGATGGTCCTGTTGGTCTCCCAAGGCCAGTGCCAGCGCCAGGCCGCAGACTGGAAGAACTGTTCCAAGAGCTTAATGAAGATGCAGAACTACTTCAACGACTGGAGCGTTTACACCAACAAAAGCATGATAATGCACTTGCAAATATTGAGCCTCCTGCTCCACTTGGACCCAATGAACCGCGTCCAGATGTCTCCCGACGGCCAAATCCACGGGCTGCTTCAGAAAATAATCAAGACCCAGCAATTATGAATGCAGCTGCACTTGCCAAGCCCAATAATATCCCTAATGCGAATGCAAACCATAATCAAAATAATAACTCACCCAATCGACCTCGATTTTATGACAACAACCCCGAGCCACGACAAAGACGTCAAGTTCATTTGCCGGAAGTGAATGCGATTCCAAACAATGCATATCGTATGCCCCTGTACGCCGACAATTTCAATGACCTACCTCGTTATCAAGTCCCACCTGCTCGTGCAGCGGCCGAACTTGACGTTCGTGCTCTTCAAGAAGCCCAAGAGCTGGCTCGAAGACGGCAGGTGATCGCAAGAGCAGAAGCAGAAGTTCAGAATCGCGAACGAGCTCTAATTCAAGTGCGAATGGCTAAAGCTCAAATAGCCCAGGCTCAAGCTCAAGTAGCTGCGGCTCAAGTGCAGGCAGAAGCAGCTCAGATCCGAGCCCAACCCCAAGCAGCCAGTGTCGTTGCTCCTGGTGTCGCTCATCCTCCTCCCCCTCAACGTTATCATCATGTTGCAAATGCGCAACTCCGACAATACGCAATGCTCTACCATCCAGGAGCAGATCTAAATGGTCAACATGCAGCACCTGGTGCGAATATAGCTGGAGGTGCGGTGGGTGCTGCTGTGCCTATGCCTGCTCATCGAGCTGCACCCGTGCTTCTGCGTGAGGCTAACGATGCTGCACTGGAATATATGAGGCAACAGGAGCTGAGGATGGAGCTTGCGGCGATTCAGGAGCAATTCTACCAGCCTGAAGATGTTGTCGAGGAGTATGAAAGTGATGATGAAATGGGAGCTGGGGAGGCGGGGAAGAAGGTGTGAGGTGTTCTGTTTTGTTTTTGAGATGCACGACGAAATGTTACTTTCCTGGCTGTCAACGGGATATCCCTCAGCACGATTTCGAGGCTGTTGTTTACGACATTATGACGGATACGACCTTCATCTTTTCACGGATTCTTCACGGAGTTTTTTAGCGCCTTCATTTTTGTTTCCTGCATTCAATCACAGCCAGCAACCCATGAGCGAGCGCGCAATCGATCATCAGGTTTTACGCCACTTCTGAGATTTGATTCTCGATAGGCACGTATACATGCAGCAGGGCAGGTCTGCTTTTCTTTCAATTTGATTTTTCTGAGCGCGAATTCTTCACGGCCTTGCATCGTCCCAGTCTGCATTGTCTTTCCTCCATCCTGCTATTCTTGGCTCTGTTCTGGTTCTGATTCTGATTCTGATTTTGACGGATACCCTTACTTTTCACGTTATTATCTTTTCTTCTCCTTTTTCCTTTTTCCCCCAACACCTCAGAATTGCTTTCTTTGGGATCGGGTTTCGCTCTTGCGTTGGGGGAATATGAAATTTGCGGAATGCGAGCTCGGAGTTTCAGGTCTGTCTGCATGCGGCGTTCTTGCTTGTTGTGCTTTGTGCTTTGTGATTTTTGGCATGGCGTTTTCATTGAATTGATGATTATGATTGCGCTTATGATGATACCTGACTGGCTGGCTGGCTCGCTGGGCGGCCTGAGATGGGAGGACTTGAGGAGGTCCAGCCATGAAATTGCTTTGGGTTGATGGGAGATGGGAGATGGATAGGTAAGGACTGGAAGGAACGGGGGGGGGGGGGGGGGGGGGGGAGGGTGGAGGGTTTTAAGGGGTAACAAAAGAGAAACGAAGACTCGAAGAGAATGGAGCGGTTTCTGTGCTTAGTTTGTCTGTAGTCTGCGGGGTGGCATAATTTATTAAGAGGCAGAACGAACCCTCAGTCTGGCCATGATCATCACCAATGAATAAATGAACAGGGTCCCCAAATCACATACCACGAGAGAGATACAGAAAAGTAAACGTTTACTGTGTTTGTTGTGTTGTTGTATTGTTGATGTTGACCTAGGTAGGTAGGGTGAGTATACATATATGCTTGTCTGTTTGTCTGTCTGTCTGTCTGTCTGTCTGTCTGTCTGTCTGTCTGTCTGTCTGTCTGTCTGTCTGTCTGTCTGTCAGTCTGTCTGTCTGTCTGTCTGTCAGTCTGTCTGTCTGTCTGTCTGTCAGTCTGCCAAGGAGTAGAGGTGTTTGACTTTCATTACATTGCATTGCACGGCAGGATGGTTTGGATGAGTGTGGTTTGAGTGAGGGGGTTGGAATCTACCTACAGCGGGAAAGAAGCTAGAGTGGAGTGGAGTGGACTTGACTGGACTGGACTGGAGTGGGCTGGACTGGACTGGATTTTAATAGAACGTAAATAAATAAATAAAGAAAGATGTGAGATGGTGTTAAGACGAAGCGAGTTGAACTAGGTGTATTGAACTGCTGGGGGTAGAGGAAAAATGGTAGATAGGTAGGTGGGAAGGTAGGTGGATTCTCACTGACGGAATTGATCCTCGCTTAGCTTGTTGTGAGGTTTGAGCGTGTCAACAAGCTAGCGATTGGTCGATCGATCTACTCAAAAAGTTTGTACAGTGCACATTGTTCACTTGATGGTTTTGTGAGTCTGTCTATTGATTTGCTGTGTATTGGATGTGTTGTTTTTATCTTCTACTTGTTTTGAAGGTTCGTGAATTACTCATGATCTAGATATTATCTTCATCTTTGTCTTCATCTTCGTTTTCGTCGTCATTGTGGTCCAAAGCCAGGAAATGCAAATGCAAATGCAGATCTAAAACGCATCGTCCTCACCACACCTCGACCTACACAACTCTCCCTCCGCCTCCCTAACAATTCCCACTCGTCCCCACCGGCCCCGTCCAAGCATCCTCCCTCGTAACCTTCTCACTCCCACAAGCCGGCACAACCAACGTCCTATTCACACTCTCCACCAAAGGCGCCTGCCCACAATTCTGCTCCCTCACATACCTATACTGCACCGTCTTCCCGGCCTCCAAGTACGTACTCACGCTCCACAGCGGCCTCTCAGACGTATACGCGCCGGCCCCCAACGGAATCGCATTCCCAAACTGCCACTCCCCCAAATCAGGACTCGAGCCAGAAACATAGATGTTCTCCCCGAAATAGGTGCTAGCGTTGACGTTGAAGACGATGCTGATCTGGCAGCTTGTTGTGACGTTCGGCGCACCGGCTGCGGTCGCGGGGATGTAGACGCCGGTCGTGGAGGACGAGGAGCAGGTTGATGGAGAGGGGGCGATGCGTCGCGTGTTCCAGGATGGTGGGAATTGGCCGGCGCGTCGCTCAGCCATGCTGATGAATGCTGCGTAGGACCAGGTGAGATCTTCGGCCGACAAGGGTGCGCCTGTATCACGGTTGAATTGCTCGGCGAGGGAGCCGTCTGCAGGTGTGTATTTCTGGGCGATCTCGACGAAGGAGTCGGCGTAGGCGGTTACGGCGTTCATGATTTGCGCGAAGGGGGAGTTGGCGTTTCCGGATTTGTATTCTCGGGTTGTGATGGTGGGGTAGAGGTCTTTAAAGAAGGCGAGGGAGGTGGAGTCGACGGTTAGGACGTGTCGGGCTTTCCATTGGGCGACGGCGTCGTAGAGAAATTCGGCGGCTGCGGTGGTGATTAGGTACCAGGGGTTGCCGCCTTGGTAGATGTCTTCGGTGTAGCGGCCTACTGCTACGCCTTTGTTGGCGGCGATGCCGGCGTTGATGGTGTAGGCTGTGCGGAAGGAGTCGATGAGGGCTTTGAAGTTGGATAGGGATTTGCTGTTGCAGGGTTGGAAGGTTGGGGAGTCGCACTGGGGGTACGTTAGACTTGTGTGAAGAAAGCGAGAGCTTGTGAAGTGTAGAAATAAGGATATGGGACAAGGAGGGGGAGACATACATAAGCATCAATATCAAACACCGCAATCGGACCTAGAATCGAATTCCCATCCAATCCCGTACGTCCATTATTGACATTAATATTCGACACAATGTACTTCCCGTTCCAGAAACTTTGCAAGAAACAGAGCACCTCAGGAGCTTGATCACATCCCGTACAAGTGACTCGAAGAGATTTAGCGAGCTGTGCTCCTTCAGCCAGAGCACGATGTTGGTTCTGAACAGTAAAGAAGCTAGAGCCTTGGACTTCTTCCCAGAGATCGAACCCGGTGCTGTTCCAGTATTGACCGACGTATGAGAGATCGTTTGAGATGATGGGCCAAATGATCTCACGGGCTTTCTTGGATTGTCCATTTTTGATCAGGTAGTTGCTGTAGGTGATGAGGGTCTATGTGAATGTTTAGCACAGTTTCTGGGAGAAAGTCCGAAAGTGGATATAGGACAAGGAAACAATCTTACAATTGCGCGAAGTGCAGGTCCATCACGTTGAGGTCGTCCCCATGCACCGTTGAATCTCGTTCCATCGACTTGGTACTTTGGCTCGCCGAGACCAAGACCAGCTGGAAGGAAAGTACCCGATGGGTTTGCGACTGTTTGGAGCACGGCTTGAGCGTGGATGTAGTCTTCAATGTAAGTTTGGAGTTCTGTCTTGCCGAATATGAATTCGTCGACGATCATTTTCATGGTGAGTGCAGAATCGCGGGTCCATGTGTAGAAGTCTGTAGAGTGTTAGTAGAGTTCAGGGCTCTGGTAGAAGTGTGAAAGGTTAGAAATGAATGGCAAGCAGCATCTGGCGCTTGACGCAGGAAATTGAAGGTTCCCAGGTAAACACATGAGATAACTTCCAGCCTCATACAATATATTCAGAAAAACCAAACACAAGTAATCCCTTTCAAGATATCCACCGCTTCGAACCAGTTCCCCCTCACTCGCCACCCTCCAAAAGAACCACACCAGAAACCAAAGAAGCCAAGAACATCGCGAATACAAAAACCCAATTCAAATCCCCTCCATTTAATTTCCCTCAGGAAAGGGAACTGAAATTCAAAGAAATTAAACTCACAAGGTGGATCCACCCGACTCGGACTCGCAACCACGAACCCCGCCCCCGCACCAGGGACCTTCGCTCCATCCGGCCCAATATTATCTTTCACACCCTGGAGCGAAATCGCTCTCTCGCTCTCAATAAATGAGTTCAGGTCTCTAGGTGAGAGATGCGTTGGGGACGCCGACGAAATAGAGAGTAAAGCCAGGAGAGAGAGGCGGGAGAAATGCATCGTGATGGGAGGAGGGTGGTACAGAGGGAAGAGAGAGAAGAGGATGGGGGTGAGAAGGGTGACTTGGGGTTGTGTGAAGAAGGAAGAGAGAGTGGGAGAGTGAAGAGGATGGCGATGATGGAAGGTAGGTGGGATGTTTATATATCACATCCCATCCCAGCCCCCTACCAACCTTGGGAGATCTACATACAGTACCTTGGTAAATGGAGTGAGGCTAATTAAATATACCTAAAAGCATCTATCAGTCTACCCAAGGTAGGTGTTCTGCATCATACCAACTCCCCTAATGCACAAAAATTACAAAATCTATACACAATAGTAAGGACCTAAGCAGTATTTCCCTGGACCCTCACCCTCAACCTTTAGTCAAATGAATTTACCTGCTGGTGTCGAGTCTGCGTATCCACAAGCAAAGCCAGGAACAAGCTGCACGGGAAGGTGAAGTTCATCCCATCTCCGTCCGGGCCGAATCCTCGCCCTAGCCCCTCTCGCCCACCCTTCTAATTCGCCCACTGCCGAAAATCTACTGGGGAAGGCGGGGTAGCAGGGGGATGTTCCTGCTTTGGCGGGTACGGGATGAGGTGGACGGGAAATACGTGCTTGGGGGACATGGGGAATTTGGCCGAGAATGAGGGGTGAAGAAGAGACTTTGAGAGTGAGGATGAGGGCTAGGTATTGATGATCTCGTGGAGAAGGTGTGGGGATTTGGGTCTTGGCGTCGGTGAGTTATGCATCTGGCAGGTGTGGGAGGGAGGGAGGCTTCCGAGGGTTTGAGCGAATGAGTGTGGGGTGGGGTGTTTACTTCCAATTCGCGAGCTTGGCCAGCACGGAAATAACATATGCCCTGCCTGCAAAACTCATTTTATGCTACATCAGATGAGGACTGTTGCCATTGTATCATTCCACTTCGGGACAATATGGATGAGAACTTGAGAATATTTTAGTTGTGTACACAGAGAAAAGTATCATGCTTAGAACCAAATTGAAAAACGAGATATGGTAAGGAGACTTGAAAGTAACAGGTGATTGCGAATAGATATCCACCTTTATCTACACCATCTACGGGCCTTACCTCTATGTATGCCTGCATGTACACGTAAATCCAACATACCGTATTTTCAGCTCCTTACGGCTTCGGACCGACTTCCTACTGACCCGTCTCTTTCAGGTGTCAAAGCCAAGGCAAAGTCATGGTGCTGGAAACGGTGTCGAAGAACGAAGGCTCTGTCGACCTGAAGGCTGTGCTAAGATCGAGGTTGTTAATGAGATGTCGAAGGAAGATGATTGCTTTTCTTTCGTGTGACAAGGAAACTAACTACAAGGGTACCTTTCTTCGTAAAATATTGTTGGCCATGAAGTATTTCACCTCTGTTGTTGATCAGTGGCGAGAAATAAAGCCAACTCCAAGTCGAAAGTTGACGTGCTCAATTTTCATCTTCAAGTTGTGTTGAGATCTCTGCGGATAGGAAGAGCGAAAGTTTTCTACGCAACATCGCATCTGGTCGCCAAAATTTCTGCGGGATAGGGGATTTTGTGATGATGTATATTGTTATGTAGCAGACGAAGGACGAGCGAGCCACCTGGACTATCTTTTAAACCAAGAATGTTCCAACACAGCCTCGACACTCAGTCGTTTCTTCGGATCATAGTGCAAAATCCCCTTTAGAAGATCTCCCAAAATCTTGCTTTCCTCAATCCCAACAACGAAGCCCCCTGCTTTATTCATCTTTCCCTTGGAATCATCACAGGATGGTGAGCCGCCAGAGAGGAGCTCCTCAATAGTATCCAGCATCATATACGGCCTCCCTGTCTTAGGACGAATCAATGGCGCTCCATTCTCCTCGAACCACCGCCCTCGTGCTTTCCAAGAGCTCCACCAAGGTTCAGGGAGTTTCCCAAGCAGCGGCACCATCTGCATGATCACCTCGTCGTCGTCGTTCATGAAGTTCTCAAAGAGGGGACTGTCGGTTCGAATTTCGAAAAGTGTGCACGCAAGAGCCCATAAGTCACAACCAACGCCAATGGTATTGTCGAATAAGAGCTCGGGCGCGCGGAAGGCGGCCCTGATCCCCAGATCTTCAGGTGGGCTGGACATATCATAGGACTCCCCAAAGTCGATGATAGAGACTTGACTTGATATAAATCGAGCATCCAATTGATTTAGACTAAGGGCATCGACCAAATATTCCGGTCCCGAGGGTGCTGGATTCTTTCCGGACATCGTCAGAAGAGGCTCTTTATCCGGCTCTCCAAGCTGCTTTATCAACTCATCCTCACTTAATTCGTCAAAGCCCTTAAGTCTCAAAAGGATATTGGAAGGGCGGAAATCTAAAAAAAAAAAAAAAAAAAAAAAAAAAGAGCATTAGCAGATATCATGCAGCATTATCTTTGTGAAGAACTCACCACCATGACAAATTCCGTTCTTATGTAGGAAATGTAGTCCTCGCGTAATTTGCAATGCAATATCTCGAGAAACTCTCGCAGGATCTTCAAACTTGTACCATACAGCAGAAACTCGCGGCCCTAAAACGGGAAGCAACAGGCAAAGATGTCTCCCGTTAGGTCCATCGTGCCAGAAGTGTTCCCTCGGAACAACGATATACTCTCCGCCTTCCTCTCCAAAATCTATCTCTTTCTGGTCCACGAATCTAAGCTCTGAAGACGTTTCCTGAGATGCATCGGCAAGAATGATCTTCAACGCGACGTATTTCTCTGTTTCCTGGTCTCGACATAGCCAGACTGTTGCGAGGCCGCCGCGTCCTAGTTTGTGGAGTACTTGGAATTGGCTGGAGGGGCCGAGTTTGTCGCCGATGCGGACGGGGTGGAAACCGCCGGGGCGGTATTCTTCGCAGTTTTCTATGTCGAAGAGCCAGCTTCGTTCGTAGAGTGGCTCTAATGGACTTTTATTAACGGTTTTAGGTTCGGATAAATCGTGATTTGAATTGAGCATTGGGGGAATGTCAGGTGATTCGGGCATTGTGTGAAAAGATGCGATGGTTTGAGGAGGACGATGAAGCTCGAATATTGGCATCCTGATGCCCTGAATTTATGGACTTTACTTTGAATGAAATGGGGTTGAAGAGAGGCATTTCGCTTTGGTTGAGCATACTTAGATTATGTATTGTGTACGCGCGCGCCTCCTTGTTGGTTTGAGGTCACTTGTGGTTGAAGTTGGTCGGGAACTGGTCCGAGATCATGCAGCTCGCTGGCGCTTAACCCTCGCCTTTCCAAACAAATGCCCCTCGTAAACCATCTCTATCTATGAACTGCGCTCCAATGCCAGGATTTAGTAATCACTGCACCATCCTCTTTGCTTGTCAAGCCTTGGAGAATCCAAAGAGTGTTTTCATGCATGGTTAACCTGACTCTGCCAAATGCTCATGTAGAGTTCAGACTGAAGCGGTGCCTGTTTACATGAAGATACTAAGACGAAATCAGCGAAAATGAGAAACTTGCGTCTTGTTTATCTGATTTTTTACCTATAAGTTCTTTCTTGTGTCCTCATCACCTATCAGAGTTCCTTTACACCCTCAAATTCCCCTCCATAACCACAACCGCATTCCCACTAATCTTCACTCCCTCAATCTCCCTGCCCTTATCCCTCTCACCAACCAAAATCTCAACTCCAATAACACTCTTCCTCCCCATCTCCACTCCCTGCGTAACTTCGAACCTTCTCCTCCCACTCTCCCCTCCATTCATCGCCAAATAGCAACTCAACGCACTAGCCGCACTCCCCGTCGCCGGATCCTCCATCGCAACCTCCAACATCCTACTCCTCACCCTCGTCACCCCACCATTCGTCCACCCTCCTTCTTCAAGCACAACATAATAATACTTCGCCACAAACCCCATCCTCCACCCCTCGTCCAGCACCCCATGGAAACTCACATCCTCGCCACCAAGCTGCACCGCCCCCAGCATATCCAGACTCTCCAGCCGAACAAGCAGGAATGTCATGCCCTGGACAATACTCACAATAGGGGCTTGCAGCTCCGCTTTACAGATAGCCGGTACATGTGACAAGCCAGGAATAGGACGTTCGAGATCTCCAATGGTGTGGGAATGGATATGCACGTTATGAGGCACATCAGCAGACACCCGCGTCGACATATTCGGTTCAACGATGCCACCATTCGCATTCCCATCCTCCTCCTCCTGTTCCTGCTCCTGCCTCTCATCATCAAACACAAGCGCAATATCCACGCCTCCCGCCCTCGTAACCAACCTCCCCTTCCCCCTCCCATGGCCCTTCCCACCACCTGCACCCAACACGCCCAGAACATACGCGGCTGTCCCGATCACGGGGTGGCCGGCAAAGGGGAGTTCAGCGTCGGTGGTGAAGATCTCGACGTCCCATTCGGGGATGGAGGGGTCGAGTTGTTCGTGCAGGAAGATGGTTTCGCTGAGGTTGAATTCCGCGGCTATGTTTTGCTTTTGGGTCTGCGTTATTAGGTGCCGGAGGGGGGAGGGGATCCGGATTAGGGCGAGGGGATTGCCGGAGTAGGCGGTGGAGGTGAAGACGTCGAGGGTGGTGAAGGGGAGGGTTAGTGGTTGGGAGGGGGTGCGGAGGATGGGTGGTTTGTTGTGTGTGGTGTGGGATGTTGTTGAGGTTGTGACTGTTGTGGGAGAGGAAGGGGAGCTGGGGGAGGTGAGGAGTGATGGTGCCATGGCGGCGATGATGTCCGTTTAGGATTTTGTTGACCTCGAGAATGTTGATGATCGATTTAAAACGGTGGCTATATCCAAAGTGTGAAAGTCAGACTTCGAACTCTTATAGTTGGTGTTGCGAATGCCTCGTGATTGGGTTTAAAATTTTCTTATTTTCTCTTTTGTGAAGGGAAAATATATTCAAGCTCCCTCTCAACGTGGGGAGTCACTCTTCTAATAAGATCCTCAACCCAACCGAGATCCTCAAATACCTCTAGTAGGGATCTCCGCGAGTTCCCAATACAGCTCTCCCAAATCAAGTATTTCAGTACCAAACTCCTGCCGGCCCGTAGATCTGGATCTAACATGTGGGTGCGATAGGCCAGCAAAGAACCTTGAATCTTAGGTAATCTCCCTTTGAAACCAGTTCCCTTCGTATGCTGAATGTGGTACGTACACTTGGTATCTGTGTGCAGGGCAGGTGAAAGACGGGATCGATCAAAGAAGTCAATGGATGACTGGAGAATTTGGCGAGAAATTGACCAAGTATAAATTCCAGGTCGCTCTCTACGCTGGAAATTTGTCAGCAAGCCCTTTTTAGCCTTTGACTGTCAGCGTTTGGTTGTGTCCACCTAGTGTATTTTCTAAGAACCTACCTTATCTATATACACATGTAAGCTACTGCTCATGTATTTCATCTCCTTCCCTCCCTCTCGCTTGAAAACAAAACAAATAAACAAATAAACAAATCAAGAATAAAAACAGCAGATCGCCCTGGACCCCTCCAAAATCCCAGATCTCAAGCTCCACACAGATTGCCCCTGGTGCCCTTCCCGTCCAACACTAGTCCCCAAGCAGACCCCACAAGGCTGATCCCAGTCCATCAACAGGGCTCTTGAACCGGACCAACTCCTGCCCACTTTTCGAGATGACAGTACAGTCGTGAGGTCGTCATCAGCAAACAGCCTCTGCAAAAGCACACTCGCGGCCAAGTTGCGAGCCCACTTCTACGGGCACCAGTATGCAGGTACAAGGATGTGTAGATCTGAAAAATCAGGGTCTTCGGGGACTTCTCTCCGGGCATTTTAGGTGGGTCACGGCGTTTTGTTTTCTAAGTATCTCGCAGATACACGACCTGGTGCTATGCTTTTGTAGGAAGCACTTGAAATATTACTGATGAGACTTGAGAGGAAACTTGGGCAGGTCTTGAATATGCGTTCATGATAGGCGGGTACAATATTTTGGGTGAAAAAAAGTGGGAAGCAGAACATCCTGATTCAGGCCAAGAAAATACTTTTGTCATTATCATAACCAAAAAGGGCCCCATGACTGGTACGCAGAGGCTTCGACAAAACGCCAATGGACATCACGGGACTCCCAATTGTCCTTCGTATACAAAGTCGCTCATGCCTTGGTGTCTGATTTCCATCTCATGCCTGCTTTGGCGATCCTATGACCATTCTTCCTGAGGCGTCCCCTGCGAAGCCATGATCAATGCAGTCAATTCCGCAATCTTGACACTCAGATCCTGAACCTGCTGCTCAAGCATAGTATTATCAACCATGACCGTTGGGCCTACTTTCTTGCTTTTGATGGGATTCTCATGCGTGGGACTGTGAGCCCCATCCTCGGCTGGTGTATCTGGGAAATGCTGCGAGTTGGCCTTCCCGCTGCGACTGGCGAGGAATGGTCTCCCCTTCTTGGAGGATGAAGTGGATTCGGTCGTGAGCCTTGCAAGGCCGGGACCGATGGATGAGAATGCCAGAGCCCCGCCGTTAACCTTTTCATGTGCTTTCTCAAACAGCCAGATTGCGGCTACGATCGGAGAGTGAGTGACCTTCAACATCACTATTCGTGTTCGTCGAAGGTCATCTGACGAGAGGAACAATCGCAAAGGGCGAATGAGGATCAGAGGTATCAGATTCTAGGAATTGTTAGCATTCAGAAGTGTTTAGTGCGCGTCAATCATACCAGAGGTGGGTAGAAGTGCGTGAGTCTATTACTGGTCGATGCCTGAATACGTTAGCAGAGAAATATCTGGGGAATCTTTGGCATACCTCGAGAACATAGACTGAGTACACGAACAAGTATTCCTCCCTACACGTAAAGGTAAGCGAGTGTCAGGCCACGGAAAAAACGACACCAACCGTGCATGTGCGATAACCTTGGAGAAGCTATCACTTAGAATACTGATCAAGGACGTGATGAGTAGGATATTTGTCATGCAGACAAAAATGAGCATGAGAGGGGGGCCAAGTTTGGGATTGATCTAGAAGGTCAGTGACATTCGATTATTGAGAAACGGGAGCCTACATCACTCATGATATCCTAGATAGAAGTTAGTCTGGCACTACAGGATTTCCGGCAGACTTACAAATCCCAAGTAACTTGAACCAAAAAACACCTTGATCAAAATCCAACTCATTTCTGCTAAACCAAAACTATCTCGAGCGAGAAGAGTAAAGGTCGTTAGGAAGCCTGGCGATGCATCAGCAGCCATTCGAAGAAGCAGATCAAAAAGACTAACCAATGTACAAGACTGCCACGACTACCATGAACTTCACAAAATCTTTGGCCTGCAAAAGTGTTAGACAATATTTCAATAACGAACCAAACGCCTTACCATCTCTTTCAAACATGGAATCTAGCCAAGTCAGTACAATGTGTGCACGGACGGAGAGTCAAGTATCTTACCAGAGTTCCAAAGTACGGATGAAGACTCAGTAGTGAGCAGATTCTAGGCTTGTTAGCCATCATCTACAACTCCGTCAAGATAACCCACCTCGGAACCATGAACAGTGCTTCCAATGACAAAATATCGAATGCCGTGTCCGTGATGGGTTGATGATCCTCAGTGTCTTTGATTAGTCCAACGACTCCTATGTAATATTAGATCCTGCCACAAAAATCAACATTGTGCAACTTACTGGTGATCGCGAAGGCTATTCCAATCAGTATGATAATGAGGTCACAGCCATTCCAAATATCAACAGCATAGAAAATTGACCCCGCATCGATGAATTCTCCCAATTCGTCATATGCAAAAGCCGCGAACCAAATATACAGTAATATTTCGAGGAACGTGATTTCATATCTGCCATGATCAGCATGTCGACCAAACGAGGTCATTTTGAGCACTTACTGGTTTCTCTCCACCATGACCGCATAGTAGAGGAATAGAAACGTTGCAAAGAAGAGGACTTCAAATGCCTTGATATACCTCGGTACTCGCAACCGTGTGAAGCAGTCTGATCGTTTCTTATTGTAGAACTGTGGCTTCTTTTTCGTGTGAACGCTCAAGTTAGCCCAGAAGGTGATGTCTCCATTCCAGATCCCAGTAATGATCTTCTGAACAATTCTCTGACTCATGAACTTCTTGCAATCTGCCACAGCAGCAATTTCCAATGCATTCAGTCCTGTGAACGATGATGTCGGGTCATCCTCATCTTCTGGGTTTACTTCCGGCACAATCGACATGGAGCCCATATGCGAAATTGATCGCAGCATTTCTACCCGTTTACTTGTAGGTCTTGCAGGAGTCACAGGAACAGTAGGATCCCTCGCCCTAAACTGTGGTAGAAGAATCGAATGTTCGTTGGCTTCCGAGCCGCATGGATCTGTAGTTTGTGGTTCTTCCTCCGGCGGCTGCACCTCTGGCAGTTCGTACAAGCAGAAGTCCACCGCATCGCGTTCTGATATTCGTGTGAGGAATCGCCAGGCTACAATTTCGCATGCGTTCGCTCGAGTTTCGTTCAATCCGCGATCGTCGACTTCGAGGGTTGAGAAGTGCCATTTCAACGTTCTATCCAAACCCAATGAGAAATGTTCGCTGGCAGGCTTGAGAATACTGACAATAGAGCATTGATCAAAGCTGGATTTGTAACATTCACGACCAGATGTTCCACCAAGACTCGTATTTTGTTCCCTGCAGATGTGGTTCGTAGCTGTTCGAAGGTCGAGGGTACATGGAGCTCGTCGACAAAATAGCTATTCGCAGTCAGTAAGCTGTCGCAAACTCCAATTGAAGCTTGCTTACAAGGACAAAGTCTTGACAACCTTGGCAAATGGATCTGTAGGCCCGATGATAGGTAACTTGGCGACCTTGACGAGCCCCATAGCTGATCCTGGGGTATTCATGGTGATTCTGTTGATGGCTGAAGGTGGTGGACGTTGAGGGAGGGATGCTAGTATTAGCTCTTGTAGCACCGTGAGATAGAGCTATCCCATTCGAGCCCCGTATCAGTTGCACAAGCAAGGGATCCAAAGTAACGCGGGGTGGAAGTATTGAGTTTTCTTGAAGTCGAAGCAAGGAAGAGGCCAAAAGTGCAGCTGTGCAAACACGACAAACACATGACGGCGTTCAGCGGCCGCAAATCGCGGGCAGCTCCCTGACTGGCTCGTTCTTGCCGAGTCTCCAAAAGGAACATCAAAACAAAGGTCTGGCAAACCGTCAAACAATTGGAAGGTTGCAAAAATATTCCGATGTAAATGAGCTTGGAAACTAGACATACTTCCCTAAGCGGTTGGAGGCCGAGATCTAAATCCCAGCACGGCGCTTTCAGATATCATTGCAAGATCCAACAAGTCTGATTTGTCCGCCGTTTCTTACTTTGATCCATTTCTTTCTGTTTCCACTTCCAGTTGGCTCGAATCCCCAAATCTGAAAGCAACAAGATATTCAAATTTCAATATCTGTTTCCTTATAAGGTGACACCTCACTGCTGAATTGCAGATGTACCTGTACACTCGCCATTCCATTGGAGGCACATTTAGTCTCTACCATATCTTCATCTCATCGCACTTCTTTTCGTCCCAGATTTCTCCATCCATGATACCATGGATATACGCTTCACCAACAAACAAGATCCTTTCCTTCTCCTCTACCTCTTCTTTTCTCACAACCAGCGGAACCCTTCCTCCCCTCGCCAGAACCACAATATCACCAACTCTCGCGTCCCCAGGAAGCACTCCCAACCAACCATTCTCCAGCTTCCCCAACCGTCTATGCTGCGAAGCACCTATAAATGGCCAGAAATCTCCATAAGTGTCCCACGTTGCGCGCATATATACCGCAATTCCTATCCAGGGGAACGTTCTGCTAACCCAGCCAAAATTCCTCACAAACTTGCGCAACGGTTCCAACAGTTCGTACCATTGCTCAAAAGATCGTTTTGTTTCTGCAGGTCCCGAGTCCTTATATGTGCCGCAGCACAAGGTCTGCCAGTACAATTCGCCAGGTTCGATGCCAGGATTCGTACATTGTTGCTCGGCTACGAACTTCTCCCAACGGAACAGAGTGTGGAACGCGGACATGATATACTGACCATCTTTCTCGAAGCTGAAGTACTGAATGACCAAGGTTTTGGTCATGATTTTGACAATCCAGAGTATAATGACTGTCCATAGGGCAATATTAGCTGCAGAATTTATCGCGAAGCTATTGACAGTATATGCGGACCTCGCGAAATGCATCCTTGTCTTGGTCAGTACTGTGTGAAGCTTTGAGCCTGTTGTTACAACCACGGATTCAGATTCCGGAGATGAAGCTTGGGTTCGCCAGGCTTGGAACCTATCAACATTTGGCATTGATGAATTGATATCTTTCTCCAGTTGCACCAACATCCTACTTCCTGCAACGTTCTCCAATTCTGGAGCAGGGAGTACTTCCGATAGCGCAGTAATAGTTGTGACTTCGAAGCCACTCAGAATAAGTCGAGATGTGTCTGACGTGAAGGAGGCATCGGCCTTGGATTGCTTTGTTGCGTGGGTCTTTCTGGGTCTGTCCAGCGAGTCTTGCGTCAGAGGAGATCCTATTCTATCCGTAACGCTCCAGTCTGTCGCCCATGATGGCAAGTCTAGACTTGTCCTGGGACGAACGCCCAGGCTGTCGAGAGTATTGGTTTTGGCGATGATCTCCTTGGAAATCTTGCAATAGACTTCCCGGACGTCCGTTTTGTACTCGATCTTGATCTCAGGGGCATCGGGAGAATGATGCTTCAGAGCTTCGGAGTGCGCATCGCGGAGGATTCCTAGGAGAGCATATATTTTGTCTCGCGGATCTCTCGATTCGCGGTGTCTGCAATGTACCAAGAGACGAAGAAGGTCCACAGCAGGTGTGCCTCGCTGGTCGGGGAGTCGATAACGGTTCGTGAGGGCTCGCATGGATATGTATGGCACGACCACTGGATTTACTATAAAACCAAGGACAGAGTGGTTCCATATTTGGATGTTAAGTCCATGGTCAGTAGCAGCACGAACTATGCCTGAGTCAAAACCAATTTTTATCTGTGCTGCACCTCTTGCAGATAAGAACATTAAGATGTTTATCGTTGTCCAGGGAATAGAGAAGAGAACAATTCTGAAGAGATGTGCTTACAATTTTCCCACGTGATAGTGTATTTGCCAATCATCAAGACCGCATTCGAAGATAGCAATAATTCCTGAACAGTCCAAGCTCGAAACCACCACGACCGTGATGCGATGTCTACGATTGTGGTGTCTGCGAAAAATTCATCGTAGAGTTTAGTATTGACCTTGTGAACGGGAAGATGGTTGACAAAAGCCGGTAGTGTCTCCGGAGTGTTGAAGCTGTCATAATTAATTGTCTTGCTTTCTTCGGCAAGCTTCTCTAACATGTTAAACATAATCCCCGTCGTCTTGATCTCGGGCCCGAGGAAGCAGATGGTCGCGGTACCATTGCGGTAAATTTCGCACATGAGAGGCACTTGAATTCCTCGTTCGGAAAAGCTCGATTGATCGATACAAATGGCGTCCACCCAAAGAAAACGTGATTTATCTGGGTATCTCAAATACCGCAACGCGCAGTGGAGACTTGGTCCAATTTCAAGCCTACCATTGTTGACTTGGATCGCGATTCGAGTCCCCTCTTCTCCCCAAACATAGCTCAGGGCGTCGTACTGATCCACGGTTTCATTCAGATGTGTGTCTTTCAAATCGCAGACAATGGGATCATTTTTATCGCCTGCGTGAAGTTCGAGGATACGGATGTAGTGGCCATCCTCTGGAAGGTGGGTGTACTCATATTTATTTTCAGGTATCGCATCGTTGTTCTCCTTGGTCGCGTCGTGTGGCTCTGGCTCATCTATCACCTCCTGTCTGAGTGCTTTACCCGGAGACTTCCAAAGAGCCAAGAAGTCTTTCCGCGCTGACATTATCAAATTAAGATTCGATGCGACCCTCACCAGAGGTTCTTGACAGGTGCTATCAACTTACGAAAGAACATATGTTGTTCAGGGTAAGAGCATCGCGTTTTATGTAAGCACTAATGCAGCACTACTGAGTACCCTGTACGACGTTTTGCAGGGCCAACAGCAAGAATTTCGCTTATCTTGGGGCGTGATTCTCGCAAAAGTTGGGCTTGATTCAGTGATTTTCGGGGATCACGAGTCTTTACTTCGTTAACCATCGCCACGGAGCCTCGCTCTTTAACAATCTTTGTATCTCTTACAATAGACTACCTGGCGAAGAGACAATGAAAAGCGATTTTCAAGCTCAGAATCGTGGAGAAGGTTTCTTGGCCTTTCTCGATCATAATGTTAGGACTAAATGTCATGCTGCTGATACATAATTAGTGAGGGAGTTCCATGTCCTGGTTAAGGTTCTATGAACTAAAACAAGAAGAAAACAGTTAGGCGAGCGGAAAAGGAAGCGCCTCGCTTCCTGGTATTGCGAACAAATCACTTCATGCTCTGACTCCACCGAGATAGTCGTGAGTTGACCACTTCCTTGAAATTGTTTGAACGAGATACCTACGAGCATAAATCACAGATAGTCTGACAAATCAACAATGCGGCCGGATTTGTGACGACTTTGTTCTGGTATGTTAGTTGCTGTGGGCTCTAATGCCAGCTCCTCGATGGGCACTCGCATAAGGAAGGTTTGCTTGGTGTTTTTTATGGTCAAAGGAGAGAATCTCTCTTAGCATAATGATCGAACAATCCGGTCTCAGATACTCTTCTAACGGCCTGGAAGATTTTAGTGATTTGGTATCAAAGGGGAACAGGGGGGGGGGGCAGAAAGGCAAGCAAAGTTCGACGCTTAGTCATCCAACCTCCTACCTTCCGCCAGAGACGTCGAACATCTTCAGCCTGCGACAGACTGCTCCCAAACATAACTCCGAGCACTGTAACTTCAAAGTCAGATGATTACATCTCCGGGTTCGGGAATCAACTCATTCCCCGCAAAGGTTCGCAAAAAGCTTCAATGACACAAGCTTCCCAAGGACGGAAGTATCCATCCCGGATCGGCAGTTCTGTGGAGCTGTCAACCCTCCACACTATGCTTCCACGGGAAACCACTATGATGATCCACGCACGAGAGCATCATTGCCTCGATTTCGGTAGGTGTTCTGCAAAAAGCTAAGTCTGTGTTGCCATAACTTTTATTTCTTACCGGCTTTGTACTTCTGACCCCGCAGATTTGTTCAACAACCACTGTGGAAGAATCTTTCCAAGACATTGACGATTCCGTCCAGCAACTCGAATATGGGAATTTTCAGCAAGAAGCAAAAGGGGGAAGATGCCATGGAGAGCCCGGAACATGGGGTAGCTGGGAGCCCGAGACAAGAAGATCCAGAAAAGGATATCGAGCACTATGGTGAGGTTGCCTCGCAGACCCACGATACTTCTTCACATCCCCGCCATTACGATTTGGCGTTGGAAGAACGAGTTGTGCGGAAGATAGATAGGCATCTAATACCGCTTGTCATGATTTTGTGTAAGTCAGGATCAAATTCCACTTCTACAATCCAGCAACTGACATGAAACCTCCAGATCTCCTAGCATATCTGGATCGCTCCAACATTGGGTAGGACCTCACGAACATATCCTTCCTGTAGACTTACGGCTAACACCACGAACAGTAATGCACGCATCGCAGGAATGGAGGAGGAATTCAACCTCGGACCAGGCCAATATGAATGGTTCCTGACCATTTTCTACATCTCATACATCTTATTCGAGCCACTAGGGATGATGTGGAAAGTCATACCCCCTCATCAATGGGCGGCATTTACTGTCATGGGGTGGGCAGTGTGTGGAACACTCCAAGCGGCGACATATAGCTGGGCGGGTATGATGGCAGCTCGATTTTTCTTGGGAGTATTTGAGGCGTGCTTCTCGCCAGGTACGTTCACGAGAAAGTGTTCAGTGGGCTAGACTTACAGTCATTTTAGGAATTCCTTTCCTTCTCTCATTCTTCTATCGAAGGAACGAGCTCGGTTTCCGCTGCGGTCTCTTCCTCAGTGCAGCTCCGCTGGCAACTTGCTTTGCAGGTGCACTTGCTTATGGTATCACGTCTGGAGATCCAAAAGGCATTTCATCCTGGCGATTACTCTTTCTGGTTGAAGGTTTACCATGCGTAGTAGCAGCCGTGGTCACTTGGTTCGTGATGCCCGACAGTCCCGAGAAAGCCAAGTTCTTGAACCAGGAAGAGCGGGCTGTCGCAAAAGCACGATCACTCAGGCAAGTTGGCAGCGATGGTGAGAGCAGGATAGGAAAACCATCTTGGACAGATGTTAGGGCGACATTGCTTGATATCAAGGTAAATTCCCTTGTCCACGTGTTCGAAGGCCAATGCTGACTGTGATGAAAGCTATGGATAACAGGCCTGATGTATTTCTCCTGTAACGTCTCCTTCGCATCACTCCCCGTCTTTCTACCAACCATCCTCACAGAAATGGGATTCACCAAGATCAACGCCCAAGGTCTCTCAGCACCGCCGTACTTCCTGGCCTTCCTGCTCGTCATTATCACCTGTCGAATAGCCGACAAGACATCCCAGCGTGGTCTCATGATTACTTGTCTCTCCTTGCTGGGTGCTACAGGTTACATCATGCTCGCAGCAGCTACCAGCACTGGAGCACGATATGCAGGCGTGTATCTCGCAGCTGCTGGGATCTTTCCGTCAATTGGGAATATCCTGCCTTGGGTACTGAATAATCAAGGAAGTGATACTCGCAGAGGGACTGGTATCGCGATGTTGAACGTCATTGGACAATGTGGACCACTTCTTGGCACGAGGTTGTATCCCAAGAGTGAAGGTCCATTGTATCGGAAGGGGATGTGGGTTTGTGCCGCATTCATGCTGTTCAACGCTACGTTGGCTTTGGGCCTGCGTTTCCTTCTGAAGTGGGAGAACAAAAAGTTAGATGAGAAGTACGGAGTTGTTGAGCCTGGAAAGGACGACGACGGACAGGGAGAGGAGAATTCTGGACCGAGATATCGGTATATTCTATGAGATGGGTATCTACCACTGGTTTAGCGGGGCATCTAGTCTATGTCTATGTATAAATCTACTTCGGTGCCATAACATGCAGCAATATCCAACCACTCTCAAACTCCAACGCTATGCATCTATTCTCCTGTCTACATTCCAACATTACATTACCGGCTGCTTCCAACAATCACCCTCTACAAAGCAAAAGCAAACTTCCCCTTCATCCTCAACTTCTCGCCATACTTCCAAAACAGCACGGGGAAAGGCATCATCGCGAGACACAAGAACCCCAACAGACTAGTCGCCCAATCCACACCCAGATCCCTATACATATAGGTCGCGAAAAGCGGAAAGCCCGCAGCCATCAACGCCCTCACACAACTACTCGCCGCCAACGCACTATTCGCATTCAAAAGATACGTATCGACGATATAAATCTGACTCGGCAAGAACACCAAGAAGATGCCACACCCCACAAACACACCACTCACCACCTGCGGCGCCCAATGTATATCCGGATCCGAGGTCCAAGCGAACCAGAAGAGTCCAATGGGGAGCATGACGCTGCCGATGATCATTGGAGGGAGGCGGGCTTCTGGGATGAAAGGCTTAGCGGATGCCAGGAGCAGCTTGTTGAAGCGGGTTTTGGTGTCGATGGCGATGTAGATGCAGCAGATTACTATGCCGACGAATATGCCGAGGAAGGGAAGGGAGGCGAGGGTGCTGGACCAGCCGCGGATGACGCGGAAGGAGTAGGGGTAGGCGAAGAAGATGAGGTAGAGGATGGAGTAGACGAGGGAGGAGTAGAGTGTCATTGCCATGAGCTGTGTTGTGCGAGTTAGTGTATGTTTCTTTCTCTGGATGAACAAGCGAAGGGTAAAAAAAACAAGAAGGGAAATGTCAGGTGAAAAACTTACAATCGGCTCTCTAATCAGCATAACCCAAGGCTTCATGAAATACTTCTCCAACAGAGCCCTCGCGTGAACAGGCTGCTCATCAATCTGACTATGCAGCGCCCAATCCCTCGTCTCATGCCTCAACTTCTCCGCTCTGCGCTTCAGCAAAATAGGCGCATACGTCTCCGGCACCGTGAACAGTCCCACAATCCCCACAAACGCACTCATAATCAGCGTGATCCAAGCAGTCCATCTCCACCCCAGATAACTACTCGTGATGAACTCGCCGATGATAGGACCAGCAATGGGACCGATGAACGTCGCGCCTGCGAAACCAGCAGTTGCGATTCCGCGATCTAAAGTGTCCCAGAAATCGACGTAGGTCCCGCCGACGATGGCGATGGGCGCGGCGCCGAAACAGCCTCCGAGGAAGCGGGAGATCATGACGGTGGCGATGTTGGGGGCGGTGGCGACGGGGATTTGGAAGATGGTGAAGAGGAAGAAGCCGAGGAAGAGGGGTTGGGTGCGGCCGTAGACTTCGGAGAGAGGTCCCCAGACGAGAGGGCCTGATGAGAAAGAATATCAGTTTCTTGTCCATTGTATCTCTCATTCAATGGTAATGGTTGTTGTGAGAGACTGGAAGGAGTGCAGTATTACTAACCACAAGCAAATCCTAACACGTAAAGCGAAACTCCTAGAATCATAACCTCGAGACTGACACCCCACTTCACAGCTGTGACTTCAGTGGCGGTACTGAACACTGAGCTGGCAAACGAGACGCAGAATGTCATGATGGCTGTTACCATTGTGATTCGCCATTTCTTGCTTCGTGGGAAGTTCATGGGGTTCTCTGGGTCGTCGGGACCATCCCAGCTGACCAGGTGGGTGACAGGGTCAATACATGAGAGAGGATTTGGTGAGGCTTTCTCGTTTGCCTGGGCTTCGAGGTCGATAGTTTGGTCTGGTTGCGCTTTGTCTTGGACGGCGGGGGAGGAAGAGGATTCATCATAAACGGAAGCGGTGCGTGAAGGCGCGGCTGTGTTGACTGCTGTCCCTGGAGGCGAAGTTGACTCCCATCCTGACTCTTTTTGAAGCGAGAGAGATTCTCTGCCCGCTTCGGGCTCCTGGAAGGCTACCATCTTGGTAGTTGTATAATTATATAGTCGATATAAACAAATGTATCGTGCCGGTGAGCTGACCGGTAGGAAACGGTTTAACGAGCGTGACGGCGATGCAAGATCAGAAAATCTCGATACGAAAACATTGGAATGGGAAGGGGGCGTCAAGTACTTATCAACACCCAGCCAGCATCAAGCGGAGCATAAGGAAGGTGCACCGACAGAGTGGTCGGCACTATGATGGACACTGTATCCATATATTCATCGATCCATTCCCGAGGAGGAACCTCCTCAGCATGAAAAGCTCACACAAAATATAAAGCAAGATCCACAAAAGCACCCGAAAACCCTCTTTTCCCTTCCCTACCAGGGATAAACCCCATCTCATCACAAACGAAGGTGACATTGTACCTCGGCACAAACGCATCTTGTCTCTCAAAACAGAAACAAGAAAAGGATAACAATGGGCCCATCCGAATCAAAAACAAACGGGTCGATCCACTAAGATCTAGAATATGTACGGGATCATTCGTGCACGGTTCGTCCAATGGACCGAAAAACGACAGAAACGTGGCATAGCAGAAGAACGTTAAGGTAAGAAACAAAGTATGCATGCATGCATGGATGAGCGAGATGCCGATGTCGTAGTCGGCACGACCGAGCCTCAATGCGGTTTCCCAAGGGGGAGCAGCGGCTAGCACGAAGGAGCGCAAATGGAACAGGATGTCTGGGATGAAGAGCATCGTATCCACTTTCCTTTTGTTTGAAAGCCAAACAGACGAGATATCTGATTTGAAATATCTTTTGTACCTCGGCTCAAACTCAATTCTATCTAAGACTTCGTCTTCGATTGAGATGAAGATAAGGGTCTGATCCCCCACCGAGCCCCCACTCCTTGCATATGTCGCAATGCTGAGTTGATTCTGGAATGAAAGAATGGAGCTTTCTGTGTTTTGTGAAGAAACTGTTGGCTGTGATACTACTGTACAAAAACGAACCGCGGTGGTGGATGATATTCGGGCCGGTTTTCATGATATGATGCGTGTGAATTGTGGATGTCGTCAAGTTTGAGTGGAGTTTTCACATCGCGCGTTGTCAAGGTTTTTCTCTTCCCGACAGGGCTAAGCGAGGGGTTTCTCGGAGATGACGAGTGCGCCTAGTCAACACATGGCGTGAGGCTCAACTTTATCGGCCGTAAGATTTGGATGTCATGGGTGTTGTTGACTAAACATAGGAGAGCTACAGTATCTTTTAGCCTTAGGATTTTCAGTTGTTAAAGTACCTACCTTACCTGTGAAGACGTGGTAACGTGATTTGGACTGTTCTGACCGATCGCCACGATTCTCTTTGTCTCTCGCCGGGAAAGCATTTCTTGGGAATAACAACGCACACGGGACAGAAAATTACTTCTCAGAGAAAATTTGAGAAGAAATAGAACGGTATATTTATATCAAGTTCGTGATTTCATGATCTACATTATCTGTTTTGCCTCTTCTTGATTGGGTTGTGCAGTGCAATGGACTGTACATCGAGCAACAATCCTCTCCTCGAGCGAGACTTCCCATTCAACCTTCCATTCCATCATTTGTCCATATAATTGATCAAGACAAGTACACTAACTCGTAGCTCCCGCAAGACAGAATGACCGTCGGCAGGCAATCCGCAGGACCCGTTCTTGCTTTATATCCTCGCTCCAGTCAAGTTCATGGATGTACATGGATCAACCAATAGACAAACAGGATGATCCTCTCCAAAGACGCCAGAATACAATGCTAACCAGACGTTACCATTCCAGCCCAGGAGATCGATATATCTCGGAATCAAAGCCAAACAGACACGCTCAGAACGCCAGCCATCCATCATGGAAATAAACTCAACAGAAAGGTATCACGCTGATTCAAGTAATTCTCACTCTCTCACTCATTCCCCTTCAACAACGCCCTAAGCGTTAGCACCTCCCTCCTCAACCGCGCATTCTCCTTCTTCGTCTTTGCCGTCTCCTCACTCGCCTCCTTCAACTTCCCCACCAACTCCTCCTTCTCGCCTTTGCCCTTAAGCGCCTTAACAATCTTGCCCAACTCCCCATTAAACTTCTCATAGAGTAATTCATTCTCCGCACTGCTCTCCTTGTACAGTTGATCGAGGCCCTTGACTTTGTATTCGGAGGCTTGGAGGCTCTTCTCGAGGTCGGACTTGATGGTTTCGTTGCGGGAGGTGAGGTCGGCGATTATGGTTGGGATGCGGGATTCGAGGGTGTGGAGAGAGGAGGTGAGTTTTTGGAGGTCAGATGTGCGTGCGCTGCTACTGGATGAGGACGAAGAGGAGGCGGCGTTGAGTTTTGCCATCTCGGCGCCGATTTTGGAGAGTTCGGATTGGAGTGATGCTTCAGCTTCGTTGATGGCTTTGGCTTCATTTTGCAGACGCTCGCGGAGTTTCTGAGGTGATTGGAGACGCAGCTTTTGAGGAGATGGCTTCCCAGGTGTGGTTGGCGGGCGGGAGGCTGAGGGCGCGCGACCGATGAGGGTGGGAATGTTGGAGGAGAGAGACGGGGTTTTGGTATGGCCTTTGTTGGAATTAATTGTCCAGAGGTCCTTGATTACTACTACGTCTGGATTTGACTGAATGTTCTGTGGTCGTTCGGTGAGGTTGCCAATGTTTCTTGACAACATAAGAGGTGAGTTTTCCTTTTGATTTGGTGAGCCGGTTCTATACATCGATGCACGATTCCGGTCCATGATACCTCCGGCGACTGGAATCTTGGTTGGCGAAGGTGTTCTTGGAGATGAGTTGAACTTTGAACCCCTTCGCTCCATAGACATTGGCGAGTTGCCAAGAGTTGCAGCTGCCATCAGACTCTTTAGATCAGATAGGGAACTTCGTCGCTTCTTCTTCAAAGACTTGGTTATCTCCTGCTTCTCTTCTGGTGGTGGCGAAGCTCCAATAGTGCTGAGTCTAGAAGGTGACCCGCTGCTGGACGGACGCTCATCGAAGGCACCCAATATGGTTGGTCTGTCTCGAGAAACTGGACGTCTACCTGGAGACTCAATAGACTTTGAGCGCATGACTGATCCCTTGGACAAGCTGGACGTAGCGAGAAAGTCACCAGTAGCAGTGGTCCGACTTGACTTGCTCAAGGTTCGCCATACAGATGGTCGATCATTATCCTTGGTACTGCCTTGTCGAAGTAGTGTGTCAGCAAATCTTCTTCGGAAAGAAGATGCATTCGACGCAACAGAACCATTGGCGGAATGGTTTGATCGAGCACCAGAAATGGAACCAAAGGCAGAATTATTGCCACCCCCAAAAGTAATCGCTCCGGGTCCAATATCCTCAAAGAGGCGCTCCTGGTCTTCCACCATACGGTCAAGCAGATTAATGTAGTCGTGAGGGTTTCCATCAATGACAAGAAGCTCGGCAAATGCGGCGGTTAGAGCACCACGGTCACCGTCGTTTCCACATCCATCCAACAAGTCCGCCAGTAATTTGATGATAGCGATGAATGCTCTCCGATTTTGAGGAGCCATTTCACCAAAGACCAATCGGACATAGTCAGCGAAGTCATTTGGCATCAACTTCAAGGCTCTCTCCTGAAGCTCATCCAAAGTTTGTGATGACATGACCTGACCCATCTGGTCTTTCCAGGCCATTCTCAAGTATTTCTCAAAGGCAACGAAGAGTACGTCGACTGAAGCTTCTGAAGCTGGTCTATTGTCGAAAGGATTCTCAATGAAAGTGTTGTATACAGCGTTGATAGCAAGCTCATCAGCAGTGCTGCGATTTCTCAATACTCTCCCCACGATGTTACCTTTCCGTACTAGGAGTGCAGAAATATAACCCGTGAAAGTCTCTTCTAAGCGAACAAGAGGATTTCTGGGCTTCTCGTCCGCACGAACACTGCTTCGGAGGTCAACATCCTGGATAGAATGTGTAGATTTGTTGCTGTTTGATCTGGTCAACGGTGGAGCTTGCATTGTTGGAACATTGCCGAGAATTGGAGTTCGAGGGTGCTTAGGTGGACTTGGTCCAGCATGGAAAGACGATGTTGAGCTATTGAACCCACTGGACAGAAACGAGAGTAATTTGACGGGAGAGTTTGGTCGGAATGATTTTGACTTATCACCTTCAGCAAGGATTGCGATTGACTTCAAGATCTTGCAATTAGTGGAGATAAAGGGGGTTGTCAACGCGGGGTTGCTGATGTGGAATTGTGATCGAAGCAATTCGTTCACTAAACTTGTTAGTTGACGTCTTAAGTCGTTCTGGGGGAACGTACCTCGCTTTGCGAATGTGGGTAAGAAGTGCTCAGCTACCACTTCATCAACAAATACCCTATCGTGAAGACCATCAACCTCAAGTCTATACGTCAGCCCGCCTGGGAGGGCATTGACATTGGCAACTATGTCAACACCGTAATGACCAACGGGGGCTCCCTTGGTACCCTTGGCATGATCAACCACAACTCTAATTGGTGCTGGTTCCTTCCGACCTTCAATTAGGGTGTCGATTCCTTCTTCGAAAACTGAAGTATGGAGATTTATTTCCGCAGCTCCAAGCTTGATGGACCGCAAAGACCACCTGTCGGTTTCTCTCTCCTTCTCTGAAAACCGACCCTCAACTCTCGCCTTGGTAATCTCTTCAGTAAACTTCAAAGCTTTTCCATCATAAGCTCCTTGCAAGATAAATGTGCGCACAGTAGCAGCAGACGAGTTGCGCTCCCGACCAGTTCCAGCATCCTTCAATTCGTGCACTGAAACCATGGATACAAGCCGGCCATCATCTGACATTGTGAAGCGAGTATCACCAAGAACATGCCAACCCGAGAACACAAGCTCGAATGTCTTCTTTTGTCCACCAGCATTGGCAGTGATCGAGGCCATCATACTTGCAGCTGATGGCTTGTCAACTTCAGCCATGAGTCCACGAGCAGATAAGTTGCATTGGACTGCCTTCTTGAGGACTACCACACAATCTGCAAATATCAGGAACATGCCTTCTCGGAAGGATGTGGTGGAGGTGAGAAACGGCGCTGGAAGCTCCGCGAAGTCAACTGCGGTGATGAGTCGACCTTGAGGATGCAGTGAGCTTGGCCATGATTCGATCAGATTTTTTAATCGATTGACTACTTGTGACTTGTCTGTTGCGGGTGGATCAAGCGAGCATATCGAAGTGATGATATCCCTAGCCTTCAGCATTGACTGTAAAGCTGGGTGCAGTATTGGAAGGTAATTGACTATATTGTCAATGAAGAGACTGTACCGAGGCAATCTCTGGACAGGCTCAATAACAGCGGAACGGAGTCTCTGCTCTCCAGTTTGCTGTACGCGTTGCGAGAAACTTGATTGCTGTTTCACGAACATGCTGATAATTTGTGGAAAGTCTTGACTGGCTCGAATGTAATCTTGGTAACAGTCCGAGAACTGCGGGAACCATTCTAACAGTACTTTGGCAAAAGCAAGTGCTCCAGTTGGATCCTTCAGTCGTCCGGTTCCGCCATATCGAGATCCCGTAGAGCCGGCCGCAGGAGCCTCCAGGTCTTGCATAGCATCTTCCTCAGTGTCATCCATGACCTTCCGAATATCCGCCAGAAACGCAGAATTGATCTGGAGTATCCTATCTAGGGACTTAGGGAACAGCTTCTGTAAATCTTGTTCTGTAGGACTGAAACTTCCAAATGCCTTATTCTTTGCCTTGTCACGAAAGTCGTCTGCGATGTGATTGACCAGTTCGTGCATCTTGATCACATATCTCTCCTCAGTATCGACCAGCTCTCCCATCTCTCTTCGTAAAGCCATCTTCTGGTCCTTCAGGAAAGACCTCGTTCGATTAAGTGATGTAGGTCTCGAAGGTGCTCGGCGCAATTTCGAGGTAGGAAGGAATGCCACCTCTCCGAACAGCTTAACCAACGGCGCATAAGCTCCATATTGCTTCAGAGTTGGGTCAAGCAGCTCCTCATCTTCCATCTGATCCTCCGGGTCCACTTCTTCGAATGGCGCGATCGAGCCTGGAGGCAGTACCAGGTCAACATCTACATGCTGGATATTCTGTGGGCGCAGAGCAGTTTCGACGTCTCGCAAAACCTCCCCAATATTCTCCACACGAACCATGGACGCTGCCAGATCCGCCGCATGTTGCTCCGCAAACAGTGTTGGCGCAGATCCAGGTCGCTTTCCTCTCGAGCTCGCAGACTGTACAATCACACCACTCTTCACCACCTCCGGCAGCTCCTTGAAGTACTTCAGCAGGCCGAATGCGATACCACGACATGTTTCGTCTCCCTGCTTGTCGCGCGGCAGATGGTTGACGGATTGGTAGAAGGGGGAGTTCGGGGAGATGGTGATGCGCGGATAGCTCTGAAAGCCTGCTGCGGAGTATACGTGGACTTGGATTCTGGAGCTGTTGAGAGTAGAGTTTGTAGTCGTAGATGGACCATGGAAGACCAGCACTGGAAGGTGTCCAAGAGTTGTATCGGTGGTGTAGTAAAGACTGACTTCGTCTTGCGACAGAGCCAGCTCGTCGGTGACTCGAACCATTATGGACGATACCTAGCAGGTACTGCAGGTCCAGGAAATTGTCGAGAGGGTCGAAGTCGTCGAAGGTTAGTCCGGGTCGTTCAATTGGCCTCGTCGGGCATAGCGAAGGACCCTCGATGAAAGCGGATCAATTGAAAGCGTAAGCGTCGTCCTGGGGGCGGCGATGGGTGTGTTGTAATATTTCTACGGCGAGCATCTGGTTGGATGGGGTCAGCGTTGGGTGTGCTCCGGCAGAAAAACAAATCGACGCGTTGAGTTTCCTCGCGTGGCTTGTTTGCTTCGTTGACTCGTCTGATTGCGATGCAGCCAGCAGGCAAACAGGATGCAGGACGGGATGCAGCTTGTCAAATCAAAGGCAAATGTCTGGGGCATTGACTTGGTCCACCGCTGCACTGCATGCATTAGCTGAGGTTTAGGATACAGGACGGTACACTTTTCTCCAGCGTCATCCCATGCTATCTTTAGATTTGAGGCGTCGGCATTTTGGAGCTTGTGGCTCCGAGACTCTTCCTGACGCGTTGATTGGCTAATAAATTGTCTGTAAACACGCTGTTTCTTCAACCCCGCCAAACGAATGTCCAACAGGAAACATCTGGCTCTTTCTTATGCACATTGCAGGTGAACGGGACAGCATTCTTCACGGAATCACGATAATATCGCAGGCCTACAGCAAGTAGTCTCGCGTCCACCCCACTAATACAATTCTCTACGGAGATCGACGTGAGCTTCGCACCATTATTCAAAATCGCGTTGCAATCAGACAACACGATCATTGAGCATAATGGCGACACAATACACCACCGATATCCCTTTCTCGTCAAGTCACACCCAACAAGCATTCAAGCTCCTCGAACTCCCGCCCGAGCTGCTTGCCCTCCTAGAATCAGAAGATCCCCCCACGTACGAATTCCAGCCCATCGCCCTTGTTGAACCCCACTAACCCTTCCAGACTCACCATCACCTCGTCCCCGGCGACAGCTACAACACCCGGCTACGCGATGCTATGCCACGGCACGAAGCAATACCAGATGCGGCAGAAGAATACCTCGAATCCAATCCTCATATTGCAGCCTTCTTCAACGGGGCCTACGCAGGCAGATGATGCTGTGACGTTTATACCACAACCAAGTTTGACGGCTGTGTCGAAGATTGAGGATACTATTGAGTTGATACTGCAGGACGAGGGCAAGAAGAAAGAAGTTAAGGTTAACAAATGGCACGAGAAGTTTGCGAAGAGTAGATTGGAGAAGAAATGATTGCTAGAGTTCGGAAGCACATTAAGTGGAACAGTACGAGGTGAAGGAGACGCACTCGCTTGAAATCCATGGACTGCATATTCGAAAGCAAAGCCAGGTTCTGACTGCCTCTAACCTCGTTGATGGCATATTCATGAATTGGAGCAGCCCATCGCGACATGCTGGACGCCTCTCCCATCAGGGCGCCGACAGTTCAGGTCTATGGGCTCCTTGGACGCTTTCGGCCTCAGCGATGATGAATCAAAATGTGGGGGGCGAGACGTGTATTGGAGCACATCCTGAGCCTTTCTCCTTCAGAGATCAGATCAGGGCAGTCAGCCTATCAAAGCTCGACGTCACCTTAGGCCTGAAACTAGCATGTCCAGACATATCAATATAACCAAGATTTGGTCAACAACGGCTTTTTTCACGTTCCCCTGAGCATATCAGAGGACTCGAGTCGGATGAGTCGTGGAGGAGACTATTTGGAGACAGGTTGCCATTAATGGTTGATAGCTTGAAAGATTTCAACTGAAGGGCGACCATTATGATCACGTGGCAAGCGTTGCACCTCGTGACTCACTCCCCTCTTGTCCCTTGAGTCAATTCACAGCATCTTGCCTCATATCAACAGACTTCACGCAGAGTGCTTCGCGGATACATTGGAAGTTAATTGTACTGCCCGTTATTGTCAAACCATGGATAACTCATTGTTGGCATCGGTCTCAACTTCAAAAATGTCATCCTCACCCCAAACCTCATCACCAAATGCAAATCCAACAACACCAGAATCTTTAACACCATATCCGATCCCCCCAAACGTCCTCAGAGCAATCCAAAAAGTACACAGTTTAGGCAACAAAGTCATCGTCATGACGTGTGGCATTACAGGTACCTACTTTCTTCAACCATCTCCTCCACTTTCCACCACCTCACCCCCAATCAGACCAACATTCTCATCAATCCCAGGATCCGGAAAATCTACAATGGCTCAAAATCTACAATCTCAACACAAATACTCAAGACTCAGCATCGACTCCCTCATCCACGCTCACCACGGCGTCCACGGCATTGACTACAACTCCTCGCAACTCCCCTCCTTGCAAGATGAGGCGGAAACTCTCCTGAAATCACAACTCACCACTTTACTAAGCCAAGCTGAGAAAGATATAGTCCTGGATCTAAGTCTGTATTCTAAATCAGATAGGGAGTATTATCGGGAGGTAGTGCAGAGGGAGGGTGCGCGAATGTAGGGTGTTGTGCTTGTTGTTTTCAGGGTGGGTGAGACGTTGGAGGAGCAGGAAGAGGTGCTGTGGAGGAGGATTGAGAGGAGGGGTGTGGAGTGGGTGAGGGCGAGAGATGAGGGGAGGGGGATGGAGGGGATGTTGGTTGAGAGGGAGCTGTTGCGGAGGTATCTGAGGGGGTTTGAGTGGCCGGATGGGGAGGGGGAGATCGTTGTTGATGTGTTGTGAGGTCGGGAGTTCGCTTGTGAGACTGTGGGAGTAGAGAGAAGCGATGAAGAGACCAGACAGAAACAAGGAGATGTGCTATAAATCTCGCTTAAATGAGAGCTTAATGAACGATGAATCCGACTTAAGTTGGTGACCAGTGGAACAACTGCATCTATGCGCGCAAGTTGACCCTCAGATTCGAACGATTTTCTGATGATGAAGTCCTTTGGTCACCGACTCACCGGAATGGACCATTGGGGAATTTGGGGAACGATGGTTGGGGAGATCAGAACACTTGAAACTTATACGGTGATTATAATGATGTGCCGCAAGCGAAGACACTTATGTTTCCGGAGCTGATATCTACCATGGATGACCACTTTCTCCGGTGTTTTCCCCCTTTCCCTCTAGACTTTAGTCTCCAAGCGACAAAGCTGGCTTTACGTAATTTGAAAATGCTTCTCAAGTTTACTTCAATGCTCGAGAATAACAAAACCATAGCATGATTTTCTAGTCACCTTAAATGCGTACTTTTGGCAGGTCACGAATTCTTGGGAAGAATGTTTTGTTGAGGAGCCGCGACTCGCTTGACTGCCAAGACTGCGAAGCTCTCGAAGTCCGCTTTTCCGGAAGTCCGAGACACGCTTTCCGTGCTGACGTCTCGACATTACTCAACAAGAGGGCCCTTTGAATAGGATATATCATCAGCCCCATACGATATCCATACTCACATGTAAATTCCGCCACTTCTTTTGCGAAGATGTCCGTTGTTGTGGATTTTGGGTTCGGCATCCAACGTCGCTCCAGCGAACAATCACCAGACTCGGACCCAGCGCCAGAGCCGAGGAAAGAACCAAATCCGAACAGACAAAAGTCACGGATTTCACGTGGCTGTGATGAGTGTAAAGTGTACAGATGGTCTCTCGCCTGAATACGACCTTTCTGATTCGCTCAATAGCAAGCACACGAAGTGCAATGGCAAGCTTCCATGTGAGAAATGTGTCAAGTACTCGAGAGTGTGCAAGTACGAGGCACCGTACACTCGTGGCAAGAAACCGCCAATTATCGCAGCTGGTTCTGCCCAAGATATGTCCAATGGCCGACGGAGAAGTAATGAGTTGGATACCGAACGTGCAACTCCTGGGCCCAACTTGTCCCCCAGCCGAGAGCCAGTGCCGAGGGTCCAAGGGCAGTTCTGGGAGCAGCCGCTGCATCTCTACAATGTGAATGGTCAAGAATCTAACGACGATATCGATACCAGGCCACAGAAATTCTTAAGAATGACTGTAGAGGACGATGCTGCTCCACGTCACAGACCGCACTTCCAACGGGAGGGGCAGTCGAATGGAGCTAGTATTTTCCAGAGAACTCAGAATAACTTGAACCATCGATCCGCATATCATCAAAATTCAATCTTCAGCTTCGGGGACCCTCCTTTGCCTGATATGGATACATCATTCTTTGCTCTTCCGACCTACAGGCTTGCTCAGACTATGATTACCCAGTACTTCAAGTTTGGCGCTGCACTTCATAGATTCCTCCACCAAAAGACTGTCGAGGAATGGATGGAGTCGCTTGTTTCTGCCCCTAGGTCGATGAGCCATGGGACATTTGAACACAGCAAGAACGCTGTGGTACTGATGGTTTTTGCTTTGGCTTATGAAAGCTCCTTGAAAAATTCAGACGAGATGGATGAGGACATGAGGTATATCTTCGCCCAAGTAAGTACCACTCATTGTTGCTGACGCTATATAGCTTCCACTACTTTCAGGCTGCAGACGCACAATTGAAGAAAGAAACTGGAGAAATTCAACTCCCCACTATTCAAGCACGACTCCTGCAGTGCATCTACCTCTCCTCTCGTTCTCGAGTCCATCAATGCTGGAGTACATTCACCGCCACTGTTGGGTTGATCTTTTCCAAAGGTCTCCACAGACAAGACAGATGTTCTGAGAATGACGACATGATTGAAGTGGAATGCCAGAAGAGAGCCTTTTGGTTTGCGTACACGATGGACAAGCATCTTAGCTCTTCGCTTGGTCGTCCAAGTTTGATCAAGGATGAAGATATCGATCAAGATCTCCCACGTATAGTTGAAGACGAGGATCTCTCCTCCACTAGTCTCATGACTATGAGCGACGGAGTTCAAAGCTCGATGAAAGCCACTGTGTTTTCCATCAAGTATGTTTACATCCTAGCTCTTCGAATACGAACTGATACATCATCTTTAGACTGGCGCAAATCCTCAGCGAAGTACTTCGAAGGCTTTACAGTATCCGCAAGTCTTCCATCGAAGTCCAACTCCAATCAGCAAAAAGTTTGAAAAGTCGACTCAAAGAATGGCGTGCAGATGTCAATAGCTTTTTTGAGCTCGATCCCGCTACTCTTAGTCCTCTGTTTGCTGCGCAATACACAGGTCTTCAAATGGCCTATGCCCACGCTCGAATCCTACTTCATCGACCATTTCTGTTGCAAGATATGAGTTGTGATGCATTCAGATCTTCAACCGGATATAAACTTCGCCAAGAATGCGAAGACAACACTGCCGAGTGTGTCAAGGCCGCCATGGATATCGTAAAGCTGATTGACAGTTTGTATCAGCGAGATAAGAACTTCGCGGCTTCCTGGGTAGGATCCCCTCCAAATCATCATAATCAAAAAGATATAGACCTGACAAGCACAGTTCGCGCACTACTGCGGCTACTGCGCTGTTGTCGTCCTCTACGTCCGCGTCATCAAACTCCAGTCTGAACCTGCATACACCTGGATATCATACTTCGAAGCCGGCGGAGCATGCCAATCCCAGATCAAAGTCGCCGCCGAAAAGGAAAGTTTTGCAAATCGCTGCAGTGAAGTCCTGCAAGAGCTTCGGTTTGAAGCTCAAGGCCACATGCAGAAAACTGGGAATCGTCCGGAGACTCGTCAGGGAAGTGTCGATACGGATGGAAGTGGACTGCCGCAGCAGGATCAGGGTACTGCGTCACACTTTGGTGGGAAGTGGGATGACATGAATTTCGTAAGATTAGAGTGGATTTGATTATGGGGAAGTACTGACAGAAAATCTAGGACCAATCAGCTCCTGGAGGAGGAATCTTGAATTCGTTGTTCAATACCGTCGAGGGGATCAATGTTCGAAATGCTTCTGGATCTCTGGTAGATCGAATCGATCGTTGGGGATTTTCGAGTTTGACGGGGTACTGATCCAGTCTGGCTGGCATCTTACTGTTAAATCGATTAACAAATTCGAATCCCTGCCTAGAGCTCGCAGTCTCACACAGGCAAGCCGACTATTATGGGCGACTCTCCATGTCTCTGTGGTACAAAGAGCATAACGTCCCTTGAATTGAACTGATCCAGCACGGTTTACAAAGACGTACAGCGGCTTTGTAACATGAACAGTGCCCGAGAAGACGACTTTCGGCGCTCTTTTGAGCAACCGAGTGACACCGCTTGGAATTGTCGGACTTCGCTCACGCTCGGGTTTAGTCTGAGCTTCCGGGTTGGTCGTACTCGGTACCAGCAAAAGCCCTGGTCGGTAGGCTCTGCTAGCCCCATGAGCAGTTTTTTTTTGAAAATAATGCATGGACTTTGCAAAATCCTATTTGTCTACCAATTTCTGCATTTCTCTGAATCTCAAATCACCACTAAGCAAGAATGGCACCCCAAAAGATTATGGCCGATCTGCTCGCTCCGATGAGCAATCTTACTACGTCAATCACAGCAACTTTACAATTGTCTAAGAACACGCACGATGAACTATGGAATATTGTAAGAAGGCAGGCCATAAACTACCACGCAACCATGTTTATTCTACTGGTCATTAACAGCATCGTCATGTTCATTTACTTCATCCGCGAGACCTGCAGACAACGAAATGTGGCTTCCACCTATGATGTTCTTGGGCGGATCATGGAGCAGCCGAAAGGCGAAGCGAGAAATGAAATGCTGCTCGAAGCATGCGCAGACGTTTGTGAAGCAAAACAGTTACTCATCCGGCGGTGCAGAAGGTAGAATTGTTCTGGAATGAGGAGGTTTACCAATATTTCCAGACAAGAAGATATCTCGCGTTTACTAAGGAGAAGAAGTTGTTGGCTGAAGAGCTCTGTGAGGATTAAGTTGGCTTTCAGCGAGCAATTCTTTGATCCATGGGATAACCTTCCTCTGCAACTCGCGTCCCTGATCATCGACGCTCGTAGCTGAGCTGACGTCGATATAAGTGATCCGAGTGACGTACATGGTGCTTTTCGCCTCCGTCGGACGCAAGTGTTCTTGCGATTCTGAAGCTTCGAGGCGTCCAAGTGACACGGTCGAATTCTCATCAAACTCAATTACATTGGTGGACTCCATATCAGATCTGTGCATGCCGTGTGTTGAACGTGGGTGGTTGGGGTCGGAAACTTTCTCGTTAGCCTTGAGACTGATACCAAGCAATCTCTTTAGTCTGAAGGCCAGCCCTGTTTGCTTAATGACTGCGAGTATGCATGGCACGCAGAAGATGAAGAAGCAGCATGTCATCTCGGCACAGGCGCAAAAGAGGAGTGCGCCGATGAAGTACATCTGATCGGGCTCTTTTGCGAAAGTGATGGTTGTCGATAGACGGAGAGATGCCGAGATCGATGCCCTGCTGATTTCAGTTGATTGTTTTGTGAGATACATGAGCAATAGATCTTACATTATTCCAACCCCGAAGAGAACCGATATGCCAATTTTCTTCTGTCGATTCATTTGCAACCTCCAAATCACTCTATGAGGCAGTAACACCATACACCAGTCCGAGAAAACTTGCACACAGGCCGATGTAAGCATAACCTTGTGGAGGCTGTAGCATTTACTGGGGAGGTAGAACTTCCAAATAACAGCATGCGGAACGCATTGCATGTTCAATAGGATGATACAAGCAAGTCCCCAAGAAACCTGAACGAATATGATGAACATGCAGCCCCACCAGAATGAGTTCCTTGTGCGATTGGAAGGGACGAATATTCGGCACCAGTCGAGTAAGATGGCCGCTTTCAAGAGAGGGAGAACGACAGAGTATGCGCATCCGTAGACGAGAATGAGGTACAATGGTTGGACGAGATCGCCAGAATGGAGGTTCCATTGGTGGGCATAGTATCCAGGTGTAAATATCAACGAGTATCCGGCAAAAGCTGTTCCCCAGTAGGCACCCTGTATGTTCCGCGTCAGTTATACAACATTGAATTTGGCGAAGCGGTTCCTCACATATGCCAAAACCATCAGGACTTCCTCGATTTCAATTTTTCTCGTCAACCATATCTTTGCATATCCACGAAGAAGGACGCAAAGCGTTGCTACCACCATGCAAGTGGTGGTCACGAACCAAGCCAGGGCATTCTTGTTTGGAGGCTCATTGAAATTGGGAGTCACTCCCGGAGGTGGCGCCAGAGCAGGTGTTGACAAGATTGCTGCCACTTCACCGGCAGAGAGTGACATAATTTGAAGTCTTATAACCTAATCACCTCTCAGGTATCTCCATAGGCGTGAAGAAAAACAAGACGAGTGACTCCCTACCATCAATCAGGAAAGCAGAGATCGAGGTTCAAAAACTGAGAAAAGGAGAAGATAAAACCTTCCGTGGTACGTGCTCCATGTCTGTTTCATTGTTGGTACTTGTAAATGATCGAACCCGAGGAATTGGATGCCGAATCGGAAGCCTTGCAAGCTCGTACCGCAGCACCCTCTTGACCAGATTCATTTATGTTTCTTGGTTAAGGGGTCCAAGGCCTCCCAAAAGCATTGGAATTATTGCCTGACTTAACATGACCACAATGTCTGATCGCTGTTGAAATGTAGATCAATTGGTCACAGTATCACAACGCTGTCCGCTTCAGTACCAGATCAAAATGACAATGCCGGTTAATTCAATTCATTTTCCTTTCAGTAATGCATCAACAAGTCCAAAGCAATTCCTAATTGTTGGCACCAAGGCCTCCCCAAAAGTTATCACAATCTGTTGGTTTTAATGTGACGAAACAAATATGGTGCATGAGCGGCAGGGTACTGTGTGCCTTAGCGAGATGCATTGTCAGGGGCAGCCATAGTGGCCAAGAGCCAGATTTGGCAGCGGCGGGTTGATTGTGCCTACCACCTGATTCTTATGGTCTCGATGTTTGAGAGAAATTCCTTATGCTGTGAATCAAAAGTGAAGGGCATTAGAGCATTAGGAATAGTTTGCTAGCGTAGCAAGAAACAGTCCAGCATTGTTGACATTTAGCCGAAGCCGAGTTAGCAACACCAACACGGACATAGTGGGGTATGTATAGGTATATGAGCTACCCACCATCGTACATCCCGACAAGGATCCGCTGAATCCCATTGGCAATCACCCAGATTGATGAGGCTGGCGCGTACAGCTGCTTGTGCAGCCTTGTCAAGGTGGATAAATGTATTCGTATCTCGACGACCTCTCTCACGCCACTTTCTCCTCCTCATTTTAATCCCCCAAATTATAAATCAATCGTTTTAATACAAGAAAAGCACGGACGCTTCGCAAGTCGTGTAAGAATAGCGCCACAATGGATACCAGTATGTCTCTACAATACCCACATACGATCACTACTGAGAATCACGATCTGATACAATCAATCAGCGACTCAGAGTCCACAGGAGCACGATGCTGCTCTCGAATACCCCCAGAAAGCTGATCTACGGACAATGTTCTCGCAAAATCCAGTGCCAAACATCACACCGGGGACCATGGAACCCGATAGCATGTGCGGCGATGAACCCACCATTCAAGCCCTTACGTTGCTGAAGACCTTCAATGAAGCTTTAGCTACTGGAGATGTTCCAATGTTGCAAAACTGTTTCTTCCCTGAACAAGCGTACTGGAAAGACCAGCTGGCATTGACTTGGCACTTGCGAACATTCATGACTCCAGCGGTCATTTCGGCCGCTTTGTTGGAGACGAAGACCCTTAGAGGCATTGACGGATCCTTTGAGCTGGACGGTCAGGCTCATTTCGTACCAGCGACGCCTGTGCTGGTAAGCCCCTCTTATCCTACCCAATTCTAGAATCATGTCGTCGAGAATTCCAAACTCATTTAGCTGATACATGCCTTTTCGTGGACGTAGCAATTCATTGACTGTAAATTTACCTTCCGGACTGGATCTCCAGCTGCGACTGGCAATGGGCGGTTATTGCTTTTGCCCACTACAGCTGACGAGCAGACCCAAGACGACAAGTCAATCTCATGGAAGATCTGGGTTTTGAGTACAAAAGTTGATAGTTTGGACATCTGCACCGAAGATGTGACTCTTCTTCAGTCCCCTGGCCGAGTATTGCCTTACGCAGCAAGTGTCGACACAGACGTTTTGATTGTGGGAGGAGGTAATGGTGCCATTTCTCTCGCATCGCGTCTCAAAACACTGGGAGTGGAAAGCATCATGATAGACAGGAATGCTCATGTTGGGGACAACTGGGCTTTGAGATATGATTGTATGCGCTTTCACATCGCCACCTCGTTTTGCGAGCTGCCTTACATGCTGTATGACAAAGAACTACAATCACCTCATTTGCTCAGTAAAGATGAGCTGGCGGAACAGGTCAGAAGCTATGTCAAGGCTTTCAATCTCAATTTCATCACATTGGCTGAGATCATTGAGACGATACAGCTACCTGATGAGCGATGGAGTGTAAGATTCAAAACACCTGCGGGAATCTACACCATCAACACACATCACTTAGTCCAAGCCACGGGTATCGGTTCACAGAGGCCCAACATGCCCATAATCAAAGACGCACACATCTATCCAGGGATCAAAATCCACTCGAAACAATACAAAAACGCCAACCAGCTGCGAGACCAAGGTGTCGACACCGTTCTCATCATTGGCTCAGCAAACACGGCATTCGACATCCTCGAAGATTGTCACAATTCCGGGCTCAAAACCACCATGATCGTACGATCCCCGACATACATCTGCCCTCTCCAGTACGTGACAAGTAAACTTGGTCTCGGCGCTTACGATGATGGAGTCGAAGCAGCTGATCAGCGCTTCATGACCATTCCAACAGTCCTAGATGGCCAGCTTGCTAGAGATCTATTCAGACACTTCGCTTCGCTTGAACCAGACCGCTATTCAGATCTAGCTGCTGCAGGATTCCCTGTGTACGATAGCCAAGATCCCAAAGCTGCGTTGGTAGCAAACTTACTCGAAACTGGGGGAGGTCACTACATTGATACCGGAGCGACCTCATTGATAGCCGAGAAAAAAGTAGGTATCAAAGCCAACGTCGAACCAACAGTATACACTGCTACCGGACTGCAGTTCTCAGATGGCAGCACCCTCGATGCTAATGCTGTGATCTGGTGCACTGGATACTCAGACAAGAATGCGCGAGATACAGCCAGTGAGATATTCAAGACTGAGATACCTGTTGATGCGACCTGGGGACTGGATGAGGAGGGCGAGATTCGTGGGATGTGGAAAAGGCATCTAAGAGTGGAGAATTTTTGGGTTGTGGGTGGGTATACGTCGCTTCATAGGTGGCATTCGAGGACGTTGGCGTTGCAGATCAAAGCTGCTTTGGAGGGCGTGCTTCCTCCTGCTTATCGGGATGCGCCTGAATGTACGGGTGCATAAGCTAGGTCTCTCAAAAGTAGTAACCCTTACTAGAGTCTCTTAACATGGCAGACCATTCGTTTGAATTATTCTCTTGGAGAAATAAAAGAGGCGGTGGTTCTGAGCCGGAAGTCGCGAGGGCGACCTTGACTTTAGTCCAGATCACAAAGACGGCTTTTGTTGCGTTGAGTGCTCGTCTCGGACCTCCTCAAACTTTATTTTAAAAACAACACCTTACAAGCCTTGCTAGAAAACAACTCCATTTTCCAGAGTAAGCCTATATCTAGATGCTGAGATGTTGGACTATTTTTTTTGTCACTGTTTACCTTACCCCCTCCAACACTTCGCTTAGACACAGTGCTAGGGGGGCCAGTCCAGTGCCTGATATTGTCATAATTACAGTTGCATCAGGAGCTACTACAGAGAGAGAGAATCTCCTATATAAAGGGGTAGCGTACTCAGTAGTACGGCCTATAGTACTGAGTCTACGCCTACAATCCCTATATTTCTAATAGCCCCCCTATTCTCTATATCTGTAGTAAATAGAGCCTTCTAAAGTAGTATAGCGCTGAATATTCCTGAAGCGATATTAGAGTATCGCTGAAGTATTACTAATAACTTGTATTATATAAGGAGCCTCGATTGTGCTTTATTAACTCCTGTAATATACTAGTATATATATAATATCTACGTCTCCTGTTTTCCTAGGAGTTCAGTAACTTTATAATATTAAGGCATATAAAACAGTATAAGAGTGCACCTAAATCGCTCTTTTATTAATGATCTCCTGCTCCTGCTGCTCTTATTCACCCTTCTTTATAGCTACCTCGCACTTTCCTTTTATAGCTACTAAGATATTCCTTACTAGCTTTCTCTCTAGCCTCTAGGGTATATAAAGGTTATCTTTTTCTAGTTCTATTTCCTTTCCTTCTTCCTTTAACTGTGGAATAAGATTCGTCTTAACTATTAAGTATAGTAGTTGTATATTATGTTTTACTTAATTCATAGTTGTATATTATTATTAAAGAAGATGTTTATTAAAGGACTGATTTTCCGTGAAGAATATTCTATTTTTTATAGGTTCTACTACTAGAAATAGCCTTGATTTATACAGGTCTACTATTAATTAGCTAACTATTATTAATCTTAGAGTTGTTATTAGAGATTAAGTTATTACTAGGTAACCTTATATACGTCTTGTATTATTTAAACGATTCTAAAAGTAAAGCTTTCGTAAGAGTGTCTACTATATTATTATTACCTGGAACGTGTTTTACTATTAACTTATTATATGAAACTATATTATCTTGAATATAGAACTAGTAGATATTAATATACTTTGCCTTTAGATAGAATTTCTGTTCTTTTAAGAGAGATTTAGCTCTAGCGTTATTAAGATATAGCGTAGGAATTCGGGATAGCTTTATATCGAGGTCTTTCTATAGCTTAAGTAACTAAGCTACTTCTTTGGAGCTATTACTAGTAGCTATTATCTTAGAATCTAAGCTAGAGAGAGCTATAGACCTTTGCTTATTAGTAGCCTAAGAGATTAGACCCCTGTAGAACCTTGCTATCTATCCTTAGAACGATTTCCTGTTGTATTCTGTCCCTTATGTAGTGTTAGTCTAAATATCGAATATATTATTATCTAGCTTTCCCCTGTATTTTATTCCGATTCTAAACGTTATTCTATTACCTTCTGTATATTATAGATATCGGAGGAGAGGTTTTGTATCTTAGAGGTGAGATTTAAGGGGATTTAATATATACTGCGCTAGCTAGCCTGTTATATAGGTAATATCAGGTCGTGTAAGGTTCGAGAGGTATATTAGAGAGCTAATAATCTGCTGAAACAGTGAGATTTCTTTAGGGGAGGCTAGTATAATACCTTTATCTTTAGCTAACTCCCTTAGTACTGTTCTAGCGGCTATAGGTAAGGTATTACCTTCAGCTATAGCTATTCTAAACCTTTCTAGTAGCTTTTATATGTAAGCTGTTTAATGAATCCGTAGAGTCTTATTCTTCTTATCCCTCTTAACTTATAGGCTTATAAACGTATCGATAGCTCCGAGGTCTTTACTTTTCCAGGTCTTTAAGAGCTGTTTCTTAAGATATTCGCAGTTAGTAGGGTTACTTATAATTAGTATATTATTAACGAAGACTAATACGTACGCTCTATTCTTAAAGATAAAGAGATTAGGGTTAGCTTTTAACGCTTCTAGACTTAGCTTTTCTATCTTATCTTTAATAAGGAGCTACTATTCCTTAGGTGCTTATTTCAGGCTATAGAGAGAGCGTAGGAGCTTTAGATATATATCTTTCCTTCTATTTAGCTTTAGGTGAAGCTTATTCTATATCTTTAGCGTCTTATCGTTCGGAATTGTTATATATATATCTTCTTTTAAGTACGCGTTTAGGAAAGTAGTATCGATATCGATATACTTAATCTCTAGGTCTCTTTTAGCTATAATAGCGAGTAATACTTATAAGGTGGAATAGTGTATAACACTCGCGAAGGTATTAAAGTAGTTAAGGCTGTGTTTTTACTTAAAGCCTCTTACTACGAGCTTAGCCTTTCGCTATACTATAGAGCTATCGGAGTTGATTTTATTATATAGAACTAGTCTTAAAGATATTAGTTTCGAGCCGGAGGGAGGCTTACTAAAGTATACTCTATAGGTTCTAGCGCTTTGTATAGCTTGTAATTCCTTGAGAATAGCGGCCTTCTATTCTACTGGATTCTCCCTTAGAGCCTCTGTGATAGTTATAACCTTAAGAGGTTGTATAGGTTTACTTTCTAGTGTAATTAGCGCTATTTGATAGGTTAGTGCTTTGTTAAGGATTTACTAAGAGTATAGCTTTATAGTTATTACCTAAGCGGCTTACTTGAAGTGTTGTTTTCTACGCTATTTCCTACTATATCTTAATAGTAGAGTGTTATTAGACGTGTTTACTAGTTAAGTCTATTTAGGGAGGCGTTAATTAGACGCTCCCTTAGTGTCTTCTATTATGTTTTCTATAGCTAACTTTCCCCTTGAAGGATTTTTAGCTTCTATAGCTGGCCTCTCTCCTAGAGGTCTTTCAGCTTCTATAGCTAGCCTTTCTCTTAGAGGTCTTTCTAAGCCTTTAGTACCCCTAGCTAGTCTCTTAGTAAGTGCTAGACTAGTAGCCGGTGGCAGAGGTCTTTCTACTACCTTATTACTACCTTTTAGTATAGTTTCCTTACTACTAGTGTGTATAGAGTATATTATATACTTGTTGAAGCTGTAGTTGGCTATTTCTAGTTCTTTAAAGGTTTCTATATTTAGGAGCCTATAAGTTGAGGTATTAGCTATACCTACTAATATAAAATACCCCGGAATTGTCTTTTGCTTTATTTTGCCCTGATATAGCCCTAGTGGATATAAAGAGTACGCTATAGAGCTAAATACTTTTATTTTAGAGAGGTTTACAGGCTATCTTCTGTATGCTTTGATTAGAGTGAGTCTAGTAGCTGTTTTATATAGTAAAGTAGTAGTTAGGTGTCTGTTCTTTAGCTTTGCTGCCTACTTAATAGCGTAGTACTATATATTCTCGGGTATCTTCGCGTCGTAGAGGATTAAGCGTGTAATCTTAGCTAGTTTATATATCTATTGCTTTACGACTCTATTCAGAGAGTATTTATATGAAGGAGAGGGTTTAAGAATGATTCTACTCTCTTATAGCTAGTTGATAAACTCAGGACTGAACTCTCCCTTACTATTATTAGTCCTCTAGTAGATAATTGTGCGGAATTTACTTTGCCCTTGAGTTTTAAGCTATAGCTTTAATTTCTGAATAACTAGTTAAATAGTTAATATAGACTTGTTAACTAAGAGATCTACTTAATATATCCTCATAGTATTATCTACTACTAAAAGGAAGTATTTATAGCTGCGAATTAAGTGTAGTAAGATACTAGAGATATTAGCGTGTAATCGATGAATAGGTACGTTAGTTCTACTATCTGATTTCTTATTAAAGTGCTTTTTTATACGGCTTATAAAGTAAGCCTTGTAATACCTCTCTCCCTTTAGCTCCGGAACAGAAATTAGTCTTATTCTGTAACTGCTGTAAGTAACTAGTTTCTTTAAATAGGCGTAATTTATATAGCTTAAACGCTTATAAAGTAGATCTGCCTTTGTTTCCTCTGTGCTAGGCTAACTCTTTATTTGTTCCTTTAGTAGCTTTAAGTCTGACGGAATTATGTTATATATAACTTAATATTAAGGATTCGTATCTAAAATATATAAACCTCTGTTTCTTATACTTATAAAGGCTAGTTTACTATTCCGGTATCTATTTGCTGATATCTTAGTTAGTTCTGTATTAATTCCTTTATCTGAGAGTTAATATATTAATACTAGCTTTATAGCTCTGAAGTTAGGTATATATTATACGTCTTTAAGGGTTAACCTATTAATAGTAATATCTCTATAACCTTTAGCTATTAAGTACGAATTAGTTGCTGTTTTAATGTATTTAGCGTTACGCTAGCGCTTAAGTTACTTGAACTTAGCTAGAACTCTACTAAAGTAGTAAGTAGCGCTAGAGTTGATTTTCCAGATAGATTCTGTAATAGAGATTATTAATAAAGTATATTCTATGTCTTTAGCGTAGTAAATCTCTTTCGAAAGGAACACGGGATAAGTATTATTATCTTTAATTTCCTTTACTTTATTAGCGCTATCTCTCGCGTAGGTATTCTCAGCTTCCGTGTAGTCTACGTACTAGTAGCTGTAGCTTTTATACTAGGTATACTGATTTCAGCTTAATTTAGGGCGATTTCCTCTCTTTTCTACGCGCCCTTTATGTCTCTATTAGCTACTACCCCTGCTGTTATTATTCCGTCTTTCCTGTTCTCTCTTGTTCTCACGTATATTACCTCTCCTACGTGAGTAGCCTCTACCCCTTTAGCCTTTACTATCTCTGCTACTTCTCTTTCTATTATAGCCTCTATTCGCGTAGTTCGCGGCGTTACTAGTAGCTATAGGTTGAAGCTATTCCCTCTATTGAATTTAATATTTGTTAAGCTTTTATATAGTATCTCTAAGATTTAGGTTTTGCGATTCTAGGGTAAGCGCTATAGTAATTTAAGCTCCGGACGCTAGTAATAATTATAATAGCTTGAGATATATATCCTTATTAGTAAGAGGTTTACTATTGCCGCTGAGCTTTACTTTAAAGAGTAAGAGCCTTATGATATAGTTCTGAAGTGTTTCCTCTCCCGGGATAAACTTTATCTTAAAGAAATCGTCTCTTATATTAGTAAAAGTAAGACTCCCTTAAACTACTTTACCTTTGTTTATGTGAATAGCTTCCTAGAGAGGCTTAGTATTATTTAGTTTAATAATATCTCTATACTTAGGAAAGAGAAGCTTAGAGATTAAGTTAACGACTATTTTGAAAGCTTCTTTCTTTTCCTTAGTGTAAGTATTCTACTGATTAACACTATTCGGCACGCTAACTTTAGTAAGAACGTGATAAAGAACACCAGCTTTAGCTAGCTCTTATTTAGTCTTAAGCTCCTATTTAAAGAAGTTATCAAACTCTAATAGAGTTTTGCCTTTTAAGGCTCCGGCGACGTAAGGAATTAGTGCTTTTAATTAGGATAATATTGTAGCGTAGTAGTAGATATACTAAGAGTTAATAAAGTGGAGATCTTAATAAAAATAAAGTTTTAAGGTCTTTTTCGATCGATTGGAATTACTACTATATTATAATTACAGTTGCATCAGGAGCTACTACAGAGAGAGAGAATCTCCTATATAAAGGGGTAGCGTACTCAGTAGTACGGCCTACAGTACTGAGTCTACGCCTACAATCCCCATATTTCTAACAGATATTACCCCGCACTTAGCTGAACTGACCCTGAAAATTGAAAATTGTACCCCACAGCACACGTCGTAACAATATTAAGCCAGCATAGCAGGAAATGTAACTAGCCTTGGAGAAAGGTATTCTATTATTACATATAATTTTCATACATATTACAAATGATTTTCCCTTTCTTTAAAATACTCAAACCTGTTTGTCTAAACTTTGCGCTAAACACATATCGTAATACCTGCCCTTCATCGCCAATAATTCCGAATGCGTCCCACTCTCAACAACCCTACCATCACCAAACACGAAGATAATATCAGCATGCTTGATAGTTGACAGTCGATGCGCGACAGCAATAGTCGTCCTTCCCTCCTTCGCCTGATCCAGCGCATCCTGGACAATCCTTTCTGACTGTGTATCAAGTGCACTCGTCGCCTCATCTAGCAACAGCAGCCTCGGTTTCCTGATCAAAGCTCGTGCGATAGCAATTCTCTGCTTCTGGCCACCCGAGAATTGGAGACCACGGTTTCCACAGGCAGTTTGGAACCCTTCGGGTAGAGACTCGATGAATTCGAGGGCGTTGGCTTGCCGACATGCTTCGACGATTTGAGCCTCGGTGGCGGCTTCTTCGAGCCCGAGAGAGACGTTCTCGAAGACCGAGCCGGAGTAGAGCGTGGGTTCTTGTTGTACGAGAGAGATATTTTGGCGGTAGAGACGAGGGGAGTATGTTTGGATGGGTTTGCCTGCGAAGCTGATTTCGCCGGTTGTGGGATCGTAGAAGCGTTCGAGAAGGTTTACCATTGTGGACTTACCACAACCAGATGGGCCGACGAAAGCAGCGAACTCGCCATGCTTGATCGTCATGTTGATATCCTTCAGGACGCGAGTGGTTCGGCCTGGATACTGGAAGCCCATCGAACTTAAAGCAATCTCTCCACCGTCGCCGCCAGGTCCTTTGTCAATGTTGTCAGGTGTCTCTTGCATGACTGGTTTGCGGGCTCGCAGCCAGAGAATATAATTCGCAGCCCCGCTTGCTTGTGTGATGCTTGTTGTGTATGAAAAGAATTGTGCAGCTGCCTGGCCTGCAAACAGAACACCGATGAAGATGACGTAGAATTCGGTGATGGTGTATTCGCCCTTGAGTAGCAATTGCGATCCGTACCAAAAGCCAAGTGCCATGACAAGGAAATCCAAGGACTGAGATATTGCGTAGAACGCGATAGTAGATGTTAATGATTTGATGGACACCTTGACGATACTGCTCAGCTTCTCGTTGTATCTCTCCAGAATAGCGGTTTCCAGGGTAAGAGATGAGACTGTCTTGATTGCCAAGACTGCCTCACTGGCCAAGCTGGCACTCTCAGCAAAGCGCTCTGAATTTTCCTTCTCGAGGGCTGTTTCAAGACGGATTCGAATGTATCCCGAGACGAGAAGAGGAGGAAGACCGGCGAAGACCATGACCAAGCCAAGCTTCCATCCATAAGCAATAGCAAGGATACTACTAGAAATGACATTGACGAAGACAATAAAAATAAGCAGGATGTTGGCGCTCAAAAGATCCTGTAGTTGAGTGGGTAGCGATGAAAGTTTCGAAGTCAAAGCTCCGGAGGTATTGCCTGGCAAGTTGAAAAACTCCATATCTTGCTTCAGCATGTCCGTGAACATCTCCTTTCTGTAGCGATAAGTCACGGCTTGTCCAATCACATTGCACAGAACTCCAATAATGAAGTATGCAACAAGATTTCCAAGCGCGATGATGAAGAACATCAGAGCGTAGAAGTTGGCCTCAGATTGAGCCTCGTTGGGTGGGAGTGTGAAAACGTTGAGGATTCGGGAGAAGAGAATCGCCTGGCCTGGAAATGTGGCGCCGGCAGCGAGAGCACAAAGTACAGTTATGACAAAGTGGGGGTAGAGGGCTCTCTGCTCTCCAAACATGATCCTATGCCGATGATTAGTATGAACTCTCTTCGCTTGGCCCAGGCAAAAAGCAAACCCATTGCCCAGATTCTCTACAGATCAGAGCAGGGGAAACTTACCAGATACATTTCAAGAGTGAGTATCCAACGGTACCAGAGCCATCTTCCATGGCAGCAGCGCTAGCTTGTGTCTGAGTTTTGTAAAGAGAAGTCTGCTGAGCGAGACCGTTATCTGCCTGTTCCTCATTGGCTGTAGATTCTTTATCTGAGTCCTCGTTCTCTCCGCTGATGTCTTGTGCCGCGACGAGTCGTGCATAATGGCCTCCAGCTTTTAGCAGCTCGTCATGGGTGCCTTGTTCCACTACACGTCCATACGAGATAACTGCGATGTTGTCTGCATTTTTTATGGTTGCCAGCTTGTGTGCAATTACCAGAGTGGTTCTGTCTGCAGACACCTTGTCCAAAGCAGCTTGCACGATCCCTTCCGCTCTTGGATCCAGCGCGCTAGTTGCTTCATCGAGGAGCAGGATTTTTGGATTCGAGATTATGCTTCGAGCGATTGCGACTCGCTGCTTCTGGCCGCCGGAGAGTAGACCAGCTGCTTCGCCAATTTCCGTGTCATAGCCCTAGCATTGTAAGCTCATAGCTTTGCAATAGTGGATTTATAAAATAGATACCTCTGGGAGCTCAGAGATGAACTCGTGAGAATTGCTTGTTTCGCAAGCCTGTTGGATCAATCTCAATTGTTCTTCGCGAGGAAGAAGCTTTTGATGATCCAAGAATCCGTTGGCGACGTTCTGGAATATCGTGCCCTGGAACAGAACAGGTTCCTATCGAGTTGTTAACCGACACTCTATTAAGCATCTGGGATCCTGAGCGGGCATACCTGTTGGACTAGTCCAATCTGACTACGCAACCAGCGAGTGTTGATGGAAGTGATATCTTTTCCATCTAGGAGGATTTCGCCGGACTTCCTTTCATACCATCGTTCCAGCAAGCCTATCAAAGTGCTCTTGCCACATCCACTTGCTCCAACAAGAGCAGTGGTCTTTCCTGCAGGAATTGAGATGTTCAGCCCATTCAAAACTTGGATGCCAGGTCTTGATGGGTAAGAGAACTTCAAGTCTCTTACTTCCAGATGCCCTTCACACTTATCAGGCTTGATGCCGTCATCAGAGAGGGGGTCCAGCAAAGATGGAGAGTCGATCAGTTCAAAGAGTTCTGACGCAGCCGCGGCGGCGTTCGTGAAAGTCTGAAACTGAGGAGCGATGGCAGAAATAGTGGACGAAGCAATCAAGACTGAGAACACGACTGTGAAGACCGTTCCAACGGACTCAATCTCACCGCTTCTATACATTCTATAACCTTTCCAGAATGCAAGAGCGATTCCAGAATAGACGCAGAAGTACTCGGTGGAGAAGAGGACGCCGTAAAAGATGGACTTCTTTTTGCCTTCGGTGTGTGCATCCTTGAGGTACTTATCGTACTTTGCGATCAGTTTAGATTGTGCCCAAAAGGCATGAACCGTTCGAATGGTGGAGATGGCTTCCTGTGCAGCAAATCCGCCTTTTGAATATATTTTCATGATTCGGGCTTCGACTGGTGCATCCAACGCAATGACACCAAATGTGATGACAAAAATCGCAGGTATGACACTCATTGTGATGAGAGCTAACTTCCATTGAACTGCGAGTGCCACAATGAAGGCAGCAAAAAACATTGCCAGGTACTATTGATGTCTCAGTAATTGTTTGCTTCCAAGTCTGAAGAGTGATGGTTTAAAAATTCAACACATGTCTACCAGGCTTGGGCCAGTACACTTCGAGAATTTGATGGTGAAAAGTTTGCTTACCTGAACCAGGAATGCTAGTTTGTCGGCAACGCCTTTGTTGATGCGGGAACCATTGGTAGTGACCAGTACCGCAACGGATGAGGCATTTTGCAGGTCGAAATGCCACGTCTCTTTTCTTAAAGTGTGACTGAGAAAGTCTTGACGAAGATCGCGTGTAGTCCTAATTGCAGAAATACATATTGTGATTGTAGATATATATGACAAAAGCAGCTTGGCAACGAAGAGGTAAACGAAGAGTTTCCTATGGCGGATTAGCTCAAAAGTCTCATGCCAAGATCTTGAGGAACAACATACACGGAGTTGAGGATAGTGTTTCTAAAAGATTGAGGATCAATGTCGGCAGCAGAGAAATTGTTGAATTCTCCAACTGAATCTCCAAAAACGAGAGTCATCCATGGCAACGTGATCCCGGCACCGATCGAGGTTATGAAAGAGATGACATTCAGAATCCATGACGTTCGATCGGCGTACTGAAAAATACGAATAAAATCCTTGAAAGATCCATTCTTCTCTTCCGTGGCAATTGGCTGCTCATCAACTTCTGTCATTGGCGGAAGGGATTCTTCTTGAGAAGGCGGGGTGGAGGGCAGCTTCTCCTCCATATTGACTGAGAACGGTCCAACAATGAGGCTCGGGGAATAATACAGATGATCGAGATGGGTTTGTATCTCTTATATCAACATGTCACGGAGTGATATAAATCCGGCTGACTCGCTTTTGTGACGGCCTAGAAGAAATCATTCGGTCTGTCGTAGATTGAAATGCCCAGTGGAAGAAGCAAAAGCCCGGAGGCCGGTCACTGAGTTCACAGACATGCAAGATATCTCGACTGTCTGATTGGCAATGACAGAAGGCTTCGCCATGACTGTGCTCCATGTGTTCATAGATGTGTAGTGTACACGAAGATCAGGGACAAGGCGCAGGATGGAGAAGTGTTGACATAATTGCCAAGGACATTCCGTCGCTAGGCAAAACATTGGCGCTAGGCAGAGCGGGGATTTCGGGCCCGCGGATTCCGAGGCAAAAAATACCTCCCACTCAATGTGCTCTCTCTGTCCAACTACAGTACAATCTTCCCATGCCAGAGGAACACCAAATCAAGAGGTTGAGATAGAGACGGGCTCTGCGCAACATCGGATTTCTGTTGCTGAGAGCTGTCCGAGATGAGCGGAGAAGATGAGAACCATAGCGGGCCAGATGCCCCAGAGCACGACCACTCCATTATCACAACACGATTGAGGGCATGTGAGGCTTGCAAGACCAGGAAGGCAAGCCACAATCCGGGTTTATTGATATAACTCTAATTTATTGACACTAGATAGGTACGATGTGATAAATTAGATCCCTGCTCAGCATGCAAATCCTCGAACATACCATGCTGGACCGCACCAAGAACCTCACAACAGAAACGGCAAAGAGCTGTTGCCTCTGCACGACTGTAAGTTGTAGTTTTTTTTGGTACAAATCTAAAAAGGATTCTATGGAAGCTGAATTTGTGGTGTCTAGGGATGATCAATTGTCCAAGATCAACGAGCAACTTTCTCAATTGCAAACATCAGTGGACATTTTAACCAAACAAAAGTCGGAACTCTCATCCAGACACAGATCAGAAATTCCTTCTCCTATATCTAACAGAGATTTTGGGCCCAGGAAAGCAAACTTGCCAAGTGTAGCAACTCCGAACTCTGTCTCCGGAAAAGCAAGCTTACCTTCCGATGAGCCACCGTATCTTGGCGAGTCTTCTTTCGAAGTCCACTCACATCAAACTGGGCAGATATTAGATATTGCACTTCATAACTCTCCAGCCGCCCGACAGGGGCAAGATGTAACTTCCAGTTTGCAATCTCTCAGGGCGCTACACAGCGCCAACATCCCAAACAGTGATGTCAGCTTCACATCTGATCTGCCTATGCCACCAGTTCAAGTCGCACTAGCAGCACTGAGATTGATCGATGGTGTGTTGTCTTATATCTGAACTTAGCTTATATTTTCACTGACACATATGCAGTTTTGCCCCATGGCTTTCTGTTATGCTCGCCATTCGGAGATGGCAAGGGCTTTCGCCAGACATGCCAGAAATATTATTTCCCTATCGACGGCTACTCTGCATCGGATTTCATCATCACCAATGGAGGTCTAATGGGCATCATCGGCCTTGCGACTGCCAGCCAGCTTGAGTCGCATGGCATAGACCCAGCAGGTGCTGCAGAAGTTGTTGAAATGTGCTCGAATAATGTATCGGTCACTATAGAAAAGCTCAGCATCTTTCTGGAGCCACGCATGGCCAATATTGAGTGTCTTCTATATGGTGTGAGTGAAGATAGTCGTTTGCCTTCTTGGCCAGAATTGTCCTTGCTGACATCCAACCCTCATCAGGTCCAAACCGCGATGGCGGACTCAGATCACAACAAAGCATGGTATCTCATATCGTTCGCAGCTCGACTGTGTATGGATAGCGGGCTCAATCGGTTGAGAGATAATGCGGAAGACATCGGCGAGCTCAACAGGAAAAAGATTTGCTTCTGGTTTACGTACTGCTTTGACAAAGCATTGTCGCTTAACTTCGGGCGATCGCCAAACTTCTCAGATTATGACATATCAGTGGGCTATCCTCAACTGGCTGCAGACATTAGCTGTGATGCGATCTTCGTCTGGTTCGATATTGCCAAGTTACAGGGCAGCATTTACGAGAAATTGTACTCTGCGAAAGCCCAGCAAGACGGACCTGAAATGAAGGCTACCAACGCAAGACACATTGCATCAGAATTCAATCGCACTCGCGAAAGATTGCAGGTCAGTCGTCCTTCCATTTGAGCTATGTTAACTGACGTTAGTGCTACAGGGGATTTTCAGTAGGATGTCCGAAGCCGAAAGAGAACCATTCTTGGACACTGAAATCACACTCTTGGCGAATCTGGCGCTCGTCTACCGCGCATTGCCCTCGCAGAAACCTGCTCATCCACTCCGCTTCTCAGACGAGTGCATCGCAGTGGCAAGAGAAACGTTAGAGCTGCACGAGACACTATGTACAAGATTGTTCAGCAGATCGCAACATCAGATCAGAATGTACATAGACTGGTAAGCTGGGCATTTTCGCTAGCAATTGCCAAGTGCTGACCACAGCAAGGAATCTCTCCATCTGCCCTTTCACTCCCTTTATAGTGATTCTTGGCACAGCAATCCTAGACACGAACGCTGCCGACATGCACCTCCTCGAGAAAGTTGTCGAGTCCCTAGAACGGGCATCTGTCCTCGCTCCTGGTGCCAAGAAACTTCTTAGCATCTGCAAGATTCTTCTCCGAGGCGGCAAATCCTGTGTCGAGCAAACGCTCAGCAGTGGCCCTCCGCCGGTACCTCAAACCTATCAACAGCGGCCTCCAACAGCCTCATACATGGGAAACGGGATGCAGTCAGATGTAATGATGCCTGGTGTTATGGATACTGATTGGTCTACAATGATGCCAGAAGATTGGACATCGCTACAACTGGATAATCCGGATAACATGTCGATGTTATTTGACAATTATTTAGCTGGTAACTCGGGAATGATGCCGATCTTCGAGACGGACACGACGAGGTTCGATACAATGTAAGATATGGGGTTAGGAGGCAGTGGATGATCACCGCTTGAAATAGTAATCTAGACGAGCTCTCTCCAGAGCATGACGACCCGTCAAAGAAGCCAAAAACTCAAAAAGTCTCACTGTGGTCAGATTGATCTTCATACTCCTAGCCTATACTTGTGCGCTTTTCAGTAGGAGCCATGAGTTCAGCCGTGTCTTCATCTCTTCGAGGTGTAGTCTGCTGTTCCCGTGCCGTCGGCTTTCTTGGTCTTCGTGGCGATTCGATACATTCGATAGTCAAATGGAGGATGTTGATGTAGAGTGGTCGGCGAAAATAAAGCTCCAGCCTTCTTGGATCCCAGATTTTCGGGACGGCCAAGTCGATCTAGCTGCTTGCGGTGGAGTAGTACTTCCTCAACTCAAATTATGGCGTGGTTTGGGCGGCACGCTGAGGTCGCCTGGTGGTCAGACCCTGAAAGTTCACAATTACCCCGCCCTTGAGATAGACAGCCTGTACAAACCACTGACCTTCTGGTTCACAGTTTGGGGAAGATCTTCTTGGCATTATTGGCAAGCTGCCAAGCTGCCAAGCACCTTCAATGAGCCTTCATTGAACTGGACGAATGACACATATCTCAGCTGCTCATCAAGTGATGGCCACCTGAGCGTCTACCTGCTGGAGCAAAGTATTGCCAACTAGTATTTAGTGGGTGTTATCGGCCTCTGGGTGGGAATTACCCGCGGGCAGATGTACGGAAGTACGAAAGTACTTGATGAGCAAGACAAGCGAGCGAAAGTTTATTTCCTCTCCGAGACTGCGCAAAGTCATCAGCTATCGCTCTTTCTTGCGGTGATATGAACAGTGAAGATACGGATAGATCTCAATTCGGGATTAGGCAGCATGTGATTGTGGCGCAATGCACAGAGCCACAGAGCTGGAACTTGCCTCGATCCAAGACATTTGACAACCGAGATCTCTGGACATGACTTGCATGAAACTCAAATTTCTGATGTTCTCGGGGATCAAGTTGTTCCGACCGTTGTGACAGGATGGCGGCTTGGTCTAGATTCGGAATGAAACCTATTGGTCGGATATTTCCACGGAAAGACGCAAGGTCTCACCTTCTGGCATCCAGATCGCAGTGTTTGGTGGGCCATCTTTTGGGAAATGTTTCCGTTTTTCGATGCACGCCGAAGAGAATTACACTGGCAGAATCTACTAAAGTGAAGGAAATTTTGAGTTTGAATCCTAAGTGTTAGACGCAACGATTTCTGTTCGCATAGCTGTCGAAAGGCAAATTCTGTGTATCAAGTTGCGAAATGATTGACATCCAACACCTACAGTGAAGCGTTCCAATGAGCTTAGGGCCAAAAATACATGAAAGTAAAAGACATGGACAGATCTGTGTTGACAAAGACGGACCTAGATGACATTGGCACCGTGAAGAATCTTCACGTACCAAACGCTCAGATGTACAGCGCTTAGATGTACGGACAAGAAGAAGCCTCCGTCCCGGCTGTTCTTAGGAGTACATCGCTGCGGGGTCGTACCCAACCATCGTCTTGCTATATTTCCAACCATTTTATTTGTGGCTTGGATCTCAGGTACCGGAGAAAGCCAGCACGTTGGTACTCCGTATACCGGCACGAAGAAGGTCCATGCCCTATGCCAAGGTTTCTGGAATATCATAGCCCACCTCGTCGATCTCCCGCTGTCATCGCATGTGGTATAAGGTCCAAGCTTAGCCCTATGATCCGGTGTGCCCTAGTTCCGGTCGTTTTTCGCCGAGTAACCAGTGCCTGCTTCGGTCAGACGCACCAATGATATGCTCTAAGAGACAGTATTCTTCTTGAGAACTGCTCGCAGAGAGTGGTCTAAAGCACGGTATGTGGGTGCCGATTTCAGGCCCGGTGTGTGGGCGTCGATACTATGCCATAATAAGGAATTCAATTCGACGATCAGCAGATGACCATGGGTCACCACGTTTTCTCCCTGCTGCCTCGAGCCAAGCTTCATGAACCAAACAGGTGTCACCAAGAAAGAACAACAGGAGGGAGATCCATAGATGTTTAGCGGAGTTTCATTGTCTTCTTCAAACTCCATTGTCAGAAGAAGGGCAAGTGATGAATTTTTGAAGCTTTTCAGTGACGTACCTCGGGAGGTTTTTATTGATTCGCAAGTAACCCTGAATAGAGGGTCAAGTCCCGAGACATTTGTAGAAAATTTGAGACACGGCTCGCAGGACTCTTCCTCCTGTGCCGGTAGATCTTCATGTTGATCATCTTCAACTCAACACTGGAGCAGAATATATTCCAAGCAAAACGAACAATCAATAAACATCCTGACTATTCATCTAGCATCATTTTGAATAAACCACCTTTTTGCCTACCCAATCATAAACAAGAGATGCAGAGCCTGTCATGCGCTTCCCAAACTTGGCATAAATGGCGAATCCTGCCCCTTTCGACTATTTTGGCGATCAATTGTGGTTCCGCGGAACGAATAAGCAAACGAAAAATGTCGAATGTCATTTCTGAAGATTCGTGCCAAGGGACGATTCTAGTGTCGTTGTACACATGGATCGTTCAGCTTCTGCAATGTTATGAACGATTATTCGAGTCTATTGAAACGAACATCTCCCTTTCCTTGGTAATGAAAGACATGCGCGGGCAATATACAAATCCGTTTCGGATTCGTTCGCCCAAGGGGTGAATAATGTTCTCAACTTCGCAAGATACTCCTCATGTTGGAAGTTGGAACTTGGTACAACCAGAACGTTCGATAGTGGGGAGCGGTACAATTTGATGACCGGGCCCCTACTTTGGACGATCTAACCGTCTACGCTGCGATTCACGGGACGGAACAGCATTGCAGTAGTATATGTTACACCGATCGACAGATTTGGACCCCCTTGATAGGTGCGGCTCATTCCAATCGTAGCTTTTTGTACGGCCGTACCGCGATGAATCTCTCCAGGCGTGCTGGCATATCAGTTCTTCTCTTGCACGTAACTCTGCCTTCCATGAAACAAATGGTTTTTTTCCTACACTCCCTGGTGTTGATAGCATGATTATGGGCTCTAAGTTATCACGTGCTCGGGCTGGAAAGCTAAGCGAGACTTTGCCTAAAAGCACCATTGTCATTTCAAAGGTTTGGAAATGAGGTCACATAAAAGGCGGAAACAACTATCATAGTAGATTGATCGCCGTCAATAGTTTGTGGCAATAGCTTTGTACCAGGCGAGAGATGCCCTACATCTAACTTCAATAAAGAAACATTTAGGCGCTCGCACTCGCGCGCTTCTTTATGGTTGTACAATTGTCGATCGTTTCGTCAAAGCGTAACTCAGCGAGTGGTAAAGCTGGATGAATGCCCCTTACAAAGCAGCCGGAGTATACCGTTGTCGAGGCTGCTGAAGTGGCATGGACTTCTCAAGTGAGACAGTCTGGTTTGCCATGTGACCGGATGGAGACCGCCATCAACAAAGGGCAAAAACTAATGACATCAACCGCTGAGTGTTACTCTTCGCAGTATAGGTCATGGTTCCAGCCCTCTACACCTCCGTATGGCAACCAATGAGGAACGTCCCAGCTCTGATTACACCAAATTCAGATCTGGCCCAGCAGTCTGGGACGCAGGCTTTGGGTTAGACAGCCAAGCTTTCCCCAGATCTCGCTCCTTAGGATTGAAAATTTTACGGATTAGGGTTTGTCTTGGAAACAGCTGGGGCTGGCTCGGATGCCCTATCGCCAGGAGCTGAAGAGACTGAGGAATGCGACTTACTAACTTCATCGACACGGCCCCACCTTACCGAAGCCCCCAGCTCAACTCTTCCCTCAGTGAGCGATAGACAGAAAGAACATCCAGAACATAATTACGTGCACTACAGAGAAATACTATGTGGCTACAGCTTCCTGAAATGCTCACAATGTCTCAGTTGATGTCTCAGAGTGATGTGTACAAAAACTTGTTGATACCCCACGATCGACATCCATCAACATCTGTACAGAAACATCAATCTGCGCTTTATACCCATCTCAATCAACAGAATATTCTTTGTTCTATACCCTGTGATTATTTAGCCGCCAGCACTTCAGCCAAAAGATGTTGCATACCGTCCCGTTCAACAACAACGACGCCATGGAACGTCCCACTTCACAACCTTCGGCAACATCCCCCCACACATCTCGGCTTTTCCTCAATACTGATAGGAGAACCCCATTTCAATCTCAAACCCTTGAGTTTCAGCAGAAGATGATGCCACAGTGGGCATGCTACAGTACCATTCCGCTTCCTTCACCTTCCGACGATGGGCTAGACGCAGGCGGCTCAGATTACTTCTGGAAAGATGTTCCTGCTATTTCACCACTGCCACAACTCGACTCAACATTATCAGATGTGGAGCTTTCGGAGGATATGTATTCGCTCTTCGGCACATCATCAGGTCGCCGCAACAATCAGACCGACTCAGCCAAGCCACTTTCTCAGCCACTCCCTTACATGGCAGACGACCTGCGATCCCTACCTCTCACATCAAACCCCTTGGCCAATCGATACGCCTATCTCACAGGTAGCGATCACGAGGAGACATACTCGCAGGCATCTGATTGCGAAACCCCTCCCCACAGATCCGAGGGTCGCTTGATAGACGATGTCCGCGTGGTCCACAACCAAGTCGAGCAACGCTACCGACACCGCGTCCGAGACAACATCAACGCGCTCTGGAATGTGATTCCGGAGTCCTCGTCAACGGTGCAGCCGAGTAAGGCTGTGGTCCTCAAGCGCGCTAGAGAACACATCTTGGAGCTGCAACAACATGTTAGGAGGGATAAGAGAGAGAAGGAGATGCTAGAAGCTAATGTTCAGATGTTGGAACACTACCTCTCGGAACGATCTGGTGCAAAGGGGCTTAAGCCACAGAATGTTCAGTATGCTGCATGATGTGCAAGGGTATCTGCAAGTCTACTAGGACTTGGAAAATTGTTTTCATGTATGCGAAGATTCCAATCTGTACACATAAGGATATTCTTAGCGGGGCGTTTCATTTTGTATCATTGGTTTCATAGATGATAAGGAGTAAGAAAGACAATAGATTGCATTTCCACATATCCACAACAGAATGGCACAGTGAAGCATCCCTCGTGTGCAAAATTTCAGAGACTGCTAATCCAACTTCCGCACTCTCTTCAGCCGCCCAGTATCTCACTCACCCTTTCAATCTCTTGAAGCCTACTACGGGTGAGCATCTTTCCGTAAGACAACCTCAACTACAGTGCTTCCAAATGCAAAATAGACCAGCCCAGCCAGCCCAACTCGGCCCTCGCCTAGCGTGTTGATGCCAGTTGGCTGGTCGATTCTCTTAGCGACTTGCCCCGTGCCATCCCAATCGCCCCACTTGGTACAAAAGTACCGAGGTATCACAACGCAGGTACGCAAAAACTTCCAAAAAAGATGGTAATTTACATACAGCAGTGGGGATTCGCTAGTGGTCACCCACCTAACTACTAAACCACCGATTTGAAGCTTATGGAAGGCAGAGCGGACGGGATGCCCAGTGATCTTAAATCTATGCCGTATGTGAGAGCGAAAGGCTGTATTTTGATAGATAGCTGGGGGATGTCCACGGGAACCGTCTGCAGAAATGATGGTAAAATCATGTCATCTACAATTTCCAGCTAATTTACAAGACATTTTGACGAGCTCGGCTTCCAAAAACAGTCCTCCGCCCCAGCCACTTCCTGTGCTGTCACCAATGTCTTAAACGAATCCAACAACTTGGCGGAGAAGCACGAAGTTACTAGTTATTTTTCCAACTACGGTCCACTCACTGTTGAGAAATTAGCGCTTTGGTGTCTTGAGTTTTTCTTTCACATATTGTGCATCCAATTGAAAGATCTGATAGCTAGAAAGTGGTCTCTGATTGGGTTTTCATGGCGATTAATACTCCAGCAATTCTTCCGCGGTAGCCTTATATAGCTACATCGCGGAAACACCACACTCTATTCGGTAGGTAGGAAAGCCTTCTTCGCAGTCTCTAATGACCGAGTACTACCTTGCTCCATTCCATAAGATTAGGTCACGTGTTGATATCTCAGCACTTCATTTATTGTCTTACCTCGGCACGGTGAGTCCAGGAACCCTTAAAATAGTTCTCACGATGTTCAATATCCTAGATTCTGCCTCACCGGTGCCCGCGTGGCTTCCAAACTCATCAATTGATGTAACGCCTCGCATTGAGTGAGCAAACGAGAGGCTGGTGGTGAGATACCAAGATCATTGACATAAGATCGGCTTAAACTTTAAGCATAAACAGCGAAAGGATCTGCCGCAATGCCACCTTAAATCCCAAAGGATGTAAGAACCACCAATTACAGTAAACAACGTTTCAAGAGTGGATATTTTGGGTCAGCCCTTGCAAGTATGACCTTCTGGAAAGCCTCGTACTAGAGCCGAAGCGGCGAAGTTCAGGGCGCAGCATTCCTAGTATGAGAAATGAAGGTCTTTGATTGGACATCTCGGCTGCGGCTGGGACTTGTTTATATCGGTTAACTCAGCTTGTGCTTGGCATCCAAGCCCAAATGGGATGATACGAGATTCAAGATTACCATTGCTGCAAGGGAAAGGCACAGCTTACACCGAGTGACTGGCTCGTATTTATATGACGCATTCTTTGTGGTATTTATTATCTAGCCATCGTCGCCATTTCGAAAACAGCATTAGCATTCTTCCATCTCAGTCGCGCCTCCCATCTTCCACCCGAAACAATCAAGTTCCACATTCAGCTTCTAACCCCACCAAATCAAGAAACATGTCTTTCGCAGTCGGAGGAGCAGCCATTGGGTTCGATGACTTCGTCAGCCCAGGTGTCAGTGCCCGCGGTATTGAGTACGGCGCCAGCTCATACCCAGTTCTCCACCCAAGACAAAACAGCACAGCACCAGCGACAAATGACACAGTCAACATGTTCATAGACTCTATGGACGAAGACTGGGAATACGCTGCATCCATCATTGAAGCTTGTGCCGATCGAACAGTTTTGGCGCTTCGGTGCACCTCCGGAGGAAGCTTCGTTGGCACCCAAACTTGTGGTCCTAATGCCGCCGTCAGTTTCCTCGCGCTTAAAGGCTGGTTTTCAATGCTAACAGATATTATAGGCCGCAACTGTGACTGTGGCATCTACTTCATACTACTTGTCCAGCGCCGTGACGACCTCAACTCTTGGCAGCCAGGTATCCGCTACCGCCATTGAATCGTGCCAGCTTGGTGGCACAACAGCTGCAACCTGTAAGTATTCCAAATTGAGAAAGAAAAAATGAAATTCTTGACCGATTTCTCCTTACCAATGAATGGAACATTTGCTAACTGTATTTCCTCAGGCGCTGTAACCATCGGAGGAGAGGTTGATGGCAAGAAAACCTCAACGAGCACAACAACAACAGTATCTGGCACAGACTACTACCGGTTCGATGTAGCCATCACCGGTGGTGCAGAGAAGACTGCTTCTGCCACGGCGACTTGCGCGCCTGGGAAGAATGCGGGCACGTCTTTGAGCGCTAAGTCGATGATGGTGTTTGGATTGGCTGGTCTTGCTACGAGTGTTCTCGCCCTCTTGTAATCTTTTACCAGCGACTTGTTTGGCTTTAATGTAATACCCCAGCTATGTACTGTTTTATCAAAAGAAGGTTTCACTCGCATTGAGAGTGGTTGCATAGCATTATTTGGGTCATGTACCTCCTCTTGTTCAGGTCGTAAGAGGACTTGACTCTTGCGATATTCCTAGAAACCTACAAAATAACGTTTTAATGATGAAATAGAAATGGCTATAAAGCCTTTGAGAATAAAGCATCAGCTGTGAACATTCTTGGAATGAGAAACCTTGTTACTCTTCCCTGCGCAAGCGCTGAAGAAATGCGTTGAGATTTTCCCTGTACAATGTTACCGACAGCTTCCCTTTTATGGGCTCCCAGAAATGCTTTTTTGTCTTGGAAGTACTTGATTTGAAGCGGAAACCCTGGGGGGCAACAAAATGTTTTGGGGGGCCAGGGTCACATGGTGACCTATAAATTTTGTTTTCGGCTGTGGCGCTGCCTAGGAATGGTCCTGGATAACGGAGGGTATTGGTCTCCAAAAAGTACTGAAGTTATCATGCACAACTACCTAACCATAGTATATTTGTCCAGCTTGAGTACCCTACATCCACCTCAAACAATCGACTCACTCAGCCACGTCTTAAAACCTTCTCTCTGAATGACTTCCGAATCGAGAAAAACGGCGCATCATTAGCACATTCCTCCTCATGTAACTCAATAGCAGGCAAATCCCAAACCAAATCACACTCCGCAGCCTTGACAAACTTCGTCTTCTTGAGCAACTTCCATCCCAAAAAGTTAATGGGCGCCAAGATCAACATGGTGTAGTAGGTGAAGAAAGTTCCAACATCCCATCCACCCTTGCGGAATACAGAGTAGCCGTAGGTGAAGACGACGAGGATCAGGAAGGAGGACGAGATGTACGCGCTGTATGGTTGGAACCAGCCGCGGTATGGGAGAGTTCGGCGGTCGAGTCCCTGGGCCTTGCAGGCTTTGTAGAAGAATATGTAGGTTATGGACATGACGATGAAGTTGATGAGGCCACCGGCGGTGATAAGGTTGACGAGCCTGAGCACCGGTTAGTCTCGGATTGACAGTTCAAGCGCAGATGAAAAGACTTACCATGTGATAACAACCGCGGAACTGTTCGAGACTTGAAGTAACGAGATGAATGGAAAGATCATGACGATAGCGAAACAATAAAGTGGAACGCCGTTTTTCGTTGTTTTGCGCAGGAAGTGATGCGCGTGGCCATCTGTCGCCAAGCCGTGAAGAGTTCGTGTTGCGCAATACACGTAGGTGTTTCCGGCAGAGAAGATACTTGTGATAAGTAGGGCGTTCTAAGTAGTTGGGGACAATCAGTCAGTACATGATGTCTGATTGATTTTCACTCCGCAATCAGTTTCGACCGGGATGAGTAATAAACTTACGACTAGATGTGGGAGTCCGTCCACTCCCAGGTTCTGCATGGCAATAACGTAAGGAGATGCAGCACCTGTCCCAGCACCGCTGCCACTTGTAAGAATTCGGTTCAGAGTCGGGTCGTTGGGAGGCAGAGCGATGCCAACGAAAACAGCGCTGCCGATGAAGAAGAGAGCGAATCGGATGTAGACTGTTTTGAAGGCCTTCTTCAACACAGGTCTTGGGTTTCGAACTTCACCTGCGACCATCGCGATATACTGTAGGTCTAAAGTTCAGTGATTGGCCGCAGATGGATAGAAGACAAAACCATAAGGGTATTTGTATCAAGGAATTTTCTAGGACGTACCTCAGGTCCCACGATGGTGAAAGCTCCTTGCCATAGAGCGGCGAGGAAACCCTCGAATCTGCCAAGACTACCAGTTGAAAGATACTCCAAGAAAGGTTCCTATACAGAGTCAGTGATGTATCCTCACTCCAAACTCAAATATTGTCGAGGGTAAACTCACTGGAGAGTTCCAGTTGCGGAAGCCATATGCATCATTCTTTGGGTTTCCTCCGCACATGGTCACGAACGTGAACGAGAATACGATGGCTACCAAGAAAACTTTCCCTCCAGACAGCCAGAACTCTGCCTCGCCATAGACTCGGACTGCCAAAACGTTTAGAAGCCTGTGTCAAGTCAATAACAAACCTAAGAAATGTGTCCGGGAACCGCATCATACCCATAAGCCACAATGCATCCACAGCATACGGCAGCAACAGGGATATCATCTCTCCAAAACGTCAAGACAAGATTCAATGCGACAATCTCGAATGGAATCAAGATAGCCTCGTAGAAGAAAAAATTCCAGCCAGCCATGAATCCGAAGGCATCATCAACCCAATGACCAGCATGACGAATAAAACTGGCGCTGACGGGCATGTAGGTCGCCATCTCAGCCATGCAATTATTGACGAGACCGATGATACACGAGTAGAGGATCCATGCTACGAGCAAGCTTCCAGGTCCGGCATTGATGAGGGCACCGCCAATTGAGACGAAAATCGCTGTTCCGATTGAGCCTCCAATTGCGATGAGTTCTGAGACAAATAACAATTAATTTTAATTTATGAGGCCGCAATGGTCGCGCATGGCATTAGGTAGTCCAGATCGGATCGCGTTGGAAGGGAAGAAAGAAGTCCTGTCAATCACTCACGAACTTGTCTGTTATTCAATCTGCGATGCAAATCCGTCGTGGTGGTCACAATCACACTCTCTTCGTCCCTCAGAGGACTGTGAGCAGGGGGGAACCCCGTCTGGGCCACATCTTTCTCTGCACCCATCACGATTGTTTATTTGGTTATTGACGGTGTCGTGATATGCACCCCGTTCAGGAAACGGATGTGGCGTTTTTGCTGCAAGAAATATTACAGCGATCCGGGGGAACGGCGAACTTAAAAAAAAGGCGAAGCAGCAGAGCTGCTACTTATGTTTTCTTATCTGGATGCCGAGGGACGATGGAGTCTTGGTACAGGAATATTTGCTAGGATACGTTATCTGAATGTGGAGGAGGGGTCCAAGGATGCCGAGTCCTTGGAACCTCAGTAGCTCGAAAGAATCTCCTGAGAGGAGTCTCGAATTTTCCACGGTCAACCATATTTCTATCGTGACCTTCAGTATAGATCTATATAACGAAGTGTATGGAATTCAGCTGCACTTAGAAGCTCTTTTCTATGGTTTTTGCGTAGGAAATGGTGAAATAAACACGAGCTTTGAAGTCTCACAATGATGTCGTGCCAAGAACAGCCCAGTGTCATTCGATCCCACTGCAGTGGGCAATTATCGGGTCCTCCGAATCTCCTTCCCAATTGGCCAAGCTGGGTTTCGAAGATTCAAAAAACCCCGGAGCCTTGGGGAATAGCTGCGCTAGAGTGGGTATGGAAGTTCACGAAGCCAACCACGAGAGCTTGCACCCCACTAAGCGGGCTTACTTTGCTTGGCTCTGCAGCAAGACCTGTTTTCCCCATGGGCTTGGAACGTTGGCCTGAAAGAAGTTTCGCACTTTACTAATTTCATCTTGTCGCGAGTCGCGTGATACGATGGGAAATGAAAGGTACTGGTAGCGTTTTTGACCGCTCCTTTAAAATACTTGTGTTTACTTCTGTCTCGCTTCTCGCTTGAAGGAGGGGAGGGGTGTTTCGGACTTCGCCTACAGGAAAATAAACAACAGAAGGAGAGAGGGGAGCACATACATGGTTGAGAACTTTATGAAGTCACATATACGATCATAAGCATACAAAACACAAATGGATTTGCTACTATTCGCAATGTAGACCTCGGAGCTGAATGACTTCCCATTGAAAGTTCTGTCCTCAAATAATAATCACAGCCCTTGTCCGCCGATTAAACTAGCAATAAAACCCGGATTTAAAAGGCAAAGAACTACTAGGACTTAATCTTATACCTCATGCCTTCTTCTATTACATTTCAAAATCCGCCGATCGCTGTAAATATCCTAAGACGGGATCTCGCCCCCGATACCCCGCACCTGTTTCCCAAGTATCACCACCTAGCCACATCCTCGGCTCGCCTCGACATGCTTATCCCCCTCATTATCAACCAGAGCTAGTATTCAGTAGTCCGTTACTAATATACAATATGTGAAGAACTGCTCTATGCGAAGCTTGTTAGGTGCTGGACAGTCCATTCTCGTCAGGTCACACTGGGCGGGGTAGTGCTGCTTCCTGATCCATTCCATAGTTTCAAAGGATGTGCAAAGATGAATTGTATACTACTTTCGTTTAGTCATACAGAACATTTGTGTTTGTGCTGATATGCTTCGCTTTTCATTCGGGGTTTCCGTTTTGGTGCCATATAATTCCACCGAGTGGAAAGGATGACTAGGAAAGTAAAGAAGAGGTGCTTTATCTACTGAAGTTAGGGATTTTACTATTCTTGACGCACTGTCTAGACCGAGGTGATAATATTTCTTCCTGAATGTTCACCAGTCTTCAACGCTGAACATTGAGCCATTCACGCCGGCATGATTCAAAAAGGGCCAAGCCTAATAAACACCATTCATAGAAACTAGAGATTCATCATGGCTTAGATCATCGTCAAACTTTAAACTAAGTTTGCGATTTAAGACTGTTAGGGATAGAGAGAAATAGGTCGGCCCAGGCATGAGTGTCATCAAGCTTCCCAAGGTACGGCTGATTCTGTTCATTATTTGCAGCATATACTAGGCAGAGACAGCAACCCAACCCAATCACGAAAGCTTCCTTTTTAAATGCATTTAATGTGTTTTCATCAGCAGCCAGGATCCTGCAGCAAAGTTTACCTTCAAGTCAAGGAAAGCAGACTACCAAATCGGCCACGTGACCTTTCTCGTCACGTTCTCACAAGTGTACACTTCCAACATCGAAGCCACACAAAACACCAGCTCATTCACAATTCCAACACCCAGTAATATCCTCATCCACTTTACAAATTCTTCACAAAGACAGCCACAACAGCCACTCCGGCCCGCTCCGACTTTCCCCCGTCCGTCCGGCCCCCAGATCCCGGGATCTGAACTCCTCTCACCTCATCCTTCAAGATCACAAAGAATTACGTACTGTGGGAGTCTATCAAATCCCGAATGGAAGTCGAAATAAACTTAGCTGCATGACCCGCTGCTTCTCGTGTCGTTTCTGTGGCACTTATGCAGGTCATTGATCTGGTGGGAGGATGAGGGATCGGTTCTTGGTAGGGGTAGGGACGGTGTGATGAGGTGGCTGAAACTGGAGGTAGGGCTGATGGGTTATGTGTTGGGTACATAGGAGGAATTTGGGGAATTGGGGAGTTATTGTGGGGTATGGAGGGATGAGAGATACATAGTGTAGAGGGAAAGGGTGCCGGAGTAGAGCCTGAGGGGGTGCGACTCGTTTACTTGCACCGACAGTAATCGACTTGTAGGTATATACTTTGGTCTGGTCTAGGTAATGAATTAGAAGTGTTCGCCGTGTTGATCTTGGATGAGATGATGAAATGAAGGTCAAGTGAGACGAACTGAGATTCTGATGCGAGCCGAAGTATGGAACTGAGGCTGGAAGCCTTCGGCAGAAAGCAAGCTGAAGTAAGTGGTTCGCAGAAGAGAGGAGATAACGCGGGATATGAAGTTTAGTATCATGCGAGAGCAGCGGGATAGGTATTTATATGACCCATGGCCCTGCAACTCGAGGTGCCTCAACACACAATCATAACGTTAGGGGAAAATCGAACTCAGCCAACGGCCATCGTCTGGTTACTCTTGTTCAAAACATGCTCGTATAACATCGCCAACGCTGTTTGTGTGTGAACAAGAATTCTCTTGGGGGAAAAAGATAGCAACGTGTATCATGGCCTTTCAAGTCGATGAGAGTACGTATAACTTTGCGAGCACCCATATGACTATTGACTCTCTCTTGAAGCCCTCCCTTCCTGTCGAGCAATAAAGGGAGTAGGCACTTGCTGAATTCATACTCCAGACTGTCCCCGGCAATACCCACAAGCTCTTCAAATCCTAGTTCAACTTCCTGAAAATTGACGCAAATGAGTTGGAGGACAAGACCATTGCGCGAACGACTCGGCAATTGACTTCAGATTATATGCCGTCTAAGTCGGAACAATCGACATTGTAACTGCCATTGCTAAAGCTACCATACGATAAATCTGCGACAACAATAATGCCGCATAGGTGTGTCTGTCCAGGAATAGTTGTATCCTGGGTTGAAACTAATGGAATCATGGAGTATGCCGAGAGTGATGTGGAGTTGATGTCCATTCTGATGAAACCATTGCCATGGTGGATACAATCAAGCTTCACCTTGAAGCTGGGGAATGTGGGAGAGTGGAGGGATATGCTGATTTATCCGTGGAGGAATACTTGATACACAACATCCGAATGAACGAAACATCCAGCTAGGTAAAGACATGTACGATGAGTGTTTGTCTGTGTCGAGGGTAGCTCTCATGATGTTCAATAAGCTTTGGATGCAGTAAGGCTAACAACAACTGCGGCGATAGCATCAGGCGTTGAAGCTTGTGCAACGAGGCTATGCGGAGCCAACGGGGAAGAAATTGTCGAATGAAACAATGAGAGTCCGTATGGTGTCATTGGGGTAGCGGGTTGAGGCTTGAACTGTACAACCAGTGCGGAGACCCGGCATGGAACAAGATCTCGGGAGGATTCCTTGCAACAGCAATTCGTTGCTGACCATTTCAAGCCACATCCATCTCACAACCTGCAAACAAGGAATCATCTCATTGGTTACCAGTCGAAAACTTCCCCAGGACAAAACGCCGTGGTTCCCATATTGGGATTCTGGGGTTCCGAGTGGGCTAGAAGTACCTGCACAGTCATCCTGTAAGGACAGTCATGATTTGCAGGGCAGACGCCACCTTGAATTTATCAGCTCGAATTATTAATTGGAGCATGGAAAGGGCTGCAAGGGCGTAAACTTTTTCCACGGCATGTTCCCGGAAGAGTCAAAATCGAACGATGCCAGGTGTCCCGGGAGGAGAGTTCTGTCAGTCCTGTGCAGAGGAGAGGGATGTTGTTTCCAGGCGGGATTTGATTCATAAAAGTTCAAACCCCGAATGTTCCCAACCAATAAGATGCCTGTGCAGCGGGATTTCCCCAGTAAAACCCAACGTTTAGCCTCCCTATCCCTGCGCTCCTTGGCATCCACCGTTCTCTTATCACCCCCCCAAACCCTCGTTCCCTCCAGCGACAGGGCACGCTGCAGCTCTCCCCTCGTTCTCACATCTCAGAACACGCCACAGAGCACGGATCGGAAAGACATGGCCAAAGGCAGCAAGATGTGAGTTTGAAAGCACTGGGAACATTCCTTAGGACATATAACCTTCCACGCGCCCCAAAAACTAGTCTGGTCCTTCCCGCGAAATCCAAACCTCGTCTGATTCATTCCCTATATGTATTTTGTTACGAAACAACTCGACAAGCGATCCGATGATGAGTTTTGACTTTGCAACTACTGACATCTGGTCGGGCAGTACCAAAGTCAGCTCCGCGACGACGAACAAGCCGGCGAAACCAGTCCGAAAGAAGTTCGCGGTCCCTCCAGTGAAGCTCGCATGTTTGGAGTGGTAAGACAATCAATCACGGGACATCACAGAATTCGCAGCTGACAGAACTGCACCTAGCCGGGCATCGCGAACACGGTGTGATGGAAAACCAGAATGCTCAAATGTAAGGAAATTATTTTTAGGACATGTAGAGTTCGAATCTAGATGAAAGGAATTTCGATTAACACAAAATCACCTAGTGCATCAATAGAGGCAAATCATGCGTGTACACGCAAAGTAAACGAGGGGGCTCTCGCATCCGGCGGCGACGAGTTTCAGTAGGCGAAACTGGCGAGCGCTCCCCGAAGATTAACAACAATGAGCTGAATGCGTGTGCACTCTCCGTGATGCCGGAGTTAGAAGAAGGTATCTTGACTCATGATTCTCCTCCTTTATCCACACGCAGTTCTGAAGAAATGTCGGAATTTAACATCCCGGGGTATCAAGGAACGTTCGCTGCTCCGCTGTCTCTGGTGACCCCTGGCGGAGGCTTGAAACAGCTGGACTTCTCGCTCGATGATACGGATTTTATTTTCGATTCCATCTTTGCGTCGACTCAGCCGGAAGGTATGGACAGCGGGTATGAGACTTCGGAACATGCTGGTACGCTGTCGGAATCAGGAAAGGAAGTGCCGATTCGTGTGTATTCCAGCGATGACGATATGTAAGTCGCAAAAGCCGCCCGTGACTTCAATTTTCATACTTATTTATGACCAGATTGAGCGCCTACTACACCTATATCCATCCCTACTTCCCAATTCTCCCTCCCCCAGAAGCAGGTCAGGTGACCGATAACCCTGACTTAGGAATTCGACGAGCACCAGACGCCATATTTAGCAGTAAATCCGTCCCCGATTTCGAACCTTCGTCCCCAATAAGTCTGGCTATATCCGCCACTCTCGCTCTAATCCCCCATCCAGAAGATAAAGATCCGTCCGGAACAGAATCTCTCCATCTTCGACGAGAACAAGCCCAGGCATTTGCACAGTCCGCATTCGAGAGCATAGAAATCGAATCCGAATTAATTGACTCCGTGATCCAACCAGGAGAAGCATTAAGTAGTGATCCCTTACCTCTGCAGCGGAAACCGTTCCATCCAAGGAATCCGCTGGAAAATGAAAGTATCATTGCTCTGATCATGTTGAGTACGTATGAATATGCTCAACGTGGAAATATAGCCAAGATGCGGAATCGGGCAGGACAAGCGGTAAATGCTGCGATCAACCTAGGACTGCATATCAAAGGTGATGAGCAGGGGTATTATGCTGAAGCCAATAGGAGAGTTTGGTGGATGGCATATATTACTGTTTGCCAGGGCTCGATTTTGAGTAACTCGACTCCGCCTATCCTGTTGTATGATCCTCGCTTCACGACTTCTGGGCCAACGTATGCTGGAGATCCGGGAGCTTGGCCGGTATTCTTGCAGTCCCAACAAGCGATTACTTCGGCGACGCAGTTTGTGATCGATTTGGATGCTACTCTTAAGCAGGGATCAAATACAACGGCGATTTGGGACCGGATGTTGGAATTGGAGGCCATAATTGAGCCTTTAATAGTAGCAGCAGATTCCTGGACGTTATCTTCGAGTCCTCCTTTGTCTTTGGATTCTGCCGAAATGGTGGTTGGACAGGCATTGAGAGGTATCGCGAGGATAAAGTTGAATAGGTAAGATTCCACCTTCTCCCATGTATTTGGGCAATTTTTCCTGCTTCTCTCGGTTCTCCGTCAAATCACCCCCCTTTCAGCAAGCAAATATCACGTGCCATCCACCAAGTGTCTTCCACATTGGAACATAAGGTATCAACTAACTTGTCTCTCCAGCGCACGCATAAAACTCCACCGCTACTGCGCCTTTTCAGACGTCCCCGTCTTTTCCAAGAAGCACTGCGATCTCGCCGTAGCCGCGCCACCTAACTCCTCCAACCATACCCCCAACCCATCATCCACACCAACTGCTCCAAACTGCGCCTGCAGCACCACATTTCACGGCCTCCCTTCTTACTCCGACATGACTTCATCAACACCCCAGGGATTCCCCTCCACTACTTCGCCATCTCACATGAACCACAATCTAAATTTCAACCCTAATATGCAACTGCAATCCAACCTCAACGGTGGTCTCGGACTCGGTCTCAACCCCAGCCAAGGCATCGGATTGAACTGCAATGTCCTCCCCTACACATCACACTACTCGGCAAAGATATGTCTGAAATCCGCATTCTCAATAGCGCGGTCATTCGCATCTTTACCTTATCCCCAGCCGATCCGGAGAGCAGACTTACAAAACCAGCACCAACTCCAGACCAACCAGAACCAAAACCAAGTTCAAGTCCAAGACCCCTACTCGTACTTCCCCACCATCCAAACACCCAACACCTACACCCGCCACTCACTCAGTCCGTCGACAACAAACCCCCACACCGGCCCAATCCCAGCAGCAGTAGGAACCTCCCGCGCCCACGCCCAGACCCAGGCCCCAAGAATGATCCCCGTCTTCGCCTGCTGCGCCATGCAAAGCAGCTACGCACTAATCATGCTCTCCTACAAAACCAAAGCCATGGGATTCGCAGGTCCGCTCTCAAATCCCAACCAGTCAGCCAAACCTAACTCCAACAATACCGTTTCCAACTCCAACTCGAATCCCGACCCCAATAATGGGAGTAGCGGAAATACACATGGAGGAGAGGCGAATCTGGGGAAGGAGAATCAAGCGCAGAAATTGCTGGGGCAGTTGAGTGAGGGGTTGCAGATGATTCTGGCGGCGTTGAGGAATTATTCGGTTGCTTATGAGGCTTTGGGGGGGATGAGAGGTTAGTTTTTTTTTTTTTTTTTTTTTTTTTTGGCCCGTTTTGTTTTTATCATCCCCTTTGCTTCTGAATTTTTTTTTTCTTTCTGAGCGTTGGGATTTGAGAGTGGAAGAGAGGACTTGAGGCTGACAAAAGCAACAAATAAACAGATCAAATCGATATAGCCGCGCAATCAGTTGGAGCAGCTGCCTCGGTTGTCGGCGATGTGAGATGGTGATTTAATCGCCCGTCTCTCTCTCTCGCTACAATTACCCTCATCCACCTCGCCATTACCACCCAAATCTGCAAAATCAGCCCCCAACCTTGGGCGGCGGCGGCAATCTCTGCCCTCCTTGGTGTTGTGTAAGAATCCGAAAGAATTTGGAAAGAAAGATCAGAAAAAGCTGGAGTTTTCGGTTGGGTTGGGTTTACAGAGAAGAACTCAAATGGAATGATTCCCCTCAATTTCATGCATGGCGTTCGAAACCGTTTTGGGGAAAACAGGCGGGAAAGGAGTACGGAGATGGCTCTGTAACTGATTTGAAGCCCCAGACAGAAATCGAGGCATGACTGACTGGACTGGGTTGAGAGAAGGGCTTGGTGATTAGTGATTGATGATGTAGAGAAAATACATTCTTGAAGTGACCCCACTTGGGACTCGAGACTTCGTGATCAGGTTTTCACGATGACAGAGAAAGAGAATTTGAATGTTTCTTGATCTGCGATGGACTTTGAAACTCCATGTGATAGGAAATTTCATTTCATGGAAAGCTTGAAGTTGAGTGCCTAGGCTAATGAAGAGCAAATGCATCGGCCATTTTATCAACACGGTATGTCTCTTAATCTTAGCTATCGTGGGGGAAAGAACCCAGCTCATTCCGACTTCCATCCGGTGGAGTTTCACGCTGCCATAGTCTCAGAGCAATTTGAAAGTAGCAGCAAATAGTGTGCAAATTCCAGATCCTCAATGAGTTCAGCCTCGTGCGTCGTGGTTCATTTATTCAGCCATCGTCGTTCCTCGTCGGATCATCCAGATCAGGTTATTCACCGCATCTGATCTCATGTACTGACCAAAGCCTGGAACACCACAAGCCAAAGCAACGAAACCAAATTCATGATCATTTCGGCACTTTGGTAAAGCGTCGATCTCGTCACCAAAGGTTTCGCGATGCTCTCCATCGCCGGCCCATTCATCCTGATCTCGTGCAAACTCAAAGATGGCTCGCAAAGCACTTTCAGTAGTACCACCACGTTTGTAGAAGTTCTGGGTCACTGGTGGCCACTCGCCGGAGTCCATCCAGATGCTGACGAGGTTGGGGATACTTGGCAATTCATTGGTACGCAAGGCCTCGGCCGCATGATCAAAAATATTGGCAAAGCCTCGTCGTAGACTCTTGTTTGTGCGGAAGTTCCGCTGGATGTCTGGGGCAACATGCTCTGTATAGATGTTCATCATGCACCACATCTCTGGGTCGTCGACTTCCATCAACAGCGTATCATGGGCAATCTCGGCTTGGCACAGCAAGGCAAATCTCATTCGAGGAGAGAGAAGACCATCGATGCAGCCCCCACAAGTGCATCCGAACTTGAGCTGAAGTATTTCCATATCGCTTGGAGTCTTGAGGAACTTGAGAGCAGCCATACAAAGAATGGCATCATTGCTAAAGCCACGGAATGAATCGGAGGTAACGACAGTGGCGAGCCCTTGTTGTCTTGTATTGCGTAAGGTCTCCAACTGATCGGTTAGCAATTCCAGAGGAGTGTAGCCATCTCGATTCCTGGTGGAGCTGAGTCTCTGATCTTGATTGACGTTGTCCAGCAGCCACTGTACACTCTTTGCTTTAGTTCCAAGAGCAGCTTGGTGCAGTACATTATTTCCATGTCGATCGGTCATCGACCACTGCTCACTTTCTTCAGCTTTTTTGGCGCATTGGAAATGCTTCACGCACTCGCCGTCTGGCAAAGACTGGGCTGCATGATGTAGGGGAAGCCGTTCTTTAAGCTGATTCAGCTTCGCCTCCTCCAGCTTTGTCCCAAAGAAGTCATCCTTGTCGTCGAAATCAAGCAATGTCTCGGGCTCTAATTCAGGTAGATCAAAGTCGTCAGCTATCGCGAGAGCGTGGGCTCTATGGCTAACATCTGCCGCTAAACCGAAGCAACTTGATGCGCCGATTCTACGAAATCCAAGGGCTCGGTAGAATGCCGTGGATGCGTCATGAGCTTTGACATGAACTTTTTGTTCCTCTTCTTTTGTCATACCATTCGACTCTTTCTCGACCTCACGAGTAAGATAACCTGGGCTAACAATAGTGAACGTTGAGCTTCGCTCGCCTGTGTTTGCCTTGCTGATCAGCGTAGTTGTAAGAGATTTTCCAATACCTTTTCGACGCCATTGTCTATCGACAAGAACATGTTCAAGGATAAAGATGTTTCCTAGATCGAGTTCATGACCCCAAGAGCCTGTTCCCTTGCGAACTGGATGAGAAGCGAACTCTTCTTTGAGCCGTCCGTAACGATCGAATAGCTCGAATGCAACAGATGACAGTTCTTGGCAAGGCTCTTCCATGCTCCGCCAGAAGTTGTCCCGAATGTAGCTTCGCTTGACGTATCGACCAACTGCTCTACCTAGCTCCTTGCCTTCATAGTTGATTGTGACTATGAGCGAGTGCATCCACTCTTCAAATTCGTCATCATCCTCGTGTCGATAGGATTTCATAATTGCCTTGGAACCCTGGAAACGCGGAAGAGTAACCTCTTTCTCCTCTACCTCTAACTCTGGAGGACCCAATTCATCTTCGTCGAACTCAGACATCCCGTATAGGTCTTTAAGAATGCCTTCTTCCTCATCGTTCAAATCATCTTCTTCGTGATCATCGCCTCCACTACTTTCATGAGAGAAAGACAAGCCTTCGTTGTCGTCGTTCTCTACTGTAGCTTGGTGCTCGGCGGCAGCAGATAATTTAGGACCTATACCAAAAGTCAGTACCCAAGTGTCGCAAAAGACAACGGAAGGTTTTACCATCACCCCTCGCGACGCGTCCCTTGTGGCCGTTCTCCGATACGTCAATGGATCTTGCTGGGGTGACACTGTTGACACGCTCCGGAGACGGCGAGGCAGCCTTACGCTTGCCTATGGAGGCACCTTGTGGTCGATCGCCGGCCTCGATATTCATCGTGGGAGATTAACGCGCGTGGACCTTTGTTTGGACAGATGGGTGTGACGCGTTGGGGTCGAGGTGAGGTTGCGCGGTGTTAGACAATGGTTTTGGGTGGCGTGGTGAGGATGGATGAAGGTAAATGTTCCCAAATGAAGCGGAGGTTGAGAAGTCATTCCATGTAATGATAGAAAGAAGGACTTACACCTGGTTTGGAAGGAACTGCTAAGCGAAGCGAAGTGAAGTGAAAGAATTCCAGTTCCGGAAGGAGCAACCTCTACCAGCGAGGCGAGGCGAGCCACCTACAACTGCTCCCCATCCTCTGCAATATCACTATCTCAGTTGTCAGACTTATTTTATAGCCGACTGCTGTAGTCTGGTAAATTAACCTTGAAATATCGTGCTCGTGCTAGAAGGTCGTTGACGGCGCTGCCACGTACATCACAAAATCTTGAAGCGAAGTGGGAATCCTCCAGTGACGTGGGCACGGAAGGACATGACAGCTGAACAGGACGACCACACCATCAGAGGGATTAGGAGACACGAAGGTGTTTCAATGCCTTTGCTCTTCCCAAAATTTGGAGCACATGAATTACAAAACCCTCACTCGCTTAGCTTGATCCACCAGTGTCGTGGAGTTTGTCAACAAAGCCCTGTCGCCACATTGGCAGACATTCGAATGCACCACCACTTCACCTTTTCAGGACTTGCTCCCTCCAAGTCCTAGTCGAGGACAAGAGGTCGAAAGCCCGAAGCATGGATGCAGACGCCGGATACGTGCCGCAGCCACAATAAATTTCGGGGGATGGTTTCCATCAACAGAGACTGTGGTACGGAATTGTATCCCGTCCTTGAAATCTCATGCTGTACCTCCTTAAGTATTAACAATTAGCTGTATCCTAGAATATATCTACTCCCAACATATATGCCTCTCCTCTCCCAGAACATCCTTGTCGCGTCGCCACATCCAGCATTACCGAATATAACCTCTGCACAATTCCCAACTTCCAGCACAGTACCCAAGCTACCACCCGAAGAATAGGCTTGTTTCAAGTCCAAGCCATCCACAATTAAATTCCCCGAGATCTTGAACGAAAAAGTGCCTCAGACTGCTATGAAGGCAACTTGAGTCGGGGAAGTGAAAGATGTTGGGGGCGAGACTTGAATCTAGTCCAGCCCATCGCCTCCCTTATGCAGGTACGCGAGCTTGGCGACATCAGGAACACCACTGACGGGCTGGAAGCATGATAGTGCACCACCACCCCGAGATGTCTTCTCCACGTTTCTGATGGCTCCCGCAACGAATTCTAGCTTTTCCATGTGGTTGGTGTTCAGCATATTGAAATCCAGACCTTTTATGCTGCGACCACTCAACGTGCACAGAGACCTTTGAACTTGGAGATGTGGCTGTTGAATTGCAACAAAGTTTTCAGTGCGATGAAACTATTGGTCAACTTGCTTCAAGATGGGACGGGAGGAGATGCTGTAATGATCAGATAATGGATCAGCACCAGCATTGAGTCCCTCACAACTCTCTGGTGGTTCCAAGTCAAACCTCCGTGCGGCAAGAAGAAGCGTAATATTTGCCACCGCCAGCACTCCCCGAAATAACCATGGCATATTGAATTACCACTGACCCCGTCGTCGAGGCTCGTCGCTTATTCTTTCTCACGGTGGACGGGTGGGCTTACTCCTCTTCCGCAACCTTATTCTAGAGTCCAGATCCCACCGCTTGGTAAAAGGAGAGGCGTGATGTGGCACCGCCACATATGAGAATGCAAGTCATTGGTTACCGAGGACTGTTCCAATGACCAGTCATCGAAGAGAACTGCTGTGTGAGGACAGGTACCAAGCATGCGGTGCTTTGATCTGGCGACGAAGTCGAGATCATGCACGCATGCTGCAGAGGAGATTGGGGTGGACGATGGACTCACATCATGATCTGTACCGTACTGTACCCGTGCTGTCGGCCGTGTCCGGATGGTAGGACAGACTGAATGGATGGACGAGGTGGATATATATTGGGGATATCTCTTTACAATGGGAACAATTTAACAGTATCAATTTATCCTTCACCAGCTTCGTATAACCAACCACCTTCAAGCAACAGCTTAGCCATACACATTCTTTTCGATCATCAGTCTAAGCTCTTCTGCCTCACTATCAAATTCTAAAAATCACAAGTCACCATGCGCTTCTCACAAGCAACACTTGTTTTCCTCGGACTCGCTGCCTCCGCCAATTGCGCAGTTGTCGCCCGTTCCAAGGGAAAAGATGACCCTCGTCCTACTTGCCCGTAAGCCCTCTCTTCTCTACGTTCCTCTTACCTTCCATTCTATAATCGAACTCCAATCTCACAAACATATCACACAGACCCGCCCAAACAGTCACAGCCGGCTACACCATAACCGAGACCTACATCTCCACCGTCTACGTGCCCACCACCACATCCTCAGACGACAACCCCCACACCAACTCCTCAGACGACAACTCCTCCCCGACCATCACCTCCCCCTCCACACCACCCAGCACAACCAAAGGCCCCGAAGACAACCCGCACACCGACCGCACTGCCAGCGACGACAACCCCAAAACCAAACTCAAGCGCAGCGGCGGCGGCGACGATGGTGATGACGATAAAGAACTTCGCACCAAAACAATAACCGAGTTCACCAAGACCATCTACCCAGCATGTACAGGGCGTCCTCGCTCCTCCTCCTCCTCCTCCTCCTCCGCATCACCATCACCATCTCAGTCTGAAGATAATGCCAGGACTGGATCCTCGTTATCGGATAATAACTCGCCGTCTGCGTCTACATCGTCGGGTGTGGAGGATAATACGACGAAAGTTGAGGATAATACTGCTAAGCCTACTGGAACGAGCAGCAGTGGAGCGGAGGATAATACGGCTGCGGCTGTGAAGAGCGATGATCATCCGAAGACGAAGAGGGGTCATGATGAGACGACGGTGACGGTGACGTATTATACGAAGACTGTTACGGCGAGGTGTAGGACGAGGACGAGTTCGAGTTTGAGTGTGGAGGCTACGAGCTCTGTTTAGGGATGGGGATGAGAACATTTGAGTAGATTGATAGACCGACTTGAGGGTTTTGTATACATATGTTGTGTATATATGTAACTGGAGTTTGAGAATTCAAAAATACATTGTGTGTGGTGTTACTTGAATGGCCATTGTAATGAAGTATCTGACCGTGACAAGTCAGTGTGACATGCTTGGAGGAGAAGGGTGACTTTTGCTTACAAATTTGGCTTCCCAACCCTTCCCGACACAATGAGAGTCCCCTCAAGTATCCTCTCATCTCTTTTCCTGCTATGGATATTCTCCATGCCGAGATAGCCTCTCCAGCTCATGTCCTCCCTTCCGGTCGACACACTTCGTGTCGTTCCAACCCTCCTTGAGCTCAGCCCTCTGACCTGACTATACCTTCTTGATTTTTATTTCTCTATCAAGAGTCGATGTTCAACCCTCAACTCCCCTCAACTTCCCCCTCCCCTCCTCAACCCAGGCCTCCAGCACAAACTCGCCAGCCTCGACAAGCCTAACCGGCACTGTCCTCACACCACCTAAATCCTTCCCAATCGTCTCGCTCTCGCCCTTCTCGCCCGTCTGCAGACTAGGTTCACTCGGTATCCACGGCTGCGGATGTCCAATCGGGGGCTCCACATCCGGTTCATCTCTCAGCTCGACTGCGATGCTATATGTGCAGTTTTCGGGAAGAGGAGAGAGTCGACTGCATGCGTAGTCGAGACGGCGGATCGTGCCGCGGAGTTGTTCTTCGATATCGGCGCGTTTGACGCCTGCCTTAAGCTGAGGCTGAGGTTGTGGTGCGCCTTCGGTATTTGGGTTTGGATTGGCTTTGGAGTTGGGATTGTTTGGATTCGCATCCCTCGCCTCGAACTCCACTAACTTCTCCTTCTCCCCCACGACCGGAAATCTCTCCACGTCAAACATGAACCTCTCCATCACTACACCCTCCTCGCTAAACACCGGGATTACGATCCTCTTGACGGTTCCTTTTTGTAGAAGCACTCCTACCGCGGCGACGGCGCTGTTGATCCATTCGCAGACTGAAGGGTGTCGGGACTGGTGGACAGGGAAGTTGTATGCGCGTGTGGTGATGAATGTTGAGGGTGGGTAAAGCTCGCGGGTGTAGAGGATGGTGTGGAGGGCGACGGTGAGGAAGGAGGTGAAGGTTTGTTGAAGGGAGAGGGGGGTGGTGAGGATGAGGGGTTCGACATATGGAGCGGCGGCGGAGGCCATTCTAGTCGAGGTGCGATGATGCTTTTGCTGGACGAAGGACTCGGTGTTGCTGCTGATAGGGGTAGCAGTTTGTATATTCGCGAGCAAGGAGTTGATCGAGAGCGAACCTCGAGGATATTGGAGCTGTCCTTGTCTTACACACCGGGTAGCTGAGCTTGTGAAGGCGGGGTAGATTTGGTGTATTTGACGCGAACTTTGGATGAAGTCAAGCAGTCCGCGCGCTACGATTGTTCCAGCCGAAGTCCTGCGCTGTTGACCGAAAGTTCGACTGCCGATTCTTGCATTAAAGATGGCTGAATAACCCAAGTCTGTCTGGTTGAGGTTGACGATAGTCTTTGGCTGGTGGCTTCTGTAGTCAGGAACATGAGTCGCGTCCACCTCCAGTCGCGCTTCCCTCAAAAATTTCCCGATCCCACCTTCTTCGCGTGTTCCCGTTTCCTTTGAAAGAACAGACCATCGGTGCCCAAACACTCCACTCAACCCAACCCACCACCTCTATCTCTTGACCTCGACCAACACGATACCCAAATAAACAAACAAACACGAGGAATCGAACAAACATTTTGGGATGGCTGGAACCATGGAAAACCAGCTCCTGGCCCTGCTAGGAGACACGCAGCTCTCCGCCGAAGCCCCCCGCAAACAAGCAGAGCAGCACCTCGAGCAGGCCAAAACCAACCCCGCGTTCCCAGGCAGTTTGGCCGCGATTGCGAGCCATTCCAATGTCAGCCCGCAGATTAGACAGAGTGCACTATTGCTGCTACGGACGTTCGTGGAGCGCAATTGGAGTGGAGAGAGTGATGATGGGCCGGCGGTGCAGATTGATGAGCAGGTCAAGGAGGCGCTGAGAGGGCAGATGTTGGAGCTAGCTACGAGTGGTGATGCGGATAGAAAGATCAAGAGTGCGGCTTCGTATGTTCCCGCCATTTCTATTGGCTTGACCGTGTAGGGGACTGCGACATAGCTAATATTTATCAGGTACGTGGTGAGCAAAATCGCAAATGTCGATTACCCTGATCAGTGGCCGAATCTCCTCCCTGCCATCTTACATCTTATTCCGAAAGCTACGGACGACCAGCTACATGGTGCATTAAAGGTGCTTTCGGATTTGGTGGAGGATTCTCTGAGCGAGGACCAATTTTTCTCTGTTGCGCGGGATATTGTCAAGGTCGTCTACGATGTTGCGATCAGCGATTCTCGGAAGCTTCTTCTACGCGCCCTGGCCGTTTCAGTCTTCCGCGGAACATTTGATATTATGGATATGGTCAAGGATGAGCATGGACCAGAAGTGAAAGGCTTCGCAGACGAGGTTTTGAATGCCTGGAGTCCATTCTTTATGGAGATTATGAAGAAAACACTACCTGCGAGACCGGCTGGTGGTGATGAAGGATATGAGAGTGGACGGGACGACCATCCTGAAGCTTGGCGAGGCTTAATTGCTCTCAAGCTTCAGATCGTTAAAACCTTGATGAAGATCCGCTCTGTATTCCCACAGCTATTGCTTCCGCAAAGCCCTGTCCTCTTCAGCGCAACTTGGGCAGAGCTTTCGTTACTTCAGGATAACTACCAGGATATGTATGTGGACAATGACGAGCAGGGACGCTTAGAGGATGCGGACGGTCTACCATACACACTGGACTTTTTGGTTCTGGAAGAACTTGATTTTTTGCAATCCTGCTTGAGAGCACCACCTGTCCAAAAGGAACTCGAGGCACAAATACAACAACAAGGAGGCGTTTCTGGAACTTCGTGGGTTATGGACGTCATGAAGTTGGCCGTTGGATATGCACAAATTCCCAAGGAGGAGGAAGATTTATGGGATATTGATGTTAACCTGTTTTTGGCTGAAGAGACTTCAGTCACGGCAAATTACACCGCTCGTACAGCTTGCGGTGATTTGCTGATCAAGTTGGGCGAGTGGCTTCACCAAGGTGCTTTGGAGGGTTTATTGGCATACACTCAGGTTCTCTTCGCTGCTGAGGCAGCTACCTGGAGAACAAAGGAAGCATCCTTGTTTCTTCTCACCCAACTTCTGAGCGATTTCCTAGATGTTGAGAAAGCGATTGCGCCAGAGGTTGCTGCTGCGTACTTACCATTGATTGACTACGCCATCAACCGGACCGAGGAGCCTCTTCTCAGAGCCCGTGGATATCTGATAGCAGGTATTCTCGTGCAAAGCATTCCAGATGTTGCACTTGGACTTCTCGATCGCACAATCAAGGGTGTCAACACTGATGAAGCCGAAGTTGTCAAGGTATCCTGCATCAAGGCCCTACAAGGTTTCATCAGTGCGCGCACAGTACCGGCTGATCGCCAAGTACCTATTGTTGCATGCATTTCGGAATATTTGTACGCAAAGGACTTGACTGACCTCGAGGATGCGGATGATTTGTTACTCACTCTCGTCGAAACTCTTCGCGCTGCCATCACTATGGACCCCAGAATTACGATTACTGGTGAGAGTGGGGCTTTGGACCTGTTGTTTATTCTCGCTAAACACGGAGCCGCTACTTTCCAATTGACGATGTTAGTCAGCGAGACTTTCGAGGAGATTGTTACTTCGTTGTCAAGCCCAGACTCTTACACTGCTTTATGTGCAAAGGTCTTACCTTCTCTAACTGGTGCCTTTGATGTTGGTAATATGACTGGTGATGATCCTCTAGTCGAGGTATGTACTCCTGCTCGGTGCGACGATTCCCACTAACAGACACTAGCTTGCCACCGAATTGCTGACTGTCCTCACTCAAAATGGATCGGAACCGCTTCCACCTGGATATATTGCAGCGGCGCTACCAAAACTAAACCGCCTTCTCATGGCCACCGTAGAAGGTGGTGTATTGCGACCTGGAGCAGAGGCAATCAAATACATGCTTATGCATGACCATCAGCAAGTATTTGCCTGGCACGACGAGTCCAATCGATCAGGCCTTGAGGTTTGTCTGATAATTATCGACAAGCTTCTCAGTCCCGCGATTGAAGACAACGCCGCTTCCGAAGTTGGCGGTCTTGCCGCCGAACTTGTGGAGAAAGCTGGTCAAGAACGTCTTGGACCGTACCTTGAACAATTGCTCCGCGCCGTCGCATCTAGACTTGCAACAGCCGAAGCAGCACCATTTATCCAGTCACTGATCCTCGTTTTCGCTCGACTGTCCTTGGTTGGAGCTCAGGATGTGGTTGAGTTCCTTGCTCAAATTGAGATCAACGGCCAGAATGGCCTACAAGTGGTCCTGAGCAAGTGGTTAGAGAACTCTATCAACTTCGCCGGGTATGATGAAATTCGACAGAAGTAAGCCCTCTATTCTCACCAGAGATGCCTCTCCTAACCTTCTTCAGTGTCATCGCCCTTTCAAAACTCTATACATTGAATGACCAACGAGTCGTCCAAACAACAGTCAAAGGTGACCTCATAATCCCCAAAAGCGATCGGATCATGACCAGGTCACAAGCCAAACTAAGTAGCTTCCCTGCTCACGATCCCCTTCCCATCCTATCTTGGAACATATATACTAACAAACGATCCCCACAGACCCCGACCAATTCACGATTATTCCCGCACCCCTTAAAATACTTAAAGTCCTCATCGAAGAACTCTCCTCCGCAGCTGGACATGGCTCCTCCGCAGCGGCAGCAGCAGCTGCAGCCGCCGAGTTTGCAGATGAGGAAGCCGACGACGACGGATGGGAAGACGTCCACACCAATGTTCTGGATCTCGGTCTTGGTAGTACCAAGGCGGAACTTATGGCGTATGGTGAGGGACAGGGTAGTTTCACGAGGCAGAGAGATGATGAGACGCAGGCTTATCTTACGGAGTTCTTTATAAGGGCTGGGAGGGAGAATTTGGCGGATTTCAATGCCCTGTATGAGGCGTTGAGTGTGGAGGAGAAGGGGAAGTTGCAGGAGCTTGCACAGGGTGCTTGAGATTCAGAGCTTTAGGATATCGTGAGCATGGGTGGGATATCACGCCAATGGGGAGTGGGGAGAGAAAGCTTGAGTTGAGGTAGCAAGCAGGTACATATATACATACAACAAGCGGATGCTGGGAATTTGTTAAAGTCATTGTTTGGTTGTAGACTTTTGTTGTTATTCTTCGTCCTTCACTGCTTCTAGCTTCTTCTAAGTTTTACGGCCGATCGAATACCTTTATGAGATGAGATTATGGAAAAGAATGTTTGTCGATTGGCTTTTGCTACTTCTGTTGCTGCGCTTTTGCTGGGAGGGGAGAGAAATGGAGAGTTGAGAGTGGAGATTGGAGTGGATGGTGGGGTGTGGTAGATATTGGAAAAGTCATGGGATGGGATGAGAACGAGGGGGAATGTGAGGAAACGTGAGTGGATGGGATGAGATGTGATGAGATGGGATGAAGTGGGGTGGTATGAGATGAGGATGAAATGTGCTTGGGCGGGGCTAGAAGGAGGATGCCAGGCTGGAAAGGTTTGATTCTGAATACCAATGCTTATAATGATATCGATAGATATCACTTGCTGGAATAGATGAGATGAGATGAGAATGGATACTGAATTGCCTTCGTTATAGAGATTTCGTTCTTCTTCTCCTGTTCACCGAAACACGAACTATGATGTGTGTTTGCTGACGCCCGATAGTGGTATTCCAGTGCTAGTAAGTGTTGAGATAAGGCTTTCAACAGACTGTAGGCTGTTGTTGGGTGCACTGCATGACATGTGTGTATGGGTGTATACATATCTATCAATGAAGCATCCACCCGCTCCACCACTGACAATCTCCCTCCCCCCTTCCTTTTGACTTCCTTCAAATCGAACGCGGATATATTCATAGCTTCTACGAATGACGGGATCGACGAGAGTGAGTCGTGGATAATGTTGTTCGCTTACAGTGAGAAATAACCAAGATAGAAAGGAGGTGTTAGTCTTGTTCACTTAAGACGTATACGCGGCGATGAGGAGGTGGCCGGCTGGCGATGGAGGGCAAGGGCTGGAGGCATGGAGGTCAGGGATGAAGAGGCGAGAGTTGGACTTGAAAATAGTTTGGGACTTCGGAGAGATAGGTGGAGATCTAATATTCTGGAATATGCTTGGGTTGTGCGGCGTGGGTGGTCCTTCAGATAGAGAAATCAACGGGTCCGACAACAGGCTCTTTGAGAGTTGGAATTTTAATCGGGATGGTATTGGATATTCAAAACCGGGATGAGGGAGCTAGGACTCATACAGAAACGCTTTCTCTTTCAACCTCGCCAGCCACGTGATGAAGCTATGAATATATATTTCAAGCTCTTTGTACTTGCAAGACATGCCATTCCCTCGCTTAGCATGACTTCTCTCCGATCCATTGGCTGATGCTTGAATCAACTCTTGTAGGTGCTTCTCTTCATCGGTGATATGGATAGCTCGGGATCTTTCTTTCCTGTATTTATTTTTGTTCCTTTGTAAGTATCGAAACGAGGACTTACCTCATAACATTCGGACCTGAACAAAGAAAAAAGCTTCAAATAGCCTTAAAGTGCCAAATTTGAGATGAATGTTGACCTAGGAGATGGGAGTAAGTTCACTGGCAAGGACTTAGGAGAATATGAGAGGCACTGAGGATATTTCCGATATTTCTTTCATTCTTGTATGTTAGGATGTCCGCTATTTAAAGCTGTTTTCGTGTATCTATTTGTTGATCATAAAACTTATAAATACATAAATTAGCCTTGATGACACTTCAGAGATCGAAATAGCTTCAAAGCACTGCACATGATATAAAAGCAATACGGAATGTCTTCATCCCGTTTCTCAATCTTCACCTTATCGCTTGAACCTCAAAGTGTACGTTCAGTCTCGACTACCATAAATCCAAACATCTCTCAGGTCCAAGATGGGTGTCTCAAACACCAATCAGTTCTCATATGTCGAACTAGTCGACCACGCGAACCATCCCACTGAGCCTCACCAAGGACAAGGTCAGGGAGAAGGCCAAGAAAGCGAAGAAATACAGACAGAAAAACATTGGATATGTTGCGATGTACGTATTCCTTCCATCTATTTTTCTGCCAAGACAACACTGTAGTCATGTTTCAATATCACGAGCTGATAGTACGTTAGTGCCCAGATGATCCATCAAACAAGAAACAAAATGTGGTGGGCGACGACATAAATTGTATAAATTGTGGCCACGAGAAATGTACTACATGTGAAGTCCCTAAATAGCGTGACTTCTACGAGCGGTGAATGGCCTATGTTTGCTCCTTGTCATGAAATGGGCGCGAAGTTCAGCGGCGAGTACAGCAGACTCTGTATGGAGATAATTTTTTCTATGCTAGAGATAGAGTGGCTTGGAAGGCTTTTTGGTAATTTTTCCTTCTGCGTTCGGTCTCAACTACACGAAATTAGAGTCGTTGGAATATCTGGCTCCATCCGCTGGGCTGCTGCCAGGGTTGACATGTCGCTTCGGGCTTCCGATAGGCTTTGTTTTCAGTGGTCTCAGCGCAATCACCCGCGCAAGTCAACCCTGGCAGCAGCCCAGCGGATACTGCCACTTTCTTCTACAAATCACTCCTTATTATCTTAGAATACTGTTGGTCTTCGTAATTTAGATTTTCATTCAACTGTCCTATCAATTCGAGATAAAGAAACACCATTAGTTACCTCTGAATCGTTCAAAACATCCTATTGTCTATTACAGTCATATCTGTATATGTGCTGTTTGAAATGTGGTCGAGAAGTTGCAAATCAATGAATAAGAAGTAAAATACTCGCCCAATTTAGCAGTGTAAATTCTACGGAGGGGAGTGGTCAGTGTGATGCGGTGGTCCTGGACGGAGGTTCAAAACAGGCAAAAGGAGTTATTCGGGAACTATTAGTCGGCTGATAAATAAACACGGTTTTGCAATTCAATACAGACTCTATTAATAGAGACAACGACCTGGGAGAAATGTAATGCAAGCCTCTAAAAGGGATCCAAACGTCGTGCGTGGAAGGATGGAATGCATTACTCAACTAGAACAAATTGCAGATCAAAAGTCACTGCCAGGTCAACACACTGATAATATCTAGCATTGATACTAGGGAAATAAAGCAATTATTCTTCTGCTTTGGTTCTTTCGACGTGAAATATTGGCTGCGTATGAGCTGTTCTCGTGTTTTAGCGTAGATATTTTTGAGATGGCATTGTCACAAAATCCGTGTTCATGACTATCTTGTATCATAAAATCAGACTTGGCGTCTCAGGCAATTCAACAAATATCTGACTCTAAATCAAACTGGGTTGCTACTTATCTCTTATTATCATCATAATAGTTGTATCAAGGTTCAAAAGAGAACGTCGGATGAACGTAGCCGTCCATGACAGGCGTCAGGTGTTGCAAACAAATCAATAATAAAAGGGTAAGCTGGAGACATCAATGAAGTCACTACTTATTCTTACAAATGTGGAATGACTAACAGTAAGCAGGATAGCTGTGGAATACAGCAGAAAAAGCCAAGTATGCCTAAGAGAAAATCAAAAAATTTGCACAATCAACTTATGTCAAAGGAAAATCTTTTCCAGTTATAAGTTTGGAGATCTATATAAAAGAAAAACTGAACTAGTAACCCTGACGTATATTGAAGTTGCACCTATAATACAAGTTATTACTAACTTGAAAAAGATGGATTTTTAACAGATAGGAGGCGTTGATGCTTGGAGTTAAAGAATAACAGATTAGTACTGTCACCTGTACTACTGTGTGGGAATAGTATAAACTAATTGTGAAGAGCTGGTATGCGATGGAGCTGTTTATTTTTGTGAGCTGAATAGTTTTATGGGCTTTGTGAGTTGGGGAAAGGGAAGTGGGGGAGGGGAGTTGAGGATGAAGGGAAAGAGACGGGAAGATTTGTGGGCTTGAGAGTGGGATCTAGGGTCAGGCAGCAATATGTGAGGAGAACAACTTGGGAAAGCAGTTATTGGATATAGAGGTGTAGGATTAGGGAGAAAAGCGAGGACAATGTCTACTTCTTAGCAAGGAGTTGCTGGCTACAGTGTTTGAAGCTACCGCCAACTAGAAAATGTATAAAGTCGACTACCTATTTTCTGCACGAGACAAAACAACGTGTACCCGTAACTTGGAACTATATTCATTGTAATCAATATTGAAATATGTTGAGCGAGCAAAATCCATGAGGTCACTAGTTATTATTGGAGTTGCGGGCTCACTAACAGCAAGCCGGATAGTTATGGAATGATGCTTCATCTAGAGCAAAGTATGTCCAAGAGTAAATCCAATGATAGCCATGGCCAACTTAGATCAAAGGGAAAAATTTACGGCCATACCTTCCAAGACCACCTTGAAAGGAAAATCAAAATTAGAATCGTGATGGCTGTTTGCAAATGCAACCAGTGATCGACTCCATAGCTAGCTCGCAAATCGCCGGTCCATAATAGATAGGCAGCGTTACTGACGTTACTTCTTTTGGCAATCAACAAAGCAATTACTCCATAGAATAGCATTATCCAATAATATCAGTGCTGAATGTACTGGATTAGAAGCCCAAAGACATTGCAAGGTCTGTAGTCTGTCTGCGTTTGTGTAACAAAGAGATATCAGAAATCCACCCCTGTCATGACAGCTACAAATCTAACTGCAGAACAAGAAGACCTTGGAAAAGACGCGAGCTATGTATTTAGACTCATTTCTCCTTTAATCCGCAGGGGTATTGTTTGGTACAAATAAGAGGGATTCCCCAGCTTCTTCACTAGTATTTCTCCTTCTCATCAAAACATTCAATACCGAGAACCAAACACTCAGAGTATTGTCCAATCAACTGCCTGAATAAATTCATCGCAAATCAAGCTTCTTTACCCTGCCTATCCATCAAAATCATCAGAAAGAAGCAGCACCAAGAGCTCTTTAACAATGTTTATATCATGGAAACAGCTAATACAATTGGTAAACTATGCCAAACCAGCTAGTTGGATCTGCTGTGAGGTAAGTATAAGCCCAAGGAGTTGAATGACGAAAACTAATAAAAATGCAGTGCCCTTCATCAGGCACAAATGCCGCCGATGTAACACAATTTCCAACTTGTCCACATATAAGATGCCCGAATTGCCCAAATGGAACTAGAGCTACCTACTAGAAGCAGGCGGAAACAACTATGAACAAGTACGAAACCTTTCTTTACATTTGGAATGAGCAGAGACTCAGGGGCTTTTCTTTTCTGGGCGGTGCATTTTGCTTCAGGACGAACTGGTGCATTTCTTTGGAAAGGGTAACGAATATGGTGGCGTTTTGTACTTGGGTGGTTCGCATGAGCTTAGCATCGACTCTGCCCGCACATGATTCGGCAATACTCTCGTTATGTTATGCAAGTATTCTTTGCAACTCAAAATTTCCACTCGTCCACCTGTGTAGCAATGAATCATGTGAGATATAGTGACTTTTGAGTACCTGGCGCGAGTAGTGCTGTGGAGGGGGAATATTGGTCATAATCTTCTAACCATCCACAGTACTTGAGTACTAAAAGAGTCGACTAAATCTGCGGCGGCTCAGAAGCCAGTACAAAGGGGAGTAAAGGGACAAAATAATCAGTAATGTGCAAAACCAGAGCCAAAATCGCGCGACTTCACCTTCGGGGTTTCCGTGTCGTGTGTGATTTGGAAGATTTTGCCATACGTTTATATTTTATGTCTGAGAACCATCTTGCATTATTCAACTCAGCCATATGATAAACTATCACACCATACCTGCAAGCAACAAGCTGTTGCAGTTCTTGTTCCTTGTAATCTTCATCGAAATAGTTCGTTCCTGAAAAGTGAATAAGGACCTTTCCGGCAGAAGTGAATGCCAATATACCTAACCTATCACTGAGTATTCGTGAAGCAATTGTGTACCACTTTCTGTTGCCCGTTTCATCCGACATCTTCACCTTTAAATTCGCTCTCCCAACACCTGAAAGCCATGCAAAACAAGGATGAGTGAAAAGCTTGGATGATCTGAGAGACAATTCAATTTGATCAAGCATGATATCACGCGAATATCGCAAAATTGAAGTAGTTGCAGTGGGATACCGACCACTTCTCCGCTTGAAAGATAACGTAGTTTGCCAATGCCAGTATTCTTCGTATTCTTTACTTTTAGAATTAAATAAAGAAACAAATAGGCACCTGCAACCAGAGTAGTCACCCCTTTGGCGACCGTAGAGAGCTTCCTGGAAGCAATGATGAGGCTGAAAGAGTGACTGTTTGAGTCCAACACTTTGTTTGAGGAATCGTGAAGAGCCAATCACACGCAGCCCGTAGCCGAATTTCAAGTCTTGGCGAAGCTACCTCTTTCCTCAACCATTGCGCTTCTATTTACTCCTGGTCGATTTCTACCACGCGAGAACGCGAGCTTGTCGCAACAACTGCCTCAATCTTGCATAAAAGGAGGCTTTCAACAGACTCAACAGAAATATACCGCCCAACTGCTCCCTGCTGTCAAGCTACACTTACCATGTCGAGCCAACCCAATAGCTTTCAGCGCAGGATTCAGCGCGTCAACGAAGCATTATTTAATACAGGTAATCACTTTTAGATTCTTCTATCCCTCGATCTAGATTCAAAGGGCATTACCATCGCCATACATGGCCAGTCCGATAAAGAAATGCTGGCATTACCAATTATCAAGGCTCTGAAAACAACCAAAGTCTCGCTGCTGATTCGTTGAGCGCCGACGATGTCACCAAGACCTACCTCCTCCTGCTTTCCAACGCTGCCAGTCTCGAATTTTTGAGAAGCTCTGCTTTTGCGAAGGCCCTCGACAAGCCAGCACGTTCCGTCGGCACCTGCCTCGGTTATAGTATGAATGAGTGTATCGAGGAGTTGCGCAGATTTCTTGCAATCAAGGTATACACTTCGGATGAAGGAGCTACTAAGATCAGTCCTACACCTCTCAGTAAGTCTCCACACATCTTAACAGCCTGCCTGCTACGACAAACTAATCTGAAAAATATAGTGGACGAGGGCTGGCATGCCGCTATCCTCAATACCCAATTCTACGTCAAGCTACAAGAGGCTCTCGGTATCACCCTTCACCATCGGCCTGAAGGCGCAGTGGAGTTGGACCAGAAACCAACAAGATTGGCAGCCATGAAGGCTCTCTACAAGACCTTCTTCCAAACCGAACCGCTCACAGATCGCTTTGCCAACCAGCTCTCCCACCTTCCACATTGAGGTGATGACGAGATATCTGGCCAATATGGTGTTCGCGGTCCCGCTGGAGGGATGATCAGATTCATGACGCTAAACATTAAGGATCTCTATGTAAAGACCATTAAGTTGGATAGATTCTCAAGGCTTCATACTGTGGCGGCCGTGAAGATTGCGATTCAAGCAAAGGAAGGGATCCCTCATAATGATCAAAGATTAGTCTGTGGAGGCCGACTGATGAATGACACAGAGACTCTTGCGGAGCTCAACATTACTACCGCCTCTACAATTACCCTAGTCTTGAAGCTCAAGGGATGTTGAGTCGTGAACAGGATCTGATTTCCAGGCTTCGTTTTCAAAGTTTGGGATGTTTCTCAGATGGTAGCTTTGATGGAGCATTGATTGGCGTGGCTTCTACACTGCATGAATTATATGCGTTGTTTGCAGATGGGAGGAGGGTCTCCATAGCAATGCAAATAAGAGCAAACAAATTTTGAAAAGTCGTGAAGTTCCGTTCAGTCACGTATCTACGCGCGTTGCCACTCGACTGATCAGACGCGGCTCTTTGTCACTTTGCTCTCCCAAACTCGTAATATTAGGCCCTACCATGAAGACAAACGCTGGTCTTTGGAATCAAGTAGATGAGAACTTTCACAGATCAGAACAGGAATAGCGGAGTTATAGTTTGACAGTCACTGAGAGTTTTAACCAGTTCCAAGTTGTCAGATTACGGCAGTGCTTCTCTCACGGCTCTCCCGACGAGTTTTCCGCTGTCACCTAACCTTTCCTGCTTCCCTACCTCCCACCTACACAATCAATTCGTCCACAAGATCCTAAGTTGCCACGAAGTCAAAATCTTCAAAAGATATAACAGCTATCGCACTTTCACCAGTTGGTGGAACCAAGCGAGGACGAGAACAATCCGTAGAACTGCAAAGCATCGGCGACTTGCGAAAACCCGTGTGATGTGGGTTCATTTAACTTTACGTCCAAAATCTGAGTGTGTCTTCTATTTCCAGGTCATTGGCGTTTACGCAGCTTTCGCCTGCCTCTCAGCGCCCTCCTTCTCCATACCCTCGCATCCGGTTGCCTTGCCTGCCAATTCCTCGACTCTGCCACCAATTCCGCTTGCTGCTGGCTCGGATGTGCGGTTCTGGTTCGCTGCCTGTATTGTACACAGACTGTTAGCACAACCATATTATTGCTACGTCTTGAGAGGCTTAAGGATAGAAAGAGTAGCGGACCTTCATTTCTCCAATACCAGCTTCGGCGTCCTTCTTGCCACTTTCTTGCCATTCTTTGGAACCGGTGAGGTTTCCGACCTGGTTCAAATGTCAGATTATTTTGTGACCCTGCGACGAAGGAACTGTGAAGGTTTGCACGAAAGGTTGTACTTACAGTCTCCTCAACGTATCCCTTGGCATATTGAGCATGTCCAGCGAGCATGCTTGCCTGGTTATTGTTGTTATTGGAGGTTGGGGCTGACATGTTGAGATTGTGGTAAGGTTCTTCTTAATTTGCTGTTTGAATTTTTGTTTAAATTGACTTGAAAGATGTTGAGAGGAGAAGAACGAAGAGAGGTGTCGCATCTGAGTTGGTGATGTCATGCATGTTTTCCTTCACTAGTGGGTAGTGTTTACTCATGGTGGCGAGGATGGCGGGGTAAGGCTGAGGTGCGGGGTTATTTCTCAGCCTTGTTGATGGAATGGCACTCCTCTTAAATTCTGGATTATATTTTTAGATTCAAGTCGGAAGAACAATGAAACCGAAATAGCTATACATTGGAGGTTTAATGCTTCGAGCGAATTCAATCAGAGTGTCACACACAGACCAATCTGATGTTCGTAGCCACTTGAACCTGAAAGTAACAGCTAACTAAGTTGCTCTAGAAATCAGTCAAATTTGACAGCCCTCCTTTACATAATTTTCCAATGTCAGAAAAATCCAACGAACATGTTTAGATTATCAAAAGTGCCATAGTCTTTCACAGGATTCCACGACCCGAAAAAGGGGATCTTTCACCTCAGCTGACCCACCCACTCGCTAAATGCAATGTCCGGCTGAATATCAAAACATCCGACTAACCCGAGGCCACGTAACAAGCAACATCTAGTGCAACCTCGTAAGCTCCTATTCGCAGCTGAGGATCGGTTGGCTAAAGGATCTCTCAGCCTCCATGCTTGTCTCGTGTCATTTCGCGGAGTACAGGATCTCGTAAAGCTTATTTTTCTTTCTCGGGTCTTTTAATTTCGGAGTTTGAGGACGCCGTTTCCGAGACCGATCTTACGAAACTGGCTGAAAGCAAAAAGCTGAAATATAAGCTCCGGTGGGAAAGTGTAATATAGGATCTTTATGCGGGATAGTGTATTTTAAAATCGTGGCTTGTTGGTTGGTGCTGCAGGAAAAGTGCAATATTTATAGACTTCCGGCATCCCTGGGATGTGCCCTCTTTTTTCCAGAAGACAATTTCCTCATTGCCTCAACTGAGAGCATTGGCTTCTTACATTGAATATTTGATCAATTAAAAGTTCTCTTCATTTTCCTTCCAGTCCCTTCCAAAGCCAACAAAATGAAAGGTCTCGCAAGTTTCGCTTTACTCTTCTCAGTTGTCACTGCAGCTGCAGTAGGGAACAAGAGTTTCCCCTGTCCAGAAAAGACCTGGGGAGGTTGTTGTACTGAGGTGGATGAGGATGGAGGTGGGCATACTTGTAAGCTTCGATTTGTTCCCGATTCCTCTCGTGGCAATAATCAAATGCTGATGTTCGAATGAAATAGGTCACGACGCAGCGACTGTCGAGAGTGCCAACTTGTACATTTGCTCGAATAAGTTCGAACACAGTAAATGCTGTCATTTTGCACCTTGGGTGGTGAGTAGTCTTGGTTTTCCTAAGAAGATAGACTTGTGAGGAGGGGGTGGAATTAAAAGCTAACGAGTCTAGGTCCATGATGCGCATCCATTGATTTGTGCCTGAAGCTTCGATCGCATATAGTTGCATACTGTCTGGAGATGGGTTGTGACATATGATGGGTGGATGTTTGTCTCTGGAGAAGAGAAGAAGGGCTGAAAAATGAACACCTGAAATATCATTTGTGACAGCAATACCTCTCAATCACATGTCCATACGGCTGTCAATCTCAACTTGTTCCTCCTTTGATTAATCTCATAAGAAATCATCTTCCTGTGTTTCCATCTTCTCCTTGATTTTGAACAACACAAACGTTCTCCAAGCCTCCGGCTGATTCACGTCATGGTATCGCCTACATATTTCCCAATACTTCCTGCAGTCTTGCTTCTTAACAGCGTTTCCGAGATCGAGAAGCAGAAGATATTCTGCGTACTATTAGTTCCAAGTTCTCTCATACGTCAGGGCATTGATGAACGAACCTTTGGACTTGGAGAACGTGACTTCCATATCACAGTAGCGTTGAACCCATCTGTCAAACGAAGCCAAATTCATTAAAGCAAGATGTGCCAAGCCAGCTTTAAACAGGCACTCTTTTACTAACCAAGTTTTCTTTGATACGACGAGTTCGAAACTTGAGATGGCTTTAGGCCAGTTCTCAAGGTACACGCCAGCTCGCCAATCTTTCTGTACGATTGACTCGCGAGTCTTTCAGGTCATCAGTGCTTGTCTTCACCAGAGATTTTCCCTGGACAGTTATGACGGTTAAACTTGCGCATCGGCGTTGCCTCTCTTAAACCAATCAATCACAAGCTCATAAGCTTCTATAGCTTTTTGAGGTTCACGCAATTCCAGCTCGTAGCATTCGGCCATCATTTGTTGGCAAGTTGCTGCGCGTTTTATGAGTCCAGACCTAGCGAACTGCTGGATAGCAAGGCCAAGGCAATGTACTGCATCTTCAGGTTTATGCCTACGATAGCACTGGAATGCTTCTACTAAGGTATTTGCAGCATCTGTGGGCTTGTTCAACTTCAGTCTCTGTATATTGGCCTGTAATTCGGTAAGCTTGGGTCTTGTACTGAAGAGAAACTACTTACACTTTGCTCGAAAGCCTTGCCTGCTTCGATGTATTTTTGTCGCAATCGAAATCCGTTTGCTGCTCCTGTCAAGATGTCAGATCATTCCCAATATAAAGGGCTTGGCGGGGAAGACTTACGGACGTATGGCTCGGCTGCGCGTTTCCAGTGTTCCGTTCTACAAATCAGTGTGAGAAATATAACATTGGCAGGAATAGATGTGACGTGCCTGCCGCCAAACAGGAACCAACCATTCACTGCTGCCTCTTGTGTTTTCCTCGCTTCACATAGGAGCGACTTCGGGCACCGGTCAAATCGGTCAGATATGTCAGGACTGTCCTTATCCATGATATCCAACCATTACGTCCCAAGAATTTATTCCTATTCAGGAAGTAAAGTTGAGTGTTCCACAATACTCGAGATGTTAGATGTGTTGCAGGAATAGCACTAATCAGAGACGCCGTATGTGGGTGTGGTTCTAGCACTAAAGTATCTCGGTCCCAGAAATGTTTACTACGACCTAACGCGAGAAGGGCTAAAAAGACTCTAGTAGACGCAAGCACTATATTCAATAAGAAGATCTCGGGGAGGCCGCTGTCTTCATCTGCAGACACTATGTTGAATATCATTTTTAAGCAGCTTCTGTCGAAAAAAATGCCGAGATAAACATCGCTTAAGCCAACTCCAGCACTTCCAAACCCAGCGCTAGAATCCGTTTCCCGCGCCGTGGACTCCAAGCACACATGATTGGCTTTCAATTGGACCCAAAAGATTTAAAATGAAACTGTACTCATCTTAAACATAAAGAAGTTTTGGTTCAGCCATGAGTGACACAAATGGTTTGTGGCCGTGTACCAGCAGGCATTCTTAAAGGTGCGCATTTGCCAGCATGACTGCGTAATTTTAATCTCAACAAAAACTTTCACTTGCTAATCGCCCACCCTTTGGAAGGATATGTATGTAAGGAGTACTTAGGATTCAATGCTCTTTGTATTTGAAGATCCACTGACTGCGCTAAGAATGACGCTTAGTTCCGAGTTTCAAATTTGAATGGCTCAGAACAGCTTCTCGATGCGTGGCTCAATAGGGAACGATCGGTAATGCTTGGCCGTACCAGTTTGACACTCGGCATGTTTTCGCCGCATGACTGCATGCATGCATATAAACATCTCCCGCAAGTCCGTCCTGTCTTCACATCAAGAAATAAAGATGTCGTCTTTTAAAATCAACCGAGCCATTTGCACCCCAGACTTGTATGCCAAAGTTCGCAGCTTCTGGTTCCAAGACGTCCCTGAAAGCGCTACTACAGCACCGCCAGCAGTAATTCAGAAATGGTTTGGGCATCATGGCACACAGGAAGAAAAGGACAGTTATGACCAGCTGTGCCACTCAAACTTCCATGCTGCACTAGAATCGTTCGGACCGTCAAAATACCAACTTCCACCTCCTGGATCATGGGAGAATGAACAGGCAAAGGCGGAGGAGATCGCAGAGCCATTCTTGGCCGATTGCACAGCAACTTCCGACGATGACAAGGACTATGGACCAAACTTCTTAAGCATCATCCTTCTTCTTGATCAGCTCTCAAGAAATATATTCCGAAAAGATCAAGCCCAAATATACAATCACTACGACCGCATCGCGCGAGCTCTTCTCTACTCCGTGCTCAAGCGCTCACCTCGCGCCGATCAGCATTCCTCGTTCCGGTTCTCTCCCGCTCACAGATTCTGGCTGTATATGCCACTGATGCATTCAGAGCATATTGAAGACCAGGACAAGTATCAAGAGGTCATGGTGGCGTTCAGAGAGGAGATGGTGGGACGGGGGGACCAGCCGGCATTGGACTTTGTGGAGATGGCCATCAAGGGTGCGAAGACGCATGCTTTTGATATTAGGGAGTTTGGGAGGTTTCCGCATCGGAATGAGCACTTGGGGAGAGTTACGACGAAGGGGGAACAGGCGTTTATGGATGCTGGTGGGAATAAGTTTGCGCCGAAGAAGGAGCCGAGTAAAGGCTGATGGGTTTATGAAGGAAGGGATCTGGTTGAAAGTGCTCGGACTTCGATTAGAAATTATTATGTGTGTTAATTTTTCAGGGCATGCGGTTTAACCTCTGGAGTATGCCTTTACTATGGTGTTTTGCCGTTGATGCTGTTCAGGCTTCCTCGCTAAAATACAGCCACTTATTCAGGGCAGTATCGCTAAAATTACAGGGCTCGAGGTGATTGTGGCAATCAAATCAGCAGCACCCGCATTTCAATTCGTTGTTGGGGCCTCTCGCATAACAGCCTGTCAATTGTTGAGCACAGCATGGAATATCAATCATCAAGCATACTGTAGCAAAAATTATGTTGGAGGTATTCTTCAAGAAAAGATGTTGGCCATCGCAAATGCAAGGAGATAACTTACCCCGATGCCTAGTTCACCTCTTGAGAACTTAAAGGGCTGCTCCAAATGCTTCTAGCTGACCTCCGAGAGAATTTCCAAGTTCACGATCAAGCGTGCATAACTGTGAACCAAGATTTAAGTCCGATTCCTGTTCAATACACAAAAGCCTTTTAATTTTGCATATCTATCTATTTGACGGCGTACAGATCGCTGCGAGACCTTTACGCATCCAATCCTACCATTTTCAGCGAGTCTTCCCACAACTTCGCCTCGCTTTCCTTGTTGAACGCCCAAGGCGCGTATCCATCTTGCCCTTTCTTTGCATCGGCCTGGGGTGGTTCAATTGCACAGTCCGCCAGGTAGACTCTTCCAACGCCTTCGAGATCCTTCGCGACAGCTGCCAATACCGAGGTTGCTGCGCCCTGCTCTTCGCTTTTCAACAGTTTGTCTACGCCTGGCGCCGACTTCCACTCCTTCATTTGCTCTGCCGATACATGGATCTGTAGATTCGTCCAGATACCACCAGGGTGCAGGGATAAGCCATGCAGTCCTTGGGAACCATATCGATTCTCGATCTCGTTTGCCATGTGGATATTTGCTGTTTTAGACTGTCCGTACCCTTTCCATGGCGAGTACTCATCCTTCTCGAAATTGTAGTCTCCACGAAAGACGTCACAGGTCAAGTGACCCATGGATGAGACATTGACGACACGTGAATGGAAGTCGGGAGTCGACGATGCGATCATCGTATCCTTCAATAGATTGAAGAACAGGAAATGCGCAAGATGATTGGTCCCAAACTGCGACTCGAACCCATCTTCTGTCTTCGCCCATGGAGCAGCCATGATCCCAGCATTGTTGACAATAACATTCAATCTGTCGCTCTTTCCAAGAAATTCCTTCGCCGCTTTCCGCACACTGGCAAGGGAATTGTTGTCCATCTCCAATAGCTCAACACGACCAGGTTCAAGGAACGATTTACACGCTTCTTCTCCCTTCTTGAGATTTCGCACGGTAAGGAAGACTTTTCCACCGGTCGCTGCGAGCGCTCGTCCAGTTTCGGTACCGATACCTGAGGATGCACCGGTCACGATGAAGACCTTGTCCGTCATGGCTCCTTTGCGACCGTAATCCTCGATGATCTGAAGGGCCGTGGGACGAGCATCGCCTGGGCCTCCCCAGTTCTCGATTTTGTGTGCTTCGACGTATCGTTCAGCCATGATCGGGTTCGACGATATAGATCTCTGGAGGAATGGTGATAATTTTCTGCCAAGCGTCCTTCTTGAGAATCGTGAAAACTGAGGAAAAGGTGTTATGAAACTATTTCGTGGTTTAGGTAAGAAGGATCTCATGATATTTATAATGGATTGTTTCTGATCTCCTTACCTTTATTTCCGGTGAACTTATAGTGATTTGTGATGACGACTTCTTAACTCCTTAGTGTTGCATTAATGCCGTTGACGGCTCAAAGGTGTCCGATCTGGACTGATGAAATTGCCTCTTACGGTTAGCTCGATGGTAGCCTGAATTCTTGGACGATCAGTGACAAGACATTTAGCGACCATCAGTGCAAAGATGCCAGCTACCTGATTTGAAATGCAGCGGCGTGCTTCTTTGCTGGTCAATGGAAGGGTATTTATGTTCCTTCGTCTTCTTTCTTAAATATTGGAGAAATAGATACTAGGTACCCTTTGTGGGAATTGCAGGACATGTTTGGCGTGCCAGTACCAGAGAGGATCCAAAATTGATTAATTTTTTAATCTCAGATGATTCTTTTACTTCTTTTGCAGAATGATAAAATGACGATTTAACCTCGAAATAATACCTATTCTTGAAAGTGCATAATTTGGGAAGCAATGGAACGAACCAAGTTGAGAGGCTTGTGCTCGGGGCTTGCTCCAATAGTGTAGGTACTCTACACTTTCTGTAATAAATTACACTTAATACCTTAGTATTTGAATACGCCGGCCTTTTAAACAATTCTCCTGTATCAATGTCATATCAACGAATGTGCACATTGTCATGGTGTTTGGCCCAAACTGAGCAGATGATTGCTGCCTCAGGCCACAGTCGCTTATTCGTCTTAGTGCCTTCTTCCAAAACAAAGTCGAGCTCCATCGTGGTTTCTATTTCTGCTTCAAAGTCAACACTCACCTCTTGAAATATTAGAATCGCAACATCCATAAGGTATTATTTGCCCCCATGACTGTCGCGAACGAAAGGAAGGACATTGAGCTTCTTCATCCTACAGGTAAGATTCTTATCTACAACCTCGATTGCCCAGCTGCAGGAGGAGAAGCATTGGATCCATTCGACAGCGGGTATGGATGCTAATTGTTGGTATCTCTATCCAGTGAAGCGACTTCGACTATCCAATGATCATATGGTATCACCCGGCATAATTCCAGTCCTGGGTAAAAAGCATTGCCCACCAGCACTTCCAAACGAGCTATGGCACAAAATATTCGATCTACTGCCGGTCCTTGAAATTAAAGCATTCCGTGCTACTTGCAAGCTATGGTCTGTGGTAGGGGAACGTCACTTGTTTCCCATATTCCGATTCAGCCTTCGGCGGGATGACTTTAGCCGATTTGAGCAGGTTGGTAGCAGGGGAGCGTTTCTGAAAGGTGTTAAGGAGCTCTATATTGAAGCAGGCAAGACTGGAATTCTCGTAAGCATATCCTTATTGTGATGCCCGAATTACTGAACAGATTTAACGACATTAAAAGTGGATTACGGAGTCACTTGCTTTGCTATACCATGGCCAGCAGATGATACACGGCCGCAAGCATGAGAACGAAGTTGCGATGACAAATGCGATTGCTGAATACGCCGAATGGAATGTCGCTGCTTACGAAAACGACAACAACTTCAGAGATATTCACCTTCTGATAGATACATTTCGATCCATCAAAGCTCTCGACTCAGTGTATATCACACGGAGGTCTCCGAGAATCCATAGTCGTATGTTGCTTCAAGCCTGGAGTCTTTGCCGACAAGCGGACTACTTTCGAAGGGCGGAATCTGAATTTGAAGTCCTCCTAAATGCCTTAGAGCGCAGCGGCATCACACTGAAACACCTTAGCCACGATCAGCTTCCGGTCACATTCTTTAAGAGAGATTTCCAGGACGTCGAACGATTCATGAAACCTCTTGAAGGACTCCAGTGTCTGCATATTACATTCGATGCTACAGAACCGCCACGAAAAGCATTTTGGGTTGGGCTGGGTCAATTCCTCCAGTCACTTCCACGTTTAATGGATCTTCGATTTGGGTTCTTCCCAATTTGCGATATGTTTCGAAATGGCAGATCCTGGCAGAGTTGCGATGATATGACGACCTGGTACGTTCCGCTTTGGAAAATCTTGGGCACTTTCACATGGAAAAAATTAAAGAGCCTCAGAATGGATGGAATGGTGTTCTGCGAAGCTGGATTGTTGGAACTTCTTGAGAGACATGCTTCAACTCTGAATACTCTGGAACTATCAAATATTGGTTTTCGGTATGGTAATTTCAAGCGATTCTTCGTTTGGCTAAAGTCGCTACTGAGATTAAGGACATTCAGTGTGTGGGGGTATATCCAAGCCTACCAATGCCGCCAGCAGAAATGGATGATACGACCGCGTATCTTCCCTGGAGATAAAGCCTGGGATACTCGTGCGACCGGATTCTACCAAGACTTCTTCCTAATATTCACCAACTTACATGGTGCTCAGGAATACCCTAAAGGTCTTCTCAGCGAGGCGTTGCAGGCTTTCGTCTTACAGCAGGGACCTTGGCCAGCCCAATTCTCACTACCTATGCCTGAGCTTGATTCTAGAGGGCTGTCAGCCGGTATATCTGATAGGGCTACCATAAATCGGATATGGGACGAGCTCCAAGACGGCATAGACGATATCAAGTGGGAACTGGGTCGGGAAGATGACGTCGATATACACGGAGAGGAGATCCTCGAATACTATGATTCTGACGGCTACGATGTGCACGGCTTTGACATTGATGGATACAATCGCGCAGGTGTCTTTCACACTGACCCATCCTTTCTGGTACCGAATAGCCTCAGCCGAATCTCTTTTGTGACTGCCAAGAGAAGAATTCTCCGACGGATCAAAGACAAGATTCCACGCTTGGATGGTGTCAAAATTGGGACTTGAAGTCGTGATTATATTGCAGGACTTTGAGTTTGTACAAAAGCATCCCTGGGAAGAAAGCATGGCAAGATCATAGCAGACGAGGTGAGGTGGGTTCTGCCAAAACTATGCTTTTAAGCCATGCAAATATCTCACGACTTTATAATGTATCAACAGCTGCAGAGCTTGAGCCAAATTCTGCTGCACAGAGCTCTTAACTCGCCTCTCAAAGAGAAAACTTCGCTATTAAGTCGATAGGAGCATGAAATATACCTTACGCACACTCTATACAAAGAGCTACCTTTATGTGTTAAAGCCTTTGACTAATACCTTTTGAATTACCATGATACGTCACATATTTTCTTCTTGAATGTTGTAACTCATCAGTCAGCGCTGTTGGGCAGAATAGCATATGCCTTGATATCTAACAAAACTAAATACTACAGAAACCGATTACTTGAAAATAAATCTCTGTATCCCCTTTGTGTGTTGAAATTAGTGTAGAGGAGTGATTTCTCGCGTGAATTGCTTTTCTGCACTACTAAAACTGAATTTCAGCTTCATACAAAATCTTTATAATGACTTGCGTTTGAACTGTTCTCACATTTTGGCCGCTCTATAACTAGAGGCAAGCAGTAAAACAATACCCAACACACGTCAACTGCATACTAATAATCAAAGCTGAGCTCCTATCATCTGCAAGGTTAGCTATAGAGGCTAAAGTTCAAGATATGATAGAACGTCACTCGTTCTTTGTTGTCGTGCTCTTTGTTGTACTGGTCTTTGTGTCTTTGAGACTTGGTTTGGAGATTCTAGAACTGCCAATTGTCAGTACCAGTGCAAAGCCTACGTGAAACTGCAGGTGCCTTTAAATTTCATCCTCGGATTCCATTGTACACTTACACTTGACACTTATTAAATTTGGAAAATAGGAGACTAACTTTAGGTCAGTATAGGACTTTGACGGAGCGCAAAAGCGAGTATCGTTTTTGGAGAAACAAGTATGTTTGGCAGTTTGGCAGATGAAATAAAGGGATATAAACTACATGTACAGTGGGGAGGCACAAGTGGATTTTGAGGACAAGACTCAAGAGGCTGGCTGGAGGCATGTACGTGATATTCTAATTTTAGGCAGCGCCTTCGACTTAAGACTACCTACTAGATATAAAAGTACAGCAAAATGTACAAGTTCATATGCTTAAGCTCTTTGAATTAAGTTCTGAAGTTACAATACCCAGTGTTAGCACCCCTGTGTTCTGTCCACAAGCCCTAGAGACATATAGACGTCTAAGAAATGACAGAATATATACTTGATGTAATCGTCCATAGCACGAGTATCTACTTCTAAACACCACAAGAAGCTACTGTACAAAGTAGGCTGTCTAGTAGATCTCAATTAGAAGACAAACAACTTGAAGAGACATTGATACTACTTGACTACATATAGAATTCTTTATTCTTAATGACTCAAAACCTAGAGTTCTACCTATCGTGTCTTTGGCACCAATGAATTCACAGACCAACCGATTCACTACAAACTAGGCTCCCAAAATCAATCTAGCAGTGTGAACTTCTGTGAGGCTGCCTATACGCCTAATTGACTGCTATCGATGGGTCATCAGAGCAGCTCGGGTGGGTCAAACCGTCCCGAGCTTTTAAGCTGCTGAGAAATGTCGTCTCTTGAGGTTGAGTCACAACAACAAATTTCTCGAGAAAATCAAGCACCTGCAATCTCAACAGAGCATAACGCAACGTCTAGACCCTTTTCACACCATAATAACACAAAATACAATAGTATAATAGCTATCGCTAGCTGTTGGAAGTTCTCTACCAGTAATGGCAAAGAGACGCGCTAGTAAGTATCCTCTACAAGGATTTGAGGTCAACTCTCCTATGGTGTCGAGATCAAATCGTCAGGAAGGCTAACACTCCCTTCAACACTAGACAGAGAACTAGCCAAGGCTCGAAAGAAGGCCAGCTGCCATGGAATGGAAACAAAAGGGAAGAATATTAGAGCTTCGAGTGAAAGTGCTGCGCTTGCAAAACCTGAGTTGGCGCATGGAGGAACGAGTACTGGTAAGTCCTCAGCTATATATCTCGAATTTGCTTCAAACGACCTATCGAAGGCGCGAACTTAGTGCTTTGTATTAAAGCTCGAAATCGAGAAGATGCTGACACCACTGGTGCTGTAGGAGCTGTTTCCGCTAGTATTGAGAGTGAAAAGTGGTCAACCGAACCACTCAGACCGCCTCTCTGCCCAACTGAAATGTGGGATCTGGTCTTTGACAAACTTGAGCTCCAAGATCTGAAAAACCTCAGACTCACATGTCAAGGTATAGAGTACTTTGTCTCTCCACGTTTCTTCTCCCCGGCCTCTATATTCCGCCCTCACCTGCCCTCCGTCTCGATTTTCAATGGAGTCACCGCAAGATACGACAGTGCCATGCTAGCTCGTGTCAAGAAGTTGCGATTCTCAACTGGTATTATCGGAATTCGCTCGATTGCTGCCAATCTTGGACTGGATTACCAGAAGATACACAATGATCTCCTTGTGGATGATGTTGTCATGAGTGCAGCATCTCAGGTGACATTGGCTCGTTATAAACAGGACTTGGATGATGCTCTCAAGGAATATATCAAATGGAATATAAAGTGGCACAATAGAGAGAGTAAGGCGTATCAAACCCCAAGTGCTTTGCAGAAAGTGCTCTTGAACGCTCCGAAGGGATTGGATACCATTGAGATCTGCCAGAAGGTACGTCGTTAACACACAAGCTCTTGCTAGCTCTATGATCTCGCATTTCTGTCCCAAGCGAATGGTGAGACAATTTCTACTTCAATTTACTGACAGATAGGATAGGACTGCACCTTCAAGCATCCGATCCTCCTAGATTGCTGGATGCGCTATCATGATTCCGATTCAGATCGCGTTGCCCTTGAATTTGATGACTTGCTCCGCGCTCTACACAACAGCAAATTCATAATCAGAAACCTGTCTCATGACGAACTCAGTCAATCCTTCTTTCTCATGGACCACAAAGATCTCTCGCTCCTCGCTCGACCCCTTCAGCACCATCTCACCACTCTCAGTCTCCTCTTTCCTGTTAAGATGCAGACCTGCCCGCCTTATTCTAAGTTTTGGAATGGACTTGGTCACTTCCTGAAGAGCATTCCGAGAGTAAAGGTTTTGAGATTTGGGTTCGAAAGAGATATGACCTATCAGGAGCCGCAGTGGATGGCTTGTGAGACGCATGCAAAGAGAGATGCGGGGCCCTTTTATGTTCCGCTATGGAAGATATTTGGTGATCATACTTGGACCGAACTTGAGTCGTTGAGACTGGACGGCTTGATGGTGTGTGAAAAAGGCTTAACCAAGTTGCTTAGCAGCCAAGCTGGAACTTTGAGAAAGCTCGAGCTTGTTGACATTGCACTCTGGGACGGCAGCTTTAAAGCTTTGCTAACTTCAGTCAAGGACGTCTTGAGGCTGAAGGAGTTTCGAATTTGGGGTGTCACACAGGCTTTGCACACCCAGTACGATAAGTGGATCCTGGCCCCAACGAAGCCTTTCGATGAAGATTCAATGTTGTCTGAGCAACTTCGGGAGGCACTCGCTGCGAAGCGTTCGCAAGCCAGACTGCCTGTCATGAGCAGCGTGGCTGTTACTGCGCGCCTTGAGGCTTTTGTGATGGGTGGCATCTGGTCGGATTGGCCCATGACTCCGTGAGTTGAAAGAAATCCATCATTTACACTCATAGATCACATCCCTGCCATTATCAAGTCGATAGTGGAAGTTGGAGTAATACTTCCTGGTCATGGCTAATTACCATCCTCATATAGTTCTGATACTAGTGTCGCACTGCCGAGACACCACCAGAATTGCATTCTTGCATCGAGCCAATCCATACAATCAACACAGGATGGGATGAGCGTGCCGGTGGACAGTACCTTATCAGCCCCACCCACAGCAGTAAAGGCTTTATCAACATCGGCGAGGAGGCAACTGTCGACTTTTATCGTGGTGAGGGGATTGAACCACTATGAGCACTTCCGTTTTTGGGCATGCGAAGACGTCGGTTGTTGGAATCCTCGGTATAGCGAAGATAACAGCGGTCGAATTGGTTTGAAAGCCGCCCGTCTGATGTTCGTTGAGCGTATGATGGCGCAGATTCCACGGTATGATGAGAAGAACCTTCGTCGCTGTATTGACGAGGGAGAATGCAAGTGGCACTGGGATTTGCCTGCGAGCACTTAAGAAATGAAGTGGAGATTGGAAGATGGAACGGGTTTGTTCCGAGAAAGTTGGTTGCTTTGTTGCATGCGCTTTGTTGGACTACACATAACTTATGCAAAAGCAGAAATATAGCTGGTAAGCTGTATATGCGGGGGAATGCCTCCATTCTGCATGATTCTCTTCAACAGAGATTAACTAAACAATACATAAGCAAGACTCCACTCTCCAAAGAAGAAGCTCAAGGCTTTGAACTCAGTTGTATGTATATCAAATGAAATTGAAGTCATACATGCCTGCCTGCTTCTGCACGAACAGGGGCTCGACCACTGGTTTACGCAGACCATGCTTTGCCGTTCTGTTTGAGGTCCAACTTCTTCTTTCTTTTCTTTACTTACTGAATTGAACATTTTAACGCACATCGCCAAATCTTTGGGGTTCTATCAACTAGCTCATAGCAAAAGTGGGATGAATTGAATCAGGAGTGTGAGTATGAGATATGGGCGGCAAGTGCTAACCCCGATGTCCGAAAAGGGTATCGATTTCCCGCCCCATCGCTCCCATCACTACATATCCAAGCTGTCAAGCTATTGGAGAGACGAGTTGTCAGCCGTCCTCAGCACTAACTGAGCTTCCATTGTATTACGTTCTGATTCTCTTCACCTGCGTCAAATCCGAGATCAAAAGCTCCTCTGTCCCGAAACTACCCCGCTCTTCCCGCTCCTTGATAATCCCAGCACGTGATAATTCAACACCCATCTTTGTTCATCTCAAAATACATTGGGAGCTGAGCTGATCAAGGATCAGAGTTGATTACTCTGAATCTTTGATATTCAATATGGCTTATCTCTGGGCTGGCGTGGCCATTATCGCGGCGTTCGTCTCTTATCTTGGGCTCACAAGCTCCAAGAACACTAGACCCTCTTCGAGGAAAGCTCGACAGGCAAAAGCTATGAGAGAGGCTTTTAAATCTTTGACGAAACAGAATGGATCTACCAAGAACTTACTAGTAACAGTAAACAAGGTACACAATCCTTCAGACCAGTAACTATAAGATCTGACATACATCTAGAACGCCGATACTTTAAGAATCAGTCAAGTAAGCAGACCATTCTATATTTGGTCCACTGAGCTCATCAATTACAGCTCTGGATCTACCCCATAAAATCAATCCGAGGCTGTCAAGTCTCTAGCGCAATCCTAACCCAAGAAGGATTCTACCTTGACCGACGATTCATGCTGCTCAAAGATCACTCGGAAACGCCTCAAAAGCTCGAGAACATGCATGTCACCAAATTTCCAAGCATGTGTCTCTTCCATACATCTATCAAAGGCGATGATACTTTAGTCGTTACATACCACTCTCCAGGTTCGAAATCTACAAATGAAGCCGACACACTGGAAATTCCATTTGAGCCAGAATCGTTGGAGAGCTTGGAGAGAGTCCCCGTGGTTATGCATTCTAGTCCTACTTCTGGGTATAATATGGGAGACAAGTACAACTCATGGTTTTCAGAACGCTTTGGGTTCAAGGTCGTTCTCGCGTATTGGGGCGGGAATCCTCGACCTGTTCTGGGAAATCTTCCTGGGAAACCAGCAAACCAGGGCCCAAGATCAAACAATGCTATCATAAGGGTTCTCAGTTCTGTTCCAGTTATTGGATCAATGCTTGAGCAGGATGACGGTGTGATAGCATTCAATGACTGTGCACCCTACCTCGTCATCAATGAATCCTCTGTTGCGGATGTCTCGACTCGCCTACCGGACGATGTGGAAATGGACATCTCGAAATTTCGCGCCAATGTTCTGGTAACCGGCTCGTCAGCTACTGCGTATTCTGAGGACTACTGGGCCGAATTAACCTTCAACAAGACCGAAAAGCAGCAAGAAGCAGAGGGCCAAGCGGAAGGATCCAAGATTATCCTTACAGGCAACTGTGGAAGGTGCAAGAGTCTCAATGTGGATTATCATACTGGAGAGAGTGGGACAGGAAGAGATGGCGATGTATTGAAGTTGCTGCAGAAAGATAGAAGGGTTGATCTAGGGACGAAGTACAGTCCTATTTTTGGAAGGTATGGGTTTGTTCAGAAAGGGGATGAAGGGAGGGTAGTGAGTGTGGGTGATGAGGTTGTGGTTAGTAGGAGGAATAAGGAGAGGACGAGGTTTTGTAAGTGTTCAATGTCCGAACTTTTATTGACTTCATGCTTATCATTCTTCAGATTGGCCAGGTATTTCTACTTGATTCTCAGCCGCGATTTTTGGGTTTCCTTTGGAGGGTTTCTTCTCAATATTAGAGACTGTTTGGATAATCTCGCTTAGCCCAAGACTCAACTTCACACTCAACAGAACTTAACTTCCGTCTTCAACAATACTGGGATATTCTATCGATCATATATAGGTTCATATATGGGTTCATTTTCCAACTTGCAGGCTGCCTTTGTTACACAACATTATCTTGACAGCGAGGATTTAATTCCGCACTCTCGCGCTACTGTACCCCGCAATCCATCGTTCGGGACGACCCCGCACCAAACCCCTGATACATCCGGGGTTTTCCTAACTTCACTCAACAAACACATCAAAAGTTCTATCAGTCTTGAGGATGGCTGGCAACGGCATTATATCGTGCAGCCGTCGCCCAGACTGACGATTACCGGAGGCCTCGTTCCATTCCGCTTCAGTCGATATGATATATCCAAGAGCTGCAAGCCCCCAAAGTCAGCAATGCTAAGGTCGATACAAATCACAAAAGCTTCATTGTTCTTCTGGTCTTTCGTATCAAATGAAGTGATAGCACTCTAATGACCTCAGAAACAGCGCCAATGCCCCAACCAAACTCTCTCCTTCAACTCCATCTCCACTCCTACTTCCGCTCTTCCTGCAGCGCCCGCGTCCGAACAGCCTTACATCTCAAAGGCCTCGCATCCTCCATAACATACACATACATCCAGCTCCTCAAATCCGCACAACTCTCTCCTTCCTACACATCCCTTAACCCCAGCGCGAGCGTGCCGACCCTTACCGTCACTATCAACCCCGGCTCCACCTCGCCCGAGAACTCTAGGCCCGAACCCATCATAATCCGCCAATCCATCGCCATCCTCGAATTTCTCGAAGAATACTTCTCCTCTCCCGAGACAATCCGACTCCTCCCTCCCGTAAGCGATCCCGTTGGACGAGCAAGGGTGCGGGAACTGGTTAATATTGTGGCGTGTGATGTACAGCCCGTTACGAATTTGAGGGTGCTAAAGAAAGTGAAGGGCTTGGTGGGAGCAGACGGGAAAGGAGATGGAGATGTGGCGATGAAGGAGTGGGCGAAGGAGTTTATGGGGCAGGGGTTGGAGGCATATGATAGGGTTGCGGAGGGGTATGCGGGAAGGTATAGTGTTGGGGATGAGGTTTCGTTGGCGGATGTTTGTTTGGCGCCGGCGGTGGAGGGGGCGGTTAGGTAGTAAGTGTTTTTGATTGCTTAGTCCTCTGGATTGTTTAAGTTTTGTGTTTTGTTTTCTAGGGTGACCATGCTGACTAGTTCTTGTTCAAACAGTGGCGTAGATGTGGAGAAGTTGAAGACTGTTTGGAGGATTTATAATGAGTTGAAGGAATTGGACGCTTTCAAGGAGGGTGATTGGAGACATCAGGAGGATACGCCGGAGGAGTTCAGGGTCGGTGCTTGAGGAGAATAAAGTGAAAAGGAACGAATGGTGATCAAACCAGCTCCTCCCAGGGATACGGCAATGAGTGTATTCTGCCAAAGATACACCAAACTATGGAAACCAGAACTACAAAGTACGTTGCCTAATCTTTATAGAATCACATCTCAAGATGTCATATCAAACCCCACCTTCACATCACCTCTATCATTCTCCCCCCAAGCCGTACTACTATCATCATGCACCGTCGTCCTCCTCATATCCCTCTTCCACGCGCCCTCAAAACTCCCTCCTCCCGCCCTATGCATCACACACCTATTATCCCAAATCACCAAATCGCCTTCCGCCTCCCACTGCACCTCACACACTCCCTCCTCTCTAGTCGCCCACTCCATGCACCGCTGCAAGATATCTTTACTCTCATCCTTACCAACTCCAACAATATGATGTGCATGTGCGCCGACGTACAAATTCATCCTCCCACTCGGCTCGTGTCTTTGCAGCATCTTGTGTAATGCCATTTTATGCGCTGTGGGGTCCAGATCAGCGAAGTAGACTGGGGAGCCGGTCTTGCGGGAGTGGAAGAGGGAGTGAGCAGCGGTGTAGTTTTTGGCTTGGAGTTGGCCTTTGAGTGGATTTGGAAGAGTGGCATAGGCGTGGCGAGTGTCGGCGAAGAAGGTTGAGCCGCCAGTTCCTGGTGGGGGAATGGTATGTGCCAGGAGGAGAGAGTAGGATGCGCGCCGGGGATTGAAAGAGGAGTCGATATGCCAGAGGGTGTTTCCCTGAAGGAGTGTGTCAGTCCAAGGGTTCTCGCGTAATTTTTGACCCATATTTGACATGTGGTTGCACAATATAAGACTAAAGGGTCTTTCTGGACAGTTCTCAGGAAGCACCAAATTCAGAATGCAATGGCGTCAAGGAGCTTGAGGACAGGATAGAGCAGAAGGAACAAACCTTGTTATAGTGAGCTCTCTGGCTATCAAGCTTCACCACCTCCCCAGCATCATCAATATTCCCCGCATCAAACAGCTCCAGGTATAGAAACTTGGGTTTTCGTCCACCGGTCAAGTACGGTTTGATATCATCTAGGTCGCCAAAGAGACGTGAGAACTCGACGTGCCGGGTGTCATCTAGGCCTGTCGAGCGGAAGACACAGACGCCGTACTGACTCCAGTGTTAGTCCTGCGTCTGAAGAAAGCGTAAGGGGGCGGGTGGAGTGAGTTAAGGAGGATGGAGGATAAGAGGATATGAGAAAAAGTGAAATATACTTTTGCCAGTGCAGCTTTGATTTCAGAAAATACATCCGGTTCAACCGGTTTTGAGAAATCAACTCCTTGGATCTCGGCAACGAATGTCGGGTGGAGCTCTTTGACTGTAATATGTTTGAAGTTGGGTTCTGTGAGACGACCTGGCATTTCGATTTCAATTTCGATTGCCCCAACTTAGTTTAATATCAGATCTTCGAAATTTGTCCTTTTCAGACTCTTAAAAGAGGGTTCTGGGCATTCATTGTTTGTGAGGGGCGTTGTGAGTTATCCTCGTGATGATCTCGGGGAGAGGGCCCCACAAGGTGCGGGGAGGAATTTCAGGGGTCCCGGTTTCTCTGGGGAAGTTCTACCCCGGATTCTGAAAGCTGCAGACGGCAGAAAATGGCAATGACCTCTGCTGGACAGTAGGTTAGGAGATACATGGCGAATAGCTTGAAGGCAAGACAAAATCCGCTGAGCCATCGATTGCTTAGGGAGACGAACGATGTCAGAGGTTCCGTGGTGATCCAGCATACTCGCCAAAGAATTCCCATTGAGCTCCACCAAGACTCGATCATACCTTGAGACGTATGTGTAATTTGTGCAAGTTGTAGATGAAGAAGACCATGTTTGTGAGGTGAGTTTTGATATATGAAGGCCGAAGCCCAATCAGAAAGCTTGGGAAATGATTGAGCTTTCAGCTAGTCGGCAAGACAAACATTCTGCCGAGCGTCAAACAAAAGGCGTAGCCTTATGAATGACAGAGGAAGATATGAAGCAGCGCATTTTCTCCAAACTCATCATCCTTAGTCGACACTTACATTATTGTGGAATCATGAACAACGCACTGCACCCGTGTTGTGATCCGTCCTCGCCAAGTCCCATTTGGGAAGGGAATCCAAGAGGGGAAGTCATCGATGTCGGCGGAATCGACACGTACGTTTCTCGAGCCATTAAGTCAAAGTCCGATGTGGCAAGTCTCCAAAAAACGCAGTCAGAAGTACAACCCAGCGATAAGAAAAGAGTCATTCTCTTCCTCACTGAAGGTCATGGGATATACTTACCAAACGCCCAGCTTCTGGCTGATTCCTTCGCATCACATCTCAACTGCGATGTTTTGATGCCAGACCAATTCGCTGGACAGGCTCGGCTCCCAAAGGGAATTGAGCCAAATTTCCCACCAGGGGCTAAAGTCCCCTGGACAGAAGATAAGAAAGATCCCAATTATGAGCTCAGAGGTCTTGCAACGCCACTTCAAGACAAATCCGAAAGTTCAGATGCATATCCTTTTCTGAAGCCTCCGTGGTGGATACAGCAAGGACCCAAGGCCTTCGAAGAATGGAAGATGCGGCACGAGCCTCCTGTGACTGACCTGCTGCTTGCACGGGTGATCAAGTACATTCGTGACACGTATGGGAAAGGTGTCAAGATCGGAGGAGTCGGTTATTGTTTTGGGGGACGGTATGTTATGCGTTTGATGGGAGCTGGAGTTCTCGACGTGGGTGTTGTCAATCATGCGTCTTTCTTCACCATGGAGGAAGTCGCGAAGATTGGGAAAGGTAAAAGTCTTGCTATGTATGCTGCGGAGACAGACGATATCTTACCGCCTGAGAAAAGGCGACAGACTGAAGACTTGTTGACTTCGGCGGGTGCTACTTGGATGAGTACTGTGTTCAGTGGGACGAAGCACGGTTTCAGCGTTCGTGGGGATTTGAGTATCAAGGAGGTGAGATTGGCGAAGGAGAGAGCTTTCAAAGGGGCAGTGGAATGGTTTAATGATTGGTTGTAATTTTCAAGTTCGACATAGCTTAGGGAGGCTTGATTTCAGATGAATGTCCAGAGTTCACAATGTGGTAGAATCCAGGATTTTCAAGAAGAAAATTAAGTTGTCTCGTTGTCTCAGGCTCAAGCCACTGGGCCATTGACTTTAGCGACTGGGCACTAAATATTTAGCGAGTGCACAGCCTGTGGAAGAGACTTCCCACGTGGTGTCAGAACACTCATCTGCTGTCCAATAACTTCAACAATCACAATCATTCTCTCTCATAAGTTCAACTGCAGGGTAGGGACTCTCATTTTGGGATGATTCCCAAATGAATTTAGTCAATCAGCATTCACTTCACGTTCTCAGTGCTATCACGTGTCGTCTCTATTCTTGGCACTCAGCTGAAAACTGGATGAGTCTAGGTAGCCTCTTCATTTCTCCATATACAATGGAGAAGCAAATGCAGCAGACCCGAGTCTCCAACATCGTTCGCGAAGAGTTTCATCGAACGTACAAAGGTAACGGATCCCGTGAAGATCATAACACTCAGCCTACGTTCGACGGACAATGGCCACCTTCAGAGCATTATCTTGCGGGACTTGCAGCATACGCAACCAATCTCGACCCCAGTGTAGATCTCAGTAATCCATCAATACCATATTATGGTACCCTACGACTCTACAGCCTACAGCATATGTGCCAAGAGCTGAGCTGCTTGAGCAGAAAGACTCTGGACGATGCAAACGCATCATGGCATGATCTGGAACGGCTGAGAACCCTTCTGCACGACCAAGGTACGCCACCCCTCAGCTCTCAGATTGACCACCGCTAATATGTTCAGCGGTTGCAATGAAAGATCTCGAGTATATCAATGAACATCTTCTGGGTGTTTCAGAGCAGGCGTTCATCAATACCGCCCAAAATCTGCGCGACAACAATCTCTCCGCAGGACATCACTCAAACGGCTGGCTTTACAGCGCACCCAGTCCTCGCTCCGTCGGAGGCCAGCTCCAGACAATCTTACAAGGTTACCTTCCCAAATGGATTACCTGGTCGTCCGCGGAAAAGAAGCTCCAACCAGCGTACTATGCGAAGGGGAAAGCTCCAACCAAAGTCTCGACTGCTGTCAGGGTCATCTCCAGTACAATTCTGAGCTTGTGCAGTGGGGCCAGCATTATTGTTCCGATGATAGTGATGAGTTTCAATGCCAGCAAGGAGAAGAGTTTGATTGTTGTGAGTGTTGCTGTGGTATTGTTTGGCTTCGTGCTTGGAGCGATTGTGCAGGCTAAGAGTGAGAATGTGTTCATTGCAACGGCTACCTATGCGGCGGTTCTGGTGGTCTTCGTTGGAGTCAGCGGATCGAATAATTGATGACCTAATATACCCAACTCTTCTCACAATTTTTATACACCTTAGAAGTCTTGAGTCGTTTTTAAGGAGCCGCAGAGGATGTTTATTGTTGTCTGCATGGCCATTCTCATTGGGGCTTGTATACCTGAAGCGACCTTCTGGAAGTTCCCATTCGGCGCACCAGGAGGCGCAGAGAAACCTCCAATTTCAAATTTACTTCAGCTTGGGTGTTCAGTCCCCGTATGATTTTGCTGAGGAGTTAGTAATTCATGACAGGATCTCGGGACGCCCTGAACCGTTCGTTAAAGCGAACAACTCAGTTGAGGGACTTGGTGCGGGGTAATGTTGGAGATCACGGAAACATGCGGTCCGGTAAATGTTATGCTTCGAGTCGCACACGGATAGATACATGGGTGATATTCAAGTCGAAGAGCAGCTCGGATTCGGAGACCAATTGCAATTACATTGGCAGTCGCCCTTGCTCCAGTATATTGAACGCCGTGAAACCCTGAATACATTCCCGGTCACAAGGTTTCTTCTACCAATCATTGACGACTAGCTTATCAGTGCCCTTGTCCCAAAATTGTCGGCAAATGTTAGTGAAGCTGTATCAAAAAGGGCTTCATTCACTTCTTCCTGTTCAGATGGGGGTTGTTGAGGCATATGAAGTTTGCTACGAGACTTGGTGGGTCGAAGACCACGAATTCCATGGATGCAGTAACAGCTTTCTAAAGAACTCTCATCCGCCTTTTACTCTAGAAGCCGGCGAGACGGCACGGGTACTAGTTAGTAGTGGGTCGAGGAAGGAATAAGCACTGCCAATACCGCCGAGCTGCAGCCTCCCGCCTCCTCCAATGCTTGACCGTAGGCTAAGTTTGGCAGGTGTTATCACGCCTTCAGATCCTCATCACAAATTACTGCTTTAGTTGCACCAACTCGTTCCAAACTTGGTATTCTTATGCGAACCTCTTTTGTTTTACGCAATAAAATCGCGAGAAATGTCATCACGGGAAAACGAGAGCCAGTGAGCTTTGTTTGAACTTCGTTTAGAAGGGTCTCCTTGCATCCTTTTCATTTACAAAGTTTGTTGCGTGCTTTTGGAAGCAAATGCTATCATGACAGGGAGTCAGTTGGGTAACTAAATATATGTCGAGAAGCATACATGAACTAGTATACAATCCGACAGATCCCCTGAGGCGAACTTCTGGCTGCTCCCCACCCCAGACCCCCGCCAGCTCAGGAAATGGCGTCCAAACTTATCAACAGATTTCGCACGCAGGACAAACATGAGCCATCGACGAACGATCCTATAACTCCAATACCGATTTTCGAGGGAGACGCAGTGCTGGTAGATCCGAAACCAGCAGCATCGAAGCATGCCGCAATCGAGGTGGGTGACGAGAAAGTCGTTCCAGGAAGCTCAACTTGTGGTGATGAAAGCGCTTCAGTCTTTGGAGATGATGATCCTACCGTTCGAGACATTCCCATCAACGTCCGACGAATTGTCAGCTTGGAGGATGACCCAAACCTACCGACTCTGACTTTTCGGTATTTCGTCCTCTGCATCATCTTCATCATTCCTGGAGCATTCCTGTCCCAGATGAGCCATTACCGGACAACTTATGCGCCATACTCTGTCTTCTTCGTACAGATCGCCTCAAATTATGTCGGAGTTTGGCTGGCGAAGGTCCTCCCAGCTTGGAATGTTCGAGTACCATTTACGTCGTACGGGTTCAACCTGAATCCAGGTCCCTTCGGAGTGAAAGAGCACGTTTTGGTCACCATCTCCGCTGCGTCTGGAGCAACATATAATTTGGCGTACGCACCTGTATCAATTGCAGAGCTTTACTTCGGACAGAAAATCCACCCCGCTATTGCTATCTTTTTCATGTGGTCAGTAGTCATTACTGGATATTCATTCGCCGCCATCTCCCGACAGTTTCTCCTATATGACCCCCAGTATCCATGGTAAATATTCCTCCGCACACTAGATGAAAGTTCGAATAACTCAAGCTCAGGTTTCAAGCCCTTTGTCAAACAGCGCTCTTCGAGACTCAGAAGAAACAAAGAGAGTACCCTTCGGCCACTTCCAGAAAACAGATGCACACTTTCTGGGCTGTCCTTGGAGCAGTCACACTGTGGCAATTCCTACCCGAATTTGCGTTTCCCATGTTAGGATCATTGGCATTTCTCTGCTGGGTAGCTCCAAAGAATGCTACAGCAAATTTCATTGGAGCAGGTTTCGGAGGCATGGGATTCTTGAATCTGAGTCTTGATTGGTCAAACGTATCGAGCCTGGGAAACAACGGCAGTCTCTTCTTGACTCCGTTTTGGACTCAGGTTATCATATTTCTGGCGTTTGCTGTGAACTGCTGGGTCCTCATTCCTGCTGCGAAATGGGGAAGTCTGGGATCCTACAAGCATGGGCTGATGTCCAACCATGTTCTGACGGGTATGTATTCCACGGCTTTCTGAAAGCTCCGGAACTAAATGCTTCAGCAAACGGAACTCGATATCCCTTAACGAGCTTGCTTACCCCACAAGCAACTCTGAATGAGACGGCATATGAGGAGAACGGGCCGTTGTACCTCGGAACCCAAATGCTTTGGGGAATGTTCTTCGACTATGCCTCTTACACGTCAGCTCTGGCATGGATGGCACTCTTCGGGTTTTCACAGCTTCGAGCGACAATCAAGAAGCTTCGAGCCCGGAACAACAGCAAGAACGGTGAAAGTATCAACTTCCATTACAACGACCGCCTCAACATCCTTCAAAGATCTTACAAAGAGGTCCCGCTGTGGTGGTACATTGTTCTCTTCCTGTTTTCGTTTGTTGCTATCACTGCCATGGTGGCAAGTGATCACCTCTACATACCATGGTGGACGTATCTGGTCTCACTCCTCACTGGAGCGATAATCGTCACGCCCCTCGGTTGGCTGTACGCAATCTCGAACTTCCAACTTCCTATTGGAACAACAAACGAGCTGCTCTACGGTCTGATGATAAATGCGGTCAAGGGACACAAGAACCCGACAGGTGCCACAGTCTACAGCTCTATCGCTGGCGATGCTTGGTATCGAGCTCAGTACATGCTGCAGGATCAGAAAATTGGACATTACATGCATATTCCTCCACGAGCCACATTCTTCTCCCAGATATTCGGTGCTACACTAGGTATTCCGATCAATTATGCAGTCATCAGATGGGTCATTAATTCGAAATTCGATTACCTGACAGGAGAGAAGGACGATCCAACACATCAGTGGACCGGTCAATCACTTGCAAGCAGTCTTTCAACATCTGTGCAATATGTGCTTGTGGCAAGTATCAAAGATTCATTCGTAATGATACACATGACTAATAGAATCCAGGGCCCAAAGAAACTCTTCCAAGAACCCCTCTTCAAAGTCGTCCCCTACGGCTTCCTGGCCGGTCTCCTCGTCCCCGTCCTCATCTTCCTCATGCACAAAACCTTCCCCGACTCCAAACTCAAATTCCGTCTCTGGAACACCACAATCTTTTTCTCGTGCCTCTCAAACTTCTACGGGAATATCAGCACTGGCTACACGTCTCAATTCATCGGGAGTTTTGTAGTCATGTATTGGGCTTTTAGATATAGATATAAGTTGTGGGCGAAGTACAATTATATCCTTGCGGCGGCGTTTGATGCGGGGTTTAATTTGAATATGTTGTTGATCTTTTTGTGTTTTGGGAGTGGCAAGATTACGACGATGCCGTATTGGTGGGGCAATAGGGAGGAGAGTAGTGAGAGGTGCTTTGCGCTTGATTCGTAGATGTTTTTTGTTTTGTGGGGAATTGGTTTCCGGGATGGGGGACTGATACCGTCCTCGTTCATGGTATCAAATGAGAACAAGTCCAATGATGGCTTGTTGGAAATGCGCATGGCAGGATGCTCAGTCTTATGTTTTGTTCCCGGGCTTGCTTGGCTTGGGACCGAGATGCTGCCATGACTTGAACACTATGAATTCTCAACTGTTGCGAACAACTTGCAATTGATGAGCGTCAATTCCTTGAAGCTTCTATCCTTATTGCCAGGACATTAATATCAGAAACATTAATATCAGAAACACTGTTCTATATGGTCTGGCGACGAAACTAAATGGTCCAATTTCAGCATATGCTCGCTTAATTGCAGGCTTTGGAAGAGTGCCTGCACGCTTAACGAAGTAAAGGCCACCATCCTAGGGAACAACTCCAGGCTCGCCAGGCTAGCTTCCTCCAATTTTTCAATGATAGCCACAGGCGCTGTCTCAGCCATCGTCCACTGAATTTCCACACGTGCACCATTTTGTTCCAGCACTCTCGATTCTTCACTGGGAGAGCCATTTAACATTTATTATTTCCAGATGATCACTTCAAGAAAGCCTCTCTAATCATCCAATGGTGATAACCCCGCCCGTTTCAATCTACACTGCCGGGTGTCTACGCGTGCGGTTCGCTTTCGCTTTCGAAGCGGGATCTTTCGTCCCGCACGTTGGAGGAATTATCCTGAAAACCATATCGAATATGCGAGAACGGAGATAGGCTTAAATATTGCTTGGCTGGTGCAAATCCCTATGATCAGTTCTAGTGACTTCCAGTCGAGGTCGACGAGGGAGCTTGAGGTGTCAAGACAGGTCGTCCCTGCTGTTCTGGTACGGATGTTCTGTGCTTGCCAAACTTGACATTCTTGTTTACTGCTTCTCCTCATCTGTTCTATTGCTTCAACCTCCCGTCTTCTTCGAGAGACACCATCGCCTGATATTAAGGACCGACGAGCCATAAGACGAGACGAAATTAAATTCGAAGAAGATCGTGATTCTGCTTCTGCAATACGCGACGAACGAGTGCTTCACAGCCAGCTGGACTTGATCAATCACGACATTGCTGCTTCACATCTTTTGCTCAAGCCTTTGCGCAAACAGAACGAGCTTCTATGATGGCAAATAAATCAGCCTTTGGATGTCGCGATATCATCCAGGGTCGATCGGCAGATCTGGGAAGCCAGTGTGATGGTCAGCGGCAGCAGTTGTTGGACATAATCTCTTGGAAACTCGTCCACAGATACTTTTAGGCATCATTTGGATATCAACGCAATCATCAGGTCTACTAGTTTTCTCCCTCAAAAGACCATTGTATATGATGAATATAAGCTAACTGTACTCGAAGCTTTCTGGATGCTGCTATAACATCGCCAATCTTCACACGATTCTTGCATTAAAATCATCCTCATACGAAATCCACCAATTCAACCCTCGGACGCACACTTTTCGAAGAGATGACGAGACAGGAACGTACACAAATCACATGTCGTATCAATGTGCGCGGTACATCAAGCAAGATGGAGAGCTTCAACGGTATGGAAAATCTACAAATGGTATTGTGTTGAGAGAACACGAAGTCCACATCCAACAGGTATCATTCTGGTTTCGCTGAAGCATATCTTCACGCCAAAGATTCTGCAAAGCTACCTCTCGTGAAACTCAACCATTGTCATTGAGCATCAAGTTCTCAGCACCTGGAATGGGAAGCTATCACTCGACCAAACCAATTTCAAAAGGCCGCTAGAGTCGAATCAAAGTACTCTTCATGTTCGCCCCGCAAAACATCGGCACCTATATTTCTCTTAATATTCTTCAGGAACTCCCGACACTAATCTATTGGACATGAAAAATGAAGCCAATGTGGACCACAAATTGTCAGACTGTGGCCGACCAAGAAAGCGCATTTCTAACAGTTTCGACAAGTATCAGCTATCACCAACTATGGATGGTTACGCAAAGTGATAATCTAGTATACAGACCCCCTTGGCTTGGGCTATATGATGTGTTGCCGTGCGGATGGTGCGGGGGTGGTGCGGGTGATGGTGCGGGCGCAATGCTGCTGACAGAGAGTAGAATCCTCATCTGCCGTTAATAGAACCAACAGAAGCACATTTTACTCAGCGTTAGTTTGAGCAATTTGGAAATTGCGTTGCCGATTTATGCAGTCATTATGCAACGTTCGGGTGTAGGTCAACGTTGCTCTCTCCTTTCTCTCGCTGCCAAACACACACGCCGCTACGAGGGCTGCATCGTGCTTACTTGGTGGGAACCAAATGACATTCACAGCCTAACTACTGCCTTGGTTCCCAATCTATTTGTTGGACATGGTGCGTTCTGAACAGAGAGTATGGATCAAGATAATGCCATAAGACGATGTTTACTTTCGGCAACAGGCCCTGCGCCTCGGGCCGGCATGCAAGTTTTCGGTACGGGGCAGTTGTTCGTATCTTACAGCCAATTGAAACCGGTCATTTGCTGTCAAATGGCAAGGAATAGCAAGCGAGGCACGATCTGCGGACAGCGGTTATGGTTATATCTGCAGGGCATTGACCAGTTCTGTGGGATCCTTGTCCAATCCAGATGCACAGGAGGGTGGGCGGATGCTGTTCAGTCAACAAACTTGAAAGTGGCTGTTTATTATGACTCGTTCAACGAACTTCTATTGGATAATCTCACGAGCTTTAGTATTTCATTGGTTCTTTTCTTATGCATTTGGCCAACGAACTCAGGGCTGAATCTCCGATACCAAATGGCCATGCGATTTGCCTTTCCATTGAGCTCCGCTGCGGATTTTGCGAAATTGTCAAAGGTTTGATACGTCGGGTTGCGACAATTGTGGAGATGGAGTTGGAACTGGTTTTGGAATTGGAATTGACAACGAGGCTGATGGCTGGTTGTGGATGCTTTGTCTTCAGGGGCCGGCAGCCGGGAGCGGAAATCCGCCTCCCAGATCTGTACAAAATAGGCAAACAAAAGAACTCTTTCGGATCTGGGCTTGGGATGGAGGAATTTGGCATCGCTACCTAGTTCTACCGCATCTATCTCCGTAAGCTCCTGGAAGTTAGCCTTGATTATTGAGGCTGCCTTCCACAGACCGACTAGGTCTTCGACAGGCTCGTCGAAGCCGACGGAGCCTATCAGGATCTTAGATCGTGCATGCTATCTGCCTTGCTTGCCCAGAGTGAATGGGGAAAGCATGTCCCCAGGGTCATTGGTCTCTCCATTGGGGACACTTCTCCCTGTTTATGGAGCCAGTGGGGTTCAACGGAGCTCCCAGCCTCTTAACCAAAATCCATAGGGCTGAGCCTTCTGGAAGCGAGGATATCTCATGTGGGAACCCTGCAGAATGCAGCCAAATGAAAGGCGAATTCATACGAATCAAATCTACCGGGGACCAACCCCCTGAAGCCTTTTTTAGGTTGGCTGATCAAGACTCTTTGTCATCTCACCAGAACATCCCGTGGTCAATACATACATACACATGGAAAACTTGATAGGAACTAGGAATTGATCTATAAACGATTGTTCCTCGTGCTCGTCTTACTACCTTTCAAGTCACGATGCCTCAAAAACATACTCCATCTCCCAAGATGTCTCGCAGTGGAAGCTCTAAAACTCCGGAAGTAGATGCTATGTTTGTTGGTTGGACTCCGGGGGCAGAGAAGGATGTTCGCAAAACGGCCCCCAGGCTGCACCATAAGAAAAGTAGGACGGGCTGCCAGCAATGTAGGGCGAGACGGGTTAAGGTATGTGGCTCGCTTTCGCTCATGGGTGTAATTTTTTTGAACATCTCGTCTCGGAGATTTCTCCAGAAGCACTGCACCATGTCCAACGTTTCTCATTCTTCGCTTCCCCGAGCCAAAAAAAAATTGGATCAAAATCCAAAGACAAGCTTGAAATTTCAAGCATTTTTCTTTTCAAAATCTCCGTACTGACGATGGACAGTGTAATGAAGTTCATCCCACATGTGGAAGTTGTGCGAGACACAAGACAACTTGTGTATGGGGCCGTCAAGGGACACCAGCACAATCGCAAAACACCAAGCCAAAAACATACGAGATAAGACCCAAAGTCCATTCGCAACAAGAACCGGAATCTACAGAAAGCGATGAACCCTCTGAGTGCAGTCAACGACGCTTGACCGAACTCAGACTCCTCCACCAGTACATGGCTTTCACTTGCATGACATTGAACTTCCCCGATGACCACAGACAACAACATGAATGGGGGATCGCTATTCCCCATCTGGCATTCCAACACAACTCTCTCTTATACTCAATATACACTCTAGCAGCACTTCACATCGCCAAACTCGAACCCAACGACCCCTCCCACATATCCACCTACCAAAAATACCTTGGTCTAACCCTCCGCTCCCACCGCGACGAAGTCGGCCAACTCAGCCGCTCCAACGCCGACGCAGCCTGCATAACTTCCTCCTGCCTCCGAGTCTGCACCTTCGCCCTCCTCCAAGAGCGGCCTCTAACACCCTACACGCCTCCCACAGAGTGGCTCCAGATGTCGAGCACGACAGGTCGCGGCCTCAACGTCGAAGCCTGGAAGTACATCGCCAACGACCCCAACTCCATCATGCGCTCCATGATCCGCTCCGCCCCAGGCATGAAGCCAGGCGGTTTCCTCCGCGAAGAAACCAGCGTCTTCCACCCCTCCAACCGTCAAGACCTCCTCCACCTCCTCCGCCGCACACCCAACGACATCCTCACCGAGCCCTGGAACGCCCGCATCGAAGAAGCCTATGAAAGTACACTGAGCTACATCGGATCCGTGCAGCTCGCCATCGCGGCCCAGGAGCCTCCTGCGTCGATCTTTCGCCGCTTGGTGCTGTTCCCTACGATGGTGCAGAGCGAGTTCATTTTCTTGGTGAAGGAGCAGAGACCCAGGGCGTTGGTGGTGCTGGCGCATTTCTTTGCGTTTTTGGCGGATTTTAGGGATATTTGGTGGATTGGGGAGACGGGGGTTAGGGAGGTGAGGGGGATTGAGGGGGTGGTGGGGGAGGAGTGGAGGGGGTTGATGGGGTGGCCGGTGCAGGCGGTGGAAGATTCGTTTTTCTTGGAGTGTTTGGATCTTAGCTGTTGATTTGGTTGACTTGGATGGTATGGCGTGGTGTGGTGGAGTCTGGGTTGTTTGCTGGTACGATACATAAGGTAGATACCTGTTTGAAGGTGGTGCTTGGAGTTTGGAGTTTGGAGTTCGGCATTTGAGATCTGATGGTGTTTTCTGAAGTCTCTAGAGCTTTTGTCGATTATTAGGATATATGAAACACGATGAGCCATGTACTTATCGCGATCCGATCTAAGGAAAGAGCTTCTTGTGGATGTGTTGAAGTTTTAATCCGCCTTGCCTTTCCAGATGTTCGGTACACACGTAAGCATAGGCTTGAGGTTTCTCGAATGGTGTAAGACACCAAAACAGTGGACAATAGATTGTCAGGGGGCGTAAAAGCCACGGTAGTCAGACACGTCCTTAACTGTTCCGGATGGCAAGACATCCTCTCGTTCTGAGACTTTCTGTCACGTGATATATACCGAGCCGTACTGATTGAAGTGATGTCTGGTGTTGCAGCTCTGGAGCCTCAAGACCCCTATAATCCTTCCAGGTAATTTTTAATCGCACAGTTGGAGCCAAAGCTTGTACAATCACCAGTCTAAACGCCGTGTTCCTTTTTCCCAATCCAGGTCGGCCTTACCTTACACATCATACCGTCCGAAACTCCTCAAAAACAAAAACAACACCCGGTATAAACAATCTCTGGGTTTTTGGCAGAAATTCGGACAGTGCTTAGCCCACTGAGCGAGCGGGGAGGATATACTGAGCAAGGTGAGGTCGGCGTCAAGCGCCTCTCTCACGTGACAGCATACTCTGACCACCCCCAATTGGACTTCATCTGCATCTGTATCGCCGCCGTTGGCCTCGCGTGATCCTTCTGGGTTTCAATCAGTAATTCAAGTAATGCTTCTTGCTCTAGTCTATCTCTAAAACGATCACCACCTGAAGAAAAGAGAAAAGAACACAGTTAGCAAGAGCTCACTCAACGGGAAGTCGAAGGATGGGTTACGGATGGATGGATGGATGGATGTGAGACACTTACAAAGTGCGATGCCCATACAGGCTGTGAACATTCCGGGGGGAGTGGACCGGTTGTGGAGCCCGATACCGCAGAGTTCGCGGAGGTTGTCTTTTATTCCGGTCTGTGTGTGGGGTGTTAGTTTAGATGGAGATTGACGAAGGAGGGGAAGGAAGGGGAGGAAGGTGAGATTGGGATTGTGGTGGGCTGGACTTACGACCATGGCTTGTTCGGCTTCTTGGCGGTCTTTCCCTATGCGAGGTCGTCTGGGGTTGTATATCGAGAGGAGGATTTGTGCGAGTTTGTGGTGTTGGATTCCGATTACTAAACGCAGTGTTAGTAAATGCTTGAAAACTCAAGATCGGGAAGTTGGGCACAGACTGTGACACGGATGGATGTGCAAGATCTCTGGGAAAGCTTCTCCTTTGCTGCGATCTGCCGGTCTCTGGTAATAAGGAGTAAAAGAATCCGGCTTGTCACGTTGCCAGCGATGGCTTTCGGCCTGGAGTCTTGACCAGTGGACGGGGTGGACTCCCCTCACTCCGAAGCAGCAATTTAAAACATCTGCGAGATGCACCACGGCTCGATTTGCCCAGCCGAAATCTGTGATGGGGTCGACAGTTCGATCAATGTGGCCAATATCAATCTGAACAGCTCTGTGTGTGATTGTAGCGACGTAGATCTCCTGCCGTAGACCAACCCAGAAGGCTGCTTCGCTTAGCCCACCTTGCATGACATTTGGGCCGTGCTCGCGAACGAAACTTTGGATTCCTTGAATGTGTTTGGTGTCTTGGGAGCCAGTCTCGAGCACTATGTCAGGTCAGTATCAATACATCTTCGTCGGTGGGTTGGCTTACGGTCGATCTCTTCCAACACTCGAAGGATAATGAGCGCTGCGAATAAAGTCTCGTCTGCTCTGGTGATGACGTTGTCGAGCATGGGAATCAGCAGTTTGATACATTGGTCATAGTACTGCCGTGCCGCGATCTCGTTGGATTCGCTGGCTCGGTTTGTGAGCATCAACTGTCTTGCTGATAAGGCGAGGATGGCCTTCAGCAGAACGGGGTATTTTGGTGCACGTTTTGGAACCTCGACTTGGAAGTGTTGATTTGGATCGCACAGGTCCAGCTGTATTTGAGAGTCAGGATCAAGTCAGTTTTAGATCAGACACAACGAGAGCGTACCCATTTTGCAAGATCTTGAACATAGTGCCGAAACAAACGGGCTTCCGTGGCATCTTTGAGAGGCCACACCGAGTCGTCGGTCCGGAGGATAGGAGGTTGGTTCGTGTTGACTGAGGATTTCGTTAGTTGCGAAAGTCTTGTTTGTATGACAGTAAACTCACATCTGGAAGGATCTCTTAGTGGCGGGATGTCGGGTGGTAAAAATACATGGTGAGCATGAGAAAAGTTAGGCTCTACAGGCCGATGTGGAGGAGTATGGAAAACAGTCTCGGGTGTTCCACCGAGGTTAGCTGGCCATGGAGATTGCGCGTGCTCGCTATGGTGAGGACTGATTGCTAAAGTGGAAACGGGCGAGGGGACTTGTGCCTTGTGGCGCATATGCGTATCTTTAGGAGAAAGGCTGCCAGGATGTCCATTGGTACTCCCATCTCCATCTTTATCTTCCGAAGCAGAATCACCGGTATCGTCCATGCGATTCTTGCTTTCATCGATCCATTGATCTAACGTGGTGTCAGTCACTGTTCCCTTCTCCACTGAAGCGGGGGAATTCGAGCGGGACTCTTTGCCACTGGCGGCATGATACGTAGGGTACTGTCTTGAACAGAGGGAAAAATTGCAATCCAATGATCTTGTTCGTCGCTTCATAGAAACACGAAAATACTTACACTCATTGGCTGACTTCAACGCGAACCAATCACGGTCATGGGAAAATTCCTCTGTGACATGTCAACGATCAGGTTATGAAAGAATTAACAGCACACAATTACTTTTCTGACGTTTGAATACCAGTCCTCGAGTGCATGTCTTGCCTGTGGAAGCACATCTACCACAGACTGGTTCGATCTTGTCACCTAGATAGAGTAAGCAGGTGTGATATGAGCTTGGCCTCCAATCCGAGTATCTGCGGTGTTAATTACCGAAACAGACCAAGCGAAGGGGGGAAAAACCAACGACGTAAATACTTACACTTCACATGTCTGTCGCGGCATTCCTGGCTATGATCATGGATATCAAGTCAGCCTGGTCTCGCCAAATCGGAAGCTGACCAAATCGTGATCAGGACCATCGAGCGCAGCACATACCAGCCAGATCCATTCCTTGCCACCATCCCTACTCGCCCTTTCGCTAAAAATGGTAATTATGAACAGTGTAAGAGGCTGTCGGTATGTCAACATTGGGATTTGGAGAATGCTGAAGATGTTGGAGGCGAATGTTCTCCAGTGTCACGGATCAAGTGATATGGGCATGAGGCACAGAGTGCGGGGTCTAGAAGCTCGCTAAGGACCCCTAAACCTGAAAAGCTCAACCCGGGGCCTGGAACCTGTGGGGCTGAACGTAATATCTTGCACATGAATGGCCAGTCCAGCCAGACCAGCTGCCGAGTTACCGTCACAGGCCGATGATTAGTCAGCGAATGAGCGCCCAAGCGAAACAGCCGAAATTCTTGGAGACGACAGCGCAAGTGATAAACATCAACACATCCACTCCTGCAACGGGACTCAAGCCCACAGATGTGGAAGTATGGAAGTGCCAAGCAAACTCTCAAGACTCAGAGGCCATCAACTGGGTCTCCGATTCTCCGAAGCAGCAAGTCATCAAATAGACTGGTAACAATTGGCGTGCAAGGTGGACCTCATCCTGCTGGACCCATTCTTAGATGTCATGAGATCGAGATCTTTCAGCGGGTCAATGAAGGGCTTCCTTCACCAATGACTGAAAGGAAGATCTGATTGTTTCTAAATGGCAAAATGGAGAGCCCCGGAATCCCCATATTGTGCCAGCAAAGCGGTGACAGACTCGCGACAGCTCATGTCTGGCATGTCATGACAGACTGTGAGGTCTTCATCACTAGCCTTAAACTGGTGGTATTCATAGATATCAGATGCGTTCATCTGTAGCGTGCGGCTGGTAAGGCCAGAGCCATGCTTTTTACCACCTTCGCGCCGAGATACTCCGAGTTGGACTTTCACCTCCAGGTGAGCTGCTTTCACTATCACCGACCTTCGTCAAGGTCTCTTTTTCTAAGAGGCTCGCTCCTCTCGTCTATCAAATGAACTTCATACCAGTTACATCAGGGTGGGTCAACATGACGAACAACTCTGGAGACTGTGACTTACCAGGTAGCCTTGATTCTGCTGTTTGGTGTTTATTGCCATGAGCAGCAGGTAGCATGTTACTGAAATAGGCAAGTAACCTCAGTAGCCAGAGAATAGGGTGCGGTTAAGATGCACTAATCCATACTGGATGTAGAATGGCATCCCCCTCCCCCAGAGTCTCCCCTCATGACCGGATCCACCTCGGTCCTCCAGCAGGATAGAGCTCCCATAAGTCAGGTTCCATCCTCGACTTTGATTCTTCGACTTCATCCTCTTTCTTCACATTCATGCAAGCAGACCCAAATCACTACTTCAAATTCTTCTTCTAGCATTGGGCCGTTTTCGAAATTACTTCAAGGGATATATTTCGAAGCATACGTATCATCAATCAAAAAAGCTTCAATCATCTTGAGCTTAGATCTTGCAACGATGGCGCGCAAATACTTCGCGAAACGTAACTTCAATGATAGGCCGACTGCTGAACACGATGAGAAGAAAAACATCGATGCTCGGTCAGAGCTTCCTAACATACCGCAGCCTGAACGGCAATCTGTGGGTAGTTCAAGCTCCGACGGCCACCTCGAGACAGAAAAATCATCCGAGCATCCTTCCATCGAGCATGCCAAACTCAGTACCAGACTGAAAGTGACCATCGCAACTTTGAGCCTTGGGGGCTTAATGTTTGGTAAGTTGGGTTGTTCCATACACAACGAGATGAATGCTAACTATTTGGCGAGGCTCTGATACTGCCATCATCGGGCCAGTACTGCTCGATGTCGACCATAATTTAGGCCACGAACTTGCACCGAGAGAGAAGGCACTCATTACGTCAACTTGTTTCGCTGGAGCGTTCGTGGGCTGTTTGGTAGGAGCGTTGATCTCACACCGAAATGGGCCAAAGATCGGAATAAGAGTCTGTTGTGTTCTCAATATTGTCGGGGTGATACTCAATGCGGCCTCCTACTCGGTTCCCCAAATGGTGGTCGGCCGAATATTTTCGGGCATCTCCATAGGCATTGTGTCCACCATCGTCCCCGTAAGTAACCAGCATTCCTGCGGACTTTAATCGTTGGACATCTTACTAAACGACAATGCAGAGCTACTTAGCAGAAGTTGCTCCTTCGAAGTATCGTGGACGTATCCAGGGGATATGGACTCTCGCTGTGGTCGTCAGTCAGTTCGTGTCCTATGGCATTGGGGCAGGATTTGCACCAGTCCCTAACGGCTGGAGGTACATGTACGCACTGCCCGCCATTTGGCCCATTGCTCTCTATATTCTCGTGAGCTTTATTCCGGAATCTCCACACGAGCTCATTTCGCGAGGCAAAATCGAAGATGCCAAGATGTTTTACAAAATCACCACGAACCCCCCGGTCGCCGACGAACTAATTGCACAGAAGATAGTCTCGTTGTGCAACGAAATCAAATCGCCCTCCCCAGACACTCCAAAGAAATTCAGTTTTAAGGCGGAGTTCGCACCATACAAGCAACTCGTTGGCACCCGTCAGAACTTGAGAAAGCTTTTCGCGGCATGCGGATTGATGTTTGCCTCTCAATTCACAGGATTCAACTCCTTGACATTCTTTTCGGTAACACTGCTTGCCACCATGGGAATTCCGAAACCTGAGGCCATGGCAATGCCCCTTGGTGTGACAAACATAGTTGGCACCTTGGCGTATCTATTTCTCGTTGACAGGTTTGGTAGAAGGAGGTTGATGCTTATTACACTACCATTCACCGTAGGTTGCTTGTCGCATGCTGTGACATGGATTCGGAACTTTTGCTGATAGTGTTTTTAGATCATCTCGTGCGGGGTCTTTGCAGCCACCTGGCGATATGTTGGTGTCGATATCGCAGGGTTTCATCCTCATGAAGACGCAACATTGACGTGGGCAGCCTGGGTTATATACAGCTTCATGATCGTCTTTGTTCTTTCTTACTCCTCGGCCATTGGTAATGCAGCGTGGGCGTCTACTGAACTGTTCCCCATGGAGATCCGCGCGCAGGGAGCCATGGCAATGGCGATGTCAAATTGGCTCTCGAATATCATTATCTCTGCTACGTTTCTTTTACAGATGGAAGATACATCGCCCAAGTGGACTTACGTGGTCTATGGGCTTATTAATCTGGTAACTTTCACGGCTGTGTACTTTGGTTTCGCTGAAACCAAGGGCATGCCGTTGGAAGAAATCAGCAAAATATTTGAAGAAGATTTTGGAGTCAAGAAAGCAGAAAAATGGCAGAAAGCGCAGAGAACTGCTAGGAGCCAGGAGCCACCTGTTTGATTTGTTACATTCGGTTTACAATACCCTTCTTCATCGTCTCAGACGGATATTTGCATCGACGCCTTTCCTAGATACCCACATCAATACCATCCCATGGAAGAGATACAAGCACTGTCATTTTACTCAGCGAAAATTGTTGGATCGCAATTACCGTCGTATTTATAGATGTTTTATGAATCCTAGAGCTTTGAGCTCCTATTCTAAGTTGATGGTTTTCCGGACTGTAACTATGTCGCCAAAATAAAGGGGGTTGCAGTCTGACCCTGCTCCTGTCGCCCTGACGTGATGTCGCCCTTCGTTACGCACGAGCGCTCGCTCATGATGTAAGTAATCTTACATTCAAAGATCAATAGCCTGCCACCCAGTGTTTCGATATCGTTCTTTCACGGCGTTAAGCATTGGATCTGCTGACCCCCATGGATCCAGACATGATCAAGGACGGTCAGTCCTCAGCACAAGCTTTCCTTGAGAACATGTATGAGGACACAATCTATTCAGAAAGTCTTGGCCTCACTATTCTTTCTCAATAGCGTGGGGGTCGACGCGGTTGGGGAGGATAGGGTCAGCCCCATTTCGTGCGCTTAAATCCAAACTAGCCCGAACTACCGCAACGACACTTGAGCCGCAACCAAGGAAGGAATGCCGGATTTCCGCGTTTGACGAAACAGGTTGGGCACAGGACATATGGTTTATGCTTAAAAAGACATAAAGCGTTTATTTTGGTTGGATCTCGTACGAATAAGGTTTGGCCCAAGCTGGTGTTTGCCATGTCCGCCACTGAACGATGCGGGATCCGGAGAGGTAATGTAGGTTAATGACTCGCTCCAACCTTTTCTTCGCCCCACGTCACCACGTGCGAACTTCCGAGATCAGATTATGATGACAGCGTCTATATCACATTCTATAGGGCTCGTGAACCAAGGTACGACTTCATTTTTGCTTAAAGTTTACCAAGAAAATACATGTCTACCCCCACGGGGAACCAAAGATTGACGACAGCTTAGGAAACTTCCCCCCGCCCCAGTATACTTCCACACTGTAATAGATCGAAACTAGTTCTTCTTCCATAAGATGAACCTTGGAGGCTGAGGCATAGCAAGAGGAGAATAAACACCGTCCAGAGCTGATACTTGGCGCCGACACAATCCTGCTTAGCCTCGAACAGAACCCGGTAATGATCCCCGAAAACCCGAATTCAAGGCGGATTTCTCCTTTTTCAAGACTCTCTTGCCGTTTTTCCGAATGTCTAAGCAACTTTGGGTCATCCCCATGCGTTGCATTCAACCCCGTCCCTTCCACCGAGTCCACCCTGAAACCTCCGTTGCCCTACCGCATCGTACACATCTCCTTCTCAGTGAAACCTCATGATTGAATTTTCTTCTCCATAGCTAGTTCCCATTCCTCCAACCAGCAATACACAAGTTCCGTTCACGTCATGATCTCGAGCTAGTCACTTTATTTCGGTGGAACAACTTCCGAACCGCCGGAAAGCTCGACCGATGAGAGTAGGTCTGGCCAAGTAGTTAGACAGTGAGTCGGAATTGGTGTCTCCTTTCGCTACGATTTATTCATCTTGCTTCAAGATTTTATTGTTCCCTAATAGTGTATAAACAATCGATGCTCAATCGATTTGGATATTGCTCGAGGTCACGTGTCCTGTTGAGATCCCATGTGCTTCACTTCACGAGCATGCCTTGAGGTTAAGAGTATCTTCATTGCTATTGTTCTGAGAGAATGCCTAGAGCCAGAGGTAGCAATTGTATCTACACGGATAGACCATTCTCGCCCCGACATACCTAAGCTTCCGTTGATGTGGATTATGGAAATTAGCATTCGGATGGACTGAATGTCAGCAGCATCTCTTCGATCATTCAAGCACTCAAAGTAAATTAAAGGCTATTTCTAGAATGCAAGTTCAACAAGCTATGCAGTCAGATTGACCAAGCATACCTACAGAAAACAATATTGACATGGGGACCACTTTACCCGGCTTACGCTTACCACGACTTTCTCGGTACAGACGAGGTACACAATGTGTCCCTTCTTTTTTTAAATTCTACAAATGCTACCAACCTTCGCACTTCCGGTAAAAGTCGCTCTGAGATTTTCTCATGCAAACTTTCGTTCACACACCTCTCATTTCCCAATCAAGCATCACAATGTTCTTCTGCCTACTCATTCTCGTAACGAGCGCTGCCATTTCCGCCAAGGCAATGTCAATACAGCCTAAGATCCGATCCAATCTCACCGATATCGCATTTATCAAACCTGGATACACCCAGACGTTTCTAGACGACTTCGAGGGCCCAAGTGGCTCGCTTGTATCCGATTCAGACTGGATTGTCCAACTCGGAACTTCATACCCTGGAGGACCATCACGATGGGGTAACAACGAATTCCAGAGTTACTCAGACTCGGTAGACAACATTCGCATCACGGACGACAATACATTGACAATCACTCCCCGCCTCGACTCTGGATCATGGACCTCAGCTCGCATCGAGACTCAAAACTCTTTCGCCGCTGCTCCTGGAGGAAAATTGTTGATCGAAGCTCGTATCAAGCTCGGCACAGCTCCAGCCTCTCAACAAAAAGGAATCTGGAATGCGTTCTGGGCGATCGGGAAAGACTTCAGAGGAAATTATTGGAACTGGCCAGCTGTGACAGAATGGGATATTCTCGAAGTCATCAACGGCGAATCGGTCATTCATACGACTGCACATTGTGGCACGACTCCCGGCGGACCGTGCAACGAAAATAATGGGATCGGAGGTCGTATCGCTCCTTTCTCTAGAGGAGCATTTCATACCGTAAGCCTCTTGGTTGATAGAACTGTGACTGATGCGGCTGGTCAAGTGAACTGGAAGACAGAGTCAATAACGTGGTCACTGGACGGAAAAGATATCTTTGTGCTTACTGGTACAAGAGTTGGAAACAAAGCGGCTTGGGAGAAGTTAGCTTATGATGAGCATTTTATTTTGTTGAACGTTGCGGTTGGTGGGAATTGGCCAGGTCCTCCGAATGCGCAAACTGTGGATGGACCAGATGTTGCAATGGAAGTTGATTATGTAGGTGTTTGGAACTCAATCTGAGGGGCTATTTGAAACTGGTCATCACGGTGCTGATGTTGTACCGAAATATTTCTGCCGTAGAGTGAAGACGTGAATCAAAGCTGGCCTCCAAGTCTGTGTGGTTTCATTCCTGAAATACGCGGGATTTTGCCCGATACTCAGTCAATCCACTCACTTGGACTGAAACCAATATTTTCCACTGGCCAAGTACCGCCAGCAGCCATTTCATAAACTTGCTTATCCTCCACCTTGTTTGCAAATCCATATAAGAATCTCAACATCCAAGCATCCATCTTGAAAGCCGTGTCCATGTTTCTTCGACAAGCCTCCCTAAATGTTCGCAAAGCCTCGAAACTGATCTCAAGGACAGGCCAGAAATTTCTCAGTTGTAGCAGAAGCTCGAAGTTCTTTTCCAATCGCGTTCTTGCTTCTTTGATCTCAGTTTCAGATTCGCTGAAGAGCAAAGTGTGGATCTGAACGGTGGAGGCGACGACTAGGTTATGTCCGACCATTGTGTATAGAACATTGCAGCCAGGTGTCCGGTGGGCTTCTTCGACGAGGTCACAGAGCGCCGATGAGAATGACTTACAATTCATCGCATACTCTTGAATCGTGCTTTTATCGGATACCGAATGCTGATATTCGTGGAGATACTGATAGAAGAGGAGTTGACCAAAATGAAAGTACCCCAGATGGACAGCGACGAAAACTCGACCTAGACCTTGGCTGCCATAGATACGCAGATTCTCGGGTGTTCTCTGCATATGAGGAGGCAAGGACGAGTGCCAAGTCTCGAGCTTGTGAGAGAGGTGTAGAATCGTTTGTTCGTGCTGGTCCAGGTTGATTGCAGACCCTGAGCCACTGATTAAAAACTTGTGGAAGTCGTTGATCTCTATCAAAATCCGATTCAGAATGATCATCTGTGTGAAGAGTGACAAGAACCCGTCCGAGGATACTCCAGCATTGAATTCTCGGGTATTGTCAACGCGAAGACTGAGGAAAAATCCTTCTTCGAGGGGTAATGGGACTTCGTTCTTTTCAATCATTTGTCTCGGTAAACCCACTCCCGCCGACGACCATGTATCGAGTTTCCAGATCGTCCACCAAACTGTGGTCAGTCAGTTGGCAATTCTCTGGTCACAGTGCAACCCACCTCTGACGTTGACCTCTTGTTCAACAGCATTATTGGCGGGCATTTTGGCCAAGTCAAGCAAGTTCGCCATTCGGGTGGCCACCGAATAATACACTGACTCAGCTGCTGCATCTCCTTCGGATCGACTTACGGTGCCAAGCAGGACGCAGGCCTGGATCGTAGTGAGGGACATATCTCTGATGTCTAACAGTCGCGCACTCTTCTTGGCATAATCGCTACTTCGGTCCCATGAACAATGATTCTTGAAAGCAGGGTTTATAGAAAAGCTAGCACGCTCAGTTATAATGAGGGAAAAAGGATCGCACAAGCGAGAAGTCATACCGAGCAGCCAGGGCAAGCATGGCATAAAGTAGAACTGGTGGTGCTGTTCCTTTTGCCACTGATTCCGTGAAACTTGGACGATGGAATAACGTATGGAACTGGTCGTGAACGAGGTCGAAGTAGAGTCCGACTATCTCAAGGACAATGGGGATCGGGAGATGCAACGCAGTTGGAACTGCTGAGGTTGACTTTTGCACCACGACGGAGCGGGCAGAGAGGCCACATCGAGAACCCAGCTGGCTGCCAATGCGTGGTCCTGTGCATTCGAGTTGCTTCTCCCTACAATGAGTGCAAATGGTCTCTTTATCATGAAATATACATCTCTTCCTGCGAGACCTGGCACGATTGGAGGATGATCAGCTCAAAGTGACACTATGTGAGATTCAGAAAAACATACCGACAGGAAGCACATGCTGTAGATGTTCTCATGTTTTTCTTTGATCGACTTAGTAGGAATTGGTTGCGAATGTTAGCAGAATATCCCCGTCGGAGTGTTGTTAAAAACGCGGGGTGCGGGGTATTTCAATCGAGGTTACTCCAATTACTTGGCGAGATTCTCCTTTCCGTGTGTGAACACAGTTAATTTTGATCCCACTGTATGATAACGAGTTTTAGTGTCAGACTTGATACATGAAGATGATGGGTCTTCTAAAATCAAATCTCGTACCGAGTACGAAGACCAGTCTATCACGTGAAGCCGTTCGAGTTCTTGCAAATTTAACATCTAGAGTTCTTCGTGTTCATGTTTCTCCTCAACCTTATCTTTCGCTAAACCTTCTTCTTTCACATCTCTGTTTGGACTCCGAAGTCTGAAGATCTCTATGGAATGGCTCTTGACTTTGACATCCAAAGTTCCGTGAGCAAGGATTGTCCCGACATTCTTTCCAAGAAGTCGAGGATCTCCATTTATGATGCCCAACTCGTAAGGGATATCAGTGGAGTTGTACCAATCGAGCTCAGCAAATATCGCTAGCCGGGCTTCAGGCAATGCTTCCAATATCCTCTCTGCATCACCGTCATTCATTCTATTAGCCCACAGATCATATACTGTCCATTCTTCTTCCACTTGCGGTGCTTTTCCTGCCTCACGAATGAAGATCTCCTTCAAACTAGCACTCATTTCCAAATCTTCATTGGCAGCATTGAGAAACGCGACAACTTGGTCTCCGCCAAACAATTTCCCGCTCCATATTTGGATTTCGCCTTGTGCATATTCGTCTTTGGCAACGGATGTGTTGCGGTATATGCGAATGGCAGATTTAGCAAGAGGGTCTTGATTTATTGCAATCACTGCGGGGTTGTTTAGAATTGTGAGAGCTCGAGGCGACAAAGTCCGCAAATCGTTACCCATGAGTAATGGTGAGTTTAACATTGCCCACATGGAGAAATGAGCTTTATACTGATGTCTTCGATTAGCACGCTTGAGAGTACTGGGATCGCAGTGCTTACCTCATCATCCGACATACCTCCATTCCCTACCTCGAGCATATCCATATCAGCCCAAGCACCCGGTTTGCTTCGATCCGCATACGGAGCAAGTCGATTGATGATATTGAGAACAGAACAATGCTTCCCTGGGGCGATGCACATTGGATCTGAGGGGTTGTCACAGCTGCAACAGATCATCTGGCCGAGTGAAGAAGTCGTAGACATCTCCTGACATTCTGTACGAATTCGCAATTGCCGTTGCCCACTGGATCTAATTAGCTTGAGTTCAATCGTCATCTAAAGAGCCATACAGCATGAGTGTAGTCTTCGCCCCAGTTACAAAGACTATACAAGATTGGTCGCCCTGTGGCATTGAGAGCTTTCCACATGACCTCATATCGTTGGTACGATATCAAAGGAGTTCCAAATCGCCCTTTGTTGAAGCAGTTATCATACTTGAGGTAGTCTACGCCCCATTCAGCAAAAGCTTTTGCGTCTTTTGTCTCGTAATCTAGGGACCCCGCTACATGCTGTCAATAATGTCTCAAAACAGTACGTCTGAAGACATTGCAACTTACGGTATCTTGCGCAAGTCATTTCCCCTGCGCTAGAGTACATGCCAAACAACAATCCCATCTCGTGTATCCGATCGGAGACATATTTCATCCCATGTGGGAACTTGACTGGATCGGCTACAAGCATCTCATTTTCATCTCGTGCCATTGCAGCCCAACAGTCGTCAAGGACGACATAATTGTACCCCACATCTCGTAATCCTGAATCGACCAAAATTTTGGCTGTATCTAGGACAAGAGATTCTGATACTTCGCAACCTAATGCATTCCAATTGTTCTAAGCGTCTCAGTCAGCGAGCACAAAATTAAGTTGGTGATGTTTAGGCTACCCACCCAGCCGAGCTGCGGAACTCTAGCGAGGCCGTTGTTGACAGCAGCCACATGGCTCGCGAGGACTGCAAGGACTGCAAGGATGATTGCCATATGTAACATGATTCCGAACTCAATTGTCTTTGTTAAACCGTTCTTATCTGTCAGCATGTGAGAATGAGGATGATAAGGGCGTTGCCTTCACATATGACAAGATCTAGAAGTATCCTACGGGACTGACCAATGTTGTGTCACTCTGTGCTCATCCACTCCAAAGGTAATGTTCGTATATATCTCGATTAATTGATCCTAATCTTGATCACTAGCAAGACTGAAAAAGACAATGTTCCAGATGTGCAGGTTTAGCCTCTACCATGTGAGAGATTGGAGAAATGAAGATGCGAAGTCGATAATTCATCGATGATTTGAAGGGTTCCCAAAGAAGAAGTAGTGATACTAGCTGACACAATTTGAACCAATCAAACCCAGCTCATCCCGACGTTCAGTGTTTGCGTCTTCGTGAAAATAAGAAGATTCTCATGCCCCGCTCTGAGGATCACATGGTGGACTTAATTCCCAGCCAAATCGATGATTTTATTAGCATCTTGGCAAGTATGTACGTAAGCTTTGTGAAAGCCACTGACGCATTGATTGGAAGCTTTGCAGCACAAAACGACCCCTTTCGGCCTCTTTCATCCTGGAAAATACAAATCTTTGCACCGATCTAAAAGAAAAGTAGACACGAACCAATCATTACATTTCAACCCCGTCGACGTTGTATGTAGCCAAGCTTCATTGCGGCGAGGAACAAAGTCTCCCCTCATCCCCACATCCCACTTTAGAATGTATCACAGATTTGCGGAATAACAACCAATGAGCTGCGTCTCATCCCGAGCAAAAGCAGTGACGATTCGAACATCATCTCCGGATATGTCAACTTCGAGGTTATCCCCGTGGGGTACAGGGGTGGCGGGGTTTGAAGGAAATCGCATGGCCAGCTCCATGTTGAAGATAGGGTGATGATGCATTGACACGGTGTAGAGTTCCAGAGTATATAGTCTCTGTCAGACCCAATGATTTGGGTCGTCTTTGTTGATGATCTCGGAGTGCAGTAGCTTTCCAGTTTGCGTATCAGAGTTTACGTTTGGTTCCGGATCTTATCAACCCTCCCATTTCGCTCGCTTTTCAGCGCGACTCCATTCAGAGAGGTTATTTCACCCTAAGAGTATGGCGGATATCGACAATAAAGCAGATTTGGCGAAACATGTCGAAGCTGTCGATGCCATCCCCAGTAAAGTCCTCGTCGAGAATGCCGCCGTGGGCTCAGACCTCGAGCACGAACTTGCACCATGGGCAGCGATAAAGGCGTACCCGATGGCCGTCTTCTGGTGTCTGATGGTCTCGATGTGTGTGGTCATGGTCAGTATTAACAATTTCTCACACTTTCAACAGACAGCGGAGCACTGACACTTCCTAGGAAGGATACGATCTCATCCTGATCGGAAACTTCTACGCCTATCCAGCTTTTGCGAAGAAGTATGGCGAATATGTTGCGGAGACCAACAACTATCAGCTCACCGCGCCATGGCAGGTGGCTCTTGGGAACGCATCTGGTATTGGAGCCTTTTTCGGTGTCCTGGCCAACGGATATCTGGTTGATATCTTTGGAAAGAAAAAACTACTACTTTGTTCTCTTGTGGTTCTGTCCTGCTTCATTTCCATGACTTTCAAAGCCGACACCAAAGTCATTCTACTTCTCGGTGAAATGCTGTGTGGTCTTCCTTGGGGTGTCTTTGCTACCACGGCGCCGGCTTATGCATCTGAAGTCCTTCCGCTTTCACTGAGAGTGTACATGACTTCGTACACCAACATGTAAGCAAGAAATACTTTCCATCGAAGTTATAGATTCAGCTGACCAGATTCCATAGGTGTTTCATCATGGGTCAACTCATCGCAGCAGGCGTCCTCTCCTCGCTCAGCACGCGCAATGACCAATGGGCTTACCGAATCCCATTCGCCCTGCAATGGGCTTGGCCAGTTGTTCTTTTCCCCATTCTACTGTTCGCACCGGAAAGTCCCTGGCATCTAGTCCGCCACGGAAAGCTCGAAGAAGCCGAAAAGTCTCTCGCTCGTTTGGTGCGAAAGTCCGCCAACATCGATCCCAAGAAAACACTTGCCTACATCGTCCACACCAACGAATTGGAACGCGAGATTCAAGCTGGTACTTCCTATCTGGACTGTTTCAAGGGTGTGGAGCTGAGGAGGACGGAGATCGCATGTATGGCTTTTGCTGGGCAAGTGTTTGCTGGCTCGCTATTTGCGTACAACTCGACCTATTTCTTCCAGCAGATCGGCCTAGGTACGAAGGCGACATATCGTATGAATGTTGGTGGCACAGGGATGGCTTTGGCTGCAACGCTCATGTAAGCCCTTCAAAGCATTGAAATATGAAGCTGTGCTGATTGATATCTACAGTTCGTGGTTCGCCATAATGCCGTACGTGGGAAGACGAACGAATTACCTCTGGGGAATGGGAACCATGACAGTAATACTCTTCCTGATCGGCTTCTTGAATATTAAAGAAAGAGATGACAATATCGTTATCACCCAAGCAGCTTTGACCTTAATCTGGACCTTCGTCTTCCAGCTGTCTGCGGGGCAACTCGGTTGGGCTTTACCAGCAGAAGTTGGATCCACGCGACTGCGCCAGAAAACCATCTGTCTCGCCCGCGATGCGTACTACATCATAAATTTTGCAGCTCGTACACTGGAACCGTATTTTCTCAATCCGAGAGAGTGGAATTTGAAGGGCTACACCGGCTTTGTGTGGGGTGGTACGGCTTTGTTGACTTTCATCTGGGCATTTATTCGATTGCCGGAAACGAAGGATAGAACTTTTGGAGAGATTGATATATTGTTTGCAAACAGGGTTCCAGCGAGGAAGTTCAGGAAGTATAATACGGATTTGTATAATGAGAGTGCGCCCATCGTGGAGGAGGCTAGGTCATGATTGATAGCTGCTTATTCGCTTAGCAGCGAACTCGGGTTCCTCTCTGAAGCGCAGAACCAAATCCTTGTGTAGTTTAGTCAAGGGTCGCGCGTGAGCTTTGAGCTGAGAAATCTGACAGTCTGAATGGCTGGATGATTTCCTGAAGTAAGCTATTCATGATTTTGATTGCATGAGTGCTGTTTGGCGACGGCCCTTGAGCTGTGCAATGATATTCCCAACAACCTCCTTTACATCTGTCAGTAGAACAAGGTCTAGGTGCTGTATAGAGATTTTGCAGTTGACTAGTAAACTTGCAGGAACCAGGTGTAGAGATGCTGTGGAGATCCTCATTTTCCGTTGGAGGTCAGGCTACTGTTTGACAAAGCTCAGCACCACTTGAGGAGAATGGGTTGAAGCTTGCTGGTAGGTCTTTAAGGAAGAAATACGCCTGTATAGGGGTATAGGATAGAGCTGAAGCTCTAGAATGCTCACATATATGGGCAGTAGCAAGGCTACGTGAAGCTGGGTGGCAGAAGAAAAAATCAGAAGCGTTTACACATTTCGCAGGCAAGTCTTTTGGATATCCTTTAGGCTTTATAAAAGCTTTATAAATATATGTTACTGAGTACGAATATTTGACTAAAGACCCTGTCCTCTTCCTAACGTCTGCTGGCGTATTGTAGATTAGTGCACGATTTTTGGGCATTTCTGACAGCGTCTGATCTTCTTCCACCAATGCTTCTGGGCCTAGAGTTTGTCTTTCGAATATTCTAGCAAGTAGACTTAGCGACAGCTTGACAACCAAGATGAGCGCAGTCATGACGACACTTGATCTCGGATACAAAGGGGCGGAGGCTTCTTCAAGTGACGAGGATCATACCTCTGAGTTGTACTTGAAAATTTTGCTGGACTGGGCTGAATTTCGACCTGTATTGGGAGAGTTGCTGGATAAATCGCATTTTTCCAGTCTGAATACAAAAAGTTAATGGCCGAAAATTAGGTGACTGGCTGGGACAAGGCAGGTAAACAAAGCAGTGGTGGGCCACAGCTTAAGCGAGATCGTTAGAGCCACTTCCAATAATGTTCTTAGACAAATAGCTCTGGATTCAAGCTTCTCCCGTTCTCCGTACTTTTCTAGAGTTGGCTGCGGACAAAGAGAGAGAGAGTCTGAAAGTAAGCACCGACATTATCATGTAGTTGAGATCAAGAACAGTATGAGAGGATGAAATTCTTTGATGGATTATCCGCAACCTGATTATGTTCCCAGAACATAAGTCAAGTAACTCTTTATAGAACCGGACGGAACTTCTTTCCACGGTCGAGAAACTAATCTCAGTCCAAACATCAAGAAATTGATGCCATGATGGGCACAAGACCATACGGCATACACAAGCCATGCCCAATGACAAAAACCCCTCCCATCAATCTGTCCTGGCATGACCACGAATTCTTCGAGATCTATCACATCCAGAAGGGCTTTTCATTGCCTAATACATCACAATTTTATTCTTACGATATGACAATGCAAAATATCAAAAACGTGGAAGATGGTGTATGGCTTCCCAGAAATTGGAGGATGAGCAGCACGAAGGCGGTGCAACAATAAGAACAAGCAGTGAAACGAATGACTTACAAACAGTACATCGTCGTTGGATCACATCACGATAAAGATACGGAATGTGTGATATTATGAGAATGGCAGTCCTGTGAAGTTGTTCGATCACAACAGGCGGTCTGGATGGTGGGATGATATTGAGTGACTGGATCAATCGGAAAGAGAAGTACAGCATTGTTAGGATGAGAAAGTGGTCTGAAATGAAAAGTTTGATGATGGGAGTGACTACATTTACATGACGCAGTGTGTGGGAGAAGAATCATGGCTCAAGCGTTGAAGTGGAGAGTGACATGGTTGGAAATTCACAGGAAAGACAATTGGTCACTACAGTATATCGACGAATGAGAAAGGGATGGGACGGACTGTGATATTGAGACAGTGACAATGCTTGACCTAGAGGAATAGACCTTGTTTACGCGGTGGCATAGAAACTGATGATGGTTAAACCTAACATCATATTGTATAAATATGGTCTAGCAGTAAGTGAAAAAGGTGGGAAACAAAAAATTCTACTACATCCAGAACATAACCCCACAGATGCTACATCTCTAGTAGTTTTATCTCCTCAACGCATATCGGAATCATTTCCATCAAATCAATGCTTCTGCAGAGCATCTTAATTCATCTCCTTTCCAATCATTCAACTAAGAGAGAAGTCACCCCACCCCGCTTCCCAGAATAGATATCAAGTCTTGAAGAAAAATCGTGAGCTAGCTTCATCTACGAAGTAAGAACCAAACTCAAAGCATATACCATGACGTCCATCATCGCATGCCATGCCTTATCAGTCTCCTCTCTTGCATACCCCCAACCTCAGCATTTTCAAACACCACCCACTCTCCTCCCAAATGACCCTCAAACCCCAAACAAACCCAACATCACAAACCCGCGACTGGATCCATTATCAACTTAGACCATTCCGCCAATACGGCAAATCAAATCTACCTCCTCGCCCTTCCAAAGACGCACCTTAAACTTGGCAGTGAAACGCAGCATCTGCAGCAGTTCAAGCTGAAGCGTCTAGCGATTGAGGCTCCAACTGACTGTACTTGACCCAATACACCTTGGTGTACGGGTACTTGTCTAGTCTGGGCGGATCGGCACGACTTACTTGGGGTATGTGTTGTAGGAAAGAACAAGATAGGTCAAGAATGATACCAAGAGGTCTTAATTGGGGATGTCCAAACCCCATGCGGCGCAAGAACTGTCTCGTTTGGGTGAGCTGATGCCAATGCTGTGAACTCGATGCCTCATGGTTGGCGTGTGTGTATGCGGGGTGACGGTATGGGGTAATGTGAGGCCTCCACAGATCTATTTTGGGTTGGTATGGTTTGGTATGGTTTGGTTTGTAAACCGACAGGCGCGACACAAAACATGATGGGATTGGAACGGCCAAGGCAGGCCAAGGTGTGTAAGAGATGTGTTAAGAGATGTGAGGAGAGTAAATCATTGCTTAATCGCATCTGCCCGAGACATTTCGCCGACTGGGCAGCTGGGCGTATCGGTCTGGGCATACACACAGCAAACATGCAGTCTCAAAACGAAAGGACAGTGTGGAGTATGGAATCTGGAGTATGGAGCATTCAAAATCTGGGGATGATCATGCGAAATGGACACCAAAGCAACGCAGAAACACAGCCAAGAATAGACAACTTCCTGAAAGAAGCAGCGACGTGACGTGAGGGTAATTGTGGTTGGTCACGCAGAAATAGAAAAAGTGAGAGAGGTAACGACAAGAAGAATTGGCAGTCACAGATGTGCCGCAGCGTTGTACTGTACACACCACACAGACGGAACGATTTGTTCATGCGGGGAGATGTCAGCCAAGGCCAAGAAAGGAACAAGGCAAGAGGACATCTTGCCCATAGAAAGAAACAAATCCGGGGGAAATCGAAAATAGAGGGGAGACATGCTATTTTTACTGCTGAGGCGACTTGACTTTTGTTTCGAGATCCTATGATTTTCGATTTGCGGTTTGGGGAAATGATGGGCGATGTATGATTCGGTAGTTGTTGTTGGTGAGGAAGACAAGAATATTGGCAGAGTTGCAAGGTCGTTTGAGAATCATCTGATGTACCTGTATCGCTTCTGAATCTGTCTACCTTCGTCTCCAGAATGGACTAGGCTGTCGCTAGTATCAAAATCCAATCCAAATGCTGTAGGGCTGTCACGTCAGGGAACATGTGAAGCAAATCTAACTTACTCGGCGTCCATAGCCTCTCTATTTTGAGAATCTGGTACGTCGGTACGGGATGGTCCAAGTAGGAATCGATTGTCGAGTCGATCCGAGTCGCGCGCTTGAGAAGGCGACTATCAAACAGTCTTCTTTCAAGTTCTCGAACATGAGGCTCGACTAACAATCGAGCTGGTACTTCAGCCGAACCATACACCGGGTTGTGTTGCGTGCGGCTCCTTCTCCTGTTTGATCACCTGTGATAGGAAGGAGGTTGGTGGTTCATCTCGCATCCTCACGTTTTGCCGAGGATCTCACCTTCTCGCAGCTCCTTGACCTCAACTTACTCAAATTGAGCGTCCTCGCGGCCGCATTCACAGAGAATAATTTTAAACGTGCTCATTCTCCGTCCTCTCCCGAACATCTGTCCACTCGTCCGTTCTCACTGAATCATTTACGTTCTGACATAAAACCACGTTTTAAGTCCTAGCACCATTACAAGATTCACAACAGAGCGGAAGGGATCCCGTCGCATCCTCGACCAGCTGTGGAGCAAGTGAGATGCTCGAACTCATGATCCCTCACTTCAAGCAAATGAAAGCCCGTCCACTACTGGCTTGGTAGTAATCTCGGCGTGTGGAGGTTTCAAGCTTATCTGACCCTCACCCTCATCTCACATCCCCAGTCGCCATATGATAAGATGCACTCCCACATCATATGATCGACCACAAACAAATCTCCAGCGTACAAAGCGAACGCAGATTACTATATCGCCAAGAATACTCATCAGGGACAAAAAGGTCACAGCTTGTGCTTGTGCTCTGCTCGGTGACTTGGTATTCTCTTGGGTCTAAATGCGGAGGTTTCATGCGCGAAAATCAAATCGAATCGAATCGCACCGCACTACTTGCTTGCTTGCCTGCCTCGGGCATTTTCCGTTTTCAAGATCAGACAACAAAGACAAAATAATAATAGGGCCGAGAACGGCAGTTTCCCCCCCCCCCCCCAGACTCAGACTCAGACTCAGACTCAGACTCAGACTCAGACTCAGACTCAGACTCAGACTCAGACTCAGACTCAGAACTTCCAAATCGGCGGAACCGCAACCGTGTTTCAACTACCACGGGGTTGGTCTTGGACGAAGATGAAACGGAATGCTAGGAATCGAGCGGGAGGTACACAAGAAGAAAAATCATCGACCACAGCACAGCGCAACAACCGGGTGAAGCTAAGCTAACCTAACCCACAACCAAAGACCCTGAACGATAAGCGAGCGTGAAACTGTGGTCTGGTCGTGCGTCGTGCAGCAGCAGCGCTTGACTGACTTGGCAGCGGGAATTTTTTGGTCTGGTGTGTGTGCCCCTGCACTACTGTACTGAGCTTGAAGGGAAAAAAAGTCTGTTTTGCGGGATTATCTTGGTTGGTCGAAACCTTGAAGAGGCTCCTCTTCTTGAACCTCCACATTATTATTTGCATATTTATATATGTACATTATGTACAATTTTATATATGTGGGGCCGCAACACGCAGATGCAGTTCCCTCCCCTCCCCTCCGTCCGGAGAGAAGGTGGATTCGATTGCTGTGGATGTGGATGTGGATGTCTGGTCTACTGGAAAGGAAATTCGTACATATATCGCGGCTCTCGTATAGGTTCGTTCGTTTGCTCGCTCGTGCCCCCAACAGCCCCTCTCAGGCGGAAAGAGGATGGATGAACTGGATATATCTCGGGCGGTATGCCGTCATAAGGTCCAGGTACTTCAATCTATGTACGAGCGCCTTAACTTACCACAGCACAGTAAGGTAGGAAATTATGGGCCGAACCGAGGGGACCGACATTTGATCTCGTGAGGGAGTAAGTGGATGCGATGAGTGTGCTGTACGTACGTACTGTACAGTACGAGCAGCAGATTCGAGATTGCTGAATTGACAGCGCATGGAAAAGTAATCAAAAAAAAAAAAAAAAAAGGTAGGCGACTTGCGATCTAGATGGGTCAGGAAAGGAGATGATTGATTAAATAATCGATCTGAGATCGGATTTTCTGATCTGGATCTTCATCTTGGCTGGCTGGCTCTGTTTGTTACCTTACCTTTTACGTGCGCGACGAACATCACATGGGCAATAATACGGTAACACCATACAAAGATCGAGGATGTATACAAAGCAGCCTGAAAGCAGTGCTTCGGCCTGGGCATTGGCAGGTTACCTTATTACCTACCTATCTTACCTACTCGCTCGTAAATTTACCTACCTCACGGCACAGTATGGTCAGAAGAGTTCCTGCCTTTTCTGTCCGTCTGTTCGTCTGTCCTGTATTGGGTCGGCTGCTCTCCAGCCTGTACTGTAAGCCAAATAATAACGTAGGTAACCTGTCTGTAGGCTGTAAGGTATGGAAGAATAACTGGAGAGATTCGGGGAATCCCAGCGATAAGCGAAGAAAATAACAAGGGACGAGACCCTGACAAGAACCTGACAAGACATGCAAATAAATATGGGGAAAATCATAGAAGTGCATTTTTGGGAATTTATCCCCCCTTCCCTTCTGTCCATCCTATCAAATCACCCAAAAATCTGTGAAAATGCCTCGGAACCAACCTGGAGTCCCCAAACGGAACGGTGAAGCCGTACCTACAGGTACCGTAGAGTACAGTAGGGTGATTGCGGGTTTGGAACTTTGGACCTTTGGAGCTGGGGCATTGCTTGGACTCGACGGGACATCTTGCGTGCGGTGCGGTGCGACATTATCATTGCACAGAAAGATTGGAAAACTTCAGACTGCATCATTGAAAGGGTTCGAACTCTCCCTCAAAATTATCTTGCAGCAGCCAGCCAGCCGGGCTCGCTGGGCGGGCTGTCTGGCTGTCTTGTCTTTGTTGTGATCGATGGATGGATGCACGGTGCAGGGCAGGGCAGGGCAGGGCAGGGCAGGAGAAAAAAATTTCTGCATTGTTTTGAAACTGGCCCGCTGCTCGAGATCTGCGGTTCGGGAGTTGGGGGGTGCTGTGTGGTGGAGCCCTGGTGCTTGCTCGAGGTGCTGCTCGCTGGTCTGGCTTTGGCTTTGCTGACTGCCCTGCCTGACTTTGCTTTTTGGGTGGTGATTTGCGTTGCTGGGGCAGGGCAGGGGAGGGAAGCGGAAGGGGATGGGGATGGGGACGGGGACGGGGACTGGGACTGGGACTGGGACGGGGGGCTTTTTTGTTTGGACGGAATTTCGTAGGCGAGGGAGAGGGAAACGTGCAAACAAAACGCGGGATTCAGCCCGCTGGCTTTGACCGTTGCTTTCATAATTCGAATATGGATTTTTATGAATTCTTGAAGAAAGGAAATTTGTACACAAGCGTAAGTGGCGCCGGACCCGTCGGTCGCTGTTGGCAACGGGTTACATTCCAGATGTTATTGTTATGGTGAGTAGGTGTTAGCTGACTCAGGCATTGCGACACACAACAGCATGGCACTCTTCCAAAACTCGATAAGGCTAACGAACTACCGAGAAGGGCTTTTTCGTCTCGTCACCGGGGCTTCTCGAAGAAAATAGAAGGAACAAGAAACGGAGTCTGTGCCTGCCAAGAAGGGATGAGTGTTTTATTGTTGTCGAATCGATCAGTTGAAACAAACCCCTCCTCCGTCTTTTCTCATCTTCGTTGCCCCAGAGCCCCGACCCCCAAAATTGGGCTCGTGTCGTGTCGTGGCGGTCAGGAAAGGACCCTGGCGAAAAGGAAGAGAAGATCAGATCTTCAGTATTATCTCACTACTACTGTACTGTACTACTGCACCAAGGAAAAGATCGTAGCGAGGAAATAGCAGACGCCGATGCCGACACTGACGGGTGAAGGCAGGCGCGAAACACCATACTCGTACGGTTCGGAGTGAGCGAGACCAGGGACATTGGACACCACTCACGTGACCGAGCCGAGGATTTAAATGCCGCATAGAAATTTGCGGGTGGATGGATGTAGGCGAGTGGGTGATGTCCCATCCATCGGTCCTGTCGGGCAGTCGGTGTAAGGTAATAGGAAATGTCGGAAGCACCGGAGAGATATAGTAGTTTTGAAGAGAACTTCATCATACGTGCGGAAGAGTGTTCACGGCAGACTGGATTGAGGCAAGCCGGGGGGGGGGGGGGGGGGGGGGGGGGCAGAGAAAGTGCTTTTGGTAAGTTGACAGGTGTGCGCGCGCGCGAGAGAGATAAGCAATACAGTAATGCTGAATACGATTAATGATACAAATAACCTTACTGGAGAAGCGAAAGTTTGACAGGGTTAGTAAAGATACAGTTTTACCGCCCCCCCCCCCCCCCCCCCCCCCCCCCCTCCCCATCCCCATCCCGCTAGTCGGCACAAAACTTCCGCGCAGATTCTGTAGATGGGCGCCCGCATGCAGATTTGGACGGACGTGGAGGACGCAGATGGGCAGGGCAGGGCAGATGAAAGCGATGAAGAAGATTTGCTGCGATGCTGTACAGTACTGTTGCAGCTGCAGACGGAAGATCCATGTGGCGTGTGAGGGCTGCATCAGGCCGGTCCAGTTGAAGCCACAGGGAGGGGTTTGCAGCATGCCACGGCGACAAAGAACACGCTGGAGACGCTGCTGGTATTTAGGTACACATGGCCTGAAGTGAGCCCACTGAAGAGGCTTGCATAGGGCTTCGCCTGGACCCAGCCTGGGGCAACGAGGGCACACACCAGCTCCAAAACAACCTGAGAGCTTGAGCTCGTGAAGCTCTCCCAGAGCTTTGCTTGGCTGCAGAGGAGGGGGAAACAAAACAAAACTACTACGGAGCTGCACAGTCTGCAGCGCAGTGCACCTCCGTACGGCGTTAGCTCAAACGTCAATCGGGGATTCGGGGGGCTGCTAAGCTTTCGAGGCCCTCTCCAGACCGCCCAGCCTAGCTGACTCGCGTTAGCAGGTGGGGTATGCAAGATGGTGAGGCGTGAGCTTGCTACGGCGTTGGTTGTTGGATGTCTCTCCCCATCACACTTTCTTTGTCCATCTGGTGCTACGGTGAGCAGAGATACAATCATAGCAGGAAGTAGGTAGCAGCAACAGAGGAGGAATGATGGGCGCCCATGTGCCTCTGCTGCCGCCGCATGCATCCATCTATCGACAATTTCAGCGAATCTGCGAGCAGTGATAGCGAAGATTAGACCAGACCACCCAATAATGTTAGTTTGGCATTTGCTAACAGAAATCGAAATAAGAACTGGAGGCGATGGGTGCAAAAAGCAAGCCGCCGCTTGTCCTGCCTATCATGCCCATCCTGTCTGTTTGTTTGCTGCTCTTCTTCTGTCGTGTCTTGTTGTTGAAGTAATATTGCTGCTCTCCAGTGCATACAAGTCATATCACATCAGGTCCACCAGATAGGCCAGTTGAAGCCATATCGGGATGCCAATTCCCTTTTGTGCCAATAGCGCACTGGACACTCGCTCATGCGACTCAGCGGTCTAGTCTGCTTCGGGGTGTATATACCGTGACGGGTCGAGTATTGTTGCTGCAAGCAGCCGTGTGAGCCGAGCTAGACACGCAGAGTAGAATTACGGTGTCCACAGGGGAGTCGAGTCGACGTCGAAGATTGGAGACTCCATTTCCGGTTCAGACCGAGGTACGCTGGCGCTGTTGAGGCTGATGGAGCTGATGGGACATGATCGATGGATGAGTAAAGCCGTGAAGCAAGCAAGTGAAGCTTTGAACCTCTCCTTATATGGAGACTTGCAAGCACGGTTGAAAATCTACAGGCAGACGGTTAGGTCAGGTATCTGATCATCCACAGGTCTCAAAGCTACAGCACGGAGATTTTGTATGGCGTGCTGCATCTTGCCCAGACGAGAGTGCAGCACAATACGGCGACCACAAGCCACCTTCACTCTCATTACCACAACAGCACAACAGTCCCTCATATCTCACACAAAACTCCCAACAGCCAACAGCCATCCCACATGCAGCGCAGTTCTTCCGTTGTTGTGCCCTGCTGCCCTGGCCTGCCCTGCCCTGCCCTACACTTCGACCACGGCCCGCACTACGGTACAAGCGGCATGGCGCTTATACGGGAAACATCTCTCTTTCTCTCTCCCCGACCAGGTTCAGGGCATGTCAGAAGAGGAAACAGAGTTCCATCCGTCAGAGCAGCGAGCGCAAGAGATAAATTTCAGCGAGCCGCCATTGGCCAATTGCACGCTCGGGAGTATCTCGCCCAGCCCAGCACAGCACCGCACCGTTCGCCTCGTCAACTCTCGAGTCGTGCGCCAGTGGACCACCAGCCATGGATAGCCCTGGTTGAGCCCGTAACTCCTGATTGGTGGGCATCGGACTGAATGGGACTATCCAGGCTACCGGCTGGGATCACCCCCATTGCCTCTCCGTCATCTTACGCTGCTGTTCCCTGCTGGTGTGCAGGGGAAACTACGGTCGCCGGCGTGTTAGTAAGGCGGAATGGTGGGTGTGGGCTTTTGACGGGCTACGGACGTCGGTATTGCATCATGGTCGTATTTTGACCTAGACAAGTGATGGCATCGAGCATCCAGGTGTTGCACAGTCAGCGTGTTCAGTGCTGGCTGTTGCGGCTGTTATGATGCTATTCCGAGACTCGGTGCAGACTGTGCAGGATGAGTGTGTTTAGTCAACAGATCTGTCGTCTCGATTAGGTTGCTTGATGAGGATGACTGTAGATTTCCTCCTACGTAGCGAGCTAGCTGCTTCAGTACGGGGTGCATTCGGTTCAAGCTCTGTCCGTGGCATTTGAATGTATGTAGGCTAAGTCATGGCCTGCAGTCCAGGCATTCAGTGGACCTCAGCCAGATTTTCAGCAGTCTTGGGGCACTATATTGTTCTTTCAGTGGACTGTCCAGCTTCTGGAGCGTGCATCCAGAGCACTCCAGAGCAGCTTTGCTGCACTATCAGTTACTTTCTTTCTACTCTCTTACCTCATACCCCCACGATTTGCCTGTCCCTTTTCCAAAGTATCTCTTCTTGCGTCAATGTTGGCACACGATCCATCCCGTATCTAACCCCATTCTTATTGTGATTGTTATCATACCTCATTCTCGCTATCAAATCTCCTGTTCATCCATCCAAACATCCACAGTTGAGTTTACATTCCAAGCCAGTCGTGGTGCTTCCAGGCGCGCCAGGCACTCCACAAGGAGTCCACTGGGGAAATTTCGCCGCAATACTCTTGCGTGCCCCCCATGGCGGACACACCACTGACTCCTCCAACCCACAGCACAATCTGTATGTGTTGGCTGTGATCCCTACAGTTCCCCCTACAAAGCCCCCGACGCCTTCATCCCTACTGTGCCCACACTACCTACCGTACCCCTACCCCTACTCCATACCAGCCAAGGGCCAAGCGACTCAGGCTTGTCTCTGTTTTCCGTGTGTTTCTCCATTCTGCCACTCTGGTTGTTTATCACTTACCCCCACTAACGCGCCAATTCGAAATGATTGTTTTGATTTGCTTTGCACCGTGCACTGTTGCTTGCTCCACGCCTAGCTTGCTAGCTCGCTGGCCTGCAAATGGGTAAAGCCGCCTGCTTGCTTGCTACTTGCTAGGTATGGGTACGGTATGGATGTTTTGCGCCCACCCGCTTGCTGGCTCGCCTACCTGCCTGTGCTGCTGCCAAAGTGCCAAAATGCCTCACTCAAGCCCAAAGCAAAGACCAGTCAGTAGTACTTAGTCCACATCCACACCTAGAATGCCCACTACCTACCCTACCTACCCTACCTACCACACCCCTCCATCCCACGGTCGTCCCAATGACCCCCCAGGGCCCCAGGCCCAGTAGTAGTAGCCACCTCCAGCCAAAACCCTAGCTAGAAATCCACCCTACACCTGGTCAATGGCCATCCTGAAAAAAGCCAGATGCCGTCAAGTCCGAGCGAGAGTGACGCCGTTACAGCTTGACTCCCGCAATGGCCGTCAAAACCGATGTCGCTAAACCGGAAAGACTTAGCTGTTGATCCTGCCAGCCCGTCGCGAGCCTTAGATTAAATAGAGCTCCCACCCCCCGAGCACAACTTTCCTTCCAATCCTTTTTTCTCTCGTCTTTGTGCAGGTGCCGTGCTGTGGTCTTCTTCTTTGAGCTGTCGTCCCTCCCATCTCCCCTCTTCCTCCCATCGCAATGGCTCCTCATCAGGACATTGGAAACGGCGAAGCCGAAAAAGAGCTCCGACGCGATGCTCAACCCAACGACGGCGGCGATTTGGGCGAGTACGGTAACCTCGTGAAGTACATCTCCAACTACAGAGATGGCCGCCGGGCTTCCGTCGCTGGCTCCATCTACGACGACACTCCCAAGAAGAAGTGGTATCAGTTCGGCAAGAAGACCAAGTTGGTGCCCGGTGCCGATGGCAGCTTCGAAGCTCCCGAGGAGTGGATGCAAACCAACTGGAAGGCCGGTTTGACGACAGCCGAGGTCGAGCAGAGACGAAGGAAGACTGGATGGAACGAATTGACCACGGAGAAGGAGAACTTGTTTCTCAAGTTCCTGGGTTTCTTCACCGGGCCCATTCTCTATGGTAAGCTTCAATTGACGCGCATCGAGCAGTGAGAACAGCCACCTAACAATCCCTAGTAATGGAAATCGCTGTCCTGCTCGCGGCTGGTCTGCGTCAATGGATCGATCTCGGTGTTATTATCGGTATTCTGTTGCTTAATGCTGTTGTCGGTTGGTATCAGGAAAAGCAAGCTGCCGATGTCGTCGCCAGTTTGAAGGGTGATATCGCCATGCGCACAACTGTCGTCCGTAATGGTGTTGAGGAGGAGATCAAGGCTCGTGAATTGGTTCCCGGTGATATTGTAAGTCTCACACTCGATCACTGCAATCAATTGATCGCTCTGCACCCAATTGGCAATTCTAACAATTTTATTACAGATCATCATCGAAGATGGTCAAGTCGTTCCCGGTGATGCACGAATTATCTCGGCCTACGACAACCCCAACGGTTGGGCAGAATATCAACGCGAATTGGAAGCTCAGGCTGGTGAGTCTGCTGCTGAAAAGGGCGAGGATGATGATGAGCTGGAACACAAGCACGGATCGGGATACGCTCTTCTCGCCATCGATCAATCTGCCATGACTGGAGAGTCCCTCGCTGTCGACAAGTACGTCGCCGATGTCATCTACTATACTACTGGTTGCAAGCGTGGAAAGGCATACGCCATCATCACCCACTCTGCTAAGACTTCCTTCGTCGGTCGCACTGCTTCTTTGGTCTCTGGTGCCAAGGATCAGGGTCATTTCAAGGCTATCATGAACTCTATCGGCACGTCGCTTTTGGTTTTGGTCGTCGGCTGGATTCTCGCTGCCTGGATTGGAGGTTTCTTCCACCACTTGCAAATCGCTACTCCTGAGGACAGCTCCAACAACTTGCTCCATTACGCTCTTATCTTGTTGATCGTCGGTGTTCCCGTCGGTCTCCCAGTCGTCACCACCACCACTCTCGCTGTCGGTGCTGCTTACCTCGCCAAGGAGAAGGCCATTGTGCAGAAGCTCACTGCCATTGAATCCCTCGCAGTAAGTTTATTCATTCCCCCTCATTTGCACGTTTTTGGTGTTGCATGTGGTCTGCAGTTAGTGCTGTGACGGGTCGCTTGGTCATGCAGCCTCGCCAGTCACTATTGGCTGGATTTGGCATATCCGACATCCTCTATATCCCGCCTACTCCACATTGGATTACTGTGAAGCTTGCATCCAGACTGCCCGGCCTATGAGCTCCCATACCAATAGCATGTGCAGAAAACAAAAACTAACAAACAATTCAGGGTGTCGATGTTCTCTGCTCCGACAAGACCGGTACGCTCACTGCCAATCAACTCTCCATCCGTGAACCATTCGTTGCCGATGGCGTCGATGTCAACTGGATGATGGCTGTTGCCGCTCTCGCTTCTTCCCACAACGTCAAGTCCCTCGACCCAATTGATAAAGTCACAATTCTCACCCTCAAGCGTTACCCAAGAGCCAAGGAGATCCTCTCCCAAGGCTGGAAGACCGAGAAATTCACTCCTTTCGACCCTGTCTCCAAGCGTATCACTGCTATTGTCATCAAGGATGGTGTCCGCTACACTTGCGCAAAGGGTGCCCCCAAGGCTATCCTGAACCTGTCCAACTGCTCCAAGGAAGATTCCGATTTGTACAAGGCCAAGACTACCGAGTTCGCTCGTCGTGGTTTCCGCTCCCTCGGTGTTGCCGTTCAAGAAGGTGATGGAGACTGGCAATTGCTCGGCATGTTGCCCATGTTCGACCCTCCCCGTGAGGATACCGCCTCTACTATCGCTGAAGCTCAAGTTCTCGGTCTCTCTGTTAAGATGCTTACTGGTGATGCTATTGCTATTGCCAAGGAGACTTGCAAGATGTTGGCTCTCGGTACCAAGGTCTACAACTCTGAGCGTCTCATCCACGGTGGTCTCTCCGGTACTACTCAGCACGATCTCGTTGAGAAGGCTGATGGTTTCGCTGAGGTCTTCCCCGAGCACAAGTACCAGGTCGTCGAGATGTTGCAACAACGTGGACATTTGACTGCCATGACTGGTGACGGTGTCAACGATGCCCCATCTCTCAAGAAGTCCGACTGTGGTATCGCCGTCGAGGGTGCTACTGAAGCCGCTCAAGCCGCCGCCGATATTGTCTTCCTCGCCCCAGGTCTCTCCACCATTGTCTCTGCCATCAAGATCGCCCGTCAAATTTTCCAACGTATGAAGGCATATATCCAATACCGTATCGCCCTCTGCTTGCACTTGGAGATCTACCTTGTCACGTCCATGATCATCATCAACGAGACCATCCGCGCTGAGCTCATTGTCTTCCTCGCCCTCTTCGCCGATCTTGCCACCATTGCCGTCGCCTACGATAACGCACACTTCGAGCAACGCCCAGTCGAGTGGCAACTACCAAAGATCTGGATCATCTCCGTCGTTCTCGGTATACTCCTTGCCCTCGGTACCTGGGTCATCCGCGGTGCCATGTTCATGCCAAACGGAGGTATCATCAACAACTTCGGCTCCATCCAAGGTATACTCTTCCTTGAGGTCTCCCTCACTGAGAACTGGCTCATCTTCGTCACCCGTGGAGGCGAGACCTGGCCATCCTGGCAACTCATCGGCGCCATCTTCGGTGTCGACGTCCTCTCCACCCTCTTCACCGTCTTCGGCTGGTTGACCGGCGGCGCCGGCGAGCCCTCCGACCCCGTCACCGTCAACAGACTCCTCTCCACCGACGGCCGCACCTCCATCGTCACCGTCGTCATCGTCTGGGGCTACTCCATCGGAGTCTCCATCGTCATCGCCATCGTCTACTACCTCATGAACCGCATGTCGTGGCTCGACAACCTCGGCCGCGCCAAGCGCAGCCGCGCCGATACCCAGATGGAGAACATCCTCTCCCACTTGTCAAAGGTCGCTATTGCCCACGAGAAGGACGAGTTCGGAAACAACAGATGGCACCTTGCCCCCAAGGCTACCGAGGCCGAGGAGGACGACTAGACTTCCCACCCTCTTCTCATCGCATCTCGCCATCACCATCTGCAGCACAGATATACTCCCTACCAGTCACTAACGTCTCTGATTGGATACGGAGCTGATGTTGCATTTGGGCAGTTTTGGCGAGGTGTGTTTGAATTGAAACGTGTTCGATTTGGATAACATGTTTTTTGCTGGGTTTTCTTGTTGTATGTCTGAAATGTGCGATTTTTAGTGTGTAATTAACTCCTTTTGACATATATGTTGTTGTCTAGATTTCAGGGTAATGGTGTCAGGGTTGATACCACAAACAAATAAATTTTTCTATGTTAATTATCTGATTTGTGCCAAATCGCTTTTGCTATGTGAATTAAGTGATTTGATCTACTTGTGATACTTGCTCCAGCTTCAATTATTTCATCCCTCTCTTCTCTCTCCCTGTCCCTCTCCCTCTCTTCAACAATCATAGGTTTGAAGCTCGAAATCATTTTTTTTTTCTTTTCTTCATCTCCCTGGCAACCGATTGAACTCCACCATACTCCGTACGTTCACCGTCCGTACCTGCATGTCAACACTCCACTCCACTCCACTATCCTCCACTCCCAGAGAAAACCCAGATCGCAAATCTCAATTTCCGTCGCCCCTCTCCACAAACGCACATACGGATTCAATCAAATCTCTCAAAAAAACCCGCAAAAAAATATATGCCCGCCCCCCCCCCCCCCCTTTTCAACTCAACTCCCGTCCATCGATCGTGAAATAATCTACCCACCCACAAGCAAGCAAGCAACCCCACCATCGTACATGACAAATTTCGATTGATCTCAAATCTCGGCCAAGTAATTAAAATGAATGTTGCCCATTCCCTACTCCCCCCTCAATCCACTTCCTCTCCACTCATCCATAAGAATAAAAATTCCCAATTCCCAATTCCAAGTCCTGCTCCCACAAAAAAAAAGACCCTTAAGGTTACTTCTTTCTCACCGCCTTCGGTAATCGGCCGTGTGTGTGAATTACGTGCGTGTGTGCGTGCATGAGATAGGTAGGTAGGTAGGTATCCACACGAGCTCGAGTTTGACTCGAGCTCTCTTCCTTCTCCACTTTCTTCGGAGAGGGGGGGGGGGGGGGGGGGGGGGGGGGGGGGGGGAGGAAGGTGACGGGAGGGTCTTGCTACACATTCCCACATTTCTCGTCCTGCTCTTTGCGAGACGAGACGAGACGAGATAGCTTAATTGGAAAGATGGGAAGATGAGAAGGAAGAAGGCAGGCGAACCGAGCGAGAAGGAAGCCGGTCCGGTACGATACCTACCAAGAGGTACAGAGAGAACAGAAATAGAGAGATGCGATTAAGTGTGTCCACTTGAATGAATGTGCGAGAGAAGAGTCAGACCGCTGCTTTGAGCTTTGAGCCTTGAGCCTTGAGCCTTGAGCTGGGCTGCGCTGGGGTGGTGGCTACCGAGGGCGGTAAAACACTGGCTTGGGAAATACCGTATCTGAGCTGGCTGGGTTGAGTCGAGTCGCGTCTGTACTGTATGAGGTTGCTAGGTATCAAGGTATCTAGGATAGGTATCTAACTAAATAAATGACCGACCGACCGAGTTCTTCCGCACCCAAGATGCTTGTGTGGTCTTGGTGCAGAAAGAAGGATGGAAGGATTCTTCCGGGGGCGGCATTTTGGAAGGAAGGAGGGAAGGTTCTGATCTTACTGGATTGGTAGGTCGGTAGGTAGGTAGGTACTGTAAGTCAATGCAGAAGAGACAGGAGAGGTCAGGACAAGACGAGACAGGATCGCGGGTGCGGCGTTCGTTCCGTTTGTTTTCTACGTTTCTTTGGGGGGGGGGGGGGGGGGGGTGGTTTTGGGGGTGAAGAAAGAAAGAACGAAGTCTTGATGGTTCTTGGGGTTCTTGGAGAAAAGAGTTTTTTGGTACGTGGGCTCATCCAGCGGGCTTGATTGTCTGCCTGTCTGACTCTACATCCCTCAGAGGAAATCCCTCATACTAACCTAATTAATCTGTGAATGAAATCATGGATGGATTGATGGATTGAATTCATTACTCGAGGCTGCTGGGCTGCATTGCATTGCATTGCATTGCATTACATTACAGTACATGAGATTGGATTGAACTGGACTCGCCTGAACTGGGTGATATTGAAAATGTGTGACTGGATGAATGGGCGAATGGATGGATGGTTGGGGGGTAGTGCGGCTGTTCGGAAGCTGATCACTCAACCGTACTCACTCAGGCACGCGAGCAGGACAGGCATTGTTCAATTCAGGATGCATGCATGCATGCATGCATGCACTTGAGGGTATTCTTCCGGTATTCTAGAAGGATTTCCAAGAGTTCTAGCGGCTTTTCTGTATGCAGGTTTCCCATCCAGCCGCATACTATCCCGCTCCATATTTCCGGGGTGGGAATGACTTGGTGAGGATTTTTGTGGTGGTGAGGTAAATCCCTCATACTAGAAGTACGAGTCTGAGGTGCAGGTACAGATGCGGTGAAGGAGTAGGAGTAGGAGTAGGGGCGGTGAGATATGTGAAGTGAAGTAACGGATGTTCGATGTATTATCTAGCGTTCCGGGTTTGATGGTTTTTGGTTGGTAGTCTGGGTGCTGGCGTGGTTGGTTGATTGGTGGGTCTGGGAATTGCCTCACTCAGTTAGTATTGGACACCGCCGTAGTCGAGTTTGAGTAGCTCAAGGCGTTCGGGGAGCTGCATAGGGCTGGAATTGGGCTATTTGAGTAATGCTGCAGAGAAGCCCATTGGGTCTTCCGTACCTCGTGTATGGTAGACGAGGCGTTCTTGTGAGGAGTCGGTTAGCTTCATTTTTCGAGGTGGAATGTGGGTGGTGTGGACCATGGAGCGAGGCAGATACTAGCTGGATGGGAGGTTGTAAGATCTTGAGAGTCGTTGTAGATTGCCCTTGTAAAGGTAACTAACTGTCTATTGTATATGTAATTATGACCCGCGTTGTGTAAGATGGGCCTATCTCCGATAAGTCTCCATTGCCTCTGACTGTTCAGAGTCAAGAACTGACCCACATCTCTACTTGATATTCTATTCACCCATCCAACTTAAACACCTTTTGGATACCCCAATCCTCATCTTCAACCATCCACAGCATTCTATGTGATATCTGATCACGGTTGCTCTCAAAATCCCTCTTCCGTTGGAGAAATTTGAGCCTCGATGCGGAGGTCAGAATTGGCTTGAATTCCAATACTTGCCGTTCCCACCATCGCTTGCCTTGGATGGCAGTATCTTCAGCCACCTGGTCACATCTATTGTAAATGCTTCCCTGCTGAGACTAAGATGTGTTGGAAGTATCCCACATACGTTCATACGGGTAGACCTCGGTCCTCTTCTGCCAAAAGGGAAATGTTTTTTTGAAGATAGGATGGAGTAAAGAGTCACTAAGACAGGCAAACTTGTATTCTGGAGACTCAACAACATCTGCGTGCTCCAGATAGACAAGATTAGCACTGCTCTTCTCATCATTGATTCATGGTGGGACGATAGTAAGGCTTTTGACATTCCCAAACCTTCTCAATACTTCGCTGATCCAGGATACTATGTGTATATTGCTTGGGTATCGCCCTCCATATAGTGCGAGCTTCTGGACCAGCTTAACATCATCGCCGAGATCATGAGGCGTAAAAAAGAATTTGAACTCAAACCTTTGCCTGTAATCTACAGATTTTGCAACAACCCATTCCAGATACAAGGTGGCGAGATCAAAGTTGAACTAAGCATTAGGTGGATGAGTCTTCGTGCCAAAGCATTTGGTGTAGATTGTCCTGGCAATCTTATGAGACTCCACACACACGTAGAACAGTTCCGGCACACTCCTGCTCTGCAAGCCAAACCCGGACATGATTGGCGCAGCGCTCCCTCTGGCGTCTTTAGATTGGTGGTCGAGATCGAAGAAGGCCATGCTATGAGGATCTCCAATTGAAGTCTGCGACCAGACTCGAGAGCAGTAGTGTTCCGGCTCCTTGATGACTTCGAGGTATACGATGCGAGGGAAGGCTGCGGCTTGCCATATCACTTCACGTATTTCGGCAGGGAGGAAGGACAATTGTGGGAATGAGGTTGCAGCCACTGGTAGTGCTTCGGGTTCCTCATTTGAAGACATTATGGAGGTGCTTGGGGACGGTGATAGGTGTCGATATCTTGGTTGGAGGAGCCTTCGGAAATGGTTCCATGGTCTACCAGCGGATAGATGTGGTTCAAGCTAGACTGGGACTTAGATCGAGCCATGTAGTAGTGGGAAAGCTCAATGAACTTTATAGTTCTGCGAGCTTTGTAACTAGGTATGAAATGAAATGGCTGGAAGGCTGGTAGGTGTGACTGAATGGTGTGGACTCGGGCCAGAGAGACGCGACATAACCCCTGAGGTCTCGCGTCAATTCCAGACGACGTGAAATCGCGCTTCATTTTCCACCACCTCTCCTCATTTTCTCAAGGTCAATCTACTTTCAAGCCGTCAAACTCTTTCGTATATTATATTCTAATTTATCAAAAAATTTGATGCCATCCAATGCGAGCTATCGCTCGTCGGCATAATTAACCTCGTCGCCATGGGCCCAGTCTCTCTGCCAGGAAGGTAATTATCCCAGCTTTCCTTACCAACACTGTATCTAGGCCATAATTACGGAAACCTTCAGTACCTTTCGATTGACTATCCTTCTTGAACTTGATTGACTTTTTTTTATACTGGAGTCAGAAGCCGGCAGAGCAGGACTGCTGTTTGTCTGGTGGTCCGTTGATGGATGCTCCACGCCATGGGCTTCCCTATGTCGCCCGTACTTTGCTTTCTTGTTGTTGTTCTATCCAATGTCAGATTATGACCAATTAAAGCTGCATCATTTACTCAAAGTTTTTCAAGATCATTGAGGCGCTGGTCTGACAAGACCAGCCTTTCTCATCACGTTCTAAACAGCTTGCTATTGACATAGCTAAACCTACTGTCCACATGCTCTGAATTCTAGTTATGAAGCTTATGATATTTATGTTCTTCGAATCCTATCTAGAAGTTCTCTATGCTCCTAGTGGTTCTTTTCATGCTCAGACGCCAAGTTTGTTGAAGTTTTGAGCAAGTCTCCGAAAGCACTTGCCAAAATCTATATCGCTTCTTCAGTTCAGGCAGGAGCACGCTCCACATCTTTTGACGTGCCAATAAACTAATCATCCATCTTCAAGCACTGACAGACAGTAATTGGCATATTAATCCACACAAACAGCATCATTGTGAGTGCGGTTCAGCCTGTAATTTACGGACGACTGACAGCCGAATATCTTTAACGACACTATATTTATCAACAAAAAGTCTAGGGGGAAAAGCCACGAGACAGAAAAGAAAGCAATGGATACTGCGCAAATACACCACGCGACCCCAGTTTATGGCCGAGAAAGAGGAACTTCAAGTCCGGCTGACTTTACGAATGACCGTCAAACGAATTCCAGTTTACAACTTCCGACTCTAGAAACGAGACTCGCCACGTCTACTCCATGTTCTCCAGCTGAAGAGTTTGTTGTTGAAGAAGAACAACAACCTCTCTCCACAACGGAACAGCAAGCAGGGCCTCTGATAGCGATCCTCGGTGGCTCCTGTGTGGAAACAGAGTCAACAGGATCAAAAACCCGTGTAGCGTCAACCCCAGACAACCAAGAGGTTGAATTTGCCAAAGCCATCCTTAATCCAGCCCCCAGCGATGAAGATATCGATCGAGGAATCAGACAGGGCTATCGGTCTCCCGTCTTTCAATTCCTGGAAACAAGAACTCCGACTGATACACTTCCGGAAGACTCGATCGCTGCCTTGCCAGAATTGGAGAGAAATATGCTATACATGAAAAGAAGATGGTTTTCAAGTCTAATTCCCGCTTGGCTAGAAGAAATCGTTGACTTCATCATCAAAGATCGAAAGGACAGCCCGATTACTAACTTTGTCTGCCTCGGCGTCGGCACTGGCGATTGGTGCTCGCAATTCTTGATATTCTCGCACGTTGTGGCTCAACTCGGCAGATTCGATCCAAGTGTTCTGGGCAATATTTACGTGCAGGTGAGTACTGCCACAGGTTCGCAACTCCTCTTTCAGATGCTTCATGGCTTGATAGCACTTCACTATATGTGAATCGTCTTGATTGCTGGGATAATCTTTGGTTCACTTTGTCTATTTGTGCCGAGACTCTGACTTTGATTTATTCTCAGGATCCAATGATGTCAGCAGAACATCGCTCATTGTTCATTAATCACGGCTGCAAGGTTGTAGAGTCCCCGACAGTGTTCGAGTACATTAATGCAAACACGTTTCTCATGGCCGCATCCGTCTCGACGGAACATCTTGTGGGCGGACTGGAAGGCAGAGGGGTTAGGGAACTTGCTCTATTCATTGGAAACGGCAAGGGAATACTCGATACCGCTAACTGTGAGTCGATCTTCCTTTCTGCTAATGCTGCAACATTCGTAGCCAAACATTGACAAGACTCTCAGCGTCCCAGCAACGTTTCCCCAGCTGGATCAGGACGGTCGGGCCGCTCTTGGATGAAGAGCTTTGCTGCCATCGAGACTTTCCTACCAATCGTGTATTGAATGAGTCTGACGGAGAATTATTCCGTGGATTAGCTGGTCTTGATGTTTGGTGGAGACCTGTCTTTCCAGAAAATTCAATAGTGGCTATCCGATACAACTATGCCTGTGCTCTCGGCTTCCCAGGAAGTCTCGAAGAATTCGAAGCAGCCTACCGGCTGGGCTATTCACAGCTTGCCAAACAGCTTCGGGATAGAATAGTCTGCAGCTTCGTTGCTGCATCTCATGACCGTAATAGACTGCCTTTCCAAGAATACTACCGACGATACTACATAGCAGAATTGAACGAAGGTCTGACTGAGCAGCAAAGAAGATATGAAGAAGGCATTGCGAGATGGCAATCAATGAACAAAGTTTCGGGCAGGCAGCGTACTTGGTTGGAATACATCAACGGCGACCGATCCATTTCGCGTCATCCAGCATGTAGGATTACAGGTTGGAAAGAGCCTGCGCAAAAGTTGCCATCAACATCAAAAGAACAGAGAGAGTTGCTTGAAGTCAAGAAGAGGTGGGAAAATACGGCGAATGCTAGAAAGCTGACGGAAATCCTGGACCAAATCACTCAAGATCGAAGACATTCCCTCATGTAAAATCTGGCATCAGTGCTAATTTTCTCCTCAGGTGGCGCCCATCACGAACCGAAGAAGAAGAATTCGATTTCCGCTTCAAGCGTGCCAGAGATATCGGGTTTCCAAACAATATCGACTTCTTCAGAGACGGCTGGAAGAAGGGATACAAAGAACTTCCAACATTCATGCAGAATACGGTCGTGCTCAGTTATGTCTCTGGACTTGATGCATATGGTTCCCCGACGACCGAGTGTCGCGACTTCGGCTCCCATGTTTGGGAATATGTAAACAGAAAAGGGCCATTAAGCGAAAAGCAACGTATCCTCGAGTCACATGTGGATGCTTGGCTTGTTAGGTCTAATGCTCAGACCAGACGAACGTTCTCTTTCACACAATATCTAAAGTGCAGGGAAAGCCTTCAGGTCCGGCAGTCTGGGGCATCAGGCAGATCGAAGTGAAAGGGTCAATAGCGGGCTAAGATGGTTACTGGTTGGATTTTGGAGGCTGCTGAATGCTCGTGTATTCCCATTTCCTAGTCCAGGGTATCAACAGACAGCAAATGGAGCTTATTTGAAATAAGTTCCAGAGAATCGAGGTTCTATCGCCAACCCTGGCTGAGACAAAATGCTATTTTTGTTTATTCATGGGTTGACTTTGTACAGCTGGTAACGTCGCTATAGCTTTCGCAGTAGGACAGCAGAAAAGGAATGAAGCAAAAAATGTGACAACAGTAATCCAAATGTTCAGACAAGGTCATAATTTTGCAAAGCCGAGTCCTGCTCTTGCATGTAGCACCACGCCCAGGGAGACATACATGGCAGTCAACCTGTACTGCCCATAAATGGTGCCTCATCGCCCAAAAATTCGACGTCCCCATTTTGCAATCAATTCTGACTCCTTCTTGATCGCAACATCATTAGGGAATAAAATCAACGCCTGTTGAATCGCCGCCTGGGCCTGGGAGAACATCAATGGCTCCCCTCCAATCCGACACCTCACCGCCTTTCTGTACGCCAGCTTCGCCGTCTGCGCGTTCGTTGGCCTCCATATACTCCCAGAATACTTGCTCGGCGTGCAAAATGCCTCCCACACCGAATCGGAAAGCTTCGTACCAAATGCATCCATCTGGTCTTGATTGTCGGCATGACATTCCATACACTTGAGATAATCTTGGGCCTTGTTGGAGTTCAGAGTGAAAGATAGTGCGACAAGGCGGTTGAGTAGTTCTTTACCGCCTTGCTGTCTGATCTCAGTGTAGGGGGAAGAGGAGGAATTGAGGACGAGGTGGATTTTCTGGAGAGCGAGGTTCCAGTACTCGCTTGCGCCGGCGTTGCCGTCGCGGAAATAGAGGTCGCCTCGTGTGAAATAGAGGTTACCTTCTGCTTTCAGGTGCTCTATCTCGCGGATGACACCCTCTGGATCGGTGGGCAGAGGTCGAACGATCTCTTTCTCGGTCGCGAGTCTCAGGTCTTTTGATACGTCCGCAGTGCCCTTGACCTTGAAGAAGGGACAGTCTCGGAATTCTGCTCGATATGGCGCGAGCAGTGTCTCTTGCAAATCCCTCGAGAGGAATGGCTCGACCCCTTCCCGACTCGATATCCTAGGAAATGGATCGCGCAGTGTGATGATGTGCGAGACTAGGTCGTTGTGTTGGGTGAGTGGCGACTGTGCTTGTTGGATTCCAGCACATAGTTCTTTCAAATCCTTGAACAGAATGACGATGACTCTGGTGGGCTCTTGCAATGTTTTGGGCAGAGTAATCTCATGTTCCAAAACGTGTGCTTTGAATGTCTGCGCTTGCTTTGACTTCAGTATAGCTATGGCTATTGTTTCAGAATGGAGCATGAAACCGAATTCCTGGATGAGGACCTTGATTGTGAGCTTGATGAAGAGGTTGGCTCGGAGCACACGTGTGGCTTCGCTCTGGATGCTGTGGCATACACGGAGAATCTGGGTTTCTAGACTGAGGTTCAGGGATCTGATCTTGTCTCCGTCGGTGTTGGTTGTGGTTGTTACTGATGGGGTCAAGAGGAGGCGGTAGGTTTGGTTGCGGATCTCGACTGGGAGGTCCAGAAATCGGAATGGTGCGGTTGATGCCGTGAGTCGGATGAAAAGAGTGGTGGAAGTCATGATCTTGGGAGGGTTTGTGTTGTTCATCGAGTGTTGTATTAGAGCGTACCAATTGAGCCAGAGTAGAAGAAGATGATGGTAATGAGGGTGAGGTCTAGGTTGTACTAAAACTCAAATCGAAGGGTCAAAGCTGAGGTGAGGGGTAAACAGAGTCAATGGGCTTTGACGGCATTGCCATGACGTATACATGCATTATTCTCACTTTTGAGAACGAATTCTTTCATCAAGAATGTCGGTTAGGCTACCAGTATTTCAATATATACCTGCCACTGGGTTGGGTGGTGGTGTACGTCAAGCGAGCCTCCCCCCCCCCCCCCCCCCCCCCCCCCAAAAACAACTTTTCCACTCTATCTCTGCCACATTTCCAACCCAACATTTGTTCGTCTTTCCTGCTTTTCCCCTGGATTGTAACGCTTCTTATCTTGGTGTCCTTTCTATCTATGATAGCTCAGTGATTTTATCGAAGCTGAAATTTTGAAGAATTTGGCCCTAAATCTGAAAATAGAAAGCCGAGAAAAGTCCCAGGATATCTACATGCTTCCCGAACATACTTCTCTACTAATTCTGAGGACAAAGAATTCAGTTTCAAAACTCACTTCTTCCTCCCCAGCCCTTCCAAAGCCTCCTTGATCACCACCGACTCCTCCTTGTCTCCCTGCAACCTTGTAATCGGCACCTTTACTTCTTTCAACCAATCCTCATGCATCTTTCTACTCCTACCTTCATCTAGGGTAGGATCCTCATATCTCTCGGCCCAGTTCAAGAATGCTGTTGACTCCTCATACATATCCCCACCTTCCTTAATCCTCTCTCCGTGCCGCTTGTACTCTCTCGCCCTCAACCGAGCCATTCGCGCTTCCTGCCGAGAATATCAACATACAGATTCCATTAAAATGGTACCTCTCCGATTAGAGAGATTTGAAAGGAATCTTTTCAGAGATATGGAAAAATGCAAGCAACTTACCGTCGGAGTGTCAACGAAGATCACATGCTCAACATGTTCCATCAATTCACCACCCCACGTTCCCAGTGATCCAGCTAGTACCCATCCTCCATGTTCCTCTTGGGCGCTTGCAAGAAGCGGTTTGATCATGGCGATACGATCAAGGATGGGTCGCTTGGTGGTGAATGGTGGGTTGGTTGGAAGCCAGAAGTAGTCATCGACATCAAAGACGGGAACCGAGAGGGCGGATGAAAGGTTTGTTCCGAGTGTGCTAACTCCGCTGCCAGAGGCGCCGAGGATGTGGATTTGTGTTGGCTTCATGTTTGGTGGTGGGGGTTTGGTGGCCTGGGAGAAGTGGGGTAGATTTCGGAACGATGGTATTGGATCGAAGATTGGAGATTCAGTACGAAGTTATGACAGCTTGATGGAAATTATTGAGCTGCTGTCTGAAGCTTTTTGGTGGTGTTTTTGCTTTTATTGTAATTCCACCTTGTGGTTTATGAACAACGATGATTTCAGTGCTGATCATTCAAGGCTTTGTTCATGTGACTTCGGTGAAGGTAAAACGCCGGCGTGACTCACATGTAATCTTCCAGAGGATCAGGATCAGGACTGTGTTACTCCTGGTTCTCCAAGAGTTTTTTTTACCTACCTATTGAAATCTGTTTACATCAAAGCCAAATTTTCGGCTAGCTGATTCTTGGCATATATGCTGGGACTGGCGCGCGTGATATGTGAGATCAGCGTCATCAACAGTGCCAATTCCAGTGAGCCATTTTTTTCTTAAGTCAACACGTTCTTTGTGTGTCATTTACATACTGTTTTAGACTCATTTAAGCACTCACTACCCTTCTCGTTGAGAATGATAATGATATCTGGAGGCATTTTGTAGCACGTGCGGTACACGTCCTGTGAATTCAAATCGCACCGCCATTCTGGATCCTAACATGAGAAGCTTGTATTGTCAAATTAGCAATACAGATATAAGGTGGAATATTATTTGGTCAAGAACAGGCTGATCTGCAAGTAGTGGCAAGTGCTTCCTTATGTCCTTACTGGAGGGAGTGCCTGTCAGCAGGTACCCAGTCCCAGAATCTCACTTCAGCACCTTTTTTCGATCTCTCGGACTCAAGAATTTTTGAATCGAACCTTAACTTGATTAGGTAGCTTCTTACATGATCATTCTAGTGCTTCCAGCATGTTTTGGATTACTTTTCCGCTAGTGTTGACTAAGTCCCGTGCATGCCGAAGCGAGGAAGTACCTTAGAGTGGCTGCTGCATCATAAGCCTCTGATGTCGAGATGACTTCACATCCTGCTTACTGTACATCGGCACTGATGTTTTGCATCCGCATTTGATCCTGTTGAGCCGCTCTCTGGTATATAGACTCGAAGTACATATACCAATTTTGGAAGGCGACCCCTGAACCCGCGTTCCAGCTGCTGTATACACAATCCCATGAGAGGTAATTTTGCCCTCGTGTTTTCATACCACGGTAGTTGATTGAAGTCGTCACACGGCCGGATAGTGAGAACAACGTTTTGCTTGTTCTTTTACTTCCGCTCCGCCGTAGCATACTTGGGATTGACATAGAAAACCGGGTCAATGAAAAACTCACCTTGGAGGGTATCCTGAAAGGGACAACAAAGGCTGCATCTTGAGCTCTACCTTTTTAAACTATTAGAATCTCGTCTAATAGCTGTTTGGGGAGTAAAATAGAGGCTAGGACATAGAATGAGCACATGTATCATTTCTCTTGCCATGAACATTGGATCGATTGTTTGTTTCGCTTCCGGAAGTCTTCCAAGCAGAGGTCGCGTGACTGTGAGCAGTAGCTCTTATCTTCGTTGATCTGTCTTGAAGGAAATGGGACACAGCTCTCTGCCATTTGACTTTCTTTGACAAAGCCAAGTTTTCATTGATGTTGTTAGCTAGTAAGCATGGCCGATTCAGAATTTTTTTTATTGATTGGATCCACAATCAGATGCCGCGTCTATGTAAGGACAAAAAGCACTTAGGGGGAAAGCGAGTTACGATATCTTGTCTTCCCTCTCACCCGCCTGAGGGGTATTGGCTGCTACTTTACTTTCCTGATCATACCTTGCATAACTTTTGCGAGGTGAATGACTTATACTTCAAACAGACCGAAATAAGCTGTGATGTGTCTGGAAAAGCTGAGATATGAAGCCACTACTAGGTTTTTACGCCACGGTATTGTCGACATGCAATGTGTAGAACTAAAATTACGAAGTATGAATTGTCAGTGTTTCGTATTTATACAACACCTTTCCTTTAAATGTTTTCATTTTTATGTTTATTAGCTAGAGCTAGAGCTAGCCCAAAGGGATGGGGCGTGAAAGCAGAACCGTCTTGGCCGAGATCATCTCCAGCATGTCTCTCGCTCCCTTTCGATCTCCCGAATAGTTCTGGGCAAAAAGGCTCAAAATGCTTCCAACAATCAAATTCCATTGCACGTTCTCAGACTCAGCTTAAGTCTTGGCTTTGTAGGTTGACATGCCACCACTTTTGATACATCCCACCTTCGCATCAAGGCCGGGCAAGTGCCCACATAGCCCTATCTTTGCGCTCGCCCGCCTTATCTTGATAAAGCTATCTTTCTTGTTATCAATCTCTTGTTCACAGCTGTCAGCATATCAATCAGCTTGGCATGGGTTTATACTTAAAGTTCTGGCGTGCGCCTCAAACCTTGCACGTCGGTAGTTTCCATGCTCAGCCTCTTCATTCTCAATGAAAACATCACATCATGGTTGCTATTGAAGACAAAGCTGCGCCAGGAACGCTTCAGCTTATTGATGCCACAGGGCAGCTCCATGTCAAGCATTCCGAAGCAGCTCATGATGTCGTCTTGATCCCTATGCCCTCAGGTATGATCCCCAACCTCATTGAATACATTATGCTGACAAAAAAGATGACCCAGAAGATCCGTTAAACTGGTCCAAATGGCGGAAACTTCTCCATACATCATGTATGGTTATGTATACAGTCATGATGGTTTTCCCGTCTTCCGCTGTTTACTCGGTCACCACGCCAATTTCCAAAGCTACTGACCTGAGCATCAGCGACTTGGTTTCCGGAACAGGGGCCATGTTTCTGTTCTATGGATGGGGTTGCATCGTCTGGCAAGCTGTAGCCTTACAGTACGGGAAGAGACCCTCATACCTCATTTCAATGGCAGTTTCGATCGTTTTGATGGGTGTGACTCCGCTTTGTACAACCAATGGCCCTTATCTTGCAACCAAGATTCTTCAGGTTCGGCTTCTAGTCAAGCCCTCAAAGCTCCCACTGACAGATGCAGGGTTTTTTTGGTGCCCCCGTAGAGTCTCTTTGCGAAATCAGCATGACCGACATTTGGTTCTCCCACGAAAGACCACTATACCTCGCCGTTTATGGATTGAGTCTCGCCTTTGCTGGTAAATTTGCTCCGGTTTTTGCAGCTTTCATCAACACTGGACAAGGTTGGGAGTGGACTCTGTGGTGGTGTGCCATCGGCATGGCCGTAGCCTTTGTTTACTGCTTTTTCCTGATGGAAGAAACCAACTACGATAGAAAGCTTCAAGTATCGCTAACCAGTGCTGCGGGTAGTAGTGAGGACGTTGGTTCCTCCGATATTGTTACACCCTCATCCGGCAAGGACTCTTCAGAGAAGATTCCGGCTGTCATCTCTGACCCTGCTGCAATTGAAGCTGGCCAAGTCATCTTACCCCGAAAGACGTACTGGCAGAAGCTCAGCGTGATTGACAAGAAGCGTCCTAACCGTGTCTTGGAAATCATGTGGGCTCCGTTCAAATTCTTCACGTTTCCAGTCATCACCTGGGCTGGCTTCATGTATGGAACCAATGCTCTTGTATGGCCTGGAATTCTCAATGCCACAGCCAGCCCCACGTATACTAAAGTCTACGGCTTTGGCAGTAATGATGTTGGATATGCGTATTTTGGTGCGGTCGTAGGCATGGTTGCGGGGTAAGTCACCTAACCACTTGGCTTGGTACTGAGTCTTACACCATTTAGGTCACTCTGGGTTGCATTCGCAGGACCACAGCTCGTTATGCGCCTTGCTCGTCGCAACAATGGAGTGGCGGAGCCAGAACACATCATCTGGCTCTTCCTGGCCTCTTTGGTCGCCGTGCCTTTCGCGATGCTACTTTGGGGTCTTGGAGGAGCAGCTAGAATTCATTGGTTCGGTATGGTCTTTGCACAAGGCGTGCTTGCCATCTCTTCCACGCTCTGCCTCTCCACGGCTATTCAGTACGCAACTTCGTCGTACCGAGATCTTGGAGGCGAGCACATCACCACCATAATTCTCATCCGAAACACATTGAGCTTCGCAATCAACTATGGAATCACACCATGGATTAATGCTATGGGACAGAGGGATACGTTTATTACAGTGGCAGTCATTGCAGGTGTCTGTAATGCGACCATGTTTCCAATGATCATATGGGGCAAGAAGTTGAGGATGAGGAGCGCGGATACATATTGGAGATGGGTTGATCAGGCGAGAGCGAAAGGATTGAGTCACTGAATGGCAGTGGGACGTCAGAGAGTGGCCTATTTGAAGAGAGCAAGGACTACAAAGGAACGGTAGGAATTCTTGACACTCAACCTCGAACAATCAAGAGGTTCAAGATGTCCTGTGCTTCGTTCTTCAAATCGCGAAGCTTCTGTTGCTAGTCACTGCTACTTGTTTGTCGCTAGACTCCATAGCATGTTGACATTAATAGTCTGCTGTTCTCGATTGGTCAGGACCCGCTCGCTTAACCACCAGGCCCCTTTTTCCTACGTAAACATGAATTGTTCTTGCATGACGCAAGAGGATAATAAATGAGAGCTCCCCAGCTTACCAAAGCAAGGTAGATTTTTGATTGAGTATAATCTTCGAGGTACATAAACCTCCTTAAAGAACGTCAGAATTAGCGATTCCGTGTTTGTGAGATCGCGCTGCCAGCCAACTACAATCACAAGATTTACCTACAAGTCACTGCATTTCGCTTTGTTACTTACCTTAGCAATCTGATTTTATCAGACTCTGGGTGACGGACATTCCATTGTTTCTGTGCCTCCCACCACTGTACCAATCAATGTCGCTTCCTCCGCACCAGCTTGAGCTTTGCCTTGAGAGGCAGGTGTGAATGGTTCTGCCTGTTCCAACAACGGCAAACTGCTTGCCTGCTCACTCCGAGATCCAAGATCTTTGAAATCGGTCCCAATATCAGCTGTATTCATGCTCGCCAACTGATGATGGAGCTTATTAGCTCTTTTCGATGCCCAACTCTGCTCGATACCTTCGACCCAACTCCATTGCAGCTTTCGTATCATCGGCGCCGAATATGTCAATAGCACGATAGCCAGCCAAATGCAAGCTGTTATGATCCATGGCCTTGCTGTTGTAGTTTTGAAATTCGTGTCCGGTATAAATGTTGCTTTGCACATTACTGACAAGTCAGGGTTTCCAACCATTGTCCTGTCGATATCATTTGCATGAAAGCCCATCTGCACCACTCTCTCGCCCCATTCATTGAGTACGGCCCTTCGAGCTGCAAGGATAAATCGCGTGCGTGTGGATAGGAACAGGCGGGTCAGTTCTCTGTGACCGGAAATTTGGTCGAGGAAGTGCTGGATCTTAAAGTCTGCTTGAAGAAGATCGTTGGCAGAGATACCATTGACAACTTCTGCAGACTCTTTCATTCCTGAATAATGTGCTGTATCTGCCAATAAATAGATGAAGCCTTCTCGTGCAGATGCAGGCTTGTTATCCTTTGCTGAATTGTTCTGCAGCCTGTCTGCAAACGCCTGGACCTGCTTCCACCCTCCTAAGTCAAGGCAGTGTCCAGCTTCTTCCGGAATGTTGACATGGTCGCAAAGTGCATAGCTTGTGTTGCACATGACTGATACTGTTTGTGTTCTCGATTTGAACAATGGTTGGCCGTTCCACTCTGTTCTATTCGCCAAATTCTGTTCTGCCCAGTCTTCTGTAGGAATCATCGTCGTATTTAGTGGGATAGTGGCGAACAATGAATCGCTTCCTGGCTCTAGGGCATACACTGCTCCCAAGTTATATATCAGTAGAGATAGATCGCCTTCGTGATACAGATCATTTCTTGGTTTCCAAGCCACCTGGTCATTCGATTGATCTCCATCGGCCATCTTGAGGGATAAAACATAGTAGCCATGTCCATAAACTTCTGCTCGCAAGATGATAGCCGTCATATTTGGTTCGGGGGATTCTGCGAACTCTTGACTACGTCCATAAAATAGTCCAATAGGTTTCATCTCCTGGATCGTTGGAATCGTGAGTTGTTTTTCGGAGTCAATGTCTTTGTAACAATCAACGGCTGTTGTGAAATTAAGCTCTTCGAGATTCCCAACACCCAAATCTCTCGGCGAGATCGTATACTGTCCGTAGAAATTCATTGCGTGTCCATCCTGACAAGCACTGGACTTGGCATGCTGTGGACAAAGCGACGACTTCCGGACCACATCTTCACTTCCTAGATATCCCACGTCATATGCATTGTCGCCGTCGTAATCGTAGTTCATCGAGTCTGTCTCAGAAAGTGCAGTTTGTTGCTCGAGACGAAGGTACGCTCGAAACACATCACTTTCACCCTTGTTATCTGTTGGTCCGAACCAGCATAGGGAACCACCCGAGAAGCCTAGTTATATCACGTCAGCTTGGAATGTTACAAAGGATTTTGACTTACCATTAGCAACAGGAAAAAGTGCGAGAATGAACGGCAATCCGATGCCAAGAAACAAGAAGACACCCGCTCCAGCGAGCCAAAACAGAGCAAATCTTCTTTCTTCCTTCCTTCCAGAGATATCATTTTCCAAGAGATGCTCTCGCCGATTACATGGAAAGGCGTACGAAAATTCACGACAGCAACTCGAAGTTGTTCCATGCTAGGTTCATGCGGTTTCACTTAGAGAAAAATCGAGAAGACGAAAAGACCAAATACTCGGAACAGCCGTGCGACAAGGAATGCAAATGCAAACGTGAATGCCGAGATCAGCATGATGAACTGTCTAGTGGAGAGCTTGATCAGATTCCCTTGAGAAACTATTCTGTCCCATGTGGAATCGCTGCCTACTAGACCACTGAAGTGGCTGTTGGACATTCTTGCAACTGAACCTTGGAAGAAGTTGGAAGACGAAAAGAGATTTACTGCTCGAAGCGGTGGATGAACTAAAAATATGGCATCGGGGAATCGTGAGTACATGTGAGCACAAAGCCTGAACGCATTTTCCTTCCGAGGTGCGAGCATAAGATAGAGCGAGGCGTCAGTCACAACCTCCGAAAGCCTGCGTCTAGAGAAAGAGACACACAGGGCCGGGAAGCCACATTGAAGCGCTTTAACCAGTGGAAGCTCAAGTAGTGTGGTGAGTCTGGAGCATTTGCGCGTCACGGCGCGGCTGTGCAGGATTATTCACCTATGGCTGTGTTTCTGGTTCAGCTGCCGAGAAATGCAGGACCGGGAGGGGTGCTTGCGCAGAACACTTCACAAATCCAGCGCATCCCAATGAAGGACCGTCTCGGCATTTAAGTGTGGTGCTATAATAGGATTTCACCACAGCTTGTGGTGTCGCCCTATGATCCGATGTCAGAAATAATGTTCAGCGTAGACGTTTCACACAATGACCGTCACATGTTGAGCTTCGTCTTTGCCTTCGCCTCTTAATTTTTTCCCCCGCAGAAAGTTCGTAAATGAGTAGCATCTGATAACGTGGAGACCTGTGTGGTATTCTGAATGACTGAATTATCTTATTTATCCATCTCTAGCACGAAGAGCGTCTTGTAGGGTTTCCCCTCTGAGACCTGTAGGACGAACATCATTCGTTCTAAAGAAACATCCTTCACGGTGTCCCGTTTGACCATTGGCTCGGATTTCAGTCCAATTCGCGAGACATTGCCAACAAAACTCGTGATTACATTGTGAACCTAAGGGAGAAAGGTCAGCTCTCTATACGAGACTATCAGAAACACATGGGATCCGACTTACAGGTCATGTGGAAGCATGCTTCGCCTTTTTGTATGCCAACTTGACAGCCTGGACATGGCTTCGTGTTTGTTCTGATCCATTCTTGTGTTTCTCCATAGCTCGGATCCCCATGTTCTCGAATGCTGTCGTACTCATCGCAGGTTAGCCCTTCGTGCCAAGGCATCTCATGCTTGAAACACATCTCAAAGTTGCATTCTTCGCACGAGGTTTGTGGATTTCTTGGAGGCGATTGATACAATTGTCCAGTTTCACAAAGCGGGCTTAGACACCAACGAAAGTTGGGGTCCTGTGACAAGAAGGTCTGAAGCATGAACTTCTCGTACCTGGTATTGATTAGTGGCTGAATACAAGAACATTGATTGCCACCTACTTTGCCACGGTCTCCGTGTCAGCAAGTTGATGGATCTCTTGGTACGTAAGCACTCGGGAACATTGAGGACAGGAGAGACTGTCACAAGCCGATGGGCCCCCGCTAGTCAAAGCACCCCGCAGGTGCTCTGCTGTACAAGACCTGCAAACTTCAAAATCGTGGGCGCACTTCTGAGTCTCACTTGTGGGAAATACAAGTATATTCCACATCCAAGAACCCCCATATCCTTCACAAGCCGCCTTCCATGTCTGTACATCTCCATAGTCGATCTCGAACATGGTCTTGCTGCAAACCATGCATGACTTGGGACTGGTTTGGCGGCGAATGAATCGAAGAAATATAGGGACTGATGATGATACATTGTCAAGCGCGGCGTTGTATATCGTTCCCGTGTTAAACTCTGGTATGCATCCTGTCTCGTCAACCATTGCCGCATCGAACCTTGTATCAAATAAACTGTACATCCGATTTGCTTCAACCAGCTGCTTCGTTAGCACCGCAGCCTTTCCCAACATATCGTCAACTGGCTTTGGATCGAGTCCTTGTAAAGCCTGTCGGAATGCCATTGCCTTGATATACCTGCAAACATGGTCAAACGAGTCGAGGGGAAAGATCGTGGGCTGCAACTTACATTTTGACATGATCCTCTGCCTCTATATCACAGTTCCTTTCCAGGCAAATTTCCAGGTCTGCCTCGCATCGTATGCCGAGAGCTTCGCTACAGCTTGCCCTTGGACAAGGAAACCATGATAGCGTTTCTAGTTTATACCACCACTTCGATTGAAGAGTCTCAAGCACATGTTTAGTAAAGCAATCTTTGCACACCTGTTCGTAACAGCATGAAAAATACCGGGTGTTTCCAAGGTACTCGTTCAGCCACTTTGAGGCTGAAGAGTTTTGACGAGGTTCGCTTTTAACCTTGAATTTCGGCTTCGTACAGAGAGAGCAGATGTCCAAACTCATTCGTTTGTAGAAGTGGACGTAGTCGGGCCCTGTTGGTAGCATATTCGCGAGTTCTTGAATCTCTCTCGGGCTACGTGGGGTATCCAACGAAGTCTGTGGTAATTCTGTGGGCGACCAGTTGCGATTTTGGGATAGGCTCTCAACTTCGGTAGTAATTAGAGCCTGATCAACAAGCCTCATTGTCAATAGCGATCTCAGTGTCTGCGGCTGGCAAATCTCGAGGCCAGATGCATCCTTTTGCAGCTCTTCGATGACTGTCTTCAGCGAAGCGTTTTCCGACTCCATTTCCTCAAGCGCGTCCAGCAGCTGCATTTTCTCCCGAGCTTCTGTTTCGTGTTTTGTTGATAGGTCCCTATGTGCATTTTCCATCTCGGCATAACTTTCAAAGAACGTTCGAATATCGGTTCCGGTATTTTGGCTTGTCGAAGAAACAATTCGCTCCAGGTGGACGACCCTCCCCTGCAACTGCTGGTTGTGTCCACTCAGAACCTGGATTGTATTTGATCTAACCGATAGCTCTTGATCTTTATCATTGCAGGCGCTCTTCAGATCATTCATGCTGGTAGATATGGCCTGGTACTGCCAGTTCAGATTCCTGTTCTGCTCCTCGAGTGTCGTGGCCTGATTCCGAAGATTGTTTGCATCCGTTTTGGCTTTGCTAAGTTGTTCCGAGAAAGTCCATACTTGCCCATGAAGGAGATCTTCTTCGGCTGTCATACGCTCAATGTTCTTAGTAAGATCATTCACAATGTGCTCTTGCTCCTGAATTTTGATTTCATGCTGTTGTATCGTTACTCTGAGAGAATCTTGCTGTTCTTCGAAATCTTGCTGTTGAAATGCCTTTGGTCCGTCTAAGTTACTCCCCTCTGGCACATTCGGCTTTAATCCCTTGAACTCATCGATCAAAGACAGTCGACTTTTGCTTGAGAATCTCTTGCCAAGCAGGCCCATTGCGCCGATGTTCCTTTCTTCTCAGCCTGATAAGCAATCAGTAGAGTTAGGACCTATTGAATGCAGTTCACCTACGTGATGATCCTCAATATGATTTTGAGTGATGCGAGCAATATAGCACGTTCGTTCAAGTACAATATCGAATTGAGCGCAGACGGCCGTGGAGTTGTAAGGAAAGAGTCCCATTTCAATGGGCCATCGAGGGGTTCTTTAAGGTCGCAGGTGTTCCAGCCTTGTGTGACTGCTTTTCTTTCAAAACGCCCATTTCTACATGGCGCATCTGTACTCGAGACACCGAAGTGACCGAAGTAGTGGCTTGTGCCACATTGCTTTCGCTAGGCACCTTTCAGCCTTGCGATATGGTTCAAAGCTGCGCGATGCTCTTCACCAATTCCTGCAAGGCCAGCCACGCTTCTCTACATGGAATATGCACTTTGATTTAATCGCAGTAGCGTTGCTGCCTACTGAGGGGTATACTTGCGACTGCGATGAGTTGAATATGTCGCAAAATATTGTAGGCGCTGGAGATGTCAATGAGGCTTTAGAAGTACTGGTGGCTTTCTACGTTGAATATGGTTGGAAAGGACGTGCAGGAGCTGAAGGAAGTCTCGGATGACAAACAAGCCTTGACGAAATTGGGCCACCAGGGCCACCCACCGTAACCGAGCCCCTGATCATATCGAGAGATATCAGCTGACTGGAAATGGTGAGATATCCACAGCAGTACCATAGGAAGGAAACGGAAGGATATGTGAAGAATTCATTATTATATTCTAAAGTGCATCGAAAACGAGGGACGTGTAATATGGCAAGCGGTTTCTGGAGTGTGCATATCCACACGTGACTTGCCCTGAACCCTTTTGCGCAACAGGCTTCTGATAAGAGGCAGCACTTCCAGAGCCAGTGGAAGTAGACCTCTGCGCATGACTAAAATAAATCAATTCAAGACGTATTCCAACTTCACAAACCCTCCCATCTCACGAACTTCACAATTGGCCACCCCAGACTCCACCTCCTCAGCCTCGCTCCCCAGAAGAACATGGGAATTGAGAGCAGAAGAACGAAGGCGGTTATACCGGCCATCTCGCTGAGTGCAACTACTAGTCCCGAACTAGCAATCCATGAATTGGTAGTTGCTGAGAGACCGAATCCAATGACAGCTATTCAATCTTAGCAACGATCTGGATGACTGGACACGGTCCCAAGCATCGTCTTGAAACGACTTTCTGGCGCAAGATTGAAATGACTTACATTTGAACGCGAGTTGGGCGATTGTGACTTCTCCAGCGACAGGTCCATATGCATCAAGGGTACTAAAATATGTCAGCCGATCAATCTCTGCGCTCCAATACTTGACTTACTAGACGAATGAGATATTCATCGCTTGGCCTAGGGAGAATGATACTGCCATTTGTCAATAATCAATCCGGTGAGTGAATGGATTAGTTATACTCACGCAACCCTATACCAGTAACAGGCACCATGAAATGCATTTTATGCTCCAGACCCACACCATAGAGAACGAGTCCGAGAGGTGCAGTAATGATGGAGATCGCCATTGCAGGCAGTCTAAATTCAGGCTCACGAACCCCTCGGTTTCGAGTGGTGAAGTAGTTCGCAACGATTTCTCCAACTGGACCTCCGGCAGGCACTTCAGACATTAATTAGCATTCAGATCAAGCAATGATCACGACAGGTGTCACTAACCGCCGAGGATACCTCCCACCAGACTCCCGAAAAATGCCAGTCCGGATTGAAAAGCGGTGAAGTTGTAGGCGACAGCAAAGTCATTTGCAACTGCGAGAGGATTCAGTCAAAGTGCATCTTGAAAAGGATTTGACAACTTACACGTTGAGGAAAGTGCGACGCTGAAGCCGACAAGAGTCGCCATGACAGAAGTTGCCCACAGCACAGGAGGCAGTAGGATCATTCCAAACGGACGTGCGAACATGGTCCAAAGCGATTGACTGGTATAGATCTCCCCAGTGAACAGGGCCAATGTACTCCAGTAGGACTTCTTTACCGATCGAATACCATTTGAGAGAGGTGCATATTGTCTGTTGCCAAGAACAGCTTCTTCAAGTCGACGTATTCTTTCCTCAAAGAGCTCAATGACGGAATAATCATCCGAAGAACCCATCTTCGCCAGTCGGTCGTTCTTTTCGTAGTAGCGTGCCACCCTTGCTTTATCGGATTCATCGAGGATGATAGATAGCGAGAGGCGGTAGTCAGTTCGCTTTGATTTGGGCATGTCATCATCCACTTGATCATCATACGTTCGATTGTAGGACGTTTCGGGCATGGTGAAGATGATGAGGAGAAGAAGGCCTCCAATCAATGCCGCTCCAACGAAATAGATCGTTTGCCATTTATTTTTCAAAACGATGAAACCACTGGCTATGATTCCAATAGAGACTCCAGATCCAACAGCAAAACTGTAAAGACTGCGAGAGGATTAACGACAACTCGGAATTATGAGACTGTTACTTACGCCATCATTGAGCCTCTTTCGTGGAGGAAGAACAGGTCAGAAATAGTTCCTGGACCAAGACATTCTCCAGCTCCAGAGAAAAATCCCAAGAGAATTCTAGCAACGAGTTCACTGGCATAATTCAGTGTCAACCCGGACCAGATCGCTGTCCCAAGGTAACCAGAAAACGAGATGATATACATGGGTCGCCGACCATATTTGTTGATGAGAGGTTGCCAAATTAGATTCCCGGTGCCTTGGGTTAGGGCGGAGACAGTGAAGAAATAGGCAACTTGTGGAATCACTTCTCCCAGCTTTGAACGATCACCACCGGCAAAATCGGTAGCAATTTCCACCAGTGCTACAGATGGACCGGCAGCCAGAAACGTGGTCATGAGCATACCAGCACATGTCACCACTGCAATATAGTACTTGAAAGGTTGTGACCAATTTAGGGGATCATTCGGATCGCTCGATGGCTTCGGGACCAAGATGATGCCTCCATCTTCGCTTCGAAGTTGTACGCGGCCCAAATTCGCCTCCGCCGTTCCATTGCCAGCTCGGTCCGTCATTTCGTCCGTGAAAGAATTGAAAGGCTCTCTCCAGGAGGCCGTAAAATATTAGCCAAGAATAGAATACTGAGAAAATCCAGGTATCCAGCACCCCAGTTTTCAAAGTTGAAGTCGCGGGGGCAGGGCTGAATATCATGTAAATTTAAAATGTACAAGCAACGGGTGAAGTGGGTTGACCTGATACCGGGACCACATTCCGCAACTACAATATCCCTCCGGTCTGGGGATGTACAAACAGTTGGCGATGCCCTTTCAGGGAGTGTGCTCTTTGGCCGCCCACCTGTCTAGTCTTCACCCCCATCGTTCAGACTGGCTCAAAGTATAAATCTGGTCGTTTCAAGTGGAGGTGGACATGGCCAAGACCACGGAATGACCTTTGCCCCAGATCACTGGGCGATTTTTGAAAGCTTGACACGAGAACGGTTCATCTGGCGCCATCCTGGTGTTTCGCTCAGAATATGCATTAATGCTTTGCGCCATCGATCCTCTTTATCTGTATCAATCAAAAGCTTATAGCTTGCTGGCGGTCCGATAAAGTGTCCGTATGCCGTGATCGTCAGCCAAACACGCGTCGATGAGACAGAACATGTTACAGTGTCGTCTTGGCAGAAGTACAATCGATCAGCACTTCAAAAACACAGCAGTGCGCTCCAAGCAAGATGCAATCACACAGACTCGTGCCAAGTTTTGCTGTACTGTACGCATGGTTGGTTTGAACTTCAGATGGAGAAGATGCGGCTGAAATGGTGGTCAACTTCGGACCGTCGGCAGTTGAACAAGTCCGCATACAACGTCTGTGAGCATATCAGCATGGCATCTAACAGATATCTAGCTCGAATGACGTCCAGAAGCCTCACACGAAAACTGACGTATTAATAAGAATCATCAAATCAACGACACCTGATGAATGGGGTCATGTGATGTGCAGATGGGAGACAATTGAACCACACACCCGACAGAATAAGAGGTTCTGCGGAATAGAGCGCGAGGAGTTGCATAAAAACACAGAAAAAAGACAATCAAAACAGCATGACACACGACTCAACTTGTCCCCTAGGTGGAAAGGCGTTTCCTGTTCTAGAGAGCCAAATGCCAAGACATGAAGCTGACAATAACTTTGGTTGAACCCCTGATTTTACCGAACGCTGTGTTACTCAGCAGAGAATCTGGCTACTGTTCGCTATGATCACTTGCATCTTTGTTCATACTTCAACCGAGGATCAATTTTTGTTGAAATTGAAAAGCAAGAAATGCGGTAGGTTTTATCAGCTGTCAGGGCAGACGGATACATTCTCCCCGCACTTCACCCCATGCCGAGGCATCGCTCCACGGCAGATCAACATTGGCCGGCAAACTCACAATTGGTAGAGGGGCAAGACTTCTTTCTGTCTTCTTTGAGGCAATATGTTTCCATCCTCAAGTTTCCTCGTCATTACTCATTTTCATATTCTTTTCTTCTTGTTCTGCATTTTGGGTTACTATCAAGTATGGGATCCGAGCGAGCAGTCCCTGTCGTGGTTGGAGTTGGCGACATCAAAAACCGCTCTCAAAAAGTGGAAGATGCTATTGAGCCCATGAAAATGATGGTCCGAGCCACTCAAGCAGCTATCAAAGACACTGGTCTGTCACAATCTGCGGCCAAAGAATTGCAAGCAAACATTGACAGCGTCGGGGTTGTTAATACCTGGTCATGGAACTACTCAGACCTGCCAGGATTGATATCGGAGAATCTTGGAATCAAACCCAAATACAAGGGACTCAGTCATCATGGAGGAGATTCCCCAGCCAAGTTTTTCGATGAAGCTGCAAGGAGGATATCGTTGTGTGAGAGTAAAGTCGCGATCATAACAGGCGGGGAAGCCCTTGCGTCATGTAAGTAAATATCTTGTATTCCGCGGAACAAATTGCTGAGTCCGGAAAGTGGGTGGATATGCCGCTGCTGGAATAAGTCCTCCTTGTACTGAGGCAGATGAAAGTGTGAAGGCTGTGTCAGTTGCTGACGTTTCGAGAATGAGGGCAAGTGAGTTAGGGTGTTCCAGGCTTCAACATCACTAACCGAGAAGGTATTGGAACACTTCATTCAATTGGGCTGCCCATCCATATTTACCCACTCTATGAGAACGCATTCAGAGCCCATAGAGGACAGTCTATCTTGGATAACAATAAAGAGTCAGCTGAGCTGTACGCCGATTTTGCAAAGGTGGCTGAAGGAAATACGCTCGCTTGGAATTATGGCAAGCCAGCTGCATCTGAAGCAGTCATTGGAACTGTTTCCAGCACTAACAGGATGATATGCTTTCCATGTACGTCCGCGATCTTAACCCAATCTAATGACTATAACTGATCTTAAAGATCCGCTCCTGATGAATGCTTTCAATAACATCAATCTTGCGGGATCATGTGTTTTGACTTCGACTGAATACGCGAAGGAACTCGGGATTCCCGAGAGTAAATGGATATATCCGCTAGGAGGAGCAGGTTCCAGTGATGACCCCGACTGTACGTACCTCGTGAAACTTAGATTCCATGCTAATGACTGAAGTCTGGCAGCGGCCCAACTTCCATTCAAGCCCCGCCATCTCCAAATCGCTGGACGAGGGGTTGCGAGTCTCAGGTGTGACGAAAGACGAGATAGACATCTTTGATTTCTATTCATGCTTTCCGATCGTTCCTAAACTGGCATGTCAACATCTCGGCTTTCCTCTGACGAAACAAGCGAAGCCGATTACGCTTTTGGGTGGATTGACGTCCTTTGGTGGAGCGGGGAATAATTATTCGATGCATGTGAGTATTGCAAAAACACTGACTTGGCGTTACTGATATGTCTAGGCCCTCACAGAAATGGTAAGAAAGCTGAGAAAAGGGGAAGCAAAGAAAGGGTTGGTCCTTGCCAATGGTGGAATGGTCACACATCAATACGTCATGTGCCTCTCATCACAGCCTCAAAAGTCGCCATATCCTAAACGCAATCCGCTTCCAGAACTTCTGAAGGACGACCCTGTGCCCGAAATTGATGATAAGGTGGAAGGTGAAGCCGTTCTTGAGGTAGGGAAATCGATCTTGGGAAGTGTTGTGCTGACCTGCATAGACTTACACTGTCGAGTTCGAGCGAGATGGAACTCCACAACTGGGTCATATCATTGGGCGCTTAAAAAGTAATGGCCATCGCTTCCTGGCGAATCATGCGGACGACAGTACTCTGCAGCAACTGTCAAGTTATTCGAAAGAGCCGATTGGAAGAAGTGGATGGGTAAAGACAGGGGAGGATGGAAGAAATTTGTTTAGTTTTGATCGAAAAGGGTTGTTGTAATATTCTGAGAGGTTCTGGGTGCATTAGAGTGGCTTGAGAAGATGAGAAGTCTTTGTGCAATATCGAAGGAGCACTTTTGGTATAATGCAGGATGCCGGAATCAATGAGGATGACTGATACACTGCAACATGACTCTGCTGGGATGGGACGAATTAAATGCTGTAGTCTTTGGCTCGAGCAAAAATATCCCCAAACTCATGAGGAAGTTGTGGGCCTTGGAATCTGTTTTCTAGCAGAGCTGAGACAGACCTCGAATTAAATGCATGACGCCCTTGTCTTGCTGATGAAGTTCGGCATCTGGGATAATGCTGTGCCTAACAAAATAGTTTCTTGCGAGGGCAGGAATAACTTTCATGTGTAGCGTTTGCAGAAGATGATTCAATAAGTTATCATTCCTGACGCATCGCCCTAGTCCAATATCGGACATTGTGGAGCGGAGTATAGCCCCCGTACCACGCTGCACCAATCATCTGGTGCAAAGTGTCAAAAGTTTGACATTAAATATGTATTTAAATAACAGCTTTTCGTGCATCCAACCAGTCTCGATAGCTCAGTAAGCTCAACTCAATCACCAACATATCAACTCCAACTAACAGGTAACAGGTGGTAGAGCGGAAGATTGCAGTAACCACACCGCAACATATCTTCAGGCCAGGTGTTCGAACCACCTTCGGGACTTGATCCAACCTGCAACATCCAATGTTGGGATTGCATTTTGCCATCCATAATTTTTTTTATTTGCGGCTGTATGTTTTAATGTAAGTGCGAGAAGTCATTCATCCAGCGCCGGATACGGCTCTTCCTTTTTGGACGTCTTACTTGATTGATTGACCCCGCTGCTCACTAACACGGCAGGCTTTCAGTGGCACAATCGATCGCTTGGGGAGAAGAAATGTGCCACCAAGCCAGACTTACGGGCATAATTCCCCTTTTAATAGCACTGTACACTGGGTGCTTTTTAAACAGCCCTGAGAAAAAGTACCTATAGAGCTCTCGCATTCGAGAATATATTTCCGCCTCCCTCGTCTCCGAATTGCTCTTCAGCACAAGCCAAATCATGGCGTCAAATTTGTTCTTTGACTGGAAGACAAAGTGGTTACGGCACTGAATTATTCTCCTAATCCATCAAAATTTGCCATGTAGCGAAGTGAGCATGTAACCCATACTCCAAGAAGATTTCTCTCCCAACATCCATTTTGGAAGCCAAAGACCAGTTCCTGCGGTTGTCTCAAATTATTGAAGTGGAAGTTGTGACTTTTCGTCAAGCTCGCTTCGCTTGTCACGAAGCCAGCCTCTGCCTCAAAGCAAGTAGATGTCTTTTCGAGGAACCAAAATCTACATGTCTAGTGGCTAAACTTGCAGTCTTACTTGAACAAGTATGAAGAATATGACTATATGCTGACGATTCTATGTGTTCAGCTAGAGATATTGCTAGCAAGCCTACATGGGTATCTATTCTGACATGCGAAACCATTCATAATAAATCATCGAGCATTAAAAGCCAATAAGCTTTTCCACCGACGCCATCCATTCCCGTTGTTTTTACATATCCTCACGTCTTATAAACTCCTGAGACACCACTCAATGTCACCCATAAAATTGTTGACCCATATTCATATACTGATTTTCCCCTACGGGCGGCTGCTGATCAGGGAACACGTCGTCAACAGGATCACCAGCCAACCCTCGACTGACTTTGAAGTCAGGAGGAACAGCTTGACCGAGAGTATCTGCTCTATTCTTGCGTCTCTGGTTGGGGAGCTTATCTCCATCGAGCCTGGAATTCATTGCTTCGTTCACATCTTGAAACTTGCCGGCTGCTGCATCCTGTTGGAATCTCTGTACGCCAGCTATGACTGGGAGAAGTGATCTGGTATCGTACCAACGACCTTTGATGTCTGTCAAGGTCTTCTTGGCGAGAGGATCCAGGAGTCGCCATTCATACCAGGTGCCTGTCTTTGCTGCGTCTGCCACTTCGTTTCGGAAACGGAGGTCGGCTACCATCCTTGAAGGGAGATCTGGGGTTGGCCATTCGGATCGATTATTGTATGGAGTAGGCATCTCGACCCATTTATATACTTCACCAACGATTGTGACTGATGACGAGTCTGGGAGTGTTTGCTCAATCAGCTTGCTGATGATGAGCACTGAAATGTCGGGTGCATTACGTCCAATTGCTGGCGGGACCTTCAACCGGACAGGCTCGCCTACCCAAACCTTTTCGCCTCCCAAGAACATTCCATTGTAATGTACCTCGCCAGGACCTGCCAGTGCCTTCTCAATTCGGTCAAAGAACGAATAGCTGGCATCAATACTCCTCGCTGCAAGTATACTGCCATCCACCACAAAGTCGCGGCCTTGGTCGAATTGTCCCTGGCTCACAACGCGGTCCCACGGTACAGCTTCGAATGTCATGTTTTGAAGTGCAGGCAAAGTAGTGTTCGGTAGGCTCCATGCCAACCAGGGTCGAAGCGAGCTCTCCTTGTCCAGAATTCGGGTAGGTTGAGGTTGCAGCGGATTCGAGAGAGGCTGTATAAGATATCGTGGCTTGCTGTTTATCAATCCTCGCTTTGCAATTACACCCAACCGCCAATTGTTCGCAGGCTGATTTTCCCACCATACGAGCTCTCCAGGTCTGTATAAGTATGGTCCACCAGCTTGACTGTCGTACTGTTGCTCTGGGGATTGCACTGCCATTTTGGGAATTGAAGGTGTAGGCTTTGGTGCAGATTGGGGCTTCGGAGTTGCTGCTGCCAGAGCTTGAGGGTTCGGGTTTGGTGTTGCAACTTGGGGAACTGAGTTTGGCCTTAAAGATGGATCTGCTTGGATCTCGTCGGTCTTGATATCAGCTGGCTGCTCATCATCTTTGTCTGGGCTACAGAGTTTGCAAGAGCAATTCGCCCTGTCACTATCTTTATCCGATTCGAGCCACAGGAGGTGAGGGACGAAATCTGCTGGGCTGCGGAACCTCTTCTTGCGTCCTTCGGGATGTCCATACAAATAAGCATCTTGTCTTTCGAATATCCCATTATACGGCTTATATTTCTGACTATCCATAGCCTTGGTTGCCAGAACTTTGTACTTCAAATGCTCCCAAAGCTCGTAACCTTCTGGGAATTCCTTCAGGATCCATTTTCTGCCTGCAAGCAGTCAGTATTACGCACATCTTTCTGAAATTGAACATACGCTTCAAGGTCTTGTTGTCCTCTGGTACCATGATGGTCATCATCATTCCACCGAGCTTTCTCCTCCACTCCATTGCTTTCGCATCCTTGGGATCCAGCTTCTTGTAGTAGTCCATGATGAGAAACTTGGGAGCTGCTTCCTTGCTGTTTTTCGGAGGCTTTGGCGTATCATCCATCTGTGCTGCACTTGGCTCGTTCAGTTCTCTGGCCCCATCTCTGCCAGTGAAAGTCTCTCGACATCCATCGGATCGTGTAGCCCAGCACTGATACCAGGTGTTGGAGGTCGCCATTTGTTCTGAAGGTGCCACGAGGGGCGATGAAAGGAAATCGTGGCAACGTATGATATACTAGTCCGATATCTTACAGCTTTGCAAATAAGTAACATGAAGGCCATGCACTCATGACTGTACCTGTTGAACCCTGGTGGGCTGGGAAACATATGAGAGAGCTCCAGAGTCGGCCGCCGGGAAAACCTGGAGCCGGCACCGAAGAACGCTATCACATGACGTTATCTCCATTGCCCAGAAATTGCCCCGAGAAGGAATTCTGGAATTCGTTCACGAAGTAAGGAACGGGCCTGGGAAGTTCTTTGCATCTTTGCTCTCTCGTAGACGAAGAGTACACAAAATTTATGTCGAGATGCCGAATAGCAACTTTCCAATCGCCGAGACATAGACCTCCAACGTACGCAGGCTTTTGGTAATACTCGCACTAAGGACGCTCTGCTCTTGGTCTACTCGTGTCTAAACAGTTCAAAAAGACCTTTCTGATACTAACAAATTCTAAGCAGTATTTCGCAATCTGAATGGGTGGTCGGTAGATACTGGAAGTGCTATCCTAAGCCTGATGTACAATTTTTTTCTACAAAAACTGCGGAAACGAAGCTGCTTGTACATCTAGAAGTGATTTGCCGTTTGCGATCTTCTGAGCTCCAGATCGACTCTCTAAGGTACCTTAGGTTTCACGAGACTTGTAGCAACATATGCTAGAAGATATAATCCTCCATCTGGACGTCCAGTGAAAGGCACAGACGACCTGTTGGGAATTTTAGACATTTAACGTTTCGTCACAGATTCTCTCAGATAAAATAGCGTAAAATCTGAATCTGAAATAATCGCCTTGGGGGGGGAATTGGTTTAGTCTAATCATTCGGCGTGTCAATTTAAAAAAGATCAAAAATCATATCCTCTTTTGAGGCTCCCTCGCCCTGAGATATAAACCTATAGCGCGATATCAGATTCCGGGGTATCCAAGTATCTATTTTAGCTTCTTTTATCGATACATGATGCAGGGACCATACCACCGGCAGCCAATAGATAAGGATTGATAGCATGCACCGACGCGGGAACTAACTCCATCGGTCAGATTTTACAAATTACTCAGAACAGGGGCAAGCCTTGAAGCCAACAGGACGTGTAAAGGTGCTATATGACAGCTCTGCAAAGTAAAACAATTGATGTGATATCTTGAGCAAGTAGCAAACCCCAAGTTCTGTTTGCAACTACTAAGTGGGAAAATTCCGCTCGTCTACCAGGCTCGGGCGCCATCTAAGCCAAGTAAGATTCTGCCTCACCTTCATTCTCTTGCGCTCTTTGAAGTTCACCATCGCAAAATTTACCACCTGCGCGTCACTCACTTCCATTGCAGGAACGTATCGAGTGTGTGAGACATATCCAAGTGTCCAGCGATCTTGTCAGATCGATGGGAACTCTTTGCTCGTAATTTCTCAACGCTTGCACGTTGTCCTGATCTCTTCGCCTCGCTTTTCAGCCTCATCATTCACCAACATTCAGATTTCCATTCCAGCGCGAGCCTGATCCGGCAGCTCTTTCACGATGCAGGCTTCAAATTACCAATATCCCGACCCGCCCGAATATTCTTTGCCTGATCACACCTCCCTTGCTTCGCAGCAACGGCCAGCCGCCCCAGAGTACTCGTGGCCCAGTCCCCCACCCCTCCGTCCCCACTCCTCTCCTCACCAGCAATATCCAACTCCTGATCAACAAACACTCGCTTCGCGAACAAACGCAGACTACTCATTTCGAGAGCAACCATCCTTCGATCCACGATCTGCGAACCAGAATCAGCACTTCCATAACGAGCAATCTTTCGCACCCAGCCCGCCTGCTCGCGATAACTCGAACCCCATTCAGCAGACCTTAGGCCCTCGACCTACAAGCCTGCCGCAATACACGTTGCCAAATGAGCAGCCAGTAACACCAGTTCGATCTGCTGCTTCAGATCTTCTCTCTAAATTCCTCCCAGGAGTAAGCACAGTACATAAAATGGACCAGATGAATCGAAGTCCACACAAAGCTGCCAAGATCCAACCGACATACATCGAACCTGCACCGACCTATCCTTCCTTCGACCCTGCTCCTAGGCAACAAGTTCCAGAATATATCGACTTGGTTGACGATGAAAATGGTACTATCACAATCAGCCAAGGAAATCCCGCCAGCCAGGAAGATGAAGCAGAGATAGAGTATGCGCCGGTCAGGAGCTCACGTCTTCGAGCCCGAAAGCCGAATATGTCCTTGAAGGCGTTAGAAAACTCCGAGAATGCCACTCCTCAGAGATCACGTCCAAAGAAGGGCAACCCTCTTAGCGATCTAGCAGACGTGAACCTCACACCTGTTGTCAGCAAGAGAGGTCAGATCAGACAGGAGATCGCGAACAAAACAGCCACCTATCGCAATCAGTTTTTCGTAGAGAAGAAGGATCTTTTCCTGCCTCTTCTGCCGACTGAGCACAACTACGTCAAGAAGTTGGTCGAAAAGCATGACGAGATGACCGGTGAGGAACTCGCGCAGCTACCTAAAATCACCCCGTACAAGGAAATCGAAACACAACCTCGAGGAATTACTGCTACCATGAAGCCATACCAACTATCGGGTCTGTCATTTATGATGTATCTCCACCACAATGTATGTACCACTGTATCATTTCTAGTCATAGCTAACAGTTTCAGGGTTTGTCTGGCATTCTAGGCGATGAGATGGGACTTGGCAAAACTTTGCAGACGATATCACTTATACAATATCTCAAAGAGAACGATCCGAAGGCTGGAACTGGCAGATTGCAACGCCCTTTCCTAGTAGTGTGCCCTCTGTCTGTTTTGAGCAGTTGGATGTCTGAGGTCAAGAAGTGGGCTCCGGGCTTAAAGGCAATTCGATTCCATGGGCCTGTTGGAGAACGTCAACGCCTGAAGAAGATTGTTGTAGGTGAGATTGATATGTATGGGAACTTGACGGCACAAGCCAAGCAAAAGATGAAAGGCCGAAAAAATGTTGGTAAGATCATATCTCTGGACACAGATTCCGAAGATGAAGATGATGTTGGGGTCGACCTTGTTGTCACGACATATGACTGCTTCAAGGCTGAACAATCCTGGTTCAAGACTGCCTTTGTTTGGAGATATGTTGTCCTTGACGAGGGTCATACAGTCAAGAATCATGCAAGTCTTACCTCAAAGGCTCTGCATGGCATCAAGGCTGAATATCGCTTAATCCTCACTGGCACACCACTTCAAAACAACCTTTCTGAGCTATGGTCGCTCCTGCATTGGCTTTTCCCTGAAGTTTTCATCGACAAGACCAATCATTTGTTCGACACGTCTTTCAACTTGTCTAAGGGACAGTACTCGAATACGGTCCTGGATGACTCCCGACGGCTTTTGGAACTGATTATGCTTCGGCGCATGAAGTCCTCCCCTGGAGTTGATCTCAATTTACCACCAAAGACAGAAGTTCTTCTATTCGTACCCTTGTCGTAAGTCTCTAGCCCCGCTTCGAAGGTCGGCAACTAATATTATCAAGCCCAATGCAGCGTTTTTGGTACACCAGAATGATCACGAAAGCTGACCAAGGTCTTCTTGACGAATTATTCAAAGGTGCTAAGACCAAGGAGGAAGAGAACATGCACACATTGAAGCTGGCTGAAGAAGGTGAGGCTGAGATCATGAAGATCGAGTCAGAGGCCTTAGCTGTCCTCGAGAATGATTCACTCATTGGTAGTGATGCATGGAAAGAGACCAAGGCTATCTTAGAACAGACTGTTCAACGTGAGCAGATGGAGAATCAAGATGAAGGCAAGAAATCAGACTGGCAGAAACTCATGAACTTGCTCATGCAGCTGAGAAAGGTGTGTAACCACCCGTATCAGATTCAAAACGCCGAGCCAGACCCATACGAGACTGGAGACCACGTCATTACCGCCTCTGGAAAGTTCATCGTTCTGGAGAAGCTTGTCAACGAACTCGTCGTCAAGCAGAGGAAGAAGATCCTCATATTCTCCGGCTTCACTAAGATGTTAGATCTCGTCGAAGAAATGCTTATGTTGCGAGGAGGCGATGGGTCCAGCTTCAGATCTATGAGGATTGATGGCGCAACTGCTCGAGCTCGTCGAAACCTGGGAATTCGTCAATTCAACAACCTGGACAGTGATTATAGAGTCATGTTGATCTCCACTAGAGCCGGAGGACTTGGTATCAATCTTGCAACCGCTTCCGACGTTGTTCTTCTCGATCAAGACTGGAATCCTCAGATTACCCTTCAAGCTGAAGCAAGAGCGCACCGCATAGGCCAGAAGAATCCAGTTACGATTTACAAGCTCGTTTCTCAAGGCACTGTCGAAGAGCAGATGATGGGTAGAATCCAAAAGAAGCTGTACCTTTCTGCAAAGGTAACCGAAGCCATGCAGGATATTCACACCAAGTTTGGCACAGGCAAGAAATCGAAGAGAGGCCCTGCTAAGGACGATGACAATATGCCCCAGCTGAACACTAATCAATTGATGACCCTTGTTCGACGTGGAGCTTCTGCTATCTCTCGACCTGAGGTTGATGTCAATGAGATGCTCTCTTGGGATTGGGAGACGACTGTTGCTAAATGTAAAGACCAACCAGCTGATTTCAACGTCAAGAAGGATGCAATTCCGGATGCTAAGGTCGACGAAGAAGCAGAGCGTAAATGGCTCTCTGAGATGGAACGCGTTGAATCGTCAGTCTTTGATGGCAAGAAATTGTCTAAGAATAACAAAAACAAGAGTCACAAAGAAATCGCTCAAGAATTCTTCAATAAGGAGGATCGACGCATTGGCAAGAACACAACTGTCATGGTTGATGGCTTTGCCGTTTCCAAGGAGTCAATGAACTGCGCTTGGGGCGAAGCAATTCCTACCATGGCCGGCAAGGACCCTCGTCTCGCGGAGCCAAAGCGCGCAAAGAAGGCTGCGGTCGTACCCCAGGAACACTGTCAAATATGCATTGATGGTGGCGAATTACACTGCTGTCAGTTGTGCCCTCGCGCGTACCACTTCGAATGTCTGGATAAGGAGTACCAGGTCAAGGCCAAAGGCTGGCAATTCAACTGCCCCCAACATCAATGCTTTGACTGTCACCAAGGCACCTCAGATGCAGGTGGCATGCTCTACAGATGTCGTTGGTGTGAGCGTGCCTTCTGCGAGGACTGTCTCGATTTCGAGGAGACCGCCCTCATTGGCGACACCCTCATGGAGTATGAGTTGCTCGGCTACCCTGCTCAGACCCAGGCCTATTACATCCAGTGCCCGCCTTGCACGAACCATTTCAAGGAGAATCCGAATGACGTTGATGTGATCAATACTCTGGCTGAAGGCATTCAGTCACACTACGAGCACCAGTTCGGATATCTTACTCAAGAGCGCGAGATGAGTACTCGAGCGGGCTCTATGACTGACGCTACTACTATCGAGACGAATGGTGTTAATACTCCTTTGGTCATCGATGATGATTATGACACAAAAAGCTCATCGAAGAAACGCAAGATCAAACTCAAGATCAAGGATCTCAAGCCTGCAAAGAAGGAACGACTAGGCGTCTAGGGCGTTGGCGTCTATGATGCAGCTGAGCAAATGAAAGACACAATATCTACCTTTTGATTCTACTGCTCGGCGTTGGATGGAAGAGCGCACATACAGTACAAACACACGGTGTCTCGACGCGGCGCTACGGTTCTTGGTATTCTATTCGTGTTCCTCTTTTCTTTTCTCGTTTCTATTCCTCGAAGTCTGTTCTTAGACGGGCGGAGCAATTGGGAAGATTCGAATTGGCCTGGTCAGGTTAGAGGGGCGTCACTCACGGTTGAATAATCTTTTGTGTTGTATTCTTAGTGCTAAACAGCAGCCTACAGAGTAAAAGTGAGCGGGTTGGCTGCTCTGCATTGACAAATGGATGGATGGATAGACAGAGAATAGGCGTAAAGTGCTGCATTACTTGGTAGATCTGTAAAATGAAAAGATTTCAATTGAAATTTTTTTGGAATTCTTGTAGCATTGACTTGTGCTTTGTGAATAACTGCTTCTCTTACACCCACTTTCTGACCTCTGGAAGATAGAATGGTTTGGATGTCACCTTTCAAGACATGCTACCTTGCTGCGTTTGTAAGACCTTGCCATAGCTCGATGCCCTCGAAACGCTCGACGCGGTAAGAGTATAAACACATGAAGCAAATCAGTAATTGAAGCATCAATCAATCAATCAATCACCTTACACAATAACTCCTGATATCTCAACAATCTACGTGACATAAATTCCTCGATCGTGCAAACTCGAGGATTAAGCGAGGTAAAGCCGTGCTACTGCTAAACTCTAACAACACGTCATATCAAGCAAAGCTCCGAGTTCATCATTGAGGTCGTGCTCAAGCTGCCCCGACCCCCGATTTGAGTAAGATGCGATGCGACATATCAATTCTCGAAACTCCAAATTGACTCCACTTCGAGTCATAATTGCACGACCTCAGTCGACGCATTCCCACCTTACAGTAGTAACACTTCTTTGTTCTGGTCATCTTTGTCTGAGGAATTTTGACGTGACTGTTTGAGCCTAGTGCAGTGTTATTTATTTGTTCTCGGACCGGGGGGTGGTGGCTAATTAGCAAGTCCAGTCCAGTCCAGTCCAGTCCCTGCGCTCCCCTTCCCCCTTCCCCCTTCCCCCTTCCCCCTTCCCTCGGCACAACTTCGAATTGCGCAACCCACACCCACCCGAGCCCTCGAAGACTCCCGTCTCGAGTCAACCCAGCCCAACGTACCTCGAGGCTCTGTACGTTCCCGTCCCCCACTCATCCCCTCCCCTCCCCTCCCTTCCCCTCCCCTTCAAATGCCCCCAAAAGTAAACATGGCGACTCCACGACGCGGCGGCGGCGGCGGCAACAACAGCAACAGCAACAGCAGCAGCACAGGCGCAGGCACAGGCGCAGGAGTCGGCAAGGCGTGTCGATTCTGCTCGCGCCACTTTGCGAAGACGGAGCACCTGATTCGTCACGAGCGCTGCCATACCAAGGAGCGACCGTTCCAGTGCAGTATCTGTGGCAAGAACTACAGTCGCAAGTGAGTTTCTCCGATTTCTCTTTCTGTTCCTCGTTCCTCGTTCCCTTTCTCGTTCTCTAGCGAGGTGGATACACGTGCATGGAGGGGTGGGAAAGGGAAAGGGGGTACCTAGATAGGTAAACAAACAGACGAGGTGGATACAGGATGCTTAGTGGCTGTTTCCCATGTTTGATGGGTCGGGGTGGTGAGGGGAGGGGAGGGGAAGGGAAGAGAGTGGAGGGGAAAGAGGGAGGGCCACTGCACAAAAAACATTCCTGCCCCGCATCGCAGCACATCCCCACCATTGTCACGGGGCAGAGCATAAGATGGTGGGACGGAGGGGCAGAGGGGCAGGGAGGGGGCAGCTCATGATGCGTGGTGCAGGTGGTGGTGACCATGATGTTGATGAAGAAAGGGGGTGTGGAGCGAAGTGGGAAAATATGAGCCGCCGCCGCGAGCATGGTGTTGTTGACGCGTGGAAATGGCATCGATGCAAAATCTCTTTTGTAGAACATCCAGAACGCTGACATTTCCGCTCCTCATACAGTGATACCTTGATTCGACATCGACGAACTCATGGAAACAACACTGCCGTTGTCCCTCCCGATGTCTTCAGCAACAATGATGCGGCGACGACTTCTGATGGCACCGTCAATCCCCCCATCACGCCTGTCACTGGCCGCATGTCCTCGTCCCACCAGCCTATGTCGTCCATCTCATCCTCCATCGCAGCCTCAGACTACACGGATCATGACTTCAATACTAGTCCTGTTGAGTACCATCCTATGGGCAATGAGATGTATGGCCATGACATGTACGCTCAACCCGACCTCGGACCAGGACCATATCAACACATGAACGGTGGAGCTACGGCGATGCCTCAGATTGACCCGAGTCTCACTGGAGGACGAGACAACCCAGGTGCTGGTAACAACAACATGGACTTCTCTACCTCGTACCTCGACCCAGCTCTACATCAATACCCTCCCCCATCTGAAGCCAACGGCTATCAAATGCCATACACCGCCCCTGAGATCGAGCAGTTCCAGTCTTGGTACCTGACTAACGACTTTGATCTTGCTGTCTTCAACAAATCCTTCAAGACCCCCACGGCTGCGGAGTTCCTTGGTATCAGTGGTCCGTTGTCTGATCACCAGTGGAAGAATCATGATATGCCTAGCTCTGAGACCGGTGGCAATCTGCCATTGCATATGGAGTGGGACCAAGTTCTCGTACCTTCTGTTGAATTCATGGTAAGTCCTACCTTCTCTTATGGTGATAAAGGCAAAGACTGACAAAACATACAGAACATCACCATCCAGTTTTTCTTCACTAAATTCAACCCCATCTTCCCCATCTTCCATGGCCCGACATTCCGCCCCGCTGATCATAGCCCGTTGCTCTTACTTTCTATCAGCTCCATTGGTAGTCTGTTGATCAACTCCGATCAGGCGTGCCTGAGAGGAGCTAAGATGTTTGAGACTGTTCAGAAGACTGTTACTGAATCCGTAAGATATTCTGTCATTGTGTTGCAGAGGAGTCTTTGCTAATGATGTGCTTCTAGTGGGCTACTGCTGAGTCAAAGCCTCTGAGAGAACGAACCTCGTTCATCCAAGCTGCGCTTATCAGCCAGTTCTTTGCTTATCTGTCCGGTGTATGTGCCACCCTTCCAAACATTTGGTACAGAAGCTAATATTTGGCAGAGCCCAAAGTATCTTGCTTTGGTCAAGCCATTCCATGTTAACCTGACTGATGTAAGATAACCCTCTCAATAGTATGTACTATACTGACCCAAAATAGCTGGCGAGACGATGCGGTATACTTGACATTGCCCGAACCCTTCCAGATGTCAGTGGTAAACCTCAAGAAGAGCTTGATGTGGCTTGGAACTCGTGGGCAAGAGACGAGGAAATCTCGAGGTACGTAAATCGCTCCACCTCACCACTGTCACATCCTAACCTGCAATAGAACTGCCTTGGGCTTGTACATTCATGATGCACAATTCGCCAGCACATTCAACAACGCCCCGATCCTGCAACATAATGCACTCCGCCTCTTCGTAGCATCAACAGACGAGCTTTTTGGTGCCGTTACTCCAACTCGCTGGGCACATCTTATCCGACTCTCCCCAGACCCAAGCAAGTTGAGCACACACCTACATGTCAATCAGGCCGAACATGTCGATACAGCCCCACTCTCCAAGGAACTTTCATGTCGCGAAAGCCGATTCTCTTGCTACGTAATCCTGCACAGCATTGGCGCGTCCGTACAAGCCAGTCGAGTCGCCGGCACACTCACGCCCAAGCAAATGCAAAACTTCGAAGAAGCCCTCATCTGCTGGTACCACGCCTACGAGCAGACCCGCACAACACAAGACCCCGACCCCCTGTGCCTCATGGTTCTCTACCACGAGATCTTCATGACCCTGCTAGTCGACTTCTCACAACTCGAGAGCGCCATTGGCGGTCCAGCCAAAGGTGCAGACGCCATCACCTACGCTCGCAACTGGTCCACCAGCATCGAAGCCAAGCGCTGCATCATCCACGCCTCGCTCATTCACCGCCAATGCGAAGGTATCCCCTTCCACAGCGAGCCCGCTCTGCACGTCCCCCGCTCGATGTTCCTCGCTGCTAGAGCTTGGTACTGCTACATCCAATTCGACCCATCCGTCACCCCCGTCGATGGCTCGTCCTCTACTCCCCAAACAGCCTCACAACAGCAGCAGCAACAGATGACGTACGAGGAATCCTTCAATATCCCCGAGGTCAAGATGTTCAATATCGATCCTATGCAGTACTTACCTGCTGTCAATGGGTTTGGAACGGGTAAGCCGCAGTTGACGGAGGCGGCTACTTTGTGTAGGCTGGCGGATCTGTTGGAGCAGATTGGGCGGTGGGGGATCTCGAGGCGGTTTGCTAGGATTTTGAGAGTTCTGATCTTTGGTCCTGCTGCTGTTGGGGTCAATGGGAATGAGAGTGGCGTGGTGGGTGATGTTGATTTGCAGGGTGTTGGTGTTGCTTAGGTTGAGTTCAGTTGACATCACATTGGATCCTACTCGCGATCGGGAGAGGGAGAGGCTGTGTGGGATGGGATGGGACGGGACGGGATGGGATGGGATGGAAGTTATTGGAAATGAATGTTAAAGTAAAGTAAAGTAAGGTAAGGAAAGGTATGGTTACGCTTTGCGGAGGGAGTATGACGTTTTGCGGGACGACGGTAAATGATTCTTCGGCAAGGCTGTGGATGTTTGCTTGCTTGCTCGCTTGCTTGGGCTGGGCTGGGCTGGGCTGGGCTGGGCTGGATGGATGGATGGATGGATGGAAGGATTGAGATGCGTTTATGTTTTTGTTTTTGTTTTTTTCTTTTGTACCTACTGGACATACCTAAAACTGGTAGGGTACCTACCTTTGCTACCTACTGCATTCATGCATGCATACATGGATTTTCTTTATTTTTTTTTTCGATCGAGAATAAGAAGAAGAAGAACTGAAAAAATAGAAACATTTTTATTACTTTAAAAATGTGGTACTGTGAATGGAGCCTTTGCTTCTCTCCTATTTGATTCATAATAGTGACTTCCTGTCTACCTACCTCAAGGTAAGGTAACTTAACTCCTGGCCTTCACCTTCAATGTCTGTCTGTTTCCCGGTGGGTAGTGGAGTCCAGAGCGATCCACGTGATGGAGATGATTAGTCATGCAAGGCCGGCCTTTGTTGCAACAGGTTGGTCCAAGGTCTTTACGACCACAGACACAGCCAGCCCCCTTTCATCAATAATCACCTAAAGTACAGTGCAACTTACCTTACCTCACCGTCCCTTCAAACAAAACATTCTTACTAAGTACCCAGGTACCTACTTCTACTCTACTCCGTATGCAGTGCAGTGTACGAACGAACAAACCAACCAAAACCAACCAACTAACCAACCACTCTCTCGCCTTATCTCTCTCGCTACGAGTCCAAGCTCGATGCGTGTCCCTTCTGGCTGTGTTTCCTCAGCCACACTCGCGTCCACGCCGTACGTAAATTTACCAGATAGATGAATGGTTACACAAACCTGCACAACGTAAGTGACACAAGCTACCTACCTATGGTACAAGAATTACGGCCGGGCTGGAGTTGGCTGGATGATTATGTAAGTTCGTACTTCGTACTGTACTTCGTAAGTCGGATTCTTCGGTTTGCTTGGGCTGCCAGCGGTTGGGTCGAAAGAATTGGATGGGATGGGAGATGGTGGGAGTTGATTTGATTTGATTTGGTTGTTTGCCGAGATGCTTTGCTTTGGAGGTGTGAGGTAATGTGGATTGGATGAGTGGGTCATTGAGGCTGGAATGGAGATGGATCAATCGCTGGGACGATTCTTTGGCTTGGTTTGGAGTGAAGGGGAAGGGGGAAGAGGAGGGGGAGTGGGTGAGAGGAGGGGAGGAGGAGGGAGCAGGCTGCCATTTAAGATGGTGGGTTTGCCTCCAACCTCAACTTCGCTCTTGCTCTGACTCTCGCTTTGCTTGCTACCTGAGAAGTTCTCTCGATTCTATTACGGGGGATCACATTTCTGATTTTTGTCTCATCTTAAACTTGGAAGTCGGTCACAGCCAAAAATCCACACTTCAACTACGAATCTACGCCATCATCGACTTATCTTATCATTTACACACCCATACTCCCCCTCCACTCAAATCAACTCAACCCCCCTCCCCCCGGAAGTCCGAGCAGTCTTGCCGTTCGTTCAATACAATACAATACAATACAATACCTCCTTCCACTATCAAACCCTCTCAACACCACACACCAAACCCCAAAAATGCCACCACCCCTCCCCCTCACACCCCGCTATATCCCCATCCCCATCCCCACCACCACCACCCTCTCAAGCAAACTCATCGCCTTAATCACCACGCTCACCCTCATCACAGCCCTCCTCACCACCTGCTTCTGCTACATCTGTATCAAACGCCGACGGGCTCGCAATAGACGACTTAAAAGAGAGAAAGAAGAGACGGAGAATAATAAAAGGCTGAAGCCGAGGATTAATAGGTGGAATGCGAGGTTTTATGCGCCGGGGTTGGGTGAGGGTGAGGGTGATGGGGATTTGGGGAGAGGTGGGGAGGGGAGGGAGAGGTGGATTGGGAATGGGAATGGGAATGGGAATGGGAATGGGAATGGGAATGGGAATGGGAATGGGAATGGGAATGGGAATGGGAATGGGAATGGGAATGGGAATGGGAATGGGAATGGGAATGGGAATGGAAATGGAAATGCGGGATGGAGAGAAGGCTTAAAAGGAAGGGTTGATAGAGGGGTGGTGGAGAGGTGGAATAGGAGAGAACGGGAGAGGGAGTTTGAGGTTGAGAGGGATGGGTTTTCGACTGTTAGGACTGCTGGTACTGGTACTGGCGGTGTTGGTGGTTTTGGTGGTTTTGGTGAATTGAAAGATAAAGATAAAGATAAAGATGGGGCTGTGGTGCAAGAGATGGAGATGGAGATGCAGAGGGTTGGGGAGGGCGTTGCGGGCGTGTATTATGAGACGGTTGTTGAGCTTGGGGATGGAGATGGGGTGGTGGATGGGAATTGGAATGGGAATGGGAGGGGTGGTGGAAGAGTGGGAGGAGTGGGTGTTGATGGAAGAGGGGGTGGATGTGTGAGGAAGCCGGAGAGGGCGTGGGTAAGGTGGGGGAGGAGATGATTTGGAACTTGGAGGGGCTATGACTTAAGAGTGGTTGTTAGAAGAGGACGGGGGTAGATTTATGGTAAAAGGAGAGGGAGAGGGAGAGGAATGAGAGGGTGAAAGGGCACTTTTTTCTTCTTTGTTTCTTTTTTTGAATGTGGTGAAGAGGTAGAGTTCTTGGATGATATTCTGCAGCAATAAACTAATGGGAGGATGGATGTCTCTGCTGTGAATATAATTAGACTCCGAGCGGTTATATCATCGTTTTGACTCAGCTCTCCTGGAAGTGTTGAAATCAGCAGGGTTCCAGAACGTCAACTGTCACATACAGGTTTCTCGTACAAGTTTTTTTTTTTTTTTAGTTTCATCGGTAATCTCAGTAATCTGTCAATCCAGTAATTAACAGAGGGGTTTCTGGGGTTGGGTAGATGCAATGTAAAATGGATGACCGTTCCTTGTGAACCAAAGACTAGACTTGAGAAAATCCGACAATCTAGCGGAGTTCTAATCTGAAGCGGAGGAAAATACATCCAGGCAAAGCACGTCAAGGGAAAGCAGATACGGGCAAAGTAGAAGAGTATCTAGCATTGAAGCACAACCATATCTCAACTACGCTACTACTAACAACAGACAAGTACCTGCCGAAGAGAAAGTAAAGCTACCTGATTTATTGAGCCCCAGCGCACTATTAAGGGCGAAGAAGGAAAACAGTGGAAGTGAAGCCAGCAAGCAGGAAAAACAACAGAGCAAGACCCTCGACCTCCAAACAATGGCGATCATATCCCGCAGACACAAGCGACATCCGCTCACCCATCAAACTCAGAATGCTCTCCCCTTCCCCTTCCCAGGCACCTCCGACGCTTCGAGAACCGGAAACTCATCCCTCAAACTACCATCCTCAGCCCCGTCAGGAGCGGCAATAGCATCCAAGCGGCTTCGTTCTTCAGCAAGACTCAACTGTAGAGCGTAATCCAAATCGTCAGCTGCGACCTCTGTCTTACGACTGCCCTCTCCCTTCCCTTTCCCCTTTCCATTTCCATTTCCCTTCCGATTCCTAGAAGTAGAAGGCGAAACGGAAGGGGAACGCTTGGACTTCTTGCCGGACTGTTTATACGTGATCGGAATATCGTACTCGCCTGCACCTGACGCTTTAGGAGATCGTCCACCTTCATCGACACCATCAAGGAGGGAGAGACGAATGGCTTCTTCGAGATCCGATTCAAAATCTGAGTCTGGCTTGTATTTCGGTGGTGATGAAGCTGGTGTGACGGTTGCGCTGCTGAACCAGGCTGATTGAGAGGTAGAACTCTCGTTAACGTCACCTAGATAGCCTGTATCGCTTGAGCGGCGCTCCTCTTCCTCTTTTTGGAAGGCTTCAGCTGAGACCATTTCTGCGTAGCGGATGGCTTCTTCTTCAGAGAGACCGCCGAGCCCAACACCGAAGCGGTTCTGGAGTCTGGCATCTTCGCGCGATCTGCGAAGCTTCTCTTTCTTGAGTTCGTCTTGCTCAGTTGCGATGTAATCCATGAGTGCACCTCGACCAGTGTTGGTAAAGCGATCGGATGCACCATTGCTTCCCCGTTCGCCACGACGCACGCGACGCTTCTTACTTTGGTACTGATCAGCGGCAGATGAGCTGTATGACCAGTACCTGAGATGAGTTCCCAGAGAGACCATGCCGCGAAGTACGGTTGGATCAGGATCAATAGCAATAGCACCAGCAGCATAAAGATTGATACCAACTCCGAAGATTGAAGCTTGAGCTTGAACCAAACGACGACGAGCACGAGATGAGAACCGGGAGTTCAAGGTTCGGATAGGTTGCAATGTGGATGCCAATGGATCCCATGTCTGAACAAGGCCGTCATTGCCACCATGAACAAGGTACAGAGCTGAGACTGCAAGGCACGAGATCTCAGGAGAGTCCGTGTAGATTGTACGTAGTGGGTGAAGTTCGTTGACAATCGATGGATTGGTAGATTGCGGACCCCGCATGTTCCACAGAATAACACTGCCAGTCTTTGTCCCAACAGCCAAGAAGCGAGCTCTATGACCGGGAATATGGGTTGAAGACGAAGTGTCGAGGTCTGAAGGAGTAGCGAACGGAGACGAGAAGTTCGACGTACCATTGACTGTTCTCAAAGGATCTTCGTCAACAGTTAACAAGGCATATGTAGACATGTCGATGGCAGTAGTAGTAATTTCGATGCTTGGGTGGTTCTTCAGTGATAAAATGGAAGACCGCCATTCTTCGACAAGTGCATTCGATGCTCTGATTGGACTGCCAGGAGTGTTTGGCTCGGGCGATGACATCCTAGCAGGCGTGATGGTCGTACTTCCACCAAAGATTGATGCTCTCTGGGATCGATCTGGTGATGAGGTTCGAGGAGGACTGATGACCGTACCTCCACCAAACAGTGAAGCCATTGTGGTAGTTCTCGGAGCCATTGGAGGCGTCTTGGGCAAAGGGTATTCTTCTAGAGAAGCCTGTTCGGATTTCCATCTTGTATACCGACGAATCTCGGCAGCTTCGCCTTGGACAATGCCACAGTTGATAACGAGTAGTGCTTCACCGGCCCCATTCCCATCATCACCAGCAAAGTCTACCTCCAGTCTGCGACGCATATCCCAACCCTCGCATAGCTTGCGGAAGTGCAATGGGCGATAGCCGAGGAACTTCTCAATCTCAAGCGTTTCAGCAATGATTTGTGCCCTTGACAGCCGTTGATGCCTCGATGATGATCTTGGCGAGTAAGAGCCATGAATTTCAGCTTCGTGATACGGATCCTCACGGGCAACACGTCGAGAAGGCTCAGCAAGATTCCAATACGCTGTTCGCCCTGTGACCCAAGCATGTCGACCAGCATCGTTGTCTTCAACCTTGGCATCGAGCAAAGCAGATGATGGCGTCTCGGTAAGGTAGTACACCTCACCAAGAGCATTCAAAGCAACAGCCCAAACACGACCAGAAGCTTTACGCTTAACATTGTACGAGTCGTCAACCTTGATTGAGATGATGGGAACGCCAGGGCTGAGAACCCATTTCGCGGTCATTTGACCCTTGGTGATACGACGTCCAGAAGTAGTATCAGCACCGAGAGAATAGGCAGTAACGACACCAAGAGTTGAGCCAGTCAAGATCCCAACCAGTCCATCTGTCATGAGAGGAACGAATGTGGACTTGGCAATCCAGACCGCAGAGATTGCCTCGATGAGCCCTGGAACTTTTGGAATACCAGATTCCGGCACTGTGATATCGCTCGGCTGACTCAGGAATCGACCACGCATCTCCTCCGAAGAACGAAAGTATGCTTGACCTCCAGGAAACCCTTCACCATAGATCATGCCATAAGGCTGGCTGACATCCATGGTATTTGGCAGTCCTGCTGGTCCATCGCCTTCTCCATACGGCTGATCACCGACAAAGAGCTCCGAGAATTGTGGGAGAGCTTGAGGATCAGAGAGACCCCAGTTGTCAATCTTGCCAATGTTTGGATCACTGGTACAAGCCGTGCCAGTCTCGTCCGTTCCATGAATGAACCTCGGTGATTTCTTGCCGCTTCCAAAGACAGCATGAATATGATTGACCGTAGCAAATAACTGCGAACCGTACGTCACTACCGCATTCGCATTATTCGCCGCACTATTCGACCTCGAAGAAGCACCATGACCTGGAGCAATCTGGGCCGGCTTTCCGCGGCCGAGACTTCGCAGAAGTCGTGTACGGAGAATGTATTCGCTACGCCAGGATGCGAGAGCCGTCAATCGTGTGAACAGACGCGTTTCCGATCGAAGCTGTTCTCTAGCCTCAAGATCTGGACCGCGACGGTTTGTAGCGACTGGCACCTCGATTGCATCTTGGCCTGGGAAAAATCGTGAAAAAGCGGTGCGCCAGGCGTGGGGTGTGGTGACGAGGCTGTAGAAGCGGCGGGAGACGGTGGATACGGCGGAGAGGGATGCTGCTGGCAGATGGGATAGGATATGCGTGAGGACCTCTGAGGGCATATGTTAGCTATCCATTCCAGCACCCTGTCAATGGAGGTTCCTCAGGGGCATACCATTTGGGAAATTCTCAAGCTGAGGACCGTCAAGTCGATAGCCTTTCTTCTTGATAATCTTGAAACCAAGACCCTCGCTCGATTTCCTAGCCGGTGAGGGCGACAAGGCATTCTCATATTCCGATATCACTTGGAAAGATGCTTTGGGTCTTTTTCCATTCTCATCTTGAATGTTCAATCCTCGCAGCTCCTGCAGCTGCTCCACGAGCCCAGCAGACTCGACGACATCTGCAGGCTGTTGGCTCGTTGCAGACTCGTTGCCATGCTGCTCTTGCGAGTCACGTAGGACTGCGGAAGGCTGGGGGAGATCATGAATGCCATATTGGGGGGTGGAAGAGGACTGGGAGGCGTTCAGTTCGGGTGTATATGTTGAAGATGCGATTGGCTCTGGTTGCATATAATTGGGTGCGGAGAACTCGGGTTGCGTAGTTTGACTGAGCCAGGTGGTTCTGGGTCAGTCTGTTCTTGAGAATCGGAGCTTTGAGAGTTGTGGGAGCTGCGTTGTTTTGTGTGTGATGTTGACAGAAGGTTTGGTGACGCGACGATTTTGGAGATTGCTTGAACGTGGAAAAGTGACTAGTGCCGAATTTGGCTTAGCGCGGATTGTCTTGTGGACAATTTCTCTCAACTTCAGATGACTTGGATTCTTGAAAGCCAGAATTAATTTATGTTCTGCTCATTTTATCGTTCTATTATACAATTACATGATTACTACTTCTGAGATTTCATTATATCATCAGAAGGCCCAAAACTCCGGGGTATATGCAAAGATATCCTGTCCTTTTTCCCAAAACTCCAGTTAAACAAATTTCCTGCCAGCCTCCCCTGCCAGACGTCCATACACCTGCCCTTCTTTTCTTTCCTGGTCATTCATAACCTGGCGAAGTAGCACATAGCAGCCGCCGTTGAAACCCAAACACCAAATCCGATTCTGAGCCTCCCAACGCCGCTTTTTTTCTTACTCGTTGTCTGTGCCGCCGCAGTCCCTGTTGGTCTTGATGTCATGGCCGTGAAAGTGGTCGTTTTGAATCCTATCCCACCTGGTCCTATACTGATCGTTTGGCCGTCGATCACGGTTGTGGTCTGCGGAGCTCCAGGCCCGAAAGTGTATGTCTTGCCACTGATCACTGCGACGGATGCGTCGACTTGGGAGAATGTAATGCCACCCGCTGTGACCGCTTGAGTGGTCGGATTGAAGGGGATGGTCAACGTGGCACCGCCGATTACGAGGCCTTCAGGTCCTGCGACTATGGTTTGGCCGCTGATGACTGTTGTCATTGGAGTGGTTCCTGGACCGACTGTGAGCGTCATCCCGTTGATGACGGCCAATGTAGATCCAACTTCTGAGATTGACAGTCCACCAGCAACTGCAAATTGGGTCCCAGATGTTCGGTCAGGCCCTCCAATCGTAGTGCCATCAAACACAACCCCCGCGGGACCAACAGTAATAGCTTCTCCGTTCAAAACCACAGTCTGAGCTGCAATTCCAGGTCCATAAGAAAACGATGTACCTCCAATAACAGCCACCGAGCTTCCAATAGCCGAAAATCCCTGTCCCCCTACTACAACAACATTTGTTGGCATATTTGGCGGTGGCGTGATAGTTGTCCCTGAGAACCCCACCCCTCCCGGTCCAACCGAAATTGTCTGTCCCATGACTACAAGTGTCGTCGGCTTTGCACCTGGCTGGATAGGAATCGTTGTTGTTTTCCCTCCGCCACCTCCGCCTACAATCACAACTCCAGTAGGTCCCACTTCAACTGGAACTCCTTGGACGGTGGTCGTCTTTGGCGGCTCCTCAACTTCACCTCCATTGCCAGTATAATTAGGAACATAAATGATGACCAAAGGACCCTCCACTTGATCAGGGCCAACTGTGAACACATCACCACCTTCCGTAATTGTCTTTGGCAGTGAGCCAATTCCCACAACCTGATTTCCAATCACTGCTTGACTCGGCGAAACAACAAGGGTGATGCCGTCCACCACGTAAGTAACTCGAGTCTTCGCTGTCCGGTCAGGGTTAATAATAGTTGTGACTTCAAGAGGTGGATTAGTTTGCGGAGGTGGGTTTGGAAAAGGTGACCACACGTGTGTGTCAGAATATGTTCCTGGATCTACAGTCTGTTTATCTGTTTTCTCTGCTGGGAACGTGGGGAGAGTAGCCCGAGTCGTGATGGTAACAGCGTTTTTACTCGTTGTGATTACAGTAATTGTGAGACGTATTGATGCCGACGCGGGAATTGTATTTGTTTTTGGCGGGGAAAATCCGACAGACGTGCTCGACGACACGACAGCACTATCTGTTGACTCCAATGGGCCTGTTGCTGAAGGTTTTGATGGCATCGGTATGGCTAATGGGGGAGTTAATGAACAATACACGGGAGGAGTGAACTCGGGAGTCTGGAAGTAAGCTGTTGAAGCATTGTCCGTCAACGTGACCGTTACTGTTGTTGTGTTTGGAAGAATTGACCATACTGTTACAGGCTCCCACGGCTCCAAAGTCGAGCAGTTTGGTGATGTTATCGACTCAGTTTCTGGTGTATCGGTCTTGATCGGCCAATTGTCGGATTTGGTGTACGAGGTAAAGTCTAATGGAGGGGCCGTTCTTGATGGATATGTACTCGATGTATTAAACCATTTCGTTGAGCTGGTCAAGGACGATTGCTCGGGTTTGGTAGTGGTGGCCTCGTAAGACGAGCTAGAATCCGGGGTGATGTACCAGGTCGTGTACATTACAGGATTGCCATTGCTATCAAGGCTGGTGTCGTACGGGGTTTGGAGTGGCCTCGAAACAGACTTTGTATATGAGATCCAATAATTAGTCGTGTATGAATGCGTCCCAAGCGTCAACGTTGGATACGAATATGTCGAAGTAACTTTCGTAACATCTGAAGAGTTCTGGAATACTCGGGTTTGCGGTATTCTACCTACGATTTGTCAATACAGTTTTGCCCATCTATATCTGGCTTACGCACCGGCAGCGTCCACCCAAGGACAAAACAGGATGGACATCCATAGCAGAGTTCCATATGATTTGATCATGGCTGGACTTTATGCTCTCACGAGCAGGAGAATGGGAGGGTCACGATCTTTGAGCGATGCATGCAGAGTCGGTCGAAGAGTTTGTTGGTTGTAAATGAGCGGTTGATTTGGAAAGTAGCATTTGGTGAGAGAGACCTAAAAGATCTCAAAGGCAGCAAAACATGGAATGGAATAGACGGTTAGGTAGATCGGTAGATGAGAACTTTGCCGGTATGCTGGTAAAAAGCAAAGCACAGGACAAGTCCAAACAGGAGGAACGGTGCGACGATGCGAAAACGACAGTGGTATGGATTAGCGGCCAGATTGGAGATGGCACTTTTGCGTAACTGGATAAAAGAGAGGAATCGAGCCAAAAAAGAGCTGTAAGGGGATATAGAGTTGGAAGGCGGAAGCAGTCTTTGAACCTTGACCTGGGAACGAGTATATGATGTCCAGATTAAAAGTCCGGCGGACCGCGGGAAGTGGAGGCAGAAGCAGAAAATAGAGGGGGGGGGGGGGGGGGGGGTTCTACTGTAAAAGCTGGGCCGGCCCTCTAGCTGAAGAAGGAGGCGGTGGCAGGGGCTAATACAGTACAGTAGCAAAATCCAGGCCATCCCCAGGCCCCATCCCATCCCAATGATCCATCCAGCAGGGAGGCCAGGGAGGCAACAGCAACAGGCATCTTGGACGTTTACTTTTACTTTTACTTTTACTTTTACAGTACTTCATTACAGTAGCGGTTTCCCTCTTGCATGGCCAAGGCCCGAAAGACAGCATGAAATAATATCACTGTTGTGGTGCTCAGTAGTACTAGTGAGTGTTGTGCAACGTCCGTTGTGCCTGTGTCTGCCCGGACAAGCAGTGCAATTTAAGTGGAGCACATCCTCCCATGTCATGCCATGCCATTCCTGTCCCATCCCATCCCATCCCATCCCATCCTGCCGGGTACGCACTCCGCGATCAGGTGGCCGAGTTGGAGTTGGCCTTGCAATTCGATATCTGGGACTGCTTCGAGGTATCAATGTTGACGGCTTGATGTAAATTTACAGTACTGTCGGGGTTTTCATCAGCAGTATCCCGGCCAGCTACAGTACTACTGTGGTGCCGAAAAGCAGCGAAAAATTCTCGATTCGTCCACGTCCACCTCACATGTCATCCGCACAAGTCAGAAGAGGGGAAACGCGAAACTTTACTTTACTGCGAAACTAGTTATTATTTACCAGCTCGGGCTGAGGAAGTGTTGCGTCTCCGTAACGGCAGTGGCTGACCCCGAGAACATGATCCAACCTCTCAGAAGCCGTCTATGGCCAACGGCTGGCAGCCATCGTCGCCATCCAACACACAGGAGGCACCGAGGCGTGGCTTTTGACTTCATCCGCTCCCTTGTCCAACTTCTGGCATCCTTGTCCCATCAGGTCAGCGCTGGGCCACCATATCGGAGAAACGTCCAGCCATGGCGCACAGTGATTGGGCAATCCAAAGCCAGCGATCGCCGGCTGATTTCCCTTTCCCCATAATCCCAGCATGTGGGAAGGGTTCAAGCCAGGGCCAGGGGAGAGGGAGCAGGGAGCAGGACAGGGACATCGTGTCATGGTGTCATCTCGGTAGAGAAAGGAAAGCCTTGGTCCTGTCATCACATCACTCACAGGCTCACAGCCTTGCCAGACAACTGCCACGGCAATAATCAAAGAACCTTAATGCGTCCGTCCAACCTTAAGTTAACTTTCCAGCTGAGGATGGAGCATGAATGATCGGAGCCTGGATGGCATTAGACGAGATGAAAAGGGGCCCACTACTGGAGAAGAAGCTGATATCAAATGTTTGGTACAACAACAGTGCTACGCAGCTCAGGGGGAAGGGAACCACCATGTGCACTTCAAATTCAGTATCACGACATGTACATCCTCGCCGATGTAGTGTATCACGGAAGCAACCAAGGCTATCTCTCGGAACCTCAAAATTGTCGCTCATCCCCTTCAGACCACGCGGCCTCGAGGATTGTACCTCCGCGCTTGTACATATAACTGTACTACTCTTCCATTCCTTCTGTTACTCAGGGCCCTCCGCCGGCCATCCTGTGCGACTTTCCAGATTATCTTTCTCACGCCTCAGGCACCTTCGGTAAATCCTAACTACAATCTAGATTATAATCACGCTCCAGATGGATCCGAGCATGCAGTGCAATATAGAGCTCTGTTGTAAAGTGTGTTTCCACCCCATGGGACGGCCGCCCCCCGCGCGTGATCATCAGACGCAACCCGGATAGTGAACAGATTCAAACTCAAATCATCAAGCGAGATGGAATCACCATCAAGCGAAAAAGAACAATTATTCGCTCTCGTGGAGACTAACACACACAGATACCAGCCAGCTTGAATAACCTCATCCTGTGGATCCTCCAACTCTTAAGCAAATTCATTATATCTCCACAACAGCTCTCAACCCCTCACGAGTCACACAACACAGCAACCACGCCAGGTCCGGGTCCTTTTGTTATATTGTGGCTGTCCCTCTACAAAAAAATATATACTCTCCAACTCTGGACATACAGCCGGTAATTTTACCCTCCTCTCACCTGATTTGATATAATTTGATTACCTGGGGGTCACAATCGCTCGCTTCCTTACTGGCAGTGTTCGCGACCCGATACAGTGCATAGCTGTTATGTAGGGGTGCAATATGGCAATTCTCTACCTACCTTACCTAGCAGGCAGGCAGTCAACGTTTAGCGGCTCCGTGTTTGGATTTTGATTTTTCCCCGCGGTGTGATACGGCACTTGGCCTCCGAGATGCTGGGTGCTGCGCTGCGAGGGGGCACTGTTGCGAATTTACTGGATGTCTAGGTAGGTAGTTCTTGTGCAGACTCTTCGGATTCGGAGAGGTAAATGGAAATGCAGGTGTACTGTGAGTTTAGATGAATGGTCAAATGAGAAATAGAAGAGGAGAAGCGAAATATGGATGGGATCCAAAAGTCTGGAGGCGAGAGGAAGCGAGAACTATTTCCCTTTCCTCAACTTCAATTCAATATCAAACTCTATAATTTAATCGAGTCTAGACCATACCTCTACTGTAGCTTGACCACCCGGCTCATCCGTCTGAACTCAACCTCTCGGAGTTCCGCCGCCAAACCCAGCACATCCAAACCAAACATCCAAACATCCAAACATCTCTCATCTCCAAAAGAAATACACCCTTCGTAAAAATCTCCCTCCTGATGAAAACAACTACCTTCAAGTAATGTAACCATCCAATCCATCAAGAGTATCCACTAGTCTACGAGTAAGGTACCAAACAACCTGGAATGATCTGCCGGCCCTTAGGTTCCTTCAAGCGATAGGTAGTAATGCCAAGTCTACTGGGTCTGATGTTCTACGTAAAAGTTGACGTCTGTCTGGCTGGTGAAGTTTACCAGGTACTCACTCGCCTTAGGTAAGTGAAGGTCAAGGTCAAGGAATGCTTGTGTTTCTTTACAGTAGAGAGAAGAGGAGAGAAGAGGAGAGGAAATCGTCATTTTTGGGGGTTGAGGGAGGTTGATTCGTACAAGAAAGTCGGCGAGATATTTATTTACTTTGATCTTGAGGAGATGGTGACTTGTTCTGATAGATAAGTAGGAGAGAACCTGGCTGTGGGAAGAGGGAATAGTGAGGATCTACCCAGACACTGGCCATGGAAAGATGAGCCTGAAGTTCAATTGAATACCTAAACTGGCCTGCGTAACTAACTAAAAGCCCTTTCAGAAATCTACTCCCGTAGGTACTGTCCCAAGCCGAGCACCATTCCATCTCGTTATTCTTCCAATCAGCTGCCCCTTCCATACGGTAATTCAACACCCGATTACCTGCATACTAGGTACTGTATCTATCCTCCACTGTAATATTCGATGCTGCAATCAGCCTGCCCTGCCCTGCAGCACTCGCGCAGGCACCAAGAACTCACTCCTCTGCGCACTGCCCAGATAGGATTTCCCCCACGGATGTTGGATGGACAAAAGAGTGATCTGATTCCAGTCCAGTCCAGTCCAAGTGGACCGCGTGGAAATAAATAGGTCAAAATACAATATAGGACGTTCCGCACAAGTGATTCATTTGGCTTCCCGTACGCGTGGGACCTGGAACTGGAAGGCTTGCTTCATTTGCGGGTCGCAGAACCGTGCACGAATCTTGCAAGCATCTGATCCACAGCTCCTGGAGTTCTTCCTTGTTGACTTTCAAAATTATTGTCATCATCCTACCACCAACCCAAAACCCATCCCATCTCAACTCCACAGGTACGCCATGCCCGTGGCTTGGATACTGTAGCACACATCCATCCACAGGGCTGAAGCCAGCCTCGCCGCATTCTTCATTCCATTATTCGTATCGTATCGCACCCAAGAGAAACTCAAGAGAAAAAAAACAGCCAAACAGCCCTCTTTCGCAGATGCCGATCATCCTGGCCCAGCGCCAATCCACTTCCAGGAAAGTGCTATGCAGTAGCTGGACTGGCTCGCTGGGTAGGTAATCCGCACATCTCCGCGCGGACTAGGACAGGGGTCTCCCCACCACCACCACCACCAGCACCAGCTCTCCCCTCCCCTCCCCTCCCCAGCGTGCCGTGTTCCCCTCTCAGGCTACAGCCTGCTTTCCCATCCCAGGAACCGTTACTGTAGTGGGTGGGTAGCGCACCACTTTTTCTTGTGCTTTCCTCCAGGGCTGTCTACCTAGTGTCCAGTGCTGACGGGAGTCTGACCCCAGAAACTCTGGCCGACAACTTTACTCCGTACAGTACTGCTCGCAGGACTCCACTTCAACCTCGACAATATCCTTTCCGGTCCTACTGAACAATTCAATGTGAACATAGAACGCAGCACGTCGCGACGCACATTCGTTTGTTCGTTACCGTACCGTCCTGTGAAGCCAGACTTGAGATGCGCCCCTCTACCGCCCCGTGAAAGTACGGTAAATCGACCATGGATTCTCGGTGGAAGGTCAGGAGTCTTGCTGCGGCATTCTCGCTGTCGATATGTTTGCGCGGCGTTGAGGGCGTGGACATTACGTCTGCGGCGGCGGAGACGACGGTCAAGGCGTTGAGTGTTCCGCCGTCTGCGAATTGGTGAGTTTGTTTGCTGGAGGTGGAGTGGAGTGGAGTTCTACAGTTCTTTGTTTTCGAAGGGGGGGAGTATGTGGAGAGGGGGGATGTTCGGACTTAAGCTAATGGGGGAATTTATAGGTACGGCGATGATGGGACTTGGTCTGCTATTTCGATTCGGGTGGGCGATCCGTTGCAGTGGGTGGATGTTATGGTTAGTACTGTGAGCTCGGAGACTTGGGTTGTAGGGCCTGGAGGCTGTGGTGCTGGTGGTGAGTTGATTTTCTACTTGGAATTCGATATGCACGAAACTCTCGAGGAAAGAAGTTGTGCAGAGGGCTGCTGGGCATGGAAATCGGCATACTGGGATCATAACTTTGGCATCCGAATATGTCGAGTTTGGAATTTCCGCATTGTAATGACTCGTACTAACTTCTACCAGACAGCACATGTTCTTTCATAAGAGGAGGAACATTCGACCCTTCCAAATCCTCAACATGGCAAAACCAAGGATTCTTCGAGCTAGGAGCAGATAAGCAACTGGGAAATACGGGATATGCTCAATACGGCCTCGACAACCTGACGTTCGGAGGTACTGGAGTTATGATCCCATCTGCAATAATCGGTGCTTTCAACGGAACTGGCCCGATCAGTGGAACTTCATATCTGCTTGGATTGTTCGGTCTTGGGGTAGTTCCGGGCGGGTTCAATAATACTTCTCCGTTGAGTGCTCTCAGTGCATTAGTTGAACAAGTAGGAGCTGTTCCTAGTCATAGTTGGGGATATACCGCTGGAGCAAAGTATCGTGAGTTATTCGTCCCGGACTTGAAGTTCTCGTATTGATGTAAACAGAACAAAAAGGTGTAGTCAACTCTTTGACACTTGGTGGATATGACTCGAATCGTTTCATTCCCCACGACATCACTTTCAACCTCAATGCAGGGAAGCAGCTCTTGACTTTCGTCAATTCGATTTCCGTCGCTTCATCGGCAGATTCGAATAACTGGACTAAGCCAGTAGAGCTTCTGAGCGCTACTGATCGCGTATCCGCCATCATCGACAGCTCAACGCCTTACTTATGGCTGCCTCAAGCTGTCTGTGAGAGGTTCGCCCAGAGCTTGGGTTTGACTTACAACACCACCCTCAATCTGTATACCTTCGACGGCAATCTATCTCAGCACGACACTCTCGGTGCTTCTTCACTCTCATTTACATTCAGTCTTTCTGATATTTCGTCAACACCAACTTCAGTGGATATTACATTACCATATGCAGCATTCGATTTGCAACTTACATATCCGGCAATCCCATTCACTAATTTTGGAGACGCAAACTCGACGAAATATTACTTCCCACTTCGTCAGGCACAAAACGAAGCCCAGTATACCATTGGTCGAGCATTTCTACAAGAAGCATACGTTATCACAGATTATGAACGCAACACGTTCTCAGTCCACCAAGCCATCCACCCAGCAGACTCGGTGGGGAACACTAGTATCGTATCTATCACCCCACCTCCTGACTCCACATTCTCTGGTCTCCCAGAGGAATCAGGATCAAAACTCTCAGCTGGTGCTATAGCAGGTATAGCAATTGGTGCCGTCCTGCTAGTCGCCCTTGTCGCCTTCGTCATATTCTTCCTTTGCCGCCGCAAACGCCAGAGGAAAGGCAAAGACACCGACTCCGAGAAACCTCTCTCTCCTGATCAACCCCAACGAAGTCTTCTCGCCCGCCTTCTCAACCGCAACCGTCCACCCCCAACTGGTGTTCACGAAGCCAGTGGTTCCTCATCCTATCCCACGGAAGTCGGCGCCGATGCCACTCATGAACGATTCGAGCTCCCTGCTCCTCTAGGACCAGCAGAACTCGACTCCGAGTCAACAGGAACCGGCTCTCTAGACGGCACAACCGAGCGTGGATCTTCCACCCAAGACTCCGCCAACATCTCCGCCTACGAGCGCGCAAGAAGGAAATTAGAGCGACAACAAGCCGCTGCGTTCGCTCTCTCCTCATCAGCCAGAGAAACATATCCCGTGGAGAAGAGCGACGCAGATGTTTCTCAAGTAGCACACTACCGAGCTCCCGAGTCCCCTGGTACCGACAGTCCCCTTGTAAGCCCCATGAACGAATCACACTCTCACGGCTCCCTCACCATAAGCGGGCCAACTTCACCTGTGAGTCCCGGCTTCGTATCCACGCCTACGTCGCCCACAGGGCCACCGCCCACATACCGCCGCTTCAATCTCAACCCCGCTAATGTCGTCTACGCCGGGCGATTACCTGACAACGTCCAGCTTCCACGTGTGGTACCCAAAGTTATCGGACCTGATGGCAGGACAGTGAGAGCGGAGGAGACGCTGGCTACGGAGCCTGGTGTCGGGACGAATAGTTCGCTCGGCAGCCACTTCACAGAACATGAATCCGAAGACTTGTACGGTAGCGGCAGTGGAGGCACTAATATCGTCTCTCCTATCGCACTGAGCTCCAACTCAGGCTCAAACTCTGCATCGGGGTCCGGTTCTGCTGGATCAGCTGGTGCGAACACAGATCCTGTTTCGTCACTTAATAGTAATAGCACGGAAGCGAGGACGCAGCTGAGAGATGAGAATGGGAGTTCCATGCTGAGTCGGAATATGTCCATGTTGGATCCGTGGGGGAGCAGGAGGAGGTTGGATGGCGAGGATTTGGTGCATGTGCCGCAGCCGGCGGAGAATAGGTTTAGCTGGGAGGAGGAGCGGATTCCGGGGAATGAGGAGGAGGGGAGTTTGTAGGTAGGTTTGGGGCGTGGTAATGGAATTTGTGAATCGGTGGTTAATTGGGTGGTGTATGAGGATTAAAAAGTCTGGGTTTTAGCGTTGGCGTTTTGGCGAGGGTTGGTTTGGAGGGTATGGTTGGTTGGCTATGGTTTGGATGGGAATGGATTGGAAGGTCTTGTGATCATTGGATGGAGATTGGAAATACGGTTTGGAAATCCAGGCTGCGACTGGTGGTGGTATTTTGTGTAACGGTGAGCATTACACACCTCCTGGTCTCATCTTTATATGGTTCACATAGTCGAACCGTGACTCGAGTACAATAGTTAAGAATACAAAGTCCTCACAGAATCATCAATACCGCTTGACCCAACAGTCAATGACACACGAATACAAGCATCCTCTACCTTATCTTCCTTCGTGTATTCCATGAGACTCCTTGAGCTGGAAAACCTCATCCGTTTTCCATCGAGCCCTTTCTCAGTACAGCATATCAACAAAAAACCAACCCAAAAAGGGAAACACGACAACCGAGACCTCGCCGCACGTTCTGTTTTGTTTCGTTACCGAGTATTCGTACTTACTGAACACAACCAGGGTCGAAGTCAGGGCAAGTCAAGCTTAGACGGGTCGGGTCATCTCATGTCATGTCATGTCATGTCAGCGCACCATCCTACTCCTCACCCAATCATAGAGGGAAAGAAGTAACTAGGAAAAGAAACAAGACCAGGGAAATGATTTGAGAGAGAAGGGAATAGGGGACTGGGGATACCTTTCACGAGGGCGAGAAGGTCAATGGTTGATGGAGATTCAGGAGTTACGAATGAGAGTTTCAGATTCTTGAGAATTGAACCAAGTTAAGTAAGATTTAACTTACCTACTCGATTTCGGTTTCTTGTACAAGCAAGATGGGAATCTTCCGATTCGTCGTAAACAAGTCTTGTCATCTTCAGTACGGGATTCGCTCTTTCGTAAGGGTACCGGATTTTTCGTCATTTCATGTGCCGTTATTCTTACGCTGTGACTTACTGTATCGGGGGAGGACGAACTCTTCCTGGGCTTGTAGTGATGTTTCTTTGGATGTGTGTGGCACAGGAATTCTTCTGTACGTGAGGAGAGAAAGGTACGAGGCCGATTGCTAGCTGCGACTCTGTGAGAGAAGGGAGGTGAGAGATGAGAAATGTATAAATACTGAGCTCCTAGTCCTCAAGGTCAATCTGGATGTCCCTATCCTTACATATCTACAAACCAAACCTCATAACTCCTTGGCCCCAATTACCTTTTACTTCCAACCCCAAGTCTAAACCTCAATAACCAATCTGAAGCTCAGACCCAACCTTCAATCTTCAAAATGCACTTCCCAACAACCCTCACAGCCCTCACACTTGCCCTTTCCACCCTCGTTGCAGGACAAAACGCACACTACTCCTGCTCGAGACAACTCACTGCGCAGTGTTGCGTTTCAGCTGGTGCTGGATGTATGTCTCCCGTCTCGCCATTTCCGTGGTCAATCAATCAATCAATCACTTAGTCATTAACCTCGGCGACTCACTTCAAAGGAGACGAAACATAGAAACATAAAACTAACATCATAATTTAAACCAGGTAGTCCCATAACAGGGCCCTCAACAGATTTCACCTGTGCCGCACCGACGACTGGGTATTGCTGCTTGGTTAGTGGTGGGGTTGTAAGTTTGCCTCTTTTCGACAGTGCGAGTGTTTGAATATTCAGCTGCAGGATAGCTAGCGCCCGAAAATGGGGGAAAGGAAACTGAATATATACTGATTGTGGTGAGATAGATTCGCCTTTGTACGCTTGCGGCTTCGGCTGGTGTGACGACTACGATTTCGCAGACTGTTGCGTTGCCGACTTTTACGGTTGTGGGGAGGGCTTGAGTGGTGGTGCTTGTTGGGAGGGCGAGGGGGGGTGGTCATGTAGGAGGGGGAGGGCGAGGGTGAGGGTTTGATGATGCTGTAGAGTGGAATGTTGAGGTAGGATATGGTTTTGAGAGAGGGAGCGTGGCGGGAATGAGTAGGAGTGAGGGAAGGGAAGGGGAGAGTAGATTCAATTCGAAAATTCGGAGCGAGTAACATGGCATTTCCAGGAACGAGTGATGTAAGTTTTGCGTTGAAGGAGTTCTATTCAGTAAATGAATCGTGACTTTGCATGCACTGTCGCTACGGCGGACTACGAGTGATTAATGTGAGGCCCTTGTATTGTTCTCTGAGGCGTCTTGGAATAATCACATTATCCTCTTACATTTAAAATCGGGCCACTCAAAGGGAAGACCAAGTCTCCAGCCTGCTGCGGAATGAGAACTGACGTTTGTTGTTTTTATCAGAAGGTGGCGATTTTTGCTAAGCGAGCCCGAAAAGGAGAGCGCACCTTGTAAATGACATGTGCAAGCCATGGGCACGATCGCGCTCAGTTGATCTCAAATGACACCCCTAGTGTATAGAATCGAGTATTGTAAGTCGGGTAGAACTCTCAAAGGAGAACAAAGCTCAGAGAAACGGGATGTTCGTGAACATTCCAAGCAACGTTCTTTATCTGGCCAGAATCCGGTTCCGAGTGGGGTTCGGGCATTACGAGGAAGGCCAACTCTCCTTTGGATACCTATTCTCCACTGTTTGATGACTTCTTTGAGATGTATTAGATTCCATTACAATTGGATTGTGGTCGTGGTCAAAAATGCCCAAAGTCAGGTCACGCATCTATCTTCCAACACGGTGAGTAAGGGATGAGAATATCGACCAACACATGCTCCGTGGCCCTAGACCAATTAGATCAGGTCCTTGGGTCGAGCCCACGCCGACTTCAACCACGGGAGATTCAAGCCGACTATTTATGGTCGAATCCCATGTTTGTTTGTTTTTTAGCAGTAGCAAACTTCCTTTCTCATAGATCTAGTCTTTGCCAGAGATCAAACTACGACTTATTTTCTCCGACAACCAGTTCGGTTATCTCAGCATTACGCATCTCAGGGTTGAAATGGAAGACCTATCTTTGCGAATACTGCTATTGATCCCTCTAGTAATCCCCATCACCTACCATGTCTACAAAAGGCGGAAAGAGCGTCAAGTACGTGAATATGCCCTCCATATATTCTCGTTTCTAATGCGATCGGTTCAGGCTGATAGCAAGCTTGCAATTCAACACGGATGTCTTCCTCCGCCAAGGCTAAAAAACCAAAGACCCTTTGGTATCGATCGACTCGAGCAGACTTTCAGGGCAAATACAGAATCCCGGCTCATGGAATTATTCCTTTTCCATTTCAGACAGACTGGCAATACCTTGGAGCACGTTTTCCTCGGATCAAAAGCATTTGGAACGGTTGATCCTGCTAACATAGAGGCCATTCTGTCAACCAATTTCAAAGGCAAGTCACTAGATACTTTTAAAGCTTGGAACCAAATGATCTTACCTCTACATGCAGATTTCGCAATGGGTCCGCGTCGAGAGATAACATTCCCTTTCTTCGGCGATGGGATCTTCAATTAGGATGGAGACGCCTGGAAGCAATCACGAGAAATGCTGAGACCGCAATTCCACGTCAGGGAATACTCGAACTTGAACATGTTCAAAGACGCTACTGACAATTTGTTGAACTCTATACCAACGGGAGGCTGTGTCATCGATTTGCAACCTCTGTTCTTTTGTTTGACCCTCGACGTGACGACTGAGTTTTTGTTCGGCAAGTCCATTGAGAGTTTGAAATTGCACGAGTCAAGAGATGAGAACGCATTTGCTGAGTCTTTTGATATCGCACAGGAATATGTTGCAAAGGGTTTTCGCCTCCTCGACCTTTACTGGCTTATTGATGGGAAGAGATTTCGAGAGGCATGTAAGAAAGTTCATGATTTTGCGGACAAAATCATCGACCGTAATCTAGTTAAAAATTCTTTCGGAAGTCGAAGGGAATGCATCTTCTTGCGTGCCATGGGCGAGAAAACACCGGACAAGACGGTGCTGAGAAGTCAGACCATCAATGTCATGACGGCGGGACGTGACACTACTGCTTGCCTACTCTCGTGGGTTTTGTATGAAATCCATGGTCCCTCAATGGAATCTCCTGGCTAATGGGTTGCCATAGCTTTCTACTTGTCCGACATCCAAAGGTGTTGGAAAAACTGAGATCAGAAATTGCCGCACAAGGAGACCTTGAGTGGAGTCGCAGCAACCTCCGAAATATGAAGTACCTTCAGAACATACTCAAAGAGAGTGAGTCAGATAGCCCCTCAATCTTTCACTAATACCGACAGATTCAGCTCTCCGCCTCTATCCATCGGTCCCTGTCAACACTCGTACGACACTAAGAACGACTATCCTCCCAACAGGTGGTGGACCCGATAGAAAATCTCCTCTTCTTGTGCCCGAATGTACCGCAGTAGCCTACAGCGTGTACACCATGCATAGACGTCCTGATCTGTACGGCATGGATGCCGATCTGTTTCGACCGGAACGTTGGGACGAGGACATGCCGCTGAATCATGACGAGACGAACGCCAAATGGGGATACTTACCCTTCAACGGTGGACCGAGGATATGTCTGGGAAGTAATGATCTCTTCCCAGTATATAGGAAATTAAATGAATTTGACCAATCTTAGTGGACTTTGCTCTTGTCGAGGCAGCATATGTCGTTGCTCGGATCGTCGAAAGGTTTCCGACTATCAAGCTTCCAAAAGGAGAAAAGGTCGAGCTTACAGGTGTGGAGAAGCAGAGGATCACTTTGGTGATGTCTATCACTGAGGGATGTAACATCGAGCTGGGATAATGCAAGTGTTATGGTTGATGTTGTCTGTACAGCAGCGTTGAAGTTTTCCTCAGCGATGGAAGCATGAAATGATATTCTATTATCCATTCACGAATACGTCGACGGCTCCCCGAGCACAAGGAGATAAAACTAAGATTAATACAAATTCGTTTTCGCTGAATACTGGTCCTCAGCACTTGCGAAATGAAGATGTCATTCGTGCCTTTCCTCATTTAAGAATTTATAAATTGGAGGGCTAAATGCTACAAAACATACCAGAGGGTTCATCTTGCGTTCTGGTACATTATCCAGGAATGGCATCGGTCTCAGCTTTGGTTGCTTAATTTGGAAGTAAACAATGAAATAAGCTTTCGCTTACCTCCTGCTAGTCTTCAGCTAAGACAACTTTTGAACCCATCATGCTTCTTACACGCCCTTGAGCAATATACACATATCATCGTTTTCCTTGAACACCTACAGGATTCAGCGTCGCTGAAGAAGGCTTACAGTTCATCATGCAGACCAAGAGCTTGGCATATATTTGACCGTATGAGTCACTTCACCGGAAAACTCATGTTCTTCCCAAAAAGCAACTTCAGTCTCATGAATTTCTGAGACCAGCGCCCATCGGAAGCATACCGTAGCAATAAACTTTCAGTTCAACAAATTAGACAAAAGCATCATGTCGTCCCCAGAAGATGTAGCGGAAAAACCAAAACTTCCACAAGATCTTGTCAAACAACTCACCACTCTCGCGAAATTCAAAGATCGGTCTCATAAAACATGCCACGAAACACATCTGCCAATTCTCAAGAACACAGCATCCCTCTCAATCGTTCTCTTCGGCGACTCCATGATCGAGCGCTTCCTCACCACCGGATCATCCACCCAGACTGCCCATCTGTCATCCTCTTTCAACGCTGGCTGCGGCGGTGACAAAATCTCCAATGTCATCTACCGATTCCTCATCATGCTGCCATACCTCCCGACTGATATCAAAGTCTGGGTTTTGATGATGGGGACGAACGATCTGGGGAAAAAGAAAGCGGTGAAAGATGCCGATGTCGAGGCGTATGGCCTGCTCGTGAATGCACTTTGTGAGGTGACACCACAGAGTAAGGTGCTTATCTGTGGGCTGTTTGAGAGGAAGGATGTATTAGATGACTGCGTGGGGGATACAAATGGGAAGTTGAAAGGTTTGGTGGAGAAGTCGGGACTTGGAGAAAGGGTGGGATGGTTGGAACCACCAACTTTGATAAAGGAGGAGCATTTGGATGATCATGTTCATCTGAACGAAGTGGGTTACGGGATTTGGGAAGGTGTGTTATTCCAAAGGATCGAGGAGATGCTAGAAGAAGTATGAGCAGTGGCCTTGCGTGAAAGACGTGGATTTCGAAGAAGGGCAAGCGTAGCATCGTGGTCTGAGGTTTGAGAAGTAAATACTGCTTTAAAATACCTTGAAAATACTTTAAAGATACTGCAAGGCTGTTCTGATACTGTGGATTGTTGTATCTCTTCAAAATTGTTGCCAATTCTGGTGGATCTTCGGCGAGCCGTTCCTTCAGTTAAAGCAGAAGCAACCAGCTTAAGTTACCGAGCGTATGAAGCGCAGGTGGCAAAATCAACGTGAAGTCCTATGTACAACAATTTGTTAAAGACCTTATAGAATGGGGACAAAAAGCGATGAAGCACGCGGAATAATTCTCTTGGATAGGAAAAAGAGGTTGGTGATGTGTTTCAAGAGTCATTGACGCAATGTCGCAACTTCTATTGAGAGTGGACGAAGAAGGAGTCAAACATTGAAAAACAATCGATACAGCAGACTCCACGCACTTAAAAGGAGTTGTCTTGTTGATTAAAGCATACAAAGCGTTGGGCTGTGTTGTCAGTGAAGAGACCGTGTGTTGGAACCTCGCATTTCTGGAGTGCCGATTCATCATTGAAGTCGCATTTGCTGATGGGCTTGAGCAACTCACCTGAGTTCACGAGTACTGACCTTGATTGTTCCAACCATAGAGAGCATCATCTCTTCCCCATAACTGAAAATTAGCGAAAGTCGGGAAGAAGCAGAGCGGAAAGTAAATATCGGCACAGCAAAGCCGAAGTTTTGCCGACAGACTTCCAAATCCCAAGGCTGAAGGTCCAAACTCAACCTCTCCGCCTTGTCAACTATCCAACACGACAAGAATGGCATCCCAACTCCCAGCTGGTGGCCCACCACCAAACGCAACGTACGTGTCATTGCACTCCGACACGTACACCCCGTTTCTCCAGTCCAGGCACTAACGAATCGCAGCGTGTACGTCCGCAATCTCGAAGAGCGTATCAAGCCCGGCGAGCTCATTGATGCTTTGAAAGAGCTTTTCTCTGAGTACGGCGAAATTATCGATGTAGTCGCGAAGACGAACTTGAAGGCGAAGGGCCAGGCATTCGTAGTTTTCGATAATGTCGAGAGCGCGCAGAAGTGTATTGAGGATGTCCAGGGTTTTGACCTCTTTGGCAAGCCGATGCAGCTGGCGTTCGCGAAGACGAGGAGTGATGCTTTTGTGAAGCGCACTGCAGGTGATGAGGAGCTGGAGAGCCATAAGAGGAGAAGACTTGCGGAGAAGGGTATGGTTTCTATATTTTGGTGATGGGGGCAAGGATGATGGCTAACATGTGGATAGACAAGAAGAAGGCCGCCGAGCAAGCAGAGGAGCAGAAGAGACTCAAGCACACTGCCCCCGCAGGTATGGCTCCAGATGCTGGCGCAAGACCTATCAAAGCTACTCGTGGCGCTGGTCTCAAGTCCACGAATGCTGGTGCAGCAGCCGTCATCCCCGACGAGTACCTACCTCCCAACAAGATTCTCTTCTTGCAGAACCTTCCCGAGGATTACGATATCGATGCTCTGACTTCTATATTTGGTCGCTTTGAGGGCTTCAGAGAAGTAAGATTGGTACCAGGTCGTAGGGGAATTGCTTTCGTGGAGTACGATGGTGAGGCGGGCGCCATTAGCGCGAAAGAGAATACGGCAGGTATGGCATTGGGTGACGGACAGGTCATGAAGGTCACATATCAAAGACAATAGATGTAGAATTTGTATGATGTCTTCGATTCGTCCTGTGGCGTTGGTGGGAAAAATTAGCAATGAATGCTTTCGCCCCAATCCTTCCAGACGCTAATGCTACATGATGTCCGTGAAATAAGTACTTAAAACAAGAATGCAGATGTCCTGATCAGAAGATGATATCCGTATCTTCTGACTCGCCCAATATGTCCCCGCTACCCTCATTCTCCTTGTCGCTGCCTTTGTCCTTACCAGCAGCAGCAGCTTCCTTTGCCTCCCGTCTGAGTCTCATTTCTTCATCTTGAACCGCTGTATCTCTCTGCTTCTTGCCTTGTACCTTCTTCAATCGGAAGAACTCCTCTCTGTCCAATTCGTCAAGCTCGGAGTTGATATCTAATACTGTTAGGGACGTAAATCTGGGAAGCTCGACAGACTCACATTTGATGGTGTTCTCGGTTCGTGGAATGATGACATGCTCGCTGTTTCCTGTTAATTTATATAGAGGCTGTCTTGGTGGACAAGCTTACATGGCGTTAACTATAGAAGTTAGTGATGAACCAAGGCAATAGAGAACACTCCGACTTACCTCTCCGGTTGACAACCTTGATGACTTCGTCTAAAATAACAAATGCAGTCTACCGAGTCAGTCTTCAACTCTGGTCCACGACAAGATCAACATACCTGCAGACTTGCAAGCTCTACCAGTGTTTCCACAGCTCTGGCATATGTCTCCCTGCATCTTTGTACCTGCTGCCCACCCTTTCCAAGACCAGTTAAACCGAAGTCGTTGTTGCCTTCAGTCGTATAGCTCTCGAATGCTGGCAAGAATACCCCGGAAACGTTCTCCTGCTTCGTTCGTACTCTGAATCGTGCTGATTTCGCAGATTCCTGGACCTGATACCCAATATCCCCTCCCACTGCATATGTGACTTCTGCCAACGAAAACGCGGCAATCTGCATAACCCTTCCCATCTTCCGTTTGGCCTCATCAATACGTCTGGTGATTTCTGCATAAAATTAGACCCCGGTTCTTGGTGGTATGGCCTGGTAAATACCTCGGAAACGCCTGCAAGAGTTGATTAGCTATGGGTCAATAACATTTCCATATGTACATACTTTGTCAAAGCTTCACTCTTCCTCTTCAACAAGTCATGACCAGTCTGAGCTCCCTTGAGCTTAGCTTTCATCAATCCCAAGGATTGACGGGTTGGGAAGACAGCCTCTCGATTCTGTAAAGCTGTTAGCTGGGAGCTGAAGCAGGGCAGTTACTGTTCGTACGGCTGCTCCAGACATGTTGATGTATTTGCTGATTCAAGCCAATTTGCCACTTATCAAGTAAGTCGCGTTACGATATGACTGAGAAGAGAGCAAAGAAGGCTGTGAATTGTAGTACGATGGCAGCTGCCGATAAGCTGTTGGTTGAAGCTCCCACTTGATAGACCCACCTCATTGACAAGACAGTTCGGCCTTGCGGCGGGATAAGGCTGCCAGGCAACTAAGCTAACTTTGATTTCTCTTGAGACTCGTTCGCGACTTGGAGCGCGACAGTGCTACCTCTCTCTTCACTCGTCCTTCTTCTCTTCTATTTTATTCGCAGATTGTTGCAGTATCTCATAGCAGGCAGAGAATGCCTGGTGAGCTTCTGCCAATCATGGCTGCTCCCAGCGTCTCGAAATCGAAGCTGTCTCGGGCCAAAGCAGACTTATATCTTATTGTAAGCAAGACGAACCTTGCGGAACAAACGGAATCGCTGACGCTTTTACAGTCCGAAGAAGATACAATCTACGAGCAAGATATCCTCCGAGACCCTGGAAGCACCAAACCATGGCTGGCATACATCGAGTTCAAGTTTCAGCATGGCACCCTCCTCGAACAAGCTTTCGTCCTGGAGCGAGCTTGTCGACAGCTCCCACGATCTTTCAAGCTGTGGAAGATGGTACGAACAATTCTCCTCAGTCGTATTCGACCTTATGGCTAACATACAATAGTATTTAACCCTCCGAATGAAACACCTGGGGAAGCTAAATCCAGCAATCTACAAATCCGAGTATGCGAAAGTTAATGCCCTGTACGAGCGAGCTCTCATCCTTCTCAACAAAATGCCGCGGATATGGGAGATGTACCTATCATTCTTATTACTCCAACCGATTGTTACTCTCACTCGTCGAACCTTCGATCGTGCGCTCCGAGCGCTGCCCATGACCCAGCATAATCGCATATGGGCGTTGTACCGGCCTTTCGCAAACTCGGCGTCCGGCCAGACCGCGGTCAAGATCTGGCGAAGATACATGCAAATCCATCCAGAGGACGTGGAAGACTACATCGAGCTGCTTGTTGAGATGGGTCACTACACGGACGCTGTGAAGAAGTACATGGACATCCTCAACAACCCGAAATTCCGCAGCAAGAACAGCAAGGGGCACTATCAGCTGTGGATTGAAATGGTTGACCTTATTGTTGGTCATGCGAAAACCGTTGAAACGGGGGATGAAGTGGGAATCGATGTGGACAAAATTATTCGCAGCGGAATCGACCGATTTGCGGATCAGAGGGGTCAGTTGTGGTCCGCTTTGGCAACATACTGGATCAAACGAGGAAACTTTGAAAAGGCCCGCGATATCTTTGAGGAGGGAATTACCACCGTCATGACTGTTCGTGATTTCACCCTCATCTTTGACGCGTACGTCGAGTTTGAAGAGGCCATTACTGGCCAACTGATGGACGATGCTGCAGCTCGGTCTGACAAGGGAATTGTGGACGAGAATTTGGACTTCGATCTCGACATCCGTATGATGCGATTTGAGCAGCTGATGGACCGGCGACCATTCTTGATCAACGATGTGCTACTGCGGCAAAACCCCAATAATGTTTCGGAATGGAACGTTCGGATTGGATTATGGGGTGATAATAAGGTCGAAGTGGTGCAAGCATATACGGATGCGATTGCTGCTGTGCAACCCAAGAAAGCAGTGGGCCGATTCCACGAACTATGGGCCAACTACGCCAAATTCTATGAAAAGGGCGGAGACATCCGCAATGCAAGGGTCATTATGGAGAAAGCTGTGAAAGTTCCTTTTAAGTCAGTGGCAGAGCTTGCTGATATGTGGATTGAATGGGCTGAGATGGAGTTGAGGAACGACAACTTTGATGAGGCTGTAAAGATCATGGCAAAGGCAGTTCAAGCGCCGAAACGTTCGACCGTCGACTACTTCGACGAAACGCTTTCTCCTCAACAGAGAGTCCACAAGAGTTGGAAGCTCTGGAGTTTCTACGTTGACCTTGTCGAGAGTGTCAGCACTTTGGAGGAGACCAAGAAAGTCTACGAGAGGATATTCGAGCTTCGAATCGCTACACCACAAACCGTGGTCAACTATGCCAATCTCATGGAAGAGAACAAGTATTTTGAGGACTCTTTCAAAATCTACGAGAGAGGTCTGGACCTGTTCAGCTACCCAGTCGCCTTCGAACTGTGGAATCTGTACTTGACCAAAGCAGTTGATCGAAAGATCGGTATCGAGCGACTGAGAGATCTGTTCGAGCAAGCCGTAGAAGGCTGTCCACCAAAGTTTGCCAAAGTATTGTACTTGATGTACGGGAACTTGGAAGAGGAGAGAGGCCTCGCAAGACACGCCATGCGGATTTACGAACGGGCGACACGAGCTGTCTCGGACGAGGACCGAGCAGACATGTTCAACTTCTACATCACAAAGTCCGCCTCAAACTTTGGACTACCCTCCACAAGACCAATCTACGAGCGTGCCATCGCGGCACTACCAGACAAGGATGCTCGGGATATGTGTCTGAAATTCGCAGATATGGAGAAGCGGCTCGGCGAAATCGACCGTGCAAGAGCCATCTACGGTCATGCGTCACAATTCTGCGATCCACGTACCAGCCCCGACTTCTGGCAGAAGTGGGAATCTTTCGAGGTGCAGCACGGAAACGAGGATACTTTCAAGGAGATGTTGCGTATCAAGCGAAGCGTACAAGCACAGTACAATACCGATGTCAATTTCATTGCTTCGCAAGCTTTGGCTCGAAGCCAAGCCCAGCCAGAAGGCGAGACGGACGAGGAACGCGCTGATGCCATGGCTGCATTGGAGAGAGAGGCTAGAGCTCCTGTGGGTTTCGTTGCAGCGAGCACAGGGCCTCAAGGAGGAAATATTAAAGAAGCTGCTGCGGTTGTAGCTTCTAATCCAGATGCAATCGATGTAGATGGTATGGACGACGATTAGGTTTCTTGAGGAATCACGAGAGCATCATGGAGTTTGGACATAATCTGGAGGCTGGATTCAGCTTGTGCATAGGATGGCGTTTTTACGGCGGGGACTTTATTGCTTTCATATGCAAGTGATGAATGCGCCTGTGACTGGGCTTTGAGATCAGGAGCGAACGATGGCTCTTTGTATGTACTGTATAGGAACTAGTGGTATCTTGAGGAGAACGCAACGCCAAGCGTATCAGAAAAAGGGACGAAAAAGGCAAATCAAATCACTCCTAATCCTGCTTCGCTCTTCCAAACTCCATAACGCCCTTTGATCCATTTCTTGTAACTTCTTCCCAATTCCGACTCATGTGCTGGTGATGTTGCACTACTGCGTTACTTCCTGTAGCTTAGTCGTTCCCCCCTTTACTGCTTCTCCCAGTCATTTTTGCCCATCCCTTCTCAAAGACTCCAGAATGGCGTTTGCTATCTCCCTCAGGACTCTTCGTGTCATCTTTGTCTTGACTGCTCGGTGTAGTCAACCTACTTTCATTTGAATGTTGTATCCGACTTGGCGTGGCTTTTGAGACATCTTCGCAGCATGAATTAGCCTAAGCTCCTTCAAAACATTCCATCTTGAATTATACACACCACTTTCATCACCCAGCCTCCTAGCCTGCTTTCCACATGCTCTTTCCGGCCTTGGCCCCTCATCGTCTCCTCCATCACCTGCCTCACTCCTCTCTCTTGCGTCGAATCTAAACGGATTCCCTTCAATTCCCCCCCCACTTCTTTGTGAGGCAAACGGATCTGCACTTCTCCTTGGGCTTGGACTCCTATTTGAACTTGAATTTGGATATGGATATGCCGCTACATCGGCCTCTGAATCGTCTTCAGATGGCTCAGTGATGTATCCTGTGTTTATTCGTGGGAAGCCGGAGATATCTTCTACGGAGGGAGAAGGGTGTGGCAGTTCGGGTTCGAGTTCGATTTTGTGAGGCTTGGATATGCAAGCTGTGGGTGGTAAGGAGTCGGCAGGTAGAGATGGTGAAAGTATGGGTTCGAGTGACGTCCCAGCTGTTGGTGGTGCTGTAACTGATGCCATGGCGTTCTTAGTACTTGGACACTGTGCGTTGAGTTTTCAGAGATTTATCTGTCTTGTTTTGTTTTTGGATTTTTAACTATCAGAGGGGTCGAGAAGGAGGCAATAGATAAATGAGATCGTCTCTACCTGACGAGCTTACAGCACACATGCACATGGGAATTTACCGTACAATCCTCAAATACGCCTCATTGACGTAACCGCGTCCCTTTCTGTGATCCCATGCAGCAGAAGTACAGTATCTGCAAACAAGTGGATCAAGCAAAATATAAGCATACGGTGAAGGAAGCCCAGAAATGACGAGCACACCAACGCTAGAGCTTGCCTCCATACACGACCCAGCATGTTCATCTGAAGAAACTACGGCGGTGCTGCGGGCACAGCGGGCAGAGCTTTCATTGGGAGTGAAGATGACGTAGCGTGTTGAAGCGAACCTTGGCCCTGCACTGAACGAGGCGATGTTTGGATAGTCAGCTGATTGAGAATGGGTGAGAATGACAAATTTTTGAGCTGCGTTGTTTTTATTCTCTTCCAGTACGTATTGTAAAGCTTGATACTAGCTATAAATTAAAGCTATCAGTCTTACATATCAAAGTGTTGGGTTTAAGTGGGTCGGTCTTGGCTATTGTTTACTTTAATTTGACCTCGCCAATTTACAATAGCACCATTTCTCATAGCTCCTTTGTGGATGTCTTGTAGGACACCCTACACTTTCCAGTTATTCTGACAGCAAGATTTTGTGTTTGTGTTGCTTACTACTAAACATATGGATGGTGACGAGATATTTTAATATTCAGCTGCACGTGCCATACAAGTGACGAAATGAAGAAGTGACTTCTGCAACATCCAAGAGGCTTACGTCTGGCCCTCATTCTCTCTCTTTCTGCTATTGTACCACAAGTCTACTCTTTCAATCTTCACAAGATGGGCTCTCATCATGGACAAGTGCATACGCCTCTGCTATCCAATATTCGGTCTTCTTCAGCCATTCCTTCTCAGCATTTGTGATAGAAGTAGCGGGATTTTCGGTACAGCTGGTCACTTTGATATTCGTTTTAAGATCTTTAGATGCAGTATTATCGGTGAAGGGGTCTAAAAGTCGACTATCATTTCCTAGATTCCTAGCCTTAAGACAACCATCAAGAACTGACGCCAGCGGTGCATTGAGTGGCTCGGGAAGGGAGGTTTCCAGATTTCGCTTATCGAAGCTCTGTGGTGGGTCAATGTAGGAGCTCATGCTTGAAATTGTTTCACCAATCGAAAGGCTGGGCGTGGGTATTTTACCTGCTGAGGATTCTCCAGTTCTTGGCGCTCCCGCGTGGAGGAGCAGCTCGTCGACGAGGTCCCAGCCTCCGAAGACGCGACTTGCCCACTTTGGTTGTCGGTACCAGTTGTCTTCGTTGAATAGTAGGGTACACTTTTGGCGGTCTTTCCAAATACGCTGGCGGGATTCTGGCGTGGAATTGCCGTCCTCGTCGAGGTTCCGGAGCCTTGGTGCTCCTGAAGAAGAGTTCTTGGCTGCCTCAATGGCCTCGGAGGTTGTGCTGTGACTGGTGGCTGTGGTTGGACTAGATTATAAGGTGTTGACGGAAGATGTTGGCTTAATTTGCTTTTTGGTGAGCTCTGGCGTTGGGAGAGCGGATGGTTGCTTCGTGACTGAGCCCAGCTCAAGTCGATGCGCGCACTATTGATCTCTTTAGCCACTAAGAGTTGCGAATAATTAAATAATGGTAACTTACCTTAATCTTCTTCTTACCGCAAGCTGCGCACGCTGGGCCCTTCTTGGGTTTTGCTACTTTCGTGGTCTTTGATGCCGTGGTACGAGCCTTCTTCGAAGCTGGACTGGATGCGGTGGCGTTGGTATCGGTCTCGGCGGAAGCTGGAATCTTTATGCTAGAGATCTCCATGATATTCTTGCCTTTGGGGAGGGCGAAGAATGGATTCACTTTAAGTTGAAGTTGGAGATTAGAGTTTGTTCGGTGTCTGGTTGATAGTGTTGATCTCTTGGTGTTGATCTCTTGGTCTTGCGAGATTGTTGGGCGAAATGGTGTCGAGGAAGAAAAAGGACGACAAATATATAGGAGAAGATTCAATCAAGTATATGGCGACTGAGCCGAACACAATAGCATTGACTGACAACAGGTAGCGGTCGTATTGTTGAGCTGAATTAAGAGAGAAGTAAAACGGGGTACACTCACCGGAACAATGAACCTGCGCCCATTCACCCCCGCAACCACCGGAATACGCATGGTATTGGATCTCAGTGAGATCTTTTGAAAGAAGTTCAAATCGTTCCCTGTGATCACGTATATCTATTCAAGTCATTGCTCTGAATGCTCCCAAGCTGACAGAACAATACGTCGGCCCTCTTTCTGTCGAGTTGTTGAAAAGTTGCAGAGATGAAGATAATGCATAATAAACAGAAGCAAATTGAAGATTTCATTACTCATTTTAGAATTGATAGTAGCAAACATATACTGTCAAAGGAAAGCAGTGCGCCAGAAAGTTCGCCAACCACGCTTTTCAGACACATTCCCGAAATTGCTTGATTACAATAATATCTTGCCGATCCTTCTTGTTCGACGCTCAAGTTTCCAAATTATCATGTCCACTTTTGCCAATATCGTACTCAATCTCTTGTACAGCAGCATCAGCGCATACAGGCAAGGCCTGCTCAATTCTGCGACCTCCTCTTTTGATGGCACCACTCACCAAGTCTTCCATTGCTCTACGAGCAGGATCTTGATCCGAGGATCCATATATACTCAAGTTACCGAACAGTTTCTGGGCAATTTCGTGATCTTGCGGGCTTATATTGATACCGTGAGAGACGCCTTCCAGATAACCACGACCATAGACGTGAGCTCTGTCATATTGCGTGCCGGTACGTTGAATTTTGCGGGAAGATTTGGTGGTAACGAGTGAGATTCGTGCTTGGGTATTGTGCGTTCCACATCTGGTACCATCTTCAGAATCTGCGTAGTTGTAGCAATAATCGGAAGAGCAGGTATGCTTGTCACAGCATCGACCTTCTTTCAAGCGAGCCTCGGGACAGCCCTGCACAAAGCAAGTGTGGCTTTTACAGCAAGAAGTTCCGCTTTCGACACCTGAAGCACATCTGTACCCGGTTTCAGGCCAGTGACAAGTATGGGAATTGCAGAATTGATAGTCGGACTCTTCCAGAACTGGCAGGGTGCAACCCACCGAACAGCACGTGTGCTCGCTACAATAGCCTCCGCCTTCTGAGGAAGGCTCTGGACAGTCGGGATAGTAACATCGGCAGGCGTCACAATACTCTCCTACTACACGGCAGCAGGATATACATCCCGGAGCCGGGCATTTGGGCTGGTAACAAAACCGAGCGCCACCTATCACTGTTTCGGGACAAGGGGTATAGGTCCATTGACAACAGTGGCGCTTGCAAAACTTTCGGTTTAATGCCATTTGGATGCTTCTGCATGTCTCAGCTTGACATGTATGGCTCGCGCATGCTTGCGATCCCGGGCTACTCTGGCATGGTGACGAACAACCTTGCATTCGGCAAAGGTGTGACTCGCAAACCGCCGCACCTTCTTTGCGTGGCTTTGTACACCTAGTATATGTACACGAGTGGTCGCTGCACTGAAGCTTTCGAGGATTTCTTACGCTGCTGCAGGAGCTAAGTCAACATTTGTGTCTCGAGCAGCCCCAGGAGTAGCCTGTTGAGAGATGACGATCAGAGCTTGTTTGAGGAACAAGAGGGTATGCTATATCAGAAAAGCAACAAGTGATAATGTGTGAAAAAGAAGTTATCGGGCTGAGTACAATCGGGCGAGGATATGCGAAGTGGTGCGCATGACCATGTAAGTGGCTCAAAGATAAAGCTAAGGATGCGTAATGGTTTGACAGATGTGATGCCGGAGAAGCGGAGTAATGCACGTTGCTGAATCCGCAATTGCTGACGAGGCTGAGACGAAGAGAGATGTTCTGACAACTCAGCACTGGCGTTGGTGCATATTTGATAATAACAGGCAATCTAAGTAGGCGGAAAGCACTTTATTGCACTTTGAATGCCTGACGATTTGAACACGGCGGAATTGGCTATGGTCATGTACTGTCGTCCACCATCAAGGCTGTTTATTTTATCTATTTCAAAAACAAAATCGGCCGCAAGATGTTCACAGTCCGCTATCCAGTGAAAACAACATCAACGCTGATAGGGATTATGGCCGTAGCAGACTGTAAAATGCGTATGCCAGACAGCTTACTTGCAGCATAGGATAAGAACGAGAGAAGAACAATGCAGGAGAGCACCATAAGTCAACTCTAATATCGCGACAGCAATGTGGACTTCATGAAAGGCCAAGTAAAGGAATGCAGAAGCTTCTTTGACAGTCATAGAGACCACATTTCGCTTTTATACGAACGTGAACGGACGCAATAAGGGATAAGTGACTCTGCTTGTCTCATCTGTCATTGAACGAGGACAAACCAAATCGCCAAAACACATGATAAGCAAGCGAAGGCACTTGCCAGCCACCAATATCATCCCAAGCCCAATCCAAGCTACTTTCAGGTCACTGCACCACAAAACAAGAAGACTCAAGTCAACCCAGCCAACAGTCATTCATACCAAACCATTCATCCATTCTATACAAGATTTACCCCCCTCTCTATCAATTATCCACAGCCCAATCACTCATGCTATCTTTGTCGTAACATGCTGATGGAGTAGCGGTTCGTCCTCTGTTCCTTTCTTTTCTCTCCTTCTCACTCTCCTAATCCTCGTCATCTCTCATCTCTCCTCTTTCTCCGTCCACACTCATGCTTCCATATCCTTCTCAAGATTCCGTCTCGACCCAGCAAAGTTGACCGAGAGATCCTACGCTTTTTGTTTGTACAATCAGACCAGACCAGATGAACAATATTATACAGCTCCTGCTCCTCATCTTCCAGCTCCGTATTTCTGCGTTGCAGTCCAATGAGATTTCCACATTCACTAAACTCTACTCCGCTCCAGCAGCGACCTCTTCCTTCGGCCTATCCGCAAGCGCGACTTCTTTCTCTTTCTCCACGGGCTTTTCCTTCTCCACTACCTCCTTAGGCGCATCTAGGCCCAGATCCTTCCTAAGATCAGGCAAGAAGCGATCGATGCGCTTCCATGTTTCAACCCACAGCTTTTCTTGCGAGGGGTCTTTGCTAGGCGGGACGAGGAAAGAGCTGCTTGACATCACGAGGAGTATGTTCTTGAGTGACTCGAGAACGGCTTCTTCCTACGTGGCTGTTAACTCTGTGATTTTCTTGGTGATAAGGGGGGAGAAAGAGACATACCAAGCTATCACCCTGCCCGCTATTCATCAGCCTATCCATAATATCCAGGATCTTCAGCCAAAGATCCAACATCCCATCCCACTTGGAAAGCAAGGTCAAATAATGCAGGAAGATCTTGCTGAGCAGCGTAGCAGCCTGCACTCTCGTCTCACTCATACCAACAGGATCGGACGAGTAGACTTCGGGTTTCAGTAAGCGCAAGATGAGGGGGAACAGGACTTCTCCGAAGATGGCAGTCCATTCTTCGTGTTCGCCTGTTGTTAGCTCTGGTGAAAGGAGTGAGCGTTGGAGAGATGAGAAGGCTTGGTGTCTGACTTCGCGGCAGGGGTTGGTGCATTGCGTTGTCAGGGCACGGAAGATAGGCGACCAGTAAGCGGCCCAGGCTTCTTTGCTTTCGAGATGTGATTGCTGCATGAGAACTGGGATCCGGTTTGTGAGAGAGAAGATTATAGTGATAGCTTTGACGCCTCTTGCAACGGCAGCATCGACTCTGGAGAAAATATTAGCATTATGGGATCTATAGAGATAGGCAAGAACATACTGTGGCTGTGGTTGAGGTTTGGGCTGTTTAGCTTGTTGCTGCCCTCGGCGGACTCGCTTGTCCTGCTTTTGCTCAATTGTCGCTCCAACACTTCCAGCCGAAGCAAAATCGTTCAACAGCTTGACAGCGGACTCGTAGTTATCGGCCATTATCGTTGGAGGTGATCCAATGGCTACACCCTCCAATATCTCGAACACAGTCGGTGCAGATTGTGCATTACCTGTAAGGTTGCGGAGAATAACCCAGAAATCAGGCGATGTCATGATTTCATTTCTCAACGGACCAGGCTCTTTTATACATTGAGTCAATCCTTGGAGAACCAATGGTGCTGACTTTTCAAGAAGATCCTTCTTGAAGCTTGAGACTGTATGAAGAACAACCGGGACCCGCAGGAAGTCGTGTTCCTGTCCAAGTCAGTCAAAGTCTAGATACAGAAAGCATGAAAACTTACGTAGCTAGCGTGCAAGAGATGAAGCAGATAGAACATAGTCCTGGAGATCATGATATTATGGTAACTTCCAACATGTCGCATAACATTCTGCAATGCTTCGGCCACATCTGCACCCAGAGCCGCCACGGTCTCCTTATCCCGGAGAGCGAGCACTGTGCAAAGTTCTAGTATGTAGACCATTGCAGGATCATATACAGGTCCGTCATTAGCAGATTTCTGGCCATTGGTTGGCGCCACTGTATCCGTCTCTGATTTGACACTGATGACTATCGAAGTGGGATCATCAGGCAGCTGAGCAAGCAGTGCTTGAATGAGTGGCTTCAAAGACTCTATAGGCATGTTGCTTCGAATTGTCAGCATGGCTCCCAAAAAAAATACTCCAAAGCTTACACAACATTGGCAAAAACGTCCCCCATATAACAAGCATTGACACAATCAACTGTACATAGCGTGCTCTCCAGCTCTTCATCAGAAGGCTCTGGTGGGTCATCGGCGGCATAGCTAGAAATATACGAAGTGAAAGCCGAGAAGAGACCAGTATCGCTGGCCTTCTGGCCACGATCAATTATCTGAGATGGCGTTTGTAGCGGTATGGAAGATATATCGATCCGATTTGGCGCAAAGAATGGCGGTATCAGAGAATTGACGAAGAGATTAACCCAGATGCGAACAATCTGATATCGTCAGCTTTGGAAGGACTGGATGGCACGAGGAAGACTTACATGTTTCCAGCTTTCGTTAATAATAGCTTCACTGCCAGTGACCACTCGGAAGAGAACAACAGTTGCGAGCTGTGCCTTGAAGTCACGACCAAACTTCACTGCCAGCTCGCTAACCATAACACTGTTCTCGCCAACCTGAATCTCGGTGTTGAGCGCAGTGTTCGAAGGCGACTCAGTAGCCAATGAGGTGATGTAACTCAAGCAGTACACTACCTGATCCACAGCCTCAGTAAGGCCGTACTTAGCAGCAATGCGAGCACATTGGTCAAATCCAGTTATGACTCTCGAGAAGACAGCGTCGTCGCTTGCAGACATGAACACATACGACAGTGTCGCAACAACAGGTTTCCAGGTTGCTGCGAACATATCCGCATCGTAGATGTTCGTGTCACAGACAATCAAACTTCCTGCAGACTCAGTTTTCAACAACAGCTCTTTCCAAGCATAGTCGAAAGCATGTTTATTATCATGCTCGTCCGGGAGAATGATTTCGTTTGCCTTGATAGAGTCGTAAATACTCTGGATGTAGGCGGGTTCGAAGTTGTTGCCGCCATTGACACCTCGTAAATTGTTTCCAAATTGCTCGACGGTCATGCGAGAGCTGTTTTTGAGATTGGGATTGTAGCTGTCCGTGTTCAACATCAGAATGGCGTAAGTGAGAACGAAGATGGCATCTGGATTTGCCATCGGTTCTGGAATCTTGCTTTTGAAGTAATGCTCTGCAAATACTGTGACGATGCGCTCAATCAAGGCAGATTCTCCAGGCAGACGACAGCTCTCCACAACTTCTCGAAGCGCTTCGTCCACTCGCTTGTCATCGAAGTTGAAGGTGTCAATGAATGCTTCCAGGATGGGCTCATTGCCCTTCTTCGAAATGAACTCTCCAAACATCTTCTTCGATATCCGGGCAGTACCTTTCAAAAAAGTCGCAATCTGCTTGGCGTCTTGCAGATTGTCAATAATCCCATGCTTGTTGAGGTACGCAAGACCAGCTTTGGGGCTTTCATTGAATTTCTGAGCTCCTTGGATGATGATCTTCTTTCTCCTACGCTTTTCACGGAGAACCGACTGATCCGGGTAGTCCTCGAATCGAGGCTCATCATCGAGTCTATCCGCAATGAATTGGATGTAGCCTAAAAGCGCATCTAGACATAGTGGCGGAACAGAGGTCGTGCTCCACGTCGCTGAATCCGGGATCGCATTCCGAGATAGAAGTCCCACCATATCTTCGCATAGGTCACTTCGATCGATTTCACAATCGTAGTTGATGAACAGCTCAACCATGTAGCTCGGTATCCGAGCAAGAGCACCAACACTTTCTACCATTGCTTCTCTGGCATCTGGTTTTCGCGAGCCACCTTCCATACCAAGTTTTTGGCGGTCTTTCACGGGAACAGGAGTCGATCGCCCACTACTTGATTGCGAAGGTGGTGGCTTAACGAGTTTTGGAGCTTGCGGAACACCAGCGTACAGGGATGGGTCGATTCCCGGCTCTCTTGGTATCTCGACACGTGGATGTAAACAAGCAACCAAGTAGGATAGGAACAGCTCTTGCTGCAGCTTCAGAACACCTCTGCAAGTTGCCAGAAGCGTCCCGGCAACAATAAGCGACTCGTGTAGAATGGCCATATTGTCTGATCGGACGAGTTGAAACAAGTACCTGCAGAGTCGATCTTCTGCAAGAGTTGCTAACGATGGATGCTTCCCAATAGAAGGGCCTGCAACTTCCAGAGCTACATCGATAATTCGCAGAGCCATGACTCTCATCGCATCCGCGTGTTGGCGATCATGGGGATCCAGCAAATCCACAAGAACTCGGAAAAGCTCCCGTATTGAAGGTAACGAGTACGGCTTGATAGGTGCCTCATCAGAAGTTTCTGAAGCTGGACCAACTCCAATTTCAGACCCAATGTCCATTGATGTTGAACCAGAAGTCAGATGTCCACTCCTAGCTTTATCAAAACTTGATGATGGCCTAGAGTCTGTCGGCGGAGCTGCGAGTGAGGACTTGATAGCCTCATTGCTGTTTGCTGATGGGTCCATCTTCACAGTATCCATGTCCTCCTTTGTCTTCTCGTCCAGGGCCTCTAGATCGTCCCCAGCCTCAATCTCTAGATGTTTTAACCTTTCGAAGATCACCTGGGTCATCTTTACCATAGAAATCTCGGCAGAGCGTCGAAGCAGCTCCGAAAGTCTGGCCTGACAACACATGCTTAATCCAGTTTCCATCATTTCACAGACACTCTCGTCGCTCAGTAGGTCCCCTCCTGGCCCAGACAGCATTCCCTCCATGAGCTTCAATATCCGTAATAACACGATCTCGTCTGCCGCAGAGTCACTGGCTTCGAACCGGCAATGCGTAATGGCTGCAGATAAAGTCTGCATAGCAAGGGCCAGGCGTGGGGAGTCGGGGCTTATGAGATTGTAAGAGAAGAATTTCGTGATGGCCACAAGGGCGAGGGAGGTGATCGGGGCGGAGGTCGCAGAAGCTTGAATGACCTGTAGAAAAGGATGCAGTAACGACGGGGTATCGAATTTGTGTATATCTGCCTTTCATTAACATATGTAACTTCCAGGTATGAAGCACTCATTACCTTTACAGCCCGTAAGTTCGCGCCTCAATCGTCCAAAGCCAGCCATTAGAGGATTATCCTGCATGCTCTTCCCTTTCTTGCCTCGAAGCCCCCATCTATTCGCCAGACCTCCATCGTCTCCATCTGCAAGCCCTGTAGAGGGCCTGTTCTTGTTCCCTTTCGTCCTCCCAGGCTCATCTCGTGGCGTTGAAGGTCTGGAGCTCTGCAGACTTGGACTCATGGGAGTGGAGCTTCCCCCGAGGATAGCAGATACTGAAGAATGCGCCCATCGAGCATGCTTTCGCATAGCGGAAGTAACAGTGATACATTCTGTCGTAATCAGGGCGACAGGGTCAACCGCCACGGAAATGGAAGCTTTCCTTGAGGTACCCATGGCGCCGTTATATCGCGGTACTCGCTCAGTATACCTGCTTGCTTCGAGAATCGAGGTAGTGTCGAAATCATGTACAGAGGAAGCTGGCGAATAATTTATGTGTCCAGATGCTTGCGAATTCACGGCGACAACATCATTGTTCATAATGTGCTTATAGACTGGCGCAGCATGGATCCAGCTTCGAAATTATGAATTAACAGAATTGGCTTTCCAATCTAAGCAGTCGGCAGGTAGCAACCGACAGGAAATTTTGTCGTGCTATGGATCTCCCCTGATGGTACGAATATAAATCCCAAGACGTCTAAATCCCCGAGCCGCATGACGGACTCAACCGTGTCCTTGAGCCTTGCCGGCCACACGTGACCAGCCATTTCCGCCAATCTTGCCCCTATGTCTTTTGTACGAGGTGTGGCGAGCTTAGATGGAATAGATAGGAGTTTGCTTCTTCAGAATATGATGCCACTATGTGGTTGTGTTCAATATGGTCTCATTGCGCCGTCTATACTTTTACATAACTCCCGTCCCAAATTACTTAGAGAAGTGGACTTGGCTGAACAAGTGCTCCCATTTATGACAAGAATGCCGATATCATCCTCAGATGAATAGCCTATGCAATCCCGAACCTGCGCCGAATTCCTCGCCACGTTTGAAGGCAGTGTCATCCGCTGTAAATATAATCATACAGCTGAGCTGAAGTCAATATCTCCTCTAATTAAGGCCGACAAAGACAATAACAGAGTGTGTACTACACTCGTCGAAGTCCTTCTCCGGCAGCCTAGTGATGTCAATAGCGGTCCGGAGGTCAGAAAGGGGGAAGTTCTACCTTGTGTCGTTATTGTGCCTTTGCCGGTGTATCCTGCGTAGTAGCTACTTTCGCTGCAGGCTTGGAGTCGTCCTTGGTCTCGGCTTTAGATTCAGCTTTCGCCTCGGCCTTCGTCTCAACCTTTGCGTCTGGTTTAGTCTCTGGTTTTGCAGCAGCTGCTGGTTCGGCCTTCGAGGTGGCTTCAGCCTCCGCTTTCTCCTTCTCTTTCTTTTCCTTCAGTGCCTCGTTTTGGATATCGGTCTTGTCCTTCTCCCACTGACTGTTTGGGTCCGCAAATTGATCCTTAATCTTCTTCATTCGATCGGCACGCTCCTTTTCTTCGGCTTCATGTGCTACACGCTCTTTCTCCATTTCCTATGAAAGTCAATATCACGTCTTACTGACAGACCAGGATCTCTTACCTCCATATGACGAATATCGTCAACACTAGGTTCGTACAAATGCCAAATGGTGTAGTGAGGCAATCCAACGACAGAAAATTGCATGCGCTTAGCCATCTACTTGAAATTAGCAATCATCTTCGAATTGTGGAGATGAGCAAACCTTTCCAAATCCTTCCGTTTCGGCATGCTTCTCAAAACTGAAGGCTGGGAAGTGGACACCAGAGCGAAAAACCTTCGCCTTTGCCAGGATACTAACACCTCCAACACCATCGATATCCATCTCCATATCAGGGTCGCCGTATGGGTCTCGAAGGTAGGCAAGATGGGGTCTCCAGGTGGCGTATTCAGCATATCCCTCAACAATGACTGCATCCTCGTCCAGTGTATCTGCTAATGCCAGAGCTGTTTCAGACTCTTGCCATGAGTTCAAATCATAGGGTTGTTCGCCGCCAAGCCAGTCCGGAAGGGGTCGCCAAACATCTGAAGTGGTTTGTTAGCATCCAGGTCTTCCGTCCTTAACGATATGTTGTGCTGTACTTACTTGGTACAATCACATCCTTGTTGTGTCGCATCAGATCCTCGAGAATAGTGAAAGGTGCAGTCTCAACATCCACGTCTCGCCAGTAAACCCAGCTGTGGTAAGGTCGCAGAGCAGCACTTAACAGCCAATTGCGTGCCTGAGCCATCAGTTTTCTTCTGCTTGCTTGAGCAGCGAAACCATGACGACTTTCAACATCCTGGTTAACCTTCTGCCCAAAATCCTTCTCAATAATGGACACCTCTCCAAATGGCTGCTTCGGGTCTTCATCGGCTTGTAGTTCCTCTAGCAATTGTGACAGCAGGGGCAAGGTCTGATCCTTCGAGTCAGAGACCAGGAAAGCCAGATCTATCAGGTGGTGAGGATATGTGAAGTTTCGTAGATGTCCAAAGAACATTCGAAGATGGGACTCGGCGTCGCGCAAAGGGGCACAAAGGAGTATCCGCTCTTCCCTCTCCCAACCCCTAGCCGTCCCCTGAACATTCGTAAGATCGTAATATCGTACAGTTTCCAATTGGAAATCTTCTCCTGACGACAGAAAGCCCAGTGAGAGAATGGGAAATATGGAGGCGCCGGGCCATATGAAGATGAAGATGAGGAAAATTATCATGCAGACAGAGAACCGAAATATGAGCTGTCGCCGACGACGGATCGCTGCGGGAGTTGTTCGAGGCTGGAATCTGAAGAGATCAAGTATTAGTATGTTGTCGAGATTTCGTACAGCCATCAGGGGCAGATCTCTCAAAGATTCCACGTTGCGGAATTGGGGACATCTCGAATGTATTCGTACCTGTGTGGGGATATTGAATAGACCTCCTTCTCGCTCTTGTGCCTTGGGTATCCATTGCTCGCATGATGCCTGGGAAGCATCGTCAAAAGAGTGACTTTGGTGACGATTGAGGGCAAGGAATTTTCGGAGGGAGCGAGTTTGCCAGATGGGAGATTCGCGATGGCAGACACTCGTAATCAACCCCTGACCGTAACATCGACAGGGATGAGTACGAGCTTCTTATCGTAAGGCAGGTTCTCGCGACAAACTTGTCAATCAAGCCTCCTCTGTCGTGCACTGAGGTGGTGTACAAAGGTACAGTTCGTATTTTAGCGCTGGCATAAGGCGGAAACGAGATACTTGGTCTGAATTATTCTTAGGCATTACATTAGGGGAGCAGCCGCCGTTTTCGCTTAAAATAGCCTGGCATCTTGAAACAAACGCGCTGATGGGACTTCTAGAAGGAGGACGACTACGATGATCCCACTTGTTTTTATGGTGGTAACAAGTTATACCTGAGGTACTGGGAAACTACAATAATGATCTTGTCTTTTTTCACCGTTTCAGTCTTTATTGAGGAGCAAGTTGGATATGAGACCCGTAGCGATACAGATATTTTCGGAGATTTAATGTACCTGCTTCAACCAGTGAAAATGCCCAAGTTCGATGCACTGTGGGGCAGGATCTGGCCTTCAAGCATTACATTGTGACATGTCATGGGTATCAAGAGGATTTCACATTGAATTTCAAGATGGGACGAAACAGACACGTCGTAAAGCAATATCATTTGGACAATCATTTCTAATATATACTATATATTTCGGTTCGTTACGTTCCACCGCCTTGAGCAGTTCATTCTATGAACAAATGCCAAGTGATCATTCCTGAATCCAAGTCAGCATGTGCTGTAACAGGATACTCAAATGTACAAAGACATAATGGTGTTGCTCAGATAAGCCAGTTTAATCAAGAACCTCGGCCGGCGACAGCTCTCTACACTACAAGACGCACTGTAGATTGCTGAAGCTCTGAAGCTCACAACCCCACAACATATCATCCCAATCAATAAATTGACTGGTCCTGTACGAGGGAGGAGCTCGGCCAAGACGCATTCATGGAATGGATAAGCTGTTGTCATCAGGGCGAAAGGCTGAAAGAAATGCCAACGGAACGTACCTTTGGTTAGAGGGTAATCGTATGTTGAGACTAGAACTATTTCCCATGGGGCTATTCAATGTCAGTAAGCTTGCTACGTCGAATGGGCAGAAACAATTTGATGAAGTTTGAATGTTTTTCAGAAGGTTTTTGGTATTTTGGGTTATCAACAGTGTAGTTCAGAAGCAGAACTGATTATTTTTTCTCATCAGGAAAACGGGGTAGATCAAGGAGGGATTGAGAAGTAAAGAGTACTGACCATATGTTGTGCAGGAGGGCGACTAAAGAGCATGAACTCAGCAATGTCTTCTCCTAGCCTACCCTCCCAAGCCCCGGTATGTGTACGCTCAGGTCCTTCGGGTCTGCTTCAAAGCGCATGACCTCGGTGGAATCGAATAGATGTCAAAGATTTCCTGTGCTATTGCAAGTCAGCGTCCGCACCATGCTGATAGATCATAGCTATGTTAGATAGCTTGCAGTGCTTCAGATGGTGATGCATGTTTGTTCAGTGGCTCAGGAGATCGCCGAAGAACTGTTGTGATAGAAATCATCAGGAGCGGGATGGGGAAGAGAAATCCAGATGGGACTCACCATTTCTAAATTAGTAAACAGTAGGTCGTGTGATAGCAATGTACGAATCGCCTGGCATGCAAGCCATTGTAGCGCAGACTGTCATCAACAGTCAATTTGCGAACTGAGTATCGCGCGTTGAAGGGAGAATTGTTGTGGGAGGGAAAGAGTTGGAGCTCTCGTGAAGTTTTTGAAGTGGTGAAAGGTGGGTTTTTGGCGCTAGTGTATAAGTAGCGGCGCACTGTCCAAGCGGCCGCTTCCTGGACAAGCTTACACGCAAAGGAAGCCAGCTGGGAGTGTGGAGGACAATTCGTCAAAACAGCTTCTGAACCCGCCAAAGTCAAGTTTGGAAAGAAAAATTTATCCAAATATTCCAGTCTGACCAATATCTCTAGTCAATAGATATGGCTTCTCTCTGGCTGTTGGCTTTGCTGATGGTCGTTCCACTGGTCCTATTCGTAGGCATGTGACCCCTTTCAGCAGGCTTTTTTGGGGGAAAGCTCTGAACTGCGCTAACATCAAACAGCCTGGCTGATTGTATCTTCATGTTTGGGAGATTCATTCAGGATGCGAGTTTCCAATGTGTCAATCAACCCTCGAAGGGCATTATTTGATCGGAATTACCTCAGGACCGTCACCTCAAATGGACAAGGTTCATGGAATCAAATTGAGATGGATGATATGCTCGGCGAAAGCCCTCGTAGCTCTTTGGATTCTGTCTCCGTACGCCGGTAGCATCTATTCACTTGCCTATACAATACTCTCATACCGGTCTGAATCTATCGAATTTAGGCCTTTCATGCCTCCGAAGCAAGTCACCACCTCCCACCCATCAGCTGATGACCAATGCTTTTCCCAGCTGTACCAAATCTCCAAACGCCATTTCCTCCATGTTCCAGGTCAAAACTCGATATCAACCTTTGTCGCCTTCCCATGATCGTGCTCCAGCCCGCCTTGTTGTGCTTCCGAGTCTCCTTCGACTGGAGGTAAACTGAAAGGCTTAATAACCAAGCCCTTTCTTCTGCTGAGAGTGAACGCCAAATCATTTTCGAACCCGCTAGTTTCTCCACCGCCCTTCTCGTGGAATATGGGCTGACGATGAACCTTTAGCATTCCCTGTGGAGGTTCCTCTTGGATAGTTGATGTAGGATTGGATTTTATTGCCACTGCTGTTGATGGAAATGGTGCCAGCTCTAGCACTCCGTCACTGAGAAGTTCCATCCAGCGTGTTAAGCCTGTACTCCGAGGATAAAGACTTAGAGGAAGCGTTATGATAGCAGTTAATTGAGTTGGGTACAGTCGAAGTAATGCTCTCAGAGCATGAAGAAATTGGAGGAGATGCTCAGGTTTAGCAGCTTCCGCCGGATAGATTGCAGGAGAAAGGATGTTAGGAATGATGATGCGGTGGATGGCCGTAGTTGGCGCGTTAGATATCTGGGAAGTAAGATGGGTCAGGAAAGCTGTGAAAGGAGATATCGTGCTCTCCGTGTCCTTGAAATCGAGTTTAGATCTCATGGATAATGAGGCAAACTTCATGTTTGAGGGAGAAGGTAATATAAGCCGTTTGCTCAAATCAAAATCATGGCAAAAGACTGCTGTACTTGAAGAGTCGGATGCCGGTCTCGACTGTGGCGCATTCCGGTCTGTTGCAAGTCAGAACAGAATCCTTCCATAATCCCAACTGGTCACGACTTACCTCTTGCGCCGGCTCCAAATTCACCTAATCTCTCATATCTCCAAGCGATCTTCATCTTCTCATCATTTTGGCGCGTCTCGGCCTTCTTCGACCCATCTTCCACTCCAAGTCCAGGCAATTCTCTCCCCCAAGCCTCATTCATCCCTAGCACGTGGACATGGTGACCTTGAACAACCCCTTCAGCTGCATAGTATCTTAATAATGCCCCAGCGAAGTCAGTAGTACCGTTCTCTTCAATAAACAAAGATGTACCCAAGGCGAGACCCGCGTGACCAGATAATAACGAGTCCAGTGAATGTGTTCCTGTTGAAGTGGTCAAACGTCCATCCAAAGGCGAAGGCCTTACGCCTTGTGGTAGAGTCTGTTTTGCAGTTGTCTGATTTGTTGCTGAGCCTCCAGATTGAGGGACAACACTCCTTTTTCTGAACGACATTTTTTGCGTTTTAGTATACCAGAAATGATTCAGAGTAAGTGAGAGTCGGCTAATTATTTACTCGGCAGGCGTTGCAGGGGCGAAGTAGACCACGGAGGAAAATATCGCCGATTCCGACTTCGAGATTTTTACCATGCGGCTTTGTGACCAATTATCAGAGTACAAAAGACATAAAGAGTTATAGACGCATTGAGAAGATATTCGAGTCTGGCCTGCTACAGCTTCCAAATTTTATTGTGGTAAAATCCGTCCATAATTACCCCATTATCGATCTCGAAGTCCATCCCTCATATTCTCCACACAGGCCTGAAGCGAGCGCGAAAAAACTGCTTGGACATCAACTGCTACCCCTCCGCACTCAGCTTGCCCACTCCCTCCACATACCTACCCAAAAGAGACGAAAGGTCTCCGATCACCTTCACGAGAACTTCCAACACCGCCTCTTCCTCCCAATCTTTTCACAAATACCAACCTCCCCAACTTAATCAAATTCTTCGCATCTGCGAAGAACCTCCCAATATTTGTCGATCACAACACCAGCTCCGCGCGCGCACTTCCCCAAACCCTTTGATACGCTCGAGTCCGCGATCCTTCTGAATACAAGAGTTCTACAAGTTCAGAGCTTTACAAGGTCCAGGCTCAGACAAAGCAACATTAACGCAAAGAAGGAGCTCAGGATAACAAGATGGCCACCGGCGGCGACTCCCAACTCTTTGATGAACACTTCACAGTGACGACCTTTGACCAAAGCAAATATGACCGCGTCGCGCGCATTGGAGGAACATCAGGCGACTCGCAAACCGTCATGACACTGGACATCAACACCGAACTGTACCCATGCTCCGTGGGCGACAATCTGCACGTCGTGCTGGCGAACTCGCTCTCGTTGGATGGATCGAAGGATGATGGGAAGGGATGGAGAGATGTCAGTCGGAATGGACCGGGTGGGGAGACGACGTTGGCGGATATGTTTGATTATGTTTGCCATGGCAAGATCTACAAGTTTGAGGATGGGAATGATGGGAACACGATGTGAGTTTTACCTAGATGTGGGGTGCTGTACATGGATGGACTGACAATGTTATAGCAAGGCTTATGTCTCATTTGGTGGGATGTTGATGGCTCTTGAGGGTCCATATAAGAAGCTTACGCCGCTTCGAGTCGACTATGTCTATCTTCTTGTCAAGAAGTAGACATGCCCCAAATGTACCACCATTAGACTTTTCGACGTCACTTTTCTGATCAGCCTTTCTTCCTGGAGATTCGGATATCCGTCGAAGCAACTATGCCTATTTCTCGCATATAATCGAGGGTTTGGATTTGGTCTGTGAGGAATCTATATCTGCATATTATGCATATGGCTTGACATGTGTCTGCCTATTTCTCGGCGGCCTCCATGTCATAATATCCTGACCATGGTATTAGTCGGAGAAGCAGCAATTTTCAACCCTGGAACCGGTTCGTTTCTTAAGATATCTGGCACCCTTGTCCATGCAGGAATCTGGTCAAAAGTACCATGAGGCGTTAAGGATAGGTAAAGCATGGTTTCTCGGGCGTTTGGCAGTCTGGGAGATAGATACCTCTGAATATAAAAACTGACACCAAATCGAAATATCTCTCTATCCAACGCCGTGCATCATGAGTTCCTAATACCAGCATACAACTGCGAGTCGACCACTCTACACTCCCTCAATAATCAACTCAGTCCTTCCTATGTGGCCCTGGAAATTCTAGCTCCCTGTGCAGCCTCCTTACAATCTCCTCATAATCCTTTTCATTCTCCTTCGTCAACACCCCCCACCTAACAAAGAAATCCAACATGACCAACGAACAATTCGGCTTAAACTCTCCCCTCCCCAGCGCAGCCTGAACTTCCTCCACAGTCCACAAATAGAATTCTTCCACTTCACTATCATTCGGTTTACAAACCACATCAGCCGGCAGGTCCAAGTCATATATATACTGACATTCCGGCTGCACCAGTCCCGTTTCCCCTCCCGCTCTAGCCTCCCGAATGTAGCAATACGTGACCGTCCCATGCTCCTTGACATTCTTTCTCACGATCTCCTCAGGTAGGGAAGCTTCCTCATCACATTCCCTAATCACACACTCCAGCGGTGATTCGCCGGTAGCCATCCCTCCCGCAACAGTATTATCTAACATGCTCGGGTACGTCTGTTTCGTCTTCGACCGTCTAGGAACCCAGAGTTTGATCCCATAGCTGGCTTCCTCTTCTGGGACACGCACATACGCCGTCAAATGCACGCCATAAGTGACTACGCCGAATAGACAACTCGCTGACCTTTCGACACTGAATAGCAATTCATTTGCGGGTCCGTACACAGGGTATAGTTCGTCTCTCCACCCTATTAGCACGTCGAAGGTGGAGTTATTGCGCCAGTGAGAGGCAGTGGCTGCTACGGCGGCGCTGCGTTCTGTTTCTGTGGGGTGTTGGAAGGCGAGGATGGTGCGGTGTGTACGGGAGACTTCGAGCTCGCCTTTGATTTTTATGGGGGTTTTGGCGAGGGCATTAAAGACGGGTTCGGTAAGGTAGCCTATTGGTACACCGGAGGGGGAGATGAGTGTATAGAGGGTTGAGAGGAGCTTGGTATGTTCTGGGTTGGACGGGTAGGGGAATCTGGTGGAGGTTAGCAGGGATGTGGAAGGACTTGAGGTGTAAGAAAGCTTGAGATAAAGAGAGGGCTATGAATTTTTAAGACAGGAAGAGTTTAAAGGAATATCTACCAAGGGATGTAACAGGATGTAGGTAACAGATCAAAAGCTCAAGAGGTAGGAAGGTAGGAAGGCAGAATTACCCCGCCATTTTCTCTGCTCCAGGGTATGAAAGGTGACCATTGACTTACACATCACACTCGTCAACCAAGTCCAGATTACTCTTCGTCATTGTCGTTTCTTTTGATCAAAGTGACCAAAGTGTTTAGTGCTGTGAGTAGAAATCCAGTATTGCCCAGTCGTTCCGACGTCTGTGGTTCCATGGATTTGATGCCAAGAATCAACCCCACCAGAGCTCATCTCACCCCACCTCTTCCAAGGGATTCTTCTCCAATCCTGTGGAACAATCAACAACATTCGAGGATCACCGAACTTCCGTTCCTTAACCAGCAGGAATATCTTTCCTATTTGATCGATCACATCTACTTTTAAGATTTACAAACTAAGATTCATACCCATTCCATCTTCAGCCAATCCTAACCTCTATCCCACCGAACAACCCGTTTGTCCTCCTACTTGCGCCTACCGTCCTCCCACCAACCCTCTTCACTGTCATTCTCCTAGCTTCCTGTCAAATCATTCTTTGGCACCTCATACATCTGCCATCAACATGGCAGAGCCCCTCCCACAGCTCTTTGGCGTAATACCCACCGGCGCACCCTGCATAACCCGCCCAACATCCGCACCTTCACCGACCTCGTTTGTTTACGTCCTTCCCACCGGACCCAAGCCATTCTCACATATCGGTAAATCTCTCCCTCTCGTTTTCTTATTACTTTCCCTCCTCTATTCACAGACCAACAGAACCAAAGCTAACACCACACCCTCTCAAAAAGTCGTATTCCTCCTCCCCGGCATAACCCTCCCCCCCTCCACCGCAGCAGCAGTCTACATCTCCCTCCCCACTCCACCCACCAATCCTCCCTCCTCGCAACCCCCTCCACCAACATTCAAGTTTCTGGGTGGTATCGGCCCCGGGAAAGAGAGCGCTGTATTCAAGATCTCTGGGTTGGGCAACGCTTCGTCTTCCCAGAGTGCTGGTGGTGGAGGAGGAATTGCAGAGGTAGATATGGACGCCGACGAAACCTCTCCTGCTACTGCTGTCGGAGGAGGAGGAGAAATCACACTCGGCATATCCCTCGAAAGCGCCGACTCAGTATCCTCTCAAATGGCCGCTCTCCAATCCCAATCCCAGCCCTCCACCACCTCCTCCGCGCTCGTTCTCGCCAACTCAGCAGCAGGAGGAAACAACAACAACAGCGTCAAGAAACCAAATACGCTGTTACTAGCGCAGCGGATCATCAAGAACGCATTTAATTTCCTGGCTAGTTTCAGTGGGAATGTTAATGGTGGCGTGGAGGTCGTGCCGCTGAAGGCGTTTGAGGAGTGGTGGAGGAAGTTTGAGGGAAGGGTGAGGAGCGATCCTGGGTTTTTGGAGAGGAGTGATGGGGATTGAGATTCGGGGAGGGAGTAAGTGAGAGTGAGAGTGAGAAAGAGTCGAATTCGTGTGGGCCGGACTGGATTGTAATGATATGGGCGGGTATTGACCTTTTGGAGGTAGGAAGTGAGGTAGCTAGAGAGGGAGAAAGAGATGGAGGAAGAAATGGTATGGTCAGTGATGACAGCTACTGAAAGAAGGAACCGCTGGGGGATAGACAGCTGGATTAGAGACGAGAGATTGAAGCGAGCTGGGAAGGGAATCGAGATATCGGAAACGGAAGCATTTGAGGACTGCAATGAAGCGCAATGTACTAAGTAGCAAGACAAGGAGACCAGACATTTAGTTACCATAGCGGTCGATATGTAGATGCAACGCAGGAGGGAAAGATTCAAGTCAAGCTCGGAGCATTATGGAGTACAATTACAGCGAGTCTCCATCTCAACACCCCTCAAAGCGAAATAGAAAGCGTGTTTACAAACACTTACAGCATCTGAAAATAAGTGAAGGAAGATAGACAGACGAGGACAAGGTTCTTGAATTTGAATTTTATTCAGCACTCTTTCATTTCTTCGTTCTTCCCTTTACTACTCTACTCTTCTATTTTCTCCGTGCCCATTCCTCGTTCACTCACTCTCTCAATCATTCACTCCCACAATGTTCATCTGTGTATACACATCCCCACACAAGCGAACAAAAGCTTGCCTGCTACTCATCCAGGCCATTCAGCTCAACACAAAGAAACCACATCCTCACATCCTCGCCCCCTCAAATCGATTCATCAAGACCTTTGAAACGCCATCCAGTCATCTCCACTGCCCAGCGAACAGTTCGAGCAAAAAAAAAAGGGAATAAGTAGGAAAAAATCGCGCCTCCCACCATGGGCGACCCGTCCTTCCTTCATAAACGCCAGGTCCGGTTCAGTCCAGTCCAGTATCCAAAACATATGCGCCGCGCTAATTATTAGGTAGGTAGGTGTGTTCTTGTTTCCATTCCGATCCATTTCTGTATCCCGGCTACAATCTCCGGTTTGTAGTCATGTACTGGATCCGGTTCCGGTTCCAGAAATGGTTCGTGTCTGTGCGTGTATTGTATTGTATTGTATAGCCATCAAACCTCCTCCAGAGGCATCATTAACGGACTCTTCATCCTAGTCGGACTCCCCGCTCTACTCCTCCTCCCCGCGCCTAACATCTGCAGATTCGGGCCCAACCGCTCGCGACTCTCCGTCCTGACTACCAAGCCCGCTCTATCGAAAGCATTGACTGTGCCGACGTGGTTCAGTCCCAGGCCAACACCTTCAGCCGGTGCATTCTCGAAGTAATTACTCGAGTCGAAGCTCACGACATTCATCTTCGGTGTAGCCAAGCCAGAAGTCCGTCCGATTCGAGATTCTCCACTGCTATCCGAATGTTCATTATCATCAGAATCCACGTCACCAAGTTCGAACTCGCCAGCTGCTTCGCCGTCTTCGAGGACTCGTTCGTAGTTGGCTGAGCTGCGACCAAATAGCTTGCTGGAGCTGAAGAATCCACGGCCGCCTTTGCGAGGACTGCCTGGTCGGCGATTGCGGCGGAGATTGTTGAAGCCTCTGTAGACTCTCATGCGTCTGTCGCGTTTGCGGAAGATGAATCCGATGAGGATGAGGATGATCATGAAGAGGAAGAAGCCGGGTGTGGTTCGTGAGTGGACAGTCTCTGAGATTTCTTCTGCGGCTTCGGTCCATGAATCGTCTTCGCCGATAGGGATCGGATTGGAGTTGGAGCCGGCTTCTTGGAAGTCATTGGCGTTCAGGTTGCTACCAAATCCTACTGGTCCAGCATTTGCTGAAGATGGCGGTATTTGTCCTGCTGCATAAAGAACCATCTTTCCCAGCGTCCAACTAACTTCCATCCCATCGATGGTATTCACTGCTTGGAAAGGATCTAGGAACCCCTTGTTCTTTGCATGACTGGCCACCTCTTTGGTCCTGTTATATCCAGCAGGTGTCCCTTTCTCAATCCCAACTCTCGGTATGCCAATACCTTCATGGAGAACGTTGATCAACCAGGACGCCTTGAAGCATACTTCTTGAGCGGTTCTCTCATCCACTTTCTTGCCCCATTTTCCAGCAGTGACACCATCCTCAATATCGTGCCATTCCTCACTACAAAATTCTTTTACTAGAGCCTGGTATGCTGCGAAGTCATAAGCCGCATCCTTGTGTGCCATTTCGAAAATCTCGTGGGTGGTATGCCAGTATTCCGATACACCAACAAAGTGATTAACCTCGAAGTCGATAGCTGGTACATGTTGGCCATGAAGTAAGCACGGTAGATCTTCGCAAGGAGCATCTTTGTCGAGTAGAGGATACGTCTGTCTTAGACATTCGTCGAAGCGGCCTGTTCCAACCAGAACTGGATCCTTGCTTGCTGCACCATCACTGATTTGACCGTGCAAAGTAGTCTTGAGGCCAGACGGTAAGCATGGATCCGGGAGTTCGTGTGCTGCTTTCGTGTAGGTTGCTTCCATCAGAGCATCCACGTAACGTTCCCTAGCTTGGTTTACACCAAATCCCAGCCAAGTTGTGGTGAAGACCTTGTATTCTGTGGACTGTCCATTCAAGGTCCGCATCCGCAGTAATTTGAGATCATTTGCGTGCTTCTCGGCTTCCGTGGCATTTGGAGCAAATGCAATCTGTGCTGATGCACCTCCCATATCCAGGAATCCATAGGTATGGTGTCCCTTTCCATGATTGTGCTTTTCTGGTGCGTTAAAGCCTCCCAGCAAGTAATTTGCAGCAATCCATCCGTACAAGCCTTCCGTCTCTCCTGGAATCACCTGAATATGTAAATCGCAATCTGGCAGAGAGAAATCGGTATGGGTCCGAGCATAAGCGCAAATCTCGTTCAGGAGAGACTTCTGTTGTAACGGTTCCAATAGTCGTACACCCGCAGTCGCCATTAAGAATATGGGTGTGTCCTTGACCTGATCTTCGGGAATTATGTTCAGAGCATGGTCGAGTAGCTCCTTTAAATGGTCCGGACCAACATCGTACGGCCTGTCCGCGAACGTCGATACACCCGGCTTGATCTTCTTCGTCGATTTTGTTTTTATCTTCGGCAGACTTAGCAGGTCTTCAGGGTCGGCCTTCTGTTTCGCTTTGGCGGCATTGAGCCATCTGTAGATGTAAACTCGAGTTCCTGACGAACCCGCGTCCAGGATAACGCCCCATCGCCCTAGAAAGTGGTCAGCAGTTGGAGGGAAGGCTGCAGCAACATCGCAACGTACATTTACCCATGAGGAGAGCGAGATACTAGCAGGCTACTAGAGCGTGGAGGTTGCGAAGTGAGGAAGCCTTTCAGTTGTTGGCGATTCAAGAATGGAGTGTTCTGGATAATCGCGAAGGCATTGATCGCAGGGGGCAACGGCTCGTCGCTCGGGGGTCTGGAGGTATGGGGAAACGAATGTGGGCGTCAAAGACGACTGTAATACAATGGATAAATTGGGAGAAGCTCAAGACCGTGCAGCCCTGTACTTCCCAAGGGTGAATGGATTCGAGGGGTGAACGAATGTGTTGAACGTGGAGAGAAGAAAAGAGCAGACTTGGTACTGTACTGGAGATAGGGTGAGGAGTGAGGGTGAGGTAAGGTTGGCTGGGTAGGGGTGTTTAGCACAGAGGCGTACGAGTCTCCTGGACTAAGATAACAGCCAGACTCGCCCGGATGTGGCCTAGCCCTGCGTATCTAGCGTCGGGAAGGGATGTCATAGGCCGACACCAAGGCAAAAATGGTGGATGACAAGTGGCCAGACAAGAACACCACGCAATTCAGCCAGATACGGGTGCGGTGATTGGAGGCCGGCGTTGGGATTGGCTTTGGTGAGTGGTCGCTATTTTAGGGGAGGCGTGGATAGGGCGAGGGGAAGCGGCTGAATATTCGATCGGGCCTTTACGAGAAAGTCAACACTGGAAACAAAGTCACTTCACGAAGTGTGCAGCTGGAGTCTCGTATGAGGACGGAACACCGAGAGAGACGTTGTGAGCATCACCAGATCATGGGCATAATGAAGCAGAAGGATTTTGCTCCTTTATTGTAGAAATATAAGAGCCTTGCGTACGTTACAGAGAAGAGACCATGGGAAGGACCCCCAGCTGTTGTGGGGACTGAACTTTGAAGCGGCCAGCTGCATCTTTGCTGCCGATAGCACCGCAGATTGATAGCTCGAGGACTCTTGACGATCATATTGACCGTCATACAGGTATCGATGCTTTCTTTGTCTCTCCATATCGGCAGTAGATTTTACACTTTCCTTACTCGTGTCTTGGACTTCAATATCTGTTCTTCTTATCTTTGTAGCGACTATCGAGTCGATACAGCATGTGAAATGCCGTGTCGAGCAAGTTCTTCCTAGGGCATGCAGCTAGCATTCCCTGCATCAAAACATCCCACGGACACTTCACATCGCCCTAGAAACATGGCCATACGAACAGGCACCCTATCAGAACAGTGCATGCCAGCACGACTCTCCAATCCTCACTCCCAAAACCTCCCACAGTCAGCGTAGGATCAGGATCAACTACGCCGCTCTGCAATGCAGGCAGTCCTTCAAGCACCACTACCTATCCAATCCGCATATCTACCAAATACTCGAAAAAGCAACGGCCTTACCACACACCGGACACCAAACATCAAACACCAACACTTACGAGTCCCATGTTTCGCATGTACAGGCTGTGTCTCGTAGCGATGAGTCGGGATGCGATTTGCAACGTTCGATACTTTGGGGTTGTACAGTAAGGACAAGACTTTGGGGTTTGGGGGTTCAGGGATGACACCTAGCGACAGCTGCACTACTGTACTACTGCGTCCGGAAGGGTGGAATTGCCAAGATCTGTGAAATGTAAGCCGGATAAGAGGTGAGGATAATTGACTCAATTTCCTATTTAGGTCTTTACCTTAAGTATTGCGTGTTCGTTATCATGATATGGCCTCCTAAAAGGTCTATTATAAACCGTGCTTCAGGATCCAATTTATCTCGCTCTCCTCTCTTCCCTCCCCGCCCAGCCACCGCTCACCACCAAGCCCAACACCCAAGCCCACGACCAAGCCCATCCATCCATCATCCCTTCTCTGACACATTCGGCATCGCGACTCCGCCAAACTTCAAACATCCCTCGGAGCTCTCTTCTCAAAAATGACATCATGAATGTTGCTTTAAGCTCAAGCTTTGCCCGGCTGTTCTAAGAGGGTTTGCGGATCGTTTATGCGTGAGTGATGATGCATCGGAGACCGTCCCGATGTGGAAGCTGGAGAGAATGTAACAGAATCAGTGATTGATTTTATCCTTGAATGTCGGTAAGTAGGTATGACGATTTGTCAAACTGTACTAGGGAATCAGCAGAGGGGTGACGACGTTGCTGATGAATTGGATCGAGAAACTTTTCTTGGGCTTTTCGAGCCAGCAAACATGGCTTCTCATACGTCTATTATCTTTTGAGTTTCGTATTTATAATTTCGTTTTGAATGGCACTCGTGTTATCATATCTAAGATTTTACATACAGTAACACAAAGCGTAAGGAGCGGACTAAATCATTTCGGCTGGTGCATCTCTTCATGACTGTCAACCAGCGCTGTGCAGCACGTTCACATTGCCTGAGCACAAGCGACGCCAAAAAGCCAACACCCAGGGTTTAAGCGAGCAGTCCCCCGGGCTAAGTAAACACACTAATCGCCCTCAAAGAGCAACAGCTTGATAAGCTATCATTTATGAAGAGCTCTTCCAAATCCCCAATGAGTATTAACCACACCACCCCTCACCCAGTCAATCAATCACGGAATCCTCTTCCCTCCTCCTCCTTGGCCTTCACCTAAAGTCCCGCCTCTCAGCACTGACGTAGTAAACATAAACCTCCCCAATCAGCACACATCAGCACACAGTTTCCGTTCCCACTCTTCTTTCTACTCTGGTCCATTCTTCTCAACACCACAGGAAACTACTCCCAAATAAGAGAATAACTACATCGGGTTTTACCTTCTCCAGCGGTACCAGACAGGAAATTTTCCGAGACAGATTAATGTCGACGCGGGATTTCTGAGGCTTAGGTTGTATGATCCCGAGCTCGATAATGCGGAACAGAGAGGTTTAAACTTTGACGGGGAAATGGCTGTTTTGATCTGAAAAAGAACGTTGATAAAATTAGTATTGCTGAGTATCATGGTAATCCTACTATGTCTATGGTCATGAGAGTCTTGGCTAAGAGAGTGTATGGAAATGGAAAGTGCGTCTTTGAGGCTCTGGTAAGTATGAATTTGAGTGCATAGATTGTGGTATCGGACAACAGATGGGAAGTGAGATTGGTGTGTCTGGAATGGGAATCTATGTCTGTAAGTCTTGAACGTGGCCAGCAATCGGGTGGGCAACATGCATTTGCATTCTTGTGCTGGGAGCCGTCACGTTCAACTTCTCTAGTCATAGGAAAGAATTAAAATCAAAGAACATTTATTGGTCGCTACCCTGATTGGATGTGAATATCATCGACTGCTTCGAGATACTTTCAATACTGCGCAATAGAGATCTAGGGATTCGTAACTTTCGCAGCTCCATGCCATCCCTCGCCCCCTCCCTTCAAAATCAAATAGACTTTCTCGGCCCCTCACTTCCTTCACCCTGACCTCGCTCCTCCTCCCGGTGCTGATTCTGGGATTGCTGCTCCTGCAGCCTCGCACGATACTCCCATCCCGGCCCATGATGAATACCCACCTGATCTTCTTGTCCCCGTCCAGCAACCCAACCAGAATATGGGCTTGCATACAGACTTCTCCCATCCTTGAGTCTCCTGCCACTGTTTCCGAAGGCTCTCCCAGCGAAATATCCACGATGACTCTGAGCTCCAACTGCCAAAGCATTGAACCCCCGCGGCACATACGTCGCTCTCCCCCTCACACTCTCATTGCCGGAACCATGAGCCCCATGAGCAAATGAGTGGGAAATTGCATATGTACTATATCCCAGCTGCGCTGGGACAGATGCCGAATCAGGCACATACCCAGCCATCGACGAACCGCACGACGCAGACTGAGGAGGTGAGAAGCCCAGAGCTGTTCGCTTGCGCAGTTTAGCGAGCGGCATCTCATCCTCTGAATTCTCGTCATCTTCGCCCTGGCTGTCAAAGGCGGCGTCCGAGCCGCTGTGGCTCTCGATCTTGATCTTGCCGACTTTCTTCTCTGATGCCTCGCTCTTGTCGTATCGCTTGTCTTCCTCTTTGCTTGAACTTTGCTTTGCCAGAGTGCTGGTGTCTTTGACATCGTTGTGGACATTCTCGTTTGTCTTGTCAATGTCTCTGTGTCCTGCCTTTAGTTTCTTGATCGTGACTGGGGTTTCGGTTTTCCTGCCTCGCTTACGCTTCTTGGGGATGGATGCTGGTGTCATTTCCAGCGAATGTTGGTGGTTGGGAGATGATGATGCTGGTGGAGGTGCAGAGGAGAATGCTGGTCCGTGGCCGACATTTAGTGAACCGGATTCAATTTGTCGCCGGAGACGGGTGTACCGCATTCGTGCTGCGGGGGACTTGAGACCTGTTGCTAGACCGACGGCGTTGAAGTCGATCTAGAAGAGGCTTGTTAGTGTTTGGGGATTGGGTATGCTCGAATAAAAACGTGTAGGTGGGATTGCAAGTGTTAACTAGGGGCTGTGAGGGGAAAGAGAACTTGCCGCTTTGAGGTCTGACTTCTGGAGGCATATGTAGAGGAACCAGAGATTCTCATCGAGTTGGATCTCGGAAGGCATTGAGGGAGTGGTGCTGTTGTCGATTGACTGAGCTGAAGTTGCTGCCCAATGTGATGGAAGTTTCAGAAAGTGTGGCGATGTTCTCCTTCCAAGTGAAAGTAAGACAGCATAGAGATGTCCCAGAAATTGAGGAGCCAGAAGCTAGAGGAAACTTATAGGTCCAGCTCTTTGATACCGGCCAGAGAGCTTGAGAACGAACAAGGCTAGGACAAGGAACAGGTGCAAAGTCAAGATATGACATGGTGCAAACATAGAGAAAGATAAGGTGGTATCTTATTGAAAAACATATGCCTCTAACAAAGCATGATCTGAACGATATGCCAGACTCCGATCCTCGTGCAAACCATTCCAACTCCAACATCAGACGGCCAAATCGTCTAATGGCAATGCAACCCTTTTTCTACCAACGCCATCCTGTGAATATGCAGAAAGTCATAAATATCATTGTCTATCCAGCTTCATTTTGGCGGTCTCTTTCAAAGCAGCAACAAGAACCCTGTGCGATCCCAATGCAGCTTGCACGGCATTATCGGCCAGCTCTTCATAGGATGCGCTTTGAGCAATGTTTGACCGATCTCCATGTCCAATATCTCCTTTCACCCACAGGTCTGTAATTTCGTCTCGGGTAGGCAGATATGCGACTATGCAGGCTGCAAGTATCTCTTGATGCTCCGATGGTACGGGATCCAGTACCATGGTTGTTTGCTTCCCTTGACTGCTCTTGACCACAGCTGCAACTCCACCAGAAACCACATCCACGCAATCAATACCCGCATCTGCAATAGCAGCTGAAGCAACCGTAATGCAGCCGCTCAATACGCTCATCATGCCCCAGTCTCCAGCTGTGATGGGTCCACCTCGGTCATCGCCCCACCACTGGTCTTCCTCACCCTCCAAAATAGTTATTATGACTTCCACTCCACTCTTTGGCCATCGGTCTCCAATGATCACACCTCTCAGTGCAGTTTCCAGATGTACACCCAAATCTCTCTCGCTCGAATCTCGAAGGTAGCCTCTTCTCTTCCTTGTAGCGAACGGAGCATATTTCACGTGTGTTGAGAGGATGATATGGGGCGAGAAGGGAGCATTCTTGGGAAGTGGGCGCGGACCATGAACGGTACATGTGAGCTTCAACCCGGATGTTGAGAGAGATGCTAGGCCTGGAGCTCTAGAATTTGGGGCTTTGGAAGCTTCCAGCTCGAGATATGCAGAGCCTGAAGCTGAGGGAGTGACACCAGTCTTCAAGACTATGCCCTGTTAGTAATAATTCGTATTCTTTTGAGCATTGTCTCCTACACATTTTCCTGAGAACGTTGGGTTGTCTGACCCTTGACGGCCTCTCGGTTTGCGACGCAGCATCTTTTTGTATGTATTTGGAATATATTGGCGCAGAACTTCCACCCAAAGGTCCATTGAGTCTCCTTCTGTCCGTCATCTTGTGTGACACTTGTTACTGGCGTGATAGGTCAAGGTATGTGTCCTTGTAGCAGCCCTGCTCGGGTGCTCTACGAAGTTGAAGCTCAAAAAGTTCCCTGCGCTATTGCGAAAAGGGAAAGGCTCTTTTACAGGGGTGGTTTCGCACCACGCTAAGATCTCGAGCTCAAAAAGCTCTCCTCTTCCCCTCCAATACTTCTTTTTCTCTTCAGCAAAAACTACGACAACCAGATCTCAAGCACATGGTAAGCACAATCCCTTTTTCTCTTCTCGTCTACTGCAACAATATGATTACAAAACCGATCTGTCAATCCCCTGACACCAGTTAAACTGGACATGATGTCTAAAAAATGTTTTAATTTATGATTCTGTTGCCTTTCACCTTGAGATTGATCATCAACATTAGCAATGGCAGGATGCTAACTCGAGTCTCAATATAGTGATCCGCCCCTGCTCAGGCGAACCAAGTATCTGCAATGGCAATGTCATCGGATTTCGTTACGGAACCTATTCCAATCTCATTGATTGCTGGCCGTTATCTGCTATTCGACGTTAACGTCGTGACTTACCTTCGCAGGAACCACCATATATGCAGTTCGCTCATTGGTAGCATTCCACAAGCTCCGCAACAGAATGTCTTCTTTGGCCTCCCAATGGAGCTCATGCCTGAGGAGGCAAAGTTATTGGTTGAGAAAGAGGTCGCATACATCATCGATGATAAGGCATGGCACAAGCAAACTCTGTTCAACACCTTACAAGGTGCAGATAAGCAAGCATATCTGGATTCTCTGAGATCCACTGGTCTGAACGCCAGGAAGGCAGCTCTTCATGAAGCAAAGAAGAGGACTGATGCTGGTCTGGCAAGGTACGCCGCCAAGAAGGCTCAAGAACTTGCAGCTGCCGGTACGAAAGACACACCTCAGAGCGGTAGTCCCGACACATCTTTCAAAGATACTTCGAGTGTCACCGAAGATTCTGCCTCGCTTTTGGAAGAAGAGTCAACGCAGTCTGAACAGTCAAGCACCACTGTCAAGTCAACAGCAACTCTGGCATCAACTCCTTTTGCAATCACCCCTACCACAAGTTATCCCACCTCATCGCTTCCGCAAAACTCTTCTCAGCAGCCAGATCCACCGGTCTCGTCTTCATATGCACTTTTTGCCCACTTGCACTATCGCGACTACTTCATCATGCCTGGCCTGCGGTTTGGATGCAATTACAACGTTTATCCAGGTGATCCTCTTCGTTTCCACAGTCATTTCCTTGCCACGAGTTATGATTTCGATCAGGATATTCCCATGTTTGACATAATCGGCGGTGGCAGGCTGGGCACAGCTGTGAAGAAGGGCTTTCTTATAGGTGGTGAGGATCCCGAGGCAGAAGGGACTAAGACTGGCGACAAGGTCAGGACCTTCTGCATTGAATGGGGAGGAATGTAAGATGGCTTGTAATGGTTTTACTTTTGATCATCATAATGCGAAGATACCCAGCTATATTCAGCTACCGCTTTAGTGTTTGAGTGTAATGAAATTTTTGCTATGACTCAATGATCTTCTTGGATATTGCTGTGCAATTTTGACATTGCAGGAAGATAACATGAGTGGATACAGAACTGCGCATAACAAATTTCTAGAGTAATCTCGCGTACACACAGTGACTACAGATGCTACTTGATGACAGCTGTCTGGAGCTTAAAGCTGCTCTGTTTGCAGGTGCTTTTTAAACTCCGCCGGAGCACGCGGACTGATGCTGAATGTGGGGAAACCAAGATTCCGCCGCATTATCTGCAGCTTCCCTCCTTCCCAATGCGCCAACCACCGAGCTTCTGGTGACAGCACAAAGCACTGACATAAGTTGGCATCTGAAGTACTCACTCTTTTGTATTCTTCTTCTGCCATGCGCTCTATTCTTCCGTGATCCGAGGAGTCTTCCACCCGATCACTTCTTGGTTCTTACTCGTCTGGCGTGCTTCACCACTACCCACCTCGACGGAAACGATCCCCCCGCATCCAACACACGACCATGGCTGCCGTGGCCTTCGAGCAACATCCCAGATTCGATCTTGGAGGAGCTTGGAACTGGACATTCAACGCTACGCAGTACGTGCCATCTGCGAAAGATCTCGCTCTTGCTGGACCTCGCATGTTCTTGAAGCTGGGCTCCTTCCTAGCTGTACCTGAAGCTGTCGACAACATATTTGGAAGTGTACGATTAGGGCAGAGGGTTATACCAGAAGCTACGGGAAACGGTGGGATCGTGGATGCGGTTACTACAGCTGCTGCTGGAGGACAGGGGACCGCAAACGCTTTCCAAGCTGGGACACAAATACTGGTGGACGTAAACGACCAAGCCGGCGGTTTGTCAAATCGCTTTACAATGGAGAGTGTCCGGAGCTTGGGAAACGTCTTCAGCTATGCCACCAGCAAATGGGCACTGGGATGTATAGTTGTGGCTGTGATCTTGAACAGGACCTTTGTCTATGCTTCAACGCGGCGGAACCTGGCTCTGCCCTGGAAGGTTCGATTTCTCGTCCGACTCCTGCCGATTATTCTACTGCTGGTTCAGTGCCGGTCAATGCTGCAGTCGATACAATGTCAGACTTCTCCGGATTTTGCGCTCCTGCGCTGGGGCAATGCTTCGAAGTCCTCCGAGTTGATGTTCACGCAAAATGGAGGATATCTACACGAGCTTAGTTCGGCACTTTTGTTTGGAGCAAGTGACGAAGCTTCATGCGTGGCTGTTGGTATGGTAGAACCTGGATTCGATGAGGATATTGCAGGTACGACGCACGATGGAGAAATGCCAAAGACGGAACTTACAGGATCTCTATCTCTACTATGGCCGCTTTTCAAGACATTTTGCTTCAGTCAGTTTGTGGAAACTCTCTCTTGTGCAGTGGCAGGTCGGCCAGTGGCTGGGGAGACTGGAATGACGCTCTTTGAGCATTCGCTGGCTTTTGCAGAAGCTGATGCTGCGATTGGAAACCAGCTTGGATTTGGACCATTTGGGACCATAAAGGACGGTAATTCGAGCTCAACAGCTGAAGCAAGCAAGATTGCCATTACACGCAGCATGATCATGAAAAAAGTCAACACAACACCTGAAGTGCTCCTCGTCGGATTTTTATCGGCCATGAACCACCTCACAAGTCACATTCTTGCCATCTTCAACCTGCAAGGACGCTGTCGCCTTGCCAATACTGGTTTTTGGGGCTTGGCATTCATGTCAGCTATTGTCTGGAGCATCTGGTCATTCTCAATTGATGACCTCCCAAATCAGAGCTTGCTGAGATTCCCGACGGTCTGTATCATTGGGTTCGTTCCGCATGTTCTTGTACTGTTCGGCATAATTGGGTGCTCCTTCATCTATGGAACTGCCCTGGTCTTGTCAGCCTTGGCTCCACCAGCAGTTGAAGACGTAAACTCTCCTGATGATGAACCTTCGCCATCACACAGTCCATTCTACAAAAGGGTGCTAGCAGCACATCGAAACATGCAAGCAAACGTTCCACTATCTGGCATTCGAATCACACTGCACATGGATTTCTATACTGCTCTATTGAGAACTGGCTTTGCCATCATGACCATGGCTAGTGAAGCTGTTTACCTGAATGAGAGTCGTGGGGTCAGTATCAAGCAACGCACGTGGCTTGAGGAGGATCGCCTTCGGGAGATTGAGGCTGTTGGTGCACAGTGGCTGGGTCCAACCTTCAAGCTCAACGATCCAGATGCAAGTCTTGCAGACGGCTTATCTGACAACATTGGCTTGGTTGCCGCCAAAGACCAGCCTATGGATCTTCTCCAAAAGTCATCGAGTGGCTACGCGAGAGAGATGACCGCAAAGAAGCCTGTCGCGAATGGCAAGGGTAGGGATAGAGGCATTGGTGTTAACGGAGTCGGAGCTACCGAAAGAAGTGGACGATGGATCATGGCCATGGAATTCTTCCTCGGTATTGTTAGACTACTCCTGAGCTGGTGGGCATCTATTGCTCTGAAGCTGCTTTCCCGAGCAGGATACCAAAGCCGGCCACGATGGCTCTTGTGGCTTGTCAGAATGCCCAAAGCAAATCAGGCTGCGGCATCGACACCAGACAAGAACGATCCAGACTCGCTCAATTTCTGGCTTCTTAGCATTGATGGAGAGATGACCTTACCAAAAGATGAGCATGTGGACGTTGAGGCAGAGATGAGAAGCAGAATCAGGCAATCACAGGGAGATTGGGATGGCTCGGAAGAAAAGACATTGGATTCGAATTTGTATAATTGGTGGCTTCATGGAGGCTGGTGGGGAGGTGATGATAGCAGTGGGAATTTCAACCCGGACCAAGCCGAATTGGATGAAGACACTACCAGCGTTGTGTCCTTCTCAACGACCACTGATGACCAGGACTGGGAGTCGGAGAGTGGTAATGACGATGGTCGAAGGACACCTACCCAAGAAAACCCTTTCTTTACTAGAGAGTCTAGTCCGTTTACCGACACGCCTCTCACCTCTTCCGACCTTGCACAATTGCTTCACCCAAAGACTCCCGAGCAACGAGCCGAAGCTCAGGCCCTATCCGCTCATCTGCAGAGTGACAAGATCGTAACTCGTTCTCGATACCGCAATATTGTCCAACGCGAACGGGCGAAAGTGCTTACATCAACACTCTATCGCCCGTCAAACTTCGCTGCATCTTCGGCAACAGGAAAGCTCACGCTGGAAGAAGAGGCGCAAATTCTCGAGCACCTCATCATCTCACGCCGAAGCTTCAATGCATCCACATCCTCTGGTCAGTCAAAGAGTTGGGCTGAAGGCGCGTCTGGCATGGGTGATGGTGGTCCTCAATGCGTGGTATGCCAGAGTTCGCCAAGAAGTATCATTGTCTGGCCATGTCGATGCTTGAGCTTATGTGATGACTGTCGGGTCACACTTGCAATGAATAACTTCGATAAATGTGTCTGCTGTCGCAGAGACGTGGCGAGTTTCTCGAGAGTGTTCGTTCCTTGAATCACAGCATACACGGTTATGGAGGCAGGATCTGGCATGAGTGGTTGGCAGGTTTGTGGAATCGATTTGCACTTTAGCATGCATGCATGGCGTTCTGGAATAGGATGGGATAGGTTGGGATGGGATGGGACTGCGATCATTCACTGTTCAATACACACCATTCTTGTAAGTTACTTGGTAGACTGTACTCTGAATGAGGCATCATATCTTATGACAGTGGAGTTTTTCGGTGCCTGACTACCTGCTTGCATACCTGCTTTATTCAAACTTGTCATTTCTCCTTCGTTGCGACGGAAAAACCCGGAAAGCAGTTCTTTCCAACTCGTTCTCTATTTATCTTAACCATCGTGCCTTCTCTGCGTTGTCCTGTTATATGCTCCTGCTTTTCAACATCTGCCGCACCTTCTCTCGTATTTTGCTTCTAGGTACTTCTCATCTCTGCTCTTACCAGACATTTCTGCCTTCTCACATCGACCTCAACATACAACTGTCTCGTTCCACCAGGCCGGCATCAGTATCGTTAACCCATCACGACTTGAATTCTAGTTTATACTGGTCTCAATTCGACATTTCATCTTAGCACAGCATTTTTCATACCATTCTATTGTTCCGCTCGGAAGGCTAGATTGGCCGGGTCAAGCATTCCAGCTACTGTATCCCACCGATTAGCATTCATAAAGACCGGCACTACGGCGCCTACAGGCTCGACGCAGCTCTTCATCAACCAACGATAGGCCACCTCTTCCACCTATAGCAATCATCCAGCATACTACCCCACCCGCCGATCTTGTTCAACAACGGATCAATCACGTCCCTCAGCGCCAAACATGGCCCCTGCCAACTCGGATAAGCACCCCAAGATGCAAGCTAGGGTCGAAGATTTTGAGGACGTTGACCCTGCAGATGATGTTCCACTGAAGGCAACCGAGACACCGATACAAGAGGCTTCGATGGGAGATCTTCCTGCCGGCGAGATTCCTACACGACGTACGGACAATGCTTCTGATCAGGGTAGTGGGACGACGATTTCACAGCCCACGGCGAGCACTCTTCCTGATCTGGTCAATCAATTAGCCAACAGACTTGAAAACCTTCCCCCTCTCAAGCCTGTTCTTTTCAATTGCAATAAGTGTAGGAAGACTGAGCCCTCTGTTGGTGCCTTCAAAAAGAAGTGTCGTTGTAAAGCAGTTGTATATTGCGGGAAGGAGTGCAAAAAGGAGGATCTCAAGGAACATAAACGCCAGTGCGGAGACCTTGGTAATCGCAGTTCCGAACTAGCGAGCCAAACAGCCGAGATTGTTCAGGCGCAAATAGAATTTCACCATAGACAAATTGCGATTGCTACTAGACAAGAATTGGAGAAGTCCACACCTGAGTCGGCGATGCAGCATTGGATAAATGCTTTTCGGTTATTAGTACTGGACAACACGGACGCGGCTGGAAACCGTCGGGATCACAGAGGTCTTCTCGATATTTTTGAAGATTTTCTGATGCAGTTGAGCGGCCAAGATAAATACTGGGCTCCTTGGCTGCAAGAAAAGCAAGGTCGGAAGGCTTGCATAGCTCTGGCAAAGGACAAGAACTCGTGGTACTATATAGAGCGCCGTGTCACTGCCAAAGAGTTGCAAGAACAGTGGGCGCATTTTCCGCATTATGTTTTATTTCTGCGGCATCTGCAGAAGATAGCTCGCGGTCAGATGATCTCGGCGGAAGAGGTATTGCCAATGGAGCCGTTGAAATAGCTCCGGCGCTCATTACTTTCAGCGTTGCGCTTTGATGTACTGTTTCTCAATAGCCTATAACAGCGATGTTCCAATTTTCGTCACCGCTAGCCCCCCAGGATAGGTCGTCGATATTGGTGGTGTATTGTTACTTGCAGTGATTCTTCGATCGCCTGATTCGGTGGCTTGCAGTACAAGCTCGTGTAAGGCTGATCTAACACATATATTGCTTCTCCAGATTGGATGGTCCCTGAGCTAGTCCTGAAAGTGCAGGTGCCTGCCAAGGAATCTTGCGTGTGTCTATTCCTCTTTCAAGCTCATACGTGGCAAAGTGATTCATAGCTCTGAACCCAATCTTTGGCATATATTCCTGCGAGTGCAAAGAATACCGAGTCTTCCTTGTACTGCTTCGTGTCGTAGTATTGTATGTGTGCAAAACATGCAGCGGTCAATATCAACAATCCGGCGACTTTTCTCGCGAGCCTCCACATCTACCCCTCGGCAACTGCAAGCCACCGCGGTAAATGTTTCAACATACACAATCAAAGCGGGAGATACACTGGCAGTAATAGCGTCCAAATTAGGAACAACTGTAGCTGCACTTCAACAAGCGAATCCGGGGATCAATGCAAACAATCTCCAAGTGGGGCAGGTCATCCAGCTTCCACAGTCAGGATCTCGATACACCATCCAGGCCGGAGATACATTCAGTTCAATTGCAGCAAAATTTGGATCTACTGTTGCTGCTTTGCAAGCTGCCAACCCTGGTATCAATCCAAATAATCTTCAGATCGGAGCACAGATTGTTGTGCCTGCTTCGAGTACGCCTACACAACCTGCGCCGCCTGCACCGCAACCGCAGCCAGCTCCGTCGGGGAAATATACCATTCAGGTAGGCGACACTTTTACTACGATTGCAGCGAAGTTGGGCACGACTGTTGCCGCACTTCAAGCTGCGAATCCAAGTATCAACCCCAACGCTCTTCAGATTGGGGCTCAGATATCAATCCCCTCGGCTACGACCCCTTCTCCAGCTCCTCCTCAATCGCCTCCTGCCCCAGGAGGAAAGTATACTATTCAGTCGGGAGACACGTATGGCAGTATTGCAGCTAAGTTGGGGACGACCGTTGCTGCAATACAAGCTGCCAATCCAGGGGTGAACCCAAATGCTCTTCAAGTTGGTAGCCAGATCAATATCCCGTCGACAACTCAGCCCAATCCTGGACCAGTTACCCCGACACCAGCACCAACTGCTCCAGCAGCAGGTCCATATGTCATCCAAGCTGGAGACACATTCACGACGATCGCAGCGAAATTCAATGTCAGCGTAGCCGCGATTGAAGCTGCGAACCCAAACGTAAACGCAACTTCGCTGCAAGTAGGTCAGACTATCAATTTTCCCCCTGGATCCGGACCCGGCAATACAGGTGAGGGTAGTGGAGGAGGAGGAGGAGCCGTGCCTCCAAGCACGGGAGGCTACGTTGACTACAGCGGTCCAGCGTCCGCCTATCCATACCCTTCACAATGGGCATCCTACGACGCTCTCTGGGCGAAAAACTCTTCCCTTATGAGCTTCTCAGATAGCCCCTCTGAAATCTCTCTTATCGGCTCTTCTATCCCCATCGTAGCTGCTGAATCCCGTCTTGACGCCCGCGTTATCCTCTGCATCATAATGCAAGAATCCGGCGGCAACGTCCGAGTCGGCAACACGTTCAACGGTGTGAACAACACAGGTATCATGCAAGCATACAACGGAGCGTCGTTCAACCCGTTCGATCCTGCGGGGAGTATTCTGCAGATGATTAGAGATGGGGCGCTGGGAACAAGGAATGGACCGGGTTTGAGGCAGGCGTATGATGAGTTTGGGAACTATTATGAGGCGGCGAGGAAGTATAATAGTGGGAGTGTAGATAGGACGCAACTGAATAACCCGCTTGGGGCGACGGCGGGGTATGTGAGGGATTTGGCGAATAGGCTGATGGGACATACGTGGGCGGGGATGTAAAAATGATTCTCTTTTGTTTTGCGCTGTGTTACGGCTTGTATTTGGATGAACCACATGTGGATATGCATCTCATGCAATAAAAGCTTTGTGTTCTTGTCTTACTTCTATGGTGTTGACATTGAGACAATACCAGTCTGATGACAAATTGTACTGATAAGCTCCAATTTAATGTTGATTTCGATCTAGTAATTGGCATGGCAAGTATCTTTGTTTTTAACTATTAATAATTCCTTGGGGAAAGTTGTGTTATTGATAAATGTAACCTGACGTGGGCCCCCTTTCTTGCTAAGCGAGGTTACACGGCCAAGTTGAGGTTTTGAAAGACCTTGAGGAGGACCCCTCTGAGTCTTTCATCTTACCGCCACCAGTTGACAAATCCACTATCCTCAATATTCTTTGTTTTTCAGGCGATATCATTTCCCGCAACATGCCTTCTGTATCGCGGCCTTCCTTGTGTGTGAAAGATATGTTCATCACAAGCAAATAAAATGGCAGAGAGAGGCACGCGACAAACTACCCCATACAGCATCAGAAATTCTTGAAATACATCAATAGTTCTCAATTGCCAGAATCAACGGTCGCGGAGTTCCAGCTGATCAAATACTCTACCAATAAACAACTCGCTTGCATCAAAGCAGTTTAGCTTCCCACATCCCACTCTCCGTCAACGGCAGAGCTACCGCCTTAATATATCCTCATCTGGGTAAAATATCCCTCTTGTCTCTTGGCCCTCTTCATTTTTAGCCTCTCATCTCTGTTTGAACCTCTGACTACATATCGATCGATGCCTCCGCTGTTGTTAGATGCTTCCGTCTTTCGGTGTACTGTATTGTTTTCCCCTTTGCGGATGGGCCAAGAGATAGCAGTTTGCGAGAACTCGTTGCCGCGATGAAATTTGAAGATCGAGCTGAGTCCCTTTGTTTTCAGAGAGGTAGCGATTCGCTCTCTGATTTATGATACCTTCGTTCGCAATGTGCCTTCAATAAATCTTGGGGTCATGTTCTCATTTCTCTATACCAAGATGAAGCGGAATTGTATTGGTTTTCCCCTTATGAACAAAGGAGACGGTGTGCTGTGATCTCACGTTCCAATCGCTTCTCGCAAATTCTCTTTGTCAAAGGAAAATTTCTGAGTACACACCTCCGGTGTTGTCTTTATCTCGGCTACAAGAATTTTGAGATAGCAGGTAGGCATTGAGGATAAACACCGGAAAGTTTCACTCCACACCTTTCCCAAAGGCCTATATGATTGAACATGTCGGCGCAAATTCCACCCAGAGAATCATTCAAAAGTCGTGCGGATGCCATCCCACTTCCAGGACTTGATTCTGAATACGGGGACCTCCCAGTATCTCTGACTACTTAACCCTCACAGCTGTGCCGATAAACTGCTTCTTTCCTTCGAATAGTTTTTTCTTTTGCTTATCTTGAGTAATTTCTTCGCGGCCGATACATACTCCTACTCCACTGGTACTGATTAAAGTCTATTGGCCATAACCTCATTACATAACTTCTTCAAAGCAAAAGCTCATCAGGACATATTTCAACCATGGGTTCTGTATCCATGGATGAAATGGAGACCTTCGATCCGGCAGTAAGCTAAATGCTCTCGCCTCTAATAGAAGCACTTCGTTCTTATCCCAGTATAGATCCATCTCAACTACACACCACCCACACACCTCTTCTCCCTCGCCGACCTCCACTTAGAGCAACGCCCATCATCAACCCCTATCGCCGCCACAGCAGCCTTCCCATTCCTCTCACACGAAGGCGTACTCGCTTACCGTCGAGCTCTGTTCTCCTCCGAAGTCCTCGCCAACTGCTCCGCAACATGGGGATCCAATGCTCTCATTCTACGCAATGCAGGCGGCCATTCCAAGTTCCTGCACGATCTCTGGAACCATCCCGAGACTCTGAGGATTATGTCTGAGAATATGAAAGCGCCACTGGTGCCAATTTTCCAGCTTGAGGAGGGTTTCGTTAGTGTGCAGACTGAACGCTATGATGTGGAAGAGATGAAGAGGGAGATTAGTGTTGTGCCGCAGCATGTGAGGATTCCCTTGACGAAGGAGCAGGAGAGCTTTGATCCGTTGAGTTCGAATATCTTGCGTTGGCAGTGAGTCTTGTGTTTGGTGCTTCTTATCCTCTAGGAATATTCTGATGCTGACGTAAGCCAGTTATGATTCGTATCCGTATGCATGTATTGTAATGCTTAGCCATACAGATGGTATGGTTGGTGGAGAGACATATATTAAGCGAGGGGACAAGAAGATCGAGAAAGTAGAAGGGCCATGTTATGGATGCGCTTACATTATTCAAGGTGGAATTTTAGGTAACAACTTGAAAGACACTCAAACGAGTCTTTACTAACGGAATCAGAACATCTCGCATCCCGCGCCATCGGCGTGAAAGAGAGAATCGCGAGCGTAACATCGTTCCGTGCTACCTTACCCGGCATGTACGACGTTTCATACCTTACCAATACTCGACCCGTTACCAATCTCAAAATCATGTATAAAGAATGGGGATCGTATAGACTACAAGTTCTAGAGTCTGAGATCAAGGACATGCGTGCCAAGATCGAGAAGGATGATGAAGTGGATCTGGATGAATTCAAGATCTTCGCTGCGAATCAAGTCGAGTACAACGCACCCAAAGGCAAATGGTACCACACGCTTACAACAAGACCACTAAAGAGCGCTATGGTTTGAAAGCATATATGGATGTACCGACGACATGGGAACGCATCACCAAGCATCCGGACTTTGCGCAGAAACTTCTCGCCATAGATCCGGATACTGATTGGAAAGTGGCGCGGGATTATGTAGGTGACTTGGCAGTCTCGAGGAATGCATTGAGATATGGTGAGATTATCCAGGGTCAGTTGGGGCCGGTGAGTTGGAGTTGGGAGAGGGAGTATGTTATGGGTGATGAGCTGTTGAGACAGGGACAAAGAGAGCTGTTCTTTGAGTGGGCCACGAAGACTGGGCTTTGGGAGTTGAGAGCTTAGATTGTTTCCAGTAGATGATTCTAGTCTTTGGGGTTCGGGAGACTTGGAGTGAGAATTGAGCGAGGAGTGAGCGGCCGGGCGTTACTTTTGAGATTTTACCAGAGCAACACAGTTAAGCGCGATATTTATTGTCTCCCAAGTCTGTACGCCTCACATCTGTACATCTGACTTATATATTAGATTGGATTTCTAGGGTATTATAACGACGCAAATCTCATTTCTGAGTTGTACCCAATGCTTGCAAATTCAGCGCTACTGTAAGGAATCACTCTGAGTGACATTGCCTTCGGAGGCTGCCCGGTTGAAAGCTCGCTTAGCGGAAATCCAAACAAATGAAGTCATTCTACAAAAAGAACTTCCTGCTCCAAAAAAATGTGAAAATATCCCAAACTGCCCCTTAAAGCACGATATACCAATTGAAATGAATCAGACCGTGAAAGTCTTTAGATCAGAAGCATCACATAAAATAGCAAAACTCACAGACCAATCGCGGTGAGGCGGAAATTCTAGGAAATCCGACCGAGAAGCGACTAGTCTGATAGAAACCATAAGCTTGTTATGATTTTGGAGAAGCATCACCGTGACGCAGAACGTGGGTGCTTGTACATGATATATATTTGCTTATTTGATTAGATGTAGTTGTCACAAAATCTTCTCGGCTGGGTACGAAGGTGGAGGGTGAAGAGAGGGAAGGTGAGTGAATCTTTGTTTCTGCTCATCTGAGGGGTAGATGGAGTTGTCAATGGAGCTTGAACCAGGACTACAAATACGGATAGGTACATTGAAATGATTACTTTCATATGAATGAATTGTTAGAATGACTTTCTACAAGATTTTACAGCCGTTGCGTCGTGTTTACTGAAGTGGAAATAGGGGTACTAAGCGAGTAATGCATCACCTGCCTTAGGTTTATAAACAATACACCAGTGACCTCTCTTCTGGATTATTCTTTCCATATAAACTACTTCAGTATGTTACTTTAGGTGTGACTTGTCTCTCAACGAATTTTCAGTTCTGACACTCTAAATAGTTTAATCACTGCTGTCAAATATGATCCATAAATTACCATTTACACCATTGGACTTCTGTGATTACAAACCCCCTCTATGACTCCTATTCCTGTCTATCCAACTCTTTCTCACCCATGAAAATCAAACAACTCAAAACAGTCAACAACTCAACTCATCTCCAACCCCACCCTAATCTCCTCGGGCACATCAAACACCCTCTCCCTCGGCACCAACCCCTTCTCCACTAACTCCTCCCACTCCCCCTCCCCCGCCCTCTCCCTCCCCTCAGCCCACCTCCCCAGATCCCTCGCCCTCTCACTCACATCCTCAATCTTCACAATCCCACCGCCCTCAACCCACTCCCTCACCACCTCCTTCCCAATACCCACCTGCAGGCTGCGATACGGGAGGATTTCCAGAGCAGGACCACGCTCAGGGTCCCATTGCACGCGGACGGGCTTGCTGCGCTCAGAGGCGGTGAGCGGGCCGTGGTTGGATTTGCAGACTGTGGCGCGGGAGAGGAGCGTGAGGAAGGTGGTGTGGGTGAGGGTTAGGGCGAGGATGTTGGTTTGGCGGGGGTCTTTTGTGGTGTAGCCGGAGCGGTACCTGTGGTGGTTGGTGTTTGTGTCAGATAGTGCAATGTAATATATTTTATGCTTTGAATAAATAATAAAGATGAGAAGGGTTTGATAGGCTTGGATTTGGAGGATGAGGGTGAGGATGAAGGAAGGGGAATGGGAAATTAGAATGGGGAGGAGAGAGGGATATGAGAGAATAAAATGAAAGAGACTCACATCATCCAGCACCAACTCGGCTTAATCCACGTCATGCGCTCACACCTAAACGCAGGACTTGCATCTAATCTCTGCTCTCTGACTGCTGCTTCAGCGATTTCCTTGGAGTAGGCTTGATACACTGTTATAGTCTTTTCATCGTAGAGAGCGCGAATCTGGCGGTAGGGTGTGGATGTTTTGGTATCTTCTGATTTTGGGGTTGAGGTGGACATGGCTGGTTGATATTGATTCTGATGCTGGGATTTGGAGAGATTTGAGTGCGGATTTGGCGTTTGGTTTGGTAGATTGAGTTGTTTGAGATGTTTATGTTTTACTTAAAGATATGTTTGGTGTATGTGATGAGATAATTCGGCTGCTTGGTTGTAGTCTCTGTCATGTTTTCTCCGTATTGTTTGGTCAATTTGGTATTGGAAATTTGGATTTGAGATATGTTTACTTGGAATTCTGCCTCTTCTTGTATATTATTGATCGCTCTTCTAGCTGGATGAAAGACTTAACTGAATTATGAAAGGGGTTCAGCTCAGTGCCTTGCGTTGTGCGGGGAAAGACTCATTCGCCGGAACACTCGCTAATCGTGGCAGTGGATGTGGCAGTGTCTAGCCGCAACATTTAGCTTGAGATCTTCATTTTTGTTGTTCATCTCTCTTTTTTTAAGCCGCTTTGAGTCATCAATGATGCGTATGGGGGTTTTTATTTTACACAACAGATCCGAGACATATGCTGCGTTCTAAAGGCGGAAATATGAATATTCAACATGGTATCATAACTTGACTAACTTCGCTAATTCACACTCGATTGTTGACAAATGATCTGAGAGAAATGAAGACCCGGCGCATGAGAAAGATAGAGAAGGATCATGCAGTGCATCAGAGCCGCTCAACTCAACTACCACCCCCAACGCTCTCCCTCACCACCTTAACCTCACCCCTCCAAAAACCCCCAAGAACCTGTTCAATACCCCAAACGCCCTTCTCCGTCGCCTCCTCAAACTCTCTCTTCCTCGCCCTTCTAAAAGCAGAAAGTTCCATCACAACATCCACCTCCCTTTCGTCCCCTCCGACATCAAATCCAAACTCTCCCCTCCCTGGATTCGGACTGTCGATTCTGCCCTCACTAACCAGTAAGCCGCCATCATCTTCGCTGAAGAACGAGAAATCGGATGAGATGCTGTTCATGAATGATTCGCTATCTGGATCTTCAGTGGAGGATTTCGTATAGTGGTTGCTGCTGAAACTGGCTCGTTTACTTCGGCTATTTGAATGAGTTCGGCCTAGTGCTAATGGCGAGTTGGTACGATGCGGTAAAATTGTGTCAGGCTGGCTCGTCATTTCTAGGATGAGACATTTCAGCTTTAATGTGCTGGTTGGGGAACGTTGGGGTGGAGGTTGGTTTATGGATTGGTATTTTGCAATTTCTTGGAGTCGAGCAAGTTCTTCTTCTTCAGCGAGCTCGCGGATAAAGAGAGCTAGAGTATCGGGGATGGAGTGTCGGTAGGTGGTTGAGGGGATGGAGGTCAATGTTAGAGATTTGAGATTGGGGAGGAGGGAGGGTTTGAAACGGCCTGGGTGGCGCTCGCGAGTTGTAAGGTTCTGAAGCCGTTGGGTAGAGTCGTCAAGAAGCTGTCGGATATTCTTATCTTTGGACTTCTGGGGAATTTGGGCAGTGCCGCATCTGTAAGTATATTGGTATCTTTCTGGGCCGTTAGGTGCTGATTTGGGCGGTCGCGGCGGGAGTTTGGGTGGCTGTGGATCTTCTGGAGAAACCGAAATGGGCGACGGTGTAGTTCGGGGGGTTGGTCGTCCTTTGTCAGTATTTCTCATTGCCCAGCAAGTTCCTAGAGTCTTCATCTCATCTGGCATTATGGTTTTTATCTGTGACTCCATGTCATCAGATGAATCGAACCTTGGAGGTTCATCTGCGGTTGGGAAAGTCTCCTTTGTTCGAATAGGAATGGGATGTGATGACTTAGTTCCTTCATCGACTGGTGCAAATGTTACCCGAACTTCTGGTGTTGGCTCCACTGGTCTGGCTTCCCGACTATTCGTCGTGCTTGAACCATTCTGCGGCGAATCGGATTGCGCAGTACGTACCTGAGCACCCACATCATCTGGCGACTCGAAACTGGAATGAACCACTGGCCCTTCGGGCTCGGGAGGAATGATGCTTGTATCGTCTAGCTCAAAAACGCCTGGACGTCCCACCTCCATTGAATCCAATTCATATCTTAGATCTTCATTATGAAGCTCAAAATATCGATCCTCGACAGATGCTTCTATCCCAGAGAACGGCTGGGCAGTAATAAGAGAGTGATGAATCCGTAAGTACCTCAAATCACGAAAAGTATGTTTATATATCCCCGAGCTGAGGATCTCCACTTCCGGTAGGTCGGAGAACCGCCTGACTAGAGCTCCAGGAGAATGTGGAGATCGACCTCCATTTGGCTTCTGGCTGAGATTCAGAGCGCCGCAGTCAAGATGTTGAAGATCGTGATGGCCGGCGAGGTGGGCGAGGACATCCACAGTGAAGTAGTTTGACGCAACATCCAAATGAGAGAATGCCGGCGGGAGGCCCTCTTCAACTCCGAGATAGCCATCTATTCCACTTGTCAAACGCTTGACGATAAATCTGTCCAGTCCTTCGGCTACAACACGTGTCGGCAATGGGATACCTGAATACCGTCGAGCGAATGGGGATAGATTGCCGCTTGAAGGCGGTGTTGTAGGTAATTTTGCAAAAAGCTTTGCTAGTCCTCGCTCGGTGAGAAGGTTACAGCTGACATCCAGACTGCGGAGGCCTGAGAAATTCAGATGGTCGATATCATCGTCTTTTAGCCCGCAATTCCTCAACTTCAAAACTCGTAGCTCGGTCAAGGTTCCAATCTGACGTAGGACGTACGGACTTCTTGCTCCTTGGGCAGCTGATAGATCCAGGTAAACCAGTTCTGGGAAGTGGAGTAGTGCGGTAGTCAGGCTTGAAGCTGTGGTGTTCTCACAATTTGATGCGATCAGGAGCTTGAGTGGATAAGTGGTGATGGACTGCCGGCGCTGATGAATGCCCTGGAGAGATGAGTGATCGAAAAATGAGAGGTTCGATACGATCAAAGCTTGAAGACATGGCAATCTATCGAGGATGTCACGTAGCCAGCCTGCTTGAGGTCCATCGTAGAATTCTGGCTGGGCCGGTGGAATATGAAGAGTGTGCGCGAGTCTTCTGACGTCGAGTCGGGCTCGTGTGAGGAGGCGTTTAAAACGGGTGAGATTTACTGATCAACCGGATGAGAAAGGATTTCAGATATATGTCTCCCAAAGATGGGGTATGAACAGCGATGAAATCCACATATATATGAAAGATGATATAATGAGGTAATATTATCATGAGCGTCTCAAACGGCATTCAAAAAGCAGGAAAAGGACAAGCGAAAACACCAACATACAATAAATGTTATCATCATCAAATCCAAACTTCCTCGCCGGATCTCCCCACAGAAACGGCGCAAACAGTTGATGCCACTGCCGGCATACCAGACACGCCCTGTACAGATCGTAGCTGTGTACGTAAGGCGCAACGATGATCCAGAGTTGACGGTAGGCGGCTGCTTCATAGGAGGGCGGCGCGTGGGCCATGATTTGCTTCTCCCGTACCTAGTAATGGATCCCGATGAAGGAGAAAGCTAGACGATAGGGATCGTGGGAGATTGCCGTGGTATTGTGGCGCGATGTCTTTCTTCTTTTGAGGGTCGTCGTCCCTCATCAGCTGTGTGGTCACATGCAGCGCAGCTTCTCCTCCAACCTCTTCCTCTTGTACCTTACCTAAGCTTCAATCCCGTAACGAAATCCACGGTATCCAATCGACACGATCTATTCACTGTCCGTAGTACGCTGAGATGTTGGAAGATGTCAAGATAAGCTCAAATGAGAGAACCCGCAATCTTCTAGAAGGATGTCAAATGTCAATGGAAGAATGGGAGAATGGGAGAATGGGAGAATGGCGCTCAAAGCCAGCCACGCTCGCCTGCACTACCTACAGTATTGTATTAATCCGTCCTGTCCGCGTTGTTTCTTTCGTGGCCCTTGGCATGAAGCCGATTGGCGAGGAACGTCCAGCGGGCGAAGCACAAGCACAGCACAAGCACAGCACACCTTGGCGGCTCTGTCAAGAGCCAACAGTGTGCGCGGGGCGGCTATGGAGGAGCACTGCGCCGCAGCCACAGGCAGCAGCTTTTGGGATGAGGGTACTGGAGGTTGCAAAGGTCACAGGGCTGTGTTAGTTCTGTAATGTTGTCGGTGTATGGGAGGTTTAAATTCTTGAATATTTGAGTATGAGGCATTTAGGAATCTTTTGAACTTTTAGGTGTTTAATGAGTGAGGTGCAGAGGATGATGTTCGGAGCGCTCGCTTCTGTTGGCGCTGTTTTCAACCGCTTGCTTGATGCTCCTCCCAGCATCCAAAACCCGGTAGGTGGTTTTCCTCACACTCTTCTAAAATCTACCAAATCCAAATTCGGCACACCATCCCAGTCCCAGGCCCCGAGCAGCAATTTGGCTGCATCATCCACGCCTCCATCCTTTCTCTCACCCCGGTCATCCACAGCTTGATCGAGGTCTCTGCGATACATTTCTGCACCACTATAGCCCTCACCATAGTCATTACTAGCACTATCGCCATTTTCAGACGAAAGGAAAGTTCGACTATGCCGCATCGCTGGCACGATTGAGACTCGGTGGATGTTAGAGGAGAGGATGGGCGAGGTGTGGGATGGAGATGGCGATCGGGATAAGCTCGAGTTTGCTGCGTATGTGGGTTGAGAGTATGGAATTGTAGAAATGCTGATTGAGAGATCCAAAAGTTTGCTCGGGTTTGCCACGTCCTGCTCATGATCTTCGGCTTCACTCTCGTCCCTGCTCTCAATGTCAGGCCCATAGTCATCGTACCGAGAGGTAAGACCAGTATTTAGCTCAGGCTCAGGAGTCGTGAATGGTGTACTGCCAGGCAGCTCGGCGGTACCCGAATGTTCCGCGACCGTGGACCACCTCCCAGTACTGCCAGCTAAGCTGGATGAAGACTGAGAATGAGATGTGAAGGTACGCGGGAGGATTTGATGGAGTGCGACGAGGCAGAGTTCATTACTGTTCTTCTCTGTCGGGGTTGATCTTAAAGTATCTGCGATGCGAGGCTCGACCGAAGGCTCATTAGCTTCTGCAGTTGATATTGAAGCGGTTCCGGTGTCTACGCAACGACGTGAAGCTGCTAGAGTGGTTGAACGAGATTTGGAGTAGTGTTCATGTTGTGGCTCACGGGTCTCACCAGGGCTGTCTTCTTCTGTGAAATTGGCCCGGATATCCTGCCGAGCCACCCCGATGTTGTCTTCATTGGACATCGCTGGGATCGAAGTCATCCCATGAACTGCAGCGACTTGAGCTTCAGATTTGTTCTGGCATGTCCGGGTTCGTGACTCCAGCGCCTCAACGTGAGAGCTAATCTGATCCAAATTGGCTTGCATATCCTGCAAAGCACCCCAGAGGTTGTCTTCCGCCGGCACTACCGGCGAAGTGACCGGTCCAACAACCGCACTCGACCGAGCTTGAAATTCCCTTTCATACAGCATCTTGAAATGCTCATGGTGCGCAAGATGATAGCTCGACTTCTTCCGCTCCTCAACAAGAGCTGCTTCGAGCTGCCTGATCCGGTCTTTGTAGTTACCCTCGAAGAAGTCGGCTCGGATTCCCATGCTGACAAGGTCCATTTCCTGCGCTTCTCGCATCCGAAGATTCTCCTGATGGCGAGATATTTCTGCGTCGTGTCTCGCTGTCATGCGAGTGATGTCCCTCTTGCAGCGAGCCTCTATACGAGCAGTTTCTTCTTGGAGCCGGATGATCTCCAGTCTCAAACCATGATTGTCTTCTTGAGCTCTTTGAAGTAGGATGGCTCCTTGAGACTTGGACTTCTGAGGAGAAGACTTTACAAGCTCTTTTTTATCTTTCGCGGCTCGTGAAGGTCGACTTCCGGTTCTAGAGGATGAAGCATGGACAGGTAGTGCAGAGGATCTAACCATCTCTGGATCACTAGTCGAAGTGACCTTGTCGATGAAGTCGACCGAAGATAGAGTCGGCAGACTTTGCTGCACTTCTGGCTTTCTTCCAAGACACGAAATATAATTCAGGAGCCTTCTTGTGCCTGTACGATTAGCTTTGACTTTGGGGAAGTTTTGAGGTGGTTTTCTTAGACGTCTGGTGTGACGTCGTAATGGCATAGGCTTCATTTCCAGTCTTGGACCTACGATGCAAGCGCGATGATTGTCTGCTCGTCGCGATTTGCGGCGTCGAACCATGGACACCTGTCTAGCTATATCCATTTCACTCTGAGTCGATGTTGGTTGGGGCGACTGAGGCTTTGGACGTGGAGATGGGGACTGACGTGCCACCTGCAATGTATGTGGAACGGCAGGAGAGGCAGCAGCATCTTGAAGCATGCTTGAGGCAAAATCAAGAACCATACTGCCCTGACTAAAACGAGAACTTGGAACTCTCAAAGCTGAAGGTATCGTTGGTTTGTCTACTTTCGTCGAGTCTCGTTGCGCTGTTAGTTCTGGGTCATGAAGGCTCCGAAAACCACCGACTCGACGGAGTGGTCTCAGCTTGCTTCCAGTCGGTATTGATGCTTCTTGGGACGGCATTGTATGTGCTGGAGACGCACTTGCACCGTATAGCACTGAAGCCGGAAGCTAGTTGTGTCAAAAGGGGGAGCTTCACAGAAGCCACTGCCTGAGAGAAAGTGGTTTGACGGAGCAGGGGTCTCCGGGATTTATGTCACTAAATGCAATTGTTCAGTAGCATTCTGCTAGAGCATTATTCCTCACCATTGTTCTGGAGAATAAAGAGTTTTCTTTGCCAACAATGGAATTGGTTCAATGCTTTCAGCAGGGTTCGAATATGTAACAAAGAATTGTTCAACCCCTTTTCCTCCCCTAGCATCTCAGTTAGTAACATAAGGTTAGTGAAGTAGAGCAAAATGTTTAGTAGTTTTCCAGGTCCAGGTCAGTAGAGATTGTTTCCATTGGAGAACATATTTGTAGTCGAGCTGGAGCGATATGTTGAGCTTTGGTTGGTAGGAAAGCCACCCGAGGCATTTCTTTGAGCAACTTCTGAATATTAGCAAAGATCTGTTTCAAGTCAATGAAAACGATCAAACCTCTGGATCTCATCACTGGTCTAGGAAGTCCATTGGTGGTAGGTCCTGTTGGATTGCTGACTTTGAGACCAGCGCTCATACCATAACCTGCAAAGCCCGAAAGACCGGGATTATTTCCATTGATACTTCCGAGAGGCTGGCGTGGAGATACTCGAGACTGTGTTTGCGGAGTTGCCGAAACAGCATTGGACTGGAGGCCGAGTCCAAGTCCTAGCATAGGATACGAAGCCAGCCTCTGGCGGCTGGATGAGGGTGTTTGTACGGATAGATTCTCTGTTATAAATTGGTGAGAAATGAGCCTCAGATATCCACGTAGTGCAAATTTCTTACGGTTGTTGCTTGCTTGACTACTGAAGCCAGCCCATCCAGAGTCTCCGCCACGAGCCATTTGAGCCGCATTCATACCGCTAGTTCCCGAAGCACCTGTTCGGTGAACGCCTGTATTTTGCTGACCAGAAAAGAGAGGTGGTGGAGGTGGTGGTCGCATCGTCTGGTTCCCAACTTTGTCGACGAAGCGATTCGCAGAGACTGAAGCTTGGATGGCGTTATCTACTTCGTCCGAGGCTGCGTCTTGGACCTGGCCCAGCATGGCTCGACGCTTCAATTTGTCGTATAGCTCTTGTGTCTGTAGATATTTGCGATTCTTCTCCCGCAATGCCAGATTAAGCTCCTCTACTTTTCTTCGGAGACTATCCTGATCTGCCTCCATGTATGTAACATACATCAGCAAAGCTGCTAGTATGGTAAGGGGTAGCCTACTTGAGATGTTGTTCCGTAGGTTGGATATTTCAGAATTTGCATCATGAACGACCTTGTCGACCTGAGAATTCAGCATGGTATACTTGTCGGTCAAGTTCTTCGCCAGATACTCTTGGTAAGTACTGCACTTATCAGCAAGAAAACTGGTATTCAAACAAGGGTGTGTGACGCACATCTCAGAATTGGTCTGATAGGCCCAAAAATTAAGAGCTCTGCTCGCACATTCTAAGATCACACTCGGGCTCAGTCCACTGAGTACGCAACTCTTGTAGTCCTCAGAGGGATTGAGGTTAACGCCCACAACATCTTCTGGGTTCGAAAGTTGGCCGTCGCAAGCCGTACAAATGGGACGCTGACCATCACGAACGCCGAAAAGCTGGAGATTATTGGCGCAGTCGGTGCAGTAGATGTGACTGTATGTGATATCAGCCACTTTTACTACAGCAATACTGGCATCTCCTTTTCAGCTCACCTGCATGTCGTGACTACGGCAAGACCGCTGATCTCCTTGCGGCATTTCAAAGAATTACAGCGCAATGTGAACTCAAAGGTGGACATCTTAGCTTCAACGGTGCTGAGAGGAAGGATCATGAGGTTGGTAGTTTGTTGAACTTGCCAGAAGACAGCTCAAAGCAAAGTGAGGTTGGAGACTGGACCGAATGGTTGGATGGTTGATGTTTGAAAGTGGAGTGAAGACACTGAAGAGACGAGGGAAGAGGGAAGAGCCGAGGGCCCAAGCTCCTTCCCCACACCACGCTATTTTTCGGGGCGAGTCCATTTCCAGCGCTAGCCAGGCACAACAGGAACAACGACCCCCACGCTCTGCGGAGGATTCTCCTCCTTTCTATTTCCCTCCTCTTTTCGTCTTCCATCCTCTTACAGCACTTTCTCCTTGACACTTCACCATCATTGAAGCCCCAAGAGGAGTCCCACGATTTCTATCTTACTTTAACGACATGTCAAGATACAGTCAGCGACCAATGCTCGCGAAGCAAAGCCATATTATGAGAAGGATGACGACCACGACGGACTCAATCAAAGCGGCCGACATACGATTTGACCTGCATGGCGGCTCTCATCCAAATGACAACTTCTCTAGCTCTCGCTTTCCAAACATGTTCAACAGCATGATTGAAAAATGACTCGAGAAATATTTGCGGGACCGACACAAAGTTCAGAGTAGGAAGATGCATCTCCAGACACAACGATGTGGTACCTGCCGAGAATCCGTCTTGAAGGGAGCGACCAGCAGAGAATAGCGATCATCACGAGACAATGCTTTCAGTGGGGGCCACAGAGAAACGTCGTCAGCGACAGAAGAGCTTTTGCATTCCAGCGTTTCAACATGCACCACCAGCTTACTCATGTCCTTAACACACCTTATTGCGAGAGGACGCCTGTCAGAGCTGCTACGAGGCTGTATGGAATCGTGCGGATCCGTTTCTCTTCACTTTACAGCTGTTTCCAGTGCGCAGTTGTGACTTTGTCATCGTCGCTCTGGTGATTCCATCAACTGGGCTGTCCGCAGAGGTCAGATTGCAGGTACCCTCATCCCCATTTCAAGTAATGGCTGAAGCTGCGCTGGTTTAGTCTTGCGTTAAATTTGAGAGCCTTTCTAGTACCAAGCTGCCTCGTTTTAGTTTACAGACGGTTTCACCTTTTTTTAATTACTCAGCACCGGGCACAGAAAGGGGAACAGAGCATACCCAATATGACCTTCGACCCTTCATCCAACTCACCAAGTCTACAAATGACCTCACCGAACATCTTGGTAGCAGTTCGTGGTGTGCTAGATTACCACTGTAAGCCCATAGAAAGTAGTTGGCATTAAGAACCGCAACAGTTTTTTGTGCATTTGTTGCTACTCTAATCAACGGGCTACCATGTACAAAGCAATAGTTATCGCGATCACGTTGTGAAGCCACTATCCGGATGCAGCACCACTGAAGTCACTGCCTGCACAGCACAGATTGCGGCCCTGGTATATCAGAAGGAATGAGTGAAGCTAGAACGTTGAGCAATTTCTCTTCTTGCAACCGAACCCTGGCCCCTGATCAACTCAGCTGAGTACGTGTCCCACAGCGCGATATTCATCTATTTCCATGAGTAGCCTACTTAAAATTCACAGCGTGGATTAGAGCCAATGGCCTGCTGACATCTGTTTAGAACATATCATTTCAGCAAGCTCTTAGGATCAACCAAAATGGCTCCTTACTGTAACAGGCAACTTTCGGCAGCCTCCCGGTCTCGATACTCTGGGTCCTCGCGAAAGACAGTAACATCAACAAATTCGCGCTCATTAACTCACGCCAAAGCTGCCAGAAGCCAGATCAACAGGTACACTTCAATGCCAATCTGGCTGATACTCACCGCAGTCACTGTAACACAACACCGCTTAGCTCTTTCGATTACAGGACTGTGGCGTTCTTATGATACTATAGTTGACGACGTGGATATCATATCTCGGCGTCTTAAGACTTTATTGATAACATTTGTCTGCAGGTCTATCTGTTTTAAGCTAGGGCTTCATACGAAAGCCCCCTTTTCGAAAACTTATTACCACGTCTAATAACATAGCGCAGGAGATAAAGTTACGAGATACATAATTTCAGACATTTACAGTCGTGGCTCTTTTCACGACGTCCGAACCTCACTCCTTGGCCGACTTCGACCAGATTATGTTATGATAATCGGTCCACTTCCAGATTCAGGGGGCCTTAATATCGCAAAATTATGCGCCGTGGGCTCGTTCTCGCTTTCTTGCTACCCCGCAAAGCAGCTCAGTATTTCTAAACATGACAGTTCTGGTGACACTATGTCTCGAAAATGAGTAAGAGCGCTTGATGGCAGCATCACCTTGACCGTGTTCTATCACTCTCGCAAGTCTTGGCTGGACAAACAAGCCAGGAACAACAATTGAAAGCAGCCATGTAGTCGGGGCTTTAAGGTCATACGCAGCGGCAGATATTGAACTTACAAGGGTTGAAGAGTGGTAACTATGATAATGATTCGCCGGATAAATTAATGAAGTTCGGAAATGAGTGCCTGAAAGGCACTCAACTGAGGGGCTCGACTGCTCTTTAAAATGCTTCGTTAAGGCGATCAAGAGCTGATATGGCGAGGGGGGGCAATACAGGACGTGGTCGTCCCCCGCATTTTCACGTTTCACTTGATCGAGGCGATCCTCTAGGATACAGGGTCACCATGTGGTCTATGCACTTGTCGCTCATGTTCCTGCCTCGATGCAAGCTAGATCTGCGCTCGTCTGTTCCAATTAGGAAATCCGTCCTGCTATTGGGCTATTTGAGGATGGTGGATCGTCGACAATGTCCTCGCACAGACGTGTTCAACTTTTGGATTTTCGAAAACTTCCACTCACCTGAGTACAACAAACCTACGTGCCAAAAATGGTCGTGGCTGATCCTCATTGGCGTCCGGACACTTATAATGCTGCGGCATAGGAGGATTCGGTTACAAGCTCCCCATGGCGATGAAGAGAAACAAGGAATTCCACCCTATATTCTCAAATGGTAATCTCTTGGGTTCCTCCGAATCAGTCAGTTCATTGAGTCCTTGAAGAACTGCCGTAAATGTTGTCAGAAAGCCGAGTAAGAATCACCAAATACCCTGGATTTGCAAGACAATGCAGCTGTCTCTCCCATCTTGTTGCTTTTTCCGCCGCAAGGTTACCATGTGCTCATCCGTCCCCAAGAGCCTCGACCTTTGTCACTCTAGGTGGCCAGACTCTAGACAAGTGGGCGAATGCTGGATACACGGCCTCGACGGGCTTACGACCTTAGCGCAGTGCCTGGCATTCTTTGATATGGAGCAGCTGATACTTCGGCAAACAAGCGGAGCTTATTTTGTCGATGACCCGCCTCTATTAATCAATACCACAAGCTTCACATGGCCCTCTCAAAGCACTGGAGACCGGAGCGGGAGGCCAAAGCGGCTTTGAGAAGCGGCGACGGTGGGTACCGCAAGCGGCACATTCAAGCATCGGCAGGGCACAAGTGGACGGTCCGCGATGGAGCAGCCGTTGGCCGATAAGTAAGGAGCAGTTCGTGCAGCTTTGATGACCCCGGCTTTGAGAATACCATGGTAGCGTTCGGTAGCACCTGGCAGCTTCTGCATAACATGGCAAAGTGGTCAGGGTTGTGGTCTCATGAGAGCACAACTATATGTTGGTCTGATGTTATGAATGGACGAGTCAATATTCTTGAGGATTCAAGGGGCGGTTTTATGATGAACTCTAATATAACAGACTTTGATATGGTGCTGCCGTTGCTGAACTGTGAACTGGTGGCGGGAGGCTGTCTTACATCTTACACGTGCTGCAAGCGAGCAGCACGACCACAGTCTGTCTGCAGCAATCTTCTCTCAGCATGCAGAACCCCTGCTATCGTCCCGATCACTTCGAGGCAGGGGTTAGGATTGCGATTTTCCGCCTGCCCAGGCCCTGACTTTGTGGAGACCCTGCACACAGTACAGTACAGTAGCAGCGCATCCACTGGGGATGTGTGGGGTAGAAAATGGATAACGGGCGGATGTTACTCGACCAGCGGCGACCCGGAGGGAACAGCGATCTGATAGCGAAGCTGTTATGGAAAGGGGAGAGCCGTTATGAGATGGATGGGGCAGGAAGGCCAGGGCCCTGGAACATACACCCAACTATTATTATTGTACAGAATACGACAAAAAGCCGAAACTCTGATGAGCTGCTGGAGAATACTTCGAGTATTCCTTGGTAGCGACGAGCTGCAGATGCACCTCAGTTTTTTGGTCACGCTTGAACCCACCCTCTCCATTGTCATTCTTCACTCCCATCCCATCCCATCCCATCCCATCCATGCCGTTGACATTTCGCGGCTAGCTCCTCTTTCGAGCTTTGGTCCGCGCTGGCTTCCCCAGACCAACGGCTTGGTCGGCGAACTTCACCGATCAGTAAGGGACAAGTCAGCTAGAAGCAACAGACTAGAAGAGACTTCTTTCTCCGTACTCCTTCGACCACACCCACCTGCTTGCCCCTGTCTGATCATCTGCTGTACAGTAGTGTTCCGGGGTACTTGTACTTTCTCCACATTAGGAGGGATATATAGTGACATATACCGTTCCGCCGTCTGGGCAGCAGAGAGGAAAAGTATTAAAGCAATCTGAATGCTGCAACCCCAACCATAAATGGCTCCCACCTCCCACATTGGCAATTTTTGGATGCTTTGCAGTAGTCTTTGACCTCACTGCGTTTGTATTTGCAGAAGCACAAGCAATTCCTCCTCCTCCTCTACGTCGTTGCCAATAAGACTTCGGCCAGTCTGTCAGAGCAAAGAGTTTCGTGCCGTCCCGTTGCCACGCCTCTGCAGCACATCATCACCGTACAGCATCAAATTGGAGTGGACAGAACTCACAAGCCCCAGTCTGAGACCCCCATAATCCCCAGCAAAAGCCCTGTCTGTCTCAGTTGACTTGATTGCCGGGCCGCTGCCAACACCAGCCAGCCACTTGCCCAGCAACCTGCTCGCTCTGCCGCACCCAACGCAAAGATATTATTCCAAGCGGCCTGGGGCCTGGCTGTCAGAGCTTACTTATACCAACTCGGTGCGCGAACCCGAGCTTGGTGCATTTCACATCACATCCCATTTCCCCACAAGGCCCTCCACTACCGACGACAAGTTGAGCGCTTCCCCCGCCATTCTCCATCTTACCTGCATCGCATAGCATCGCATCGCATCGCATCTACTGCTTGCTGCTGCACTTTCATTTCTTCCCAGGATATCCACCTTCCATCAAAAGCGCAGTGCGACCTGTGAAAGGGGCAGCCTCAGCCGGTTCGAACCTCTGGTTATTAGACCGGCGAGACTCGAGGGTACAGACGGTTCAATTATTGTAGTCCGAAAGGACCGCCGACTTTCCCATGCCTCCTTCATTTGGAGCTTCCCAGGCGGCAATGTTTTCCACATGTAAGTACAGATTCCTCCTGCAGCTTGGAGTCAAAAGTATGGGAAATAGATTAGAACATACTGACTGAGCTCTCCGCAGTTCAAGCAGGGCTCGCGCCGCCACCGCGGCAGATCTCTGAACAAGAGGCGCCTAAATCTGCTACCAACGGCGTTTCCAAGAGAATCACCACTCCACATGCATGCGCGGAATGCAAGCGAAGGAAAATTCGGTGCGATGGACGACAGCCCTGCGGTCAATGCTTGGGCTGCAGGTCTCCAAAGCCATGTTATTACGACAAACATCGCCAGAGAGTCATTCCTTCTAGGAAGTACGTTGGCACCTTCAAAAATCCGGGGTGGCGGGGTAGAAGGGCTGGATTGCTAACATTCGGGACAGAACCCTCGACGCCCTCTCTCAATCCCTAGAAGAATGCCGGTCCATTCTCAAACGGTTATATCCCACTCGAGATGCCCAGTCGTTACTGCCGCTCTCTAGGCAAGAGCTGATCTCTTTGCTGGACCGCTCCGGCTCGCAGAGTGCGCCTTCGCAACGATCACCCACGGGCTCCAACACGAACACCTCACCAATCTCCCAGGAATTTCAGTCTCCTCTCGCTTCAACATCAGAGGACGACCGGAGCCTCGCACATCTCGAACAAATACCGAGTCAAGACACAGAGTGGGACGAAGAGCGGAGGAACCGAGATCCAATACCTGCCGAGGCAGATGATGTCAATGCGTTGTCTCTATCGGTGGACCGCCAGTCTTCATATCTCGGTGCAACATCTATTAAAGCCGCGTTCTTGGTTATGTTGAAGGTTGCACCGGTACTACGATCTTTCCTTGCGCCTACGAACGGGAACAACAAACAATTGAGCACCGCCAGTAATTACCCTACACCTCGACCCAATGGTCCCGTCAAATCCCTCTCCTCAATCTTATGGTCCTCCGAGGGCCAAACTCTAATTGATGCCTACTTCAACAGGGTTCAAATATTCGCGCCGATGCTTGATGAACCGTCTTTCAGAGCGGATTACTTGAGCGGCCGAAGAAATGATGCCCCATGGCTAGCACTCCTGAACATGGTGTTTGCTATGGGTAGCATTGTAGCGAATAAGTCGGATGATCACAGTCATGTCACTTTCTACAGCCGAGCCAAAGAGCATTTAGGACTCGATTCCTTCGGCAGTGGACATATTGAGACCCTACAAGCTCTTGCTTTAATGGGAGGACTTTATCTTCACTACATCAACAGACCCAACATGGCGAATGCTATCACAGGCGCTGCTCTGAGGATAGCTTGTGCCATGGGTCTCCACAGAGAGACCGCTCCAGAGCAGGGAGCTGTCGATGCCATGATGATCGAGCAGAGGAGGAGAACGTGGTGGAGCTTGTTCTGTCTCGACACGTGGGCATCCACTACCTTGGGACGACCATCAATGGGTCGATGGGGAGTTGGAATCACTATCCGCGCCCCAGAAGGGACTCATGATCCAGTAAGTGTCACCGGAGCTTTTCTACCGACCAGCTGCTAATTTTCCACAGAACGTGATCGGCCAACACACAGGCATCATTCCTTTGATTGAAAATATCAAGTTCTGCAGAATTGCCACGCAAATCCAAGACGTTCTCGCACAATCGCCACTCATGAGACCCGAAGATCGCGCAAATCTTGACCGGCAGCTCGTTGAGTGGCATGATAATCTTCCCTGGATTCTCCGCTCTACCGAGCCATGCCCAGAATCGATTTACACTGCAAGATGCGTCATGAAATGGCGGTACCAAAACCTCCGCATAGTTCTCTACAGACCAGTTCTCTTGAATCTTGCAAATCGTGGCAACGAATGTACCCCAACTCAGGATGAGCTCGATGCGATCGTCAAATGCCGCCTGGTGGCCAAACAGACAATCGAGGACATCGCTCGTGAATGGACGCCCAATCAGATGCTTGGCTGGAATGGGGTCTGGTTTCTGTACCAGGCCTCTATGATCCCGCTAGTCATGATATTTTGGGAGCCTTGGAACGCGCAGCAGGTACGGGACTGCCAGGAACAGATCGAAGTCGTACTGGAGGCTTTTGACGGCCTTGCCGATTGGTCTCTAGCAGCGAGGCGTAGTAGGGAGGTCGTTAGCAAGATGTACGAGGCAAGCAAGCGGCCCCTGACCAGGCAGACTAGCCCGCGATTGGGCCCGGCTATGATGAATGGGAACGGCAACGGGGTCAACGGCAACGTTCCCGCCATGACGTTGAATGGGATGAACGGAGTCAATGGAATGAATGGAGTCAACGGGGTTCACGGAGGCAATCCGATGGCTATTATGAATGGCACCAGTGGCATGAATGGCCACATGATGGATGCGAATGAAATGCACCAAATCGAAATGATTGGGGAAGATGGCATGATGCTCATGGAGCAAGGAGTCTGGGACCTCGATGGAATGCTCTGGCAGAATCTACCTGATGGACTCGATATGCCTTACGATGGCATTCCCATGCCGGATTACGACGACGGTCCCGTCATCGGCTATGATGGGAATTACATGATGCATCAATAAGTCATCACTCCTCAGTGCGATCTTGCCTGATGTCGAACGGACAGTTTGAACATAGTTGAGAAGAAGGAAAATCTGTCGGCGTTGCGGCTGCAGTGGCTTTCCGATACCCACCACATCATGAGCACCAGTCTCCTTGAGTATATATGTCATATCATGATTTTCTTATCACTGTTTGTCGATTTTCTCACCATATACCCCTCGTTCGTTAGGAACGCTGCTGCTGCTGCACTGCGAATTTTGCATTTTACATACATATCAAAAATTGAACATATCGATCTTCACATCACCAAGCTGGATATTTTCCACTTCGTGCCCTGCTTCACAAATGCGAACACCTGCAGTTTGAAAGTGACATCTGCACCCCAGACTCTCCCCACAAAATTCACCCCCCTGGAGTCGAAAACTCAATCGAGTCGGTTACACTATCTAATCGAGTCATGTCGTATCACCCCATCCCCAAAGCAGAACTATGCATCTCAGAATAGAAAACTGCAGAGTAATTAAAAAAAAAAAAACTCATTTGATACCCAGCCATGAGGCGGTTGCAATCTATCTACTTGCGAGAAGCGAGAATTGCAATATATCCTTCATGCCCGACATACTTCGCTTGCGGTTACAGTGGCAGTGGCAGTGGCATTGCGGGATCTGGACCTGGGCCTGGGGTGGGAAGAGTGTACCGTATGGCTTATGGCTTATGGCTTATGAACGGGTAGGGACGGGATTTGGGGATGCTGGGCGGGCGGGGGGGCGCCAGGGAGGGGAGGGAGGGGAGGGAGGGAGGGAGAATGAGCTTGGCTGTTAAGGTGGGATGGAGATGGAGAGGGAAAGTGGTGGATGGGAATGGAAAGAAGAGCCGGAGAGGCGGGTGAGCAGAGAGTCGAGGTAAGACAGGTAGGCAGACATTTAGGTAGTACAATACAGGCAGGCATGGCATGGAGAGTGATCCAAAAATGCCACATGGTTACCTGGCTGAATTCATATTTGCAGGATCGTAGAACTGGACAGAGTGAGTGAGTGAGTGAGTATCGTACAATGGATCCGGACCCTGACCCTGATGGTGAATCATCGCATGGGGTAGCACGACGAGCCTGGCGCCAACGAAAGGCTGGCGTCTGTTGCGGGACTCGGGAGGGAGATAGGGAAATGTCTTTCAAGTTTTTGATAGCTTGTTTTTTGGGGCTTGTTTATTTACTTGGCAAACCTGGTCACTCACTTCCTTGGGTGGGTGTGCCTTACTACATGACCTGGTAGACTTGGTTTATGGGACAGTTGACTGGCAAAGCTTGATGGATGACGAGTGAGTGGGTTCAGAGAAGGCAAGATTCGCGGTTTTGGTGACGCTGCTGTGGTGATCAAGGGGTCTGAGGAAGGACGAGCCTGTGGAGACAGAGTGAGAGGGCGAGTGAGTGAGTGAGTGAGTGAGTGAGTGGCATTTAGCCTATTTTCCCATTCTTTGGAGGTGGGGGGGGGCCAGAGGGGGCTTTGTTGAATGCTGTGCAGGGTTGGGGTGGGTATGGTTTGTAGGTGGCCAAGCTAAGGTAGGGGGAGGGAGTGAAGGATCATTTGGCTTTGGTGGATTTTGTGGGGTAAGTATGGATGGATGGCTGGAGGGGATGGGACGAGACGAGGCGGGAAGGTATGAGATCAGGGATGAGGGGTGAGGGATGAAGGATGAAGGGTGGAAGGGCAATGGGGTGCAAAGTGTAGATTGTCTGGACCGTGTGCACTCATGGCGGAAGGGATCAGGGGTTGACGACGAGAATAGAAGAGATTTGCCTTTTTACTTTGAAGATTTCTCAATAGTTTATTACTGATTCGCGTTGCGGGTACGGCGTATCTGTGCTAGTACGGAGCGGCCGAGTCTGGACTCATAGCATACCATTTCTGGCGTTGAAATAGATGAATTGCTTCTTTGCATTTCCCTTTTCCGTGAGAGTAAACATGCAAGTCACTGAAGAAGTCGTGGCCAAGAGACGGAATCTAGCGGTTCAAGGACAAAGTGGATGTATGAGTGATCAACATCATGATAGTGAGAAAGTGCAGAGGGACGACAGACACGGTAAGAAATGGACCAAAGTGTCCAAAATGGATAGACGAGGATAAACGCAAATCTGGAGGATGTGCAGTAGCTTGTTTGACTAACTAGGTTTGCTAGTCTGGTCCAGTGTTGCTCATACCATGTTTTGGATTCTGTATATTTGCTTTGTGATGTTGATCTTGATCCGAATACGGAACGAAAGGGGAGACCAGAACTGGGAACTGGAAAGATCGGTACGAGCCGAATGTACCCTCATGTATCGCTACTCAGTACCGAGAAACGAGTGATATGTGTCTAGTTTGACGTCCAATGTCCATATTCGGAGGTAGTGGTGCAGTGTCAATGCATGTGAAAGACTGTCGGTCGGTATTAAGGCTAGAGGTTCGATGGACCTGTGGCTGGAAGCAGGTAAATAGGGATAAAGTATTGATGATACACTGGAAAACTGGCAGATATGGTGATCCGCACCTAGGGTCTTAATATATGCTGGTAGAGAACCAGTCAGGTATAGAATATATCAAAGAAGGTTGAAATATGCTTCTGAGGAAGGTTGAGGTAGGATGTGTATGTTACATTTCGCGGGGGTACATTGACTCAGTAGGGCTCAGGTAGGTACGACAAGCTGGTTGCTACGTAACTAAATTGACGGCTGTATGCATTCAAGCTTAACTTTGGATATGCAGGTGTCTCACCATCGATGCTGTGCTGAATGCGGGATCTAGGCCGGTACTCATCTGCACTGTTACTTCGGCTAGACGTTAGACGACGTGCATTCAAGGTCCCCTTTCTTCTACAACGCTACTTTAGGTCTGGGGAACTGACAAGCTCTTCTTAGCCGGTAAGGATCTTCATGACTAGTTCTTGGTGTTAGAAGTCAATATAACTTGTTGCGAGACAGCCGAGAAAATTCTCTTCTTCATGTCCAGTTTTCATGCTTGTTTCTCCGCATCCAGTGGAAACAAAATTCGGTATCCTATGATTATCTGCAGCTCCTCGTACGACACTTCGATGCGATGCCTGGATCGGGCGTTGACTACTCTGAACTCACATAGTCGGAGTGTTTTCCTGCTCTTCGCGTAGCCCATTGTAGGTCGTACAAAGCACTGGCTTGCAGTCAAGGGCTATGAAAACCATGCATGACTAACGCTACCGGCTCTCAGAACCGAACACGGCATATTTCTCTCACATTTGCCCTTCAATCCTCTACCGACTCACTACTCCACCCTCACCGCAAGGCAATGACACTTGTACTATTACAGTGAATTGAAGCGAAGGGGGCTTGATCTGCAGACCTCACTGCATCATTCATGCACAGAGGCCGTCACCGGATCATCTCTATCCCGCTTTCAAGCAAAAACCAATGCATTCGTTCGACAGGCTTGAAAAGTCATTCGGCTTTGGGGGCCAGGGGCCCGACCGCCCTCAAACGGCGCGAAGGTTTGGCGAGAAATGGGCGTCACTGGACGGCCTGATAATTTATCTTGCCTGCAGGGGTCGCGCTGTCCTGCAGCAAAGCTATGTATGCATGCAATGACTAGTCCTCCCTGTGTAACGCCCACCAAGCCCCTGCCATACCTTCTTTACCGGCCACGGCCGAAATCTGGGGATGGAGATGGAAAAACTATTTAGGCGGCTTAAGCGGGAGTTGTCTCCTCACCCCTTCAGCGAGTGGTGTGCTGAGTCGGGTAGATGCGGGGGAGACAATGTACACTTGTACCTATCGTGAAGGAAAGCTGGGGATCGAGTGCACTTCAGATCGGAGATAAAACCAAGAGAGGGTGGTGCGAGATGATGATGTGCGGATAATTTGGAAGACGGGCCGAGATTTGCGAACGAGCTGGAATTGGCTGGTGCACTTACACTCCCTCCTGAGTCTCTAACTTGAATGATTGCGGTGAGCTGATGATAGGGTTGAGTGACTTCCAGTGGATGGGAACAAGAAGTTTGGTAGCGATTGTCGTTGTTGCGGGGAAGAAGATGTGATAGGAAAGGCTTTCGCGACGATGAAAACACAGGGGTATATTGGTCTAGATCACATGGACTGGCACGTGCTTGGAGACCAACCACTGACCTATGAAAAAGAGTTGGTACATTGAGATATCGAAAAGAAAGCTGGGGCTCTGTTCCTTGTTTAAGCCCTGTCAACATAGTGCGAGAATATAGTAGTTGTGGCGGGAGCAGGCATTATGACTTCCTGCCACGGCGCCGTTCTGTACAACTGTTGGCTCTTGAAGAAGCGAGGAGCGGGGTCGCCAACCACGCGCGGGATGTTCTCTCAAGTAAATTTCTTCTGTAAAGTGCTTTTGTGGAGCTGGTGCCATTACTGTCCGTTCAGATGATCCCCGCCGCTATCATGTGCTGTCCAGACTCACTCCCAATATAATGTGAGGTCGAGGCCCTTGGACGAGATACCATGAGATCCAGCCTAACGCCTTCAAATGCTGAGGTTTATCGTTTTCGTAACACTGTCCTTCGTGATTCATCATAGTGTCGTAAGTGGTCATATTCTTAGTACCTGAGCTTTGCTCGTGATACCATCGAAAATACAGAGGTTATCGATTGGAATGTATTGCTTCGTAATGATCTTGATCACTTCCTGGGCTACCATACCACCAGTGAGTGCTGAGATATTGTGTAATTCGCCGCCCTTGGCACGGGCGACTTCTGCAGCGATCCGAGCCAGGCGTAGATTTGACGATGCCCCAGGGATGTTCTTGTCGATTGTGGCAAGAATCTCGTTGCCACTCAAAGAAGGCACATGAGATGTTGCCTGAAGGCATAGGTATATTGGAACAAGGGACAGCGGCATCATGTACAAGGCGGCGCTTTCGTTACTCTCCAATTCCTTTCCTGTGACAGTATTAGCATCTGGCACAAACGTTTAAACACGAGCTACATACTAGCCACGTCCGGGTTGATGGGTGTTGTCAAGTCACTTCCATGAATGAGCTTGATGAAAGCTGCGTTTTTGCAGAAGCTCTCGACTTCAGTCGCATCAACATTTTTCCCACGTGGGTGCGCTCGAACAGTCTCGAGGACTTCAGCAACATCTTGTCGAGCTTTGCTTTTATAGATGCCTTGTAATTTGACATAGACCGTGGATTGGGCCTTCATGTCAGGTACTGAGCCAGGCAACGGAAGTTGGTTATGTTTTTGATGGAACTGCTTGATAGCATCGGCAATGATCCAAAAGCTTGAGGTAGATTCTAGCTATATTCAGTCAGATGGGAATAGTAAGCCGTATTATGTATCACGTACCTCGTTTGGTTTATGGTCGAACACTTCCCTGACAGCACTTGACAGTGTTGGGGCAGAAACAGTCTTTAGAACTGCTGCAACTGCCTCTTCGAAGTTTTCCTCGCCTCCTTCAGGGTTATCAGTCCGAGTAGCATCTGCTACGAGCTTTCTAAATGCAGTTTTGTCTTTGTATGTTGACGGAAGCGATCCATGATCCTCCTTCCATCTGGCCAGGAAGTGCAAAATCAATGCAATCCATGGTATATGGCCATGCTCATGAGCACTTTGGCTATCAATATCTTTCGTCAGATCCGCAGCGAAATTCGAAAGCTCATCCCAAGGTGTGAGAAGTCTCAGATCAGTAGTGGCGGTTGAGTCTGGGTGCGTATCGACAATTGGAAAGCTACCAGGCAAAAAAGTTCGAAAGTACGAATAAAATCCCGCAGAATGGATGGAAATTAAAGGTACTTTGTGCTCCAAGGCATACGACTGGGCAGCTTCGAGGGCTTCAGGTTCAATGGGATTCGTGTATAGGATTATGGTGTACTTGGTATGGGGGTCAAATGGCCAGTCGCCCTGAATACAATAGTTAGTTCTCAAAGGTAGTTATACTGAGATCCAAAGGGTGTCTGCCTTCTTTGGCTGAAACCAGTCTCCTTTAACATCTGGATTGAGCTCCTGGAGGAGCTTGACACAGCTCTTTGCCCTCGACATTCCTAAGCTCCCTTCATCGAGGAAGAAGTTGACTCCGAGATCAGCATCTCCAACATTGGCAAGGTCTGCAATTGTGAACTTTCCGATACCTTGCAGATCGATAAGCCAAAATGTATAACCAGCTAGCTTGAAGGCTCACCTGGAAGGACCAGATTCTTCAATGTCTCGACACCAACTGCACCTGCACCGAAATTAAGCAAGAGAAGGTGGGCATCTTCCAAAGCCTGCTGTCCACTAGCTGCCCATAGCCGCAACTGTCTGTCGTATTTCTTCTCCTTGTCTGAAGGCCCAAGGAGGATTGGAGGGGCCTGGTCCGTAATCACTTCAGTCATGTTGTGGTGTATATCGGGAACAGGCCCTACTCGTTGGTAGAGATGAAGGGGTGAAGATTTGTTGTTATGTCGTGGTCCTACAAGAAAGACCCTATGCAAAAACTTCCTTAAAACGAGGGTGGATTAGAGAGCTGAAGATTTGTAGGGGTTCTAGAGTCTGATAGCTTGCTCTATTTCTCGAACGCGGCGTCAGCCTAGTGAGGGAGATGTTGATATGCTTAATCTTATCTTCACGTGCTCCCAGCTCTAACCACTTCAGGTTAATGAAGAACCTCATTCTGCTGATTCACCGTGCGCCAAGAATCAACCCCTCAGCCAAATAGCTTGCAGATTTCCCTTGGGCACAAACCCCCACCAAGCTGTCACTAGTACATCTCCCCTCCTCGTTCTCTTCGTAACTTAATGGACACTTCCCTCCGTCGAATCTTACTACGAGGAAGACCACGCCCTAAACATCATACAACCACGACCACAACTTTCTGGCCAACCTTCCAATTTTCAAGTCCCGCCCAGTCTTTGGCACGCCATTATTCCGCAACAAGGCTCAACGTTATCTGCCCCAATTACTCATTTGCAGCCCTCCTGCGCCTTCGACAGAGTCCGAAGTCTCCGCGGACCTCATACCTCTCTAGTTATCAGAAATCGAGCGAAGGTCTGTTATTCAATAAAGTCAACTCGTCGCTGATCAGTGTCGGTCGAATCAATCATACAATGGCAGCGTCTGGGCCTGTTCCGGAGAATGCTACACCTGCAGCCCAAGAAGTAAAACCCCTCACTGGAGTCGAAGCTTCGAAGCGTCTAGCGGCATACAGAGCAGTCGAGGATCATTTCGACCCGTCATATAGTTACATTGGAATCGGATCTGGTAGTACAGTGGTCTATGTTGTTGAAGCAATTGCTGCCAAAGGACGAGATGTTACCTCCCGAATGACCTTTGTACCAACTGGCGAGCAGAGCAAGCAATTGATCATCGAGGCAGGTCTTCCATTGGGAAGTATAGACGCGCTACCCCCTGTTGAAGTGGAAGAGACTGAGATGGGCCGGGTTTCAGCACTGCACGTCGCTACGGGACTTCAAGATTTAGGTCTGAGAGGGAAACGCCAAAGCATCGATGTGGCATTCGATGGAGCAGACGAGATCGACGAAGAGCTTAATTGTATAAAAGGAGGTGGAGCTTGTCTGTTCCAGGAAAAGCTGGTTGCAACAGCCGCAAAGAAGTTCATCTGCGTGGCTGGTTAGTTGGATTTCCCGTGTGATCCGTCCATGAGTCTAATAACGATCGCAGATTACCGAAAGCTTTCACCTCGACTACTCACTGCTTGGAAAGCAATTCCAATAGAAATCTCTCCGATGGCTGCACCGACAATAAAGAGAATTCTCATTACTCTTGGCTCTCCAGATCCCAGAATACGACAAGGAGGTAGTGCAAAGGCTGGCCCTGTCGTAACAGACAACGGAATGTGGATTATGGATGCTCCATTTCCCAAATTGCTCCTTCACTCTGATCTGCAGCCGCATGATCATGGCGATGGTGAACATGGCACGTGGGAGGTCCACAACCTCGGGCGCAGATTGAAGAGAATAGTGGGTGTCTTGGAGGTCGGATTGTTCCACGGCAGAAATGGAATTCAAGTTGCCAGTGCCGGTGAGGAAGGTGGTGGACAGAAGCCCATTGCTGCATATTTCGGAATGGAAGATGGGTCAGTCGAAGTCAGGGAAGCGAAGGAAGTTCATGCTGTGAAGTCACGGCCATGATCCAACTTCCAAACTTGGAGAAGAGATGGAAAGTACGGAGGTGGTGTTGATTTGCTACTATGCCAACCCTCACATTTTGAGCTTGAGGAATGATAGAAGAGATATGAAGCATGGCATTATGTTTCCTTTCCTTCCTTCCCTGGGTCTGCTTCCCTCGGAACAGCAGTACTCGCAATCACCACCCTTGACTGAGTTTGATGAGATCTAGTCAAACTTCCAACTCAGACCGCCTTCTGAGCCACCACTCCATATTCTTCGCATTACGTCTGTCTCCCACCCAGCTTCTCCTCACTTTTCTTGATCTCCTGTTCTACCCTTGCGACGCGCACTCGAATTGCATCTTCTGGTGCTTGGCCGATCGCTGTCCTTTCGTGTGACTCGATCTGGTCAAGGTAGCGTTCGGTGGGTGAGTATAATGGAAGATTTTGCACATCTGGCGATTTTGTTTCTGTATTTGTTTGACGAGCTCGGCTATCAAGTTGGTCAGCGGTAAGCCCAGTGACCATATCTACCAGGCATAAGTACCCCGATTCCGACCCGATTTTGGCTCTGTCGGACATTTGTACGAATTGGGATATTTTATTAACCAGCTCAAGGTACAGCCTCGAACACTGGTCGTTCATACTGGTACTTTATATGACTTCTGGTCACCGCGAACAATCATTTCATATCAAAGTGTTCCCTTACCGCTCCTTCGCACATTGCGAATCACAACCAACGCTGAAATTGCTACCATTTCGTACTTATTCCTCGCCCATTCACATACCTTGAATCGAGGGCGAGTGCGGCTCTAGCAGCTGCAACACGACGTGGAGCCAGTGCGATGAAATTGTCATCATCCAGAGGTCTAAAAGTCATCCTCAATGACCTCCAGGTATTCCAACAGCCTATTGTACCTGTGCGCTCAAAATGTCGTGCGTTTTATTCAACAGCCTCGACCAATACAATTCCTCACCGCAGGTTCGGGACTTCACCAACAAGCTAGTGCTGCCCAACGTCGTTAGGGCTTCCAATCGGACATTTTGAAAATGTTTTCACACCCATCAATTGACTTCCGCTGCAGAATATGAGGCGTCAGAAAGCATCGTGCATCTGCACAACGGTCGCCTGTTGACATGATCATCGGATTATAGGCGCAGAGACGCGGCTCCTTTTCATTCCCCATATCGCCAACACGTGTTCATCACAACATATCGATGCCCAAACGCTCGAATGAAAGCATACGTATGGTGACTCAATCATGCTGTACCTCCAAGCTAAAGCGGTGACGGGTTTTCCATCTGCTGAAGAACACAGCTATCGTGGGGAGATCGAATCTGATGTGTCTCAAATGACCATCTGCAGAGACGGTGACAGGTCAACTCACATGCAGTCGCTTATCACACTTCTGGAATGTTGTTCGAGTGATCGGGGGCGTTCTGGCTGTACTTTTCTGATGCGCTGGTTGCGACGGGTCACAACATCGATCTGATTCTTGCTGAGAGGCGCGTAGAATCGTAGATCATGAGAGTGGCTTGCTGGCGACTTCGCATCGGGATTTTAATTGCATGGACTGTCACTTCTAGTTTTCATAGGTGCTTTCGATGTGGGCTTGCTGCAGGATATTGCTTCTTCTGTATCGCCCGCCGACGGTGATCTGGAGAAGCCCTGCTCTGCTCTTCTGTAGTTTATCGTCATGCTGTCAAATTATCGTGGGATTCTCATCTTTGACGGGCGCAATTTAGGAGATTCTTTAGTATTTCAGTCATGTTAATGATTCAGAGTCACTTCATACCTACTGCTTCTCTTTGTGCTACCTACATGGCACTCCTCTTGACAATCAGGCTCGTCTGTCCTCATTCTAGATTCCCAGACTGCAAAGCATGCACATTACAATCAATGCAATTTCTTTAATTTAGTAAACGTAATGAACAGGTAGTCGAATATCTGTCAAAACAATAAGCTTGAGCTGGACCTCAAAATACGAAGCCAGTCGAATTGACCTAGAACTTAGCCTCACACAAACGAAGCAGCCCCTGGATCTTCAGCATCTCCAGCCTGGAAATATTCCTAAATTTCGCTTACAGTAGCACTCTAAACAAAGCCCATTGCCCCACCAACCTCCTCTCAAATTCCCATGTGAAGTGGAAGTAATTTCAACTTCCAACCTCCAATTCTATTTATATTATACCTCGAAACAACACGTAGGTAGACATTCTTGGTATGATGCGTTGTCCGCACTATTCCGCTTTGAGGGGTTCTACTAAGAGCTCATCAACAAAAGGGGGTGGGAGTTGGGGCACGCGTTGTTCGCACTAAAAGAAGCAACTAGTCTAATGTTCTTGGTTCGAGATCCGTACTCGGTGAGTGCTTGCTTTTGTTTTACGGCTCGAATGGCGGTGTGAAAATTTGACGTTTTTGGGTTCAGGGTGTGGAGGTTGGGGTCTGGGAAGTAGGGTCGGGGCTAGAGCGCGTGTAGGGTGAGAGGGTGGTGGGTGGTTGGTTCTGAAGTGCTCGCCATTTGGAGACGGTCGCAGATGAGAGACCTGGGGGAGTGATGATCGGAGTGACCGAAATCTACTGTATGGCTCTATCTTAGTTTGTGATGGGAGGAGAGTTCGTCTTTAAAATTCGACGAACAGGAATTCAAGGAGATAAAGTTTGTATGTGGTCGTTCGGGTGGGACAGCGAGTGTTGGGGATTTATTGCTGGAAAAAAGTGGGAAATATAGCAAAACATGAACGCTGCCTTCAGTGTTTGAAGAGATAGAGAGATATAAAGATATGAAGATGGCCCAAAAATGATATCATTGTGCTGCCCCTGTTTGAGGTACACAAATAGGAATAATGATACAATGAACACAGGATTCGCGCTTTTCCCTTTCTCCTCGCCCCTTCCATTTTTGGTGTCTGAATTTATGAGAGAAATACAAGATTGACAGTGACATAGTCCGCCTGCGGAAAGGAATAGAAAGAGCGGAGATAGGGCTTTAAATAATCTTCGACACGAAAAGCCAAAAAGGACCCGCCCAGTCAGCGTCAGAGGTCAAGAAAGTAATGCAAAAATGAGACCCATTTCACCCTCCATGAGCCCGTTAATCCATTATCAGCCCGTCATACAATCTTCTCAAACATAATGATCCCATTCTGAGTCGGTACGTGAGAATGTTTACTGCCCGCGACGTGACTCATCATCGACTGCTTCTTCATAAGCGAGACATTGCTCCTCCTCACTTGGATATCTAGAAAGTCCTAACCTGAGTCTCTCTTCTGGGGATTGCTCGGTGGTCCAACGCTCAGTGGTAGGCGATTGAGCTCCATTTGTTTGGTTGATCTGATGATCTGGGTTTTGCACCGGTGCGTGTTGGGTGTATCCGCCGTATGATCGAGTCTCATTAACAGGTGTGGTGCTTTGGTCATCATCGTCAACAATGAGTTCGGCGTCGTAGCGGAGAGTCTCGCGTTCGAAGGCTGGAAAGTAGTGATGTCCTAGATTGGTCTGAGCGTTGTTATGTTGTTCAACCGAGGATGGCACTTCGGGAGTCGATGTAGAGTCAGAAGTGTGAGCGTTACGTTGCCGTCGGTGGTAGCTTGCAGTGGATGGATTACTGAGTTGTCGTTCGGGCGCATTTTGAGAATCTCCAGTATGAGTAGGATGGGAGTTTGTACTGTTTTATCTTAGTCCAGACATTTAAATTCAGGGTGCCCATACCTATCCACTGCCGAACCGTTATGAACTTCCATGGATGATGAATTTGACTGGGAAGACATAGTGATTAAGGTGCGTGACCTGGGTTTGCACTTGATTGGAAAGGACTGTGTTCAGAAAAGAAAACGTGAAAAGCGAACAAGAATCTTGCGAGAAAAGAATGATTGAGAGGCAATCAAGGAACTGTTCCCGGACGAGAGCTACCTTCACTTGAGAGATGCCACCGCTTTATTTGATCTTCCCATATCCGATATGGTACGACTCTGCCAGCGAATATCTCCCTGAAACGCATACCAATTTTTTGGTTGACGAGGCAAACAAAGCTAAGTAAGATTGAGAAGACCCAGAAAGCTTCAAGCTACTTTAAATGGCAAGGTTGAAATGCGCGCAACGTTTGCGCCCAAAAAAACATCTCACACCGCTAGCAAGGGCACAACCGCAACGGCCTAGCCTTACGCATTCCTGGCCGTATTCCTACGACTGGTAGACCAGTATGGAGTTTTAGCAAGCGCAGAGTTGACCATGGCATGGTAGGGAACCCGTGCTTGTAGTGCAGAAAAGCGGCCTTGCGTCACTCTTGATATTGACCTGACACTGTGGTATTCCCCGATGCAATGATCACGGTCTCGGTATCAAGAAAGGGTGTTCATCTCATAATGACCAAACGCAGTTTGCTGCTCCGCACATTGAATGCCTCCGAAAATTGATGCTCAAGAAGGGAGAAGAGAACGAGCACTGCATCACTAGCTCGCTCGTTTTGGGGGTTTTGAGCAAGCCATTGTCCGAACAAATGACCGCTGCCAACGCTGCCGTGTTTCAGGATGAGAGAGGTGACACAGAACAAGGACCGTCGGTGTTGTGACGAATAGTACAGCAGATAGAAGTCGAACACTGCAAGAGCAGCCCACAGTAACGTGGAGTCAGATCCAAACATCGTGAGGGTCGGTTTGGAGAGCTCCACACAGCTCAGATTCAGATTACAGCTTCTGCTTGTGACATCTGTCTCTGACAATCAAGTAAGAATAGGTATCATAGAGAAGTTGAAGAACAGGTCGTTGACGTTACAAGAAGCTCGTCGCTTGAACTCCCTAGTCTCTCGCACAGACCTTGTTTTGTCAGAACAATGGAAGTTCATCGTCGTGCCCCGCGCCTCTCTTCCCTCTCCTACTACAGTAACCTTAGCTCGTCGGCGGCGGGCTTCCACGACCTATTTTCATCACCGTTTCTATCATCGTCGCCTTCATCTCCCATTGTTCTCCTTTATGGGCCTGGGTAGAGTAGTAGTAGACTAGTCTGCCTGTTCCTGCGCCGCAAGCAACCGCGGATGAGCGAGTCACCAAGAATAGCACTTCAAGAAACGCCGGTGCATCGAGTTTTCGACATTAATATCTCCATGTTGTGCATGCGCGCAGGAGAGTGTGATCGCCGACAATTCTTTGCGTCAGTAAGTGAAAGCCTCTTGCGTCTTGTGTACCCTGGAGCAGTCACTGCACATCGGGACGCAGGTGTGCAAGCCACCCTCGGTCAAAACCCACGAGGCTGGGAGACTGATACTGAGAAGCCTACAGGCATCCAATTTCCTGTTCCAGAGGCTCGAGAATTTTGATGGGATCCCAACAAGTTTCGACGCTGCGTCTTCGGGCAACAGCTGTCAGGCAGCCGGCGATCGCAGCGATGAAGGCGCCAATTCAGATGCAAGTTAAGCCTCTGAGTGTCAGATCAAAAACGAATGGGCGGTTCAGAAGGCCAGCCGGAATTTACCTGCAGTAGTGCTTTCTTGATGCTGCTACGTGCCCAGAATACGAAGATGGTCCTCTGTCGCACGTCCATATGAAGCAACAATACTGAAGTGTGCGGGCTGCATTAGGATGCTGAAAATGCGACATGTCAAAAACGGTCCGAGTTTGTCTGCATACAGACTGGATGGGCGGCCGACCATGTCGAAGTACGAAAGTCTTTACTTGAAACGACACTCACTTTCCATGCAGATCACAGATCCCCTCCTGATGCCCTGATATTCTCGTTGGCCTTGACTTGCAGTGCCAGGCGGCGCTGCAATTATTGGCAACCTCTGTGTTGGCAGCACCACTGAGATCGTAGGCAAACATCTTTGAGATTACGCCGTCATCGTAGGAGTTAAGCTGAGACCAGCTTTTGAGCTCGCACTGTATTCTTCCGTGCTCGTACTCACGACTTGTTTGTCCCGTTCTCTTTGGATTTCGAAGCTACAACGCTTTCGATTTTCTGCTGCTTGCTATCTCGCGTTCTCTCGCCGCAAATTGGAGGGCAGAACAAGGCACAATGTACAGTCTTGTATCCTGGGTCTCCGCACTTGCGAGACATTAATTATTGTCTACATTTTATTCATCACATGGTCTCCACGCGCGTTGACTCGTGGAAGCCATGGCTGTGGCGGCAGCCTCTGCAGAGTGCGTTCAAGCTCTGTAGGACGGGCGAGCAGCATTAGTCCTGCCTTTTGTCAAAAGACCGCGTGGGCTGAGAATGACCCAGATAAATTCCGATGTGACCGCCTGAGGAGTCCTTCCCAGCGTGGCTTTGTTTCTTTTGGCTCGTTTTTTCACCCCTTAGAACGGAACAAGCGTTGCCCGTCAATTTGGAGCTACGGCTGAGTAATTTCGCCGAGTTCAGATGCAGTGCAGGCGAGACATGCATGTCTGCAGCCCATTCCAGAAGCCGTTGCTAATTGATGGCTGCAAATCAAGTATTTGTTTGTTCAAGTGACAGGCACGGACGTCTGTTAGCATTGTCAGCTCCGAGCTTTTGAAGCAAATCACTTCGAATAGCTGCAAATCGAAAAGTCCAGAATGTTTCACCGATTATGTACGGGAGCAGATCTTGTCTTCAGTTGCCTTGTGTCAGGTAACTATTTCCCGTCATACCTGTGCATGTAATTTTGCGAATTGTCCTTCCAAATGAGGGGAAGGATGAGCAATGGCGAATTGGTACATCTCCCCGTTAGGCCAACCAGAACGTTGAGACATTCTTATGGATATCAATAAGATAAAACAGTTCATCTCTTGACATTGAGTTGTAAAAGAGATGTGTCGTCGGGTTCCTACACATAATTGAACAGATGAACACCCCTGCGAAGCATGATCCCGGAAGACACCCCCCACATCTCCAGAAGCTCGGTGAGAGATCTGGTCATCTGCTCCATCCTGGGGAGAATCCTCGTCACTTACTCCCACATATCCGCAGCTTGGCGACAATCATAGCTGGAAAAGTATTCCTCCTCGAGCTTAGACATGTAACACACAGATCTGTGGTACAATGAACTGTGCCGTGTAATGAATATCACGTTGCATGTGGATGGATGGCTAGAGCGGATGTGACAGAAATTCGTTCCCCTCTAACTGCTTTTTCCACCGTTTCTCCAAGATATAAATTGCCCGAAACACAGGGCTGTTCCTAGCTTACTTTCCGATCAACTCAACCCTGTAACTTTTGTTTTTCCCGTTTTCCAATGCAGCTTAAAACGTTAGGCTGACGGCGTAATCATCGCTGCAGCCCAACCTTCAATCCCTCTGACACCAAGCCCCCACGCCTGCTAGTTCTGGGAGGACCTTAGTCAAATTCCTCCTCAGGGCTTTGATGTCTTTGCTCGGGGGAAGCGTGGGGCAGTTGCATGCTAGCATCTCGTGTCTTTGAGGATCTTTGAGGTATCGGCTGAGCATGATTTGTCTTCCTCGTCGTTTGCGAGCTCTGAATCCTGGGGTGCTGGGGGTTCTGTATTGACTAAGCAGCTGCCACATCGCTTCAAAGGCTGAAGTGAAATAGACCTACCCATCAATAGATTCGGGCACAACTTGCAAAGGGTTTCTTAAGTCGATTGTCATATTCTCGGTTTTTGTCGTTGTGATGCTCAGATGATGTTCTTCTTAAGCGTGTGTGCTGAGAACTGCGTGGATGGAGGATGCAACCAAGGGTAAAGATAGAGGCAGACAAAAACGCTTTGCATTCTTTTCGGATTGTTCGCTGTGAGAAGGAGGTGGGCCAATGGTGTTGGAACTTGAAATGGGATGGTTGAGCAGCAATGAAGAGAACAAACACTTGCGAAGGACGAGACTTATACCTCACGATACTAGACCGGCAACCACGCGTATGTACCTCTACTCCTACTAGATAACAGAGGAGAGCTGACAAGGAAGAAATTTTCACTTGCTTCGGATGCCTCACTGTGCTCATGGGAAATTACTTGGAACATGAGGGAAAGTGATTGATCGTATGCCCCCTGGTCGAGACTGCCCTGCAGGAACAGCGCCAGCGACTGGGTTATGGATTTTTCTTTCTGTCATTGGATGCCACGACGATGGAGAATCTGCAATCATGTTCGGCCTACGGTAGACATCCGTGTGGCAGGATCACACCGTCGAGTACAAGTACCGAACCGGGACAGTATTGCCAGTTTATCAAGGTAGGGCCTATGATAACCAAGACGGGTTGTGTGCATGCGCCACAATATATCTGGAAACTTAATTCTGCTTTATCACGGTAGATTAGGAAGGTGTATTCACGAAAGAATCCTAATTCTTCTTGGTGGCGCTACCAGCAGTCGTCAGCACTACGTCCCGTACCTATCAGAATCCTCGAAATTTCCCAAAACCAACAACAATGGAACCACATCCACACACATTTTACGACTCCCAAGGCTTGGCAAGGGGTGCTGAATGGGTGAGGCTGGTGCGCTGGTGGGCTGCGACCAATATGAGGTTCCGGATGATGAAGAAAATTCGCTCACTATTCTGTCATATTTGGAGCTGCACGTTTTGACGCTCTGCAATGCGGTTGTTGCAGACAATCCTTGGAGAAGAAACCATGGCCATCAATGGCTGCACAAGTAAGCTAGCTTTTGAGTTCAAATACACCATTCTGTTCTGGTTTGAAACGATGGACATCGATTGTAAGGCGGCTGAGCCAGATTACCAGAATCAACCTTGGGAGGTGGTGCTCTTCCATCCCGCGCCTTTCCATTCCCCACGCCATCCAGCGCCCGCATGTCCACTCCCCTCACACCGACGTCCAGAACAGAAATGAAATACTGCATCCCCAAGGAGTATGCAGATCACACCAGAATTCCAGCCAGGTTTCTCCTCTCGCCGGCAAGATAATGCAACCCTCATCCTTTCCCAACTCCATGGCTGTCAGAGTTTTCACCCGGGGGGTGATGTTTATTGGGCACCACTGAACCCCCACTGCATATTCCATCCACTAGCTTCTCCAGCGCCCAAGACTGGGAGGTTTGAACGGCATTCAAGTTCAGTCCCGGGCGACACATTGCACTTCCCCCCACCAGGGTCGCCGGATGCTCTTCCCCGACACCGATTGCCTTTCCGCCCCCATGGGGGTAGACAGATGACAGCGGTGAGACATGGATCATGCCGCCCTAATAGCTTAGACACCAGGTACGAACGGGGTACCTGCACGACATTGTCCTCCAAACACTCAGGGACGATCGCCGTAGCTGGCTTGAAGGCAGCAGAAGGGTTGGCATCCAGAACTGATATCCCTGCTGACAACGTGGGAGACGGGATCAGTGTCTCGAAACAAGAACAGGGCAAAGTGGGTAGCGCGCTTCTATCGCTGCTTTTTTCACTTTCGCTTTGTGTCAGTGGATGGTAACTGAAGTGACTCACCTCACAGACTTGCCAGATCAATGGTTTGAGCCCGAAGCAATCTCGTAACGGATGCCTAGTCTTGCGAGCTGAGATGATGTTTGGGAATGAAAGTTGACCTGGCGAAAGGGGGTTTATCCCTGGACTTGTGGATGAGTGCTGGGATTACTTATTCGCTGCTTTCTGTTTCGATGCTCAAATGTTTGAGATCGGCAATGATCGTCACTGTTTTCCTGTCATTGCTGTTTACTTCGGCGTGCCGTGCGCTCCTAGTTGCTCTGCTTTAATCCTTGTGAATGAGACAATGTCGTATTGTGGACAATCTACCTACTAAAAAGGAGAACGGACGTTCTCTGTCACTGTGTGTTGGTCGTGAGATATTATTCAATCGTCGAGATATAGTATCGTAGATTGGTAGAGTGTTCCTTCCTGAAAGCGGCAACTTTACCTCTGTGAGCGAGCACACAACAGTGGGAAATAACCACCTTTCTCCTTCACTCAAGGTTATCATGAGAACGGTTCATGGCCACCTGTCATGAATCGCACGGACGTCTGGGGATGTTATTGCAAAGGATGCTTTGAGCTGGGCAGTTTTCCATCACAGAGGAGACAACTAAGCGAGTGAAAACAACGGCCGTAAAAACAACAGGCAACGGTCACTTGAACGGAGATAATTTAGTGTCTGGAAAGCATGAATCATCGGAGGTGTCACCAGCTTCATCTCATCTCAAGTTCGATCGGCCAATCCAGCGAGATGTAGCCAAGCCTGCCTACAATGCCGCATCAGCTCAGCTCTCCAAGCTCAGCCCCACCAACGCCGGGTGTTTCATTTCCGTCCCTTTCTCAGAACATCGTCCTACCCACTAACTTCATTGTTACGAACGGTCACAGAGGCGGAATAGCCAGAAGAATCCTCAACACTTCATACGTCTTACACATCACCATCTGATCGAACGTAGCGGCCATTACCATGCGTCTCCTCAACACCACAACCCTCGCCCTCCACACCTTTTTCGACAAGGCTGTACCAGATTATGCAATTTTATCTCATAGATGGGAGGAGGAGGAAGTCACGTTTCAAGACCTTCAAAGTGACCGAGGATCAAGCATGCCAGGATTTGCCAAGATCGTGGGCTGCTGCGCGCAGGCAAAGTCTGAAGGCTGGGAGTATGTCTGGGTCGACTCCTGTTGTATCGACAAGAGCAGCAGTGCCGAACTTTCGGAGGCAATCAACTCAATGTTCAAATGGTATGAAAACGCGAGAGTATGCTATGCATATCTGTCAGATGTCAATGGCCTGGAAAATATACTGAAGCAGCTTGAAGATAGCGCTTGGTTCACACGAGGCTGGACATTGCAAGAATTGCTCGCCCCTGAAACTGTAGTGTTTTTCGACCGAAACTGGGTGGAAATCGGAACTAGGAGCAGCTTGGAAGATGTGATCTCCCAGATCACTAAGATTCGTGCCATCTCCGCTTGGCAAGAATGTTGTGTCGCAGAGAAAATGTCATGGGCGTCTCGTAGAGAGACAACAAGAGTAGAGGATGAGGCATATTGCCTGATGGGACTATTTGATGTCAACATGCCTTTGTTATACGGTGAAGGCAGAAAAGCCTTCCAAAGGCTACAGCTAGAGATTTTGAAGTCGACCGACGATGATTCGATTTTCTGTTGGTGCGACCGTAAGGGTAGCGGAGATCTGCTTGCTCCTAGGTTGGAAGCATTCAAGTCGTCTTCTGAAATACGGCATTGCTATAAGGACGATTCTTCCTTGAGCTCATTGTCTCTCAGTTCATCAGATCTCTCCAAGAGAGCCCTTGATCAGGCTAAGGCTACCCGGAATTATTTTCGAACAAAGCCGTACCCTACGACGCTGTCAAACAAGGGCTTGCACATATCGCTCTTCCTCGTCCCTGTTGACCTGTTGGACATCGAAGCACACAGATTCAAGTCAGGCATCGTATTCGCTGCGATTTTTCAAGGCTTAAGGTCTGGGGTTCAACATCGAAGCCCTGCCGTACTTCTTAGAAGGACTATCCACGAGGACAGAAACAACGATATTCAAAACTGGACATGTTCCCGAATCTCGAGTGACCAATTATTCACTTTTGACATATATGAAGTAAGATCTAAATGCGAAGCCTGGATCGAAAAGCTTCGGCCTCCAATAGTCTCTAAATTCTTACCAGCCAGCGAATCTGACGACCGGTATCCGAAATCCAGAATAATCTATGTGAAAGGATCTTCGCGAAATTCCACAATGTGCAACTCCGCATACGACGCGCGGTACGATATCCTGATTGATACACGATTACTCCAAGCAAGATCTTTCGAAATTTCACGACCAGTGCCATTCATTGAACGAGAAGATCAGATATCTTCAAATATGCTGGCTTGGAACGAGCAAAGTAGCTCATTTCAACTAACCTTCCGTGCATGGACTCATCGTGGGCCTCATTATTTCCATTCTTACTTCACAAACCACAAAACAAAAGAGACTCTCTTGTATATTGTGTTTGTAGATCCCGGTCGGGTGTCTCTTGCTCTGCTTAAGCTCGACACTGTCCAAGAATTCAAGAACCTTACAATTCCTAGTTTGTTGGATGAAAGAACTACGAAAGTGGGTCATCAAGCCTTCGGGGTTGACCGCGTCTCTGTTTGGCTGAACGACAGATCGACAGTGTTCGCATCTATCCAGCGCACTAGCGCAGTGCAGGGTATCAGGAAATATGCTGCAAACTTCGTTGTGGAAGACTATGGGCCTACTCTCTGGTTGCCACCCTCGAGATATTCGTCACTGATATCTTATTTGGCTCAGAGAATAGCAGATAGAGATAAGGACACTGAAGCCCTTCAAAAGTACTCGAGAGCTCAGAGGCAAGGTCTGAAATATTAATGTCACCGTTGATCTGTGGATAGAAAGGGCTGTCGGATGGACAAAGTTTGTAACTTACCATATTCAAAGTGGATGTAGGTTGGTAGACATGACTCACCTTGTTGCTATGCTTCGAAATTGACTGTGTGTGCGTCTCAGCAAATCGATGCTGGTGACGACAGGTATCTGATTAAGAATGAATGCCTCCAGTCACATTCATGCGCAAGTATACACTCGTCACATAACTGAATCTTGAATGAAGATTATCGCCGTATCCGTCCAGCAACCTGCAAACAAAGAGAATTACCCTCACCGAAACAACCTTACCTCAGACTCCCAACATCACATGACTCTATCCTACCTCGTCAGCCACCCCAGAACACTTTGATCAGATAAATCAAAAAAGGATCAATCTTATCAATCATCATTTCACCCACCCCACAGACTCAGCAGATCATCCCGAAACTTCCGTCTGTCAGCACGATGCTGCGCAATAATCTGGGGTGCCGTGCCGAAATCGAGCAACAACATATCAGAGCTTGGCAGTGACATCCTCGCTTACACCCTCCCGCGCCCCGGTGTCAACAAAAGTTAATTTGAACGTCGTCTGTACGCGGAGGGTGTAAGGTTGTATATGGTTATAGAATAAAGCATAGCTGAGATGAGAGAAGACATGGCTGCTTTGGAGAGATTTTGGTTGACAAGAAGGAGGGAGAGGTGCCTGTTTCCTGGTCTGGCTAGGCGGGGAAATGGTGTGTGATTGCGAGTCAGTGGACAGTGGCGTGGTTCAAAAAGACCCAATAGAATGGACTTTTCAAAGGTATTGAGTTTATTTTAATTCTGCTCTTTTGCGCTGCCAAATGCTACTTGACGAAATATCTAGCTACGCATGTGGCTTTCCCACATTTCCCACTTCCTTGCATGCCCAGACTCGCCATCCTTGGGACCTGGGACCTGGGACCTTTTTACGTACGTCACGGGTTTGGAGCAAGCCAAATTTCCAAAATTAGTCGACGGCTACTTGGAATTAAAGTTGGCGAGGATTTCAGGTTTACAGCGTTCGTGAATCATGACTAATTATCTGTGGTGGGTTATTTGTCCCGATGGCGGTGTGTTGAAAGTCTGGGTGGATTCTGGGGGTGGGAGTGGAGGGACCTGGGCCAGGAAAATGGGAAATGAGAAGTATCCATGTCCTTGCAAGTGTACAAAAAGTCAGGACAAGACCGAGTCAAGCTTTTCCCGGCATAGCAAGGGAAAGGAAGTATATTCTCTGAACAGAAGCTTGATCGAATCACCTAGGAAATGAAGCGGTAGATTGAAGGAGTTTTTAAGTCTAGATATACAGTCTTACCATTCCTCGCTGAGATAATTAATGCCAGGAGAAGTCCATTAAGGATTACAGAATGAAAAAAGTGGTATATGCCTCCCATCCAAATTTGCTTGCCCATTTGCTCCCCGCGCTTGCACAAATCAACAAATACTCATCGCATCCATCTCCCTCTACGACGGACTCGGCGACCTCTCATCTAACAACAGCGGTGCTGCCTCTGTGTCATAATCCTCGTCTGTTGTAGGCACATCGCGATAGCCGCTCTTCGCACGACTCATGATATGGAGGTGGGAAAGCTTGCGCGGGAAGTGGATGCGCAGACGTGTGAGCGTGAGGGACGCGGGCAGGCGGCGCCGGTGGACTAGGAATGCTGCTGTTGTGCCGGAGAGAATGGCGGAGAGGACCATTATGGTTACGATGGACCAGAAGGAGAGCTGTTAGATGTCAGAGTAATTCTTGAAATTTGGGAGGAGGAAGATGTGGGACTAGAGACATACTGATGATTTCGTTGGCGCTTTCACGACGACCGAAGAAGCCAAGACGGCATCGTTCGCGCCGAGCGCGACAACTCTCACATACTTATGCTTCTTATCAAGCTTGATCTCGGTCTCAAAGCCTTCACGCTTCACTTCCCTGATGGTCACGAACTCATCCTCGTCCTCTGCTTCCATCTCTGCTGCAGTTTGTAATCTCCAGCCCGCAACTTCTGTCGCTCCGTTCCAGCTCACATACGCCTTCCCATCCTCAACCACCACATCCGGTACTGTGTTTGGCTTTCCCACCCAAGGATGCTTGAACACTCGATACGATTTCACGAAGCCGAAATCGACGAGCTCGAATAAAAGATGTGGCGCAAAGTGCGCGGCACAGAGGACTTCTCCGTCGAATCCGTACTCGACGTATGTAGGCGAGTTGCCGAAACCGACGAGCACATTACCACTTTCCGGGATGATTTGAACGGAGCCTTGAGAGACGTTGAGAATTTTGTCTGGGTGTACGTATTTGTGTACGAGTGTGGCAGTCATCTTTTCCATGTCGAGGTGGATGATCATGCCTTTGCTGTGTTTGGATGGTGCATGAAGAACGGTGTTGGCATGATTGTCAAACAAGGAGAGCGTGTTGTTGCCTTGCCATGTGACATGATGTTGCCATGCAAAATTAAGTGCATGGTCGAGATCCTTGAAGTTGTTGTTCTTGCCGCCGAGCTGCCAGAGAACTTCTCCTGTTTTGCCACTCACGCATATCACGGCGAGCATGTACCGCGCTGAGACAATGTAGTCTCCAGACTCGGTCTTGTCGATACTGTTGATGTGGAAAAAGTCGAATGCATCGGCTTTGTTCTTCCCATGCCCGTCTTTCATGGAAGGACTGCTGTACACATCTTTCATGCTGATGTGGTCTGTGGCTCGCCACTCGAAGAGTAACTCGTTGGTCTCGATGTCGATTTCTTGGAACCATCCATCTTGGATCCAGCACTTCTTACCGAGACCGAGCTCAGTACAATCCGCTTCATGCTTCTTGTAGATAGCTATGAGCGCAGTACCTTCAGGTGTGATTCGAAACTCATGAGAGTCCCCTTTGAGGCCGTGACCATGTGGCGTTATTTTGTAGGCGACTTCGTACGCCGAGTTGAGCTTAAAAAGTCAATTATTGGGCTCATGCATTAAATGGAGCGGAGCGTACCATCACAAAAGATTTCTTCGATTTCTTGACTTTACCATTCTTCTTAACCTTCTTCTTAGTTTTGGTCCAAAATGTCAAGTAATCCTCTCCTTTGTATTTCTGTACGTTAAAGTTCATGGCTTGTTCCCATTTTGTGTTGTCCATCCAGATCATCTCCCCATTTGAATCTAGTATCACTGGACCTCTTGCTGCCCCAGTCACTAAGGGCCCTCTTGGCGTTATGAATAAGTTTCCTTTGTCGCATCGTGGATCACTTTTCGTTACTTTTGGGGCTGGCGGTTGGAAGTTGACTGATCTGAAATGCTGTGTCGGATACATGCCATGGAATCCCAGGTCCCAGGCATTGAATGAGAATGCCCATGTCACGGGGAGAGCTGCAGCCAATAGTTGTATCGACCTCATAATTGATCTTGAGGCAGGAGGAGAAAGTTCAAATGAAAATTCAAAATGAATGAAGAACAAAAGTGAAAGAAAATGACAAGTTAAAACAACACACACACCGCCTGAAACAAAGGCCGAAATGAATAATAACGTGAGATGCGTTGTGCTGTGCCGGATCACTCGGAGGATGCTTCAGTAAGCCTTGCTTTGAGCCCTGGGCCGGACCTGACCCTCACACACCTCTAGGATGCTGGCATTTGGAAAAGGAACCGCGGTAGTGCGGATCAACTGTGATGCGCAGGAGCAGATGGACGAATCGATGCAGCGCAAATGTGTCACAATCCCCGAATCTCACATAAAGCTGGAGCCATTAAGGAGGCCTATATAGAGTTGACCTTGCTCGTGTGCCCAGCCCTTTAGGCAGTGATCCTAAGGTCTTGTGGATGTGGCTGGGTGACGCTGTTGACAATTAGTCGGCACGACTCGGTGGCTGAAGACGCTGCTCTTTGCTCAAACAGGATTCTGAGGGAACTTGAACCTGTAACTTAAATCTATCAAGGATGTAAACTGGCGTCTCGGCGGAGGAAGGTTGTGCTGCCATGGTCATGTGTGGAGGGAAACCTGGAAGCGAAGGCTTGGTCTTGTCGTTGTGCTGGCAATAAAAATTGGGAAACTTTTAAAATTAGAGGGTGAGCCACGGTTCGTCTGGACGTCTTGACAAGGTTGTACACTATGAGCGGCGGGATCTCACCTTATCTGTATATCACGCACGGCATCTGATTAGAGCGCGAACCGAGATACTAAGACCGACAAGGACCGAAGGACTTTACAAATAATCCGCAGCGGAGCATCACCCGGAATCCGGCAATACATCAATACATTGGCATTGGCGTGTTTGGACTTAATGTAAGCACACCGAACAGAGCTCCTGACTTCTAACCTCTCATCACTTCGACACCAGCAACACCTGATCTCAATAGATCCATCAGATTAGATAACTGTTGAGTCTGATATGTGAAAACTTAATAGTTGGAAATATGGCATTGTCTTTCGTACAACGGCTCACTGCAAGGTTACGTGAGACATATACATGATCAAAGTGGACAGACACAGTAAGCTTTTAACCCTGCCAGCCATGCAGAAACGGATCCGGATCATGAGCAATGCCGGGATAGAAACGCTTGGCAGAACACTGCGGATTCAAAAAACCCACCGAATAGCAATCCACGCAACCTCATAGGCGAATACGTGCCGCCCCGAGGTCAGGCACAGCTTTGGAATCTCAGTCACAGGCCGTTACAATCAACCAATACAGGCCTAGCTTGCTAGGATTTCACCCCTTGTTATTCAAAAGTGCTGAAAGGTTCCTGGATCGCAAATGTCGATGCCATACGGATCCCCATCCTTCACAGACCTGCGTCAAATCAGACTTCTGAAGGCGTCTCTTGATCGAATCAAAGCGACAGAATCAACTGTGATTTTCTCATTGTCATTCTAGACGATCTACTATGCAATTATATCGCCATATCGTGCTTTTAGAGGTCCTCGGAGTAGCCAAACCAGGTGTGCCGTCCAAAAGTCCGGTCTGCGATGTGGCCGAGCCAAGGATGTCTGTCACAGGCTGCATAGTCGATGAGATTAAAGAAATGTCTCCAATATTACCCACAAGAGCATCCCAGGCAAGATTAGAAGCACAAAGTCACCGTAGACCAGTACTTTTCGCATGGTTGAATAGGACTAGGGCTTTGTAGAGCCCAGAAGCTTTACACCCAGGATTGCCGTACTACCCAGATGTTGTGTGGAGATGCTACTCGCGGGCATGAATATCTGTGGACATCCAGCGCTACCAAATTTTCAAATGATCTTTGAGCATTTCATGGTTCACGTGGATCCGGATCAGGCTCAACCTTTCGGCGCCGAAGTTCTTCACTCGATTCAAAACTTCACCATAGCAGTATTGAACCTTGTACCCCCACGAAGTATTTTTGCTACTCCGTCAGATTATCTGGGACTTGGACCGTTATGAATTAAGGTAGGAGATAGAATCTGCATATATCTGGGCTCGACGACACCATTCGTTGTGCGACGTAGAGATGGGCGCTGATATCTTTTGGTCGGAGAATGCTACATATATGGACTCATGGATGGAGAAACGCGTGTTAAAGGCTTCTAGGAGGACAAAGTCCTCTATTAGAGCTAATAGATAGATGAACCGGACTATTTTGCTGGCACTTAGCAGACATTTAATGATAACGACTCACAAGAACCACGACAGGAAAGCAAAATACAATGAGACAAACGGTGACTGAGTAACCATTACCTCACTTACAACTTCGAAGGCACCCATTTCGGCTCCCTCCTCTCTTTAAAAGCTTTCAATCCCTCCTTCAAATTATCCCCACTCATCAGTCTCTCCGCATAAGTCTCCGCCGTCTTCCTCACCGCATCCTCCACACTTCCCCCTTCCCACCCTTCCCTGACTCCACTCCGACTAACAAGCACACTATCTGGGCTCATACTCGCCACCAACCCCGCCAACTTAACAGCCTCCTCAACCAACTTCTCACTTTCCACAATCTTCCCCACAAACCCCCACCCCATCGCCTCCTCCGCACTCAACACATACCCTGTCAGAGCAAGTAACATCGCTCTCTGCAGCCCAAAGTTCCTCACGATACGCGGGAATGCACCTTCAAAAGCTGCGGTACCGCGGAGGACGTCTGGGAGGCGGAAATCCGCGTTCGGTGAAGCGAGAACGAGGTCAGAGTTCAGTGCTATTTCGAAGCCACCGCCGTGGGCGTGGCCGTTCACAGCAGCGATGATGGGCTTCTTGCCGGTGCGACGCGTGAGTCCAGCGAAGCCTGAAGAGGGGTAGAATTTGTTCCAGGCGCCGATGTCTGTAGTCGCGGAGGCGGTTTCTCGTTCTGGTTGCTTGATTAGTTCATTGATTTTACTCGTTCGTGGAGTTTGGAATTCAACCTTTCAGATCCATACCAGCTGAGAAAGCCTTCGTTCCTGCTCCGGTGATGATGGCTACCCGACTGTTAAATTTGTCAGTTTACTTCCCTTATTCGTAGGACAGATGGTCTTACAGCTCGTCCTCCTCATCAAACCATTTCCATAACTTATCTAACTCATAACTTGCCGCTACAGGCAGGGAGTTCATCTGCTTTGGCCGATTGATAGTAACCAGCAGGACGTGCGAGACAGGGAAATCTACTAGAACATCGCTGCACGAAGGAGGAGGGGTCTTCGTCGAAGGAGAGGCGACCATGTTTCACTACCCGCAGTCAAAATATGATCGTTGCTGTGAGATAGCTGAACAGGCGTTGTTCTCATACTTGTAAGTTTCGTGAAGGTCTGTCTTACATGAGAAACGTGACCTTTTTAGCCACCTCGGCATGTCCATTTTGGGAAAGCCCCTCCGGACGTTGAGCAACATTATCTGTTCATAGTTTCTCTCGAGTCACAGTTACACAATCTGCTTGACATATCTTGTACCGATTGAACTACTGATTGTACGACTTCACTTCAGACGAAGTGAGTGTCGTTGATTTAAGTTTCGCACGCCAGTTTATTAGGCACCCTAAACTATTAGAAATATGGGGATTGTAGGCGTAGACTTAGTACTATAGGCCGTACTACTAAGTACGCTACCCCTTTATATAGGAGATTCTCTCTCTCTATAGTAGCTCTTTATATAACTATAATTCTGATATAGTAGTAATTTCAATCGATCGTAAAAGACCTTAAAACTTTATTTTTATTAAGATCTCTACTTTATTAACTCTTAATATATCTGCTACTATATTATGATATTATCTTAATTAAAAGTATTAATTCCTTATATCGCTAGAGCCTTAAAAGGTAAAACTCTACTAGAGCTTAATAACTTCTTTAAATAAGAGCTTAAGACTAAATAAAAGCTAGCTAAGGCTAGAGTTCTTTATTACGTTCTTACTGAAGTTAGTATACTAAATAGTGTTAATTAGTAGAATACTTACGCTAAAGAAAAGAAAGAAGCTTTTAAAATAGTTATTAACTTAATCTTTAAGCTTTTCTTTCTTAAGTATAGAGATATTATTAAACTAAATAATACTAAGCTTCTTTAAGAAGCTATTTATACTAATAAAGGTAAAGTAGTTTAAGAGAGTCTTACTTTTACTAATATAAGAGATAATTTCTTTAAGATAAAGTTTATCTTAAAAGAGGAAATATTTTAAAACTATATTATAAGACTTTTACTTTTTAAAGTAAAGCTTAGTAATAATAGTAAACCTCTTACTAATAAAGATATACGTCTTAAGCTATTATAGTTATTATTAGCGTTTAGAGCTTAGATTACTATAATACTTACTTTAAAATTATAAGACCTAGATTTTAGAGATACTATATAAAAGCTTAATAAATATCAAATTTAATAGAGAGAATAGCTTTAACTTATAGCTACTAGTAACGCTATAAACTACGCGAATAGAGGCTATAATAGAGAAAAAGGTAGTAAAGATAATAAAAGCTAAAAAAGTAAAGGCTACTTACGTAAGAGAGGTAATATACGTAAGAATAAGAGAGGATAAGAAAGACAGAATAATAATAGTAGGAGTAGTAGCTAATAAAGACGTAAAAGGCGCGTAGAAAAGAGAGGAAATCGCCTTAAACTAGGCTGAAATTAGTATACCTAGTATAAAGGCTATAGCTACTAGTACATAGACTATATAGAAACTAAGAATACTTACGCAAGAGATAGTGCTAATAAAGTAAAGGAAATTAAAGATAATAATACTTATCTTATATTCCCTTTAAAAGAGATTTACTACACTAAAGATATAAAATATACTTTATTAATAATCTCTATTACAGAATCTATCTAGAAAATCAACTTTAATACTACTCGCTACTTTAGTAAAGTTTTAGCTAAGTTTAAGTAACTTAAGTGTTAACGTAATACTAAATATATTAAAATAGCGACTAATTTGTACTTAATAGCTAAAGGTTATAAAGATATTACTATTAATAAGTTAACCCTTAAAGACATGTAGTATATACTTAACTTTAGAGCTATAAAGCTAGTATTAATATATTAACTCTTAGATAAAGGAATTAATATAGAACTAACTAAGATATTAGTAAATAAATACTAGAATAGTAAACTAGCCTTTATAAGTATAAAAAATAAAAGTTTATATATTCTAGATATAAATCCTTAATATTAAGTTATATATAATACAATTCTATTAGACTTAAAGCTACTAAAAGAATAAATAGAAAGTCAGCTTAATATAAAGGAAATAAAAGCAGATCTACTTTATAAACGTTTAGGCTATATAAATTACGCTTATTTAAAGAAACTAGTTACTTATAGTAGTTATAGAATAAGACTAATTTCTATTCTAAAGCTAAATAAAGAGAGGTATTATAAGGCTTACTTTATAAGCTATATAAAAGAGCACTTTAATAAAAAGTCAGATAGTAAAACTAATATATTTATTTATCAACTATATACTAATATCTCTGATATCTTACTACGCTTAATTCGTAGCTATAAATACTTCCTTTTAGTAGTAGATAATACTATAAGAATATATTAAGTAGATCTCTTAATTAACAAGTCTACGTTAACTATTTAACTAGTTATTTAGAAATTAAAGCTATAGCTTAAAACTTAAAAGTAAAGTAAATTCTGTATAATTATCTACTAAAGGACTAATAATAGCAAGGGAGAGTTTAGTTTTAAGTTTATTAACTAACTATAAAAGAGTAGAATCGTTTTTAAACTCTCTCTTTCATATAAACACTTTCTAAATAAAGTTATAAAGTAATAGATATATAAACTAGCTAAGATTACACGCTTAATCCTTTATAATATAAAGATACCTAAGAATATATAGTATTATACTATTAAGTAGGCAGCAAGCTAAAGAATAGACACCTAACTACTACTTTACTATATAAAATAACTACTAGACTTACTTTAATTAAAGCGTACAGAGGATAGCTTACAGACCTCTTTAAAATAAGAGTATTTAACTCTATAATATACCCTTTATATCTACTAGGGCTATATTAGGGTAAAATAAAGTAAAAGATAATTCTAAGGTGTTTTATATTAGTAGGTATAGCTAATACCTTAACTTATAAGCTCTTAAATATAAAAACCTTTAAGGAACTAGAAATAGCTGACTACAGCTTTAATAAGTATATAATATACTCTATATATACTAGTAGTAAAGAAACTACACTAAAAGGTAGTAATAAGGCAGTAAAAAGACCTCTGCTACTAGCTACTGGTCCAGCACTTGCTAAAAGGCTAGCTAGGAGTATTGAAGGCTTAAAAAGACCTCTAGAAACAAGGCTAGCTATAGAAGCTAAAATTCCTTTAAAGGGAAAGTCAGCTGTAGAAAACATAGTAAGAGACACTAAGAGAGCGTCTGATTAACGCCTCCCTAAATAAACTCAACTAGTAAACGTGTCTAATAATACTTTACTATTAAAATATAATAGGAAGTAGTATAGAAAATAACACTTTAAGTAAGCTGCTTAAGTGATAACTATAAAGCTATACTCTTAGTAAATCCTTAATAAGGCACTAACTTATTAAATAACGCTAATTACGCTAAAAGGTGAACCTATATAATCTCTTAAGGTTATAACTATCGCAAAAGCTTTAAGGGAGAATCTAGTAGAATAAAAGACTACTATTCTTAAAGAATTATAAGCTATACAAAGCGCTAGAACCTATAGAATATACTTTAGTAAGCCTCCTTTAAACTTAAAACTAATATCTTTAAAACTAGTTTTATATAACAAAATCAACTCTAATAGCTTTATAGTATAATAAAAGGCTAGGCTTATAGTAAGAGGCTTTAAGTAAAAACACAGCCTTAACTACTTTAATACTTTCGCAAGCGTTATACACTATTTCACCTTATAAGCACTACTCGCTATTACAGCTAAAAGAGACCTAAAGATTAAGTATATTAATATCGATACTGCTTTCTTAAACGTGTACCTAAAAGAAGATATATATATAATAATTCCAAATAATAAGACGCTAAAGATATAAAATAAGCTTCACTTAAAGCTAAATAAAAGGAAAAACGTATATCTAAAGCTTTTACGCTCTCTTTACAGCCTAAAATAAGCACCTAGGGAATAATAGCTCCTTATTAAAGATAAGATAAAAAAGCTAGGTCTAGAAACGTTAGAGACTAACTCTAATCTCTTTATCTTTAAGAATAAAGCGTATATATTAGTCTTTATCGATAATATACTAATTATAAGTAACTCTACTAACTGCGAATATCTTAAGAAATAACTCTTAAAGACTTAGAAAAGTAAAGACTTTAGAGCTATTAATATATTTATAAGCCTATAAGTTAAGAGAGATAAGAAGAATAAGACTCTACAGATTTATTAAATAGCTTATATATAAAAGCTACTAAAAAGGTTTAGAATAGCTATAGCTAAAGGTAATACCTTACTTATAGCTACTAAAACAGTATTAAAAGAGTTAGCTAAAGATAAAGGTATCGTACTAGCTTCCCTTAAAAAGATCTTACTATTTCAGCAGATTATCAGCTCTCTAATATACCTCTTAAACCTTATACGACTTAATATTACTTATATAATAAGCTAGCTAGCGCGGCATATATTAAATCCCCTTAAATCTCACCTTTAAGATATAAAACCTCTCCTCTGATATTTATAATATATAAAAGGTAACGGAATAACGTTTAGAATTAGAATAAATTACAAAGGAAAGCTAGATAATAATATATTTAATATTTAGACTAACGCTACATAAGAGATAGAATATAATAGGAAATCGTTCTAAGGATAAATAGCAAGGTTCTATAAGAGTCTAATCTCTTAGGCTACTAATAGGTAAAGGTTTATAGCTCTCTTTAGCTTAGATTTTAAGATAATAACTACTAGTAATAACTCTAAAAAAGCAGCTTAGTTACTTAAGCTATAAAAAGACCTTAATATAAAGCTATCCTGAATTCTTACGCTATATCTTAATAACGCTAAAGCTGAATCTCTCTTAAAAGAACAGAAATTCTATCTAAAAGTAAAGTATATTAATATCTGCTAGTTTTATATAATAAGTTAGTAATAAAACACGTTCTAGGTAATAATAATATAGTAAACACTCTTATAAAAGCTTTACCTTTAGAATCGTTTAAATAATATAAGATATATATAGAGTTACCTAGTAATAACTAATTCTTTAATAATAACTCTAAGATTAATAATAGTTAGCTAATTAATAATAGACTTATATAAATCAAGGCTATTTTTAGTAGTAAAACCTATAAAAATAGAATATTCTTCGCGGAAAATCAGTCCTTTAATAAACACTTTCCTTAATAATAATATACAACTATAAATTAAGTAAAATAATAATATATAACTACTATACTTAATAGTTAAGACGAATTTTATTTTATAGTTAAAAAAAGAAGGAAAAGAAATAAAACTAGAAAAGAACAACTTTTATATACTTTAAAAGCTAAAGAAAAAGCTAGTAAAGAATAAATCTTAGTAGCTATAAAAAGAAAGTATAAAGTAGCTATAAAGAAAGGTGAATAAAAGCAGTAAGAGTAGGAGATTATGAATAAGGAAGCGATTTAAATACACTCTTATACTATTTTATATACCTTAATACTACAAAGTTATTAAACTCTTAGGAAAACAAGAGACATAAGTATTATATACACACTAGTATATTACAAGAGTTAATAAGGCATAATTAAGGCTCTTTATATAATATAAGTTATTAGCGATACTTTAGTAATACTCTAGTGTCGCTTTAGGAATATTTAGCGTTATACTACTTTAAAAAGCTTTATTTACTACAGATATAAAGAATAAGAGGGCTATTAAAAATATAGGGATTATAAGCATAGACTTAGTACTATAGGCCGTACTACTAAGTACGCTACCCCTTTATATAAGAGATTCTCTCTCTCTGTAGTAGCTCCTTATACAACTGCAATTCTGACACAAACAAGCCTCGGCTTTGCCACACCTCTTGCGGGGTCTCGGTAAATCCATTTCAAACGCTATGCCTTGACGATCCATCAACGTCCTGGAGTTCAAGTAAACACAGTACGAATTACTTTTTGATCATTCGAATACATCGTACGGTCTTTTCTCAAGAAACATATTTGTCTTCTTTGTAAGATATCTGGACAGCCGACAACAAAAATGGCATCAGATCTCAAAACCCAACCTCCATCCTCAGATGCCTTCCTCATCTCATATCCCGCACCATATATCCTCCTCATAACAATCAATAGACCTAAGGCCAGAAACTCTCTGCCATACCAAGCACACTGGGATGCTGATGCAATACTGAATTGGTTTGATGCTGAACCTTCTCTCCGTATGTATCGATCCATGATATCGCATTCCTCAACAACATTCTCCTCTAAACCCATAAACATATACATACTCGCTTGAATCATACGTCAACTAACTCCAAAACATAGGCGTAGCAATAATCACCGGCGCTGGTCCAACAGCTTTCTGCGCTGGCCAGGATCTCATCGAGCAAGCAAAAATCCGGGCTTCGCCACCTCCAGCAGCTTTACGTCGACACCCTCCCTCCGGATTCGCCGGTATCAGTCGGAGGGCCGGAAAGAAACCTATCATTGCGGCTGTGAACGGATTTGCTCTTGGTGGGGGATTCGAGATTTGTTTGAACTGGTGAGTTGAACTTCTTTTGTTCACTGAGCTTTTCATCGTGAAGATGGTTACCTAGAGTAGGGAGGCGGTTATCCACGTGATTAGGGAATATGACAAGGGAGGAACCTAAGAAGAGGAAATGGACTGATGAATGTGTACAGTGACATCGTAGTCGCCTCTCCTACTGCTTCCTTCGGCCTCCCAGAAGTGACAGTCGGTCTTTACGCAGGAGCTGGTGGTCTTCCTCGCATCGCTCGTATTGCAGGTTTTCAGGTCAGCACCTTCTCTAATTTCCTGTATATTGAAATACCATAAAAAGGCAGTACTTACACCTCCCCACAGATCGCATCTGAAATCGCTCTTACTGGCCGTCGCCTCACTCCGCAAGAAGCTCTCTCCTACCAACTCATCAACCGCATCTCCAGCAGTCCCGAAACCGTCATAAAGGAAGCGGTAGAAATCGCCCAACGCATCGCAAGTCTCAACCCTGACGCAGTGATTGTCACGAAAGCGGGGATTAGAGAAGCATGGGAGACAGGCAGTGTGGAGGAAGCATTTAGACGCACTGGAGAGCGGTACGAGAAGGCGCTTTTTGAGAGTCCAAATATGATGATTGGACTGGAGGCTTTTGCGGGGAAGAAGAATCCGAAGTGGGTGCCGAGTAAGCTTTGAGGTCGGCAGTTATGATGCAAAGCGGTATTCTGGAATTCGCAGACTGCTGAAGCAAAATCTGGAATATACTTAGTCGCGAATGAACACGAATTCTAAGATGAAGACGCCGGTTCAGCCACACCAAAGGGTTCAACTCTCTCTTCCACGGAAGTACCGTTTTTCGTTTGGAAATGTTGTCAAAATTTTTTAAGAGCGGACTGCAGCATCTGACCCTGCTAAGAATCTCACACTGACATCCCTCTCAAGCCCTGCGTCAGCTTCCACTATTGAATGAGGGGAACCTAATGAGATCAGTTAAGGCTATGCATTTAATATATAAGTACAGCAAAATACTTCCTCGAGACTCCCAGATATTTTCCTCCCAGCCCAGATTGCACCAACATCCCACTTAAAAGAAATACACTCCGTCTCCTTTCGCTCTCCCCTCCTCTTCCAACTCCCTCAATGCGGTTTTGACTCTCGATACCATCGCTGCTCCATATTTTGGTCTACGAAACAAATAAGTATCTGGTCAGCGCCAAAGTTTTCAGTGCTTCAAAGCCTGAGGAGAGTTCTGCTATTTGGGATCTTGGAAACAAAAAGTTCTCAGGTAATTTGCTTACCCCAAAGGTGGAACCGGAACGCTCGAATCCGGCCTCAACCACGGAACCCCCTTCTCACCACTACTGACACCTTCACACGCCTTCCTAATCGTCTTTACTGCTTCATCATCATACCCACCACCCAGAACCACTGCTTGCGGTGCTTGCGAATAATTCTTCGTCCCGATGTTTTCTGGATCTGGTGTCGAGGGTGTCTGTCCTGCCAACAGCTTGGGCAGATCCGAGACTCCGGCGGAGGTTGACAGGATGACGTGGATTACTGGAAGGATGTCAATTGAGAACGTTTTTCGATTTTTTCCTTTTTTCTCTTTTTTTTTTTTTTTGGAAGGGAAATTGACCTTCGCATTCGGGTTGGAGACCCGCTTTTACTGCTGTTGCGATTTGGGCAGTTTTTCCACAGAGGACGATACGCATGGGGTTTGCCATTTCACTACCGCCTCTTCTGCGTCCCTAAAATGGACCTTTGATCAGGGAAATTATATCAATGAAGATGTCAATTATCAATAGCTGAGCGAGATCGATCTCGAGGAGTATAAATGAGCTGGAAGGAGTTTTAGATCAGATGATGTTGCAAAACTGGCTTGGAAGCTTACTTATGTATTTTCATGTGAAAGCCCGCTTCTGGATCAGACGACGGGAGACAAGAGCCGGAGCTGTACGAAATATGCGAGCATAGTGCTGACTGCGATCAGCCCTGGAGCTGAACGAATAGACAACCCCGCATCGGACAAGAAAACGGTACCCCACCTGCCTAATGTAGGGGCCAACACCATGGTGCGGGAGATCTTCAGACGTGCCAGGGAGCATGTGAACATGACTTTTTGCCTTGTTTAGCCAAAGTAAGCTGTAAAAGCGCCGATAGCATTTCGGCAGTAATTATATCTGAATGCGAAATTTAGTTGCGAAGCCCTCTTATGAACATGATCTTACGGAGGTCGTGGAATAGCAAAGAAGAATCAGATCGTCGCTTCCAAAGTGCACATTTCTCCCTAGTGAGGAGAGTTGGCTGCCCATATTGGATACTCAATTACTCTTGCTACTTCATTACAATGAGGTCCAAACCATGCTTTGGGCAGCTTAAATTGCACCCACCCCAATCCAGTAATCTTCGACCTGATAGGTAAAATGCGCATACTTTGCTGCTGGAATTTTGAAGATGAGACTCTAAAAGGAGGACATAAAGCTTTCAGCCTCTTGTTTCATCATCCATGCAACTACATCTTGCCATTGGTGGCTTTTGGAACCGTACTGAACGCTGAATAATACTTCTCTTCCTTGTGCATTGGATTTTCTTTGAAGCAACTTTTGCTTGTTCCATCGGGGTTGCCAGCTCAGAGCTGTGCTCAAGATCTCACTTTCTATTGTGAGTGAAACAAGGACTTCTTTGACGATTTTGGGGGGTTTGAAACCATGCATATTCCATTAACTCACGACTTAAAGAATATTGAAAAGGGTTTACATTCTGAATGAGTGTGCGAAGCGCATTTTGGCACAAACATACAGAGACAGCCATTGCTTGTTTACCACGCCATCCCCACACTTCGCTTAACCGCACACACTGAGGAGAACCGTTCCGCTTTATCCAGATGCTATAATAAGAATATTCTGCAATATGGCAATGCCAATTATATCTCGTATTCCAAGATTCTGAAGCTTGAGACAATCTTTGTTGTGATTGTTTCATTTCGGCACATCACGTTCCAGCACATAGGCCGTTTTTGAAAGAGGTCTTTAACGAAAATTCGTTCTAGATTATTGTTGTTCAAAATGATGTGAGTTTAGCAAATAAAGAAAACGGATCGGTGCAGATAACTGCAAACTCACCTGCTTCACTCGCGCGCTTTATCTGACTGTGATACAAAACCGTGGTGATCGCAACCTCAACTTTTGGTGCACTCTTTAATTCTACATCCTCAACAGATTGGCCAAGAAACCCCAGAAGACACAGTAAGTACTACACCTCGAGTCCTCTCAGAGTCATCCCGCATTCTGACTTTAACTTCTCCATAGCCAAACCGAGCATGACTTCCCAATGAACCGCGATGACGAAGCCAAAGAAGGAACTGCCTCCCAACAAGCCAAACGAGCAGCAGAGCTGCTTCGGTCGTATTAAGATGTACTACAAACACATCGCCCACAACGATGCGTCTCTTCAAGATCGGCGTCCCTTGATAGTCGACTTGGTCATGTCCAACTTTGCGCTCATGCTCATAATCAATGTGCAGCTACTGTTCTGGAAGTTTATCGCATCCGTCATCCTCCTTTGCCGCAATACTGTTGTCTCCGGGTTCTTCCTTCTTCTCACCACGATCTCCCATACTAACGATATACAGGAGTCTCTCAGATTCAGACACTTCGGTCGACTGTCAACATGGGAAGTCCCATCATGAAACGGCGTTCTGGATATGTTACTTGGCATAGATGGATTGCGATGAAATTATTGGCGTTTTAGATTACGGATACGTGGCGGACTTCAGGGACAGATGCAGATTACGTTGATTTTCGGAAAGGACATGGCATAAGTGACTAATTACACTAGCACTCGATTACGGTTTACCGTTTATGGGCTTATTCGCGGATTCAAGCAGTAAAAGGATATAGCTATTTTCATTACTTCGTGTTGCATTACTCCTAGTCCAATGATATCTTGGAAATTCTCTGCCATGCCTAGCCCTGCCACTTGACTCTCCCACTCCTGAAAAGAGTCACCATACCCATAGGCAACAAGCCCTTCTCCACAATTTTCAAACCTCCAAATCTCTCCATCATATCCCGACCATAAAGCAGCGCCACCCACTTCAGATAGCCATCGTCCTGCTTATCAATCGCACCGAGCCAATCTAGCATATTCTCTTCTTCCTCAGAGACATCAACGTCCTCTGGTCCAGGCTTCTGCAGCAAATCCTGGTACACCGAGAGTAAATCTCCATCATATCCAGTGTAGAACTCCTCCCTGTACCGCTGGTATTCTTCTATCGACATGAATGTTTGAAAGTCCGCGGGGCGGTAAGTCGGCTCGATAGTCCCATTGCGATTGACCTTTCCGTTATGGAAAGCTGTCTTGGCGCGTCGATAGGCGCTTGCTTCGGCTTCGATGAAATCTTCGAAGACAGATGCCGGATGCTCGAAGACTGCGTTACGGACTTGTACGAGTCCGATGAAGGGATTCTGGAGTTCGAGACCGCCGAGACTGGTAGGGAAATAGAGAAATCCATCTGGGATATCGGTGATACCGAATCGCTCATGCAGTGTTTTCTTGAGGTACTCGACAACGTTACTGTCAGAAAAAATCTGTTTCTGAATTCGTGTCATGGTTGAGAGCATCATGTCGACATGTTCTCGGCCGAAGCAGTTGGCGGCTGTACCGAAGTTCGACTTGAAAAATGTACCAGCGTAGGTGTTCCAAGCCTGAATCCACGAGAACACACTCTTATCCTTCTCAGCCAGTTGTCGTTGTAGTTCAAGGATATGAGTGTCGACCATGTCCTGATCAATGACGAATCTTCCAGAGGCGGGGTCCATGACCAAGAATCCCCAGCGAATCTCACCAGCTGGAAGAGAAGGATCAATGTCAAAAGGTTTCTGGTCTTTGGTGATACGAACTGTACCAGTCTTTCCACGGTTCAAAGTAACGCCCATAGTATCCGCAAAGGTGGTGATAGCCGACCATCCTTTGACGACGGTCTGATGAGATGAAGACCAGATCCAAAAGTCATCGTGCATGCGATACAACTGGGCACCATTGGTATGCTGATTCACCGCATAGTCCAAACAAAAGAGAATTGCTTCGCCACAAATTGTGGACAGTGCGTGTGAGCCCGGTACACCACGTTTTCGTGGCCTCGGTGCAATATCCGCATCATCGGCCGCGAATTTCAAAGGCGCTTCGAGAAATTTTCGGAAGAATCCAAGCCATTTGGCAGACAATCCGAAGAAAGATAGCACGGCAGTTATTGTGGAGTGAGGCAGCGATGGACTGAAAGACTGAAACTCGGAGCGAGAGCAAGTAAAGTCTCCATGAAGACGAGTATTGACAAGAACCTCTGTCGAAAGCAAGTGCAAAAGGAATTGCTTTGTTGCCATAGGTGTTTTGGGTCGATTGCTGGTATCGATATCGTACTCATCGCTCCTGTGGTTACGATGTGGTCCCGAATGAGGCACGCCGTTGTAAGGTATCATGTTGAACCCTTGTGGCTGCTGCATAGCAATGCTGTCCTGCTCCTGCCGTGCCATGTTGACTCTCCTTTTGTTTTGCTGCTCCAATAACATTAGCTGCATCTGATAATCTTGTGCACCATGGCTCTGTACTTGTTGCTGCTGCATCTGTTGCGCAGCGGCCTGTGCTTGTTGTTGCTGCATCTGCATCTGCTGTATTTGTTGCATCTGTGGAGCGCCGGCAGCCATTGATTTGTGTCGCTTCGCTGCATGCTCGTAATTGGCCTCCTCTTCGCCCTCTTGGGCACAATTCTCTTCATGTGTTGAGTCCTGAAGCTGAGACATGAAGAAGATGGATTTGTAAATACTCTGACGTTGTGCTTGTACACTGCGTTTCTTCATCTGAGCGCCCAAAAAGTACTCTCTCCTCTTCCTATCTTCAAGCGGGATGGGTGACCGAAGTGACGTCCAAGCGCCGTCGAAGTTTGAGAAATTGACGAATGCTTCTTTGAAGAAGATGCACCATTTCGCTCCAACGTACTGTAAGAAGATTGCTTGAAGGAGTTCTTCATCTATGTAAACTATGGGGAGGTCAGCTAATGCCAAACGACAGGGTATTGGAACGATCTCGTAGCAAACTGGAGTGAGCAGATTAGACGAATTCGGACTTACTGCGATATGATCCTGTCACTTGCCGTCGCTGCTCGATCAAGACTTCATCGTCCCAAGACCACTTTTAGGAAATCAGCACATTTCGTGCGTGGCAAAAAACCCAACATCTCAGACAGTTCACCTGGCAGTGGAAAGTCACAGCGCCAGTCACCCAATCGAATGAAAAGAGCAGATACATACCTCAGATATGTCGGCGATCCGCATGTTGAGCACATCCGCGATCTCGGCTAAGATGACCGGACTACCCAAGAAATCCTTCAAAGCGCCTCGCTTTTCATCACTCAGCAGAACAGATGCAATCAAACTGCTGATAGTCCATCGGAGAACCGTCTCATCGAATTGATTTGGCGCCGACAACGTAGGTTCAAAAGCTTTGACATCCTTGTGAAGCTTTTTCAAAGCCAAGTATCCTTGCTTGTTATCACTTGTCTCTCCGAAAAGATTACGGAGGTATTCGGCTATGGCCATCTGGTCTGTTTCAAAGGGCTCAAATACGAGCTTCTCCCAACCGATGCGGGCCTCGTCTCTTGTAGCTGGCATAATTTTCTCGAACCCTTCAGAAGTTTCTGAGATGTTGTCAGGAAGTGAGGACGCCTTTTCTGCATGGAGCCACTCGGTGACCAACTCGCCGTATAGAGTTGCATACTGGTATTTCAAGGACTGTACATTGAGTTTCTTCACAAGTGTAACTTCCCAGTCTCGCAAGAGCTTGGAAGATATGGAAGGATCGTACTTGGCTTGGTCAAGGAAGCGCTCGAGGTTCTTCACCAGGACTTCGAGATTTGGATCGCTAGTACTGCCGTAGACGTTTCGACCTACAGCACCTCGACGGCCTCCGCGCTTCTTGGGTGGACTTTGGATGGCGAAGCACTTCTTGACACCCTCTACAAGGATGGCGAGTCGCTGCTTCTGGTCTGTCTGGCTATGAGTGGATTGGAGCAGCAAGGCTTTGTGTTCCTCGAAGACAGATCGTTTCTTAGAAAGTTCGCTGAGCTTGGTGGTTGTGATAGATTGTAGTGTTTCTGAAAAAACTGTGGAAGTCATGTTGACTTCACCGTCGATGACGGAATTGCAAGAGGCGTGATGAAGGACGGTTGGCTTTTCCTTCTAATGAAAGAGAGCTCTGATCAACAAGATGATGGAGAATAGAATGGGAGTGCGTATGTGCGATATCTGAAGAAAAATCCAACCTTCACTTGAGGGGAAGGGCCAATTTATAGACAAATATCTGCAGGCTCCAATTCTGTTCACGTGTTTCTCGTGTTGTGCTTCGCCTCACGCTTTTGGGTCGCAAGGCGGCAGAGAGGCGGCAGGGCCGGTCACCAAATCGAGAGATCGGGAAAAATGTATCATGTGACTGAGCTTGGAAACACCAGTACCTTCCACTACGCACCGAGGATTGATAAATGGTATGGAAATTGAAGTAAGAGCAGAACAGAACGCGCAAACTTGTAATCAGGAGTTTCTGGGAAGCACAAAGGCCATGCAGTATCCTCAAAGTGAGAAGAAAATCCCGATTGTACAGCAACGGGATGTTGGACAGAGCGCGGGTTATGCAGCTATGTATTGACATGGTTTTTGGGTATAACTTAACTTGACCGTACAAAATAATTTCAATCAGGCTGTTTCGCCAATACCTAGGTAGGGTTGGGTAAGATGGGCGTCGGCAGGAAAGCAGCAGAAAAGACATTGGATCTCGGAAATATCTATCTAAGTAGGTAGGATGAAGTTAGCTCCCGCTGGTGCGGCTGAGCGAATGAGCTTCCTACAATCCTAGACATGTCTCCATCGCGGGAAGACGTACCTAGGTCTCATGTCTTTTCCACCGTCCATCCAGCTCATTACCCACCACTAATATAATATTAATCTAGCAAGATTCATCTTAGTCTTCCCGAGAGACACAGACATCCTCCAAAATCGAGTCATCACGTGGATTTTGGGGTGATCTATTGCCCTCGTTTAGGCAACTATCTCCGGCCTGAGTCACGGTTCTCCTTCGATTTCCTCTCTCCAGCAAGCCTTTTGGATAAGAGTAGAAGTTTGCATCAGTACAGGTGTTCAGACTCGTCATAACAAATCGCCTACCCAAATTCACGCCCACGATGTTGAACAAAGCAGACCGTGCGAAGCTGGCGAAAAAGACTATCAATGACTTCATTCCTCATCTACTGAAGTCTGATACACGTGCGAGAAAGGGTGTTGAAGGCAGCGAGCTGATTCGCTTCTCACCCATCAACGTCAACAAGAAATCTTCTCACTCTCCAAGAACCTCAACAGACAACCTTCCAGAAGCCTCAGGGGCACGTCCTCAGGTTTCTCAAGGCTCTTTACACGATTTCTTCCCAACTATCCCAAAGGAGCGTAAGGTTGATGACAATCAGCAAAATATCAACTCATCCACATCGACTCCCGACGCGTCCCTTGCCGTTCCTGTACCAAATCCTCCAAGAATTCGTGTCATTAAATCGGACACATTCGATGCTGCCGAAGCAACTATCAAAGCTCACCCTGGATCTTCAATTGCGGTCCTCAATATGGCCTCGGCATTGCAACCTGGAGGAGGTGTATTGAGAGGTGCTCTTGCTCAAGAAGAAGCTCTGTGCGTCAGAAGTACACTCTATCCTTCACTCAAACCAAACTACTACCGCATGCCAGTTCTCTCTGCAGTCTATACGCAGGATGTCCTCGTATTTCGTGGCTCTGATTTGGTCGATCTCCCAAAATCCGAATGGTTCTATACCGCTGTCATTTCCTGTGCTGCTTTGAAGGGACCGGACGTGAAGAAGGTGGAGGATGGAAAGATGGTTTACGCAGAAGACAAGGATAGAGAGATCATGACCGAAAAGATCAGACTGATCTTCCAGATCGCGAATGATAAGGGCATCAAACATCTTATTCTCGGTGCTCTGGGGTGTGGCGCCTACCATAACCCACCAACAGAGGTTGCACAGATCTTCAGAAAGGTGCTTCTGGGTGGACGAAGGAAGGAAGGCGTTACTGGAATTGAAGAGGTCACCTTTGCGATTTTTGACGAGGGAGAGAACCTGAGGTCGTTCAAGGAGGTGTTTGAGGATGTCATTGTTGATTGAGTATCATTGAGATATTGCTATACAGGAGATCAACTGGTGTACATTCGGAGACTTGGGTAATTTCCTTCCAGAATGTGGTATACACTTCGGAGAAAAGCATCGGCGTTGCCCCAATGGACAATTGTTACAGAAATCTTGATTCCTGTATCTCTGATTAAAGTCCTTTCTGTTGGTATACGTTGAGTTTGGGTGTTACAATTGAGATCGCTTACGTATGTATACACATAGCTTGCTAGCTACCTGTTTCAATTGCTAACGTAATTTCACTTTTGGATCTTCAATGTTCTCCATCTTATGATCTGAACACCAGGAATTTGACCGTGATATTGACTCTCCGTACTCGTTGCAGCTACCATCGAGTATCCGAGACTCTCATCAAATCAACGGACCTTGCATCCGAGAAAGACAATTAGCATCCTGATCGACAATGACTCATCCACACCGTGCAGCAGAATAGATACTTGAACTGCAGACTAGGACGTAAATTTTAAGTCAAATTTGAATGCAGTAATTATGAACCTAGCAAAAGGTACACCTTATACAGTAGCCACGGAAGTCGTCTCGGTCGCAAAATCTAATCTTATCAGATGACCCGAATTCTGAATTTCAGTGGGTCCTCTCTAGCTTCAACTTCTGATTTGCTCAACAACCTGAACCATCCATCCATGTCCAATGGGCCTCCGATAAGCGCAAGACGCGTCGTCAGCCTCTGCTCTCGCAACGAAATATGTAAATCTCGAGTGGTATGTCGTGACCGATAGCTTTTGAGTTATTCTGTGGGCGGTTTTTTGTGCTGCTTTGGAAATGTATCTTCACCGTCTCGGATTCCTCACGATATCAAGCCTTAGCTTGATAGCATCAATATCCTCCTCTCAAGTCCCTTTGTCTGGATATGAGACGAGAATTCTCGATAACGACCCTCACATAGATCATGCCCGTGCCAATGCTCCTCACATCTTCAGCGCCATACATTCCTCCATACGACAATGGGGATCGTCGCTCAAACACAATGGCATGTCATTTTTCCGCGCCAGTATTCCGAAAAATACCCTTCTGTATCACGGAACGCATTTTAAAGATCCAGTCACTGGGATGGAATGGCTGGCTTTCGAAATTGAACATGCTGAAGTGTTTGCAAGGATGAGAGGCCCTAGAGGACCAGGGAGAGGTCATCCTGGTGAAAGGCCTGGTGAACGACCACCACCACCAACTGATGGACCAAGTCGGCAATCTGGAGAAACACCACTAAAAGAGTATATTGATGAAAAAGATAGTGAGCCAACAACTTATGGGTATCTCCATGTTTATCGCACTTCTCGCCCACTTACGAGACTCCTCTATCTCGACGGCATGAGCGCGGGAAAGACATTAATGGGAACACTCGACACGCAGGATTACGTCATATGTAAAGACTCGAATACAGGCATTATCAATCCAATGGATGATTACGTGAGGGCAGAATGTATGTGCAAAATAGGCGCGGAGCATGGAATCGAGGGCATCATCAGGATGGAAGCTGGCTTTGAACTTATCCTTTGCAACTTCTCGGCGAATTTGGAATTCATCACTGCCAATCAGAGACCAAAATATGATGCTCCAGAGGGCATCTTGGATTCTTCTCATTTTGAGTATATGCGTGGAGTAGCGGCACGTTATCAAGGTATCACGGCTGGGAGGATGAAAGTGGATTATTCGAGTATGGTATCTGCGTATTTCTATCCTCTGAATCTCACGAATCCGAACTCTTCAAGACCAGAATTACCGAGATTGCCCACCTCGGACCATGAAGGTCTTGCACAGATCAAGGCCGATGTTTTGGATATCTTCTCTCAGGGTAGCGAGATAAAGACTGTGGACTGGCAAGGAGTTGTCGACATGGTTGTCACCCGATACTCGGACCGGCTGAAGTACCTCACTTCCACAAAGTTACCTGACAGAGCTGCATTGTCCGAGGTCAACTTCTTACTCAGCGCTTTCATTGATTACACGGACCTCAATATCACACACGCTATCGAAAGTTGTTCAAGAATCTATCTCCCAGCAATCACTTCACCAACACGATCAGATGGACTGATCTACGAAGCAATTCTCACGGTTACTCAAAAGATCTGCAGTACGCTATTCAAAATACGAGATATTCTTCTTGAAGGAGAAGAGGAACAAGACAGCATGATGAAGAAGTCCAATTTTCACATGCAGGAGTTGATTGAGTATCTCGATTGGAGCACATGGCTGGAGTGTGGGAAGTGCGCTTATGACGAAGTTTGTTATGTCGCTATTTGGCCTTGGGGCAGTGTTGAGGATCATGACAACCCTGGATGCGTGAATATGGATGATATTTCCAGTCGGAGGGGTTACTGGGGCGGGTTTGGGCCTCGTTAATTTGATGTTCTCGAAGAGATACCTCACATGTGTGTCTCGGAGATTGAACACAGTGATTTTATCAACTGTTGAAACTGTCCTCCAAGTCACTTCAGGTCAATCCCACCAAGCGGTGCATCCTTTCCCCCCTCCAAATACTTTCCCCACACCCCACTCTCACATCTATCTACTAATTCCCTCGTCTGTTCTCTAAATCCCTCCCCTCCTTCGTTCCAGGTAGAAATTCCAACCCACACGTCAGGCACCTTCTCCCCAATCGCCTTCTCAGCACGTTCCTTCTGCATTCTTACAATCCTCAACTCTTTCTCATCAGTTGGCATTACCAGCGGCGCCTCTGGCAGACCCCTAGCCACATACCAACCTCCCACCCTTCGCGTACTCTTCACTACTTCCTCGAATTCCCTCCTCTTTCCCTCCTTCACGTAGAATATATCGACGCTCACATTTTCTGCCTCAAGATCAATGTTGCTGAAATCCAAATACATATAATGCACCATATCAGGCTTGACAAGGACAAACATTTCTTTCATCAATTTCGGCGCGAGACCATGAATATCGAGATATTCATGTCCGGACTTGTCGGTCCATAATGCGAGGAATAAGAGCTGAGGGGTTTTTGAGATCGATATGCGGAATCGGAATTTGAGAGCTCCGGGTGTAGAGGAGAGTGTGTTGAGAATCCTTTGGAGGGAGATTATAAAGGAAGGGGAGTGGAGGGATTGACCGGGCAGAGGTGTGAGGATGGCGAGTTCAACGAAATTGGTAGGCATTTTTGAATGCTAGTTCGAGGAGGAAGGACTTTTGTTGCAAGGCCTACCAGGAGTGAGATGCTGTAGGGAGAATACCCTACTCAAGTGCTTCTTCGTACACTTCTGATCACCATGTTCAACTCCGAGTTCAAGTTCGGGTATCTTACTCAAGTCAGCACTTGATCCATCATCAGCACAATGATCACTCACCATCTGCCTTAACCCTGCGGATGTCGGCCGCCCAGTCCCAACCTCCTTCATCTCAACACACACAGTTCAGAACAAAAAAAATATACATGGCAGCCAAGGCCCAGGATAAGCGAATGGAAGCGAAAAGGTATTGCCAAGTACTTAGACTCCCCAAAAGGAAGACGAAGACCCGCCCCCACACAAGTGACAGACTGGCGCGGAACGGAACGGCACGGTGAGACCCTATGGGGGTTTTCCCGAGGATAAGAACAGTACCCCTCTTTGTAGGAATGTGCCGGATTTTCTACATTTCATCAACAAACTTTTAGCTACGGGCGTACCTGCATATTGTTTTGATTGCTGATTTAGGTTTTGCTACTGGTTCTAGAAAATTTAGGTATGTTGATCTGATCTGAAATAGGGGTAAAATATGCATTAGGCTGAATTAATGAGCTGTGCTGACTATTGATTAGCGGAGGATAGATAATGGCGTCCCAGGATCAGACAATACAGGAGGATGCTGGGCCACAACCGGTGGTTTTGGATGTGAGATTAGATTTTCTTTGCATGAGAATTACACTTGGAAGCAAGCAGTACCCTCACTTTGTTGCTCGTAGGGGGCATCATCCCACACTCTGTTTTCAATCTCCATCCGAGGGCCAGCTTTCTGAATCTGGAAATATACTGATATTATAAAGGTCGACTCTCAACCTAGCGACTCTGACTCTGCTATGGGATCATCGCTAGAGTGAGTTGTCTGTTGCAAACCCTTCAAAACTTGGCTGACATCCCAGATCCGACACCTCATCCATACGCTCTTCTCTCTATGAAGGTGTCGAAGAGAACGGCAGGACATATCACAAGTACAAGCAAGGGCGTACGTGACACTCTTGTGACATCTTAGCTCGTTCTAGGAATCTTGGAACTAAGAAAAACAGAATACTATCTTCCAAATGATGAGATGGAACAGAATAGACTTGGTATGTCATCTGAAACTAGTCACTGTGGTAGTATTGACGAGTCCCAGATCTTCAACACCATCTCTTTAATTTAACATTTGACGGAAAGCTTGCACTTGCTCCCATCTCAAACCCACAAATGGTGCTCGATATCGGCACTGGAACGGGGCTTTGGGCTGTTGATTTTGGTAAGGCTGTGCTCTCTGCATTGAAGAAACGAAGATCATGCTACTGATGATTGATTCAACTAGCCGAGAAGAATCCATCTGCAGTCGTAACTGGGACCGACTTGAGTGCGATTCAACCTGACATGGTCCCACCTAATGTTCAGTTCCAAATCAGTGATGCTGAAGATGAATGGGGTACGTAATCCAATTTCTCAATCGTACTATCTTCTTCTTCACTTCCCACTGACAGCTCTAGACTTCTCCCAAAGGTTTGACTACATCCACGGCCGCGCCCTAACAATCTGCTTCCGGAATCCCCTCACAGTCTTCAAATCCGCCTACGATAACCTTCTCCCAGGCGGCTACTTCGAGATGCAAGACCTCTATTTCCGACCGCACTCCGATGATGGTACACTGACAGGTACCGCTCTCGAAAAATGGAACGCCAAGCTCAAAGACGGCGGTGCGACAATGGGCAAAGATTGGTGGTGTACTCCTAACTATGCTCGCTGGTTCAAGGAAGCAGGGTTCGTGGATGTAGTTGAGAAGAAGTTTTTCTGGCCGGGAAATACGTGGCCGAAGGGACGGAAGCAGAAAGAGATGGGAATGACCATGTTGGCTAATTCGATGGAGGGGGTGGAGGGGGCGACTCTGAAAATGTTTACGGGTTTGTACGGGATGAGTATTGAAGAGGTGCAGGAGGTTGTTAGGGATGTCAAGAGGGATTTGTGTGATAGTGAGTTATTTCTTTTTTTCTTGGCGAGTAAGGAGATATTGCTGATGAATTACAGGGAGAATCCACACGTATTATCCGCTGTAAGTTTGATGCCCCATTTTCTGGAAGATATATTGACGTTCGGTAAATAGCTACGTTGTTTACGGTCGGAAACCATTGGATGCACCCGAATGAGGATGAGCCAGTCGAAATTACCAACTTGCAGTACATTCCACATATGCTGTAGAAGGATAGATCTTGGATCGACATCACTTTGCGAAAAGAGAGGTCTTCGATTTGGAACCTGGGCAAATGAAAGCCCAATCTGACCAGGACTCATGCTTTGTCTGCTAGCTCATCCTAGGAATACCTCGTAGCCAGTCTCCTTCAATCCTGTTCTAAATCTCGCTTCGCTAGCGATTGCTCTTCAATATGCAACAAGCTTATTATCCGGAGTAAGCATATGCTTTAGCATCTGAATAGGCTTTTTTGAATCTAATCTGATTGGTTCTCAATTCAAAATCAGACTTGTAGACTCTTTAAGAATTTTACACATACAAAAGACGTGCAGAGTGCAGGTTTGGTTTCTCCATTCGATCTCCATTTTCATCGATACCTTTGTAACAAGAAGGAAAGCAAAAACATCTTTGCACGTCTCGAACCGCCGAATACTATCAAAATAAATCTGCTCAAATACTATTACATCCCATCCCATCTTTAAAGCGTATCACCATACACCAGGCTCAGAGGCCCCTCGTCCCACAAAATCCATTCGTCCACACTCTCCAGCCTTGCCTCTGCCTCTTCCACAAGCGAAGCCTGAAAGCCATCAAGCCTTCACGGGGCGCAGCAGGCTAAGCCCTGTAGAGCTGGGGAGGCCCCTCGCCAAGCCCATTCCGACTCGCGATTGAGGGCACTGATTGGCTGGGCTAGAGGGTTTGGTTCCCGCGGAGTGCCCTGAGGCTTTGGTGGTCGGTGTGTGACTGTGTCGGTATTTAGGGTGCTCAGTGCCCCAGGCGAGAAGATTCTCAGAATCATCTCTTGCATGTTGAATGCTTTGACTTCTCTTGGTTCTCACCCTTCACTCTCCTAATCATCGTAGTTCCCATCAATTGTTTGTCTATCCTGAATCCTCGCATCCCGAGTACTATTCACGTAGAGGGGGACACAGCACCCTGGCACCGATTCTCCATTCAATGGAAGAAGAGCAATTGTGAGTTGCCTGTAACACCCATCATTGTCACTCATGCTTCGCACATCTTCAACTACTTGATAGAAATGTGCTTGGATTTTAACACCCATTTTGATGTTGTTTTTATCTTGGTGACCTTGTCCTAACAATTTTCAGCCCCTGGCTGTGTGGCTCCAGGTACCTTAAGCTACCTGAAATGATGGGCTTGAATGAGAACCCACATCCTGCTAAGGACATGGATTCCTTGATTACCACGTACTCGTATGTCATCAGAACATTGACCCCATCTCCTTCCAATTGATTAGCGGGGTTCTGATGAACAAAAACAGTTGCCTAGCATGGCATATGGATTTTGAGACCGAGCATGAGGACTTCGGGGCAGAAGCAGGACGCGTATGTGGTCTTGATCCAACAATGTCATGATGGTACTAACATCCGTAGAATAATATGCTGACGGGCACGTATGCTTGTCCGTGGCCCGGTACTAGCAGTGCTCCATCTGCCTTCAGCCGACACGACGATGATGCAAGATGGCAACATCATAAGAACCTGTTGGGACAGAATCAATGGACTCTTCCTTTGTGCAGTCCCTCATCAGGAATGGACGGCCAGACACTGGAACGCTCTCGGTGGACATCGAGTCTTTCCGATGACACCCTGCCTCTCCCTCTGGAGCGATTTCTTAGGGAGACCGAACGCCATCGGGACAGTCATGACTCTCTAATGGAGTATCAGAAAAGCTCGACAACATGGCAGTGTCAAGGTTGCGGCTGGGACTCAGGTTCTTTCCAACGGAAAGATGAGCTGCTCGTGCTAGTCGGTGACTATCACGACCCATCTGCAAGTTGCGGTCACAAGTTCTGCCACGAATGTCCTCTGGCGAATTCCTCAACTCGAAGAATGGGTTGATTGATTGGAACCTCATGACCTCAGCACATGCAACTGTCGTCGTTAAACTGCTGAGCTTGGCAATAACACTGAATCTTCCACACTGCCAAGTTGCCACCACGTCCAAACCCAATCAACCAATCAATATACAACTGTCTTCGAGTCTAAGAGACTCGCGCAACCATGGAGTCCACAAACTACATCCCGACCACAAACAATGAATACTCAGATCATCAAGCGATCAGAACCCAAATCGAATCTGATGTAGACTGGGATCAATTCTGGCGAGAATACAACACTCTAAACCCCGATTATATGAACAACTTCGACATTGTATGGACTAGTCCACCTAACTTGGGTATGGAGATGGATTATATACTGGAACTACAAGCCGCTGCCGAGACAAATCATCTGCCTCCGAGTCCCGTCGGGCAGTTCGAGCTCCCTCAATACGGCACCAACATGTTCCTTCCAGCCTACATCGACCCCTCTCCAACCCCACCATGGACCAACCCATCAACATCGACCTCCTCCCCCTCAGCAACCAGCTCTCGAACAAGTAACTCCCCATCTAGTACCTCGACGCCTAGTAGTGCGCTATCCTCAACAACCTCAGAAGGATCTTTCAGCTGCCATTTCTGTGCCCAAACATTTGCACAAAAATGTTTATTGAAGTAAGTCATCCCTTCCCTACCGTTACCCATTCATGATGAACCCACCTAACATTCCACAGTCGGCACATAAACACGCACACCAAACCCTACAAATGTTCCTTTCCAGATTGCATCGAGCGGCGAGCCACAAATCGAGATTTGAAACGCCACATGGACGTTCACGATCCGGTTTCGGCTCCAGCTTTCCTGTGTACGGACCAGGGATGTATGTATGCGGTTAAGGGGTTTAAGAGGAAAGATAATCTGAAGAGGCATGTGGAGAATATACATCCGGGGCTGGTTGCTTGAGGGGTCTCGCTTAGGCATCTTCTTCTTCTTTTGTTTTGATATCTAGCGGGTTAGGTAGTTTGGCGTTTTGATTTTTGGCTTTGTTTCCTTTTGAGGTGTGGTGTGGTGAGTAAGTAACACTTCGAGTAAGACTAGGAGCATAGATGGAGTGGTCTTTGAATAAAATCTTCTAAAATATAAGCTCATCTAATTGCTCTTGAAATGTCTGGAAATGTAAACAAAGCGGCTCGATCCGGGTGGCACAACGTCAGGCTGGAGGAGGGGAGCAATGAAGTTGGTAAGTTTGTTGTTGCTGTAGTGACACAAATTGCCACAAGGGCATTGTCAATTTCAGCTTGACATTGCCTTAATTCCTCACGAGAGGTTCCGATTTATGATGATGCCACATGCCAACCGAATTATTACTTTCTCAACCACTCGTCTGAAGTCATTCATTATCATTCGCGCAATAAGCAGGCAATTAAGCTTTGGAATCGCATTACATTGTACAATTCGAACTACATACAATACTCGTTCCACAGACATATCAAAACATCCCACGGCGAAGACACCGCCATATCCTGATCCTCCACATATCTTCTCCTCTACTGCTTCTTGGCAAACTTTCTGAAGTAGCTCAGATCATAAGGAATGAGCTTCCCCTGCTCTGTGCCCAAGTTGAACAGAGCAGATGGATAACACCAACCAGGAGTCGTCCAAAACAAGAGGAAGAAGCCCACCCATACGTATCCTAGCATTCTGGTCCACAGGCGAGGGGGATCCTTCAAGTCTCTTCCGCTGATCAGGCGGTAGATAAGCTGAATTGCATCCTCAACCACGACCCCGGCGGCCTGGAAATAAAAGAACTTCAAAGCGCCAGACATCTCCCATTCCATGCCACGCGACCAATCGGCAATGGCGTTCAAGAGTCCAGACATGAAGAACGTGACGAACACTTTTGAGTATGTGTTTGGTGGGGAATACCTTTGGAAGACGAACCATTCATCCACGAAGTAGCTGGCGGGTGCTGCGAAGATCTTGCGGGTTCCCTGAAACCAAGCATGTCTATTGGGATCTGTTAGTGACAGAAAAGGCAACGGTAGCTGATTAATGCTTACCCCCAGAAGCCACGGATGGTGTAGGCTTCAGACATAGGCCCAAGAAGCGCCTTGCAGTTCTCTACCTTGCTGAGTCCAAGGACGACACATAGTATGTTCACAACAGAACTGAGCAGTGTCATCGATGTGCTCAAGATAACCCAAAATCCGGATGAAACTGCAATCCTGGTGAGAGCTTCCTGTTGAGTGATATCTCCGAGGCGCTTGAGAACTGAAACCCTGTCGAGCGAGTATATCTGGGCAGCGTTTGGAGGAGGTGGCTGGCTCTCGATGAAATCGATGACAAAGTAGCAGATAATGGCGGTCACCACTGAGCGAAGGACGAATGCCGCAGCGGAGGGGACAAAGCTCGGATCATTATAGATGAAAGGCGGGACGTTCTTGGCTTCGAATGGTGTTCCACAATCCCTGAAGGAGAAGATGCTCTGAAAACCAAAAACAATCCTCTCGAACACTGATCCACTGGTCTTCTTTTCAACTTTCGCCGCCTCGTCACGTGGCTTGCTGTCAGCGTTCTTTTTCGCCTTGGCAGCAAGCTGAGAAGCTGGTCCTTTGGCTTCGAAGCTCCATCCGCTCAGGATAGCCATCGAGACATAGTTGAGGAACAGGCCCCATACTATCAAGCTGGCTACCGCGGCGTAAGGCTGTTGGATTTTCGCTCGCGCGTACATCATGAAGGAGTACGTGCAGGCGAACAGGACAGGGACGACTCCATGGCGGGAGAATGACCCTGGGGCCGCGAAGCCGAGCACAGCGGCTGAGACAAACAGCTGTGTCGAAACGTAGATGAGGGGATCCAGCCGGTCGTCTAGACTTGCTGATATGACCGACATCGTGAGGGGGGCGACTTGACGGTTCAGTTGACAAGCGATGTGATGGTTGAAGAGGAAAGAAATTGTTCCAGAAGTCAAATTTAAGCTATCCGGGCGGATTTCTATGGGACTTGCCCAGCCTGCCAATCCTTACGCGAACACTTAAATAGTTTAGCTTCTCCCCAGTAGGTTTTAAGCATCAAAATAGGAAGGTCATCACGATTTTCTATCTAGGTAGGTATCCAAAGCCACGAAGTGGAGCATTTCGTGCTCAAATTAGGAATACACCGCAATGCAGTGCTTGCGGATTCAATTGGGCTCTTTGATACAGGTGGCTGAAGCGGCATTGTAACCATGGCCGCAGCTTCTGCCCTAGATTAATAGCGTCGATAAGCCTGAAACCTTTGTGTTTGCGCCACTGAACACCCTGGAGGTAGATAGATTTTTAGCGAGTGTTGCCCGTACCCACCCTGCCTCCCTGCCACCTACGCGAGTAACTTCTCCTTGCTTAACTCGCCAGAAGAATTATGTGTCTCATAATAGCCCCAACTTCATTTTCTGCAGAGTAGTTCTTTGTGTGTTGTTGTTTTTCTTTTGATAATTTGATGACACACGAAGAAAGGTTTACATTCCATCACATGTGTGTCGTAGGCCGAGAATATAGTTGGATCAATTAAGAGATAGAGGTTCGTAGAGGAAATAGGACGCCATCGTTTCTCAAGTCTTGTCCTGGGGAGATCACGAATGGGAGTTTTCTGTGTCATTCAATGGACACCCAACCAAAGAATAACATGCGGAATTAGTAATTCCAATATCAAGAAAGACTGAGGGCATAGATGACGATAGATAAGATTGTCAGGCTTCACACCAAGAGCCATGGAAAACCTTCCAAGATCGTGGAGAGACCAAATATGGATATTTCACACTATTAGACCCTATCTCCTCATTACTCCATGACATGAACACTAGGCTGGATATCGCATCTCCTGCCTTCCAGGCTCGTAAACCCGGCTTGCCTCGAGCCAGGTTCCTCCCCCAGGCTCAAAAGAATCTGATCCAGTATCAATAGCGCTCAGTAAACGAGATCCACACTCCGCCGTGCCCAACACAGCATCTTCGTTCCATAATGGCAAGCTGTATTTGACGGGAAGCAATTCATAGGGCACGCTGTTTTCCTCCCCTCGGGATAGGTCAGCCAAATGAATTGCTGTGCATGTCCAACCATGCAATTCGAGCAGAAGTTTCGAGGATCTTGGAGTGACCAGCAAGAATTTCCAGGTGTATTATACCCCTTCCAGTTGTTCCAAAGAATATCTGCGTGTCAATATCTGCTGGCTCCGGTCCAACCCCAACTCTAGTATGCCGTGACGAGTTCCCGCCCTTCAATAGCTTCAGACAATGACGATGAGCAGGCGTATTTCCCCGCTGGCCAGTTTCCTTCCAATACCAATACTCTCCCATCACGGCCAAAGCCCCCACTCAAATGGATCAACATACGGATAATCCCTTCTCATCCCCATAATAACACTCAACTCATCCCTCAAAATATCACTCCCTAGATTCGCATACCCACCATCCGCCCTCCCTTCTTCCTTAAAAACACTCAACTCATGCCTCCTCAACGCCACCGTCCAAGGAAAACTACTATGTGCAACCCCCATAAAGAACCCCGCCTTGAACATAATCAGGAAATCAACCAGAGCCTGCTGATCAAACGTCATGGCATTCAAGCGTTCCAGATCATGTCCTCCCAACAACTTATATTTCGTCACAACGGAAATGCTCATCTCTTTCTCATCCTCCTCAAGCCTTCGAGCAATGTATTCAGAGAACGTATCGACGATTGATTGGTCTCCACAAGCCACGTAAACAACATCCATCCCACTCCCTTTAATCTCACCCCACACCTCCGCAAACTGATCTTCCATACGCGAAAACCGCCACCCCTCTTCCGGACTCCACGCCTCAACGGCATCTTTTTCAAGCCTCAAGTGCGCGCCGAAGAAGCTCTTCTCATTGATCGCCTTCTCAGGATCGATACCTAGCGAGAATTTCTGATCTAGAGCGAGCAGAACGCGAGCAGCGAGGGCGCGTGTATCGGCTCGGAAGGAGAGTAGTTTACCGAATTCGGAGACGAAGGAAAGACTGTCGTTGTGTACGGGGTATTCGAGGTACGCCTGGCCGATTTGGACGTGTATTGGTTCCAGAGGAGAAATCTCGATGTTTTGCTCGCTGAGCCAAGAATCGAACGAGGAGCGCCAGGATAGAGGGTCGGAGAGGCCTGTTCGGGGATGTTTGGGCTCGGATTGATCGCCTACGAGAGTCAAAGGCTCCTGGGCTCGGTTTTCGTAGGATGGGAAACCCGATGCGTGGTTGTAGAGGCGCATGCCTGGGCAAGCGGCTGTGAGGTGCGTGATAAATGCCTCCCGGTCAAAGAGGTATTCGAGAGGGACTTCATTGCTGGTTTCGATGTCGGAGATATCTTTCGGGTTCCGCTTTGCCATTGATGGGATGACGAGAGCGCCGCCACCGTGGATGGCATACCGTATGCATTTCAAGATCTGGTTTCGTACCATACCTACGCCTCCATGCTGTTCTTCACAGCTGAAGAGGAGGCCGGGACGAAAGTTGTTGGGCTTCTGGGTACACACTTCGCGGATGGGGAGGTAGTCAATGGGAGCGGGGAACTCGACATTCATGGCATGTCTGAGGAACACGGAATCTTCTCCTGACTGAAGCTCCAGACTTGGCTGGGGTTCATAGAAGAATCCGGGGCCACGAATGTTGTAAAGAGATATCCAGATGAATATTAGAGCTGCTGTACAGCCAACGGCGGCTGCCATCTCTCGGCGGTCCTGGAATACCATTGTTGGTTATGATACATTGAAAATGATCTACTTTTGTTCGAGAAGATGGAAGAAAGCTTTCCATGGTGGGATGAGATATAACTTAAGCTTTAGCTAAAGGTGATAGTCTGAGTAGAGAACGGCTTGTTTCCGATGTGAAACTATTCGAGGTTCGATGTAGTTCGGGACCAGCCAATGGGAACGTTCAGACCGTGCGCTGGCTCGGCTAGACTAGTCCAGGGGCTTGATTGATTTTTCTAGGCTCAGACAACCGCAGGGACGTAGAATGCTACTTGAGGGAGGCTCGAGGGTTTATTATACTGGATCTTTCATTTGGCCATCTGCATCAAGAAATGCTGCAAACTCCAATTCTTACAATAACAGAATTTCGGACACAAATCAATCAGATGGGGAGCCGAAGATAACTGAGAAACGCCGAAAGAGAAAAGAGTAAAGAGCAAAACGGAACTGAACAAATCCCACTTGCGAGATGCGACAAGTTCCGTCAGAAACAGGAAGTAAATTTCAAAAGAAGTGCCTCGCACACGAGTGGCGTACTGTATCCAATACATTCCACTATATATGCCTGTCGCATAACACGTTCTTTCTATCCAAAGACCAAATACCGGTCTTAGCAACGATCTACATAGCTACCCACAGAGACATTGGATTACCCAAATGTAAGCAATGTAATCAATATAGTATGTATCCATCTAGCCCGGATCTGTTATAGATCAATACCCTAACGCCATGATCCAATGCAGTATGCCTCCAGGAAATGCAAGAAATGTGGTCTTCGATGTTTTCATATTCTACTATATGTTTGTTTTATCATGTCGTATCATGGCATATTCATTCCCAAAACGAATAGCCTGCTGTATTTCGTTTTTCCGAGGATGCAATACTGAGTCGCTCTTTCATCTTGATGAGTAGGTCACTTACCATGAATGGTTTTGAGATGACGGAATCCTGTGATTATTAGCCATTGATGTTCAAGAAGCTGAGCTTGGGCGCTTACAATTCCACTCGCAATCGCCGTCTCGATTTGCTCATCTCTCGCATTGGCCGTTGTTGCTATGATCTCAACATGCCGCGTGATCTTCTTCTCAGTCTCTAGCTTCCGAATTTCTCGACTACAGGCCAGCCCGTCCATCACAGGCATTTGCCAATCCATCAAGATAATATCGAGATGTTTCGACTCGGCGGACTTCTCGGACCATACATCACTCTCACGCAACATGTCCAATGCCTCTAAGCCGTGATTCGCAATATAAACAACGCATCCAGCCTTGAGTAGCTGCTTCTGGACGATCTTCTGATTTACAAGATTATCTTCCACAAGCAAGACGTGGATTTTATTGAAGTCAACGGCTGGGATTTGAAAAGCCGAAGACATTGATCGTGAGCGAACAGGTAAAGAAAGCTGGATATTATCAGGTGTCGATACGCCATGCTTTTCGGTTCGCCGCGACTTGACATAGAATGCGAAAGTACTACCTTGTCCTATTTCTGATGACACACCGATCTCACCAGATTGCTTTTCGGCGAGCCTTCCAGATAAAAACAGACCCAGGCCCTAGATTCGAATCATTAGTACTGAATTCGAGGGTCTCGCAGTGTGGCTTTGGGCTCGCTAGTGCGATGTAGCCAAGACTTTGCTGAGTACAGAAAAGTCGGTGGAGAGATATAGTGGAAGTACTAACCGATCCGCCATATTTTATGGACGTTCTAGCGTTGGCTTGTTTAAAACGACCAAAAAGCTTTTTGATCTCCTCACTCGTCATCCCAATGCCGGTGTCAGTGACAGAAATGGTAAAGTATAGGGGCTCGCCCAGGCCCCATTCCGGGTGTTCTGTCAAATCTTCCACTTCCCGATGATTTGGAGCCCACTTGATATCTTTGGAAAATGATTCCCTTGGATTCGAAGCAGTCACTCCATATTCGACTTCAATCTGGCGCCTGCTCTCTGCTTTGGTAAACTTGATCGCATTCGTCATCAAGTTTATGAAGATCTGCTGCACTCGAGACTCATCGCACAGTATCCAGTCATCATTGCGCCTGTCAAGAGAAGGATGAGCTCTAGTTTTGATGGTAATATCAGCCGAGAGCAGTTGAGACTCAAACATTTTCATCCACTTGTCTACGAGCTCGGGAACTTGTACCGGCAGTGGTGAGACAGATAGCATCGTATATTCAAGCTTGGAGAGTGTCAAGACGTCATCAACAATCCTCTTCTGGTGCTTTGCACACATCAGAATTGTTTTGGCATGATCAATATTCCCATTCAAGCCTTCGACGAGATCAGACAGGGTAAGAGGCTTCCCTTCTGGGACTGGAAACGAAGTAATGATTGTTTCTGCAAGTTGAAAGATTGCCGAAAGAGGGTTTCGCAGCTCGTGAGAAACGAAATCAATGAATTCTTCCTGTTGTCTTTTGGCTTCCTGCGCAGCAGCAGCTTTCCGAGCTTCAGACGCTTCGGCCCACTTGAAAGCAGAGACGTCGGTGGTGAAAGCCATGAGCGACTTCAATATCCCTTCTTCCACTACTCGGAAAGAATGTATAAGGACGATTGCAGGTTCCGGGTCACCAGATGGCGGGTTGAACATTCGTTTGAGGCGCATCTCAGTCGAAATGCTTGACTCTCCTTGCACTAAACGTTTCCAATTATCCATGGCTTTCGCCTGGTCCTCGTCGATGAAAACATCCATGAACGAAAGAGGATATTGAGACTCCTCTCCACGGGGGTGTTCAGTCAATCGATAATATTCGTCGTTCGCCCAAATCAAACGTCCATCAACAGCGATGTATTGCATCCCTACCGATGCATTTTCGGCCATGTAGCGAATCTGCCTCATGCGATCAGCAAGCTCTCTTTGAAGACTCGCTTCTCGCTTCCTAGTTTCCTCAGCGTTCAAGATAGAGCTAGCCATTGATGATATTTTGGATCCCAAATCTTGCATGAACTGATAATAGTCTTCATCGAGTGGTCTCCGAGGGTTGGCTCCGACGATAAGAAAACCATACAGGCGTCCAGGTTCCGAAATAGGTAGAATAGTTATGTGTCTGCTTGGCTCTCCAAATCCACTCCATTTGATACCAGCAAAGGACTCGTCGACTGGGACTGTAAGCATCTTCCACCTAGCCTTCCGCATGAGTGGCATGAGTCCGACATCGCTACTTATATCGGCAGCCTCGATGGCTAAAGGATGGTGTTCTGGCAACCCGATGTTACCCCGCAACACTACTGGACATAATCCGGGAGTCGTATCGTCCGCCTTATATATCATAGCCATGGGGAAATCCCATGGATTCTCCTTCAGCATTGGAATGACATGGGTCGCTAGCCTCCTTTTGTCTTCTGGTGACGGCATGTGTAATCCATTGAGCATAACTCGCCTTCTTTCGTTGATTTTCGCCCTCGTAACTTCATAAACGCCATTGTAAAATCCTTCTATCTTCCCATTATCGCCCCGAAGTGGAATAAAGTTGCCGTTAAAGAAAGCCTCTTCAAGAAATCCATTCCGCTCAACGAACATCTCCATATCGTCCACAATGGATGCCTTGCCAGTGGTCTCTGCAAGGTTGAAGACTTGCTCGAAATGCTGCCATATCTCGGGGAAGCCTTGTTTGAATGGTGCACCCATCAGCATTGGGTGGGTTTTGCCGGCCAAAGGAATGAAAGCTTCATTGTATATAGCAACTCTGTCGGCACCCCTAGTTTCCCGAATTAGACAATACATTGATAGCTCTTTTTGCTTCTTACCAGTAGACACATGCTGCTCTGGAGTCTGCAAGCACAGTGAAAGTGTTAAGTCGGAGAGCATGATCCCATTCTTTTAATGGGCCCAAGGGTGTAGCAGCCCAGTCGGTTTCTCTGAAGAAACGGACATGCTCAGAATCCGGGATCAGCGAAGACCAGTCGTCTTCATCGAGGGGTGAAACCTGAGGTTCAGGGTCGTTCGGTGAGGTTTGCGAGGCACCGGAACGGAATGGTGTACCTCTTGCAACATCGGACTTCGAAGACGCAAGCTGGACAAGGTTTTCAGCCTCGGGCTGTTGTTGGCTCTGATTCTCCTGGCCTTGGCCTTGACCGTGGATCTGTTCATTCCTTTGATCCTGCGCAGGTATTTCCGTTTGATCCTGTTGATCCTGGCTATCAGCAGCAGAAGCGCGCATGCTGCCTTCGGCTTCCTTCGCACGTTTGCGACCAGACCATGCCCAATCCAGCAGACACATGAGCATAGCATGGGCGTCTTGTGTTGACACTGTTGAGGCCAGTCGGTCGAGTGTTGGACAGGAGGTTCGTCAGACCGGGTTAGACTTCCATGGCTCGCGCCGGCGATGTCATCCAGTGTCGGGGCATGGACATGCGCCGTGGCGGCGAAGAGAAGGACGACGAGGTGTTGTTGATGCCAGGCGCGGAGGGATGAGGCTCACGAGCAGGCTCGCAGGATAGGGCAGGGTAGAGGATGAAGTTCGGACGAATCTAGGAAACGTCAACTCTTGACAGCGGTAACCTTATTCAGGCAAAGCCAGAAGGGGCTCAAGAAGGTTCAGGTCAGGTAAACTTGTCAAGTCAGGTCAGGTTGTCGGCATGGTGCCGTGGAGCCGTGGAGCCCTGAAAATGAGGCTACCTTAGCTGCTCCTTTTGGGTCTAAATCAATTATTACCTACCTTACAGTACAAGCTTACCTAGCCTTGGACCCTGCCTTCCGTGGGAAGCCTCCAGCCCCGCAGCGCTCCCTGCAGGTGCACCTGGCACAGGCTGGCAGCCCTGACTGGCCTGACTCGGGCGTCATCGTGCATCGTGCAGCGATCAGAGTGATGTGGCGTCCATTCACGACGCGGCCGCTTCCCGAGAAATGGGTCCCGATCCACCTAAGACCCGACTCAAGTCGGCTGTCCTTCCGATGGAACTTACTCGTAAACAAACAACGAGAGCTTCAATAGGAGCGATCATCCAAAGAACAAAAACACTATTTAGATGCATAATTCGGAAAATCTTCAAATGTGAGTCTTCAGTCATTAGCAGTGAGAGCCGTCTCTCATCTAACACGACGACCAGCTCATGCGCGTCCGCATCAAGATGTAAGTGAGTGGCTGGGCATTTGCTTTTGCTTCAACAACACAATATTTGACATTCAACTACCCAGACCAATGGAGTGGTCAGAGAAGGTATCACAGCATTAACCCAATGACCTCACCACTATCCCCCTGAGATTTACAGCAGCTCTCCATCTCCTGGCATCCAGCCCGACTCCCCATCATGGTAGACCTCATGCCAATGTCTTGGTTGGTACTCCAGGATCTGGAAATCTTGGATGATCAAGCCATCTCGCCCAAAGAATAATCAGAATAGGTGACGGGCAAGCAATTTCAGACGGAAGCCTGGAAAGCCTGAGACAAGAACGAGACTTGTCACGCGGTCCAGCAGGAAAAAGAATCCTACTGCAATTTAAGAGAGCTGCGGCTGCTATCTTGTATTACAGCGCATTGCCTCTTTCACCTCCCAGGGCTGGAGAAGCTGCTGATCTATATGCATGATTTTCTTTGTTGATTCTACACGGGAAGTCTTCAAGATCGGCTTGTTTCGGTGGGAAAGTCCTGTTCAACTGCTGTTTCCACCGCTCAAGTGAGTATTTGTCCTTATTTGAAAAGAAAACTCTCGCGATTCATCCAGACTATATGAAGATTGGTTAGGGGAGTGCTGGCTAGGATTATCTCGGAGCTGTGACAAACTCGTCCCAGGGTAATCTTTGAATTATGGAAACCTCCCCAAAATCCAGCTGATAATTAACCGAAAAGAGATCGTGAGCGATGAGCTAAGAGGTTCATCTCTAGGTTGCGCATCATTATAAATGACTTTGTACACATGAAGCATGGTGGAAAAGTAAGTGCTTTGGCTGGTATCTCGCATTCTTATAGGATACTATCTCCTACTGCGACCACAATAGGTAGGATTGCAACTGCCATCAAGCTCCAGCTGGCGCTTTCAATACGTCCGCCCGAGGTCGTGATAGAAGCTGGTGCAGCAGTGGAAGTGCCAGAGGTAGCTGCCGAAGAAGAAGTCGCAAACGGCGTGGTCCTCACAGAACTCTCCACCGCATCTGTCAACACTGACTCAGATGCGACTGCTTCCGACTCTTTAGGAGACACAATCGCAGTACTCAGAACAACCTCCACCGAAGGAACATTCGTCGTCTTCGTTACCGAATGCCCAGTTTTAGTCAGAGAGACACCGGCTGTCTTCGACGCAGTCGAATCCGCCGTCCTAGTCAACGAGCCAGTCTTGACCGTCCTCTCACTACTTGTTTCCTCAACCCCCGTGGTATAAATCCCAGCTCCTTTCAAAACACCCGGCGTATGCGTCATTAATAACCTCGAATCCGTAACCAAACTCACAGAGCGGAAGAACCCATTCGCGGTCTCGCCTGTGTAAGTGATTGCTTCAGTTGTGGTGATTGGCGCGGAAGGAGAGGCGTCATCTGAGACACCAGTTGCAGTGCATCCCATAGAAGTTCTTCCACGAAGGGCGCAATCGAATATAAATGTTCTGTACTTGTGTTAGAAGTTGAGTTGTGGTGCAGAGAGGAGGATAAGGACTGTGTTGATGAAGCAGTTGGTGCTACGAATCCAAAATGGAGCGTCTTTGGCCCTTCAATCATTGTAAAAGGCTGCTCGAACTCGCAGGATGCCGTGTCGGTTCCCGTAGGACAGGCAATGAGATATGTTGTCGCATCATGTTTGTCCTATACCATTCAATTTAGTAAATGACCTAAAGCATAATTACCTCGCAGAAAGTAAGAACTTACAGAAGCAACCGGGTATGCAACAACAGGGTACGCAAGGTTGAATAGATCCGCCGTCGTTGCAGCGACCGGCGCAGTACGCAGGGTACTAGTTTTCACGCTCGCTGCATGGAGAAGAAGCAAAAAAAGAAGATTTAAGGATAGTGGGTTGGACAGGAACATCTCGTTCCTAGATCCGTTCGTGATACATGCATATATCTTCACTCCGGTGTCATAATGCAAGACGAAACATCAAGATTGTAAACAGAGGAAAGCAGCAAAGTCCAAAACCCATTGCCCCATCGTGGGGACACTCAACTTTATCATCACCAAACAACCTAACAATGACAGACACAGGGCAATTTTATTTAATTGCCAGCGTCGTTATCACACATGTTTTAATTTCCGCGATTCCAGGGCTTCAGGGGTTCAAATCGTTAAGCGAGAGTCAAAGCGACGGTTGATTCGTGGGGATTCAGGGGAACGCATTTGTCGTCATTTGGAACCGATGTTTGAAACGGATGGTCAGCCACCAAAAGGAGGGGAAAGGAAATTTAAGGTGTGTCGAGGAACGTTTACATTCCTTCTTTTTGCCCGCCGTCTTGCTGTTCTCTTTGATGATGAGGCGGCATGATGATTGAACTGGTTTGCACAAAGCGGCAATTTGGAAATGGAGACCACTTCCCTGCGAGCGCTTGGAAATTTTGTAATCCACAATTTTAATCCCCCATCAACGTCAGTCGATCCATCCTTGAAGATAAAGTCATCGCTGCCGTTTTAATCGGAATTATGCGGGGATTTCTTTGTATGCGAAATTATATCTTCAAATCCTCCTTTTCGGCGATGCGCTGATGATTTTCTCGGACCGTGGCGGCATAGAAATGATAATCTTGTGATAGACAATGGGTAACATTTGGGATTTTGAAATGCGCGAGCCAGGAGTGATATCAGCTAAGGTTCCAATTTCGTGTTGATTTGGTTTTCTGATTTATTTTGGTTGGCTTTGTTACCCGGTAATCGTGATTTGTTGAGTATTTCCTTCGGTGATAGAACTTTTGTTGAATTGGGGGGAATTCATTGCATAGCACCCCAGATAGAGCTTGCAAGCCTCGATGAGGTGCTACAGTGTAGCTAGTCCTGGCAACGGCCCCTGGTAGAATGAATCTTGAAATTGACCAAGGGTGAGCTTTCACCAGTCCTGACGCAGCTTATGAATCCGATGCATGGCAAGCCATAAATTTCAAGAAGAAAAATTATGGCATTTCCTTGTCGTTGCCTATTCCACGGCCAGCCTTCAAGTTACTGACGAAGCAGGTAACGAAGTTTAGGCTCACCTAGCTGAGGTGAATGAACTGTCTGTTAGTCTGATCTGCCTCCTCTGTCTTGTCTTCTGCTAAGTTAACGGTCCCAATGTTTTTCCTCGATACACCATTGTACTTTGCCCTGCTCGAGGGCGTCGAAACTTCCACACCTTGAATGGCCTGGGTGGCTTATGGAAGATGTTTCTTCCAGGATAGGTATTGAGACGAACAGCGGCTCGCTGACATCGCAATGAAGATGCTTGTCAACAAACTGTACCCGAAAATGGCTTGATGGTCAGTTTCGAGCGCCACCAATGAGCTACTGGAAGATTTTGCTCCTCCTAGATGACTTTCCCTTCAACATCATCTTCCGTACTTCAGAATCCAAGGGCCAACCAGGCTTGATCAAACGGAAGTCCTCATTCTGAAAAGCTGTACAGATGGAACCTCGATCGAACGGGACCATATCCACCTCTGATCCAATATGGCCACGCCATTTATCATCTAATAGCGAACCACCGACATCTTTCCATGTCGTTATTGATACACCCCTACCAGCCTCCCCAAATGATCTGAAGACGACTTGAAACTCTGTATGGCAATATCGGCATGGAATTAGACCTGTCCCCATTCGAGAAGCTTGTAGATCGGATCCGTCTGGCCTGCCGAACTGATCCGCCATACGATCTAATCTCTCCATAGAGTGCATTGTCAACGTGAAGTGCGGGCAGATGATGAACCTCGCGTTCCTTGGAAGCGGCTCCTCGTTGGTATTCGGCATGAGGCACACCCTTTGGTCTCGAATGAGCAAACAGCCTCCAACAACACGAGCAAAAGCGCTATGTCGCTCAACATATCCCTCTTTCTGACAAATTCTGGCTTCGGAAGACAGCAATTCAAGCAGCTTGGAACAATCGAGCCTTTGCTGATGTTGCTTTACCGCCATCTCGAAGACAACGGTCGAAAATCCCTTATGAAAATACCAGTCAATGTTACTCCACATCTGCTCCCACCTACATCTTGAGTAAGGATAACGCATATTTCTAGTTAGGAGATATAAATCTGCTTTCTCCATCGCATGAAGCTTGGTACAATGCCGGCATATAATGTGGCCAGGTAGATCCCGTTCCAGTAACTGTAAGAAAGTGAGTTTGTTCTCCCATGGCAGCTTGAAGCTTGAATTTGGGAGGGTGAGACGTAGAGACTGGCAGCTGAGAGCAAAGGATGCGACTGCGTCACGAGGGAGGAAGGCGGCGATGTGGTGGATGAGCTCGTTCGGTAGCAGCCTGAACGGCGACCTCTCAAGAGATGGAGTATTTACCCTCGGAACTTCGCTCTTGCAGCTTGCAGAAGATCTTGATACGCCGTAGCCCATATTTCGATTTCAAGTGAACAGATATGAGTTTAACTGAGAGATGTCTGTACCTAGGTAGAGTACGAAGTTGCCTTGCATGAGTTATTTGTTCGGCTGCATGATTAGAAGCTAAGGTGCTTTAGGCTGCATCTCGCTTGCACGATCTCCCCTCCCCCAATTGGACTGAGTTGAATAAAGGACTTGATAACCCAAGCAAGGACGGGAGGCAAGCGATGAAACATTCTGGAGGTTCCAAGGTTATTCATTTTAAGATACGATCAATGAATAATAATTCTAGAAGATGTAATCTTTGACATGTCAACATTAGAGTGTTTCTGCCCCACTCTTCAAGAGTACCAATTATCACTCAACAATGTAAATTTTGTTGCGGTGATTGTTTACTTTGCTTTTAAGGATGATACTAATAAACGAGGCATGGCTGCACAGTCTTTTAGACCTTGGAGACAACGCTTGGTCTGACAATTTTTATGGGACGGAGGAATTGTTGATGACTTTGCTTTAAGCGAGGTTTCCCTTCTGTATGGCCTCCTCGGGCATGGTACCTGAAATATTCTAAAGGACCCAGAATTCTGGATGAAGCTTTGCGCTGTATCGAAAATGCTAGGATACCGGGCTATACGCTCGACAAAACTCTTTATTGGAAGCCCTATGAGCTGTGAGTTCTGGAACTTCGACAGAAGCTGCATTTGCCGGAAAATGGAGAGCAGACAGGGGACTCACATCGCAGTCTCCATGGAAAATAGCCAGCACGAAGATTTCTAGGGTTCGCATGTTGACTAGCATATATTTCATTAGTAAATAACATGAGTTCGAAATCACCACCAGTCTAGAACGATATCCACAGGTATTGGCGAACCAGAACTAGGTAGGTCCGGCTTAGCTTAGCGAAGTTCGGGGACCTGGAGAGGTTACTGTTTTCTGTACTCTTCTGAACAAAACATTCTGTACTCAACAGGACCTAGATCTTGTAACTCTTACTCTTATGGTATGCCGCCACTATCTCATATCTCTATCGTCTTGGGCAAGCCTCACCATCCCTAAGTTGTATTCTTTTCAGTACTCTTGGCAAAGCAAGTCCGTTTAGATCTTATTCCCGAGTCAAGCCAAACTTGAAGTTGGAACGCAACTCCAAAATCCGCCACTAACTCAACCTAGACCCAAACCCGAACCAGAATATCGGCGACCTGACCCACCATACCCCGAACGGCCCGGACATGGCTCCCACGTTTGGCAGCGCAAACTGGGGAATTGCTCGGGCGCTCCAGTGTACCGGCTTTGTCCTACGTGGGGAGTATAGTGAAGAAACAGTTCGAAGTGACGTGCGATAAATGAAAATATAACGAGTCTTGCGAATTTGTTGCCGAGTCTGGTCGAGGAGGCTGTGAGGAACAGATGGTTGTCAAGCACCGAAGGTATGTAATGACAATGGAATCGGCTCGAAGGAAATTGTGTATAGTTAACGAAAATGGTAAAGTGGAATGGCACTTTACGGTACCTGCATCACGCAGAGGGTTTGTAAACACCGGACCGACACTTGTGGTAGTGCCGTGTGGTGTAGTGGGAAACCTATCGGTGTTGACTATTGAGTCTGTCTCAATGCTAGTTTTCGCACTTGTATTTAGTTCTTTTATCTGAAGTAGTAGTCCATCTCTACATCTAACATGACCACCCCTAAGTCCTGCTGCCATCTCGTCTTGTCGACCTTATTCTTATCTTTGCTCTTGGGACTCTACAAACAATAGGACGAACAGAATGGCGACTTCACTCGCCGCCTCCGCAACAGCAGGAGCAATATTCGGCTCTGCGCTCACACTCTCGGGCGTCTACTCACCATGGATAATCCTCTCCCAGATGCAGAACTCAAATTTCCACATGTTACAGACTTTCCTCACTGCAAGTGGTTGTAGCACGTGAGCTGCCTTACCCTCTCTTCCCATGTCCAACCCTCTAACTTCCCTCTGACGTATCAGTTCCAGCTAACGCCCTCAAAGAATAGCAATGATACTCGCCCGCAGATACGGCATAGCACCTTGCCCACCACGCTCTCCGACAGCCCTTGGCACATTTCCATACGACGGGAATATCATCGGTGGCTTGCTTCTAGGAACCGGCATGACGTTGACAGGCGCATGTCCTGGGACTGTACTAGTACAGATTGCGACTGGGATTCGCTCGGGATATTTTTCTTTTCTGGGTGGGATACTTGGCGGGACAATGTACGGGATGGTGAAACCGTTTCTATCTTCTAATTCGAGAAATCGGGGAGCTGGCGTCACAGCTGCAGCAGTGAAGGATGAGCCGAGAACCGTGCAGCAGTATGTTGGGATGAGAGAGGAGAGATTGGTGTTGATCTATGAAGGATTTTTGGTTCTAGTGTTGATGTTGGCAAGCTTGACGGAGAGGGCGGACAATGTTTTGTTCCCTCCTGTGGTTGGGGGTTTTTTAATTGGTGTTGGCCAGGTCGCTTCGCTTGTGTTGACTAGGAGTGCGGTGGGAGTCTCCAGTGCTTATGAACAGCTTGGCGGGGCAACGAAGCGGGCGTGGGGATATATGTCTGGAGGTGGTAAGGATTCGGGACCTCAGCCTGCATATAATTCGGTCGTGTTTGCAGGAGGCGTTGTCTTCGGAAGCTGGGTGTTGAGCCTGGCGGTGGACCTGAAGGTACCTGGAGGAGATGCGCCAATTGCTGATTCGACGGCGATACTAGGTGGCTTGATCATGGTCTTGGGTGCAAGGGTTGCTGGTGGATGTACCTCTGGTCATGGTATCAGTGGCATGTCCACATTTTCCATTGCGAGCATAATATCTGTCGCAGCTATGTTCACAGGGGGAATGGGGCTTGCCCTGTTAATGTAGAAATAGAGAGGTAAGAAATGCACAAAGAAGTGATAGATAGTATTCTGTCGACTCTCGAAAAGTGATAATCATACATCATGATCATATTTTGTAAACAGCGTAAAGTCCTCAGAAATACTGCATCGAGAGATATTCAATCATACCAATCCAGTGAACTAATATTGAGAACACACATGACAGAAATCAAATCATGAAGCAACTGGGTATTCTAAATTCGAGGAAAGAACTCGTGGTGGAAAGAGAGATGGTTTTCATCCGCCGAAGCCCCAATATACTTGGGAAGTTCACACTTGAACGCCGGGCGCCGAGATCCTGATGCCGCTAAATTCGACCCAACTCCAGCAAAGCAATGTCATGAGACTTTTCCCATGCTTGCACTCCAAGCTTCATCAGCGCTCTCGTCTTTGCCAGCGGTGCCGACAATGAATTGAAGGACTTTGCTGATCTGGTCATTCAAGATCCCTGCTCTTCGCATTGTTTCTGTTGGGGTCAAGCCTCTTGCTTGTAATCCAGCAACTTTTGCTCTCCAAGCCTTTTCTTCTCGTTGCTTCAATGCCCGGTCAACTCGCATAGGAACCGCCAATGTGACTCTCACTAAGTGAATAGTGAGTCTTGCTCGTCCAACAACATCAAAGTATCCTAGGCCCATCAATCGCTTCTGAACACGATTGATCCGGCCCAATTCGATGTATATCAACAGTGCATACGTCCTTGTCGTCAAGACTAACTCTCGTATACGTATAAAGCTTTTCTCGACATTGATGACAACCTCTTCGCTAACAAGGTTCGGATATTGGACGTGTAGTGATTCTAACCATCTCTTGACAATGACGAAATCGCCGGTCATGAACTCTTGGAGTATAGCTTCGACAGCACTGCGAAAGGTATGTTCGCCGCCAAGGAAGGTTGTTTTGTCTGGTAATTGGGAGGAGGTGGGCTTCGATGCTCGATCGTACGTCCGTCTGGCGCTCGGAGATTTGAGAATGTCAAAAGCGAATCCGAGTCGCTGGAAAGCACTAGGTTATCATTAGATCTCTGTACAAATTATTACAGAGAGAACAGCATTCGCTACCTCGTTGACAATTCGTGGAAAGGTGGTTTGTCGGGGTGACATATTTTCGACCGCTCGAGGTAGCATCGTCGCAATTCTGCTGGAGAAGCAGATCTGGGAGCGCCTAAGATCTGGTATAGCTATTCGGTATCAGCCTAATGTCGCGAAGTGGAACTTGGAGATCATATCGTACATCTTCTTCGTGAAGAACGCCTGTGATGTTGTCAATACAGTGGCAATCACATGTCATCAGGGGACCAACTCACTATGGATTATGTCATCTTTCTGATAGAAGATGGCGCTCTCTGTCTGATGCAAATGCCCTTCATCAGACATGGCGACGCGTTAGAGGCATTAGAAAAGGCAGATCGAAGAAAAGAACATGATGAGGATATAATACAGTGGAACGAGGATGGGGGGAGGGGAATGAAGCGAGGAAGAAAAAGAGGGTGCAGGTGTAGGCGGGCGGCGTGGGAGAAGGGAGGAAGAAAGGAAGATCCTCGGTGGTGGGTAGTGAGTGGTGAGTGGTGAGTGGTGAGTGGTGGGCAGGTGAAAATGATTTCCTCCTGTCTTCCCGTCCGTTTTCACATGCAGGCAAAGACGGGAGGCAGAGACATCCATCTCGTCCTTACTCTGGGAGGGGGGGCATGGGCATGATCTGACACGTGAAGACGGAGGGCTTACCCGGGGCAGCGTGTGCTACAGTAGCGCCTTGGCAAGAGGAGAGCGCGAGCACGAGCAAAGTCTCCGCAACGTCACTTCCGAGGGAAGGAGATGGACGTTTAGTTGAGGCTCAACGAAGAGGAGAATGAAATGAAAAGAAAAGAAAAGAAAAGAGATGCGATGCATTGTCAGCCATTGTCCCTCTACACCACTGCACTGACAGTGAACTGGCACTGACCCTGACCTCTTCGCATACCAGCAATACCTGGAACACAAAGTAGGATTGGAATGGACGGATAGGTTTATGGTGCCACCGATATATCGCCGGAACGAAGCACAACCACAGCGTCGAATATGAAAGCCCGATAACCTGGGATATTGTGCCACCATGGCAGATCAAGATGGCGGGCCGTCAAGGAGGGGGAGGTCGCCGGGACCGAGTGATACCGCGAGCAACCACGTTCACTTCGATACCACAAGCATATCCACAGAAACTGCTTCGAGGTCGACGTCTGCCATGACCTCCCCGCTCACTATGGACTTCAGAAGCTCAGACATCAGTGATCAGTCGCTGCCAAAGTTTCCTCCCTTGCACAACAATCCACCGCAGAGTGCTGAGCAATCGAAGAGGCCTTCTTCAGGAGATGGTGACGACGACGACGACGAAGAGTGTACGGCGACACCGTTCCAGCGAAGCACAAGTCCGAACTCCGACATGAAGAGAAATAAAGGAGCGGAATACGAGAAGGTTGGAGATCTGGGGGTCTGCAAGATGCACAAGTTTTCCCTGTACGAAACTGCCACAAGATACTACTTTGTTGGAGCGGATGTCATGGACAGACGTTTTCGGATCCTGAAGATAGACCGGGCGGCTGATTCTGGGAATCTGAACATATCGGAGGACGAAATTGTCTACACCAAGAAGGAGATGAGTCAGTTGCTGAATGCTATTGATGATGGCAACAGAAGCACCGGAGGTATGAAACTACGGTCGACCACTTGGGGTATCATTGGCTTCATACGGTTCACTGGGGTGTACTATATGCTGGTGATCACTAAGCGTAGTCAAGTGGCTGTGATCGGTGGTCATTTCACCTACGCTGTTGATGCTACAGAACTCATTCCATTAACGACGGGCCCTAGCTCACGATTCAAGCCGGATCTGAGGAACACTGAAGAGTCCCGCTTCATCGGTATTCTCAATAATCTAGATTTGACCAGGTCATTTTACTACAGCTACTCTTACGATATCACTCGAACTCTGCAACACAATATTATGGCAGAGAGAGAGGCAATAGCCAAGGGCATGCCTTATCCTCATGACCAAGATTATAATTCAATGTTCGTCTGGAATAGCTACCTTCTGCAGCCTGCAGTTTCGGCCCTGAAGAATACCTACGATTGGTGTATGCCAGTTATTCATGGTTACATCGACCAATCTGGTACGTTTAGCAATCTATATTCTGTCCCATCTAACAGTTACAGCTATTTCAATATATGGACGTACGGCCTATATTACCATCATTGCGAGACGCTCACGGTATTTCGCTGGTGCACGTTTCTTGAAGCGTGGTGCGAATGATTTGGTAAGAAAGACGCCCTGCCTGACTGATAGCCAGCTTATCAAGTAGGGTTATGTTGCCAATGATGTCGAGACTGAGCAGATTGTCTCGGAAATGCTAACAACATCCCTCCATGCTCCTGGGCCAAAGCTCTTCGCCAGCCCAAATTTCACTTCGTACGTTCAGCATCGAGGAAGCATACCACTCTACTGGACCCAAGATAATACTGGCGTGACTCCCAAGCCCCCAATTGAGCTTAACTTGGTCGATCCATTTTACAGTGCTGCTGCTTTGCATTTTGATAATCTTTTTGAGAGATATGGTGCTCCTGTCTACGTCCTCAATCTCGTGAAGGCCCGAGAGCGAACACCTCGAGAATCGAAACTTTTGCATGAATTCACAAATGCAATCAACTATCTCAATCAGTTCCTCCCGGCTGACAAGAAAATCATACACAAAGCCTGGGATATGAGCCGCGCATCCAAAAGTCGTGATCAAGATGTCATTGGCACACTTGAGAATATTGCCGAAGAAGTGGTCACGACAACTGGTTTTTTCCAGAACGGAGATGGTAAGATCACTATGCCTAGAGTGCAAAATGGAGTTGCGAGAACAAACTGCATTGATTGTCTGGATCGGACCAATGCAGCACAGTTTGTCATCGGCAAAAGAGCTCTTGGCCATCAGCTTCATGCACTTGGGATCATTGCAGATACATCGATTGACTACGATACTGACACTGTTAATCTCTTTACGCACATGTATCACGATCACGGCGATACGATAGCCGTTCAATATGGGGGTTCGCAACTCGTGAACACCATGGAAACGTACCGTAAGATCAATCAATGGACAAGCCATTCTCGAGATATGGTGGAAAGCTTCAAGCGATACTACAACAACTCGTTCCTCGATGGCCAGCGACAAGAGGCATACAATCTCTTTCTTGGGAATTACATTTTCGCTCAAGGACAACCCATGCTCTGGGATCTGGCGACAGACTATTACCTTCATCATACAGATCCTCGTGCTTGGTCTGGAAAGAGACGACGGAGCTACATCAATTGGTACACCCCTGAGTTCTTGGAGAAGAGGGTACTACCACCACATCGTGATCCTACAGGCTTCGTGGCCGCAAAACCACTCGGCTACTTCGACGAATACTGGCTTGAGTATTACAAACCTCTTTCTGTATCATCACTGCTCAAAGTTTTTTGCTATATGGGAAAACTCAATTCCACAATCCGCTACATCCCCTTCCGCTCGACCCAGGAAGGCCGCTACGACCTTTCTCCCTTCAAAGTCCGAACTGAACTCGATCAAGACGTCCCGGACAAGAAGAAAATCAAGAAAGAAGTCACCATCGTTGATCCTGCAGACGAAACAGAAAACATCGCAGCAGACGACGACAATGCCTCCATAAAATCCGGTACCACAGCAAATACAAAACGCATTTCTATTCAGCGCTGGCTACAGCCTATCCATGAGAAAAATGACCACCATCCTAGTATCATGAAGGAACCGCAGCAACCCACCCTCTCCCCGCAGAAACAAAAGCTTACCCCGCTTGACAAAAGCAAAGCCGCTCAATGGACATTCACACAAGTCGTTCACGAATCGCTCAACCCTTCCGTTAGCACGCAAGAAACAGACGACTACGTGCGCTACATTTCGCATCCTCAAACCCTGCCTCTGGTCGTCAGCAACGAGATTCCCACTGAGATTGACGCAGAGTATCTCGAATATGTGAACGGTAGTTGGGGCGACATTGGCATTGTGACTACTGGGGGCGAGGAGCCTAGCGGGAGTAGCGACGATTTGGCGGAGGCAAGGGATTTTCTGGCCGTGGGCGAGAATCCGCTGATGGTTTTTGAGGAGGATTTGGGGAAGAAGAGGTATAAGGCTTACAGGAAGTGGTTGTTGGGGAAGAGTCTGTTTAAACAGCAGCCTGTTGACTGATGTATGACAAGTATACCGGTTAAGCCGAGTTTGATTTGCTCTCGAGCTTGGCATTTTGGCGGCGTTAGGTTGGCATTTGGATGCATAATTGGTACATGGGATGAAATGCCATGGCATGGATTGGGAAATATCTTGCTACAAGTACCTGGTGTCTTCACTTTTCATCCGTTCCTTGTCTGGATCCATTGGGCCCTCCAGTGGTGGTTATTGTCTTTCTACAGACACTCTACTCTGTAAATAAGCTTTCGCTGGGGATCCGGACTGGCTCAGCTAATCCAGTATCCCTTCCCCCTTTCCCCATAGTCGTTTACTACGCCGCATGACAGGCTTTCCTTTGGCTCAATGTCCAGATACTACGCAAGGAACAGAAAACTGGACGTAAATCCTCATCATCCACATTCATATCCACATCTCCAAATGTCAAAATCCAAACAAATCTTCAATGCTATCGTCAACATTCACCAATGGCTTCAACTCCTCCCTCAGATCCACACTCCCCTCAACAGCCTTCGCAAATACCCTCCCCATAACTCGCATCTCCCCCTTCACCCTCTCCAGTACCTCACTATCAATATGCGCACCGGCTTTTCCATTTCCATCTCCTTTCAGCTCACCCATCGCCCCCCAGCAAAGAACCAACATCCTCACCCCCTCCCTTCTCCAAAGCTCCTCTCTAAAACGAACCCAACAATGCAACACCATCGCCTGGAACGTCTGCAACGCCACGGTCACATCACTCAACCTCGCCGCAGCGAACGGATCAGTCAGCACAGAGGAGACGATAGGCAGTATGTCTTTGAGGTGTTGAGTAGCGTGGATACCGAGTTTTGGGATCAAGGTAATTAGTTGCGTAAGCAGGATTGAGACAATAGGTGGGTGTTCAGAGGCGTGCAAGTAAGCGGGAAGGATGCATTGACGGAGGACCATGGTTAGGAAGGCTATCTTCGATTCGCCATTTAGTGTGGTTTTGTCCTTGGGCGGCATTGACGATCTCGAGAGGGACGTTGAGGTCGTTGATGAAGGGGGGTTTCTTAATGAGGCTGAAGAAGAAGTGTATTGTACGTCGTATAATGCAAAAAGAGCTGCATACGCTAACGGTAGAATCTCCTGTGATTCTGGCAGTGGTGTTATGGAAGGTAGGTAGAGGGTGATTGGCATTATTGCATCGGAGAATACGGATGCGAGACCGGTTTGTGCTAGCATTATAGGAGGAAGTTTTGGGAGGAGTATTGCGATCAGTGAGAGGCCACGGGTCAGGATGGGGGTACCAGGGGTATCCAAGAGGGTTAGGAGGGGAGGGAGGATGAGGGGCCAGGAGCTTTGAAGGGTTGTTGTCTGACGGGCGCGTTAAAATGGTTCACATCTGCAATGTTGAACTGTGATTATGAAGAATGGTAAGAATAACACACGTACAGAAATTTCTCTGACAGCCCACTCCAACACCGTAACGGCATATACTGTTTCATATAGCCACGGGGTTTTCATCCTCTCCTCATTGAAGTCACGTCGCTTCACCGGTGCAGAGCTGGGCATTGCTTTCCTGCCTGCTGATGTAACAGTTCGTGGTTTCGATGCTGAAAAGAGTGGTCGGATGAATTCCTGTAGTATACCGATGGAGATAAATTCTGGTGCCTGGAGACTACTCTGTATAGGTGGAAGGCCGAGAAGATGCTGTGCCGTGGCGAGAGAAGTGGGTGTACTCCAGCAGTCACGAGGAGATGTGAAGGCTAGGATGGATATGAGGAATTCGCTGAGGGTCGTAATATGTTGTTGTTGTATATTTGGGAGTGTGAGAAGCTTCAAGATACTCTGAAGACCTAGTATGCCCTTTCGGCATGCGGTGTGAATTGCCTTCTGCCGTGACGCGTCTGTACTGTCTTCACAGCATTCAGCTTTGTGCTGAGTACAGTGGAAAAGTTGATAGAATGTACCTTCTGGTATAACATCATGGGTTGCGACGTCACTGCTAGGAAATATGACTTTCGCGACCCATAATAAGAGTTCGGTGGCATAATCTTCATCATCGCCTGTGCGCTGCAGCCTCTGATGCTCCTTCAGGCAGCTGTGGAGAATCATGAGACATGGCAGATCGTTCTCCTATGAACATTGCCGTGAGCATCAATTGAGGAATGGGTAATGTAGATATTTCATGCTCACATCCGCAGCTACTTTTTGTCCATCTCCCAGTAATTCATGACGAAGCTGAGCAAGCGAGTAGCGTTCAGGCAACACTGGACCCATGTCAGATTATGTATAGCAAAAGTCGAGAAGACTTACATTGTGATGGCAGCTCTAGAAGCTCATCCGTCCTATATAGCTGCTTCAGATTGGTTTTCGCAGCTCGGTATGCTGTCGCGAACATGATGGTGTGCTGCTGTTTGTGTAAAGGCGTTGAGGTCTGAATTTCTAGAGCACGCGAGATTGGTCAGAATGGAAGCGAGTTTTCGATGGTCACGTGCGTTCGGTTTTGATTCTTCACCTAGAGTTTAGACAATTCGCATATGTACTGTAGAATGGTCGGGAGGTTACTCATTGAGTTCAAGGAGTCGCTGATAACTTTATACGAAATCAAATCAAAACTAACCTCCGTCTGGTCCGGCTCGTATGAATTTCCAAATGAAAGGTAGCTTTGTTTCGTGATTCGGTGAGGACAGTGTCATTGAATGTGTTTACAAAATATACACTGCAATTAGATGCATTCACTTGGCATTTACATCCTTGCTGAAGGTTACTCCAATCATCTCATTGGCCATGACCAAGATTTAAATGGTTTCGAACTACTGATATGCATTCCTCTGTACCACTCTCACAGCTCCAATCAAAATAGGTTGTGGCTTATTGGTGGTCGCAATATCGACATAAGTAAGATTCAGCACCCAGTATCTATATTAGACTGAACAAAATATGTTCTCTACATCTACTACGATATCCGCTAATAACTCGATTAAACTCCTTGAGTACGCATCTCCCAGTATTGAAGTATACAGTGCCATTATCAACTGACGCATCTCTCGTTTCATGCGTCAAGGTCAACTCAACTTTCATTTAGGTAAGTCACTGTCAGAGAAAGTCACTGAGGTTCCTACTGCTGCAAGGCTGGCCAGAGAAGTTCGGTTTCGAGACATGGTCATGGGATTGTAATCAATGTAGTATTTATTAGACGATACGCTACTTAGCAGAGTGGCCGATCAGTCAGCCGGCTTTTAAGCCAATCAGTCAGCTGGGAAAAAAACGTCAGCTAGTCAGCTCGAATATATTTGTAAGCTAGTCAGCTAGAATATAGCTAGCTTATAAGCTAGCTTATAAGCTAGTCCTTATATTTTTAACGATTTTAGAGTGAGGTTCTAAGCACTTAGTATAGCGATTTAATACTATACTTACTAAAAATAGAAGTCTTAGAGCAGGAAAACTATTTCCGATTAGCTAGATTAGGCGGTCTAGTATAGCAGAATAATTAAAGCTCGTCTTAAGGCTATCTATATTATATAGTAACTCTCTAATTCCATCTGAATTAACGCTGTAAATATATCTTGATCGATTATACCTTTTAATATTAAGAATATAGCCTTAGAGGCTTTTAAATCTCTATCTGCGAGTATTACAAGTACTTTAATCGATCCCTTTACTTATATAATAAGTACAGGTAAAGAACCTTTAGTAAATATAACTTAGCTTCTATTTATAATTAAAGACTGCTACTAACGACCTGAGGTAGTATATAATAATAACTATAACCCTTTTAAGCTATTAAGAGATAATTTGAAAGTAGACTACTCTTTATATTCCTTTAGAGAACTATTGTTTAACGATAGGCTAGTAAACGTGTCACTTTTACCCCGAGGCTTTATTCTTACACTTGTAATAAGTATTTTAAATCGATTGTAGCTCTGGAAAGTTAGCTACACTCTAGTATAACCTAGGAAAAGTAAGAAACACTCTTTTTAAGCGTGTAAACTATATAAGCTATTTCTTTTATCTGTACCCCGAATACTAATAGAGTTAAGTTACTACGATCCTTAATTTACTAAAAATAAGACTATAGTCTTTAATAGTAACTCCCTTAAGAACGTAGTATATTATATAGCTCTAGAGTATTAATTAGACTAAGATAGAGATATCAGAAAGCTTCCTTTAACTATAATTCAACTTATATAAGCCTCTAGTCCTATAGGAGATAGTTATAAGTATATTATACCTTTCCGAGAGCTAGAATTCAGGAACGCCTTTATTAAGTGGGTAGTAATAGATAATATTAAATACCGTAAAGCCTCCTCTAAATACCTTCGTTAAATTATTAAAATTACAAATATTTAAGCTTTTAATATATTACCTACTTCTTATTTAACTTCAGAGATCTAAGTAACTTAGAGATTTAAGTACTTTAAGCTATAGATTATATAAGATGTTATAGAAGCTTAATCGAAAGTCTTTATATCTTTTAATAGCTAGGGATCACTTTAAGATAAGATTAGCGTAGTTGTAGTTATTCTGTATTATATAAATAAAAAAGGAGAAGCAATTATAGTACTAGCTAGCCTACTAGAGCTTCCAGGCTATAGAAAAACTAGTATTAGTAAGCTAGTTCTTTTCTAGCCTCTCCCCTTTACTAATTAAGTATAGACTAAGCCTTTATTATTCTTCCTCTCCTTTAATAATTCGGAATCAATAAATATAACCTTAGTTAGTTTATCCTTAATAACGCGTTGAATAACGATACTACACTCTTAGAGCTTTCAAAATCACTTAATTTTAACCCGAAATAACGCCAGCTTCATTATATAGGCTATATACTTAGTCTTATCGCTGAATAATACCTATTTAGTTAAGATACGTTATCTTTTAAAGCTAAATTCAAGAGGGCTAATCCTAAAGGAAGGAGATAACTTTAGAGGTCTCGCGGAGAGCTTAGAAAGCTTCATAACTTAGTAGTATATATTATAGCCTCTGGAAAGCGTAGTATAGCCTTTAATAGCTTATAAGATAAGTTTAATTAAGGTAAGGCCGCCGGAAAGAGATAGAAAGTTATTTTGAATAGTAGTATACGCTAGAATTCCTTATATTTAATGATTATACGCGCTCTAGCTCTCCGTAAAGCTCTTAATACTTACACTATTAAATTAAGGGTTTTTAAAGATACTCTCGATTAAGAGGTATTTTAAGAAGATTATCTTAATAATAATGAATAGGAGACTCTTTAGCTAATAGCAGAGTACTTAGAACCTCTTTTCTGTCTTACTAAAGACCTTAAAAGTAACTCTAATCGATTCGACCTTATGTTATTATCTTACAAAGCTCTCTAAGAGTTATTACCTCTTTTTAAAGCTTTACTCTCTTACTTTAAGGTTCTAGAGGCTAGCGTGAAGGCAGGTTAATTTAATAGCTACCGAGGTATATAAGAGTCGATTACACTTACTTAGAATAAGATAAAGGAGTTCTATAGTAAAACCGATATCTCTCTTATATAGATAGTAGCTTTAGTTCTTCACCCTCACTAGAAATAGTAGTATTTTAACTAATAATAGACTAGAGATAATATATAATATATAAGGAAAGGGAAGGCGTCTTTACAGAAGCTTTAGGAGATAGAATATAAAGGAGAAGCTGTTATATAAGTAAAGGAAAGAACTCCAGAGCTAGAGCTTCTAAAGCTATATAAAACCAGTTAATTAGAGAGGCTAGTACCTCCTCTTACTAGTATAACCTTTATAGTAAGAACTCTATAACCTTTAAGCCGGAAAGACTAATTAGCCTTATATCTTAAAGAGCCTTTAATAGATTAGCCTCTTTTAGAGTATTAGTGTTTAAAGCAGGTCCAGTGGCTATAGCTTACTAAGATAGCCTTTAATTTTTTATATATACTTACTATAAGCTCTAAGTATAAGCGTGTTTTCTTGTCTTATTCTATATAAACTATACTATATAGTTCGAGGTTATTAGGTTAATTACTATAGTATTAAGAGTGCTTAAAAAACTAGTAAAGAAGGGGGATAGTAGAGCTTATAGTAGTATTTAATACAGTTAATCTTAGGAGGGATATTTAGTATACGTCTATTTTTAGAATCAGCTTTTAAGCAGCTTTTAAGCTCTTCAGTTAAAGCTATTAAGCTGTGATTTATACGTAAGCTAGTCAGCTCAGTAAGTTGCTCAGCTGATGGCTGACTGATTGGCTGATCGGCCACTCTGCTACTTAGCTAAACACGGGGTGACAACTTAGTGCTATTGGAACAACAAATTCCTGGTCAACTGATGACTTCACACATGGCCAATATATGGTTGAGATGCTGTCCCCTTCTGGGAGATACTAGAGGCGTTGAGATCCGTATCACCTCATATTAGATGCCGGTATTGGAGATGACTGTACAAATTTAATTTTGAGCTTCTCTCAAATTAACTCTGGGATTTAATAAGTCTTGCAGCAAACTCTTTCTTGCTGCAGCGTTGAATGCGTGGGCACGCAAAATGTAAACTGGTCCCACCAAGCAGTCAATAATCCTTGTCACAACCTGACGTGTGTAGCAAAAGAAGATAATCTGTACATCTAAGCTTTGCGGCAGCACTTATAGCTGAGATGTATTGTTCTGGGTCCTCTTGGCTGCCAAACCAAGTCAGCCGAGTCTGGCAGCTTGGCCGGTTAATTGCTGCAGCTTTCTATCCATTGTCACTCTGGCAGCAAAATAATTGGTCTTCCATCTATGTTTTTTCCTATTCATAAATACGCAACTGTAGAACTGAAATGTTTTTGGGCGTTCATATTCTACTGGAAACTGGCTGTAAGGGACACTTCCTATTTTCGGCATTTCTTTGTTTTGTTCTGACGGAATCTCTCGCTTACTAGACAGCAATCACTTCAATGCCCAAAACCAACGATGGGATTGCGAGCGACCCTTTCCCGCACCATTTTTTTTTTAGAGATTTTGGTTTGCATCATGTTGCGCTTTCATGAATCAAAACTAACTATGAATTATTTCACCACTGATATTATCTATTTGGTTGTAGCCTGCGAAATGGAAGCCATTAGTTTCGTAGAGTAAGGGTTACTATAATCAATTTCATGGCTTCAGCTTCAAGTCTCCAGAACACTTTCATACATCTCCATCTATGGGATTCGATAACCCTCCCACAGTACGTTCTTTCTCTTCCGTCGAGTGCCAATTGCGAAAGCAATTTCCCTGATTGTAACTATTTCTCTCTACTCCGCATTCATGTAGCGGCAAGTACGTTCAATGTCGAACGGCTCAATACCTTTTGGGATGCCCTATTCGAATTGGGGGGTCCTACGTTGGATGATTCCCAGGTAAGCGAGAATGATTAATGAGAAGGTTGCGATGTTGTCACCCAAACCTGCCATCGCAGAATGAAGGTGAGGAAGCGCATGGCTGGGGAATTGTGTAAGTGGTCAGGTTGATGCCGAGATGAATCTTTAGATTGTTGGGCTTGGTGATGGCAGTAGCTGCATCTTCAACAATAAATATGAAAAGGTGAGTAGACGAGAAACCGAGTAAGGTGATGTGAAAACGATTGCGTACCCTGAGTCAGTACCAAATCAAGGAATCAATGCTGGCCGAAGCAATATGGCGAATGGTGGACTCGGGAGACCCAAGGCGAGGCACGAAGTTTCACCTTGGTACTTGTACGCAGGCTGCTTGATATGCAAATTGCTGCTACGCATTGCTAATTTGGTTTCCATAAAAGCACTAGGAGGAATTTTGCAAACAGTTGTACTGTGGCAGGACCTTTAATGAAGTAGCCTATTCAACCATCACAGGTACTCATGACTTCGGTATCTTCAGCTCCTCACTCCGCTTACGCACTTCCTCAATAGCGTCCTTATAGTCTGTGATACCAGGGTTCCGAAGCTGCCACTCCATGACCACCTCCAGAGCGGGACGCATCCAAACTCCAGGCTTCACACCGCCGAGCTCCTTGGACAACATTTTTCCATCGATAATACTTCGCTCAGCTGGTGCGTCCATTATATCCATAGCTTCCAAGTGATCAACAAATATTTGCCAATCGCTGAACAAATCTTCGAAGGCTACACAAATGTCAAAAAGGAATTCAGTGAGGCGGGGCGGTTGGGCTCACATTTCGAGTCTTTCTTCAATGCCCCAACCATCAGAGCGAACAAAGCCTGGAGCCGCCAATGGCCGCCCTGGGCATCCCATCTACGGATGGTCATGCCCAACTTATCTCGATGGGTGGTGTACTCTACCTTCTGAATGATAGCGTCTTTCAAAGCCGCGATTTCTTCGTGGTGTCTGAATGATCCGGTAACGACATTGTAGATCTTGTTCTCGGCTTTGATTCCTTCTCGTATGACCATGCTGCCAAGTGGTGGAGGCAATTTGCCACCAGATTTTGCGGGTTGAGGAAGTGGCATCTGAGACCAAGGTGTGATGGCTGCTAGGACCCAGCTGATATACTTCGCATCATCTGAGCGGACAAGTGATTGATAAATCGAACCTGGTGTCTCGTTAGATTTCAACTCGTGCAGGCAGTTGTAAGCGATGGCCCAGTTGGCTGTTGTGGGTGCTGAATGTCCTTGCGATGTTGGGTCTGTAAAGATGGTAGAATAGAGACCTAGTCGATCAATTAACTGCAGAGAGCCCATGGGATCATTGCCTGCAAATATGTTAGTACCATGCGGTCGAAAAGATAATCAACACAACTAACCTTTCAGCATTTTCTCCAATTCAACGCCAACCCGTTCCCTACTGATCTTCAATTTCAGAGCTTCCATAACAGCTGGGTCGCTCATGGAAGCTTCGGAAGCAGGATCGATACTGAAACCCAATCGACTTGCAAAGCGAATCAACCTCAGTACACGCAGAGGATCGTCCGTGAAGGTAGTTTTTGGTTCGAGAGGGGTCCGGATCCGACGAGCGGCAAGGTCCTCAATACCTGATGTGAAGTCTTCAACCAAGTCAGTGCGTAAATTGTAGAAAAGTGCATTGATCGTAGCATCCCGTCTCAACGCATCTTCCTCTGCAGTACCAAATTCCATTTGAGGGTTTCGGCTGTCGTCAGAATATGTCTCCTTCCGGAGATTGACGAAATCAACATCAAATCCAAAAATCTTCGTGGTGGCCGTCTCAAGATGCTTTGACTTTTCAGGGTTTGCCAGAATCTTGTGTAGATTTCCAAGATCTTTGGCCTCTAAAGCATGTTTTTTCAAGTTCTCCTCGTTCTTGAGGTATTCCTGCATCTTGGTACTGAAGGCATAGCCGGTCATAGCATTGATGGCGGTGTCAATATCATGACTGGGAATTTCAAGAAGCTTATCCCGAACCCATCCTCCCGCGAATCGAAGCTCGATCTTCTCTTTGATCTCCTTGGACTCGTCAATATATCGAGCTACGTCGAGTAGGAGTTCCCTTAATCGACTCTCTTGTGCAGTAAGTTTGATCTGCGTAGTAGCCATCTTGCCTCGAAGTCTCTTCAACTGCGGATACTCCTTGATCTCAGTTTGTTTTCGTTTCATGTGAGAGTATGAAGAAATTGCTCGGGTTGAGATGGTTGAAAGTGTGACTCGACAAAATCCGGGGCAAAAGGAAATGACATAAGTTGCTCGCCGAAGACTCATCAGCTTGACCCGGGTCCGGTAAACTAAGAATTGGTGTCGTAAACTCTTATTCATCACGGAATCTGTTTGCAGCAGTTCCGTATATGTCAATCGCTCGATGTTGCTGGGAGAGGGAAAAATTGTAGCGAGGTCTCAAGAAATATACAGTCACGTGAAGATAAAGCACCTTCAGATGATGGTTGTCTCGAAATATGTCTCCATCTAGCATCTTGCGCCACCAGCTCTAAACGATGGACGGCCAAAGGAACACCGCGAGGAACACTGTGTAGAGCCCGTTCCAACCCAAATCTCATGTCGACTACAGCAATTGTGAAGCGCACCAAGTTCTACCAGGTACAATCTTGACGAACAAAGTGCGACAAGTCTGGACTCGCTCCACTGCTTACAGTCTGCTTCCTCTCCGTTGCTCGGTTTCAATCTACGCGCATGTTGCTGCGCAGGCTCTCGGCCTCTGAGCGACAAAAGGAAACCTCTCTACCCCCTTACGAAGTTCTGCGCTGATCTTCATGACACCTCTCAATCATGCCTCGCCCTTCGAGCCTCCGGAACCACCTCCAGGAACCGCCTCCCTAAGATTGCCAAAGATCAGGGCTTCCACCGATACTTTGACGTCTTCCGCATCTACCCTACCATACCGAGCTTCAAATGGCTCTGTCTCCTCTCTATTCGCCTCCACGTCGACGCCTTCAGGCTCTCGGTCTGTGTCTCCGAGCGGCCTTGGAACCCCTTCACGAATGTCAGGCTCTGTCTTTGGCGGGACACCGGGGGAGGGCCCTGAGCTAGCAGGGGCAGACAGACCGGAAGATCCTCGTAATCTTATCCTCCAGGCTTTTGTGCCCCATATAGCGGTTCATACTTCCTCGGATACACAAGAATTGGTGAAGGACAAAGGCTTTGAAGGTGGGTTGTGGGAATTACTGCGGCCGTTTGGAGAACGAGTACAGGGGAAGGTTACGGTGCGGGACAGCATAGGTGCGGGAAAATCATGGGAAGATTTTGCTGTACGATTTGTTCAGTTAGGAGATGGGCATGAGGTTTCTGAAGGAGTGTCAGGGTCTCGTAGAAGTGGAGATGGGAAGGTTCCAATATCGAATGGGAACAAGTCAATACCGTCGTCTATTGTAGCCCAGCGAGCCAGAACTGGAGGGGATATTGTTCCCATTGAGACTCTGGTTGATCGACACTTGACGCATGCGGAGGAATATCCGAATATGGATGGGGACGATTACTTGACATATAAAGACTCCCACCTGAGGGGCTCCGACGTGCCTTCGCCATTCTATACTTTATACCTCCGAAGACTGTTATCTGGGATCCCTTTGGCGCCTCACGAGACCTTTGCTCACCCAGTGGCATGTGTTATTGCAATCAGTTCGAGAAACACAAGCCCCATCGAGACGCTTCGTAAGCTGTATGATGAGTCGAGCTACGGGGAGAAACGACTGCCTTTATGGGTAAACAACGAGTACTTGAGGTATTATGTTCTCGTACATGACGAGGAGCGAGACGACATTACGAAATCCATCACTCTATTTGAGCAAATGAAGCGTCATTTTGGTCTTCATTGCCATCTTCTGAGGCTGAGGAGTACACAGTGTGTGTCATCGGACGATGACAGCGTCAAACTTCCTCGCTGTGAGTGGCTATCAGCTTCAGAAGAGATGGCTGTCATCCGAGCTCGAGAATTGGAAGAGGAGGTGGAAGACCCGCACCCATTCATCTTTGAGTCTGATACCACTGCCATCAGAACGTTCATTCGAGAAATGGTTACTCAATCTATTGTCCCTTCAATGGAAAGATGTGTGGCTACCTGGAATGACCAGGTCGCTTCTCGACGGCGAGGTCTTAGCGGTCGCATTACCAATATTACCAAAAAATGGTCTGTTTTTGGAGGAAGCTCTCGGGCATCCTCGAGTGGATCAACCTCGAGCGGTGGTAGCGGCAACTACGACTCATTACAGGGCTTCTACCGACCTGACACACCTGAAGCTATCATGCGGAAACTGGCTGACTATGCTTTCATGCTTCGAGATTGGAAGCTCGCACAGTCAACTTATGACCTGCTGCGATCTGATTTTAATAATGATAACGCATGGAAATATCACGCTGCTGCGAATGAGATGACAGCAATCAGCACGCTGATGAATGCACAATCAATGAGCTCGAAGATCAGGTCGGAAACCATAGACAAGTGGTTGGAAGCTTCTCAATACTCCTACATCACCAGGTGCGGAGCGCCTTATGGTGCACTGCGATCCGTAGCATTGGTTATGGAGCTGCTCAGATTGCGAGGTGGCTCGGCAACAGAGGATGCAGCCAATTGGGGCCAACGATTGCTAGATTTGAGAGTGGTTGGTGTTGTCGGCGATGCTTTGGTCAGAGAACGTGTCGCGGCATGCTATGCTTCAAAGCATGGCTCCGGGTCCGGGATGTGGGGAGCCAGGCTGAGAAAATCTGCCTGGTGGAGCATTCGAGCAGCGGATGCATGGTTGACTCTCGGTAAACCTCAGCAATCAAAACAACGTCTGGACGATGCCATTGCAAAATACTCATCTATGGCAAACAAAGACAATATCTCGAACTTTGCTGCGGCGAGTGATTTTATACAGTCTCTACAGAGAGAAATCCAGTTGGCACTGTACCCTGAATCTGGCATTGAAGGGCCCGGTGTGGAGGACCTGATCGACACGTCAATAGAAGAAAGTCAGGCCTTCACTTCACGTCCACATCGAAGGAGTCTGATGGGTGCAGCACCACCAATGGCGAGTCTCGAATCGGCTCCTCTCCATGGAGATCTATTAGAAGAAGGTGAGGGTGAGGCACCGAAACCTGACCAATTTGAGTGAACGTGAGAGACTCGAGTGCTTATCTGTGCGCATCTTGAGCGGTGATAGGTTTGGTGGAGCATTGGGTTGGCGTCGGGTGTTAGAATGGACTAGGCGTGTACACATATGCTTGGATTTATAGAGCATACTTCTCTACGGAGATACAAAGGAGAAACGAATACTTTGATTTTGATTTGGCCCCATATTCACCATGACGTTTACATGGGTAGCAAGTGGCATATCTACCTAGGTAGGTACCTAGGTAATGAAACACATATCACGTGCCATGTTTATCGCGATAAGAAACCAATGACGGTGGAGCGAGGCAACATGGAAATCAACAAAAGAACTTACCTAGGTAGGCACCTCCCCACGACACGCGATAAATCTTCGCCGACAAGCCAGAGCGCAGGAAAGCAAATGATCATTTCCCATAATGAGTGAGCTCCTCGCCTACCTCTTTAAAAACGAATCTCAATTTCGCAAGTATGCAGTTCGCCTGCCCCTCAATCCTCGTTCTCGAACCTGGCGGGAAGCCACACAACATCTAGCTAATGCAAATAACAGGACGCGCCTGGAAGACCTTTATTCAGATTTTGGCAAAAGCCGTAGCATAAACCCCGATGGCTATCAGGCAAATATAACAGCATGGCTTCAAGCCCTCTCACACGCCACGCTTGCGGGGCACATGCCCTCTACTTCTTCCTCCCCAGATCTACTTTCTATAACAATATCTACCGACCTGGTCTACGCGCTGGAAACGCGGGAATGGGGCGTCCCTTCTGCGCTTGGAACAGTGGTTCGAGAGGGTTTGAAGACAAGGCAGTGGATTGACGTGCAGGAGTTCGCGCTGGCGCGAGAGAGCATTTATCAGAAAGGCTGGGCGCTACCGGTGCCCAGTATTGGAGATGTGCTGGGTTGGGGCTTGAGACAGTTGGGCTTCGGAGGTGGCGAAGAGAAGTTGGTCAAGGGACAGGTGGTTGTTTTGGAGAACCTTGAATGGGTGGGGAAGGAGGTTGTGAAAAGGACAGACGGTGTCAGGGGCAGAGTGGAGAGGATATTTTCGCGAGACGCGTTCAGAGAGACCTATGGAGATGTAACAGGAAAGGAAAATATGTTGTCGGAAGCAGATATGGAACTCCTGCTGAAGTTTTTAGAGAGGGATAAGGCTGTTCTATCATATGACGGGCAGACGGTAAAGCTGAAAGCCTCCAACGAGAAGATGCCTGGCCCTATCACTGCGGAAGATGCGACCATTGCATCGCTGAAGACTCTGATCAAAGATTTGGAAGTTCAGACGAAGGTTCTTGCGAAGAAAGTGGATGAGTTGGCAGCTACGGCGAAGGATGCTGTAACTCACAATAATAGAGTGTCAGCTCTAGCAGCTCTTCGCTCCAAGAAATTGGCAGAGACAACACTCACGAAACGGCACGCTACACTTGCACAACTAGAAGAAGTATTCTCGACAATCGAACAGGCAGCCGACCAAGTCGAGCTGGTGAGAGTTATGGAAGCCAGTACCAGTGTTCTGGCAGGCCTGAACAAAGAGGTCGGTGGCGTCGAGAGGGTGGATGATGTCGTAGATCAGCTACGAGAACAGATGTCACAAGTGGATGAGGTTGGCAATGTCATTACGGAGGTTGGTCACGTCAATGCTGCTGATGACGAGGAGGTTGATGGCGAGCTGGAGGCTATGGAGAGAGATGAGCGGGAGAAGAGAGTAAGGAAGGAGGAAATGGAGAAGGAACAGAAAGAGAAACGGGAAGCTGCGGAGACGAAGAAGAGGTTAGATGCTTTGGAGATTTCTGAACGTGAAACGAAAGAGGCGGCAGCAAGGAAGCAAGCCGAAGGTCCCAAGAAGGCAGAGGAAACAAGCTCTGAAAGAGAGATCGAGGGGGAGTTGAAGCGGCTTTCATTAGATGCCGAGAAAGCCCTCGCGTAGATTATGGTAATCACTTGTGGGCATAGTACATCACGCATTGCACATTTTGCAAGGAGTTGGGGCTTGGGAGTTTTGATAGATAGCATTGTCAATAGCAAGTTATGGTTGTACTGTCCCAACTGCCGGTAAATCAGGCGGACTGCTCGATTCTTTATCCACTATCATCAGATTGTTTACAAACTGTGACGGAGGTTTTGGTGGAGATTTGACAAATCGGCCACTCTCCTCGGAAGACCTCCGCTGCAAGCCGCTCTGATTCACGGGTGGCATTTGATCGTGAAGTCCTTCTCTGTTCGCTCTTGTCTCATCGTCCTCTTTTGAGATTCTTGGAGAATTGGATGCTTCAGACGTCGGAGGCTTGACAGCTGCTTTCTTCCGAGCATTCGCTATTAGCTTGCGAAAAGAATCATCATGCGTACTTGAATATGCCTTCCCATCAAAGTCCTTGTCTTTGACTTGTCCAGAGCTCTGTCCATACGTCGATGTCTGAGCCCTTCCACCTTGCGTCCTCTCCCAAATTTCCAGTTCTCTCTTCAACTCGGCCTTCGTCCTAGGCTTCCTTGCGTCACAGTTTGCGTTCCAAAGAGTAATCCACTCCGTGTATCGTCTCTCCATCAGAGGCTTATTCCCTGCAGCAGAAATCCCCATTTCACCAAGCTTCTTACGCAAAGCCGCCTCCTTCATCATGGAGAAGTTGATCTGCGCCAATCTTTCTGGCCGCTTGGGAGCATCATATATGGTCAAGGTATTTTGGGCAGACTCTTTATTGGATATCCGGCCCATGGCTTTAGGTTTGGTTATTCGTGGCTCGTCCGCGCAGTCTCGGTCCAAATGTGAGTTGATAATGGCTTCCTTGACTTGTTTCGAGCACACTGGGCATCTGACATAGCCATACTCTGATAAAGGTTATTTAGTGATCGTAGTATATTGTATATAGGTTCTTACCAGGAACGAAATCCTCGTCGTCGTCATCAGAGTCTTCAATAACTTGTTGAGGCGTAGGCTGTAATCTCCTGCTCGATGTCCGGGTTCCAGCGGACCTTGTTCTCTTCCTCGGCGCATCCTCGTCATCCAGCTCCGCCTCTTTCCTGTCTCTCTTCGATGAAGGGCTTCCCGGTACTTCCAGAGGCCTCCTAGCATGCTCCAAAACTTCTGGTCTTGCTTTTATGAACGCCTCCACCAAATCCTGCATAGCACCATTAAACCTCAACTTTAACTCCTGATCCTGCGTCCGACATGCAGGACACTTCCCATCGTTATTGAGACATCTTCGTATGCATAGAGAGCAGAAAGTGTGCGAGCAAGACGTGATCATAGGCGTGGTGTAGAAGTCCTTACAGACCTGGCAGCGCAAGGCTGAATCAACACCAGCAAGAGCACGTAGTGGCGTCTCGAGCCAGTCTGTTGAATCCGTGATTTCGAACGCGTCGTCCTTGGAGACTTTGTTCATGGTGAAGATCTGCAGGTGATGCTTGCCAGATGATTCTTCCCAGTTCGATTTGTCGCATTTCCGAGATCGCTCGGGGTGGAGGTGAGAACGACCTTCCACTTAACGCGCCTTCGCGTGAGACCGCGTCTGCCTCTGCTAGAGAAAACATCCAGGCTCCTTAATTTTTCGAGGACAACCACACAACACCATGGCAGACTACAAGACATTTCTGGCTACAAGCATCTTGACCGAGGATAAAGTGGTATGTAATGTGCAGAAATTGGTTCGCGGATGGATCTAACACAATCTCTAGGTCACCTACCGGCTCCTTAGTCGCTCCCTCAAAATCCACGTCAATGACGCAAAGGAGTAAGTTGTCAGTATCTATCCGGCATATTGACTTGCTGAAGCGATCTAGAATGCTCTATGAATTCCATCGGCAGCAGAATGCAAAAAAACCGGACACTCTCCACGCGACCTATCTCATCAGCGGCACAAAACGAAAGGAGACCATTGCAACGAACGGCGCAGCAAAGAAAGATGGCGAAGATGATTACATGCAGAGCAGTCCATTTATGGCCAGTTCAATGCCTGCAGCAGAGAATACCGGCGAGAGTGGCGTGTTGAGCCTGACTCTGGCCAAGGAAGAGAACTTGGACGGTTGGGACACTCCTCTCGAGTCACAGATTTTTGCTAATGCCGTTGTAGAAGTACGGTCTCAATACGAATATATATCTTCGATACATATCTATAGCGTTGGGCCCCATCCGTTGAAGGTACGACATCGAGTGTTCACTTGTTGACAATTCTGACGATCTAAAGGACCTACAAGTACTTTCAGATATCACACGCGAAATACAGGTGCTTTGCGCCTCCGAAGATGCAGTTGAGCAGGCCCCCAAATACGGCACTATCACGAACAAGAACGTCAAGAGAAGACCAGCTCGTCGGCCGCTCCACGTCGCAACAACACCTGCTCCAGCTCCAGCTACAGCCGCGGTGAATGTTAGACCAGCCGATGTCAAAGATAGCAAGCCTGCCGTAAAGCAAGAAAGCAAACCCTCGCAACCATCGACCGCCAATGATTTCTTCGGAAAAGGCAAAACCAAACCCAAAGCAGCCAGATCGAGCAATAACTCGAGCAAGGAATCTACACCGAACCCACCAACACTCAAGCGGGATAGTTCGAGCATATTCAAGTCCTTCGCGAAAGCTAAACCGAAACTCAAGCGCGAGGGTACAGATAGTTCAGCTATAGAATCACCAGCACTGAGCGCAGCAGAAGATTCTCCTATGAAAGATGTTGTGTCAGATGATGATGAGGAGGAGGAAGACACATTTGTCGCGCCTCCCCCAAGCAAAGAAATAGTGGATAGTGATCGTAGGTCGCGGAAAGAGAGGGAGGCGGCATTGAAGAAGATGATGGATGATGATGACGAGGATGAGGCTGTGAACCCGCAGCCTAAGCGGAAGGAAAGAGAGGATGTGGAAGTTGAAGATGAGGAGGAAGAGGAGAGAGCGAAGAGCGTCGAGAAGGGAGAGGTGCCAATCGTGGTTAGTGGTGGTCGTAGAAGAGGACGAAGGAGAGTCATGAAGAAGAAGACGGTTAAGGATGACGAGGGGTATCTGGGTAAGCTCTCCAAATCCATAGTGAAGGAACGATGCTCACTTATATGAACAGTCACAAAAGAAGAACCAGTGTGGGAATCGTTTTCGGAAGACGAGCCAGTCGAGAAGGCAAAGCCAAAGGCACACGCCTCAAACACATCAACAAAGGCCAAGAAACCGGCTGCAAAGGCTGGGCAAGGTAACATTATGTCTTTCTTCGGGAAGAAGTGACGAAACATTGCGGACGGCTTTTTTAAGTCGGTCTGATAGATGAAGGTTGATCGGCAGCATGCGCGCCACAGTAATTGGAACTCGTATAACAATGATATGAGAAATGAAATCGAGAGCTTTCAGATCGAAGCTGTAATGGTAATAAGTGGCCACGAGTTTATGAATTGAAATATGCACACTGAAACTACCCTTCAACCATTTCCTGCCGCATTTGTACTTATAGCTCACTCACAATAATTTAGTCCAGTGTGTAGGGTTCTGCACCAGGGCCAAATATTAGATGTGGCTTTCTCTTGGCGAGATCCAAGATGGTTTGAGCAAAGACACTGTTTGCCCCTATTTCCGTTAGCGAGATGAGGAGTAAATACATTCCCCGTAGACTTACAAGCGAACCAACTCCCTTGAGCGAATCGGTCAGCATTCATATCTCTCGTTGCGGAATCAGAATACTTACTGGTATAATCATGAACCTGGTTCACATTAATCGACTCATGAACCAGTCCTAGCCCACTAGCAGCAAGCACCATATTCACACACCCCATAATCTCCTTGTCATCATCCGATGTCATGGCTTGCAAGAGTAAACTCATGGGCCAGGCGTGTTCGAGACCGATATGCGGACCTCCAATACCTTGAAACGCTCTTCCTTCGAGATAATACGGATTTCCTGCTTTGTTGAGCAGCATTTTCCGTGTGTTTTGATATACTGGGTCAGTGCGATCGAGAAAGCCCATGATGGGCAGGGCTAGCAACGACGGCACGTTTGCATCATCCATTAGGATCTGTGAGCCGTAACCGTCGACTTCATAAGCGAATACTCGGCCGTAGTTCTTGTGCGCTACAACTCCATGCTGCCAGATCCCATCTGTAATACTCTGTGCACGCTTCTTCAGCAACTGCGATGTGCCAACATTCTTTGCGGCAGTAAGAATATCGGCAGTCTTCTTGAGTTCGACAGCCATTTGAGCGTTGGCGGGAATGTAAAAGCCCAGGATAGTAGCGTCGTCACTGGGTCTGAATGCACTGCGAATCAGGCCGGTGCCATAGTTCAGAGGGTTTCCAACTCCGGATAGTGGGAGCGTCTCAGTTCCTTGGTCGGTCCGTCGCCTGAAAGTGTAGGCATTGCGCTCAAATCTCCCAGTCTCGGAGTCGAAGGTAGATTGAGATTGTTGGTCGAGTACCTCGAGAAGTGTATCCAATGCTTTATACCAGCGTGGGGTGAGAAACTCGAAGGAGCCAGTATGATTGTAGAACGTGTTGCCTAGAGCGAGAAAATGCGCAAGTGAGTCTAGCTCGTACTTACATTCGAATACAAAAGAAGGCTCATATGCTGGATGAACGACATCGTCTTGGCCATTTTGTGTAGCTGACAATTTCGAAGGTGCGGGTGGCTGAAATGCGTTGCAGTATGGCGACTCGATAACATATTCCGCCTGGGTATTGATCGCTCCCAATATTAATTTGAAAATCTTCTTGTCCTTCTTCGCCAATGGCTGATACTGGAGCAGTTGATTTGTTGAATCTCGTAGCCATTCAGCATTGATGTCTCCCGTAACAACAAAAGATTGTGCGCCTCCCCATTTTCCATCAACAGAGCTTCTTGTCTTGAGTTCTGTGTGTGTCGCTTCCCCATCCACATGCCATCGAACAGTCGTATCCAAGGTGTTTGGAAAGGCGTTCTCGAACAATCGTGCCAAATCCTTGTCTACCATCTTCTCTGTCATATATTCAATAACCTTCTCCACAGAAGCGGATGTAAACGTCCGGCAATGTATCGACGGCCGTTGGAAGGGTAGCTCCATTGGCCCTTCTGAGAAGGGTCGACTTCAAGAAATCAGTTTGAGCTCTAAGGGTATCTGTTGGCACTTACTGTTGGAACGTAGAGTATCTCTTATAATCCGGACATGCTCGCGCATATGATGGGTCTGGTTCCAAGTCTGGGAGAGCTGCCTTTACGGCCCAGACCACAAGCCATAAAGGCCATGCTCGCAGAGAAAATGGATACATGGCTTATGCCCAGATATCCAAGCCAGCTCGGGGCTTGAAGTGTTGACTCCAAGTGGTCGAAACAAACACGAATGCTCACACCATCTGGACTTGCTGGCAGTTGTATTCACCCAGAATATCGAGATGCCAGATATTTGGAGGAAAGTGAGCGCCCTTCTAAATACGATTCCGGAGTTGAGGTCAAGTCTTAGTTCCGGCTGGTGTTGTTTCGAAGCCTCGTCTGGTGAGGCTGTCTGAGGATTATGTAAGCACACCAACCACCAGCTGTTGCCAGCAACAGGTTAACTATTCAACAGCGGCTATCGCTGAAATACGAAATCCGTGATCCAAAATCTCAACTATCCATCAATCTTGCGAAACCCCTTCTATGCTGCTATGAGCTTCCCGTCTATTTCGCATTCTTTTCCCTCCCTCACGTGGCTGCCAAACAATAGGTACTTCCCTTGCTCCCCTCGGACCCTTCGTCCCCTCACAACCACGCGAGAATGGTGTACCTGAAAATGCCACCCAGCATGTGACGTCCAGTGACTACCTAATTACCTACATAGGTAGTACCTTCGCTGACCGCTCAGGTAATTTAACAAAACAATTAGCAAAGATGGAACGTACAATGAACAAAGTTTCGGCACGAGCACAGCCAGCTGCATCGTGGGGCTGGACGAATGTAACGCTGCGAGGAATTTCACTGGGTCCTAGACTTGCCCTCCGTACTTACTCTTCGAGTAGCGGATCACCGAAGCAGTGGCTGCATTTGTGAGACCGTATCACTGGTGCCGAAATCGGAGCTAATCTGCGTGTGTTGGTGGAATCTGCGTCTGTTGGTGGAAGAGGAAGCTTCGTTGCGATTGAGTAAGTGAAGCCGGCTATAGGTCGAGCAGTCAGATATTGTATTTCTGATGTATGAAGCAAAGCATGTCTGACCAATGCAAGTACGCAATGCAATCTCAGCTCGTTGCATCATCCCTGCTATATCGGCTTACATACGAGATCGACATGATTGTCAAAAGTGCATTTCGGGGGTTTAACGGTTTGAATAGCCGGTCTACAGCTTCGAAGGCAAGTCTTCAATTGCCGCTGGGATATTCTATATGGCAAAGATCACAGTTCATCCCAATCATCAGACAGTTGAGAAAAAATGTTTATTCGTCTGCCATTCTAGGTAGGTAGCAACGCCTAATCTTTTGATTCGTTGTGATTTCATATCAATTTGGAACCACTTATTTTGAATGAACTCCAATGTCTGTAGGGAACAGCCCTCTCCCCCAAATCCCAGTTCTCGAACCCTCAGCAAGCCCGAAATGCCTCCTTCAGAACCTTGATTACAGACCCAACCAGTATCTCGTACTTTCAACCCTCAGTATAGCCTGCACGCTCACTGCTCCCTCTTCACTACATGAGCTGACACTAACAATGTAATTCCCTTTCTCATTGCACCATTTGCCTTCACTCTCATCCCAGAAACTCGTAGCGTAACTATCAATGTCGATCTCCACTCTCTTCTCTTCACCAGCACGAAGGAAAACTTTCTCGAAGCCGTGCAATTCTTTAACTGGACGTTGAGTATTGGATTCGGGGGCTGATATGTAGAGCTGTAGAACTTGTGAGCCATCATACAACCCGGTATTTTTGACTCGCAAGACACCCTTGGCTGTTGGTGTGGGGTTTCTCCTGTCTTTAGAAGGCGTTTTGGAAATCTCGAGGTTTGAGAGGGCGAATGTGCTGTACGAAAGTCCGTGACTTGGACATGTTAGCAGGGTTTGCAATAATAAATGGGGCGAGCAAGGGAGCCTACCCGAATGAAAACAAGGGTGGTCTTTGAATTTTGTCGTAGTATTTGTATCCAAGATAGATATCTTCCCCATACAATACTCTTCCTTTAGTACTGCCGAAGTTTAAGAACGCAGGCGTATCCCTGAGATCAGCTGGCCAACTTAACGGTAACTTAGCACAGGGATTGAAATCTCCGAAAATAATATCAGCTATTCCATTTCCAGTCTCGTTTCCTCCGTACCAGGCCTGGACGATGGAGGATGCGAGTGGTTCCCAAGGCATGGAAACTGGTGTTCCGGACTGATTGACAATGATAGTATCTGGTGCTACTGTGAGGACACTGGCAATGAGGTTATCAATATTTGGTGGAAGGCCCATATTTGGTCGGTCGAAACCTTCGCACTCCCAATCAGCCTAGAAATTGTTAGCGAGAGTTATGAACGAAGGTATGGATCGCTGACGTTCAAACCTGTGCACAAAACTGTGTAATCAGCTTCACTGGCAGCTCTTACTGCCCTCCGGATGCCCTCTTTCACGTCAACCACTGGACAAGCACCAATTCTAGCACCACCTCCTCCAAAGCTGACCACCCCTAGATTAAGGATTTTCGAAGTAGCTGCACTGCCGAAGTCGATTCGGAGTTTATAGGTCTTACCAGCAATCAAATTCCTCGTGGCGAACTGCTCTGCTGTTCCTCTGCTGAAAAATGCCGTCCCTGGAAGCTGGACAGTAGTCCCGTCAATAATTAGCTCATCATCTAGATAGAAGTTTGCTGTTCCATAAACTGTCATGCCGAACTCCCAGGGTCCGGACAAGTCAGGGGTGAAGTCTGCTTCCGCAGAGGCATAGAAGAGCTCAAAGTTCAACTTGGGGTTCTTGTAATCCATGAGCTGGAAGTAGGTCTTGGGCAAAGGTTCTGTCCCGACGCACACACGGTTCTTAACACTGGAAGGTTGATTGAAAAACCGGATTGCAGAGTTGGACAGGAGACGGTCGATCAGTGGTAGCATTTTATGTGCATATGCACCGACTTCATATACAAGCTCGACATTGGGACCAAGCTTTTCTCTGATAGCATCGTAAAGAGTGACGGAATAATATGGTTCCAGGGAGGCACTGCCGCCTCCAGTGATTGCAGGGTTCTTCATGTGTGATCCGATGAGAGCAATCTTCTTCATCTTCTTCGGAAGCGGAAGTGTCTTTCTCTCATTTTTGAGGAGAACGATACTGCTAGCACATATTTCACGATTTAGTGCTCTGTCCTCAGGAGTGTTTCGCTCGCCTTCAACAGGTGAGACGGTCAGTCGACTTGCTCGCTCAACAAATTGGAGGACTCGTCGAGCTCGTTGGTCCAGAGTAGACTGCTTGATTAAGCGAGCGGACAGGGCGAATTCAACCGCTGCTCCACGGTGCCTAGTAATTCCCGGCATTTCGAGATCCAGTCCGGCATTTATTGCCCCTGCTCCTGAGTAAGTACCATACCTGGGTTTTCTGTCAGCACAACTGGCGACACGGGAGCGAATTGAAATTCTCAAACTTCACGCACTCGTTGATACTCACCAATCACTAATCATCACAGGATTCCAGCCCCATTCCTTCCTGACCAGATCCTCCAACAGCTTCGGGTCTTCGGAGACATGAACACCGTTGACTTTGTTGTACGAAGTCATCATCGCTCCTGGATTCGCATCCCTAGCCACGATCTGGAAAGGTCTCAGGTAAACTTCTCTCAAAGCTCTCGGGGTGACAATCGTATCAACAGCCCTTCTCTCGTGTTCCTGATCATTACAGACGAAATGTTTCACAGTGGAAATCACGCCCGTTGACTCACATCCCATGATCATCTCACTGGCCAGGATGCCAGATAAGTGGCCGTCCTCTGCAAAACTCTCGAACCCCCGACCTCCAATGGGGGAGCGCTGCATGTTAATAGTTGGGCCTAACCAGCAATGGGCTCCTTTGGCAATGCATTCATCTCCGAGTAATTGGCCAGCTTTCCGGAGGAGATCTCTATCCCAGGTAGCTCCAAGGGCAGTTCCACAGGGCAGACAAGCAGCTAGAACACCGGCAAACCATTTCGTTCCTCTGATACCATTGGGGCCGTCACTAACTCGAATTGAAGGCACATTGAGTTCCGGGATGGGATAAGTGTGCCAGAAGTCAATTCCTGGTACGAAGTAAGCAGCTGGACCACCACATGATGGAGCAAGAGTAAGTGAGGAGAGACTGGTGAATGGGCAAAGGAAGGGGAGATGACGAGAGAACATACCGGACAACAGAGAAGCCTTCTCTCCATTGCTGAGCTTCGACAACACTTCTTCTACGTCAAAAGTCATAGTTTCGTAACTGGTTTGAGCAGACTGCGAATGCATTGCATTTTTGAAAGTTCAAGATGAGGGAAGAGGCGGGAGGCAGAAGCACCCTATTGTACTCCGGCTTCCGGAGGCAGCCCCAATGTAAGACAGCAGGCATGGCCAGCGTCCTACAGGCATTGAAGACAATGAAAGATCCTGATCCTGGCCGCCCAGCTGATCACTGGACAACAGCTGCTGAGGTGGGCACAGCACAGCACTTCACCGCACCACACCACACCACAGGTCCACAGGCGATGCTTCTTTGGGGAACCCGGGCTCCCGCGGCCACTTGGGCGAGACTCGAGACTCGAGACTCGAGAGGGAGGACGGGCCGCCATGCCGCAGGACCAGTATTTCAGAAACGAAGGTCAATTGATGTGGCTTTGTAACAGAAAACTCAGAATAGGAACTTGCAGCGTTCTAGTTTGGACCGGTCGCGGTTGTGCACCGAATAAACCAAATATGAGGGGCAATTGTTCGGGAGTGGGCGTGGGCGGGCTTACGGGCAGGGAAGACAGAGCTTTGACCACCGGAACTTCTACAGGGGGCCAGGGCCTCTGGCGCTCCAGGCGGAGGGGGGATGGGGAGGGGGAGGGGGAGGGGGTTTAAGGTTAAGGTACTTACTAGCCGGCCCACCTCCTGTTTTACTCAGGGCTCGCGTATAGTTAGGGCAAGTAAGTGTCATAAGCAAGTAAAGGTATTATATACTAGATTAATATTAGGGATTTATTTTTAGTATAGCTCTTACTAAAAATCTATTATAAATAATAAATATTTAAATAAATTAATAACACTTAAATATTAAAAGATATATTATTATTCTTAACTTAAATATTATTTATATATTTCCCTCTAGTAATATTTATAGCTATTCTAAGTGTAAATTCCGTATTATAATTACTTAAGCTTTTATTAGTACGCTTTATAGTAAGTTTTAAGTAAAACTTTATCTCTTTATTATTATTAATATTATAGTCCTTTTAACTCTCTTAAATAGCTTATAATAGACTTAGATACTCTTCTTTAGTATAAAATATAGCTTTAAATAATATAAGAGCTTTATCTAGCTCTTAGTTAATAATTAAAAGCTTTAGCGAAGGCTCTTCTTTATACCTTTAATATTTAAAAGCCTCTTATTTCCTAGCTTAATTAGCTTTTTTTATAGATACTCTAGCTACTTAAAGAGACTCTTTATTAAAAGGTATAGCCTACTATATAATATATTTATAGGGCTAAGTAAGAAAGACTAGATAATAGTAGGTAAGACTATTTATATTAAATAGTAGAGTTAACTATAGTTAACTCCTCTGCTTTATTATAAGTTTTTTACTTTTAGGAAGTATATCTATAGAGCTATATAGAACTATCTATAGAAGAAGTTATAGTATATAAAAAGTTAAGTACCTCTAACTAAGCTATCTTTAGCTTAGTAGTATATATAATATCTAGCTTAAATTCTTTTATATTCTAATACTTCCCTTTAAAGTAAATTATACCTACTATAAGTCCTTCTTAATACTTAATCTTAGATTATAGGTTTTTCTTAGCGCGCTTAACTCTAATAACCTCCTTAGCTAATCCTATTTAACTTTTAAACTATTTAAATATAACTTATTCTAGTAGTTTTATTATATTATTAGTAACTATTTTAGCTATAAGGATATAGTTAACTTTTAGCTTCTCTTATTCTATAAGATCACGGATATAGTAGTATATAATATTAATATACTTAGATTATTCGTTTAAGTAAGTGTTTTTTATTAGTATAATAGCTCCTTAGTTATCTCTAAGTATCTATACTAGCTCTAGGTTTCTTCTAATAAGCTTAAAGTAACTTAAGTTATAAAAGACTTAAGTAAACTATTAACTATACTTAGTATAGTTTATAAGTACTATATACTTAGATTTATAACTTAATATAATAACTAATTATTACTTCTTACTTAACTAAGATATTAAGTTACTATAGAATATAATTATACTTTCTAAAGTACTTTTCTTATTAACTTTATTACTTACTTAATCTATATTAGAGTAGAGTATAGTAATACTATACTCTTCTCTTAATTTATATTAGATCTATATTTTAATAGTTAACTTTAAGTACCTAAGTAGTAATTTTAAGGTATATCTATAATACTTAGCTAAGTTACTTATAAATTAGCTAAGTTTTCTAAGGATAAAAGCGATATTAAGTTATATAAAGATTATTATATATATTAAGCTTCTAATAATATACTAGTACCTAGTAATATTAATCTGCTTATTATTATTATTAGTAGAGTAAAGGTATTTATATCTAGTAATAGAAGTTCTCTTTAGCTTAATAGTTTCTTAAGTAATTCCGAGTTTATTAAGTACGCTTATAAGGTATTATTCTTAGTTAAGTTTAATAGTCTTATACTTTCTATTATAAGTAACTTTAGCTCTAAGAATCTTATTAATCTCCTTTAAGTTCTTAGTATTAAACTTTAATAATAGTCTTTTATAAAACTAATCTAGCTCTCTCTTAAACTTAGTTACTATAACTATATTATTAATATATATAAGAAACTTAATTATCTTATTTTTATATATAAATATATAAGGATCTACTATATTTTATTAGAATCTCTATTTAATAAGTTTATCTTTTATTAAATAGTTCTAATCTCTTACTACTTACTTTAGTTTATATAAGCTTTTTAGAGCTTATTATATATAGCTAATCTTAGTTAAGATACTATCTAGGATCTTTAAGAAGATCTTTTTCTTTAGTTCTAACTTAGTAAAGGTATTCTTAATATTATATTAATAGTATTTAAGATCTTTTTTTACTATAAGTACTAAGAATAACTAGAGTATATTTATTTAGATAGTTAAAGTAAAGGTTTAATTATAGTCTTATTTGTACACTTAATTAAATCCCTTAGCTACTAGTTAAGCTTTAAATTACTTAATCTTACTCTCTACTATAATCTTAATTATATATACTTATTTATAAGAGATAAGGTTTATACCCTTAAGTAGAATTATTTTATAGAAAGTGCTATTTATATAAAAAGATAATATTTCTTTAGATATTATAATATACTATTACTTTATATACTTACTATTAATAGCTTACTTATATATTTAGAGAATTATAATATTAGTAATCTCTTTTATAAGTAAAGCTACTTTATTATAAAGTTTATATAGCTTATTATCTAATATATTTCCTTTTACTAGAATCTATATAATTATTACTTTAATTCTCTTTATACTTCTTTTATCTTCTAAGTCTAATCTAGTTCTCTTTTATAATAATTATATAAAGTAGTATAATACTTTTTTCTTCTTTAAGTTAACTATAATTAATTTAAGTCTATTATTAGCTTTTAGTTCTACTAGTATTTTACTTAGAAAGTTTAGTATAATTATATTAGCTTATAATCTAAGATTAAGAGTTAAGTCTATATTCTTATTAACTTTTAAGCTAACTTCTAGAGTTATACTAGTTACTAGTAGCTAGTCTAGTGTTATTTCTAATTCTAGTTCTAAGTTATAATCTAGTATATTAGCTTCTATAAAAGCTAGTATATCTACTAGTAATATAAAAGAGAGAATAACTACTATAGAGTTTATTTACTAATCTTTAATTATTAAATTAGTTTCCTTTAGTATCTTTAGTTTACTTTAAGCTTTCTTATCTAAAGTAATATTTAAAATTCCTTATAATTCTACTAAAGAGTTTTAAATCCTTAAGTTAACTATTTCTCTAGAGCTACTTTCTTTAATAATTACTTAGCTAAATAAGATTATTAATTTATATTCTAAGAAATATACTTAGAAGTACTTTATTATATTTTCCGAATATTTTATTAAGACTCTAATCTTACTAAGATTAATAAGTTTATTATACTACTTATTTATAAGTATTATCTTTTTATTTATATAATAGAAGTATTTACTTCCTTACTTATAGATATAATTAATTAATAGTATTTCTCTTATAAAAGCTTTTATTAAGTAAGTCTTTATACTATTAGTTATAAGTCTAGTTATAATCTAGTTTCTTATATATAAGTCGGCTTTAGTAGCTTTATCTTAGAGTTTTAGTAGTAATTAAGTATCTTTAAGTATTATATATATATTAAATTCTATAGTTTAAATTAATTATTTAATAAGTCTATTCTAATATAAGAATATAATAGTTATTAATTATACTAGTACTTTATCTTTAGTTCTCTAATTATTAGTAGCCTTAAGTAGCTTAAGTATATTATCTAATCTTACTTACTTAACTTTTTTACTAGATTATAATTTAATACTAACTTTCTAATCTTAAAGTACTTAATAAGTATTTCTTTTAGTTTTTAGTAGAATTACTTAGTCTTAGTAAGAATAAATATTAATAATTAGTAAGAAGTAGTAGTTCTCTTTAATTAATATTAAGAATAATTTAGTGATATTAAATTATACTAAGTTAAGGATTTTAATAAGCTATATACTTAGTACTTTTAGAATCTGATTCTTTATTTTTATAATAATATATATATTATAGATATCTAGATTCTTAGGAATCTTAATTACCTTTTTTAGTATAGTTATATTATATAAGTTCTGAATCTTTTTAAGTCTAAGGTATATAAATTATTAGTAATACTTAAGGTATTACTTAAAGTCTTTTATAATAGCTATATTATTATCTATTAAGTTATCTTTTACTAGTTTAATAGCTAGTAAAGCTCTTAAGGTTTTAAGTTAACTATAATTAACTTTTTTAATAGTTCTAATTACTTTCCTATTAAATACTTTAGAGATATATTTTATAATATAAAGACTATAAGATTACTTTACCTTTAGAACTCTTTTATTCCTTTTAGTAATTTAAATATTCTTATTATTAAAGGTTCTATAATAGCTACTTTGTAATAGCACGGTTTAGCGTTAGCTAGCACGTGAGCGAAATAACCACGGATCAGGTGATAACCTCTCTATTAGCGCGAATATCAAGCTGAGGAGCCCTCGATTCCGTGGAGGGCGCTTGAGCCTAT